GGGGCCCCGCCCCGCCCGCCCCCGGCGGGCCGGCCCCCCCCCCCCCCCCCCCGGCTTTGCGGCGGTGGAGGTTATTGAGAAGGGGGAGGAAAAAAGAGTTGTCTGTGTGTGTGTGTGTGTCTGTGTGCCGTAGCAGCTGCTGATGATGGCTTTCTGTGGGAAAAAACAGACATGCCTGCTCCGAGAGAGATCCGCCCATTCGCGTGTCGAATGTCCCGACGGCTGTAGATGATGCTACGGCGGATACGGCGATTTTCCTCATCATCGGAGCGTTGAGAGGCTTCAACACCAGCATGCTCGCGTTACGAGAGGGGAAATGGCGAGGTGCGTGATTCCCATCGAAACACGAGAATAATGGCGTATTGACATCGTCCTAGGCAATCCACCACCACCTCTCGGCCACGACCCGGAAGGGAAGACCCTCGGAATCCTCGGCATGGGCGGTATCGGCCGCAACATGAAGAAGAAGACCGACGCCCTGGGCATGAAATGCATCTACCACAACCGCAATCCTCTCAGCGAAGAACTCGCCGGCGGAGCGAAATATGTCTCCTTCGACGAACTGCTAGCGCAGTCAGACGTCCTGAGCCTGAATCTTCCATTGAACGTGAGCCACCGCATACATTCAAGCCTATATTTCTCATACTAATGCTTGTTCAAATGTTTAGAAAAACACTCGCCACATCATCTCCACCCCTGAATTCGCCAAGATGAAGCATGGTGTTGTCATTATTAACACCGCCCGCGGCGCAGTCATCGACGAAGACGCCCTGGTCAAGGCGCTCGAGAGCGGACAGGTCCTCTCAGCCGGTCTGGATGTATATGAAGAAGAACCGAAAATCCATCCGGGCTTGATTGCTAACCCGCATGTGACGCTGCTTCCGCACATGGGCACCTGGACTGTAGAGACGCAGACCGCAATGGAGGAGTGGTGTATTGAGAACGTGAGAATGGCAGTTGAGGAGGGCAAGTTGAAGAGTCCTGTACCCGAGCAGGCGGATTTGTGATTCTCTCCTAGCCGCACTCTAACCGCACTCGGGTTGCTTGGATGAACAAGACCTACCTACAGCTTGGCATTTGACAGAGCGTCTCTCCTTGTATAGAGCAAGACACATAAGGAAGGGGAAAGTCGACGCAGGCAGCGGCCGGCTGAGATGGACGAAGGCGACTCTGCCCTTCCGAGGTCTCCTGGGACTGGTAGAGACTATTACTCTTACATTCAGAACTGTGAACGCTTCAAAGATTCCGCAACTGTGCGGTCTGCTTCTTCTTGGTATCTCGTAGTCGGAAGGAAAGGCGCTGGAGCAGTCGCTGATAGAAGAGCCGAACTCCAGATTCAAGCACCGTGTAGAGGGGTGTCAAGACGTGAAGACGGAGCCAGGCTCATGATTTTTGTAGAACCCAGCTCCGCAAAGCCATAGAGCATATCCGCTGAATGACTTGCGTAGTTCCCCGCTGGTCTTCACCCTCCACGAATTGGTGCGCGACCTTCAATTTGTTGACGTCGTCATTCGGGTCATTGGATGATGCCACAAGATGGCGCTGAGGGTGGAAATCAAGCGTCCGACCGCCGATGTGCCGCGCTATGGCGATCGAGTAGAGTACGTCTCGGTTTTCCAGCATGCTGAGTATCACGCGGACATTCTGCAGTGCGTCGTTGATGTCCTTGAGCACGGCAGGGTTGTCATCTCGCAATGATGTGAACCGCCCGAGATGGTGCCAGAACGATTGTTCGTTGTACTTTTGGTTAGCGGTGGAAGAGTCCTGATGCGGTTCACCCGGTGGCGGTTGTTGAGGAGGCGGTGGCACCCGGCTGGGATCCAAAGATTGGCCCGTCAGGAGATGCTCGACAGTGTCGATGCGTGGTAGTAGCTCCTGAGTCAACGGGTCGTTGCCGGTGCCGTTGGCAGTGGATGCAGCCGACCGAGGCATAGCTGCAAGTAGCCACACTAAGCGAGCCTCGAGGGACATCCTCGCCCCCGTGTCATCGCCACTTTTCGCTTTCATCTGCTCTGTGCACTGTGCAACAAAGTCCTGGAGCATTGGTTCTCGCTGTAGGTGGTCCAGACCCCGGTGTTGATACCATGTCGTCTCGAACAAGCGGTCCAAACCAGCCGCGTAGTGGTATTTGAAGAATGAGCCTATCTCGTGCTGTCTCTCAGGCGAGACAGGAGGGGGTGCCTCTCTGTGAGACATGTCAACAGGAGATACGTTCGAGTGTGTCTAATCAAACACGCACCTTAGTCGGTACTGCGGTGGTACATCGTTGAGGGAGAAGAGGTCTTCGATTTGGATAGGATTTACTGGAGCAAAGTCAGCTCACATGGATCTCACTCTGGCGGTCCCACAACATACCTCTCCGCTGAGGCTGCAGCGCAGGTGGGTAGTTGTTCTGCGCCATGTGCAATGGCTGATCACCACTAGATAGCGCAGGGTCTAGTGAGACGCCGTATTCTCCGTAGGGTTGCGTACCGTCAGGATGAGCAGCGGGAGCAGCGGGAGCAGACGCCGGGATGAAGGTGCCTCCTGTGCCCGGAAAAGAGTGCTGGAAAGACTGCTTAAAGGACGGCTGGAAAGACTGCTGGGGTGGGTATGGATGTACTGGTAGAACCTGCGGTGCGGACGGGTTGATATTGGCGGTCGGTGGAGGAGGAGGATTGTTTCCTGCGGGGGCTGGCTGGATGTTGGCAGGGCCGGTCATGGGCTTCCAGATGGGATCGTAGCCTAGGCACTCGCGCTTTGATTTTGCGCAATTGCGACAGCTGGGTTGAGCCTCGTCGCACTGGGAAGAGGGTCAGCAGAGAGAGCAGGTGGGCGTGGAATCAGGTATGGGATCGGTAGACGGGACGAAAGCTGGCTGGCTTGTTCTCGTAGGTTTTAGCAGCTCGCTTGCGGTGCTCGCCAGCCCGGTCCGCTCGCCGCTGCACCTTAGAATACGCGACACCAGCAACAGCAACAACATCACCCCGCCATGCCACGCGGGAAGCGTCGCATACCTTTATTCGCCTCTTGCGACAGGTCAGGCAGCCCGTCTTGGTGCGCCGCTTGATCTCCTTCTTGTGCCGGGCGCCGGGCATGTTGTGCGCGTCCAAGGCGGGCGGAGGGGGAATGGGATATCGCTGGTTCGTCGCATTCGAGGGCATGGGCGCGGGGGGCACCCGGCCGTTGGGCGGGTAGGACGGGTAGGAGTGTTGCGGCGGGTACGGAGGAGGAGGAGGAGGAGGCATCGGGGCGCCATTGCTCTGGGGAAAGTGCTGCTGGTACTGCGAATTCATGCTGCTCGAGCGCGCGTCGAAGTGGTGGATGGGAGGCAGGTGCGGGCCTGGTGGAGGGTTGGAACCGCGGCTTACTTCCGAGCTGTAATGCTGCTGCGGCGGCGGCGGCCCAGACGGTGGCGGCGGCTGTTGCTGTTGCTGTTGCTGAGGCGCAAGACTGATGCTCATGGCTCTCGCATGCGCCCGCGGGCGAGACACGACGTTCCTCTCTACAACAACAATAATAATAATAATAATAAAACCAGGCCTGGAGAAAGCGCGTGAAGGCGCTGGGACCGCGTTGATGCGCAGTGCTGCTCGCGCCGTCGCCGCTTGATCCTTCGAATGCGTTTAATTACTCGCGGCCAATGAGCGACGCGGGCGTGCTCGCTTAACAAAGGCGCATCGGAGGCGCTTTCCACGTAGCGAGGGCTGTGGGCGGCGGCCACCTCGAGGCCCTCCACTGCGACTGCGAATGGGGCTGCGACTGCGACTGCGACTGCGACTGCGACTGCGACTGCGACTGCCTCCAGGCCTCGCTCGCTCGTGTCGCTCACTGCAGCCGAGATAAGTCAGCGCCCGCAAGCGAAACTCTCCGCCGCGGCCCTACCTAGCCTCTCTCTGCTCCACCTCCTCGGCACCTGTGAGCGCCAGCCTGGCATCTACAGTATAGTACATAGTAGTAATCTCTGCACTCTGCCTGCCTCCGCCCAGGACGCACTCGCGCAGGAAGGAGAGCGAGCCGACGCCTGACTCGGTGCCGACGATCCCGTGACCTGGTTGTCGCTCGGCCGACGGCTTCGCCCGCGATTCCAGAACAGTACACAGACGCGGCGGAATGTGGAGCCTAGCGCACGCTCGTGTGCTCGGGTTGATGAGGCCCCCCGGTCGACCACGCGATCATCGCTTTCCGTCGCACACGCCTCCGGAGGCTGCCCGTCTGTCAACTTCTGCACTCCTCGACGCCGGGCACGTCAGACGCTACCAACGAGCTAGACCGGTGTGCGGCCTCTCTCGAACGGGCAGGTGACCGTCTTGGCATGCAGAGTTCGGCATCACCTCTTCAGGCACGCCCACCTCCCAGCACCTCCCAGTGTGACGAGGCAGCACAAGGTGTGTTGATGAGACGCACCTTCGCCCGCGTGGGATGGGCACCACCTCAGCTACTGCTCCTGCATAACCTTGCAGACGCACAGTGGACGCAAAGCTGACTTGGCGCACGAGCACTCCCAAGGCTACCGTACGGCTTACCGATCACCACTGCATCACACACACCCTCAGAAGCGGGTAGAATCGGGCTTGCACACTTCCTATCTACTGATCTCCAGTTTACATGCATGGACATACAGCAAGCCGTGGGTAACAGTCATTCAACTCGAATGGAAATGGCTCACCCCGCATACACCCTGGCAGACCTGACCACGCCATGCGATGAACTGCGTATGAGATGCCGCCAATACGCATCAATGCACGGAGTAGGTAAGACTCTAGACGAGACGGCAGCACACTCCTGCAAAACCCGGCCCACATGAGGAGACCGGTCCAGTGAGAAGTAGGATGTGAAGATGCGTCACTTCTAATGTTTCCAAGTTCTTCATAGACACGCACCGCGTGAGAAGCGTGCATCTCTTGAAGTCGCCGCAGAAGCAGACCAAGGAAGCAAACCAAGAGATTTCCTCCGTGAATCGTCCCAACATCTCTGACCTCCAAAGACCTGGAGTGGCAACCTTCACGCAATATGCCGCTTAGGACAGAGCTTCTGGACAACTTCTCGACGACCAGAAAGGCCGTTTGAGTTGTGCTTGCAATGTCGCTATAGTGCTGGCTTTGCAAGCAAAGGTGTAACGACACTGAGCATTCCTTTGGCAACGTTCCTTTCCCAGGCACCGAGTGGGTAGCATTGGAAGTGCTGAATCACAGCTTCTAGTGGCCAAAAGACAACAACGCAGGAATCATGAGAGCAACTGGATCGTTGGTGATGGTCTCTTAAGTCATTCGTTGATTGCATTAATTGGGCTGCAGCCACGCCCGGCACCCAGCTCGGCAATACTAGCAGAGCTGCAGTCCATGCAGGTAAGTTCTAATGATACAATGTGGTCCGAGGAGCAATCACTATGTCCAAACCAGATCCAGACTTTTGTCTATCCCCCCTCAACGCCCAACTCTGCCCAAATGGCACTGTGTCGTCACTGATGGATGTCGCAGGCTTCATCTTACCACCCGTTTCCGGGCGATGCATACCCTTTGGCCCACTGACGGCCTCCATAGCCCAGCCCTGCGAAACCGGTAGAGTCAGCACGCTTCCTCGTGACTAAGCTACCAAATGACAACACTTACTTCCAACCCTCTTGTGTGGCGTCTCTGGCTGAGCGTCTGCCTCGTCCCCATCGCCGTCCTGCGATGGGCTCATCTCGTCCAACGTACTCCCCGGAGTGAGCACATCCTGCTGGTCGGACTTCATCTTGCCACCTTTCGATCTGCTCTTCTTGGGCGTCTCAGGGATGTAGTAGTTGCTCTCTGCAACTTCGGCCTGCTTCTGTGCTTTCTTGTAGAGCTTCTTGGGGTTCTGCTTCTTGCTCGTACGGGAGAGGTCCGGTTTGGAGATGATGTATGATTCTGGGGAAAAAAAGGGTATCACGGTCAGGAGAAGAGATGCTCAACGACAGGAGAAGTATCGGGTGTGGAGGTTGAAAATTACCAATTTCCTCCTCATCGAGCTCTGGCAGCTCGGGCGACGCCTCCTTATGCGCCTTCTCTTGTCTGCTGGGGTCCGCCATGGCTGTCGCGCGAACGCAGGGAGGTACGATCACACGGTGAATGGAAGAAGCGAGTATGTCCTTTGCTGTTGTTCCTTGGCGCTGGCGTGGTAGGGGCCAAACACACGGAGCAGAGTGTTGTGGTGAAGTGGTAGTGGAGGAAACAAGACACGATGAGAATATGGCTGCAGGAGGTCGAGAGCTTTTTGTACGCATTTACCAACAACGCCCGCATGTGACAAGTGCGAAGTGAAGGGTTGAGCTTGGAATGCAACGTGAAGATTTTGAGGTACTTCGCTCACTTTGGCTGGAGCAATGCACATTCATTGCCAGGATTTTCGGGGCTACGGCAGTATCTTGCACCTTGCTCCTGTGCCTGTAGTCAACCGCTCACTTCATCTAAGCCTGAACGCCTTCGCTATGCCGAACCCTGACCCATACCCATCAAGTTCATGAATCATATCATGCCATCTCGCCGGGGAGGAGATTGCCTTTCACACCGAACATCTTACCGCTGACCGTCGCTGAGAAGCCATCGACTTGTCTAGCGTATTGCTCGACCTGCCGTCCAACAAGGAGAGACTCCAGTCGAGAAGGCTCCTGGGGCAGCTTGAAAAGCTTCTGCCACTCATCCTCGGGGAGGAGTGGCTGCTTCTGCTGTGTGCGGAGTGCGTTCTCCTGCTTGCGCTTCTGTTGCCACTGCTGGATCTTGGCCTGTTCACGGGCAAGGGAGCGCTGGTAGTACTGGGCATTGTTCAGCTCGGTCTGGTGGTTCTCAATGCTCTCGAGGAGCTGATCGCAGGTCTTCTCCAAGAAGGGATCGATCGACAAATCAAGGCTGTCGAGATTTGGCGCCAGTGGGTTCGAAGAGATGTTGGGGTCGTGCGAGAGATCCGCCAGTGACGATGGGAAATCCAGAGCGGTCTTCTGGGGCGGCGCTTGGGGAAGTTGGTGGAGGAAAGAGGTCAGGAGATGTGAGTTGTGAATGGCAACCGGTAGCTCTACGAGGATATCCTGGTATCGCAGGTTGGACTTCTGGATGCTGCTATGCGTCAGTATGTGTGCCACATGCATACGCGAAGCGTGCCGGGATCCTCTTACCTCTCAGTTGTGAACTTGCCCTCCTTGAACGCGGCCATAAAGCTCGGCGATAACCGGTATGCCTTCAGACTCAAGCTACCCTGGCTGCTCCGCGACACATCGAACACCAGTGCGACAGTCTTCTCGTCCGTCGCGCGCTGGAAGAAGTGCTGATTCTCCACAAAGTTCTGGTTTATGAAACTACCCATGCTCGTGCTGATGTACCATCCGACACTCTGTGCATCGACGTTGACCTCTCGCGCCATCTTGATAATCTCGCCCTGGTACGCAACATTGCTCTTTGCTCTTGGTGCTGCTGCGGCAAGAGCCGCAGCGTCCTGTTGGTGGTAGGGATCCGTGGAAGTCGAAGCTTCTGGCACTGCCGCCGGCAATGGGAAAGAGTTGGTGATTTGAAGTTGTGAGTTGACGTCCAGTCCTACGAGGAAACCGGTTGCTGGCGTTGGAAATGATTTGCCAGCGTGGGCGATGATTCGCATCACCACGAGGGACTCGATTTGCACTTCCTTCAAGGGCGAAGCGTCGCTGACTTTGATTTCGGCCATGATCGCGGTGTTTCTGCAGACTTATTGCGTGCTTGGGTTGCTAAAGTCGGCTTGCGCTTTCGCTGTGTGGTCGATGTCTCGAAGCCGCGCCTTTGTAGGGACGTGAAGTGGGCAAATTCCGATAGTCTGAACTCTTGGCGCGTCGGCTGGCCCTACCGAGTGATTACATAATACGGCATTAGTCCCTTCACATGGCTCTCTTTTCCATTTGCATTCTGTGCAGGCTACGGAGGATGAGAAAAGAGTTCATCTTCATCGCTGTAAAGTTCTATCGTCATATTTCCCGAACGCCTTCGCTATTCCCATCAACAATCAGGCGAGGAGGTATCATGCGATTCAGTTGCTTCCCAAGAAATAGATAAGAGGGGAGAATAACACAGAGATCCAATCATGGCCGGATCGGTCCTAGTGGCACAGGAGGAGCGGGACGCTCGTGAATTGCCCTCAGCTTCTCTTGCTGTGCCTGCTTCCACATCTTCAGCCGATCCGCACGCTTCGCGCCGACCGGGCCCACCAGAGACTTTTCGCCGTTCAGCTCTGCGTTCGCAACAGGATCAACATCGTGCCGGCTACCTCTGTAGCCTCGGTCCTTCTGTGCCTTCTTCAGGCCACCTTCGCCCCACATCGACAGTCGCTGCACTTTACGTAGCTTCCGCATGCCGTAAAGACATGCCCCAGACGTCAAGACTATGCAAGCCCCCGTGACTCCGGCGAAGCCAAAGTTGGACTCTTCGATGAAGTTCTCCAAGTTCATCCCGTACAGTGCAGCGATGAACATACCAGCGCTTATGCCAAGTGTGCCGATGCTGAACTTGAGGTCTAGTAGCATGAGGCTGTTGCGGTTTGCGTCTAGGATGGCACGCACAATTTCTTCCGTGTTACGAATGGCAGAAACGAGGTTCGAAGATACTTGCACGATCTCGTCGGCGACCTTGTGGTAGGATTCGAGCAGTAGCTCGACCTCTTCGTGGTTGTCCTCTTCTCGTTCCGTGCCTTCTGCCTTCTCTGTGAGGTACATGTCCGCTAGGTCATCGTCGGCTTCAAGCAGATCTTCGATGGCGTCCCGCACAAGGCGCGCTTTCTGCTCAAAGGTACCCAGCTTCTTGGAGTAGATGAGCAAGTAGCGGAGCTTGTCCCTATCGATATCCTCTTCCAGCTCTCTCAAGACGCGCACCACAGGTTCCCGCACTCCCTCGAATTCACTCTCAAGGCCGTTGGTAACGCTAATCAGGACGGCTTCGAGCGCACGAAACTCATACGGTAGGTTTCCAGCTACACTGGAGTTCTGCTTCTGCTGTAGTTTTCCTTCGAGATCGTACATGAACAAACTCTGAGCGTATGAGTCGGTTGATCCGTAGACGTCGAAAACCAGGACCCGGTTGTGCTTGATCAGGCATCGCAGATGGAGCAGATTGATCAAGATCGCCGAAGGACGAACAAGAATGTGGGGCAGTACACTGCTATCGATCTTGCGCAAGTCTCGAGGAAGAAGCGAGTACTTTGCGATCAACTCGCTCTTCCGAAATTCCCCATTGACCAGCGTGACGTTGCCATCCTCATTGAACTCCGTACAGCGCAGCTTCAGCTCGTTACTCGGTTTGATGATTCTGCCACCGAGACCAGAGTTGTCATCCAGGAAGCCCTGTAATGGCGGTAGGTCCTCTTGCCGCAGCTGCTTTGGGTTCCTAAACTGTCGCACCCGCCTCCAAAATGCTTCCGCAGAGAGCCTCGACGACGTATTGAGGTTCCGTCGACATGTCCTATTGTGGTTCGTACAACTCAGGGGAGACCTTTGCGCAGCGAAGGTTTTAGGAGCGGTTGCGAAGGTGTGGCGCGGCCTCGCTCTGGAGGTTCGAGATCGGGCTGCCGATAATGATAGATGGCAATGTTGCGTGAGTTGCGGCTCGAGCTGGTTTCGAAGGAATCGTAGGAGGGCGGTAGACGGTGCAGACTGGCCATGTATCGCGTTCATGGCTCGTGAGGAATAGGAAGATGCATTGTCTGCTTAGCAGATGGAGATTCTATGTCGTCTCGTCACCATGGGAAGTTCGCTGCTGGAGCGCGGGACAAATTCCGCGTATCAAAGCCTCCTTCACGTGACGGCGTCCGCGCAGGCATTTTGAATTGGATTGAGACAAGCCTATGGAGAGACACTGATTTGCAATAGAACATAGCTTCGCCATGGGGCTCAAAGACGTCTAGTAATCACTATATCCGCTTCGCACTACGGGACTTGCTTGAACGCTTACTTTTATCAACAGACGTCCGTTTTCAGGATCCGTATTCCATTCAATACCGCTCCGTGACGGACTCAGGCGAGTTGCATCTCTCTACTCCGATGACGTGGAAGAGTACATTGGGCATTGTACAAGACATAGTATGACCGACCTCATAGAATTCAATCCAACGGCATGCCCTCGTACTCACTGTAACCCAATGCTAGGTTCATGTTTTGCAAGCATTGAGTTGCCGCGCCCTTGAGCAGGTTGTCGATGGTGACATTGATCACGGCCCGCTTGCCACTAGAGTGAATTGCAAAGCCGCCGATCTCGACACCATGCTTGCCAGAGATGTTCTTCACCTGCGGCGATTCGCCGACGATCTTGACCAATTTCTCCTTATCGAAGCGGTCCTGGTAGATCTGACGAACGTCTCGGGCTGCCATTTGCTCCGCAAGAGGCAGGGAAATCGTGTGATGAATGCCCTGGAACCAGACCGCAACGTGAGGGATGAAAGCAACCTCGGTGCCCAGCTGGTTCGAGATCTCTCTCTCGTGGATGTGGTCCGTAAGCGAATAGGCAATCAGGTTGTCCGTGAGCACTTTAACGTCGTTCTTTGGTGATGGCTTCGTACCCGCACCTGAGTACCCCGAAACGCCGAAGACAGTTGGCTGAGCTGGGAAGGGTGCGAGATGTGGAACAAGTGGAGCAATACCAAGCTGAGCCGCAGTAGCATAGCATCCTGGGTTACTGATGCGAGTTGCTGTGGCGATTTTGTTCCTGCGAACAAGCTCTGGCAAGCCGTAAGTCCAATCCGAGTTGAATCGATAGTCGGCCGATAGATCCACAACGACTGCTTCCTTGTGGCCAGACTCATCAATGGCGTCTACGTATGGCTTGCAAACTCCGTTTGGAAGCGCCATTACCCAGCAATCAATTTCCTTTTTCTCGGCCATCCTCCGCACGTCGTCTGGAGTTAGGCTCTCGTAGATAATCTTCTTTTTCTCGTAACCTTTGAGAGCCTGACCCTTCAACTCCCGTGAAGAAACATGGCAGAGGTCCATGTTAGGATGTCGGTTGAGGAGATCAATGAGTGCTCGACCAGTGTATCCACGGGCGCCGATGAGTGCAACCTTGGATGGGTAGTCCTTCTCTTTGTTCTTGATGCCAAGAGGCGGGTTCGGATTCGTACTATAAGCCCTGATCTGCTGAAGCTCCCCAGAACGAGGACGCTTTGCAGGTCGTGTGCTGGTACTAAAGGCTCGTGCTTGCGATTGCCTGCCCTTCGCCAAATCTGCCGCGCGGTTGCGGATACGCTCCGCGGCCACAGCTGCTCGATGGAGCTGCGATTCGAGATTGATATCACCGAACATTTGTCGGCCGTGCTGGATGAACTCGGCCATAAGTTCGCGAACCTCCTCTGGGGTCTCGAGGCCGTACCAGAAGAGGACCTCACCGCGCCTAGCAATGGATCCGTCGGCTTTCTCGCTGAACCAAGTCAGGTTCTCGTCGTCCTGCTTCACGGTCCAGGCGAGTCGTGGAAAGTCGCGCTTCAGGTTTTGGAAAACGTTATCCGCAATGTTCGATAGCCAAGCGTTCCGTGTCATAGTAAGAGTAGCAAGATGACCAAGCGCGTTGGAGGAGTTGTCCTCTGGTGGCAAGACAATAGCGAGGGCTTCCATGTTCTCGTCGTAATACGCTCTGAATGGTCGCGACTCCAAGATTTCGAGATACCGGTCAACAACATTGGCAGCGTCCAGTCCCTCGCGGTCACGGAGAAGTGTCTGCTTGAGTTTGTTCACATCCTCAAATTCTTTCAGAGACGAGGCCTGCTGCAGCTTAGTGCCTCTTCGAATCAAAGTTCCGGCTCCAGAGTGTGTGAAAAGCTCACGTTCCATGCTCTCGGGGTGGATAATGGCCACGGAGGAAGTGCGAGGAAGGTTGTCCAGGAGAGTCTTGATATCCCGAATCTTGCTGCGTGTGCCATGGATCACCCAAGGCTTGTTCATGTATTCGTCATACTCTTCGTCCAAGTTGATCGCATCGATGAGTTTACCGGTTTCCTTGTCGTAAAGACCTCCCTTCTCTGAAAGATAAACGATCTTGAGAGGAACAAGCTCCTTGGCCAACTCAGCAGCTGCCTTATCAGCATTGACGTTGAGAACCTGTCCGTCCTCGCTCTCTGCCATGCAGGTTAAGATCGGAATATAGCCATCAGCGATCGCAGCGTTGATGCTCTGGGTGTTTACTTGGTTGACCTCGCCCACGAACTGGTAGGTCTCTTTGTCTTTGTACTCTGCCATCAGGACACCAGAAGTTATCGGACGTGCTCTTACACCCCACGATTCCAGTGCTTCCACCAGCTTCAAGTTCTCTTGGAGGAAGAGCTTGCGCGCAACACCCAACGTCTTGCCATCTGTGATACGAATTCCCTCGTTATACTGCGGCTGTACGCCAGCTTCTTCGAGCAGCTTGTTCAGTTGAGGTCCAGCACCGTGGATAATGACTGGGTACAGGCCCATCTGGTTCAGGTTCCGGAGGGAGGAGCATAATACGTCGATATAATCGGTCAGAATTGCGCCGCCAACCTGATGACTCGATTAGCACATTGTCTTTTGGGGCTGAGCGTAATTCGATCCGCCCAATTCCTTCATGACTGCGAGGTCTACCACAAACATACCTTTATGACGGCGAACTGCTGAGACGACACCGACGTAAACTGAGCAAGGTACTGCTGCACCTCTCGCTTGGAGGCGATGTTATTGAGCACATTGATAACAGCGGAGCGAGCAGAGCTGTCATCGTGCCGATGAGAGGTCGAGTAGAGCCGCAGCGCTCTGGGGGCGGCAGCGCATGGCCGCGAGAGTGTGAGTGCTCTGGAGTCCCTCGCGAGTAGTCGACGTTGGCGGACGAGCTGCCGGCACAGAGGCCGAGCGAGTGACTGCATACTGGCGACAGACGGGGCTCAGCGCATGCGGCACCTTGAGCTCAGAGTGTTGTGCGAGACTGAGAGTCGGGCGGACGAGGTATGGTATGGTGTCAGTGCCAATGTCTGCGGCGGGGGAAAGCAGATATTTTTAAACTTCAAGAAGGGACCAGGCACATGCATGCATGTGTGGCCGACGGCGGAGCTGCTCTCTCACACATAATTAATCCCGCACCACGCACATCCACCAAGTTCCAGTCTTATTCAATTTCTCCTCGGACCACTGGACAAAACGGTGGGACTTGCTTGCGTTTCCATTTTCTAATGTTTCTTCTCTCAACTCACGGTCGCCCATACACTGTTCTCATGTAGTAGCTTTTCGCATTGGAGTGTCATTTGCTTCCCGAGTACCCTAGCAATAACAGGGGCAACGGCCAGGCGGGCAGCATCGAACCAGTTATAGTGCCCGTCGAGATAGCTTTCCAATGCGATAAGATGCTCTACCCCTCAGATTAATCAAATAGCACAATCAAAACTTGATTTAGCCAGAATTGACATGTCAATCGAGTTTTGGTCAAGATTCGACGGTATCACGTGGCTGTCAACTTCACCCTTCTTTGTCGCTACTTCTCGCTCGCTTCCGGAAGTTGTCGACCTCTTCACAAGGCTTCCAACTGTGCAAGGCCACCACATCGCCTTAACCGATACCTCTCACTCCACGCCGTCTCCGCCTACATCGCGCGATTGCGAGCCGTTCATTCCTACCACGTGCAAATTCAGCTGGTGACTTTGCGCGCGACAGCAGAGTCCCTACACGTTTCGTATGCTCTGAGAGAACACGACCTCAGCGGCCAGTCCGCGAGCATCTCTAAAATTCCAATATTCCCGATACGCTGCGACTGTTTCGATCAACTCGCGCAGCCCTCCTCGGCCTAATCTACCCCCGGGCCCAGGATGTTCTTTATTGCAAACCGTGAGCGCGAGCTCACCATGCACCCTTCCTTCTTCGACAGCGCCGCTTCAGAAATGATCAAGGAGAAGCTACATGAGGATTTGGAAGGCAAGATCGAGGGCACCCTCATGATTATCCAAATCATTGAGGTAGACGAGGTGAGCGAGCCGAAGCTCGTACCGGGTACAGGGATGGCATCATACACACTATCATACCGCGCACTGGTATGGCGTCCCTACCGAGGAGAGGTCGTGGATGGACTGGTCACGAGTGTTGTGAACAACGGCTTCTTCGTGGATGTGGGCGGGATGAACGTGTTCGTGAGCAAGGCGGTAAGGACGTTTGTAGACAAGACGCGAGCTTCTCATTGGCTGATTGTGAGTCTCTCAGATGATTCCAACTTCGCTCAAGTACTCAGTTGAGGGCTCGACGCCATCTTTCACGGACAATTCGGACCAGATCGTCGAAAAGGGCACCCAAGTGCGCTTACGTATTAAGGGTATCCGTGGCGAGATCGGGCAGATGTTCGCAATTGGCAGTATTCGAGAGGACTACCTGGGGTGAGTAATTTGTATTCATCGCGGCTTGAAATTTCTTGTGGATGCTGACCTCCAACAGTCCGCTGCTCCAGTAGTACCCGGAGTAAGCAGGCACTGGGTCTGGTTCCTCGACACCTTTTTGGGGGTGAAGCAATGCTCCTGCTGTTTCACCACCTCCATTGTACTTGTACCAATAGCCACTTTTTGGAGGCACAGGTGGTGATGAAGTCTTGGAGTGAAGCAAGGAAAGAGGACCTGACTTATGAATTGTATTGAAGCGTGGCGTTGGAGGGAGAGGCAGAAAATCGGAGCGGTGCATCGTATGCATATGTTTTGAGATACCCAGATCGAACCACCCAAACGAGCTGAGATTGTGGGGGATTCAAATCGTCTTTCAACAGTGATCTATTTCTCGACCTTCGAGTCCCCCGCTAGTAAGCTTAAATATATTCCCCAGACCAATCCAGCCGTATTTCCAAGTAGCATCCTGTACTCCAAAGGAACAAGGGTAAAGCTGATGATGCTCACAAACGGCCATAGCTTTTGTGCGGCAAATATCATAGGCCAGAACTGCTCTGACACGTCCTGTGATGTCGAGCTGAAAGATTGGCCGCGAATAAGACCTATGCCGACCACGAATAGGACAGTCTAGAGAAATGATACGTTAGTAGAGCCCGTGTAGGATGTACACTGGAGAGGGTGTTGAAACGATCTTCTCCGCAACGAACGCAGCGCAAGCCGGAGAGCAAATCAGACCACACAGTGGTTCCGAATGGAACTGTCCTGTATCGATGAAACTTTCAGAGTGCCTGTCACTCACATTGACTCCCGCACCGACAGTCTGATCCAGCAGAAATTTAATGGCCGTGTTCTTCAAATCAAGTTTCTTGACCGACTTCTTATCTGTAGTCGCCAGTGTCGATTTCTCCGTCATGGCCTTGCCCTTCGATGTTCTTGCCTCGACCTCACCACTGGAGTCCTTCTCCAGTGCCGTACTACGTCCTACAGTGGCTTCATCTAGCATCAACTCCTTATCTTGCGGACTAAGTCTACGCGCGTAGGCTGGAAAGGAAGCTTCAAGCCAAGCTTGCCATATGTAATTTGGAGGGCAGGCCAAGACGGAGAAGAGGACGAATTGGAGGAGCTCGGTAATGTTGATTCGGTACGGCATCTGTTATTTGTATGAGCATAGCGCGACTTTGGGGGAAAATGACTGCACGTACTCCTCTCTGCCAACTTGTAATGAGTTGTGCTAGCACGTTGGAAAGGGCGTTCAATGCGCCAGCTTGCCAGGTTGCCGTCACAATTGGAGAGTCCATCCTCACGTAAGCTGTGATCCAGAGTAGTTTCCAGTCGATCGTAGGACGAAGCTGTAGGTTAAGAGGAGGACGGCTGGAAAAGTCAAGTACACAAAGGTAAGACCTCAATGTTCCCTACCGGCGATAGTGAAGACCGGACAGGATGGTCTTCCGTCCTGGTGACGACATCGCAGCTGCCGAACTCGTAGGGACACCGTGCTGTCAATCGCTGAGCTGCAGATGCCAGAGGTAAGGTCCACGGGTAGCTTTGATCAGAATGTTCTGTCTACTTCCATCAAAGTGATGAAGGGCATCTCATCAAAGAAGTAAGACAGAGGGGTCTGCGCACCTACTGCGGGAGAAGCCGAAAGCTACCTGGTAGCCCAAATTATTTTCCGCCAAAAGTCGAAACAACAACATCCACAAACCACTTTCCATCAGTGCGCAATTCTACAAGACGGTCATGCTGCTGGAGCAGACTTTTTGAAAATGGCGAATGGCTCAGAATCAGCTCCCGGGCTCTCAATCTCCCAAGAGACCTTTGCTAAACTCACGCCGGGCCCATTCCTTCGCGCCCATCTGAAACAAAAGACTCCCATTCGACCAAACGGACGGTCACCAAGCGAGTTCCGCACTCCGACGATCAACACTGGTTCCCTCACTCACAGCAATGGCAGTGCCGTAGTACGACTCGGCGACACCGCTGTAGTTTGTGGTGTACGCGGCGAAGTATTACTCGCATCAGACATACCGCATCCGCCTGGAGAAGACCTGGACAAGAAAGACCTCATTGAAGATATAGGTCTGGTAGTTCCCAATTTGGAATTGAGCACTGGCTGCTCGCCAGCACATCTTCCAGGCAGCCCGCCCAGTACCCTGGCGCAGTCTTTCTCTTACCGCATCAGCTCTCTGCTCCACGACTCTCACATGGTCGATGTCGACAGCCTTCGCATCCGGTACACTGAGCCGAAGGCCGAAGATGCTCTCCCGGACGAAGAGCCAACTGTGATCACGAAGGCATACTGGACTCTATACTTGGATGTACTTTGTTTGGCTCTGGATGGAAACGCGTTCGATGCTGCGTGGTTGGCCGTGACCGCTGCTCTCAGAGATACGAAACTTCCACGAGCATGGTGGGATCCAGATCAGGAAGGCATCATCTGCTCGCCGCTTGCGTCTGAATGCCATCCACTGCAGCTGATTGGGCTGCCGTTGGCGGTGACCTTCGCTGTATTCACTACCGCATCGCCTTTGAAGAAACAGGAAGAGGCCGAGACTTGGGTTCTCGCCGATCCAGACTCGTTTGAGGAGGATCTCTGTAACGAGAGAATAACAATCGTACTTCAGCCGGCATCTCGCGGCCGACCAGATGTTTTGAAGATCGAAAAGAGCGGTGGTCCTTACATTGGAAAGGATACCATTGCACGTTGCGTTGAAGAGGCTGAAACCCGACGGATGCAGTTTGAGACCGCTTTGACGAACGGCTGATCAATGGCAGTACTGCTTTTGGTTCACCGTTGCGGTGCAACAGTATGGCCGGGTACCCAAAGGAGTATCTTCTCTGGTTTGGTCTAGAAACTGCGATTACCGCAGCGGTGCCGCACAGTGAGTCCAAATGGACCTGGAACAGGCATTAAGCGCTGCGGTTTGTCCGTTGACACGAATGGCGATGATCGACGACCTGCATTTCAATTACATGGGCACTCACACCTCCTTGCGAAAGAAGCACACTGCTTTGACGAATCACCGAGAGCTATGGTCGGAGCCAGAAGAAAGCTGAGATGGTCGAATACCTAGAATACACCGGTTTGTGTGGCCTTGAGCCTCGAAGTGTGGCACTATCATCCTACTATGGATGCCAGCCGCACGCAGGGCTGCCACGAGGATAGCACGTTGCCATCCGGCACGACCTGCAATCGCACCTTTTGCACTTTGAGGTACAGTATCTAAAGACGCTCACGCGCCAGAACCAATCACACCCTGATCTTTTAGCTCTCAGACGACTTTGTCGACTGAGCGTGTCTTACCGATTTCCCTCAGCCTTGAAAACTCATGCATCCCCGATACACCTTCTTCCCACTCTTGTATGGAGATTTCTGCCGATCCTCTTGAGATTTATAACCTGCTGGACATTTGACACCGCCGCTCGTACTGCCTCTTCTGTTCAGCAACTGTACGAAATGACGGGAAGACAATCGAGGTTCAAACACCCGGGCCCAGGGTGGGCTACTGGATTTGGTGTCCACCGCAGGCACGGATGGCTCCTCCAGTGATTCCTTGGGTTGCTTACCGGAATAGGGTCTTGGCGTCCTCATTGTGTATCGGTCATTATTGTAGGTGCTGTAAGAAAGCTAAAGTGGATAGATATCAAACTCTACTCCTAACAGCGCGAAGGAACGTCCAGCCAGGCAGCCTGCGCATTTTTCTCACTCGTTCCCGAATTACCGAGATTCTTCGAGCCTTTCCTTACTTCAAAATCATGAGCTCCTCATCGAATGCAGGGCCATCGAAGAAACCTCGACGCAATCGCCATCCTCAAACTAGAGTTCCTTGCGGTGCTTATATCCACGTACTAGTCAGAGCGAAGGAGACATCGAGCTCTGCGACAAATGTACCCGTCTTACTTACTCTCCCCGCCAGCGACCTTAAACTCAGTAAGCGACATTTTCCAAGAACAATGGACGGTTTCGTCGCCAAAGCCATGTTATCATCGACACAACTCGTGGTATCAGGACCGAGACGCCAAGCTTGCCGTGGAGTTCAGACAAGCAAGAACAGCACGCTTTGCAATTTTTTATTCAAAACAGTGCACCTCAACTTGCGGGATACTTTGGTTCGCCTTTCTGGTGAGCACAGTATAAAGTATTTTATACACTTCAAGTCAGCGAAGACTTGGATCGATCTCGGGCAGAAGATGGGACTGCAAGCTGCCCGGAACGAGAAGAGCATAGTGCATGCCATCTCTGCGATCGGAACATGACATGAGAGGTTTCTCACCGGTGGCGGAAGCTCCATGAACCCCGAATACCAGGGAACAAGGTTCCTGCTCGAACAACGCAATGGAAGTCTTCAGGTGTGTTCAGAGTGCCCAGCTGGCAAAAAAGGCTAGTTGCTAAAGTAGAGCAGCATCTCACTGCGTCAGGTGAGGCGAACATCGACCTGCGATTACTCCTCACAAGCTGTGTTCCTTTCTGCGCATTCGAAAGCCTTACAAGGCAACTGTGAGCAGGCTATCACACATGCGGACCAGATATACAATCTCTTGCAACAGGACGCTCCTGGCCCGGACAACAAACATTGGGTTGCAGGGGTCTTTGCTATGGAGCTCGACCAGCTGTGTACCATGATGAGAAGGTAAGGGGGTCCTGAATTACCTGAATATGCTGCGAAGCTGACACTTTCGAGGCTAACGACTTCAAGTAAAGGCTTGACGGGCGAGGGCACATAACTACCAAACACGCAAGTACAGGAAGGCTGACAGCGCTCCAGGCAAGGATCTTACAATATCTCCGTGCGCGGGACACCTCAGCACACAGAAACGGAACTATCTCGAAGATTCGCTGGGGGTCAGCTCAGGTCTGGAGATAGTGCTCAGCCAGCTCTTCGTCTTCTTCCTTAACTTGGAGATCGATGATCGATACAACGACATGGGTGAGATTCCGACTACGTACGCCGCTTGCAGGAGCCTAGCTGACCTTCTGTTTCTATGGCGGCGACTGCCAAGGGCGAGAAACATCTGCTTTTCACGCCACTCCTCTGGCCTGGGAGGGAGCCTTCTCGGGACTCTTGTCAAGGACACAAGCGAAATTAGTCACGGCGGAGCTTCGAGCTGCGATGATCTTGAAGGTTCACCACCTAGTTGCAGGATCTGTACGAGGTTGATATGATCATGAGTGACCTGGGGTGGGACGCCTATTCAATTTCGGGAGCCATCGTGACTCTGGCAGCTGCAGTCCCAGGAGACACCAAGCGATGGGTTTCTTCGCTCTCCGGCGCCTCACAAGGGCCTGAAGGAGTTCCATCTACGATACACGCAACACTTTCATTCGTCTCGGCATCGTCGATCCACTTTACGAAGTGGTGGCACGCTGTAGAGACTTAGTGATACGGAGACAAGCACTATGCTTGCTAGCAACACGCCCGATACAGGAGTGGATGTGGTCGAGCTGGTCAGCATGTGAAGTCGTCAAGTTCTTGGTCCAATTAGAAGAAGAGGGAATGGAAGCACCGCCGATGCAAGCTTCGGATATCACCACACAACGTCGAATTTCAGACGCGTAGATTGACTTTGCAAGCAGGCCAGATCAGTCTACAACTGGCACGAGAACGAGTCTCGGTCATCGTCAAGCTGTATCGAGCACAAGTGCAAGGTCAGCATGCTTCTCTCACCAGTTGCCCGCATAACAGTACGGGGGCAGCTAACACGTGACGTGTCCAGATACACTCTGCTCCCTGGTCTATTTGATTGGTATACCGATGAGCCAGATGCTCTGCCCACGTTGGAATTCGCTACGGTGAATACCTCAGTCGACTCCCTGGAGCAAGAAACGAGGAGCTCCAGTGAAAGTCTTGGGTCGGCGTCAAATGAGGGAGCTTTGGGCAAGTAACACGGCATCGAAAGCGGAGAGAGACTACTACAGTGTCTGGGAACGTCGATTTCTTCTCGACTATCCCGTCGACCACGGCGAGTGCGACAACACAGTTCCACTGGTTGCCGTCTTCGAGATAAGTTCCCGGGCACGGAGACGCTGTAGCAGGACCTCTACATCTGCTGCGACGGGCACAGCCGGCAGTGGAAGTTCCGAAGCCCTAAATCGATAGACAAGGGGTTGTCATATGAAACCATTGCGCCGTGGAAGACGGTGCAGAAACTATCGCTGATTGTCTGCAATGTCCGGAAGCTACATCCGAAGCTCCGTCTCTATCGGGGCAGACGGTCACAGATCCAGGCGCCCTGCTGTGCTGCTAACACCTGTCAAGTGCTGTGGTGCAACGTTACGGACTTATCCTCCGGACATATGCTCAATTTGTTGGTAGCCAGCTAGGACTCCGCGAGCGCTGTGTGCCCAGTGAAGCAAACATCTGCCTTTGAAGCCATGAACACAACACGGCTCGGAGACACTCCATTGGTAGCGTGATGGGCTACGGAACGAAATGGCATGATTCCATTACGTGCATGCATGCACTGCCTGCCACGTGAAGGCTGTACCAACTAATTCCGCCACGCTTCCTCGGACGCACAAATCGGGTTCCACTGCCTGTGTGCGATTGCGGCGACTTGTGCATGGTAGCCGAGGAAAGCCGCGGATAGCAGCATCTGTGCTTATTGTTCAAGACAACACGGGCTGAGGTGGATTCCTCACAGTGGCAAAGATGGTGTTCACACCATCTTTGGCAAGCTGAAGCTCAACCGGTATATCTGACCGCAGGTTGCACCACACATAGCCTCGTTGCGCCGCCCTCTGCTTTGCCTCCATCACGAGAGGAATCTCCGCTTCTACCACAGATGGAGAACCCTGGTGTCGAGAAGCTTCTGAAACGCAGTAATGCACCTTTCTGAATGGAGAAAGCCACGCTTAGCAAGGATGAAGTTACACAGATCTGGAGTTTGTTGAAAGCATCCCCACCGCCTGCATTGCGACTCCGGTAAACGCTTTGTCTGCTTGTCTGCATCATTGAGATCCGTCAGGTTCGACACACTTCATCAAACAGAGTCCCGCGGGCTAGCATGTCTGTGGGCCCCAGCAGAGACCGCAACGGCTTTCTCGCCGCGTCCGCGCTTGAGATCAGCAGCTTCTTCGCGGATAGCAGAAGTACGGACGACACGGACGTCACGTATGGCAAGATCTCCTCGCTGGATGTCTCCCGTTTCCGTCGGTTTGCGTCCTAGTGCTCGCCCTGCCGAGACGAACGGCTCGAGGTGTGACTCCAGGGCGGAGAAAGCAGCAGAGGGAGGCACCTTGGATGCACGTGTCCTACGTTGAGCCCCGTGCCGTTTGCCTTGCGTGAGTTGGAAAGCCTCTCGATCCTCCAATCGCACAGTGAAAGGGCTGGCCCTATGATTGCCAGAAGAGGCTCTTGGTGCAGCACGTCCCCGCCGCAAGGACTTGCACGTTGCACGCGATCGAGGCTGCGGCCGCAATGTTTGGTTCCGCACCATGGGGTTGCTCACAAGGATCACACACAGGTCTTTGATACGCAGCTTTTGGTTCGATACCACGAGCCCATTTCCCGCGCTCCTCGTCATGCAATCTGCAATCACCCACGATGGGGGGTGGTTTGCGGTCGATTGTTCCGGCCAAAGATCTGTGGTGGAAATGTCCAACACGAATAAAAACGGTCGCTCGCCCATCCTTCCGCCCTCGTAGCCTACGTCTTTACCTTTATACCGTTTGCTTTTCCTCTTACCGGACCACTCTAGTCTCTGCTTCTAGGTCCCGACTCTTACAAGACCGTCCTCAATTCAACTACTCGCTCTCTAGATCGACATGGCCACCCAGGAGACTCCAGGCAACACGAACGACGCACCGAGGAGCGAGGAGACATCCGCCCCTACTGCCACCGCTATCCCCGATTTCCTCCTCTCACCCAATGCGATCTTCAAAGACGAAGGCGTTGCCTGGAGATATGGCAAGGCCCCGGACTACAGCAAGACGCGCAAAGTCTGGGAAGAAGGTCAGTCTTCTTGCCTTCTTTCTTTCTTTCTTTCTCCTCTCTCGAAGATCGCCTGGTTCAGGAGAGCCCTTGGAAGCCACAGCATTACATGTCACCGCAATGCACCGAGTTGCCTTCTCCGCTTGCAAGTCTCGAAGCTCCAGACACAGCCAGAGGAAAACGGGACGATGTATTCTTGGATGAGGCACCACAGAGCTCTCGGCCCAAAAAGAGAAAAAAAAAGGGGGTGGCGATAATACTAACATTTTCGGCATCAACAGGCAGGTCGATGCATCACGCGCCGGGCAGCATGGAAGAGTTTGTCGAGAATCTCGTCAAGAACTGGGAAGTCGAGGCGTCTTTCAAGCCCCGGCTGGCGGACTGGCGGACGATCAATCATGAGAAATACTCGTTCGCCATGGCGGGGGGTCCTCCTCAGTAAGTTGTTAAAAAAAAGGACAAGACAAGTTACCTTTTTGTCCTGGAAAGATTTCCCCATCACGACGGAGACACATACGTTGGCTGACGTGGAGGCTAGGTCTGCGGAGCATATGATCAAGGTTAGTCGGTTGGTGGTTGATTGGTTTTCGTTGTCATCCTCATATATGCATGCATGCCCTCGATTGATTTGATCCCGTGGCAGTGGGCATCCTCGCTGACGTGTTGCCGGGTGTGGTGGTGGTGGTGGTGTAGGTGGGCACGTACAACGGCATCATCGCGCCGAATGAATACTACAGCCCGGCGAACAGCGATTTCGCCTCGTCGCACAAGACGTTCAAGCGCATGATGCCCACGTTCGCGTGGGAGGTGTTGGAGATCTACAGCCCGCCGCCGCGGGTGGCTTTCCGGTGGCGACATTGGGGCACGATGAAGAATGATTATGTCGGGTTCAATGAGTAGGTGATTGACTGACCCCACCGCCGTCGCCCTCCCTCCCTCATCATTGTTTTGGGACACGACGACGAGCATGCCAGCGTTCTACGGGCGTCTTGGGCTAATGCGGTTGCACAGCAAGGGCGAGAAAGTCACAGCCAAGGCCCACGGCGGGCAGATTGATATCCAGGGCGTCACGGTGGCCTCGGTCGACGAGAAGTTTCGGCTCTGTGACCTGCAGACGTGGATGGATCCGCTGGAGATGTTCCGACAGATCGCGCCGCAGGGTGTTGTCAACAAGGAAGTCATGAATCGCAAGGTCGATATGGAGACCGCTCTGGACATGGGACCCGACGGCAACGGGAAGGCCTCCTCCGTAGCGGGACATGGCAAGGAGAAGGGCCATCACAGTCCTGATGCCGCACCGGAAGCTACTATCATTCAGGCCAAGCATGAGTCGAACGCGACCGGTCTCGCTGCAGACGCCTATATCCCACATCAAGGGACGAGCGCAGATCGAAGCCATGAGGGCCATTCGGATGAGATGGACGTCCAGTTCCATGATGCACAAGAGTCTCAACATCCCGCTGCGGCCATCATGTCCTGTCCGAGAACAGGCGCCCGCGCCATCATCGCGACAGCCGCCACGCACGGAGCGCAGGCGCCCGTTGTACAGCCTGCGTCCACGTATCAAGAAGTGAAAGCCAGACTGCCAGCGGATCAGCCAACGTCTAGTGAACACCAGCCAGAGCAGACGAGATCCGACGACGACGACGACGACGACTACGACGACGACCACAAGCTACCCAGATCCATCTACACCTCGGCGGTGAACGGTAGGGAGGAGCCGAGCGCTGCTCCGCAGGCAGAGGACGTGGCGGTGGCTCGAGATCTCGTCGACTCACATGTGGAACAGGCCGCAGAGCAGGTCCATCCTCAGCAGCCCAAGGATGCCGAACAGCTCGTTCAGCCGGCCCCGGGCGAGGCGGTCGTCGCGGCTGCTTCGAGCGAGGAGACGCGTGCTACGCACGAGGAGATGAGCCGGGTCACGCCGGGCGAGTGTCCGGTCTTGATGAACCGCGAATAACAAACAGACGTCGGGGACATGGGGGTTCAGGTCCAGTCAGCAGGATGATGGAAATCGTGTGAGGGCGCGCTGGGTGTTGGTGGGAGATTTGCTGCCTGCTGCTGTTGCTGCTGCTGCTGGGTTGGACGAGGGAAATTGGCGGTATGGAGTGAAAGGGGTGGAGGCTGGCTTTTTGATTCACCACCAGAATGGCTCTGCAAGATAGATAGATAGCAGGGAACACAGGAATGCAAATTGTGATATTATTCCTGTCGTCGCACATGATCATCGTCGCTGGCGCTAGCTAGGCAGGCATCCACGTCGCGCCATGATCACGTTCCCGTTATTACTCCTAGGCCTGATGGAACGGAAGTCTAGCCGCACCAATGAGGAGGAGGGGATTATTGTTCCTCTCAACTCTCTCCAGGCTGACGCGAGTGTGTTGCCACCACCACCATCGCTGATGCTGATGATGATGTTGGCGAGAGATGGGCTAGGCTAGGCAGCAGCAGGAGGGTCTCGTCCGTGTGTGCCTGTTTCAGGACAGAAACCCGTCGGGCGTGTGATGTGTAGAGATCTTCCTGTGTTCCCCCAAATCGCTGGCATTTGCTCATCCTCATCATCAGCCTCATCCCGTCGGCTGTCGGACGAGGCCGAGAAAGAAGCCGGCCTGCCTACCTGACTCACAGTAGGTCTTCGGGCTGGCGGTGGCCCAGCCCGGCCCAGTCCCTCGGCCCCGACCCGTTCCGATGGGGAAGAGCGTCTCCGCCTGCTGATGAAGGTGTCGCATTCATCATCATTGTTGATGTGGACAATGTTGATGTTGACATGGCCGTGGAGAGCGACAGACAGGAGAAGCGGAGCGGCTTACGGGTGGTGGCATCTGTGGTATGACTGGGATGCTCGATACTCGTCTGATCCGTCGGCCAGTCACAGCCTGCCAGGGCGTCACACTCGATGCTGGCGACCGCAGGGCTTGGCACTGACTCTGACACTCTCGAGAGCATCTTCGCCCGAGAACCATCACAGGACGGCAGGTGCATGGGCGGTGCGGAGGAGCAGCCGAGAACTACTCAGCCTAATAACAACAACGCAATGAGACAGTACTCGACAATGTGCTGGTAGCTTCACATGCGATGGTCTAGAAGGGCGCGTCGGTTGGTGTTGTTCTGGGTGGTAGGGGTGAGGAGCGCCACATAGCGCAGGGCAGCTCCGCCTTCTGGCAGCACGGCGGACGAGCAGGATGCTGGGCATGTCTTCGATGCCACTGATGTCTAAGACGTTCATGTCCAAGACGTTCATGTCTAAGACGTCGTCGCATGGACTGACTGCGAACGAGTGTGGAGACCTGCAAAAACGAGGTGGCGAGGTGTGGCGAAGGTGGATGGCGATCCGTAGTAGTGGGAACACAGAAGGTATCGCCACCTCAGGCGCGGCGCAGCACACAGCGCAGTTCGGCATCGGCAGGCAGACACGGGGGTCGGGTTGTGGGTGTGCTTGCTGTGCTTGTGTGCTTGTGCTTGTGCTTGTGCTTGCTTGCGCTTGCGAGGAGTCATCGCGCCCGTCCACTTGAAGTCACCACACTCCCCTCATCAACTCTCTCTCCAGCCTGCCACTTTTCCATTTCCACCACATCACCGCCATGAACCTCCCAACTCCATCTCTCACGGCGCGTCGCTGCTAAACCTGGATTTGTATCATTACCCTCCATCCCGAACGCCATTCTCCCTTCCGCTTGCAGCCTCTTGCGCGCGCGCGCTCGCCGCTCTCCCATCTCCCAGCGGGACTGCCGCCTTGTGCCTGGTAGCGGGTGTCGGTGCTTTGTCCACTCAGAGGCGACTCATCTTCGCCACCACATTACTCACTCTCGCCTCGCATACCTTACACCTTACATACTTGACGTCCTCACCTTCCGCACCCTCCTTTCGCCTGCGAGGACGGATCGATTCGCCGCTGCTCCCCCGCTATACCACCCCCCCCCCCCCAGCAGTGCCTTGTCCTCGACGCCGCGGACCCTTCCTGAGCTTGCCTCACGCAACCACCACACCCACCTTTAATCCATTCCTCGCTCTCGACTTAAGTTCCTATCTGGCCACTCCGAATCTCCCCTCAGCCCCGACGGCGACGACTCGACGTAGCAGCTTTCACTAGCCTCCTACTCGTGTCCATCAGCCTTACCACCAGTCAGAATGATCCCCTCTATGCTCTACGAGAAGCGTCCAGTCAGCAGCCCAGTAACTTTCAAGTCCGCCGAATCCAAGACGTTTGGTCTTCAGTGGTAAACACCAGAAGACGATCAACATCTCCAGCCTCCAGAGACATACAACGTCCTCCGTCAGGCTGTACGTTACACCAGCACGATATCGGAAGAGAAGAACATCACTTGGAAGAACTGGGCTTGCTTTGATTGAGACTTCTTGAAGAGGTTGTGCGAGAAAGAAGCTACAGAAGGAGAAGGCTACGACACTACATTTCCTTTTTCGACGATCGACGACTACCTCACAAACATCATATCCGCATTGACACGGGCCTGCAGAGCCCATGTCAGCGCACTCTACTTGATCTTTCACGGCTTTCAGCATTGGAAGGCGTCTCGGATACTCTTATCAAATCGGTCACTTCCTACTGGACATATCTCGCTCTACACGAACAGCATGAACTTGGACTTGGACCACAACACCGCTGACGGTTATGGGCCCTCTTCTGGGCCTTCCGGTCCGTACGAGCCGTCGGTCGCATCGACGGCCTCGTCCTCGCAGGCGTCCGTCTTCTCTGACACCCTGTCAGCCCAGAGCTCCATAGCAACCTCTTTTTCGGATGATTTTCGGAGCAGTCAGGAGGAGGCGCATCGGGATAGGATCTGTGCAAAGGCACAGCTGCGATCTCAAGCGCAGAACAATTGCTTGCAGACGGGCGAATCATTAACGTTGGACAAGTATCTGAGAGGAGGTGCTGCGTGCCCATCCTACGCGGACGTCACCTCAGTACCCGGGCCCCAGCGGCAGCACCCACGACGATGTTCCCTACCCAAGAATCACAAGCCTCCGCCACTTGTACGACAACGCGATCGCAAGATCAACTTTGTCGACAACCTCGTTGGTAAGCACTACGAACCATTTTGACTTGACCAGAACAATCGCTAAGGATGCTTACCCGGAAGACTCTGCTACGCAAATGGTGGAAGTCATCTGGCCTCTCTCAGTCGTGCCATGCAGAGGCGAAGGTAATGGACGCGGCGTTCTGCCGCTTCGTACCTACATCGAGGAGACTCTGCGGAGATCGCGGACGAGCTACTCAACGCTCCAGGTCGCGCTGTACTATCTCATCCTCATCCGGCCACATGTGCCCAAGAGCGACTTCACAATGGAGCAGACGCTAGAGGTCCCTTCAGATCGCGCATTGATGTGTGGTCGCCGGATGTTCCTCGCCGCTCTCATCTTGGCGTCGAAGTACCTACAGGACCGCAATTACTCTGCCAAGGCCTGGAGTAAGATGTCCGGCCTCAGGGTCTGCGAGATCAACACGAACGAGCGCACCTTCCTCAACAAGATCAACTGGAGGCTTCATATCTCGAAACCGACTTTCGAGAAGTGGCAGGAGGTCGTACTTCGCTTCTCGCCCACTCCACCTTCTCCTGGTCAGAGTATCTTGACAGCCTCTACCTGGAAGAGGATGGTGCCGATCTTGACCCCAGAGCTGGACAACGTTCCCTTGACCGAGGCACATCCGCGGCCTCAGCAATCGCCGGAAATGTATCACTTGGCCTCGCCCGCTACGCCAACGCCGACGAGAAGCCTTCTCAAGCCATACTTGGAGTCGACTTCGCAGGAGGGCACCCCGACCCCTACGTCAATGCTACCACGGTTCCTGGAGCCAAGACCAGATATTCAGCCTCCTACTCCAGCGTTGGCCCGCATGGGTCCATTGCCGACTCCGAATATGACGCCTTCTACGATTGGCGCAAGCACTCCTGCAGCGAGCGCTTGCGGTTCTCGTCGACCGTCTATCAGCGGTGCGATGGCGCTGGCACAGAAGACAGGCTTCAATCGTTGCGCATACGATACATGCCCGCCATCTCATGAGAATGGGCCTTCTTTGGCACGAAGGCCTTCGATCATGAGTATGACTTCATCTGGCTCGAGTCCGGAGTCATTGATGTCGGACAACTCGCGCTCTTCTCGTTCTTCCTCGGTATCGTCCATCTCGACAGTCTCCACGAATTCGTCCATGGCGCTACAGCGAGCCTGTCTGGCTCGCCAAGCGACGTGCCGAAATGCTGGACTACCGTCTCTGAAGCTCGTCAAGGAGGAGAGAGAAGGAAGCGCAGCGAAGCCGATCATCCTCGACGATGACATGGAGATAGTCTCCAGTCCATTCATGACGGACTTCTCTGTCAGCGGCAAGGCTCTTAATGCTCCTCATCGCCACAGCCGAAGTGCGAAACATGCATCTCAGCCGGCTCCGATGAGCACCTCTGCTGAGAAGAGCAGGAAGCGTGGTCGCTCCAGTGGCCATCGCCGCTCTGAGCTCCAGGAAGAAGTTCGTTACTTGTTGGAAGAGCATCTCGAGGACGATTTCATGGACGTTGACGATCACGCCGCCTCGCCATCAGATGCTGCGACGTACGCTAGCAACATGCTGGCGCGCGATTACTCTCCTGTAAAGGAAGCTCAGCTACACAACCGCCGGGAGTCGAGCCGCGTACCGGTACAGAAGAATGAGGGCAGGAAACGCACATGTTGCTCTGCCAGCTCAATGTCTATATCACCGGTGCCATTGTATGGCGAAGTCGTGTAGCTTGATTGACATATATGGACTGTGACCACAATATTATTATTATCATCATACGCGCATCATGGGAGGGATGTCGCGAGGGGGATGACAGGACACGGTGTTGACGAGGCGTTCACTGTAGTTGTAATTTGGGTGCTTTTGAGATACCAGCAATTCAAGCTATCTACCACATAATCGACATTTTCCATTCGGCCCACTCTCCCCGGCAGACTTGGACGATGCGCTAGTCTGCAGCAAGGACGTCGTGTACCAATTTTCTTTTTTTCGTTTGGAGAAGACGTGATGATGCATTCAGAATTAATTCCTCAGCCGTCAGCGTTCTCCTCTCATCAGGACTGCCTATCTACAAAGGCGACGAGACTTGGGGAAGAAGAAATCCTGACTGCCTGACTATAAAGTCATTCTTTGGCGCCGCCGCGTGTTTTCGCATCGAATGATTTCTGCGGGTATCGTTTTGATGCTAACAAGTGACGGGGATCGGAAAGGGTTTCGTAGAAAGGTAGAGAGATTCATTAGAGACATTCTGCATCCGCCCTCCTCCTTCTTCCTCCATCAGAAAAGCGAAAAATGCCTTCCTGATGCGTCACGAATATCTAGCAACCCCCCCAAAAAATCATATCAGATCGTCCCTCTCTTTGGAGCCATGAGAAGGATAGGTAGGTCTCACACAGCTTGCGAGGCAACACTCATACGCTCCAGGACCATGCCCTTTTGTCTCGTGAGCATGCCATGCAACGAGCCATTATCGTCGCTCCACTTGGCGAGCTGGAGAGCACCGTCCATCCACGCCATCACATCATCGCCACCTTCCATGAGAAGATCCACGGCATGATTGAAGCCCATCGTCGCCAGCCACTGGAGCTCCGTCTCGGGATATGGATCGTGTTTGCCCTTACAGCCATTCTCCGCCATGCCGGCGGCTTGCTGCAACAGCCGGAGCGAGAAATCACTCGCGTTGCCATTGTGCGATTCCAGGCAGAGCGTGAATGCGAATCGGACCCATCTCGCGACGTTCTTGATTTCTCTTTCCTTTTTCCAGGTGTCGTTGATGATCCGTTGCAGAAGCTGTCTTATCATGTCGGCGTGAGAGTCTTGCGTGGTCTCGTCGAGCTCTCCGTGCACGAGGATGATCAGGTCCGCCAACGTGTCCCAACGACTGACATGCGGCACGTTGATGCATGCCTGGAGTGCTGCATTGAGCTTGTCCCACTGGCGTAGCCGAAGGATACACTCAATTTCGAATTTGAGCATGGAGAAAGCTCGCTCCTGACTCTTTGGATCTTGGACGCTTTCGCTGAGCTTGGCATACAGCGTCTTGAAAGAAGAGATGCGTTGCTGAGCGTGGAGGAAACACTGCGTGGTGTAGTCCGGACTATCTTCAACCGTCCTGCCCAGAACAATCAACGCAGTCGTGGACAGAAATGAACACATCATCCTCCGCTTCTCCAGGCCGTCTTGCTGCATAAGGCCAATATCATCGGGGTGGCAATCCAGAAATCGAGTGCACACATCCAGCATCCTCAGAATATATTCAGGATGAACATGTGCGCAGAGCTTGATCGCTAAATTGTAGGCGTTCTTGCTCCACCACTGCACTTCAGCGCGCCACTTGTCGTTTGGCAGCTGCCGTATCTCCTCGGTATTCTTTGCGGCCACTTCAAAGACTTGAAGCAATTGTTCAGCCACTTCGTTAGCATCTCTACCTTCGCTCCCAACTTCCTTGATGAGCAGTCGCGCAGTACAACGTAACAAGGAAGGCAGATAAACGCCATTCGGCCTCTGATCTAATAGGGCTTCCAGAGCCGCAACTGCGAAACGTCGTGATTCTGATTCCGTAGCTGCTAGTAGACAGGCATAAAGGTGCGTTGGGTCACTCCTCGCAGCCTTTGTCACAACGGCGAGACTGCTTAGGGCCAGATCCTCATCATTCAGTCGAAGCGCTAATTTGAAGGCAAGATAGCGACTGACCGGCTCCTTTCGGGCAGCGGACGGCATGTCGAAGAAGGCTTCTCGTGCAGCATCGAGTTGGTCTTTGTTCAGAGCATTCTGGATGAGACGTCTGCCGATTCGAGCCTTGTTAATGGGGCCAGAATTCTCTAGAAGTGTATGACGGAGCAAGGAGTCCCAGCCAGCTTTCCAGAACAATGCTTGAATCGCATGCGTCGCTCTAGCAGAGAACCGTAGATTCGTACTGCTCGCAATGCTGTCAAGTAGAGCTTTCAGGTCAGAAGACGGGGCGTCCGGCGAGCCTGGGGTTTTGGGTATCATGAACAGAATGTAAGCAACCGTAGCCTTCTCCAGCCAGACCTGAGGAGTTGTCAGCCAGGGAGCACAGAATCTTGTACGCTCGAGATCAGCTTACGCGAGTATCATCGAGACCCGGCAGAAGCCGCGAAACAATGAATGACCTTAGGACTGTTAGTGTAGAAGGCAGCGACACAGCAGAAGCCTTGTGGAATGTCTGCATCACTATTTTAAAATTGCTGTCCGTAAGCACTGAAAGTTTGGTGATTCGCGAGAGGGCAGCCGTAATCTCATCAACATCATCCGGGTTGTTCAAGGCGAGTACCTTGATTTTTGCGATAGGGACTGCAATGCGTGTACGTAGCTCTTGCGTCCGCTCAAGATGTCCTACGACCTCACACGCTCGGTGCCAATTGCTAGGGTTGCTACTTTTCGATAGCTCGTCCACGTAGGCAATTCCAACGCTCAAGAATAGCTCAGCTCGCTCCTGGTAGCTAGCATGCTCCTGGGTCTCAAGGTCGCATTCAGTCAAGGCAGCGAAGGCGCGATCGAACCATTGGATTGCCTGATTGCCTTTTCTGTGCACCGAAAGCGAGTTGCCAATTTCGAGAAAGAGATCAGCTGCCTTCAAGTGCAAGTCGGCTGCTGGTTTGGTCAGATTAATCTTCTTGTACCACAATTCTGTCAGATCTAAGCGGTTTCTCTTCCACTCGCACATGAGTCGCAGAAGGTGGTATTCCCCGGTCAATGCGTGCAGCACGCGCTCGAGTTCAGTGCGCCGATTGTCCTCGGTATGGCTGATCTGCATAAGCGGTGCATCCGAAGCGGTGTCTGCATAGAGGGCGACTCGTTCGAAGGTGGTGACCGCCAGATCAACGTCCTCTACCTCGAGACAAAGCCTGGCCGTGCGTAGGCCAATCTTGAGGACCCGACATGTTTGGTCGCCTTTCTTATTACGACGAAGACGGTGAACCGTCTCTAGTAACAAGAAAGCGAAGAGACGGACCGATGCACCCCAGCGCCGGTCACTGCCTTCCTCTTGCAGAGGAGCTGCCACGCTGTTCCATAACTCTGTGCCCAGGTGCTCGTATGCTCTGGAATTGGCGATCGAGTTGGTAGTCGTGAGGCGCGTTATCTGTTTTCGAAGTTCGGTTTGGAGGTTGGCTGGGAGTTTGCGTCTATCCCTCAAAACTTCGAGAGTCCTCTGCGCGAGATCGGCCGCTTCGTCGTCTAGAGAGAGACCTGCCATGTGGAAGCTGCGACATGCATGATCTGCGCGGAGAGATGATGGTGGTGATGTTTCGCCAGCGCCAAAGATGAAGTGAGGTCAAGACAAGGCGAAGACGCTCGAGGGAGGTCTCCCCTCGTGCCTGCCCAACTTGGAATTACGATAACGGCAGGCACGTCTCGCGCCTACCTGTAGACTAGACAGTAAACCGCCCTCAAGATGCACTTACCTCCAGCTATCTCCACCTTCCACTTCGTCGCATCTGCTCGCTCGCATGTCTCGATCTCCGCATTACTTGAGGTCCCTATATGTCCCTGACTTCATATGGCAATCCGGGGGGACAGACGCCTTGCCTCTGAGGCTGAATACTTGCGGTGGACAGAATTGCGAGAATACCTGTACAACCATATCTGCGTTGTGGTGGGCCCTCTCATCGATGCTGTCGTCTGCCAAGATCAATATTGGTGTCAGATGAGGGAGTTCCAACAGTCAAATCCAGCCTCATGGAGCGCTTTGCTTGTGATAGGTCAAGCAAGAGGCTTATTCTCGGCAGCACCAAACTCGCCAAGAACGATGACCTTCCGCGGACTCCATATCCCACGGTGTCAGCAGAGCGACGTCAGCAAAGTGACGCAACCAAACAGCAGACAGGCACAGCGTCTGCATTGAACTCGTCCTGGTCCTGAACACTGGTCATCGCCGACAGCTGCCGAAATTTTCTCAAGACGGTCCAGGAGACAACTTCTCCGTTCGACGCCAAGGGGCCAAGGTGGCAAGGTGGATGAGAGATGCTCGTGACATAATCTTATACTCGTATCAATTCCATCCCCGCCGTAGGCAGTCCCGCTGAGAGTCTCCTGCTTCGCTCGGGATCACCTGTGCACTGCATGGCAGTATTTGCAACTCTTGTATAATGAGATTCAGATGATTATGCTCCCGAGCAATGTCGGTCATCGATCTCTGCTGGTTGGTGCGTCTCTGGTTGGTGTGCCTACGGCGTGGCATAGAACAACATACCGCATCCCTCTTCCCTGTCATCATGCACATCATCTGCTTCCGCTATTGATTCAGAATGGGGACTTAGCCATTTCCAGGGCTCCATGGAGTGTTCTCGCAGTAGTAGTAGTAGTGTGGCCCTTCCATTGGGAACGTGATGGCTTCGGCGGAACAGGTCCTGGAAAGTGTTGCCAAGGGCGGGGTTTCAAGGCCTACGCCCTACACGTGCCAACATTGGTCACTAGCTCTCCTGACTCCGGCTTGGCGGAGCAATCCGAGCCTTTCTCGCAGCTCTCCGCCAGCCGGTGTACCGTCTGGTGTTTTCTTGTACACACTCCTCCTGCAAACGCCGCCGCCGGCGGCAGCAGAACAATGCGCGACAGCAGTGCAGATGTGTCAAGGATGTCGGTGCCGACCAGTAAAGTCTGCGCCGTCGATCGTGTCACCGGGCAAACGACTGCGACTTGCTGGACAAATGCCTATGGGCCAAGAACACAAGACTTGGCACGAACTTGGCACCAAGCAGCAGAAGTCATAGTCTCGTCCCAAGGGCGCGGCGAGGATGGGCAGCGACGGTGGAGTCCCCGCTGCTGCATAACGTTTAGGAGCCTTTCGATGTCGCTTTCACCTCTGTCGACCATCATCACCACCACCAGCTCGCTGCCGTCGTCACTCAACCGGCTACTACTATGACTGCTCCAGCCTTGACACCGAGAGCGAGTGATCAAGAATCGGCCGACGTATATGCGAGCCATCCGTTTGCGACGCCTACCTCTACCGCCGCCGAATTGCCATCTCCTCCAGAGCCCGCCGCACAGCTGCTCTCTAAGTCGCAACCACACCATGTCCGCGGGTCGAGCACCCGGCCGCCAATGATCAATCGGCCATTATCGGAGGACCACGGCGCCTACTCGCACAAGTCGTCTGCCGTGTCATCGACTGCGAGCAGTCCCATCACCAGTCCCATCTCTTCGATTGACCTAGAAAAGCACGCCATGTCGAGGGAGGCGAGTCCAAAGAAGCAGGGTCGGACTAGCAGAGATCGGCAGAGTAGGCACAGCAGACACAGCAGACACAGCAGATACAGCAGACACAGTCGGGATCGAAGCAGTCGAGATCCAGAGAAAGCTGTGCACAGTCCGCCGCATTTGCATCGCAACAGGAGGCTTGAAGCGGAGCAAATCGCGTATGAATACGATGACGTGGATGAGACCCGGCAGATGCAGGAAGCCAAGGCGGTCAAGATCCTGCTCTATTTCTCCGGTCCATGTGTCGTCTTGTCCTTCTTAAATTCGATATGGACTTTCATTACGGTGATCATCAGCCTGCTGGCGCAACCAGTGCGGCTCTGTGCGCGGAGACCGTCGTTCGGACAACAATTAGGTGGCTTGCTCGGACCGGCTTTGAACCTACAGCTGAAGAGTATCTACACCCCACTACCACCTCACGCAGACGAAGACCTCACCTACCGGCCCGGGTTGCTTGTGGCTGTGCAACTCCTTTCGCCATTCCTCAGCTTGGGCATGATGATTGCTGCCTGGGTTGTTGCTGTATTCTGGATCTCTTCTGCGGTTGTTGGAGATCCGGCTGGCATGGACAAGAGGGACGATGGAAAGGAAACCGTTCTCAGCTTGAGGAATTGGTGGGAACGCTGGCTTGTGAGGAGCATGCGGGAAGAACTGATGATCACCTGAGGCAGGATCTGATCACAGTCGATTTTGGAAGACTTTTGCTGGATATTGATTCGAGGAGATCTTAGCGCGGTGTTGGAGGCGTTTGACAAAGTGATATCCCAAACAGCTGTTATGTACTTGTATTATTGAGAAGGAACTGGCCAAATATATTTTAATATGAGCCGCGAAATTGACAATAAAGACCATTCAACCTGTTCCTCTTCTTTCATTGCATGTTGCCTTCAAGAACGCACGAAAACGAACGTGTCAAAGACACGCAAAATGGTCGATTCTAATACAGAATCGCCTACGTTTTCTTCAGCATTCGAGAGATGCTTGGAGCCATTGCTTGCTCGGGCCCGAGACTTCAACGACGGCGTTCTCATACCTTGGGGGCTGAGCTAAACTAGAGCCACTCGCGTATCGATCGATATTGCAGGGTCTGCTGTGTCTAGGAACGTTGGTGCAACGATGACAAGCCGTCGCAAGACGCCGATTTTCTTTTCTTTTCACAAGGACGAGCGAGTGCAGTGTGTTGTTGAATCTGATGGCCGGCCAATCAGAGCTTGTCATTCGTTGCAGGCGAAATGCTTATAGGCCGCGCTTCGGGCCGCATCTTAATTCAGCTATATATATACCATCATGACGAATTGTCTCATCCAATGACTATTAGAAGCTGACAACAGCTTCTACATCCTCAATGGTCTAGTGGCTATGATTTCCGCTTGTCATAACGACAAGCCGCGGGAGACCAGGGGTGAGTCGATCCACAACCATGTTGCGCTATTCATCAATATTAACGATTCGTCCAGTTCGATTCCCTGTTGGGGAGCTCATCCAGCTATTTTTTTCCTTTTTCCTCGGCTATCGCTATGATATCACAACCAATGTTTTCGCCCCTTTTCCCCCTTCTTTCCTTCACAAATTGTTCTTCAATCTTTTTTCTACTTCATACGAGCAAATACCGATTGAGCTTGAGAACTCCGCCTCTTAGCAAATGCTCTTTGCTCTTTTCGGAAGGCTCTAAGGAAAAGTGACCGTCTCGAGCATTATCCAGCCGAGATAAGAGAGATGGTTTGGATTTCATTCACGGCTTTATTTTCTACATAACGAGGACCGAGATTTCGCTTCGCATGCTTTCACTCCGAGCTCATGTTCGCCGCCGGGGATGGATCAGGGCTGAGGAGAGACCACATGCAAGGTCAAGCAATCCACCATCACAGAACGGACTCTTCCGGTGCCATATGCTCAAGCGGCCAGCGACGCTCTCCTCTGCGTCCCATCTTCATTAAGTCTTTGTACTGATAAGAGGGTCTTGCATTTGTCCCATACCGTCGACATCATAAGATTTATGGCCATCGAGGCCAGCTGCCATCTGAGCATCTTCTAGACGTCGTCCCCTGGGTGAGGCTACTTCTCCCCATCTCCTCAGTCGCGAAAGAATCAGTAGCGAGTTTGGTGCCCCGTCGGTGTCACGAACTGAAAAGAGAGTGATCACGAAGATACTCAGAAAAAATCCCCAAAGTGTATGGATTCCAAAGATGTGGCCCATGTTCTCTATTTCGAGTCCGCTCTTGCCGGAGTATAAGTGCGAACTTCAGCGGAGTGGAACAGTAGTGACCAGATTCTCCGTGAGCTCAAAGCCGCTCCGCTAGCCAATTTTCGACCACGACGGCTCCCTCGCCTTTCTCCTTATAACCGAGCAGAACATCAAGGATAAAGTCTTCATGTGCAGCTCCTTTCTGAACAACCAGTTCGGTCTTGGGATGTGCTTCCTTGAGCGTTGCAGCACTCTTCTGGATGCTGTCGATGAGAACCTCGCCGCCACCGCCCCAGACAAGAAGATTTTCGACAATCTGGTTACGGTCAGGTCAGCCAAGGGCTCCAGCATCTGACACGATTACTTACCTTTGGTAGGCCCGAGTAGAATTGAGAGTCAGCGCGGATGGGCTCGTTGTACTCGTTTGCTGGAGAGTCACCCAAGTACAAAGAAGCCCAGCGACGAGCTGCCTCGGGCGGAAGCATGTCGCTCGTGGCATTGCGCTTCCAGCTATCACCATCTGTCCCAAAACTGGTCCAGGGCGAGATCAAGACTGCTGTCGCCAGTGGCTCGCTGAGCTCTACCTTTGTGATGTCGGGTAGAGGATGCAGGAGGTGAGACATCAGACCAAGCGTCAAGTTGCCTCCTGCGGAATCGCCTCCAATGGCAACCTACGGATACCGCGTCAGCGGAGATATGATGAAGGTGTGGATGTTTAGCACCCGTCTAAACACTCGGACAAAGGAAGTAACTCACTTGACTTGGCTTCTTCCCATGCTTTCCAAGGACCCAGTTCAACGTCTCAACAGCTTGAGATAGCTGCCCCGGATACTGCAGATGCGGCGTGAGCGTATAGTGAACCAGGATGACGCTGACACTTGTCTTCTTGGAGAGTTCCTTCTGAAGATCAAACAGCCACTGGACGTGACCAGGGCTACATGGCAGAGCATAGCCACCTGTGCAGTGTCAGCGCTGGCGAGTTGCACGAGAGCCAGTCAGAGAAGTTGACCGCACCTCCATGAAAATACAGGATGACCTTCTCAGAATTCTTGGGGCCCAACCAATGCAGCTTCAGACCTGAGTTCAGCACGGTGGTCTCGGGCTGGAACTTGTGTTTGGCGGCGAGATCGAGGTAGTTTGCTTCGGTGTTCGCTTGGATGCTCCACTGCTCTTGGGCTACGCTGACGGTAGCGAGATTTTGTCGTAGTGCCTGAACGGTCAGTGCTTGGTCAAAGACGGCCGATGTGTTGGGCGCAGTTGGGGCGGCCTTACCGCGAAAACTAGGTCTTTCAGCGGCTTGTTCGCCTTGGTGGCCACGAAGCCGTAGGTCACGAAACGGTAGGCGACTGCGAATAGGACCTTGGCGATGAGCGGGATGAACAAGAGCTTGTCAAGCAGTGTGGCCTGGGTCCTTGGAGAAGCCATTGCGGCGGAGTATCTCAATCTCAATCTCAATCTCTCTGTATCTCAAAGATGGCGCGGAGAGCTGGTCGTCGCCGAGAACAGGTTGAGAGCGAGGATATTGCATCATCACTAGAATACTACCGTGCCACCACAGTGCACGGCCGAGCTGCATAAGTCCGTTCGTGTTCACGGTCGGCCAATAGAAGCTGATGCCCATCACTCACAACTGCGCACTCCGCTTTAAGGTAACGTGCGAAGCTGCCAGGTGTGGAGGGGGCGGCGAGTCAGTGAGAGTGGAGAGATCTGGGGGTGTGGGCGATGTGGGGTTGTCGGAATATGGAGACACGTGATCTCAACGGTCTCAGACACCCCAATGGAACTGGAACCTCCCAAATGGAGCTGGCTCAGTGGGGCCTGAACTTCCCAAGGAGCTCGCCTGACATCAGCAGAGTCGGACTAGGTAGGTGCCTTTCTTCTTCGTGGTAAAAGGCTCATCATCACCCAAATCGTCCGCAAGCTCCATGACGGCGATCGAGAAGCTGCCCGAGGAGCTCTTGCTCTGCATCCTCGAGCACGTCGACAACCCGGCGCCTTCGACCCTCAAGAACAGACACGAGCCGAGCCTAGAGCTCACTAGCTCGCACGTGCGGCCCTACAAGGAGGTCTCGCTCGTGTCCCAACGATGGCGGCGCATCGTCTTACCACTCCTTTTCAAGTTCTCGCGTCTCCGTCTCCACGTCTCTCCGGAATCCCACTGGTTAGCTTGTGAAGTGTGCGGCGAGCGATCGGAATTCCGACAGGGCAGCTCCTCCCTGCCAAGCAACATCGATGCACATCACGCCGCACTCTTCAAGCACGCACGTGCAGTCGGCGATGGAATTGCCATATCATGTGGAACGTCGGAGGAAAAGCTAGCGGAGGACGCAAGCCTGCAATGGGCCGGTCGCTTCTACCATTGTCTAAAGGACTTTTTGGTGTTCGTACAGGCCAATCAGCTCTCCTCCAGCATCCACAGCTTCGTCCTCATGACGGACCAAACCTACGAGCAGGCCCATGTCCGCTTCCCTCACCAAGACGCCACCACGAAGGATCATCGGTACAGAGCATCGGCGGAGCTTTGGCACCACCTGTTCTCCGTAATTGACCCGGCTCGCGTTGTGCTTGTTGCACCGCCCTCTGATATGGCTGCCCTGACGAATAGTGCCATTGACCGTTTCGGTAAGTAGACCGCTTGATATATCATCTTCCACCCTGCTAATGCCATCTTCTCGAGATGCCGTAGGCGCGTGGGCCTTCTCCGACATGAACTTTCACATCCTCGAAGTGAGCACTCAAAAGCAAGGTGATGTCTCCACGGCGGGCCCGGCCCACCCGAGTGCACTCGACTTCTCGGAGTTATCATACGAACCGCAAGGCTTTCCAGGAGTTGCCGAATCCAGTATCCTCAACATGCGGAGCTGGAGTCATCTGGCGCTCAACGAGGGTTCTTTCCTGAAGGCTTACGGGACATACGAATACTTCGAGAGAGGTCCACCTTCGCTTATATTCTCTATCAAGTCCTGCATAGCTTCCAATACGCAAGACTCCCCGTCCAGACCAAAGCGCCGGACAAAGCTGGAACATCTTCGCTCGGTGACGTATACCGCGCTTTTGCCGTTTGCGGGACATCTCGACTTTCGTGCATTTTTGCCTTATATCGACGAGCTTGACGTGATGATTGCGCCCGGACCAGATTCGAATATCCTCAACGACAAGAGTCGGGTTGGCAAAGCGGAATTGGCAGATTGCTGGCAAGAGTTCTCTTCGGCTTACCATGTCATCACGAGACCCTTCAGAACCTTCGACATACAGCCGGATGGAATGCCGAAACTCCAACGGTTTGTGTGCCGGGACCTGTGGCTCCCTGCGCTCCAGGAGGATTTGGATCACGTTTTCGTACCTCTTTGCTTACCAGTCTGGGCAGAAATGGAGCCTGGCGTCTTTGTGCGGCAACAAGCAGGTCCGCCGGAGCATCTCTGGAACGGCTGACCGGCAGGGCGGCTACCCCGAGGTAGTCAACGCGAGTTGAATCTCGCTGGACAAGGGACCGAGCGCATAAGGCTTGGATCGATTTCTCAAGGGCTGAGTCTGCCGTTTGGTTCGTTTTCTTGAGCAGCGCCATTCAGAGCTGGTCTGAAGCGTATGACGGCGATCTGTGAGAAGTTTAGCCTACGGATGGACATCCAATGAGCGCATTCGATAGCTTACCTGCTTGTCCACAGCATACGCCAAGCTTTCACCATCAGCGCTCCAGCTGAGGCTCGGCTCTGGCATTTTGTCATCCTGGCTTTGTCCATTCGTGACTCCATTGACTTCTGAAGCTGGTCGCCAAATGACTGAGGCTTGAGGTGCATGTCGTACGCCATTCTGACGTCTCAGTAAGTCAGCTGACCAGATCTGCACCAGCTCAGAGTTTCCAACGGCAAGGTATCGTCCACTTGGCGACCATGCCACAGCCAGGGCTGGCCCGTCATCAAGTGACAGCGAGATTAGCTCGCTATATTTGGCTCCCGTATCGGCAGATCGATTGATGCTGTAAACCACGCAGGTGCCATCGACAAAGGCAGCTGCCAGGAGACTCGGGCTCTCTTGATCTGCCGTAGAAATGGCATCATGTGTTGGTCTTTCCCATGGCTTGAACGCAATAGCCGTGGGTTCTTCTGGCAGATCAACTTCCTGGTCCCTTTGCGCACTCCCTTCACTGCTCCGTAATCGAGGGCAAATAATCATCTTCTTTTCCAGACTCGAAGCGAATACTGCAATCTGATGTTGCCCGTCCCAACGAACCTTGTCCCAGTCACGCGTGTCAGGGAGGATACTAGAGTTGTGCGAGATCAGGCCTCGCATCGCGACCGTGCCGGGCTCCACAGCAGCAATCTCCCGCTGCCGACTTTGGTCAACTTGATACATTGCCGAGAGGCCGCCTGCGCCGCAAGCCAGAAACATGTCGTCCTCGATCCACGTGACATCGAGAAGCACATTCTCGAATACCCTCCAGGCAATTGGCTCTCGCTGCGTCTTAGACAGCACGACACCATCGCGTGGGGTCTTCCAGATCTGCACCAAGCCTCGTTGGCCGTTCGTTATCGCTACTAGCAGGTAAGCCGTGTTTGGACTGTACCGCAAGCCCAGTACGACCCCAGGAGGATCCAAAAGCTGAGGCTCGATCTGGAAACAGATCGCTCCTTTCTCCCGATGATGCTCTATTAGCATGTGCGACGCGACGTTGGTTCCGTCAGGGAGCTCCCGGATTCCATTGAAAGCACAGCTTGCTCCCGATCCATCTGGCCGCCATGTACTCGCGGTTACAGTAGTGCCGACTGGTAATGCTGGTTCGTCCACGTGTGTGATCTGAAATAATTGCTCGTCAGTTCTGTCAAGTGAGGCTGGCACAGCCACGCGCCAAGACATCTTGAAAACTTACCTGTCCTGCGTCATCAATGGTATCAGGAACTTGGTAGAAGCGACAGATGGAGTCTCCGACTGTCAAGAGAGTCCTCGTGTTCTTTGGATTCGAGTCTGGGTTCCATGTACTGTGCAGAATGTTGGCGGCTGGCTTGTCGACTTTCCAGTAGATAGTGCTCGTCTTCGGGCCAGCTTTGATTTCAGTCTGAGTTGCAACATCCATGCTATCGTAGCGTTGCACTTCCTCCATTGGTTCTGGTTCAGACTGGACGGTGGGAGACGCAGCGTCGCCCTCTGTCTCCGCCTCGGCATCCCCAGAAGTGGCGTCGACATCCATGGCATCCCGATCACCGTTCACGCGTGCTTCGCTACCTTCGCTCCTCCGCTGACGCTTGGGAGCTGGTGTCGCGAAGTCATCCAGAGGTCTCGCACCCGGGGCGCGAGCCTTGCGCCTGCTGCTTGAGGAAGGCCTCGACGCGGCGCCATTCTCCACGCCCCTCTCTTGCCGTTCTATGCTGTCACGCGCATCTGCGCCCGTCCACCTGAATCGTCTCTCCTGCTTGCGGATGCGTGCTTGTAGCTCGTCGTAGGACAGGCCAGTCTGGATGACTGAGACCAGCTCATTGCGCTGAACGCTCGGGGCGAATGGGTATGTCTCGGGATCGCGGAATTCCTGCGGGCGGTGCCAATCGGTGTAGAAGGCGGTGGCAGCGTTCTCAAAGCCTATTTCCTGAAGATAGCGGAATACCAAGAGGTTAATATGGTCGCTGTGCAAGGCAGCTGCGGCGCCGGACATGCTAGGCGCTTGCTCGCTATCGGCACGGGAGTGGGAATCTGGACCGCATGCACGACTCTCAGGTCGGATCTAAACAAGCCGGGTAGGTCGAGGGTCGGGTCCTCGCACATCCAGAAGGGTTGATGCGGCGCAGCGTCAAAGGGTCCACGAGAGGTCGGTGGATATACGGGCGTGGAGAGCGAGAGCGAGGGCGAGGGCGAGGGCGTGGAGTGTGTGTGTAGAAATGCAGGTTGTGGGTGCGGTGCAGGTGGAAGAGAAGACGCTTGTGCACGGGACCTGGCACTCTCCCAGTTGCGCCAGCGCGGCGGGTAGCTAGCGCGACTGTGCAAACTCTCGTGTGGACGGGTGGCATCCTTCGATCTTGCATCCTCGGATCGCTGCCGGGCGTTTGCGAGGAGACAATTGAAGATGGATGCAAGTCCAATGGCATATATCTATGTAGCATTGTTCCATCCCAGAGCCCGTTCCATTCTATTCCATTCCTTTCCCTTTCCTTTCGTTAACTTCTAGCTTCCTCCCCCCCCCTCAACCACGTGAGCGCGGCAATGGCATCGCGATGGCTCGACGCGAGTGCAGTGCGATGCGATACAACCTGAAGCGGATAAGCAAGCCGTGCAGCCCACAGCAGGTGCCAGTCTCGGAATCGGAATCGGACCGCTCCACAGCGGGAACAACCCTGTGTGCTGCACCACACACGGCGCCGGAGATCCCAAGCGTTAGCGCCGTCCACCAAACACGTCGCGCCAGCAGCCATGCCACGCGCCAATACAGAGTACGGTAGTAGTATTGCTCTCACAGTTCTACCTACTCTATGCTTCTCGGTGCTCACCACCCACTCCTCCACCTCTCGCATCTGCCACCACATCCCATCACATGAGCCGCGTCCAACTCGCCTCATGCCGCGCATCAATCTGCCCCCGCTGACCCGCGCTCTGCTCCTCGTCGTCTTCTCCCTTTCCGCCCTCAACGTCGTGCTGCGGACCAACAAATGGCGGAGCTCCCTCGACTCGACCCCTTCCGCGACCGTCGCCTCCAACTACCTGTCGAGTCCCCGATGGGCCATACCATACCTCGTCCTCATCCCCACGCAGAGCATACGCCATCCTTGGACATTCTTGACTGGCTCCTTAGTGGAGAACAACCTGGTTTCAATCGCTATATCCGCCAGCGTCATCTACTTTGGTGGAAGATATCTTGAACGCGCGTGGGGGAGCAGGGAGTTTGCAAAATTCGTCGCCTTTGTCACAATCATCCCAAACACTGCTACCTTCTTCATCTATGCGCTTTGGCATGCAGTGATTGGGCGCGCGCCCGAATTGTGAGTGCTTCTTCTATTACACGTCGAGATGGAGCTGGAGGCGAGATGGCAGACTAACGGACCTGCGCCAGCCCGACTCCTCTCAATGGCCTCGTCGCTCTGGAAGCTGGCTTCCTCGTATCGCTGAAACAGCTGGTCCCTGAGCACACCGTCTCGATCTTCAAAGGTCTTATCCGCATGCGAATCAAGCATTTCCCTGCCGTCTTTGTTCTCGCCAACATGCTGTCTGGGCCTCTTCTCGGCACAGACACGGCCACATGGTTGAGTTTGTGGGGCTTTCTCACCTCGTGGATCTATCTGCGCTTCTACAGGATCTCGGAAATCACCAGCTCGGCCACTGGAGGCGAGGGTTCCGTCATGAAAGGCGATGCCAGTGACACGTTCGCATTCGTCGCCTTCTTTCCCGACGTTGTGCACCCATTCCTATCGCCAGTCTGCGACGCCATCTACAAAACCTTGGTCCAGCTGAGCGTCTGCACACCATTCTCCGTCGAGGCAATCGAGGCTGGCAACGAAAATGCTGCCTCCCGCTCGGAAGCCGGTCTACCAAGTATCATGAACAGCAGAGGAACTGGCGGTGGCCGCCGAGCAGAAGCAGAGAGGCGACGGGCCCTCGCATTGAAGGCGTTAGACCAGCGCCTGAGTGCTGCCGCTGCAAGTCGCGGGACAAGCCCGTCACAGCCTGTTACCACCGTCCAGGCCACTCTCAGTGCAGATGCAATAGACTCCTCCGTTGGGGGAGAAGCCGTAGAACAGTCTGCAGTAAAGGAGGCGCAGGCATGATTTTGCAAACTTATACCCTCACAGCGCGGTGTTTCGGAGTTCTTCTTTACACAGACGCTGTGGTTGGAAATCGCTGGCTCGAGCTCCTCAGGTGCACCACTCGAAGCCAACCTTACAGTCCTGCTTCTCCAGTCGCGAGGACAAGTCTGCCATTTGTCAAGATTAAATAGCGGAAGTCATGTATCTCCAGGCTCATTGGCGAGCCTCGTGAGCTCCTCGCGTGGTCACCATGTCCCCTGCCAAGGCAAAACGTTTAAGCCGCGCCTGGAAGATGCATCAATGGGGCCAAAGGCTGCAGTGGTCACAGGCTGGTGTCAACTTGGAAGCTGGGTGCAACTTCTTTCTCCTCCCCACTTTACACCACCTCACCGCACTCCATCGGAATCCACTTCCCCACAGCACATGCCTGCCCATATCTCAACCAGTCTCGCCGTCGTCCCTACGCAACCGAGAGGCAGTATGGCGATTTCCGCGAGAGCCGTCTTCAACCTTATGCGCACAAGCAATACGGTCAGCTGCACAACTACGAAGTCTCAGTCTACAGCTCAGAACGCATTCCAACGCTGTCACGAACATCTCTACAAACTCGGGCTCAGGACGTGTGCGAACTCGAAGCGAAAGAGCGTGCTAGGATTGACTTTCGGGCCCAAACACTCGATCGGCAAACGCCTGGAAAACCTCTGCCGGACTCGTTCAGCCTTTGACCCCACTCGAGTTCTTGAACTTCACATCACAGGACAGGTTGGCGAATTGCTCTTGATGCATGATGCTGTCCTCTTGCTGTCTGTCTCCACGCTCTCACACTGTGATCATCAGCCGATAATCCCCGGCTAAGTACTCCCAAATGTCCAACATGCATTGGTCATGTTACTGAACTATCTGTCAACCTATTCCTTCTCATAGTACTCCGTGTCTTCACCAAGGTCTGTTCTCTGTCCATAGCCAGGATCTCTGGCTATAGCTACTGCTCACCAATTCCCGCGCTCTTCTCGCATCCTTCGCTTTGCTTTCCACACCACCAAGACGGGTCATCCGCACTTCTCACGATGTCCGCAATCCCCAACGTTCCGGAAGATATCATCCGCTCTCAGTCCAGTAATGCCGATGCGGCTTTAACACATTTGCTCAAGGCAAAGGAGAGCGCAGTACATGTCGAACACGTCGAGGATGCCTCTAGGCCCAGTACGAACGGCCAAACCAACGGGGTTCATACTAGCAACAGGGTCAAATCAGAATCACCTTGGCTACTACATGACGCACCGGTTGAAAACCAGAGGCACATCAGAGTTATCGTTATTGGAGCAGGGTATTCGGGCGTCTATTGTGGGATTAGGATACCGGAACGAATGAGAAACTGTGAATGTGAGTTCATTGCTCGTCACTGGCACACATACATTGGGTGCCTGCTGATACACACCCTTCAGTGGTCATTTACGAGAAGAATGCCGGTATAGGCGGCACGTGGTATGAGAATCGGTACCCTGGCGCTGCCTGCGATATCCCCTCCCACAGCTATCAATTCAGTTTCAATCCCAAGCCGGACTGGTCAGCATTGTATGCTCCTTCATGGGAGATTCGAGATTATATCCAGGAGACGGCACGCAAATATGGCGCTGATCGGTTTATGAAGCTACAACACGAGGTGAAGGAGTGTACTTGGGACCAGGAAGCTGGAAAGTGGCATGTGGAGGTCAAGAAGCCCGGTGGCGAGAGGTTTGAAGACACCTGCGATGTCCTCATCTCGGCGCGTGGCCTTCTGAACAACAAGCAATGGCCATCGATCGACGGGCTGTGGGACTTCAAGGGTGAGGTCATGCACTCAGCCTCCTGGAACGAAGACTATGATTTCCAGGGCAAAAAGATTGGGATCGTTGGATCTGGCAGTAGTGCCATTCAAATCATCCCCAAACTGCAACAGATGCCCCAGACGCATCTCAATTGCTTCATCCGTAGCAAGACGTGGATCTCGCCACCTCTGGGACAAGGGACAATGGAACAGCTCGGCATGGGCCAACAGCTTCAATTCACATCGGAACAGATTGAAAAGTTTCAAAAGGACCCGGAGGCATGGTTCCGGTTCCGGATGAAGCTGGAAAGTGATGCGAATAAGATCCACGCGCTGACGTTGAAGGGAACGAAGATGCAGGTAGAAGCCCAGAAGGCGTTTGATGAGGGCATGAAGAGTCGACTGAAGAGCAAACCGGAGTACTACGACTGGTTGAGACCGGATTTCGCCCCGGGATGCAGGAGGTTGACGCCTGGCCCCGGATTCCTCGAAGCGCTCGTGCAGGATAACGTGTCTTTTATTCGGGATCGGACCTCTCGGGTCACGGAGAGGGGGATCGTGACCGAGGACGGGAAACTCCACGAGATCGACGTGCTCGTCTGCGCCACGGGGTTCTATGCCAGTGCCGCTCCGCCTTTCAAGGTTTCCGGTCTCGACGGATACACGATGCAGGAACACTGGCACGATCGAGCGACGAATTACCTATCCTTGGCGACGGATGGGTTTCCGAACCACTTCTTCATGCTCGGGCCGAATGGGGCGATTGGGGAAGGAAGCCTGACCATGATGATTGAGAGCACGGGCGATTACATTGTGAAGGCGATTCGAAAATTGCAAAAAGATAATCTCAAGAGCATGGTGATTAAGCCGGCGAGGGTGAGGGACTTCACCCGGTATTGCGATGCGTACTTCGAGGGGACCGTTTACAAGGATGATTGCAACTCCTGTATGGCTTGCTCCCTCCCCCGATTCCACCACATCACCTTCTGAACCGCTACTGATTTCCCAACCAGGGTACCGCAAGAACGGCCAAGGCGTCCCGTCAGAGCATGTCACCGGCCTTTGGCCCGGCAGTACTTTGCATTGCATCGAAGCACTGCGGAGTCCGCGCTGGGAAGACTACGAGTATGAATACATTGCGGAAGAGAACGGGGCCGAGGTGAATCAGATGGGATGGCTAGGGAATGGATGGGGAGTCAATCAGCTGGGATGCAATTTGCGTGAAGAAGATTTGGCCTTCTATCTCATGCCGATGTTCCAAGAACGCGACATCGGCGTCCCCGAAGCGGGAAGGCCGGAAAGCAACGAGCAGTATAGACTGAGGCCTTGGTCGTATTGAGGAGGTTCTGTGCCGCTGCGAAGAGTCGCGAGAGAGATGGATGGCGAGGAAACTAGACGCTCATGTTCCGGCGATATGTTTTGGGGAACAGAACTGCATCCAAAATCGTGATTACAACCGACCAAGTTAGAAGACAATCGCGCCGCCGTCGATCACCATGTCAGCCCCATTGATGTAGCTCCCCGCTCTGCTCGCCAGCAAGACACACATCCCATCCAATTCCCCAACAGCACCCATTCGTCCCATCGGGTTCCGCTCCGCCCAGCTCGCGCGCGCTTCGGCGATATTCCCACCTCCTGCGTTCAGAATCGTATCCATATACCCGGGTGAGAGGGAATTCACCCGGATCCCATGCACCGCCCACTCGGCCGCGAGGGACTTGACGAGCGCGACAACCGCCGCTTTGGAGACATTGTAGCCCACCTGAGCCTGCGGATAATTCACCCGGTGGCCGGAAATCGACGCCGTCAACGTGATCGTGCCGCCCGTCTGGGCCGCTTGCATCTGCCTCGCGACGGCCTGCGCGCACAGGAAGGCGCCGGTGGTGTTGACGTCGAGCGTCTTGCGCCATTGCTCGGGCGTCATGTCCACGGCGTGGTAGCAGCCTACGATGCCCGCGAAGCAGAACAGATGGTCCAGGGAGCCGAGCGTCTGGACGACGGAGGCGACGCCTTCTGCGATTGCTTCGGCGTCCGTGACGTCCACAGAGATGCCGAAGACGCGGGCCTGCGGGAAGTCCTTGGCGAGGGATGCGATGGCGGTTTGGGAGGCGCGGAGAGTGGCTTCCAGATCCCAGAGAGCGAGGCCCGCTGCGCCGTGCTCGAGGAGTGCTCGTGCTGTGGATAATCCAAGAGTACCGGCGCCGCCCGTGACTGGAGGACAACGTCAGTCTGGTTGATTCTGGCTCGAGGTTGTATGTATCGACTGGTCCTGGAGACTCACTCACGACATTCCCCTCCACGGCAAATCTCGCCAATGCTCTCCCTTCGGCATTGAGGTAGTGAGGTAGAGGTGGAGGCGGTCCTGTCATGGATGCTTCGGAGCCATCTGAGAGGCTCATGAACGGAAGCACACGAGAGGAGAGATCGTTCCTGTCGACTGTGTCCGGCATCTTCGCAATTTCGGCCAGGAGTTGAGCGCCGCTTTCGTCTTGTTCGATCAATTCGATCTTCCTAGACGGCGGAGTCGACGAATGTTGTAGTTATTGCTATGTGGAGCACTTATGCCACAGGTATTTCACGTGTCTGTGTTGGGTGCGTCTGCATCTTCTATGACATCTGGGAACTACGTACTCATGCTCGGAGTAGCGACGTTGAAATCTTCCCACAGAGGTGCTCTGTCGCCCCGTCTCGAGCAGGTCCCACATATGCTCCAGCAACTTTGCCGAATGCCGGAATCGTGAACGCAGAGCAAGTGGAGCGTAATGGGCGGTTGTGGCACGTGTCTGACCTACCTGTTTGAGGCAACTCGCGTACAGAATCTCGTCTGTGGTTTCTCATCCTTTGGTGCGGTATGTACATAGTATCTCTACAATGCCGTGCAAGTCCGTCGCCACGCCTATTTCTTTTCTTCCTCTTTCGGCGGCTCTGGCTTTGGTGTTGGTAATTTGAACTGTATGCAAGTCAGCAGCAGGCCACCAAGAAGGTTGAACGTTCAAGTCACACTTACCGTATCTGGCTTGCGGTCGTGTCCTGGTCCAACTTGCTCCCACGCTGCTGTACCTCCCTCGAAGTTTCTGAATGCCTGTGTCAATTCCAGTGGCTCGACAACTATGCGCTTCTTCTCCTCGTCATATCTGATCTCCGTGTATCCCGTCAGAGGGAAGTCTTTCCGCAGGGGGTGTCCATCGAAGCCGTAGTCCGTCATAATCCTCCGCAGATCTGGGTGGTCGACGAAGAAGACGCCAAACAGATCATACACCTCTCGCTCATACCAGTTCGCACCATCGTACAGACTTGTGATCGAAGGGACGGGCGTCGCCTCATCTGCATAAGTCTTTACCCGGATGCGGGCGTTGTGACGGACGGAGAGAAGGTTGTAGACGACTTCGAAGCGCTGATCGCGCGTAGGGAAGTCAACGGCGGTGATGTCGGCAACCATGGTGAACTCGGCGGCGGTGTGGTATTTGAGGAAAGAAAGGGTGGGAATCACGCCGGCCGGAGGGATGTAGATGGTGAGCTCATCTTTCCACACGGAGAACCTGCCCTGGTGTCAATCGGCGAAGGACAAGCGCTGAGAGCATTTCGACGTACTGCTGAATGTATTTGGGTAGACACGAAATCAGGTACTGTCCGTATGCGTGGAGGGATTGGCTCTTCTCCTGGTGTTTATCTCGTGAGGCGTTAGCACGACAGCTGCGCTTCCACTGATCGCTTGCAACATGTATACCGGCTGGGTTTACAATGGGTGCATGGAGCTTCCCAGTCTCGCTCCGCCGTGCATGTCTCATATTGGGCAGGTCGGAGGCGTCGCCGGCCAGCTCTTTCGCCCTCAGTGCTGTAGAGGTGAAGGTCCTGGTTGCGCTTCTCGAGCTCGTGTCGCGGGCGGCAGCGGTCAGAGCAGAGCGCAGCGGCCGCATCAGCGACGAGCGCGCGGCCATGTTCGCTGAGGTGGAGTGAAGGAGAGGAAGGTCGCAAGGTGTTGGGCGGGACAATGTCAATGTCGAGGTCAAGGTCAATGTCTATGCACGCTTGAAGCCATCATCCACCACCTAGCAGCCAGCGCTCCCAAGGTAAGCAGCTCTGATTGGTGGGAAGGCCCGTCCGCGACGCCACGGCGGTCACCTCCCGTTCACTTCCTCGCTCGTTCGCGAACCTCCTTCATCATCAACTTGGACCTTCCACCACCACCACCCCTTCCCCGATCCACCACCGCCCTCTCCGCCCTTCGATCGCCGCCGTCATCTACGCATTTTCCTCCTCTCCCTCGGCACACTGCTGCGTCCTGGCGTTTCACCTCGCGCCCGCCCTGTGCGCATCAACCCGAGCTCATACGCGTTGCACACTCCCGCACCATGTCCCGATCAATACAGGACCAATTCATCGACGATGATGAGGAGGAGGTCTGCCCGCTCTGCGTCGAGGAGTTCGACCTCACAGACAAGGGTTTCCGGCCGTGCCCCTGTGGCTACCAGGTGCGTTCCTGCCATGTCAACCGCCCTCGTCTGCGACTGCTAACACGTGTTTGTAGATATGCCAGTTTTGCTACCACAATGTCAAGACGAATATGAATGGTCTGTGTCCGGCATGCAGACGGCCGTACAACGACGACGACATACAGTACAAGGTCATCACGCCGGAGGAGACTGCAGCACACAAGGCTCGCCAGGCCCAGAAGCAGAAGAAGACCCAACAGGCCCTGCAGAAGGAGAAGCAAAAGGCCGAAGCCGATCATCTTAGCCGAAAGCATCTGGCTGGAATGCGCGTTGTCCAGAAGAACCTGGTCTACGTGACAGGACTGAGTCCTTCCTCTCAGGAAGAGGAGCTCCTCGAGACCCTACGCGGCGACCAGTTCTTCGGCCAGTACGGCAAGATCATCAAGATAGTCGTGAGCAAAGCCAAGGACAACCTCAATCCACACTCGGTCGGAGTCTACGTCACATACGAGCGGAAAGAGGATGCTCAGACCTGTATCAATGCTGTTGATGGGGCCAAAAACGCTGACCGGACGCTGCGGGCCCAATTCGGCACCACCAAGTACTGTTCCGCGTACCTTCGAGGAGACACATGTACGAATCGGAATTGCATGTTCTTGCATGAACCTGGCGAAGCGAATGAGAGCTACTCGCGCGCCGACCTTTCCTCAATGAATGCCAATTCTTCGCAGCATGGCCACGGACGAGCACCGCCTCCCCAGTCACAGCAGCCCATGGCCTCGGCGTCTCAAGCAATGGCCCGCCAGGGCAGCAGCGATCGAATCGGTAGCCCGGCACCGAGCCGGCCAGCATTACCTTCAACTGCCAGTTGGGCCTCGAAACCAGCCCAGTCGAGTCGCGCGGAGAGCCGATCTACAAGTACAACACTCGAGAGTCCTGCACCGACCTCCGCGACTCCGGCTCAGCCTCAAGCTGAACAAGAACCTCCGACTGAAGCACCCCAACCAGCTGAGCTCGAAGAGTCAGCAACGCCATCCGAGACACAAGCTGTGCCGGCGAGACCCCGCAAGACGCCATTGTCTCCCTTGGTTGCCATGGTCAAGAATTTCAAGGCCGAAGACTTCAAGTTGTTCTGGTCGCAATCCTGCTTGCCACCATCCGACTCAGATATCATTAACAGCTATCCACCACTGTTCGACAATAACGGATCGGCGAGAATTCGACTACGTAGGCAGCGGGAAGAGGAGCAACGTCGACTTGAGCAGGAAGCACAGGTCCAAGTCCAAGCTCTCCAGCAACCTCTTCCCGTCGAGCCAGAGGGAGACAACCCAGAGATGTCGGGTAGTCTACAGCTGGGTGGGGAGCCAGAGGAACCACAGAGCGTTAACCCAGCCCAGAGTGCCATTCACCCCCCGGGCGGCCACAATGGCGGCCTAGATCAACAGTTCCAATTTGGCTCCAGCCCCGGCCTGAGTGATCGAGGTATGACTCCTCAGCAACACCAACAAATGCTTCTCCAGACATTCAAGCCGAATGCCCAAGGCGCCTATCCGAATCAGCCCGCCAATTTCCAACAATCATTCTCACAGCAAACCAGCCAGCCTCTCGGGCATCAGCGTAATGTCTCACGATACTCCTTCGCGAACGAGTCCACCGCTTCCGCCGCTGTGAAGCCAGTGGCCAACCCTAAGCTTCTGAATCAGCAGTCATCGATGATGCCGCCGGCGGGTGGAAATCAGTTCGGCGCACAGCATCAGCAACCACACGGACAATTCTATACGAGCAATGTACAAGGCCCGCCACCGGGCCTCAAGACGACAGGAACTCCACCTGTTAGTGGAAACCTCACTTTCGGTCAGGGACACGGTTTCGCAACGGGAGGTTTGCAGTACGGCGCAGGCACCTCGCGCAATCAACAGGACAGTTACTACCGCGACCTGTTGCGTGGTCGTGAGACTGGAGGTGGCGTGGACGCTAAGCGTGAGTTACATTCCTTCCCCAATTACAACAATGCCCATCCAAATGCAGCCTACCAGGCCAGCCAGTCTAACGCCTTCGCCGCCCCACCCTATGCGTCGCTTGGTGCTTATGGTGATGATCAGAGGCAACGCAAGAAGAAGGGGAAAAAGCACAGGCACGCTAACACTTCCTCCTCCTCGGGGGGAGGTGTAGTGGATGTTTCGGCAGACCCCAGCACCAACCATATTCTCCAAGCACGATTGCATCAGGGTGGCGGTCTCGGCGGAGGTGCATTTACTGGTCAACCTGGCGCCCCGAATGGGCTGTACTCTGTCATGCATGGTGGTTACAACGGTCGATGGTAGTTCCAGTGGCGCACTGTTCTCGGTCAGGACTGTATATTGGCGATCATTATTGCTTTTCTGCTTTGCTGAGCAACTAGCTTTAGCTGGGCTCTTTGCATGGTGTTTTCGGAGCCGGGGAAAAGACATACCTGGACCAAGAGCCAAGTGTTGGACATTGGCCAGCGGAGTCGATAATCGAGAAGCCTCATTCAGAAGCGCTGCCTCCATCATGACCATGGTTGGCAAGGCGCCAGTGGGAAAACAGGCGTAGGGGTTGAGTCGAGACCAGCGTTATCCCCCTGTTCACGTCTCGTCATGCCACGGCTTGTACGTATCTCTTCAAGTCCGCACTTTAGTGGCTGATAGATTGACGGAAAGATAGTTTATGGCTCAATGGCTGCTTCTTTCTTCATCCTCACGCGTGACATGACGAGACGTGATCTGATGTACTTTAGACTTTCCAGCGTTTGTTTCTGCGTTGAAGGGCTATTCCGACGGTGGTCAAACACCATGCATGACAGAGGACAGACCATTATACGGTACCTATTTGGACAAGATTGCTGACCTCAAGCTCTAGATGACGCCGACTTCCCTCCACTGGCACCGGCACGACAGCAGAGCATCGCCCTCGATGAGTCTCGCAGATCGACTCCTCCGATTCCACCTGGCTTCGAGGGCCAACTTGCGAACGAGAGCAGGCGGTCTACCCCAACAATCCCTCCCGGACTTTCCAGACCCAATGCTCTACCCGACCTTGAAGGCACCTCTCGTCCCTCCAGTAGAGCTAGTCTGAGGCAAAAGTCTTCGCAGATCTTGCCAGCGCTGCCTCTTCGCCCAGGCACTCCTGCTCGACCTACACCGTCCAGGAAGGGCACTAGAGATGAGTCGGAGATTGCTGCTCCGGAAGAGATGCCTGCGAAGCCGTCCAGGACCACCACGTCTTCCGATCTCAAGAATTCAATTTCTGTACAGGAGGAAGAGAAAGCATCGGCCAGCAAGGAGACAGAACCCACTGAGAACACAGAAGCTGCCTTGGATGTAGCTCGTGATGCTACTGAAGCTGCTAAGGATGCTAGCGAAGCAGCGAAAACCGATGATGCTGACGAACGCGCGACGAAAACTGCCGAGGTGCGCAATACCTCCAGACCAGCACATGCCAGCAAGCAGAAGTCAACCCACGAGCAGGTGATTGTCGAGAAGGACGATGCGAGGCCTTCTCTCGTAACACCAAAGAAGTCTGACAACATCAAAGCCGACACGCCGAAGCGAAAGCATCCTGGCAAGCTCGACATTACAGCTGCCGTCAACAAGCAGGAGCAGGAATTGCCAAACACTGCGACAGGACCTTCGACTACGGCTGGAACTCCTGGTAAGTCTGCGCAAGCTCCTACTCAGGCAGCGGCGTCGAAATTGCCAGAGTCGCCGAGCGTAGCATCTCCAGCCATGAAATCTGGCCCGAGGACACTACGAGTGGTACAGACGCCCACCCCGAAGGCAGAGACGCCTCCTCACACTTTCCCTACCACTTTGCCCAATGCGGCCGTCCACCGATTGCCGTCACGTCAACCTAGCGTTGCTTCCATCAATCTGCCGGGTACGCCGTCCAGCGAGCACGTCTCCATGTCAGATAACATCTCGATGACCTCGACCTCACAATCGCGGGCAAATTCACCACCACTAGCTACGTCTAAGATTGGCACGGCTCCTGTGAGGACGAGGACGAAGAATCAGATGAAGAAGGAGCGACAAGAGCGGGCCAAGACCATGGAGGAAGAGAAGGCTAAGGCTGTAGAAGCGGTCAAGCCTCCGGTCGATGAGCCCGCACAGGAGGCTATTGTGAGCCGCCAAAAGAAGAAGAAGAAGGAGAAGGAAGTCAAGCCGCCCAAGGCAAAGGCTGCTGTCCCTACTACAGCTGAGACGACGCCTACCGCAAGCAGACCCGCGTCACCAGGCAACAAGCCGGCCGTTGAAGCTTCAACGAATGTGGAAATCCCTGCAAGCGTCTCTTTGAAAGAAGCAAAACCTGCAACGCCAACAAACTCCGCGACAGCTACTCCGCAGCCGGCCGCGCAGTCGCCTGCAGGACCTTCTCCACCACCGACTCCGACTCTCACGGCCGCGCAACTCATTGCGGAGCTCAAGGCGTCGGCACCAGAGATTCAGAAGTGCATCGACAGTCTGTTCCGGGTGTCCAACAGCCATCAATTCAAGACTCCATCCAACGTGTCGCACAAGGATCTGCTGAATGGCTGGAAGTCGGACTGGAACATCAAGCTCACCAAGGAGGAAGTCGATACCCTGCTCACGGGCAAAGCGCCTGCCGTGTACCGTGGTGGAGGCGAAGGCGGACCAACTTTCGATCGCCACATGGTTTCGCCCTCTGGCGCACACCTGCGTGCTCTGACCAACGAACTGGAATCTCGTTTCCTGGAACTGGAGAAGGCATTGCGCGACATGCCGGAGGAGCTCCGCTTCCGTCCGTCGAAGCCTCAGAATGAGATGAAACTGCCTTCGTTGGACTTGGAAGAAGTCAAGCGTAAGTTTGAGAATTCCGGTGGTAGGGGTGTCAGCGTCATGGAGCAGATGGTGCAGGATGGCAGCACGATGAAGAAGGGGGCGTTTTTGGTGGACGAAGCAAGTAAGTACATCAATGAGTTCGTGATGCCGCCGGTGACGCCGCCGCCTTCGGCGGGCAGAGGACAGCAGCAGGCGGTGGTGCAGGGCACAGCAGCAGCATCTTCTTCTACTCCGGGACAGCAAGCTGCTGTTTCGGCTGCTGGGGAGGCCGGTGGGAACACAGCAATCCCGAGCGTGGAAATTGCGGAGAGACAGCTGAATGAGGCGAAGCGGGTTGCGGACGAGAAGGAGAATGCTCTGCGGAAGATGATCAAGAAGAACAAGAGGATGCTTGGCCTCTCCTAGGCTGTGTTTTGTTTGGGAGGAGACGAGACACCTTCCCAGTGCGGGTGGTGTCTCTTTTCCGGGTCGGAATGCGTTTTGCGGGATGCATTTGGCGTGGAGAGACGACGACGACGACGGGGCACTACTCACACCGGTGTTTGTACATACTAAGGTAGTCGTTTTGAGCTTCGGTCACCAGAACAGGGGCTAAACTGTTCGTTTTGTAGGAGTTCTTTTTCCGCTATTAAAGGATCAAAGAAATCTTTCCCCTTTTTCCAATTCCATGTCCGTGGAATTCATTCATTACTGATTGGATGGGGATATCGTAGGTGTATATCCTCCCAAGTCGAGTAAGTCATCTTGGTCGTGGCGTCTGCTTCTTCGGTTTCCATGTCATTATCTCGAAAGCCAGTGGATCGTCTCATCAATGATCCGACAATCGCTAATAGTCCTGGGGCGCTCTGGATGGGCTACTGAGAGTGATGGTGATGGGGGGATGTGTACTTTCTCTCTCCGGGGGAGCTGGGAGGCGGGTTGGCATAGCACCTCTGTGGTGGTCCAGAGAGATACCTTCACCAGCAGCACAAAGAAGCCTTCCTTCATGTTCCCTTTGTGCTTCATCTTGCAGCTCAAATGACATCACCCGCTACGAACTCCCGTCGTCTCATACATATACCTCATAATCCAATCCACCTTCTACACGCCGACGGACGGACCAACGACAAGACAACAACGACCATGGCCCGCATCCTCATCACCGGCTCCAGCGACGGCATCGGCCAAGCAGCCGCCCGCCACCTCACCGCCCAAGGCCACCGCGTAACGCTCCACGCACGCAACCCCTCGCGCGCCACGCAAGCCCAAGCACAACTCCCCGGCGCAGAGGCAATCCTCATCGGCGACCTCTCGAATCTCGAAGAAACGAGACGTCTCGCGCGCAAAGCGAACGCCCACGGGCCTTGGGATGCCGTCGTGCACAATGCGGGAATCGCAGAGACTGCAGGCGGCAAGCGGACGGCAGACGGCATGGCCCTGACGTTCCAGGTCAACACGCTCGCGCCGTATGTGCTCACGTCGCTGATGGCGAGGCCGAAGCGTTTGTTGTTTCTGTCTTCCGCGCTGCATGCCGGGGGCGATGCGAGTTTGCGGGATGTGGCGTGGAGGGAGCGGGAGGGGGCGTTTGAGGCTTTTCAGGCGTATGGGGATACGTGAGTTTTTTTGCCCCTTTTCTCTCTCTCACTCTCTCCGCTTCGCTCGTTAGACGCGCGCGAGAATGTCCCAAATCTTTGCCATGCCTTGCTAAAAACCTTCGCCATCCGTTCGGGGTGGGGGGAAAACAGAAAACTTCAAGACATCATGCTCGCGAACGCCGTAGCGCGGTACTGGCCGGACGTGCAGTCCTGCGCCCTCGACCCGGGCTGGATCCAGACGAAAATGGGCGGCGGCGGGGCTCCGGGCACGACGGCGACGCCTGCGCGGGCGATTGCAGATTTCGCGGTCGGGGAGAGTGGCATCACGGGGGACAGGACGGGGGTGTATTTCACTCCGGGAGGGGCGAGGACGCCGCATGCCGCGGCGGCGGATGAGGGGAGGCAGGAGGCGTTGTTGGAGGTCTGTGAGCGGCTTTCGGGCGTGGCGTTTCCGAGGTAGATGAGATGAGATGAGATGAGATGAGGAAGGATGGCCAGGCAGACTGTAGCGGACGGGCTGGAGGGATGGATGGATAGGGAAGGGTATTTATTTAGAGAGGAGGGTTGTTGTGGAAATGCACTACGGTCGGTTTAGATTTTCGTGACGGACATGATTGACAATCTAAGAGCCTCCTACAATCTATTCTGTCCATGTTCGTTGATTCATCTCGGAGACTTCCAAAGCAACATCAGTCAACATACATAAAAATCGCGTCACGCGTTGCGCGCTGGGTATCTTGAAACCTGAACAACAACCGATATTATCGTCCTCCTTCTCCTTGTCGTTCGTCAGAGTAGAGTCGGTCCAATCCACACGGGAGGGAAAGAAGATGTGTCGACGGATAGACGAGACGAGACGAGACCACTCGCTCAACATTGTCGGAGGAGCCACTCGACCGCGCGATCCAGGCGTAGTCCATCCCCGAGGTCCGTCACTCGCAAGGCTTCCTTGGCTTCTCCCGGTGTGAAGCCCATGGACACGATCCGCTTGACCGCCTGGCCGCTCGTGTCCGCGACGCCCGCGCCGAAATGCCTCATCGTGGGGTGGCCCTCCCAGCGCGCCTCGACAATGGTGCTGAACTTGCCGGGAGAGCCCCAGAGCGAGGGCGCGGTCATGGGGGTAGCCGTCGAGTAGCGGCTGCTGGTCGAGCGGGAGGAGCTACTCCGGGCAGAGCGACTGCTATAGGCGCTGTCGCGGCGGGAGACGATACTCATGGCGCGTTCGCAGTCCATGCCGATCAGCGGCAAGCGCTTGTACTCGCTGCTCTGGCGACGCAGTCGGATCTCGGCGGCCAAGGTGGCGACGCGTTGCCGACTGCGCTCTTTCATCTGCAGCTCATGAGGGTCCTGATAGCGCAGCGTGGCGGAGGCGACTTGCGCCTCGTACGACTTGGCCACGGGTTCCTTGAGGAAGTTGGTACGGCTGGAGCTGTACAAGGGTGGTGTCCACTGTGTCCAGCCGAATTTCTTGGCCATGGCGAAGCCTTCTTCATCCTCGGGGCCCATGTGCTGAGCCATGGCGAGGACGACGTGTGGACCAAGAGTGAGTAGGTAAGCGGTCCACTCTTCGAGAGCCTCTCCTTCTCTCTCCGCGTCCCCCTCCTCGATGTTGCACTTGGCAAAGACGCCATATTGACGTGCTTGATCCGCACGCTCATGGTATCCTTGCAACAGGACGGTCATGCAGGTCCAAAGTTCGGTCATGTCAAAGAGCTGTGCCGCCGACAGACCACCCTCGTTCGCCGCGGCAAAGAAATCGGGTGCGTTGAGAAGCACGCTGCTCATGTCAAAATCGAGGTTGGTGTTGACTGTTGCGGAGGTGCCCTGGTTGTTGGCCAAGAGACCGCCCTTCAGCCAGTCCAGCTGCCCCGTAATGTCATCCTCGCGGCCCTTGTTGCAGCCGAAGATCTTGCAGAAGCACCAGATTCTCCAGAAGGCGTCGTCGAAGCGTTGCGCGCTTGCGTGCGAAGGGTCGGCAAGTCCGGCTGCCGTTTCTTTGCGTATGAACGTCTGACAATGCTCGAGGATCAGCTTCTTCAGCCGTGCAATGACCACCACGCCCCGGCGATAGCTCCGCATGTACGAGGTAGGCGTATGTTCTTGTTGTGAAGGCGGCTTTGTCGAACTGGCGTCGTTCCTTCCCGCCGGAGGACTCCACTCTCGGAATTCATAAGCCGGGGGAGATTGATTGGAGGCTATGGTCCGGAGTAGGTACATTTCGTTCTCCTTGTAGACTCGGTACATGCCCTTGTTGATGATGGCAGTATTGAAGAGGTCCTCGGGGGTGGTAAGAGAAGACAGAATTTGGAGCAATACATTCTCCGCCGACCTCGTGGGAACGGCCAGTTCAGTTTCAGTGCTCTCGTCTGCTTCGAGGATCGTCTCAGGCTGGTCTGAGATTTCGTCGGTAGCATGCTCGGACATATTCTCTGGATGCACTTCGTCTGCGCGTTCAGGAACCTCTCCAGGATGAGCATTGGCAGTGATGCTTGGAACGGGTGATCTGAGAGCTTCAGACTGCTGTAGTTGGGCAATGTGCGGCAACCCCGGTTTACTCGATGATTTTGTGGGGGATGAGTCTGTTGATCCGCCGCAGCGATGGATACTAGCGGCTTTGCGGACTGGGGTGATATCGGACAGGGGTGCAGCAGCCTTGAGCTCAGCATCTGATCGTCGCCTTGCAGGAAGGTGAGGAGCGGGGATGTACTCAGAGTTGCTCGTCTGTTTCGGAGCACACCACTCTCTCTTTCTAGAGCGTTTGGGGATTACGGGTGCACAAACCGGAGGCTGCATGATCTCCCGGACACTACTCTTTCGTCTGATGATTCCTGAAGAGTCCGTTTGATCCTTGCTACCACTTCTGCGCTTGCATTTGGGGGAGAGAGCAGCCAGCTGATACCGCAAGTCTTGCTCCGCTTGACTCAACGTGGGACTGGGTACGCCTTGGTTGTACGGAGAAGCACGCAAGAAGTTCCTGTCGCAGTCATCGAGCTCATTTACCGAACGCGTTGGTCGGAACAGTTTGTATGATAATCCATCCGGATTCGGGCTTGCACGAAGCAAGATGCCCGCACGATGGGGCTTGGGCTTTGATGGCAGCTCTACCGCATCCGAATGCTTTTCAGGTTCTGCTTCAGCTGCCGGTATTGGTGGGAGCGGCTTGCTGTCGAGCGACGAAGGGGTACTCGACCGCTCCATACTAGTGGCTGAGCTGCGACGGCTGTGCCCAGTCGAGGACTCGTTCCGAGCGGAACTGTTAGAGCTCGTGGAACGGGACTCTAGGAAATTCTCCCCAGCGTTGCTGGATGGTTTGTTCGGCCGAGATGGAGGAGAAACCGGACAGCCAACATCCATGGCCAGACCCAGGGTCTTCCGTGCCTTCTCCGGTACCATGCCTTGCGGTCGGGAGAATTTGGACGACGGATTTGCCAAAGCAGCAAGCCGACGAGGCTGCGGTTGCCAGATGGCTGGGATCTTTTCCGAAGCGTCCCCGGGGATGATGACGGACAGATGAGGCTTCTCGGCTGGACGGAATGGAGTGAATCCAATCTCTTCTTCCACCTCTACCACCTGCTTGTGGCTGTCCATGACATCCTCATCCCAATGCACGATGCCATCTACCCAAACGCCCACACGGTTGTCCATGTCCTTCCGCTTCCTCGATCTAGCCTGCTGAGATAGTGAGGTAGTGCCACAGGATTCGATGTCTTGCAGTGAAGGTAGGCTGAGCTCTGAGTGGAAGCTGAGAGCTTTCAACGTAGGCGGATGCTCGCTGATGGCACAGAGGATCTCGTCGTTTGGGCTGGTAGCCATTTCCTCCTCAAGAGGACTCATCTGAATTGTCCTGGCCGGCGGCACGGCGTTGAGGATGGTTCCTTTGGGTGACCTCAGGCTGATCTTCTTCGGAGACCTGCGACTGCTCGTTCTCGACATTTCGGCAAGGTCACCAGCGGACCAAGAGATGGCTCTCTTGGACAGCTTGCTTTTGGTGTCACTGGCTGACTCTGGGGTTTCGTCTTTCGAAGACGAGGAGCTGGACTCTTTGGGGGAGCTTACGCTGCCGGACCTCGACTTGGGGGGCGCGCAGACGCTCCTCGTCTTCTCCAGCCAACCCTTCTGCTTCTCGTTGCTGGTCCTTGCCGCGGGGAGGGGCGCCTGAGGGATGGAAGGGGCCGTGGATTCGGGGGAAGAGGTTCCTTTCCGGCTGAAGATGGAAATGCTGCGCCTGAATTGGTTGGTGAGTCTCGAGTCCGAGTCGTCTTGAAAGGCAGACCTGGCCATGGAGTCGATGGAAAGATGGTAAGCCATGATCTTGGAGATATCGGTCGAGGTGGTGAGATGCGGGAAATCCGACGACGACAGGGTGGATTTGTGGGTAGTCGGTGGTGCGAGGAGAAGCGGAAGACGTGTATAGGCAACGCGGCCTGCTTGTGGTGACTGCAAGCGGTAGCAAGGATGGAGTTGATGCTATGCTGCTGGCTCTCCACGATTCCGTCCGGATGGTGGGATTTCAGCTGACGACGACGACCATGTACCGAGTAGAGGTGGTGAGACGATGAAACATGCGGGCGGAGGAGAGGATGATGGTCATGTTGGGTGCATAGGATAGAGGCGCAGCGGATGGGTGGGACAGCATGAGGATAAGAGAGGAGGGAGGGCGAGAAGGGAAGGGCAAGGACAGGACAGGACAGGACAGGACAGGTCAGGTCAGGTCAGGTCAGACAGGCCAGCTATATCCGACGGGCGAGGAATGGCATCGCGGCATCGCATGGCCGGGCATGGCGGAGCAGAGCAGAGCAGAGCAGAGCAGAGCAGAGCAGAGCAGAGCATGGCAGAAGATGGGCGGAGCAGGGCGAGGCATGGCATGGCAGGGCATGGCAGAGCGAGGCATGGCATGGCATGGCATGGCATGTTGGTCTGGAATCGGGAGCGTCGTCGGTCTTGGAAGGACACAACTCTACACGTGTAGGAGAGGAGGATGCGAGACAGATCGGGGGATAAATTTGGGACAAGGCAAGGCGTGCAGGGTTATCAGCCCGAGCGGCTCCGCTAGCAACACCTCAAGCCTGTCGCCGCCTCGGGCAGAAGAGTTCAGCGGAAGAACTTCACCATTCACCCGTACGGAGCGTATCGCTGATCCGTACGGAGCGTCTCCTTCACCCCGACTCTCTCATCGCTAGCACGCCATTAGCAGTCTGTTAGCAGTGTCTTAGCGCGTCGGCTCCCTCCGTACACCGCCCGGCACGCCGCCGCTGTCCACTCCCATTATTGTGTTAGGTTGTCGTGGCCATCAAATTTGCAGTGGTGGGCGTCGGCGACTTTCGCACAGCGCAATTGTTATGATGATGATGATTATCATTATTCCTCATACAGTAACAACCCACCAAACAACCCTTGCACCGCTCGCACCGTTCGCACCGCTCTGTGGAGGCCAATGACAAGTGCCATTATTAATGGAGCCATCTGGTATCTCTCGTGCGAACCGTTCGGTCCAGGGCCAAGTAGCCGCTGCGTGACATGCATGTCTCGATGACTTCTTGCCGGCCCAGCCGTAGGTAGCTCTCCACTGATCTCGCCTCTCGGTCTCGCCCTCGCCTCTCGGCGTCCGATTGTGGTAACTGAACCATCCAGGACCCCGCAAACGCAAGCAGTGCCTCCGGAGTCCGGGGGAACAAGAATCCAACCCTTCGCCTCTCCATCTCCGATTTCACCGCTGTCCCCTCGACATGCATCCATCGCCCGCCTATCGTTCATCACTCCTCCAGCAGCTTGATCCTCCCATCATCGCTGTCACCCGCCTCGCACAAGCCTGCCCTCTGCCCTCTCGAAACCCGCGTCATCGTCGTCGACCAGCATCAAGCTCCCGTCCCCTACACAACTGGGAGCCTACCTATTCTCGGAGCGATGCGTCGCACAGTATCAGGATTCGCTCCGTCGCTAAGAATGACACGACAACACTTGGAGAGGGCACAGCCAACGTGTGGTGTGACCGCCCTGGCCAACGAGCTGACCACTCGCCAACTTGTCGCTGGCTATTTATTCGATTTAAGCTCCGTGCCGGAAGGGGGGGTTTTTTTTTGGCCTGCTGTTGCCCGTGCTTGGAGCGGACCGGCCTCTCCGCTGTGCGAATCGTGAACATCACCTCTTCCTGAACCTCTCCTGAACCTCTCCAAGTCTCTCGCACGTAATGTCTACATGCTACCACAGACACGATCATGGCATAGGACTTCTCGGTAGGTTTCCACAAACCCTTCTTTGCGCAGGATGCGTTGGACAGATGCGCAATTTCAATGCCATCACACCAGAGTGGAGCATCTCGACAAGCTGAGTTCCACCTCGTCGTCGACGAACGACCCGATCATCCACGACCGCTACCCCAGGCGTTCGCGCGCAAGCCGAGCGACTACAAGAGACATGGTCGATGCCGGATATCCCCTTCTCCCGCTGATCTGAATGAAACTGGGCCGAATAATTTCAAACCAATAACGAGAGAATGCAAAGGACATTTGAGATCATGCGAGCGGACGATTTCCTTTAACCATCTAATGCAAGAGGATGGCATTGTCCAGAATTATATGCAAGTCAAGAGGGAATGGCCGGAATTGTATGCAAGTCAAGAGGGACTGCTGGCCGGACCTCGAGTCCAATATTCGACATTTGTAATCCTGGAATAGCCTGGGAGAGAGAATTGCGAAGAATGATGTGGAGACTGTTCGGGATCAACATTTTGACGCCTACTGCGGAGATTTGTTTGTGGGAGCGGCTTTTTCAAGGATGGGCGGAAGTATCGGCGGCCATTGAGCGGGAGATGCACCAACTCGACATTCGTGGGAAGAAGCAGCAGCATGGCGTTCTGTTGGAAGGGTCTGTTATTGATAGGATGTCTGAGTAGATGATACCCACTCTGTTTTAGCACGATGCGCAGCGCGATTCTCCCAGAGCCAGTTATCAGCGTGTGGAGACCTCAGCTGACGGCCACTCCACAGTCCCTTCGTTTCGCAGCGTAGACTTCGCATAGGGAGACGAGTTGAATTGGAGAAGTACATCGTCTAGTGGGCAGACTGCCAACAAAGAATGTCTCGACGTTGTTGCCCATGGAAATAATGTGCAGGTCAACGTGGAGAATCGTGGGGAAGGGTTCAGCCGAAGGTAACCGCTCCCTTGGGACGGACCACCTCACCTCACCTCACCCCGCCTCGTCCTATCTTATCTTTTCTCGAAACATGCTTTGCATTTGACAAAGCTCAGGGAAGAGGCAAGAATGATTCGCCCGTCAATACGTACCAGCGTAAGAGGCATCCTGCCCTCAATTCGGCGACGATACGCCACTCACCCACCGAAAGCCCGGCTGAACCTCCCCACGGACTATGGCACCACTCCACTCCTCCACCACACCTCCAAGGCCGCTCTCGCCCATCCGGAACTGCCTGCTGAAGCTCGAAACGGTACCGCAGAGCGACTCAACCTCTTCCAAGCCATCAACTCCGCCCTGGCTCATGCCCTGCGATCCGACCAACGCGTCCTGCTCTTCGGCGAGGACGTCGCCTTCGGCGGCGTCTTTCGCTGCTCCATGAATCTGGCCTCGGAATTCGGCGAGGCACGCGTCTTCAACACACCCCTCAGCGAGCAAGGCATCGTCGGCTTCGCCATCGGATCCGCGCTCGAAGGCATGAAACCCATCGCCGAGATCCAATTCGCGGATTACGTATTTCCGGCGTTTGATCAGATTGTCAACGAGGGCGCGAAGCGGCGGTACATGTCTGGCACGAATGCCGACGAGCAGAACTGTGGGGGCATGGTGATCCGGATGCCGTGTGGTGGAGTAGGCCACGGCGCACTGTACCATTCTCAGAGTCCGGAATCGCTCTTCACACACGTGCCGGGCTTGCGGGTAGTGGTTCCGCGATCGCCGTCACAGGCAAAGGGCTTGCTCTTGGAAGCCGTCGCGTCTCCGGATCCGGTGATCTTCATGGAGCCCAAGATCTTGTATCGAGCGGCGGTGGAGCACGTCCCCGCGGAGCCCTACACGCTGCCCCTGAGCAAGGCGGAGGTCTTGAAAGAAGGCACGGACGTCACCATCGTCTCGTACGGCACCCCGCTCTATACCTGCCAGAACGCCCTCGCGGCCGCGGAGAAGGATCTCAAATGTTCCGTGGAACTGATCGACCTGCGCACCGTCTATCCCTGGGACCGACCGGCCATCATGCAATCCGTCAACAAGACGGGGCGATGTCTCGTCGTGCACGAGAGCATGGTCAACGCGGGCGTGGGAGCCGAAGTCGCCGCTACGATCCAGGAAGGCTGCTTCCTCCGATTGGAAGCACCCGTCCAGCGCGTGGCGGGCTGGTCGACCCATCCGGGGCTTGCGTACGAGAAGTTCCAGATTCCCGACGTTGCTCGCGTATACGATGCTATCAAGACGGTGCTGGAGTACTGACACACGGATGGTTTTTGATCTAGGAAGCCTGGGAGAACGGAGTCGGACGACCCCAGGCAGGATCATGTGAGATTGTCAGAGCCTCCAAGATCGCCGCGGCGCACTCGGATTCCGCCGCTCGGCCAGAAGAACGCCACCAGACTGGAGGACCTATCCTTTCCTGGTAGCTTCACGCAGAGCACACGCAACGAGAACTCTCTGAGCTATCACATGGGGCTCCTGGAATCTAGCAGTTGACTCCACCAATACTGAGCACGGCTCGCCGAGGCGCACGTCGGCGATGGGATGGAATACGAAAGGAATGGAGATTTCGCGCACGATCAAGTGAGAGCATCTATTCAATCAGCCAAATATATGAGAGGGGTATCTAAAACTCGCATCATCTCATCAACTCTCCAATACTCCTACGCTGTCCCAAGTACATCAGTTGCTGGACAGCACATTGCGTTTCCATACCCAAGCGAAAGCAGCCGCAACACAGACCGTAGCTGTCACTCCAATGTATAACGCCGTGCGATCCACTGCATCCTCCTCGCTCTTCGGAAAGGCTTGCGAAGGGAAGGTGGCGCATTCCGCGAGGTGCACGAAGAATTCCGTAATGGAGGTCCAGTTGACGGAAACGTGCAGAGGCTTCGCCATCTTCAGCTGTTCGCAGTACACGTCCGGCTGCACCTCTGTGCGTTGTACAGCCCGGTCTTGATCCGCTTTCATTGCTGCGTAGACGGACGGCAATCCGCTAAGGCCGGGGTATCTCTGCCGCAGATCGAGGATGTGGGAGAAGCTGTCCGGGTTGCTGCTGTCATATGTACAGCAAATCAGATCGCATGCATCAAGCTTCGCCTGGTTCTCCAGCAACGCCGGCTCCAGCTCGCCGAGCTCTTCCAGGATGAGGTAGCACTGCTTGCCACCTTCAAGCTCCACGCTGTTGACGGCGGTCTGTGGTTTTATCGTAGGGTGGTAAGAGCTGCTGAACGGTCGATTCAAGAAGGCGTTCAGCAGAGCTGATTTGCCGCTTCCGGGTGCTCCGAGAACATAGCAGAGGAAAACAGTCCTCTCTACCCTGCCGGGCTTGTTGCGCCGTTTCCGGGCCTTCGTGACCTTGAGAGCCGGTGTCGTGCCTTTTCCTTCGCCATCGAAACCGAGGTAGGCGAGGTATTCGAGCGTAGTCTTGGGTTCCTCAAAGGTCGTCATACTCCATTGCGCAAGCCAACCCTGCAGCGTGATGTAACCGGCTTCATTGCGCACGGTACAGCTGGGGAACGCATTGTTGATCCAGGAGGTCGGCAGACCTGGTGTGGGTGCAAATAGGGCAGCGAGCTCGGCGTCACTCAATCCGCCGTCATTGTCCTTGTCGTGGAGCAGGAACAGATCAACGAAGAATCGGTATCCTGCCGGAGACAGCTCAGCTGAGGCAAAAGGTGGCACCTCGAACTTCGGATGAAGGAAGTTATCCTTCAAAGACAAGCTGTCGGAATATTGGAATTTCCGGAGAACGATCCATATTGTCTCATGTCGGCCCTTCTCCGCGAACATTTTGTTTAGCTGAATGAAGCCATCGACATCGATGCCCTCAACCACTCTGTCGACCTCGATTGCATCGTCCGTTTCGACAGGTCGTCGAATTGATCTCTTGATATTTGCGAGGTCGTCATTCGACAAAGGCTTGTCGAAGCATTTCAATTGAAAGTCGTGGACCTCCTTGTCATTTAGCAGACCGTCCTGGTCCTTGTCGCACAAGTAGAACACTCTCTTGAGAGCTTCAACCGCCGCTGGCTTCAGACTGCTTTCTTTCGCGTCGTAGATTGGCGCTATGGGATGCGTGACAGCTTTCTGGCAGAGGAAGAAGACCTCGTTGATATTGTGGTGCTCCCGCGCGCTGGTCCGTATACAGCTGTCCAGCTCCTTAAACTCGCCCATCAAAGGCAGCATCTCATCTTCTATTATCTGCGCCGTGCTCGTGCCAGGAGCCAAATCGGTCTTGTTGGAGCATAATACCACTGGGACATTGACGCCGAGTGAACGAAAGTATGGCATCCAGAAGAGCGCAACTCTCTCGTAGCTGTAGTGATCGCTGTAGACGAGCAAGATGACATTGCATTTCCGCAGCTCTTTCCGCAGAGCGTCGCGGTCTTGCGGGAGCGCAGATGTATCGACGATTGTAGTGGTGACATTTTCGGGCGTTCCGAATGTGGGAGGTAGTGTTATAGGCGGGAGTACCGTCTGGATCTTGGATGTAACGAAGGTATCCTTCACCAAGGATGTCAGAAGCGAGGACTTGCCGACGCTCTCGTCGCCGCATATGCAGATTCTGACTGCGATACGGTCAGCTGTGGTGCAGCACAGAGCTGGAGGTGCATCTTGTATGGGTGAACTCACCGGTGGCCATGGCCCATCGCGTTTATCAAAGTGAAGGTTGCTTTGCTCTGTGGAGCAGGTGCTTGACAAGCAGAAGCACCCTGACCCTGTTGCTTGAGGTGGGCAGAAGTCGCGGATCGGAGAACAAGTGACCCGAGAACCTCAGGCTGAGAAGCTCGGGAGCGATCAGACGAGCACTCCTTCTCCGATTCAGCATCATGATGTGGATACAAACATGCACTGCTTCTATCTCGTTGAATACCGGAGCAAGTTGGAGTTGTAAAGGATGTCGATATCAGATGCACGACTACGCGCCAGGAACCACGACTTGATCGCGCGCGTCTAGCTTCACAATGACGCACGAGCGCGGCCTCCACGTGGGTACTAAAGATGGACTAAGTTTCGACAACGATCACGTTTCACATGTGAACGCGGACTCGGAATCGGCTTCTTGGACGAGGTCGACCATCTACCGGTCCTGCTCTGGTCGTCGGTGCAGATACTCTCGGCTAATTCAACGACTCCTTCATTCGCATCGCCGGAGATCTCTGCGCCCTCTACCGACGCGGCTAGTGAGCAGCCATCCTGAGCCTGGGACCGACGCGGAAAACCCCTCACGCACCATGATCGATCGACTCTCCAGCCATTCATACCTCCACTCCAGTGATATCCTAGAGCCAGATATCGCCAAGCCCATCACGGCGACGACGACGGCCTGATCGATGATACCCTCGTTCCGCCTGCACGCTGCCGACCGAGCTCACCCGCTCGTGCACGACAGGCCTACACAATGTTGTAAGCGAACGCCCAGCCCATAGCAGCCCATGACCCTGCCGCCAGCTATCAGTGGGAGCAGCACTGCACCACACCACATCGCGCGAGCAAGCACGCCTGTTGTACTGACGATAAGCCTCAGTGTTCTACCGCCGCCGCCCCGCTACCCAAATGGCAACCTCTATACCGGAATGCCTGCCGGCGGCCAGTTGCTGGAGACGAACAACACGCTGGAACACCCCATCGGCCCCGAGTATCATTTGGTGCTCGGAGAAGGCACGTATACGCTGAAGGACGACCTTCATCTTGCCACGCCGCCTCCCCATCCCAGCGATGCGCCGCAACCCAACAACAATCCCCTCGCGACTACGATCGGTCCACTTACCTCGGGTACCAAGTTATCAATCGTCGCTATTGCGCCCCGACGACCTCCCAATCTCTTTCGAACTTGGACATCGCAAAGTGCCAGATCCAATGTTCCGCCGAGCATACAGGAAGAGGCGCAAAGTCCAAAGAGCGATGCCGGCTCAACAGCCAACGGCTTCGGTCATAAAGCCGCTTTTGGTGACGGCAATCCAGCGTTGATTCCATTACCTACCAAAGCAACGAAGAAAGAGCAGAAAGTGAAGCCCAAGAACAACATCGTCAAGTCGAATTCATCATACGTGTCCCGCGTAATACCACACGAGGCCTTGCAGAAGCGTCTCAGCGACCGCTCATCCGAAGGGCTCTTTGCTTTCGCCAATGTCAATCGCGCTTTCATGTGGCTCGACTTGTCTTCGGAAACAAAAGTCGAGAACATGACCAAAGTGCTCTTCACAAAAGCGCATGCCCTGTGCCACGATGTCAATGCTTCTACAACGGCCAACAACCACATTGATCTGGTTCTGGGCTTTAACACCAGCGATATCATTTGGTATGAGCCAATGTCGCAAAAATATGCTCGAATCAACAAGAATGGCCTTATCAATTCTTCTCCCGTCTTGGCGATAGCCTGGTTACCAAATAAGGAGAATTACTTCGTGGCGGCCCATTCGGACGGCACGCTGGTTGTGTACGACAAGGAAAAGGAAGACGCAGAATTTGTACCGGAAGAGCCGTCGCCGGTAGAGAACGGCAACACAAATGGCAACGGAATTTCTGGGGTCCAGAAATTCCAGGTCAAAAAGTCTGTGCAATCAAAAAATCAGAAGAGCAACCCAGTCGCAGTCTGGAAGATCTCCAACATGAAGGTGAATTCCATTGCCTTCTCCCCAGATGGGCAACTGTTGGCTGTTGTCAGTGAAGATGGCACACTCACCATCATGGACTATATCCAAGAGCGAATCCTGGATGTGTACCGCTCATACTATGGGGCAATGATATGTGTAACTTGGTCGCCGGACGGAAGATATGTTCTAACGGGCGGACAAGACGACGTTGTCAGCATCTGGAGCATGGCGGACCATGCGCTCGTTGCCAGGTGCATAGGCCACGAATCCTGGGTAACAGACGTCAAGTTTGACCCGTGGAGGTGTGACGAGCGCAACTACCGGTTCGGGAGCGTCGGTGAGGATTGCAGATTGCTGCTCTGGGACTTTTCTGTCGGAATGTTGGGTCGGCCGAAGTTGACGAGAGCCAGGGGCAGCGTGAGTATGTTTCCAGGCTCCGAGCACCAAAGAAAGCAGAGCGTGACAACGCTGGGACGACTGAGGAGCAATTCCACCTTGACACGCGAGCAGACCGCTGACGCGTCGGCGGACGAGGAGATGGAGGTGACTCATCCCGTTGATTCGAAGGCGAGCACAGCGGTGCTACCGCCGGTGATGTCGAAGAGCGCAGACGATCATCCGCTGTGCTGGCTGGGATTCGAAGAGCACTGCATCATCACATCGTGTAAAGATGGTGGGTTGTTTTCTCCTTCACTATCACGTTCTATCCTGACCTGAACCGGTCGGTTGGGTTGGTGTTTGGTTGGGAATCTGCAGACCCACACGTCGGGTTGCGCAGGTTACTGCACCGATCTTGTGATGATCCGATCTGTGTAGAATCATGTGCTAACTTGTCTATCTTGTGAACAGGGCATGTGAGAGAGTGGGAGAGACCTGGCGATTCAGGTGTGTAGCGCGGGATGTCCGATGTCCTTTGAGCTCAGGTAACATGGTGGTCGGGAGTGGTCATAGATGACCCCTGGGACTTCGGGAACGTAGCAGAGCGGTGGAGGGCGCTCCGGGTGCAGATGCAGCACGAGAGGTCTGTAACAGACTACCACAGGCATCGCCGTAATCGGCCCATACCGAAGTGGCTGATGAGGCAGGCGATGGTACACTCTTGCGCATTGCGCAACGCGAAGCTGAGTGAGCTACCCTCGTAAGGGCTGCGGGTGTACGGGCAGAAAGCTACGAAACGTGCGCAGAGGACGAGGTGAGGTCTGAAGAGACAGACAGGGTACAGAACATGGCGCTGGGCCGCTGGCTGCCCACGCGCCGCCCAGGGTCGTGGCAGAAAAATTGCGTTGCGCTCGGCGCTCTCAACTCCAAAAATTTCTCCTGGTGTGCTGGTGTTCCTCTCAGCCCGACGTTGGACCATCGGCGAGTAATGGATAATGAGGCATGTTCATCATCAGAGTAGTTTCCCCAACGCGCTGATCGGGCTGGGCCGGGTGGTTCGGAGGGGTGTGGATGATGAGTTTTAGTATGGGTTGCGCTCTGCTGTGTGTGGATACCAGAACAGTCGAGACGGTGCCCCACGCACGGTGGTTGGGTGGAGTGCGTGGATTGTTGGTGGATGGGCAGCGGCAGCGCCGATGGAAGCACAGGAAAGAAAAAAGCTTCCATGCCACATGCCGTTGCCGTCGATCACCTTCTCGATTGGTCTGTGCACTGAGGAATCAAGCCGGCACTTCCGCCTCGGTCATAATTTTTTGGTATCCTTTTCCGACCTAAAACACGTGGACTATGTGGCTCTTATCTCATTTGATGAATTAATTAATGATAGAGTACTATACTATCGCCTCTTTAGTACACAGATTATTAGTAATCTAGTAACTAAGAAGATATATATATATAGCTATAAATAAGAGTATTAATAAAATACTAAATTATTAATACATATAAGTAGTATACTAGAGAGTATTTCTAGTTCTAATTAAAGTATTATTTAGGCCGTCTTATAGAGAGTAGAATAATAATAGTATTAGTAGTACTTTCGAAGTTTTTAAATTTCTCTTAATTCTATAATATATTAGCATTATACTATTAGTAGGAAGGTAGAGATTAAGAGGATATAAGTAGTATCTCTTAAAGTATCTACTATATACTTTATTACTTCTAACTATCTTATATAGATAAGTAGAGTAGTACTAGTAAGACTATAGTATATAGACTAACTAGTCTATATACTAAGAATTAAAGCCGGTACTTCTTTCTCTATTATAACTTAGTATCATTTACCTACCTTACTACACGCCACCTGCCCATCCTCTCTAGATGACCGCGTAGGTATCTACGCTGCTTCCAGGGTTCTAGGAGGTGTACCTTAGGTAATTGCCCCTGCTATCGACTATCTTTTATTTACGAGCAGAGCAGTGTCGGCCAGACTGCAGTGCACGGATTGCACGAGACGGCCCGGCGTCATGTGTTATCGTGTGCGTGCGCCCGGGCACGGCACGAGATGTCGCGACCGACGGGGAAGTGATCGCATGCCCCCCCATCACGTTGTCGTTCATCAAGAATTGCAGACACACACAGACAGCATGCAGCGCTGCAGCTATTGCGTGAGGTGGCCATGGCTTGACAAGTCACATCATCATCCCACGGCGGCCCCAAGACAAGCAGTCACCACTCGATTCTATTCGATGCGATTGCTGAGGTGGACGGTGATACTGCGGTCTTGCTACTGCTGACATTCTTCGGCGGCGCCAATCACAACATTTCCCATCTTATCCACATCCCATTCCCGTGCCCTGCGCCTGAGGTCACTGCTGCGACAGCGCGGTGCCCGGACACGCGCGTTACTCTTAATATCTGCTCATCAATAATTATAATGGTGTTTGCTATTTGCTTGCTCCTTTGATCTCGCCTTTGATCTCGCCCTTCGTTCAAACACCGCCCTCCACCCTCCGCTCAGCAGACTTCCCATACTTGTTATATTCATACGCGCGCCCGACAACACCGGAACGTCGCCGCTTGCCCCGCCCAACGATCGCTTCTAGCTAGCCAAGCTCATCTCTGCGACTTCGACGAGCCCTCCACACGAAATTGCCGGCAGCCTTGCGTAGGACTGCCAGGTCGCAAATCTGGCTGGTAGTCACCCAATACCTCACGCCACTCTGAGCTGGCCAAACTTCTCAGCAGTCCGCACACCCAGCATGGTTCCGACTCCGCGAAGCCACTATGCTGGCTCGCGGAGTAACAAGCCCTGGCTCGAGATCGTCCCGGACACGCGCTTCATTGTCTTCCATGGCACCGAACATGAGTCCAACTCGGTGAAACTAAAAGGAGTGGTGCGTCTCCACACGTCCGAGGCCATTAGCATTCTCAAGCCCAAGGTCAGATTAGAGGGCAAGAGGCGAATACAATGGTGGTTCATGGCAGCCGTGACGGCTGGGGAGCAAGTATGCAAAGGTGTCTTCTGGAATGAGGAGCAGAAGCTGGGTATCGAGAGCGCGCACAAGATCAAGGTATGTCTTTCGGAGGATGCGAGAACAGCAGTGCGACGTCGTCGTCGCACTGCCTTGTCATGGAGACCCTCGCTTGACTCAAAGTATATGCGCTGAACGATTGTCTGCAGGCTGGAACCATAGAATGGCCCTTCGAATTCGAGCTGTCGCCTGCCATGCCAGAGAGCGTGGAAGGACTTCCTCACAACTACATCGTATACCACCTTCACGCGAGTGTCTCGAGACCCGGGTGGAATGCGAAGGACCTCATGGCACAAGAGCACATTCGAATTGTTCGGACCCTGGGTCAAGATAGTATGGAGATGACTCGGTCCAGAGTGAATGCCGACATCTGGGCGAATAAGATTTCATACAGCATCAGCATCCCCACGGATGCTATCGTCTTCGGCACATCGATCACGGCAGACGTGGAGCTATCACCGATTAAGAAAGGACTACGGTTAGGTAAGGTGGAACTTCGCCTGATGGAGACTGTGGTGAAGCGAGTCACTCAAGCAGACGATCCGAATTTGAGAGCGGACAGACAAAAGACGGAGGAAAACGAGGTGGCCAAGGCAGACATGGACTTTCCGGAGGACTCGCGAGTGATGTATGACGACGAATCGATCGACAATCCAGTGCTGGCGGACGAAATGTACAAGTTTCAGGCAACGCTTCCCCTACCAAAGTCCCTGAACGTATGCCGACAAGACGTCGACAACCACAACATCAACGTCTCGCACCGATTCAAGCTGATGGTGAATATTCACAACCCGGAGGGTCATGTCTCGCAACTGGTGTGCAGGCTACCTGTGAAACTGTTCATCTCACCCAATCTGCCGGTCGATGAGAGGAATGAGGTGTCTGCAAGTCCCATCAATGGCGTATCTGAGGGAGAGCTGAATAGGGGTGAAACGCAACTAGTTGCACCACCAGAGTATGGACGTCATCAGCTGGATCAGATGTATAGCGACATCGATGTGAGTGGCTTCATGAGTCGGGCTGGTAGCGGGCCCAACACGCCGGCCGGCATTTTCGCACAGAGTCGGAGAGGCTCGCACGAGAACGTGCTTTCGATCAATGGTGTTGCAGACAGCGACCCGTCGATACATCATGGAAGCGCGATGCCTTCATTGTTGCGCTCGCGGTTAGCGGACCTTCAGGAGAGCAACGGCAATCAGACAGGATATCGCCAATCGCAAGTAACCTCTCGCAACCACAGTCCCTCTGGAGGGAACTCACCTGCACCTGGTATGGAGAGCAATGGCCAGAGCACACACGATCATTCGCCTGAGAGGTGTAGTAGCCACCCGCGACTTGTCAGTCTAGTGCCCAACGGAACTGGATCATATTTTCCATCTACGACCGCTTCTGCGGGTCAGTCGCCGCATGGAAGCGCTCCGTTGTCGCGTAGGGCGTCTGATGAGCACAATCCCGAGATACACGCACAAGACTACGACATGGACAACCTGAGTCGGGTCCCATCGTACGCCGCAGCGCTGCGAACGCCTGGGGCGATCACTCCCTTCACGCAGGGTCCACCGTCCTACGTGGAAGCCACCAGTCGACCTCCCTCCCGCGCAGGAAGTCCGATTCAGCGACCAGGACAGGCACATGTCCGGAGTGGCACCAGTTCTCCACAACCACAACCTTCCGGTACACCCAATGCTCTCGGCGCGCTGGGGAATCTGTCGCTCTCGTCGCCCACGGCACCTCACCCACCTACCCACGAAGAGGCCGACGCGCGGCTCCGAATGCTTCGCGCAAGGACTTAGACGGGCCCTGCGCGGCGGGCAGCACGCCGGACGGCGTCGAGCCTCTCGCAATGCTTCCTTCCTTCGGATCTGGGCTCGGACGGCACAGCTGCGTCGGAGTAGTATGGTAAGGGCAAGGTAGACACGAAGAAGCGAGGGGCATGGCATAGTAGAAATAGAGTTACGGGTTTTGGGAGGGTTCGAAAGTTCTTTTGCGAATGGAGTTTGGTGGTGGGCAAAGGGCAAGGGCAAACGAAACCGAAGCGAAGCGAATAGAAGCGAATTGGGAGCGAGGCCAAAGGGGGGAGGCGTTTCAGGCACGATCACTACTCCGCATTCATCCGTTTGGTTGGGGAGGTGGGTTTGGTTTGGTCCTCTGGCGGTTTTCGTTTCGTTTCGAGAGATCTCACATCATCAAGGGTATGGCGGAAAGGGTTTCGGGAATCTGACGAGGGGTTTTGGGCGTTCATCATCATCATCATCATCATCATACGAGGCAAGCGCCATCGCTATTTATTGTTATACGATAGAGAGAGAGACGGCTTTTCTGGAAAGGACAGCTGGTGGGTTAGAATGGAGACGGGCGTGGTTCTCTTTCGCCGACTGCGCTGAGCAGTGCAATCATCAGACACGAGCGAGAGAAGAAGATGTAGTTTGAGGCAAAGGATGACGAGCTTTGAAAGGTGTCGAAGAATGACACCATTATTAACATTCTCCAGGATGCAGAACAGGGGTGTTGCTCGCTCCATAGTAGTCTTCCTCCCACTTTTCGTCTTGGTTGTTCTCTTGTACAAATCCTCTCCATACAACCCCATGGGTTTGGGTATCATGACGTGTCACCAAAATCAAGATTCCGACAACATGAATCGAACGCTAAATCCATTCTAATTTCTTTCAGGCCGTAGAATGACAAGAAAAAAACAAGCCTTCATCAAGAATCTCACCCACCAAACTTGATCCCCGCGGAGCCAGTCCGAGCGGATGAGTCGGGATGCGTATGACGGACAACCACTACATCCAGAATCCGCTATCTCGTCTCTCTCTCCGTCGCCGATCCTTCTTATCGGACGGTTCTCGGATTTCCACGCGGTAGTCCTGTTTCTTTCTTTGTTCGTAGAGAGATCCTCGTCGTTCCAGGGGTAGCTGCTGCGGTTGAGGTTGAGGTCGTCGGACGGCAGTCACATCTTCGACGTCGTTATCGATGACGACAGTCGAGTAGCGAACAGGTCGATGGATGGATCTTCGCTTTGGCGAAGAGGAAATGGCCGATTCCACGGTGACGATTTCCGGTTGACTATCAGGCGTCCACGATTTGCGCGCCGGAACAGGGTAGGTCTTATCGTAGCTCAGAATCGGGGTCGTTCGGTGTCTGATCTCGCGGGCCATGCTTTGTAGCAGGCCTCGAAGGTGCGCATAGCCATGGGGAATCTCGACACGGACCAGCTTCGAGTCGTCTTTCCGGGTGCTGTAGACTTCTCCACCCTGGTGGTAGACATGGCAAGCGACGTCTTGGGCGAGACCGTGACCGATCTCGCATAGGCGGCCGGTTCGCCGGTAGACTTCGTGTGGGTTGTAGCAGTCGGGACAATGCCGGGCGTGGTTCTCGAAGTAGTACAACGACCAGGCTTCGGTGGATGTCAACGGACGGCTGAGCTTGTCGTCTGCTTTGGGAGCGAAGCTGACACGTTTTGGCGTGGGCGATGGTGGGCTACAGGGAGCGATGTTGGAGGGGCGGTTGTTAGGAAGGAGCTTGACGACAAGCGGGTCGAGCGATTGTCGTCGAGAAGACATGGCGTCTGTGGTGGTAGTCGATGCAGATCGGCTGACTAAGTCGCAGCAGGCGTAGACGAGTCAAGCAGACGGGCGTTGATGTTGTCAACGACGAGGGTGATGTGGTAGTGAGGACGGTGCAATGGAAGGAGGAATAGGTGAGGGTGAAGTGTGGTGTGGAGTGGTGTGGTAGGAGGGTGTCTTGCGTGGTGGAGAGGAGAAGTGTTGGAGCAGAGAATGGGAGGCAGGAAGCAAGAAGCAGGGCGATTCATGGCTTTAAGGGCAGTTTGGTGGGCGGGTGGTGGCCTGGTGTACCTTCACACTTGATCAAGGCAACGACGTCGAGCAGTGCAGTGCCATGCAGTGACGGGAGAGCAGGGGCCAGCAACCATCAACGGGGCAAGGCAGGTGCAAGGCAGGTGCAAGGCAGGTGCGGCAGCGACAGCAACCGCAACGGCAAGAGCAACAGCAACAGCAACAGCAACAGCAACCGCGACCGCGACCGCGACCGCGACAGCAGCAACCAGACAGCAAGAACAGCCTTCCCGACCCGTTTCAGCAGTCACGGATGCAGGAATCGGTCGCAGCTGAACGAGGATGCCTGGTCGAGCGGAGTGCTGATTGGGCACCCACCCAAACTTGCCAGCTTCTGCCCGCGCTGGTTGTGATGTGAGAGAGAGGCGCAAGGCAGCAAAGCCACTTCACACTCCCCACCCGGGTACGCTAAGGCACGTTCCGCTCCACACTCGAAAGGTACATGTGAGGTGCAGTGCAGTGTACAGTGTACTAGTGTGCTAGTACTCCTCATGCTCGCTCAATCACCCATTCGTAAGGTAAGCACACTCGTCTGCTCGCCGCCTCGACAGCATGACCACTCCATCCGGTGCGGTGCGGTGGGGAGACCTCTTCATAGCCTCCCCATAGCCTCCTCATAGCCACCGCGCGGCCCTCCTGCCCTCACCGGTCCCGTCTCCTGCCCCGAGCGAGATGATGCCATCTTCCACCAACTTCTCACAGTGTTCTTGCTCACACATCCCAATGCACCACCGAGTACGTACCTACCCACCCCACATACCCACCGTCCTGGGTTTGCAAACCTGCAGGACATCCGGGATATGTGCATCGCCCGAGCCCTCGCCGCGTGACATCCTCATCTGCATGGTGCTTTGGACAATGGCAAGGCCGCCATCTTGGGCTGCTAGACGGCATTGTCCCTCCCGTTTTCCGTCTGCTCTCCCCCTCGCCCTCGCGATGTGCTGGCCCAAACCCGCGTCCCACCCCTTTCGACACCCTATTCCGCTTTCACATCCGCGCGAGCACTCACCTCCCCTCGACGTCTGCAGCTTCCTTCGCCATGCCGCTCGGGTGAGTCAACACGCAATCCTGCACCTTCCCGCCGAGGACTCATCAGACCATGTGCCGCCGAGAGCCGGATGTGAATTGGTGTCCGACCCCGCCGGCATCACTGGTTGGATGGCCTTACAGCAGATGTGTGAGGCCGCAAGCATGGTACAGCATGCGCCACAACTGGTAATGCACTTCATGCTGCCGGGCCTGCACAGCTGCATCTTGGATCCACCTCGGCCGATTTTCAGAGCTCCGAAGCCTCATCGTCTTCCTTCAACGCACACCCCGTCGTCTGGCCACGCGCACGTTCGTTCGCCTTTCCCTTCGTGTCGCGATGCGATGACCCGACGTGTTGATGCCAAGGAGAAGCTGCCTTCTTCTCCTCAGAAGATGTCGATGGGGACGGGACGTCGCTGCCGTTGACATCATCATCGCCGGCTAAGGTAAGCAAAGCTTAAGGCAGAGCTCAGGTGCTTTCCCTAGATCTGGTTGTTGTTCCCATCTTCTTTCGTCTTGCAAAATATCGAAGACAGGACATTCGATTCTCGAAACTATTTTACCCCCAAGTCGCTGAATCAGCATGCCTCCGAAGAAGGCGAAGAGCCATAGCAAGCCCGCCGTAGAAGCGAAGGACACTCCTCAAGAAGCTCCAGTCACAGCAACAGAGACAGCAGAGCCACCTAAGGATGCTGTCCAGCCTATTGGCGAGTCTCCGAGCTCGCATTGCCGCATTGCTGCACCGCTGACCGCAACAGAGGGCAAATTGGGAGAGCCGATCTCGACCAACGGTGCTATCGGCCACACTAACGATGAGAGCCCAAAAAGTGACAGCAAGGACGAGAATACAGCAGAGAAGGATGTGTCGGATAAGTCATCGGAGCCTTCCTCAAAGAAACGAAAGAATGCTGCGGGATCAGCCAAACCCAAGAAAGAGCCCCGAGTTGGTACCCGTACTCCTTCGGCTCGTAACAGCAGGTCATCATCGCAGCCGTCGCAACAGCAAATATTGGTGTACTTGCTTTCACAGGAGGCCGAAGAGTTTGTTCGTCCCGATGACGAGAAGGAGGATCTCAAGAAAGACGCAAACCTCCGCACGTACACCTCCTCGCTACTGAGCCCGTTCGAAGAGCTCATGTGCGCCGTAATCCTCTCCCGTCCCATTTCGCACACATTGGGAATGCGAACGATCCGTACAATCCTCAACAAACCTTACGAATTCACCACGCCGAAGGCGCTCAAAGATGCAGGGGAGGCGAAGATCTTGGAGGCAATGGACAACGCCCGTACACAACACAGAGGCAAGACCGCGAACGAACTCGCGCTCCTCGCAAGTTTGGTCGTTGACAAGTACACCTCGGACGCAGACAAAGACGGCGCCAAGCTTAAGAAGGTGTTGCTGGATAACGACAACGACTACAACCAGGCATTGGCATCGTTGAAGAAGGAAGTCAAAGGTCTTGGCGCGAATGGCGAGAATATCTTCTTGCGGCGTGCGCAATGGTTTCCAGGCTGGGATGACGCATATCCGTTCATTGATCCAAAGGCCGAGGACGCTTTGCGAAAAGTTGGTCTCCCTCGAGATCGCGAAGGGCTGCGGAGGTTGATCGATCAGCACTGGGCCAAGCTGAACACCAAGAACATGGCGGGTGACGGCGACGCGACGAAGAAGAAGAGAGCATTCTTTGTGGTCCTGGAGAGATGCATCGTGGCTGATCTCGAGCAGAGAATCGATGATGTTCTTGCAGCGGCTGCCGCATGAGGATCTAGCATGACTGCGCTTCTCCAGAAATGTAAGTATGTGTATACATGCAGCTTCCAAATTGATGGCTGGAAAGGGAAGATACCCGAAGGACATGTAGACATGCTGGCCTTTAGGCTGCCGCCTCGAACTAGAACGAGGGGATGTATTCGTGAAATAGCATCAGCTCAAGACTTCCAATCCATCGTATGCATGCACAATGTTGTTTCCACGCTTCCACCAAGGCGAGGAACACGCTGATGCTGGTGCTCTAACGTCGTCAGCTGCAGGAGGAAGAACTGCAAATGATAGTATTGCCATCCATGGCATCCGAATATTTGTTTCCTGTAAGTAAGGAAGCGTCGAGACGGACGTCATCCGCCGCCAGGCAAGCCATCCTTGAACCCGTACGACAACGCACTGACGAGCCAGGGGTGGGTTGATGGCGGAAGAGGAGCGAGACTTGTCGCGCATAGTAGGTCGTCCTTCGAAGCTCATCACACGCACGAAGAGCAGACCTTGAGGTGTTGGAAGTTGAGGTGAAGCTCTCGAGTGCGTCCCCATGTCCCGCCCGCCGAATCATGCAGCACCAGCCCTCACGGCTCCATCTACACCAGCAGTACGCAATGGCTCAACTGCCACCTCCAATACCTCCAATACCTCCACCACCTACCCCTCCAACCCGTCGATGAACAGTAGCGGTCCTCCGCCATCCCCCGGGCCCGGATCAGAACGAGGACGAGCACGAGGACCGCCCAGCATGTCGCGCGCCGAGCGATTCGAGGATGAGAAGCGGCGCATCATGGAGTCTTGCTTCTCCAAGCTCGACCAGAACGGCCAGTTGACGGAGAGCTACATCACACATATTCGCATCATCGAGGATGCCGCGCATCCCTCGTCGCCGCCGCCGCCCGACAGCCCGGAGTCCAACAAGAAGCCGCGCCTGATCATCATCGCGGTGCGGTCTACCGGACGAGTCAGGATGCACAAGGCAAGAGAGAATATGAATGGGAGCTTCAGTATCGGCAAGACTTGGAATATGGAGGAGCTATGTGCCATTGAGTCTTACTCCCACTCCGCTGCGCCTCCCCAGACTGAAAAGGAGGCTCAGTATCGGAATTGGGCTGGCAACGTGGGTTTCACCGTGACCGTCTCCAAGCCGTACTATTGGCAGGCGGGCACCACGAAGGAGAAGGACTTCTTTATCGCCAGTGCGGTCAAGATCTATCGAAAATACACAAAAGGGCAGGTTCCGGAGTTAAAGGGCTTCGACGAGCGGGAGAAGGCAGTGATCTTGGGCGGGACTCCGCAGGCACAACAACAACCGCCGCCTCCTGAACAATCAGCTCCACAAGCTTCGCGGCAGCCCAGCTCGTCTCCAGCTCCAGCACCACCGCAACCCCCTTACGCGCAGAGAGATCAGAGCCAGGAGGGAAGCAGATACCGGCAAAGTCCAGGCCCTCCGCCCAGCATTAGCGATGCAAGACCTTCTAGTGGACCTGGTAGAAGGCCATCCGATTCTCCGGCACGATTCGGACCTCCTCCACAACAGCCTGGTGGATTGGTGCCTGGCGGACCGCGCCCCTCCATGAGTTCTGATCAGCTGCGCGCAAACAGTCGTGACGGCAGGGGAGCAGCGCTTCGCCCCGGGACTTCTCCTGGTGAGCGATCACCAGCCATTCAACGCCCTGTTGGACAGCCTCCACCTTCTCCCATGCGCACTGATGGCTTCGGAAATCCTCCCATGGGAGGTGCACCCTCACCGCTGCGGCCTCAGAGCCCGCCAAGGAAGAGGGAAATGCAAGCAATCGACGGCGCATCTGAGGAACGAAGACCTAGTAATGGCCTTCCTGTGAACGGACTCAATGCAAATGGAGCCAGTCTCTTCAACAGCGCGCGTCAAAGATACCTGGATTACCAGCCACAACCATCGCCAACAACGCCAAAGCCCAGCCAGCTCCCGCCCATCGAGACATCTCAAGCTCCGGCTCCGGCTCAGAATGGCATCCGCAAGGCCCCGACCGATGCACCGCCAGAGAGCGCGCAAAGCGAATCCCCAGCAGGCATCAATTTGGATCATGAGCAAACGATCGGGGGCCTTACTGGCTTTTGGGGACCTGAGCACTCACGTGCTGCCACGCCCACCATTCCACAAGAGCCTGAAGGGTCGGATACGCCGGAGCGCTCGAGATACCGTCCTCAGATGGGAGCGAAGGCATCGCAAAGCAGTGTTGATCTTAGGCCAGCGCCTCTAAGCCAGGCTCGAAACCCATCTTATACCGCGAGCCAAAGACTCATCACCCCGAGAGCGGCGGATGCTTCCGAGAGTAAGCTGCTGCAGTCTCAGAACAAGTCTGAAACTTCTCTGCCTCTTCCTGGCGCGTTTTCGCCGCCATACTCACGATCTACAGTCGATTCCACTCCAGCGGAGGACCCCGAGGAGGACCTAGACGAGACGGAGGCATACCGCCCAGGTCTTGGGCCCATGTTCAAGAAGAAAGCGATTGCTGATCGATTCAAGAAAGCTGCCAATGCTGCGAGTGCTTTCAAGCCACGGCCGGGAGGAGCTGCCGAGAGAATCTTGCAAGCTAAGGCTGAGCGGGACGGCGAGCCAGATGGCATCACCGGAGTTGTACCAAGGCCCGCGAGTCGCCCTGAACACAGGCAGGAGGAAGCACCGGCCACACCAGTGGAGGATCTTTCGGTCCAGGAGATGCAGAAGGACATGCCACCAACACTTGAAGTCAGCTCACCTCAAACTCCTCTGCAATCTCAGCCGGCCGCCCCGTCAGAGGCTCGCAGAAGTGTTGAGTTGTTTGACAGCGTTGCGCATCTTCAGCCAGCAGCTACTCCAGAGCCAGCAATAGCGGACGAAGAAAAGCTAGAGCGCCAGATTCGGCAGCCTCAAGTCAAAAGCAAAAGACGGAGCGCTCAGCAAGAGAAATACCTTGCTGCACTTGACATCGATCGGTCGCTGTTGGAGGGCAAAGGCCTCGATTTCGAGATGACGCTCTCCGATTTTGGCTGGAGCACCGACGTTCTGAAGCCCAAGCAATTGGCCATCCTAGAAGCAGATGTTCGTCGCGAACACGGACAGGTCGAGGCCGGCTCCTGGTTATCACACACTGATGCGGCTCGAGAAGAGAGGGTGGCACACGTTGAGAGCCTGCTCGACAAAGCCATTGCAGAATGTGATGAGCTCGATGGGCTCCTCACTTTGTACAATGTTGAATTGAGCACTCTTAACGATGATATTGCGTTCATTGAGGCCCAGTCCCAAGGTCTACAGGTGCAGTCCGCCAATCAAAAGCTCCTTCAGACGGAACTGCAAACTCTTGTCGACACTATGTCCTTAGATCGGCGAGTTCTTGAGCCAATACGATACGGAGACCTGGCGGATGCCCGCAATCTGGAAGATGTGGAAGGTGCTTTGATTAGACTATACCGCGCAATGCTGCTGATGGACCCCTCGATGTCGTCGCGGCAACGCTCGGCGGTTGGTCTGAGCGAGAACGAAACCTCCAACATGGCCGCATTGAGAGAAAAGAAGGCCACTTATGACCATGAGACGCAGGAGTTCTGCAAACGCTTAATGCAATTCCTCGACACCAAATTCAGCACTTCGATGAATGCTGCAAAGTCCAGAGTCCTACGAGTAACCGGGGGCGGCGGTTTGGCGAAGCTGAACTCCGAAGCATTCACAGAGGCCAGAAATGGCTTGTGGATGTACGTGCCCCTGATTACATTTACAAGGGAGCTGAATCCTCCTGCTTGGCAAACCCTGCTCAGAATGTACTACTCGCGGGCGGCCATTTTGTACAGCGACGCATTCAAGGAGAACCTCTCGAACTGGAAACGCGCAGCCAGGGCAACCACTGGCGAAGATACCGAGATTCTCTTCACTGCACAAGAGAAAGAGGATTCGGCTGGTGGCGGTCTGTCCTCTACGGCACGGAAGCTGACTGTCAAGCGCTCACAGACTTTGGCGAAGACGCTACGAAATGCAGCAAGCGGAGACAAGCATGGCGCATCAGAGCCTAAGCAGCCTGGCGCTATGTCACGTTCGCAGGCATTCGCGGGTGCTCTGGATGAAATGGCACCACTGATGAGTCGCGAACAAAACTTCTTTGTGGATCTCTTCCATGCGCACTCCCTCGAGACAGAGGACTTCGAAGACGCTGTGCACGCGGCGCCGCCTTCCGCCAGGCGAGGCACCAATCTGCTCGACCGGAAGCCCACAGATCCTGACCGAGGTATGGCCCAACTGGTCAACAATACCATGGGCGAGATCTTCGATTTCTTCGGAAAGGAACTCAATAACCTGCTCAACTGGAGCATTTCTGAGGATCCGCTACAAGGTGTAGGTATCATGGCTTGTCTAAGTAGACATGGCTTTTACCTACACGAGAGCAGCCAAGAGTATCTCCTTCAACTGGTCAGAGAGCTGTCAGAGAGGCTGCAGAGCCGATTTAACAAGTTTATCGAGGAGCAGGTGCGTGCCGTCGAAGACACGAAGGTCAAGATCAAGAAGCGCAAGGGCGTCATTGCGTTCATGAAGATGTTTCCTCACTTTTCTGCGGCTGTGGAGAATAACTTTGCGTCGGTCGCTGGCAATGATTACGATAGACCGGCCGAGTGCATGATGGACGTCAGACGGCTTGTGGACGAGGCGTACGAAAGGATCAACCGGGCGATGTTTGATAGTCTCAAGGTCATCGCCAAGGAGAGTCCCGTTGCCGGCGGGCCCTCGATGAAGCAAGCGACGGGCGATGATCCCGAGGACAAGGAAATGCTGAACTATCACATCCTGCTGATCGAGAACATGAATCACTACGTAGAGGAGGTGGATGACGGTACCCGCCAAGGCGTACTCGCCGAGTGGAGAGGCCGCGCGCAGATGGAAAGAGCGGAGGCTCTGGAGGGTTATGTCGCGCGGGTCATCCGGCGACCACTCGGCAAGCTCCTGGTAAGTAATTCAAACTCCGAAGCAAGCGCAGCTGTTTTGCTCCTCAAAAGTCCCCCCAAAAACTGATGATCAATCGCTGCTTAGGACTTCCTCGAATCGGCCGAGTCCATCCTGTCCACCAACGCGAACCCCAGCGCCGTCTCCTCGCGCCCGTCCTACTCCCGCAAGGCCATGCGCACCCTCCTCTCCCAGCACGACGGCAAGGAGATCCGCCGCGGCATCGACACCCTGCGCAAGCGCATCGAAAAGCACTTTGGCGACGCCGACGAGGAGGCCATCTCGCGCACGCTGGTGGGCTACGTGTGCAAGGAATGCGAGCGGGCCTATGAGCGCACCCTGGAGCGGACGGAACGCTTGGCCCGGGAAGTCTATCCGCCCACGGAGGGGGAGAAGAATGTGGAAATTGATTTCTCCCGGGCGGACATTCAGGCTGGATTTCGAAGGTAAGGTAAGTAGTAGTAAACCGGGATTTGGGATTTGCGATTTGGGTGGAAGGGAGGGAGGGAAGAAAAGAGACAGGAATCCAGTCAATGGGTCAGCTTTTTTGTGTTGTTTGTTGGTATCAGAGCAGACCAATCTCGAAGCTGGGTTTGGCGTATTATTAGAGCTTTTTCCTTGCTTCTTTTGCGTCTTCTGTTGTATAGTTTTCTCTTCTGGTTGTTTGGGGGAGGGGGGGCCGTCCTTTTCGAGCGCATCTGAGATCGGCATCGCGGGGAAGAGGAGCGGATTGTACAGCAGATATTGGAATGGCGGATTTGATCTTTTGTGCTCAGTGCTCAAGGGGTTCTGGCCATGGAGTCATGGTCTAAAACGATGATCATTCTCACAATCACGTTCCTCTCCGTCCGTCTCTGGACGCCACTCGAGAAATCTCGTTCAGGAGATCTACCGCGGTAGGGCGATTTCTCCAGTCGCTGGTCATGCAGCACGTGATGATGTTGTTGAGGGTGGAAGAGCATCTGCTGCCGCAGGGTCTCCCCTCTTCCACCAGTCCTTGGTCCGGAAAGGGGAGTAGGCGGCATATGCATTGGATGACTGCGCCGAGTCGCCTATGATGGAAATGGAAATGTCAGCGGCTTGTCAAGTGCTTGCGGAGTTTGTAAAGAGATGATATTTGTGGGTTGAATTACCAAATGTCGGTACTTCTTCCTTGGACCGGTCTAGGACTTGAAGAAGGCGTTATCTCTGGCGGAAGCCATCTGGAATCGCCACTCTGATGCACGACGACGATCTCTGCGAGCCCCGAGTCGCAGCTCTCCGGCGTGGCTACGCAGGCGAAGTTACCGAGGACGATACGCGGATAGAAGCCTTGCTGATGTGAGGAAGTGAGGAAGATGTTCTCGGGTCGTATGTCGAGGTGGCAGAGAGTGTTCCACTCTGGCAGACGGGACATGGGGACTGCAGGATCGCGGATACCGTGATGACATATACAGAGTGCGGCGGAGATAGACTCGAGTACGCGCCAGGCGAAAGCCTCGGGACACTGCTTGCGTTCGCGGATATACCGGTCGATGAAGTCTTGGAGCGTGCCGTAGTCGCAGTGTTCGAGGACGAGGCTGCTGTAGTCGGCCATACCGTCGTAGAAGGAATCGTAGATCTTGATGATGTTGTTGTTTGAATTTCCAGCACCATCGATTTGGAAGAGGGCGTTTCTTTCGGCTGTGGCGCGTTCGCGTGCGAATGGTGTGGTCAGAGGTAGACGCTTCTCGACGAAGAGGTCTTCGGTCAGGCGATCTTCTATAAGGTATGTGCCCGCGTTGATATCCGAAGGTTCGCCCAATGGCTTGATGATGTTGTATGAAGCTTTTCCGGTGTTCAGTGTACTTGAAGGTCTCGAGGGTGTCGAGGTGAAGTCGTCCCTATCAAAGGATGTTAGGTATGGCTCATGGCACAGTGAGTCGCATTGGCAGGATGAGGGAACGCCAGCCGTCTGTGATCTAAGTATCCTACCTGTCATCGATATGCGAATAGTTCTCCCGAGGCGAAGTTCGTGTGTGAGCGTAGCTCCCAGACTGTCGAGTCTCAATTGATGGCGATGGTGTGCTCCTTGGATATGGTGCTGTTTGACGTCTATGCTGATACATGTATGTACTGCTGTATGCTGGCGATGATCTCACGGTCTTTACTCGGATGTCCTCATCGCATGCGGATGGTGGGAACGTTCTGGACGGCTCGTGTCGATCTCGCTGGGGTGCTCGAAGCATTTGGCCCATCGAAAGCGGGCGAATGCTAATCTGAGCGGGAAACGTGAAGCCTTGCTGGTCCATGCTGGCTAATCTGCGAGAGCACACAATGTAAGCGTGTCCCTGTGCTTCTAAGAGAACCTGGAAATTGTGGTTCGTAAGGGCGAGAGCAATGAGAGGTCGACGGAGAGTTCGTTATATCCATACAAAAGACTACACAAGAACGTGTGCACGCAGTGGCATGTGGGAGGGGTAGAAGCTGTTGACATGTGGAAATGCCACTAGACGGTAAGGCATGTGAAGCTTGAATGTCGAGCAGTGAGGAAGTCGTGAGCTTGAGAGCCCGCCATATCTGCGACAGGTGTGAAGGTGCGAACAAGCCGTTTCCACCGATGAGGCTACGTGGCTGGGTAAGATAGCTTCAACAGGGGAAAGCGGGCTCGTGATCAGCATCAGAAGGGCCGACGGCCAAGAATGGGGAGGTGAATGGTCGGGTGAAGTAGGGGAAGTAGGTGAGGTCGAAGTAAGGCGGGTTAAGCTCCAGACACTTTGCTAGCGTGCACCCGCGCACACGGGCCGCAGCGCGCCCCTTGAGCTTGCTCCACGGGCGAGGCATCAAACAAGAAGTTGCGGCTTCCCAGCACACAAGACAGCAATCCACTTCCCTCGCCACGCAACGGCCTTTTTACCTTTCACTACATCGCCAACGCCATCCGGATTCATCGCCACACCCCCGGACATTCCATCCTGCCCTATCTGCGTCCCCATTGAGTGCATACCACTGCCCAGAACCACCGCAGAACCTAGGCTCCGCCAGTCCTTTCTCCATATGGCTGTAAGTTTTGTCTTCACGCGATCTAGAATCAACAGAGCGCAAGCAGTCGCATGCACGCGGCAGCGCAGCAGACGTTCACGACCCGCTGACACTTGCTCACGCAGCAACCACCATCACAACCCCGTGCCTACTCGCAAGCATACCTGCCCAACGGCGCACCCCAACCCAGCGGTCCAGTACCGGGAGCTCGTCCCCTCGAACCCAATCAGGGTCGCGTGCAACAGGTCGGCCATGCACGAGTCTTATGTATCGCCGACGTGCGAGGTAAGATGGACAAGAGAATAGCGCGATGAGCAAGAGCAATGCTTACATGTCATCGAAAGGCAACTTGCGGCAGTTGAACGACCTCGCGCGCAGCGCCAAAGCCGACTACATCATTCACACGGGCGACTTTGGCTTCTACGATGACTCCTCTCTCGAACGCATCGCCGAGAAGACGCTGAAGCACGTAGCCCAGTATTCGCCCCTGCTCCCCGAACACGTCAAGGCCGACATTGCTCGCGCTGGCCCACAGCAGTCCGTCAAGGAACGCTTCCAGCGCGAACACCTCCCCTTGTCGGAGCTCCCTCAATTCCTCAACAAGACCTTTCGGCTCGAAGTTCCCGTGTTTACAGTATGGGGTGCTTGCGAAGACGTCTCGGTCTTGGAGAAGCTGCGGTCACAAGAGTACAAGATCGAGAACCTCCATGTAATCGACGAGTCTCACTCTCGTCTACTTGATGTCGGTGGTGTCAAGCTTCGCCTGCTCGGTCTCGGAGGTGCGGTCGTCATGCATAAGCTCTTTGACAATGGCGAAGGTCGGACAACCATTGCAGGTGGCCAAGGCACCATGTGGACCACCCTCCTGCAAATGGGCGAACTAATAGATACTGCCAATCGCGTCTATGACCCAACGGAAACCAGAGTCCTCGTCACGCATGCCTCTCCGGCTCGTGAGGGCCTCCTCAACCAACTCTCCGTTACGCTGAAGGCCGACTTCTCTATCTCTGCTGGCCTTCATTTCCGATATGGAAGCTCCTACAATGAGTTCTCGGTCAACCCATCCCTTGATCATTACCGCGGCAAGCTCTCTGCTTCCAAGGCTTCCTTTCACGACGTGTGGGAGACTGTCAAGCACGAGGTGGAGCCAGCAGTCGCTGAGAATGAAGCACAACACAAGCTGCTTCAGTTTGCACTTGAGCTGGTGCACAAGATGCCATCCCAAGCAACCGGCGGAAACCCTTTCGGCGGCGGACCAGTCAACGGTGCGGTCGACGAATCCGCGTTCAAAAACATGTGGAATTTCAACCTGGCTGACGCGGCTTTCGGATGGTTGGTATTGGACATCGACAATGGGCGGATCGGAACAGAGATGCGGGCGCAAGGTTTCAACTTTTCCCATCGCTCCGGCAAGAATCCGCAGCAGAGACCTCAGGGCATCCCTCAAGCGCCCGCCAACGCCACGATGGGACCCACTGGAGGCAACCTACCGACTCCTGGCCAGCAGCCGCCGGCAGTGGCACAGCAGCAAACTCGGGGACCTCAAGGTGCACCTTCAGCACAACAGCCAGGCAACCAGCAACGCTCTCAGCAGCCAATTGGCCAGCAGCAACCTCAGCAAGCGAAGCCCGGACAGCAGCAGCCTTCGCCTGCGAACCAGCCTGGTCCTAAGCCTGCCACACCACAAGCGGCCTTGACCGCCAACGGAACAACTGCTCCTGCGGCCAACCTTCCAACAAAGGATGCTCCTCAGACCAACGGCTCTGGTGCAGCAGAGTCAGCGAAGCCAGATACTCCAGTCCACAACAAGCAAGGCAATCAGCAATCCCCACAGCAGCAGGAGCCATCGAAGGGCATCTTCATCACTGGCAACAATCTGACGCTGGCCACCGAAGATGAGGTCAAGGCCCAACTCTTCTCTGCCGAGGATGCCGAGAAGATTCAGAAAGTGGACAAGTCCGGCACGAACAGATGGGTGGCGCACTTCGCTTCGCCTGAAATCATGAGCGAAGTTCTTGCTCATGGTCCGACCAAAGAAGGCGTCGACAAGTACAAGGTTCGATTCGCGCCATTCCGGCAGTTTACAAGCCGAGGCGGACACGGCGCTGGAAACTGGGGCTCTAGCAGAGGGGGCTATCAATCCGCAGGCAACCCTGGCAGCGACAGCGAGTCTGGTCGGGGAGGACGAGGCGGCAGAGGACGAGGCAGAGGCGGATTCCGTGGTCGTGGCCGCGGCGGCAAGGCAGAAGGTGACTCCTAGTGCATGCAGAGGAAGTTCTCTACAAGGTTGTACTCGGAATTGCGTCGCAAAGGATCGGAGGGCGGAGAAGAAAAGGGACACGGGATTGCTTTTGATTATACCAGCCTGCAGCATTCTAACGGGCAAGCGAGCTTCGTTTTCTATGTAGAGATTACAGCGGGCGTCGAGGCATGAGAGTAGTCAGGGAGGCCGGCGACAGAGCAGGCGTATGTACTGGCACGCTCAGCTTCCGTAATCTAATCATTCGCACTGTGTTCGCAATTTTGTATCATACCTCCAAGTCGGTGCCTGAGCGGCTAGATCCGCCCATGACGTTGACTTGTCGTTGCCGTGCCGCTACGAAGCTCACGAGACGATGAACAACTGACTCTTTGCCGCCTCACATCTGCTTTCTTGTTGCACTCAAATTCACACAGAGTTAAGCGTTGTTCTTCGACCAGTACCTGGAACATCACGGCCGACTCCCACGATAATATCCGGATCGGTGAGGCGCAGGCGGGACAAACAAACAAACGACCCGAAGCGAGACGAACAAGAGGTCGCGTGTTGCCTGTTGGACGCGGCACACACGACCTAATCGCCGAGGCGCGGAGCGATGAATTGGAAGAGCAGGATACCATGGCTAGCATTAGCAGGTCTGCTACAGCTGGCTCGGGCGGCCGATCAGCCTGACCTAACCACTCGACACGAAGCTGGGCGATGTGCGCTTCGAGGGCAATGTGGCAAGCAGAGCTTCTTCGGCGGAGAACTGCCATGCCCCGACAATGGGCTTGCGGAAGATCCGACGGACGACGTGAGAGAGAAGCTCGTGTCAATATGCGGCAATGAGTGGGCAAACACCAAGGTCTGCTGTCGAGACGAACAGCTGGATGCGCTGCAGTCGAATTTGGACAAGGCCAAGGGCATCATCTCGTCCTGTCCGGCTTGCAAGAAGAATTTCTACGACCTCTTCTGCACATTCACCTGCTCTCCGGATCAGTCCCTGTTCGTAAACGTGACCGAAACCGTTCCCAAGGGGGACAAGTTCCTCGTCACCGAGCTCGATCATCTTATTAGCAACGGCTATGGCAAAGGCTTCTACGATAGCTGCAAAGACGTCAAGTTTGGTGCCACCGGTGGCAAGGCGATGGATTTCATAGGAGGCGGAGCAAAGAACTACACCAAGTTCTTGCAGTTCCTCGGCGACAAAAAGCTGCTTGGCAGTCCGTTCCAGATCAACTTCCCACGCCCAAGCGAAGGCTTCGAAGGAATGGAGCCTATTTTGGACGGAGCTATACCTTGCAACTCTAGCGACAAAGCGTATCGCTGCGCTTGTGTCGATTGCGAAGGCTCTTGTCCCGAACTGCCCGCCATAACTCAGGAGGAAGAGTGCTACGTGGGACTCATGCCTTGCCTCAGCTTCGGAGTCGTCATTGTCTATTCTGTCTTCATCACTCTGCTTGTTCTGGCGGTTGCTGGTCATGTTGCAGCTATGAAGCGGAGAAAGAGCAAGAACGAACGTTTGCAGCTGTTGCAGGATTCTGCGCCCAGCGACGACGAGGACGAAGGCGACATTGCCAGTGCCGCTGTAATGGATCGGCCGACGAAGCCATACATTGTCAACACTTGGTGTGACCGTATCTTCAGCAACCTCGGCCGACTCTGCTCTCAGTTCCCGGGGATCACAATTGGGACTTCGATTCTCATTATCGGTTTGCTCAGTCTTGGTTGGATCCGATTTGCCGTTGAAACAGATCCCGTCAAGCTCTGGGTAGCCCCAGACTCAGCAGCAGCGACCGAAAAAGAGTTCTTCGACGCTCACTTTGGTCCGTTCTTCCGTACGGAGCAGGCCTTCTTGGTCAACGATACCACCGACGCCGGTCCCTCACCCGTGCTGAGTTACAAAACTCTCGCCTGGTGGTTTGACGTGGAGCGCAGAATTCGAGTGCAAAAGAGCCTTGAGCATGGGTACACGCTGAAGGATGTGTGCTATAACCCTACGGGAGACGCGTGCATTGTCCAGTCCGTCTCAGGGTACTTCACAAGCGCGTCTCTCGACCCAGAGACGTGGGAAGATCAGATTAACAAGTGTTCCGAATCGCCAGGCAATGTTGAATGCTTATCAGAGTCCAAACAGCCGCTGCCCGTGGCGCGCTTGCTTGGTGGCTACAATCGAACCTTGGAATCCGCTTCGGAAGCCACGTCTTTGATAACTACTTGGGTTGTGACCAACTACAATCCTGGCGATCCCGAGCTTGAGAAAGCGGAGGAGTGGGAAGAGAGCCTCAAACGTCTTCTCAAGGATATCCAAAGTGAAGCCTTGGAACGCGGTCTGAGACTGAGCTTCAGCACCGAGATCAGCTTAGAACAAGAGCTGAACAAGAACACGAACACGGACGCGAAGATTGTAGTAGTGAGCTACATCGTCATGTTCATATATGCCTCACTGGCTCTCGGCAGCACCACGGTTACGGTCGGCACGATTTTGCGCAATCCCCTCGGTGCACTTGTACAGAGCAAGTTTATGCTTGGGATTGTTGGCATCGTGATCGTGCTGATGTCTGTCTCCGCGTCTGTTGGCCTCTTCGCAGCCACAGGTGTGAAGGCAACCCTAATCATTGCGGAAGTCATTCCATTCCTGGTACTGGCCGTTGGTGTTGACAACATTTTCTTGATTGTGCACGAGTTTGAGCGTGTCAACATCACCCACGCCGATGAGCCTGTTTCGGAACGCGTCGCCCGAGCACTTGGAAGGATGGGACCTTCAATCCTGCTCTCTGCCTCTACGGAGACAGTAGCCTTTGCTCTTGGGGCCGCTGTTGGCATGCCTGCTGTACGGAACTTCGCGGCATATGCTGCAGGAGCCGTTTTCATCAACGCCCTGCTTCAAGTCACGATGTTTATTTCGGTCCTTGCGCTCAACCAACAACGCGTTGAAGACGGGAGACTCGACTGCATTCCTTGTTTGAAAGTGCAAGGACCCAGTCATCACTTGCCAAACGGATATGGAGGCGCTCCATTCAGCGGCGTCGATGAAGAAGGTGCCCTGACTAAATTCATTCGCAAGCACTACGCTACTGCACTTCTCGGCAACAAGACCAGAGTCGCGATCATCACGGTCTTCCTTGGGTTCTTCGCCGCCGGCATCGCGCTCTTGCCGGAAGTGCCACTTGGCCTGGACCAACGAATAGCACTTCCGTCCGACAGCTACCTCATTGACTACTTCAACGACATGGATCACTATTTCGAGCAAGGCGCTCCTGTCTATTTTGTAGTGAAGAATCTTAACGTCAGCCAGCGAGCACATCAGCAGGACCTTTGCGCGCGATATACCACTTGCAAGCAGTACTCCCTTGCTAACATTCTCGAACAAGAGCGCAAAAGACCACAGTTGAGCTATATCGCTGAAGGAACAGCGAGCTGGATCGACGACTTCTTTCAATGGCTGAATCCTGAGGCAGGCGAGTGCTGTGTACACGGCTCAAAGGCGTGCTTCGAGGACCGGAACCCGCCATGGAACAATACTCTTTATGGCATGCCAGAGGGCAGGGAGTTCGTTTCCTATGCAAAACGATGGCTCGATGCACCAACTGTCGAAGAGTGTCCCTACGCAGGCAAAGCCGCGTATGGCGATGCTGTTATCATAGACGACAAGCAACTCACCATCCCAGCCAGCCACTTCAGGACTGCGCACACAGCTCTGCACAGCCAAGCAGATTTCATCAACGCCTACGCATCTGCCCGACGAATTGCTGCCGATATCAGCGCCCGCGATGACATTGAGGTGTTCCCGTACAGCAAGTTCTACATCTTCTTCGACCAATACTCCACAATCGTGCAACTCTCCACTGCACTTGTTGGTGCAGCCCTAGCCTGTACACTAGTCATCTCCAGCTTCTTACTGGGTTCCTTCTTGACTGGCATTGTAATCACGGTTACTGTCATCATGATCGTGGTCGACATTGTTGGCACCATGGCAATTGCCGGCGTGTCACTGAACGCCGTCAGTCTGGTCAACATCATCATTTGCGTTGGGATTGGAGTCGAGTTCTGCGCGCACATTGCACGGGCATTCACGATCCCATCTGCATCGATCCTGGAGCGCTCCCCATCGAAGTTCCGCGGGAGAGAAGCACGCGCGTGGGCCGCCCTCGTGAACGTCGGAGGCAGCGTCTTCAGTGGCATCACGATTACGAAACTGCTGGGCGTGTTTGTGCTGGCCTTCACGAGAAGTAAGATCTTTGAGATCTATTACTTCCGCGTGTGGTTGTCACTGGTGGTGTGGGCTGCTCTGCATGCACTTGTCTTCCTTCCAGTCGCCCTCAGTCTTCTGGGCGGCAAAGGTTAGTGGAAATTACATCTGCCACGGTCAAGCTGGGAGCTCATTGGGCTGTTAGCGTGACGGTAACTCTTGTCACATTTGGCCTCGGTATGCTAGGGAAGTTCTACTAACAGACCGATGAGCTTTTGGGTTGACCGTGGCAGATGTTCCCTCCTGAGCATATAGATTTCAGCTAACGGAAGCAGGTTATATTGATCCAGAGAGCGACGGAAGTCTGGAGCAAGACCTTGCGAGTCGACGATACAGAGCCCTTCTGCCTGACGACGAGTACGACAGCGATGAATATTAATAGTTCCTAGAAGCCTAAACACAGGAGAGAATTCTATCGCATAAGCCGCCGAGTCGCTTTCGGGGGTCCGTTTTGCTGCAATGATATAAGTAGCATATTCACTGATTCAGCTTGCCGCTCATCAACTGTGAAACAAATTGCCTCGCTGGATAATTATGTCTCTGGGATTGTCGGACTTCGCCCAGTTTCCGCATATCATAGCTGGAGGGCCAGAATGTCATCTGTGCTGCGTGCCTGCTTTCTTGCTCGAGATTTCATACGGGGCTGGATCCTGGAGCTGGCATGTTATCTCGCACTTCTGGCAAGCCAATCCTTACCCTCAGTCGACGTCGAGGCAGATCGCATGCACAAGTCACGGTGCGTCTCGTCAATCCATGCAAGAGTGCAGAGCGTCGTGACAAGGAGAAGCAGGTTCCGGCACCTGCTGATGCAGATTATGGGACGAAAATGTCTGTATGCAGTGTGTCGATAAGCACGAGCGGGCAGACATTCTCTTCGCCTCCAAGAGCTACCTGTCCGCCTCGTGCCTCCTCTCCACGACGTCGTTTGTGAATTGCTGCCGTGATGAAGAGCGGTGGCTGTTCTTGAGCAGCGACCTGTCGACCAATGAGAGCAACTCCAAAGAGGTGCATCAAGCTAGAGCAAAGGGAAGGGATCTTTCCTGAGCAACCCGTCCGTGCAGCAGCTCGCTCGACGCTCGCAGCTTTTCGGGTCGTGATCACCACCGAGATGAACTTCCAAGGTCTTTGTTCCCGTTCGCGAGCGGGATAAGCCCAAAGTCACACAGCTGATCATGCCATCATCATCATGTGCCCCAACCATTTGATGAGTGACTTGACCTCCATGACCTGTCGCCACACATGGGACTCCCTACGCGCAATGATATCCGAAGGGCCCCCTAACCTTACCGACCTGGTTGCAACCTCCCTTGCCAAGTTCCCCAGGTCAGCTTGTTGTCCGAGTCAATCGAGGAGCCATTGAAACTCTATACCATCCCTTATTATCGCTAGCCTACCGTTTCACGACAAGTGACAAAGAAGCAGAACCACACCACAGAACGGGCTTGAACGGGTATCTTTTTGTAGCGTGGGAGTCATTAGAGTTCCCCGAGTCGAATGTGCTTTTCCTCTTTGATGTTCTTCAGGGCCCCGAGTAGTCGCGAATCGTTCCCTGATAGAGATAGTTTCTCTGCCACCCCTGGCACTAGATACGCGGCAACAACGGTAGGGCGGCCGCCCGCCCGCCCACAGGCCCGCCCGGTCAATGCAAGTTCCGGAGGAGATTCCCTAATCAGCAGGCATGTTGGGAAACTCCAGTACGACGTAGATCGAAGTGTCATGTATGCATGGTAGTAGTAGTAGATAGTTCATTATCATCATCATCACGAGCTGGGAGAAAGAAGGAAAGAAAGAAAGGAAGGAAGAAAGGCATGGTGTTGTTATGATGATGATGATGATGATTATTATTATAGAAAAAGCATCACAGCTTTTCTTCTTCTTCTTCTTTTCTTTTTCCTGATCTGATCTGACCGTCACCCAAAAAGAAAGAAAAAAAAGAAAAGAAAAAAAAAACAAATTCCAACAGCTTGCTGATGAGCTGATGAGAGCTGCTGCTCTCTTCTAGCCGTCGTGTCGGTACGATACCGACGAGCAGCAAGCAAGCAAAGCAAAGCAAAGCAAAGCAAAGCAAAGCAAAGCATGTCTTTCTTTCTTTCTTTCTTTCTTTCTTTCTTTCTTTCTTTCCTTCCTTCTTCTTTTTCTTCTTCTTCTTCTTCTTCGTCGTCGACCAGCAGAAGAGGGCGGGAATGGTGTAGTAGTAGTAGTAGTAGTGTAGAGGCGGAACCGGAACAGGTGGACGGACGGTTTTCTGCGTGCGTGCGTGATGCTTGTTGGAGGAGTGAATTCGTGGTCGTCATGAGGGTTGGTGATGCTCTCGACAGTTAGAGACACACCCACTGAAGCCAATAGAGAGGTAGGTGGTAGAGAGCAGTTTGCCCAGATGTTCTTCTTGCTTCGGTACATGTAGAGGCGTTCCAGAAGATCCTCAGACGCGGCAGGCTGACCGTCAGTATCTGCCGAGAGGGAATCTTTGGAGATGACAACTGAGACGGGAAGGAGCGAAAGTTATACAACGTTTTTGAACATGGACACATTGATTTTGGGGTGGACTGGGCTGGTATCTCGACGTGATGTCCTTTCACGCCTATGAAACCCTGATCTCTCCCAAACGCCGTAAATCGTTGCGAATGCTCGCCTTTTCCCCACACCGCGCTCCGATTATTCGACCATCGCTTGCGTGAGCTAGCAAACACAATAAATATACAAGTCTAGGAGATGCACAACACAAGAGGCAGAGAGAGTGTTCCGCCTAGTTCTTTCGCAGATAGAGGGTGAGCCATCCAAGTATTCTGTAGCCAAGAATGATGCCAAGCATGATTCCGACCCACTTGCCAGTCTCGCCAGTCTTGTAGCCGTAGTTTTCTAGCACGCCAGTGCCTGCAATCATGCAGCGGTCGGCAAGCTCGGTCTCGTACATGCAGGAGCAGCCGCCCTGGGAGTTGGTACCGCATGTGAAGTTTCGCTGGCCGAATTCGTTGACCATCATGCCTTGAAACACATACGACTGATAGTCGATGTAGTGGAAGACGTATCTCCAGAATGGATTGAGCGTCTGCGGAGGTACCAGGAAGCCACCTGTACACATCCAGAGACCGTTGGCGAATGCGGTTCCAGCAAGGGCGACGACGAAGATTGGGATCAAAGAGCTGATGAGCACCACGAGGGACTCGGCGGCAATGAGATCGAGGAAGAGCCACATGACCCAGGTGAAGAAGGCCTGGGCGGTGGGCCGGAAATTGGAGAGCCAGTAGGCGACGACAGAAAAGAGCATCGCAATCAGGAACAGGTAGGGAATGCCAGTGATGAAGTTGGCCAGAAGGAATGAAGTGGGGCCGTAGAGACCGTTGGCGCGCTCCTTGACGAAGAGGGAACGATCCTCCAAGAAGGCCGGGATGTATGCCACAGCCATGAAAGACATGAATGCACCTCCGAAGAAGATGGCGTTGATGAAGGACTGAATGTTACCCTGGTCAGGATTCAGACGCAACCACACGGTGCCCATCATGACAGCCAGACCCATGTACATGGCGATACGGATACCGTAGGCAATGATGTCGCGGTAAGATTTGATGAAGGATCGATGGATGAGCGCCACAGGGATAGCAAGGCTACCCGCAGACTCATCCTTGGTCTCGGCACTGACCTCGGTATCCATGGAATTCCGTGCCATCTCGTCCGTGAGCTCAGTGACTGTTGCGGTCGCGAGGCGCGATTTGTGCCATGAGGAGTGGACCATGTTCAGTTGCTGGTCGACCTCGCTCCGATCCCGGGCGAAATCGGTGTTGACGAAGTCGATGATGAACTCGGCCGGGTTCATGTACAGTGGGATGGGGAAGCCGCAAGCATCGAAGTAGGGCTGTACCTCGGAGACTGGTCCACTGTAGGCTGTGCCGCCCTGCGAGAGCAGGAGAAGTCTGTCGAACATGGCGAAGGTAGAGGTGGACGGTTGATGGATCGAGGCAATGACGATCAGGTTGTGCTTCTTGGCGATGTCCTTGACAAAGGAGATGACCTCGAAGGATGCAGCAGAATCCAGACCAGAGGTGGGCTCGTCGAGGAAGAGGAGCTTGGGGCTGGTGATGAGTTGTGCGGCGACACTGACACGTCGCTTCTGACCACCAGAGATGCCCTTCCTAATGGGAGTACCGATCAAGTTGTTGGCTTGGCCTTGCAGACCGAAGGCTGTGAGCAGAGCCTCGATGCGCTGAATGCGCTCCAGCTTGCTCACGTTCTTGGGGAGCGACAGTCGTGCGGCGAAGTTGAGAGTCTCACGCACAGTGAGCGAGCCGACCAGCGCATCTTCTTGCTCCACGTACGCGGAGATTCTGCGGAAGGTCTTTGGGTTGGCGGGTGAGCCGTTGATGTAGATGGCAGCCTTGACGTTGGCAGCCAGGGATGCCGTTCGGTGAGCCAACACGTTCAAGAGGGTGGACTTTCCGGAACCACTGGTATCGGTTAGCACTCGAATTGAGCCAAGGCAGGTCGGGTCAATGGCGGTGGACTTACGAAGGGCCCATGAGGGCGAGCAGCTCGCCAGCCTTGACGATGCCATTGATGTCTGACAGGATGGTCTTGGGCTGTTGGCTGTGTCGATCCTTGACGGAGACTGTGACGCCCTTCCATCCAAAGGATCGGATGTTGGTATTGGTGAGCTGGGCATAGTCGCCGCCGATCATCTTCTCGATGTCGGACATCTTGCTGTAGCGTCTGCGATCTGGCGTGGGGCTGTGTTCTCCGGGGGCCAGGTTTTCGACGAGTGACCGGCCCAGGCGAGCGCGTGGTCAGCGGATGGCGGGTGGTGCAATGATGAAGTGAAGTGGTGAAGTGTGGTGAAGTCAAGTGGGCAGTCGAGGCACAAACGGAAAGTGCGATCCAGCCGGAGTCTCGGTTGCGGGAGGCACAGCTTGAAATGAAAGGTGCGGAAGGGCGTGGAGAGCGTGGAGGGCGTGGAGGGGCGCTTCGGGGTGAGCACAGTTGAGACGCTGTGACCGTCGTGTTGGTGAGAGTCAGTGCAACGCAGGACGTGGCACGGCGGAGGGTGTAGCAGCAGCGGCGGCGGCGGCAGCAGCGGCAGCGGCAGCAGCAGCAGTCAGGAAAGAGACCGAGAAGAATGAGCGACGGTGAGGAGTCGCTGTGCGTGCGGGTGGTGTCTGCGGCGAAGCGCGGGAGGGTTGGTGGAAGAAAGAAGTTGATCAATGCTGGGAAAGGTGCGGAGGAAAAAGGGTAATATGGATCCACACAGGGCCCGGGGGGGCACCTGACACGGAGCAGCGCAGCGACGCAGCGAGACTGGAGGTATGCCGGCACGCTGGACGATTGCGCGTGAGAGGTGACAGGGGCCGGACGAGGGCGATCTAGCGCAGCGTTGTGCGAGCGAGGGCAAGGCGAGGAGGGGATGGGATGGGATGGGATGGGCAATAAAATGGAGGAAGGAAGGCAAGAAGGGTGAGGTAGGGGGATGGTTGAGGTGCTATGAAGGAGACGAGCTCGGCACAGAAGACCACAGACGTCCCTCTCAGGCGTGTATCGGCCGCTACGGAGATGGACGAGTGAGAGATGGCTGCAGGCGGCGTGGCACGTCGAGAGCACCGCAGCGAGAACCGACAGCCAGCAGCGGAGTGAGGGCAGGCACCAGGCACAGGCACAGGCACAGGCACAGGCACAGGCACAGGCACAGGCACAGGCACCCGACCACCGACGGTGCTGGAGGTCAAGACTCGCACTGCATGTGCTCCCCACGCTTTTTTGGCCCTTGGCTTTGCTTTCGGCCGTGCAGCGAGCAAACGCGGATGCAGGCCCTGCCTTATTAGCGCCTCCGCTGAAACGGGCTAGAGGGCCCTGCTCCGCCGCCCCTGGTTGGCTGCCGGCCCGGCTTGTCCTGCGTTCCTGCATGTTTGGCGTCTACCTGTGACGGGTCTGTTGCAACGAGGGCACGAGGCCTAGAGGGCCAGAGGAAACTCGGTTCCGTGGAGTCGACGGCCCCAACTCACACGTCTCAGCACCAACCCTGCACACATGCATGCTACGCTCTGTAGTCATAGCGGGCGGGGGAAACACGACAGATCGACTACCTCCCAAACCTCCTAGGCCCGCCTTACTCCTGCTGCTAGTCATGCCGTCGCAGGATATGCCCAGCAAACGCACTCTGCTCCCCGTTTCACCCCTCTGCTTCCGGCCATATCAAACCTGCGACGACACGCAACGAGACGCACTGCACGCCGCACGGCACCGCACCGCCCAGCACTCCCTGCCGAGGCTATCCCGTCATCGCTGTAAGCCACGGTACCTTCACGCGCTCCGCCCAGCGTCAACCTCCACCACACATGGATAACACAGGTACCGTACTTGCCCATCAACGTACCGTCCCGCTCCGTCCCGCCGTCGCAGGCGGGTCCCATGTTTCTCCCGCATGCCGATGCCGGTCGGTGGTTTTCCCAGGTAGGATGGCTTCGGTGGATGTGTCCACGCCGGCGATCGAACGCAAGCTGCCGGACTGCGGCCCGCATCCGTGGCGGTGGCCTCGCTTGCCCAGCAGTCAAGGCACAGAAGACGGACGGCGTAACGAGAGGGCCCACAGGTGCGATGTACAAGTACGATGGGAGATTGGGGTGCCGCATGTGCGCCCTGCGTGATGAGAGAGGTGCGGTGCCTGCCCGGGAGAGCCCTGACCAGGCCTGCAGCCGCGCCGGCGTGGAAGCGGCTAGCGTCCGCCTAGCAAGCACCGCCCGGGAAGCCGACGGGATCGCTTGCTGTCTACCCCTGGAGCGAGAGGGCGATCTGCAGGCTACCCGAAACGTGCATGCAGAATTCTTGACGACCGCCCGCGCACCAGAACAATGAGACCAGCTACGCCATCTCTCTGTGACAACCGCTCGCTGCCCATGTCGCCGCGTGGACTCCCGGTCGAGCTGTGCAGTGTGGCAGGCGCTCACCGCGCGTTGTCGTTACACCTCTGCCACACTCCTGACGGCATCTCATTGTCCTGCTCTGTCGTGGACGGAAGAGTATCCGGTCGCTGCACCACGATCCACGTTTCGTTTCCCGTGCCGTGCCTGCGAGTAATGCAGACGGGCCCGCTTGGCTCGTCCTGCCGGCATCCCGGTTCTCCGTGGGTACACAGATCACCAGGAGTTTCGAATGGCCCTCTTAGCCTCTGCGGTGTGGAGGCAGGCCGGTAGGTAGGTTTGTAGCAAATGGTGGCGTGCACATGATCTGCAAATCGGAAAGATTGGCAGGCCTGTCGGTGTGTGAAGGGCAGTGGGGAGAGGAGGTTCGAGACGAACGTTCTGGGCGAGCACACCATGACCTCCCTCCCACCTGACTGTGCACTGCTCTCCGCCTGCTCTCTCCACACGAGTCAAGCACGTCGCCGAGGCCTTAGTCCCGTCCAATTTTGGCGATCCTCACGCTAGCGAAGACATCCCGGACGGCCTGCTCCTCCAATGGATCTCGGTCGCACTCATCTGTCAACGGCTCTGCTCTCGTTGTTACGTCTGTCCTACCTTACCTGTCCACTCCACCATCGCCTCCCTCGGCCTTGACCTTGCTTCGGTCCACCACTGCGGCACCCAAGCGCACCCGCCTCTGTGCTCCTTGACGACTTCACTCTCGTTCACGACACTCCTTCACCACCCTCCTGTCACTCATCACTTTTCGTCGAACCTGGTCTCCGGGCACCTGCGCCAGCCAGCGCCAGCGCCCGCGCCCGCGCCACATCACCTTTGCGACTGGCTTCGCATTTCTGTTTGCTGCGACTTATTAGGGCCGCCGGTGGATGCTTTTTACGGGAACATGAGTTGACGGACAACAACGACCCAACCTCTGCTTTGACAGCCATATCTCTGCCGCTGCATCCATCGTCTGCACCGCATTCCTCGCTGTACGCTCTTGCTCTGCCCCGCACGCACTGCACTGCACTGCACCGCACTGCCTGAGCAATGGACATTCCCGCACACATACTGGACGCGGTTCAAACGTCGGACGCAGCTTCCTCACGTTCCTTTGCTCGCGCTAGCAACACTTCGCCTCACCCGTCTCCCAGCACCTCGCGCTTTCCTGGACCATACTGCGATGCACATTCCTCCGCAGAGGACGTATCAACCACCAGTGATTCCGACCACCACGATCCCTATCAAACAGACCTCACCACTCCAGCTTCCAGCGACATCAACTCAGCACTCGACGACATGCAGCCAGACGACGTGGAGGACTTCAGAGACCGCGAGTATCCCCAGTTGAAGGGCAAGGTGTATCTCGATCACGGAGGAACTACGGTATGCTCATGTTGGGACCTCCATCACCGCGCTGCGAGCTGCTAACTCGAACTCTGCTCCCAGCTATACGCAAAGTCTCTCGTGGAGGAGTTCTCTGCAGATCTCATCCACAACCTCTATGGAAACCCTCACTCTGCTTCAACTCCCTCTGCTCTGGCCGGCCATCGCGTGGACGAGATCCGAGAGAGGGCATTGCGCTTCTTCAACGCCGATCCTGCAGAATTCGACCTCATCTTTGTAGCCAACGCCACGGCTGCTATCAAGCTGGTCATTGATTGCTTCAAGGACCACGCCGCCGCGAGTAACACTCCAGTGTGGTACGGGTATCACCGCGATGCGCACACGTCGCTCGTAGGCGTACGCGAGCTAACAAAGATGCATCGATGTTTCACGAGCGACGAAGAAGTGGATCTTTGGATAAACAGTGGCGGGCTGGGAGGTCCTCGAGCGAGACAACTGGGTCTTTTTGCCTATCCAGGCCAGTCGAATATGACCGGTCGTCGACTCCCTCTGTCTTGGTTCGTAGGACATTTTCGGTGCTGTGGGGGTAGTGCTAATGTATCACAGGTCTGGACGCATCCGCAAATCGTTTCACAAAGCCGCAACCTACACTCTGCTCGATGCAGCGGCGCTCGCGAGCACCGCGCCTCTGGACTTGTCTGACCCGGCCACCGCACCTGACTTTGTCGCACTTTCCTTTTACAAGATTTTTGGGTTCCCCAACATCGGCGCCTTGATTGTGCGGAAGGATTCTGCCCACACTCTCGAAGACCGCAGATTCTTCGGTGGCGGTACTGTCGAGATGATCATTTCTATCCACGACACTTGGCATGCCAAGAAGGATTCGACGCTTCACGACCGGCTGGAGGACGGGACGTTGCCGTTCCATTCGATCTTCGCCCTTGATCACGCCATGAATGTGCACGAGAGGCTCTACGGACCCAACCCGATGAAGTTCATTTCGCATCATACGGCGCAGTTGGCCAAGCAGCTCTACGAAGGCCTTTCCGGTATGAAGCACGGAAACGGCACGCCTGTCTGCCGCATCTACAAGGACGAGTCCGCCGTGTATGGCGATCCAACCATGCAAGGCTCCACAATCGCCTTCAACGTGCAACACGCGGATGGAACCCTGGTGGGATTCGGAGACGTAGAGGAAGCCGCAGACAGTCGTGATATCTATGTCCGTAGCGGCTCCTTGTGCAATCCGGGAGGCATGGCAACCTATCTCAACTGGTCACCGGCAGAAATGAAGGCAGCTTACGCCGCAGGACATCGTTGTACTAATCCAACGCAAGTGATGCTGGGGAAGCCAACAGGTGTTGTTCGTGTCAGTCTAGGCGCGATGAGCACAGCTTCTGACGTCACCGCATTCACTCGTTTCCTCGAAGAGGTTTACCAGTCAAAGACAGCGGGAGTCGCCGGTCTTGGACAGCAGGACATCATCTGCAACAGCTCACCTCCGCACCTTGCCATTCCCAACAACGCACCTGCACATCAATCTATCGGGACACCGAGCTCGTCAACCAGCACAAACATTGGAGACCTGAAGTCGTGGGAGGCCGGAACGACAAAACTTCCGCCGACACATGAGATTGACATACCAAAAGTACCACCCTTCGCCCCTGCGGATTACGTCAAACTACGAAAGCCATGGGAGGAGGAGATGCGGAAGAACACTGCGAGCTACGCCATGGAGATCAAGCTTCGCGAAGCTGAAGACGGCAATCTATCCCCCAGGAATCCGACTCCCAGCGTCAAAGCACGCAAGTTCGGTCGAAGCGTGGTGAATCTTCTACGGACAAAGAGCCACGTTAGTGGTGACTCGAGGTACGCCGAAAAATGAACACGCAGCGATTGTTCTCTCTTCTCGCAGCAAGGGCTCGACCTAACCTGTTTCGGGGCTTACAGACTTCCTCCGCCACCGTCGCCGATACCTCCTTCTCACCACAATGCGTCACACAACGCATCACTCCGGACGCTGAGTCCGGAGATGAAGCACATGGAGAATGTGGTGCATTCACTTGGGATGTAGACCACGCGCTACTGTTCAGTCGCTCAAAGTGGTAGTGGGACATGGCAAGTGCTATTAGCAAGGAGTTCTGCGGATCTGATTTTCTTTATTTCTCTATCGGTTCTCCGGCATGATACCAAGGCGGCGACGCTATTTTCCCGACTGTGTTTATACTTAAAAGGAAAAGGGGGCAATCAAAACAGGGAGTGCGAGGGAATGCCCGGTCTTGGGATCTGTGAGAGGAACGACATCTATATCCACTGCGCGGATCACGGCACATGTACATGTGGAATTGCGAGCGGACTATGCATGTCCTGAGAAGCAGCATCAGTAATAATTGACGACGTGAATGTCTCAGGGTTCCCCCCACTTCACCGTTTCTTCGTTCCCATGGTCGACAAGACAGACAGAAAACGCTGCCGCGCGGAGGTGGCGTTCAGGTAATCGGTTCGGCCGCCTGCATCGTGGCATCGGCACCTCACCTCACCTATACTGCCAGGCTTGCGGGTTAATAACTTGACAGGTCCACCACATCCTGGTTGACGGCTCATCATCATCAACTTCCAGCAGGTCCATCCAGCCTTTCCTTCCTTTCTGTACATGTTCGATAGTCACAGAGAGGTCGACCCGTCTCGACGTCATCGCAGGGAGAGAAGAGAAGCGCGAAATAAGTGGACACCGATACGCTTGTTGTGTGCTTGTGCTTCGTCTCCCTCTCTCTTGGTGGTCTGAGAGAGAAATTCGAACCGGGCTTCTGGGAAGAGACAGATCTCATCCGAGGTGCAGTGTGCAGCGTGCAGCCTGCATGCCGCATCAATGCGTCTCGCTTCTTTGGCGCTGTGGAGCCTGTCCTGTCGCCTGTTGTTGGCCCCTCCCTTCCATCGTTTCACAGCAGTGACTACTATCCCGGCGCAGAGCAAAACGCGGCGGCTGGTGGGGTGGATCCCCCCTTTGTTCGCCTGGAAGCATTGCTACTGTTCCGGAAGCATTGCGAATATCGGTCAGAAGGTACGCTCACACGCTTGTCCCCCAAAGCGTGGCAGGTACATACATACATGCATTGTGCATGCATGTATCATCATCCTGCTGCTGGAACCAACCCCATGACGGTCTGATTCAATCTATGTACGGCTTCTAGAGCAGTCGGATCCTTCTTCCTTCCCTTGTTGATGAAGTGAAGGTGTGGTAGCGGTGATGGTGGTGGTGGCGCTGCTTCATCTATTATACCACGCGATGCATGGCCTTTGCGCTGTTCTGACGGCGTCTAACATGCCTCGCCAGTTTTCACACCGCTTCTGTTGCGAGCGATATGTTGCTCACTCATCAGGTGTCGCCGTTCCCGGGGAGACGATAGAAGCATAGCTGTGTAGCGGTGGATTGGGAGGAACGCCTTGTTAGCAGATCGATCTAAGCGTGACAGGGTTCGATTTGGGGACGCACGGGGTCCACGGCCTTGATGAACATTCGAATGCATTCGCTCCTCCCGAGAGGGCGGACGAAAATCGCTCGCTAGTACAGGGCTGTATGATCGGCCCAACGATATGCAATTGCCTCGTTCAGTAAAGTGCTCCGCTCCGCGCAAGTCGTTTTGTATCGATGCATCGAGCGGAGCAGTGATGAACGAAGAACGAATGAAAACTTGCATCCTGCCGGAAGATTTTCCTCTTTCTTTTCTCACTCCTGTGAGGACATGATAATAACAATCTGCGGAAGTGCGGGAAGAAAGAATCTATGGACACGGATCCTGTGGATCCCTTTTCTTTTTCGTTTCCATCGGCAATGACGATGAGATCTGTTTTTTGTGGAGCTGTTATATGTACATACGTCGCAGCGGCGACTTTGATTAAGATGTACAGTACCAGGCCTATGTACGGTACAGTACAGTAGCCGTGTCTTCTCGAAGCGAATGGAACACGACGAGTCGAGTTTGAGCGCATTTTTTTTTTACAAGCTCTCCACATACGCGGCGGTAATGCGGCCGGGATGGACGGTGATTCCTGGTGTTCGCTGTCAGTAAGGTAGTCTCTTCCACCAAAGCTTGATGAGCATCATTGTTGTCATGATGTAGCAAGCATACCCTGCGTTTGGTTGTTGACCGCGCCATCGTAGTTATATGCGTTCGTAGCGTTCGCAAGAGTATAGTTGGCGAAGCAGGCAAAGTCGTAGTTTGCGAGCTGCATGGCCTGCTCCTGGCTGGCGATGAACTTCTCCATGGGACACAGTCCGTCGCTGCGGCCACGGCATTGTCCGCCTCGGATAGTGTCGAGGGGGATGATGCCGTTGTTCAGTCGCATCTAGAGAGTATCGTCAGGCGTTGTGCTGACCACAGTTTGCAGAGTTTTGAAAACTTACCCGAATGAACTTGTTGGTCGCGTTGCTGGGGTTGTATCCGTATTGCGTTGGGTAGTAACTTGTGCGTTGGCTGTGGACGGCCGCGGGGCTGGGGCTCGTGCATCCGATGACTTCGGTGAACATGCGGGCACCGAAGGGTGTCAACTCGGACAGGATGAAATGGCGCTTGGGGTCGGGAGGGTACTGCGTCAGGCTTGGGTCATCTCGGAAGTAGTCGACCGACATGGAAGTCAGGACGGAGATGATAATGTCATCGTGCGTGAAGTCGGCATAGAAAGGGCGTCCCAGGGGGAATTGTCGAGGGTTGTTCGTGATCGTGCTGTTGACGCTCGAGTTGCTGCTGTAGATGTACTGGTTGGTGAGTCGAGCCAGTAATTCCTGTTGATAGCCAAGTCCTTGGGCTCTGCCAGTGGGGTTGCCCTAGATAGAATAATGGTCAGCCCTTGACTACGGTGGTTAGCGTTCGGACTTACGAATGCATAGTCGTAGTAGTATTCGATGTCCAGAGTCTGTTCAAACCCAGCCCATTCATCTTGCGTGAAGAGGTTGCAAAAGTCGCTCATGCCTGTTGGAAGCATCGCTATCAGTCCGCTGCCATCGTACGATCAATTGCGGCAATATCTCACCGATGTATGCATTCTCATAAGCGCATATAGATTGCATAGCATATGTGTCGTTGACGTTGAACGTGAATCCTTGTGGTGCGTACTTCTGCACGCGAGCTGTAGCGTTGCGAAGGTATCTTGGCACATATTGGAAGAAGAGTAGATCATCGCCGAGGTATGCTACGTCCTCAAGGACATCCCTGAAACAGGAATCGTACGAAGCCAGCGTGTTGTCTGTGTTGAAAGTTAGCCCAAGTTAGTACAATGTGAAGCATCTCAGCTCACTCTCGGTGCCACCCTCGGGGATGATGACCACGTCGAAGAGAGAGCCATTAGTGAAAGCGGACAATGTAGGGTCTGGGACTTCCTGGAAAGAAGGGCCAAAGAAGCCTAGAGCCCAGGAGATTTGAGAGTTCTCGATACGTGACTGGCCAGTGGTTCTCAGGACAGGCTTGGGCCGCGCAGTGCCGTTACTGTAAGAGCCGTTGTAGGACAGCTGAGCCTTGGTAGCGTTGTAGAGCGTCCGGCCGTACAGATTCCAGAACTGAACTCCAGAAGCGAATTCCGTCTGCGCGCCGATTCCAGTGAGGAGCCCTTCGCCCAATTCATAGCGATACGAGTTCAGGAAAGACAGCGGTCCCGAAAATTTGGCAGCTGGGCTGGCCTGAGTAAAGTTGTAGACCTTGGCCGCAAATCTCTCGTCATTTGCACCGTCGTCAAAGGCAGAGGTCGGGAATCGTTGGGCATGGCGCTGCAATGTATGGACTTGCTCTACCTGGCAACCGTCTGGTAGTCCGACATCTTGGACGCCAAAGATGTCCGCTGCATTGTCTCGGTACGGAGAGATTTGTCCTGGTCGAGTTCAGTGACGAGACTCCACAGGCATTGGCACGAAATTACACACCCCAGTAGCGCGAAATAGTATTGATGTCGGATAGCAGAGTCTGATTCGTCGCGTGAGCTACGGCGCAGCCAACAGCAGCCGCCAGGGAGAATAGACAGGTGGAGACGGTCATCGTGTTGCTCTTACGGAAAAGGAGAAAGAGGAAACAAAATGCTCACGTCCCAGCGGACGGCATTGTGCAGGAGGATAAGCTGCTTTATTATCAATGATCACCGGCGCCGGTTATACGCCTCGCACGATCCTTGTCCGGCCCTTTCCAGGCACACGTAAGGCTTCGATCGAGCCTTAGTCCAATGCAAAGGTGGTCGAGATGCACGCATTGAATAACAGCGCGGACGTCATAGGGCGACGGAGATTGGCCAAGACTGAGCACGTGTTATGTATGCATGTGAGTGAAGTGAAGGAACATGAAGCGATCTCGGACGTCCCGCGGGGCGGATGATTTATGCCTCAGGCATGAACGGAAATCCCTGCTATCGGGCGCTAACTCGGTCGCTAGTGGGCAGACGGTGAGACCCTGGCGAGCTCTAACAAAAAATTCCTGTGCTGGACGTTGTTCTACACCTCTTTTTTTCCTCTCCTTCGCGTCCTTTCTCTTCTCGCGACACCCTTTCAGCCTGTCCGCGAATACACGATGGACGAGCAGGAATTCGTATCGCTGCTGCAGGCGCTGCAGCAGCCCGACACGAACAAGGTCAAGGCGGCCACCAGCCAACTCAACAACTCCTACTACAAGTCGCCGCAGTCGGTGGTAGCTCTCATCCACATCATCATCAGCGGCTCCGAGTCTTCGCTCAGACAGCTGGCTGCGGTCGAGGCACGTAAGCTTGTCTCGAAGCACTGGGCAGCGGTGTCCGAAGAGCAGAAGCCGCAGCTTCGAGAACAGCTCCTCCAAAGCACGATCGATGAGGAAAAGCAGCTTGCAAGACACAGCAAGGCCAGAGTCATTGCATCCATCGCCAAGGTCGATCTCGAGGATGGCCAGTGGACGGAGCTTCCGGGGATCCTCCAGCAAGCGGCCACCAGCGCTACCGCACGTCACCGCGAGGTGGGCGTCTACATCATCTTCACCCTCCTCGAGACGATGCCCGATATGTTTCAGGAGAATATGGGCCAGATGCTCTCTCTGTTCAACCGCACTATCCAAGACCCAGAGTCTATCGAAGTCCGTGTGAACACCATGCTTGCACTGTCGGAACTCGCAATGGTTCTTGACACCGAGGAGGACACGAAGAGCTTGAAGAGCTTCCAAGAGACGATTCCCCACATGGTTAGAGTACTCCAGACTACCATACAAGAGGAGGACGACGAACACACCATGCAAGCTTTCGATGTGTTCAACAAGCTGCTGAGCTACGAGAGCGCTTTCCTCAACAGCCACTTCGGCGACTTGCTGCAATTCTTCATGCAGGTTGCCGGTAAGACAGAGATCGATGAGGAGGTTCGATCACAAGCAATCAGCTTCCTCATGCAAGCTGTTCGCTACCGGAAGCTGAAGGTGCAGAGCTTGAAGGTCGGAGAGCAAATGACAAAGATATGTGTCCAGATTGCAACTGAGCTCGACGAGCTCCCGTCAGAGGAGGATGATATCTCTCCGGCTCGCTCAGCTCTTGGTCTGCTGGATATCTTGAGCGAGAGTTTGCCTCCAAGCCAAGTTGCAGTCCCTCTTTTGAAGACCATCGGGCCGTACGTTCAAGACAGCCGCCCTGAGTACAGAAAGGCTGGCATCCTGTCTTTGGGCATGTGCGTCGAGGGTGCTCCCGACTTTATTGCCACCCAGCTATCTGAGATCCTGCCACTCGTTCTGCACCTCTTGGAGGACCCGGCTATTAGCGTCCGCAGTGCCGCACTCAACAGCGTGTCCCGTCTAGCGGACGATCTCGCCGAAGACATGGGCAAGGAGCACGCCAAACTTATCCCTGCGCTTGTGAGGAACTTCGACTTGGCACTACAAGGCATGAGGAATTCGCAACAAGGATCCAAGGAGCATGAGCTTAATACCCACATCATCAAGGCCAGTGCTATGGCCGTTGACTCTCTGATCGAGGGTCTCGAGGCCGAAGATGCCGCTCGTTATGTGAATGAGCTCATGCAGCGATTCAGTCTGCTGGTTAATCACGATGACCCCAAGGTCCAAATGGCTGCCGTCAGCGCTGTTGGTAGCATTGCCAGCGCCTCGGAGAGCGCATTCCAGCCATATTTCGAGAAGACTATGCAAAGCCTTGGCAAGTACATTGAGGTCAAGGACAGCGAAGACCTGCTTGAGCTGAGAAGCATGGTCGTCGACTCTCTTGGAAAGATTGCCGGTGCAGTAGGCGCAGAGGCTTTCCAGCCCTACGTGCGGCCGCTCATGCAATCGAGCGAGGAAGGCTTGAACCTCGACCATCAGAGGCTGAAGGAGACGAGCTTCATTCTCTGGAGCACACTGGCTCGAGTGTACGAGGAGAACTTCGAGCCCTTCCTGTCAGGCGTTGTCACGTCCTTGTTTGACTGTTTGGAGCAAGAAGAGACCGACTCTGAAGTTCAACTTGGTGCTGAGGCGTCAGACCTCGTTGGACAAGAAGTCACCATTGCCGGCAAGAAGATTAAGGTCGCCGGTGCAAACGGAATCAATGAAGACGACGAGATTGCGGAGGAAGATGTCATCAAGGCTCTCATGGAGACCGAGGGCGACGACGACGATGACTGGGATGACCTTGGAGCAGTCACTGCCGTGGCTATGGAGAAGGAGATCGCGGTCGAGGTGCTTGGAGACGTTCTCACTCACGCCAAGAGCAAGTATCTGCCCTACATGGAGAAGACCATCGAGACTACCATTCCTCTCCTGGATCACACTTTTGAGGGTGTGAGGAAGAGCGCTGTCAGTACCTTGTGGCGCGCCTATGCCTGCCTGTGGGGATTGGCCGAAGACAACGGCATGCAAAAGTGGCAGCCAGGCCTTCCTGTCAAGGTTAAGCCTACCCAAGATCTGGAGAAGCTTGGCGATCTGGTCATGAAGGGAACTCTTGCCTTGTGGGAAGAAGAGATGGACCGGTGAGTACAGTACACTTCTTTCACTCTCCCTGACCAACGTGATGACAACACTCCGTAACTCAGCTCACTCTTAGCGCTACGGCACATGCTGCGAAATCGTAGAGGCTGTTTCTGATCTTGCAACTCGCCTACACTGCACAATTTGAATGAAATTAGAGGGGACCACGTGCTAACTTGCATCCAGTGCTACCGTCACCGAAATCAATCGCAACTTGGCAGCAACTCTCAAGCTTTGCGGCCCTGCTGTTCTTTCTCCGCAAACAAAGGAGCATTCCACGCCTCTCGAGCAGGCCACAGCAGCTCTCATGCTCATTTTGTCGCGTCAGCACCCGTGTCAGAAGGACGAGGACGATTTCGATGAGCCCGCGCCAACAGAGAGCGAGACTGCGGAGTACGACTGGCTAGTCATCGAAACTGCCATGGAAGTAATTGCCGCCCTCGGCACTGCCCTCGGCGAGCAATTTGGCGAGCTCTGGAAGATCTTCGAGTCACCGATCATGAAGTATTGCTCGTCTCAGGAGAAGTTTGAGCGAGTGGCTGCTGTCGGTACCATGGCTGATGCCATCGAGTCCATGGGTCCTGCGTGCACTCCTTACACCTCCAAGATGATGACACTACTGCTCAAGCGCATGCGTGACGAGGATCCAGAGGTCAAGAGCAATGCTGCTTTTGGCATGGGTCTGCTCTGTCTGAACAGCACCGATGACAAGCAGATCCTGGGCAACTACAACACTATCCTCGGGCTGCTGGAGCCTCTTCTCCAAGCCCAGAGCGGCTCGACCGATGAGACTCAGGCCCGCTTACTGGACAACGCTGCGGGCTGTGTCAGCCGCATGATCAAGAAGGCGCCTTCCCACGTTCCTCTTCAGGAGGTCCTCCCTCGATTGGTGGAGCTGCTGCCGCTCAAGGAGGACTTCCGCGAGAACGAGCCCGTCTTTGACATGATCGTGACGCTGTACCAGTCGCAGAACGAGGTCATCCAAGGCTTGACCGGCAAGCTCATGCCTGTGTTTGAGCAGGCCATGGGCCCACCCGAGGATCAGCTCACGGAGGAGACGAGAGGCAAGCTTACTCAGCTTGTGCAGTACTTGAGAGGTTAAGAGAACATTGTCAGGTCAACCATTGACTTGCGATGCTGTTTCAAAGCACCAGCTGGCATGGAATGAATGAAGAATGGCGGAACGAAGAAAGTTGAAGGCTTCTGCATAGTGTGGCGCTGTTTTGATACCCCGATAAATTGTCCATGCAGAGGCACGAGACGTCATGAAATGAAAGCAATGTTACGTTCGACTTCTCACAAGTCTGCTGACCTGAATCCGATCTCATGATAGTGTCGTGCCGCGCCCTATCGGCATTTAAAATCATCATCGCTATGAGTTCATTGTAAGTCGATACCGAAGGAGGAATTTTATCTAGACTCATCGACAAGGTATCTGCCTGTTCTAACTCAATCGCTGCTGTACGAAATTGGGGAATCGATGCTTTTACCAGTTCGTGCCTTTCGTAATCTGCAAACCACGTCCACCTGCCCGCAGCAAAAGGCAGTAATAGTCTCTATACCACCTCGACGTAATTGCTGGGGAAGATACCTTCTCGATTGCCTATCCTGCCCGTCCACCAATCTGCCTCGCTCTCGGTACGCTTGACGATGGTGATGACGTCTCCCTTCTTAAAGCCCAAATCTCCAGGCTGGTCAGCCTCGAAGGTGAACTTGGCTATTGCTTGGCCGGGCCCAGCGGATCCTCTATTTCCAAATGCGGGCTTCGGCGCTGTCGGCCTTCCCGGCGCAGGGCCTTTGCGGTCGCTGTAGACGTATTCGGATTGGTCTCCTAGTGTTGAAGAGCGGCTGCGGCCTTGCATCGTATCGAAGGTCTCGTTGGGGTTCGCGCGACCAAAAGTACCCTCTCCGCCACCGTATGTGTCGTTCTGCCATGTGGATGCTCTGCTGGGACCGTTGAAATTGTCGTTCATGCTTCCCGTGCGATTCGATCGCATGCCTTCTCCGTATGCGCTTCCTTGCCTTCCTTGCCACACAACATCATCGTGGGAGTCGTCGTATACCGGTACGTCGTTATACATGGCCGCGTCGCCCTGGAAAGATCTGTCCACTCCCGCGAAGACTCTCGAGTTCAATACCCTCATGAGTGGGTCGGCTTGTGGCGGCACGGGGACATTTCCACCCAGCAATTCCCGCGCCGTAAGTTTCCGGTTGTAGAGTTTCTCGTTCGCATCCCTTCGCTCAATGAGCACCGAACCTTCCAGACTCACACCAGCAAAGAGACCCTTGGTCTTGCTGTAGGCAAAGATCCCACTGACGCTCTTCAAGCTCGCGGCACCCGCAGCCTCAGCGTTCCTTCCCACCGGACCCGCCGCTATCGAGACATTGCCTCCCAAGGTCAAACTCCCCACCTGCGCAAACGTCTTGACGGCGCTGGCATCGTTCAGAATGAAGACGAAATCCGTCAGCTCGAAGCCAATCTGCCCTCCGAATCCTCCTCCTACGGTTCCGATGGCGGACGGCGCTGACCAGGAGCCATCGGCGAGGCGAGCGACGACAACACCGCTGCCGAAGCGTCCAGAGCCGAGGAAGCCGGCCTTGAAGACGGTCAGGATGGCGAGGCCCTTGGCGTTGGAGAGGATCTGCGGCGGAATGATTCGATCGGGACCGAAGGCTTGTCGTGGATCGATGAAGGAGGCGAGGATACGACCGCATTTCTTGCATTCGCCTGGAAACAGACGGGTGGTGTTAGCGAAACGGAGCGACAGTGAGCGATTCAGGTCAATGTGGTGGGGCATACTCACTTCGCATGCTCGAGGGCAGCGGGTTGTTGATGAAGGGCGGCATCTTGGCCTCAAAACCAAGGTCGTCTCTTGAGGTGTTTCAGTATTACTTGCCCTCGCAAACCGTAAGAGTTAGAAGTCAACGCGCAGATAGTCAGATGCGTGGAAGTAGTTAAGTGGTAACAATAAGTCGGTCGTAGTCGGCCAGCGGGTCACAAGCTTCACCTCAGCCACGCACAGGATGACGTCCCGAGACTTACACTTCCATTCTCTCTAGGTGTTCTCTCTTGGAAAGAGTCGCGAAATCAAGAAACAAAGGCGACTCCCCGAACCCCACGTCGAATCTGCGCCTACGGAACACTGCTACCTGTCTGCCCATGAAATAAATCGCCTCCCTCCTCGTCAGCCGCACCGCCGCAATCACAAGCGCTCTCCAGCCACGATCCCATCCATTCACCTCTCCTCCGCGGCCCTCCGCCAACCCCGGCATCCATCAACAACCAGAGCGCCCTCCACAATTTCACAATGTCAGAGGCCTACGAACGAGAACGGTATTCGGTCTCCTGCCCTACTACGGCCCTCTTCTTTCTATTAACGCTTGCCTCGGCAGACAAAACAACGACTCCCTCTCCTCCCTCCAGGCAAAAGTCTCCCAACTCCGCTCCGTAACAGTCGACATCTACGACAATGCACGCGACCAGTCCCTCATCGATTCTACCTCTGACACCTTTTCCACCATGACCACCTCCATCAAAGGCTCTGCTCGCAGACTAGGCGTCATGGCATCGCAGGGGAACAAAGTCGCAATCTTCAAGTTGGCGGGTATAATAATAGCCGCTGTGGTGCTGGTGTACTATTTATTGAGTTGGATATTTTGAGGCTGAAAGAGGCAGGGCGTGCTAGGGAGGAAAAGAGCGAGAAGAAAGGATCAACGCCTCCTTGCCCGCACGACTTGTGTATGTGATTATGGGTCGAGATTAGCATGGCGCTCAGGGTTATTATATACAGGATACATGGGGTTCAAAGAGACTTCTGAAGCACATGGCATGGCGCGTTGGCGGCTTTACAGCATCATCGTCAGAAGGGGTTGTCAAAACGCGGTTGGACGTATACAGCGGCTCAGGCCCATGTTCATACCATGCATCATGCTTCGTTCATTCTTGCTGCTATGCCTTAACGCTCACTCCCAAACATTACCAAACAAATCGTCAGCGTTGCCTCCTAGCCCACCCTGCTTGGGCCCAGGTGTCGTGGCAACTGGGCTAGCATGCGACCAACCTCCAAATTCCTCGTCCTGCTGCACACTAAACCCACCTGCGCTGGTCGACGTGTTGGCCGGTTTTGCTGGTTCTGGATCGCCCCAGCCGGAGTCGAATGGGCTTTGCATGCTCGTGGTCACCGCAGGCGCTGGTGCAGACTTGAGCGAAGATGTCGATGTCTGCGTCGCCGGCGGCGCTGGCTTGGCTGGCTGGGGATCGGGTGCTGCCCACGCATCGTTGGAGCCCCACGCGTCGGCGCTGCTCATGGACAGACTCGCTACAGATGATGTCTGGGCTGGCTTGGGAGCTGGCGCAGGAGTGGGAGCTGGTGCAGGCTGTGATAAGTTAAACGCCGAGTAATTGATAGGTGGCGGCTGCTTTGCTGCTGGGGCTGGAGCAGGGGCCGGCTTAGATGGCAGCTCTGGAGCAGACATGTCGAAGAGATCTCCCATGGTGCCGCTCGCTGCTGGAGGGCTCTTGACAGATGTCACGGGCGATGCAGACGAGAACTCGCCAAAGTCTGCTCCGAAGCTGTTGCTAGGCTGTCGAGTTGTCACCGCTGGCTGAGCTGGTGGTGAAGTAGGCTTTGAAGGAGGTGCTGGCTTGACATCGAAGAATCCACCTCCGCTCAATGGAAGCGGCGATTTGATTTGAGAGGATTGCCGTGAGTGTCCCGTGGGTGGGTTGAAGTTTGAGAATGGCATGGGTTTCTGCTGGGCCGGTTGCGAGAATGACAAGGAACCGAAAGCATTCCCCAGCCCGCCCAGTGCTTGTGCGTTGGATTGCGGCTGTTGCTGTGTGGGAGATGTGAGAGGCGGGGACTGCATGCCTCCGAGCCCTCCGAATGGATCGCTGGCAGCCGGTTTTGGTTGTGGCGGAGCGGCTGGCTTCGAAGCGTATAGAGACAGAATCGATTGCTTAAGGTCTGATCTCCCAGGAGCTCCAGACGTGTTGGGGCCTGTGCTTGACGGGCGAGCAGGCGGCGCTGATTGAGTACCTCCAAAGAAATCCAGGCCAAGCAGACTCTCTCCAGGCTTGACTTGTTTCGCTGGCGTAGCCGGAGCTTTCGGAAGCCCAGACCTGTTGATCGATGGCTCGGTAGTGCTTGGTCTCGCCGGCTGTGATGTAGGTTCGTCCCCAAACAAATCAACCTGCGCAGCCCTCACAGGTGGTGGAACAGCAGAAGGTGCGCTGCCATTCCTCAAACTTGCGCCTCGTGCCCGCTCCCTTGCCTTCTCTTGTACAACATTCAGCGGGACATCATCATCCACATCTCCTCCATCATCCAACGTGCTTGGATCTGGCAAGGGTCCATCCATGACCCATCGCTTGCTATCATACTTTGTCCGAATGAAGTTCTCGATCTTCGCCTCGTTGGGCACATGTCCTTCGGCCAGCTTATGCTCCCAATACTTGTTCGCTCTTGCATTGCCCCATTTGATCATGCTCTGCAGTTGTTCATCCGTCCAGGAGTCCAGATCGACCGATTTCACTCGGGAGACGTGTGTGCCCATGCCTCGATGAATGCCCGAGCAGCGAATGCAGACGAAAACACCAATATTCCAGCTCGCCCATCTTGGGTGCTTGTTGCGTTTGCAATCAGCACAGCTCTTGTTCGATTCGACCTTGACAAGTGCCTTCAAAGTGGCCCGGTTGACTTCTGTGCGGTCTGCGCCCGTGGGTGGTCGGCGGCTCATGTTTGCTGCTTATGATGTCAGACGCAGATTGATTGAGGAGGCTCACGTGTATTGCCGCACACGTGAGTTTGGTAGACCTGGAGTCGTGGTGTGTTGCGGAGAGAAAGTTGTAGTCGTGACTGAGCTGGCTGAAGTTGTGAGGCAATAGGTGCCCAATCTCTTGGGAGCAAGGAGCGCGCTGACTCAGCCCAGAGATCGGCAGGGGTCCAGGCTGCGGCTTTCACATGTCAAATACCGACACTAGACTAGTACAGTTCTTTTGGAAACATTTCCCAACCTATAAGAGCGAGTCCAGATGTATTAGAGCATCAAAGTTCTAAAGTTTTCATCTACTGTGCCACACTCTAACTGTTATCTTGCACTGTTCCTGCCGCTATGGTGGTGCCTTCGGCCCGCAGCACAATGCCTGTTCCTGCTTCCAGAGGAATACTTGCATCCTCCAATGTGAGCTTCACAAGTGCCATCTGCTCCGCCTTCACCACCCGAGGCCTCCTCTTAAGCACCTCGTCATCCTTCAGAGTAGCAACCAACGCAATGCTCCCTGGCTTGTACAGACGCCCCACATGGACATCGACCTTCTGTGGCAGTAGACTACTGGAAGCCTTGACCTTGAGAATGGCACTCTTGACGACTGGAATAGGCTTCTGAGGTGTGCATGTGACGTCTCCACTCCGAAGATGCTGTTGGTCTATGTTCACCAAGTGCAAAGTCGGTATCTCTCCAGCGAAAGCGTACTCTCTTGCTTGTCCACTAGTCTCGATGCCCTTGATATTAGCCGACTCTCCACTCGGCTGTATGACGACGACATCGCCAACTTGCACATTGCCGCTGCTGATACGGCCGGCGATGGAGAGAGGGTTGGTAATTCCGCCGCGAAACACATCCGCAATCTGCATCCTCAGCGGTTGCTGCACAGCTTCTGCAGATGTGTTGACAGGTGCTGAAATCTCGAGTTGTCGCAATAGTGTAGGATATTTGTCCTTGATCCAGCCGGTTGATGGGGTCTTCACGACATTCTCGCCGCTCAGTCCGCTGCAGGGCACTATGGCTACGTCGGCATCCCGAAAGCCCGTATTCCTGAGAAGTTTTTGGATCTCGCCTTTCACAGATTCAAATGTACTTTCGCTCCAGGCAGGTGTGGTGGAGTCGAGTTTGTTCACAGCGACCACAACACGTCGGAGTCCGACAGCATGCGCAAGGAGAATGTGCTCGCGGGTCTGGCCCTTCATGCCCGATTCTAGTTGGTTGGCATCCACAACGAGCACGGCGAGGTCTGCCATCGAAGCGCCGCCAATCATGTTGGGCACGAAGTCTCGATGACCAGGGGCGTCCAGAATGGTGAAGTCGACTTTATCTGTTGTGAAGTGATGCTGAGCAATGTCGACGGTGACGCCCCGTTCTCGTTCCTCCGATCCTGTTCGAAGTCAGATCTTCCACTTCAGCATTTGGATGACACTGCAGACAACTGATCGCTATCCCGCTGATGTTTGCGCACGCTACTCACCTGTGTCCATGACCCAAGCCAGAGCGAAAGAAGACTTTCCCATCTCCGTCGCTTGTTTCTTGTACTTGTCAATGTCTCGCTGCGATACAGCACCGGTGTCTAGAAGTAGCCGTCCCATAAGGGTGCTTTTCCCATGATCGACATGCCCTATCACCACAAAAGCCGCTGGCGTCTTGCGATGGGACCTCTCGTTTTCCCAAAGCTTCGGCACGTCGAGACCTTTGCTATTGATCTTCTGCTGCTTTGCGGGTGCTGCAGAGTCCACCTTGAGAGACTCGGTCTTCTTCGCAAGGCCATTGACCGACTGGCTAGCCTTTACCTTTTCTATCGTACAAAAATAGGTCAGCCTTCGTCACTTGTCCATTCCCTTGCTTCTGTCTTGTGCTTTGAGCACGGCATCGTCAGGCGAGGGTTCTTTAAATGGATCTGAGCTGTACCCAGGGCCAAACACATCTTCGACAGACATCCGTTTGGCGCCATGGTGCTGCTCCGGACCGTTTGACAGTGTCTTGCCAAACGCGGAGGGTGAAGAACGCAGATCTGGTAGCTCTTCTTTCGGTTCCTCGGGAGGAGGTGTTTGGGCTTTCGGTGGTGGAGTAGGTGACCGCTTCCTGCGAATGGGATATTTCTTCGGCTCTAACCTTGGCGGCTCGTTCTCCTTGGTGTCTTTCTTGCTCAATCGATCCAACGAGCTGAGTGATTCGGCAAGAGCTACTGTAGGCGAAGCTTGACATGCTGCAGCTTTCTTTCGGCGCTCCTCGGCCAATTTGGCCAGCTTTGATGATCCTCCTAAAAGTCCGATCCTGGGTTGGGACATGGTCGGTACTATTTCGCCGAGCATCTTTGTAGAGACGCTGGTCCAAGGAACCCCATCGAACCAAGAGCTTGAGCAATGCACTACATACAAGTCATCAGTGGCTAACCGAGTCTTGGATGTAGGGTCGTAGCGCACCTCTGCCAGGTATGCCCCGCAGAGCCTCCGTACACACTGTACGGTTTCCATTCACAGCAGAAATGGAAGCACAAGACTCACCTGCATTCTGCGCAACCTGCGCGGCCGCCTGATCGAACTTTGACTTTGGCTTGTCCTTCTTCGGAGTCTGCTGCTGCTGCTGAGGCTGCCGAGTTGTGTTTGCGTTCTTCAGATATGCTACGCTCTTGCCAACATCCCAGTAGTAGTGCCATAGTGCTTCCTCGATTTGCGCCGTCGTTGCTGGAACGCCTGCCTCGTCCAATTCTGCACGCACTACTGGTGTCAAGCTTGCGAAGTTGTCCTTGTCTTCTTGAGTATAACCTCCTCCTCCGTCTTCGCCGTAGTCATCATCGTCAGAGTAGACGTCGTCCTCGTCGTAGTCAATATTCTTGACGCGCTGCATCTTGATGATTGACTGAGTTTAGTGCTTTCAGTCGAGGGTATGATCGTGCTCTACGGCGAAAGAGCATTAAGAGAATTGGGAGTGTTCGTAAGAAAGTGGAAGAACATCGAACATTAAACCGAGAAGGGAACGTCATGGGGACTGAGATCAGTGGAGACATGACTCGCGACCTGATTAGATAGGCAGCTAAGGTAGGCTCCAGGCGGTGGCCTGAGCTTACAAATCCGCAAAATGGTTTTGCCGGTTTTGGCACCGCACCACCACACTCTCACACACCGTAATCGTAGTGGTTAGGTACTAATATACTCGCTATCGACTCGTAATCTATCTATTAGGTCCTTTATTGTCTACTTTGTCGTTATGCCGCCTTAGGCCCTCGATTTATAGCCCTATCGGCTCTAGATTAAGCTTTAGATTCATACTAGATATACCTACTAGCGAGTCGTATAGAGCCTATATAATACTAAGGGCATTCGCTATAGTATTAGAACTCTATAGACACACTTATCGCGATAGGGAGTAACTACTCGCCCTCGAATTAACTATAGTAGTAACGTAGTACTAATTAAGCGGATTACCGAGCTATTCTAGCTATATACTATTAGCGATAAGAAGAGCTATACTATACTACGGCTTAATAGCTATAATATCTCTTTAAGGTAGTATTAAGAGCTCCGCCGTACTTATAGCCTTAAGCGTCGACTAGAATACGAGGAATTAGAAGTAGCTACTACCTACGTCGATAAGGTGCTTCGAGTAGTACTAATTAATAGGCAAACCTAAGACTTTAGCTATTATAAGCTCGTACGAGAGTTAAGAACCTACTAGTATATTATAGGTAGGTAGGGAATCGACTCGTAGCCGACTCGTAGCCCTCTTCTTACTATACTAATGCCTACTAGGGACCGTATCTACCGGATTTCACGGCAAATTAACGCTCTACTATATAAGCTTCGCGAACTACGTAATCGCTATCCGAATAGGCTACGGTACGTACGACTAAAAGCTAATAGGCCTAACTACGTCTAGTTAATTAATGCCTTCTACAAAATCGAGCAATTCGGCATTTAGATTTACGCCTATATTAACGTCTACTTACGCCGGATTATCTAGTTCTACGTTAGCCTAATAGTAAAGACAAAGTACTTAGTGTTTTCGTAGTACTATACTATAATTAACTATATCTAGCGAGTCCCTTAGCGAGTCCGCTCTAATTAAGGTGTCGAGACACCTATACTAGTAGACGCCTATCTACGGCTTCGAGAGCTTATCGAGGGCCGTAATATCGACTTTGTTAAGGCCTTCTTATATACTACGAGTAAAGGCAATTAGACTATTAAGTACTAGTAGGGCGAGATAGCTAAATTAGCTATAAATCGCTAGAGAGACCTATTTAACTAGTATATTAACCTACACCTTTTCGAGGCCGCTAAGCTATCTAATCGACTCGCCTTCCTCGTAATCTATACTCTAATTATACGCTATATAGTTAGTTACTTTGTCTTAGAGTAGAATCGGCACCCGGTACGAGTACAAAACCTTAAGAGCTATATTAGTAGTATACCGGATTTGCTCTACGAGTATCTAGAGCTCGAGGACACTACCTAGCGTAGGCATCTAATTAACCCTAAGAGTCTAGCGAGTACTACTCTTAAGTAGTAGATAAACCGGATAGACGGCTATAGTAAGCTCCGCGGGTGATTGAAGAGCTTTCTATATTAGTACTAGGTAAGTAGCTCGAAATTGGACCGTACTCGTAGCTAATTTAGCTGTACTCGCAGTTACTCGTAGCTCTAGCTACCCGCCTATAGAGTTACCCCTCTCTTACTCCTACGCTAACTACGCCTCGCTACATACAGACCTTAGCTTATACCTGCCTCCGACAACTCTATAATAGGTGAACGAACAGCTCGTACTCGCTAGCTACCCGTTAACCTTTAAAGGTAGCGAACCCGGATTCGGTAATAGGCCTAAGAAGCTTTATATACACGCTTATTAGTACCTCCGAGGAGTAGCTAAGTAGTACCTAGATGCTAGTAGACGACTCGCTAAGTATATCGCGCCGACTCGCTTAAATGGCCTCGAGCCGTCTAATCGTACGAGAACCGTCTTTACTACTACTAGGGAGCCTCTATAAAGCTTCGTATATACTCGTAGTAGACTCGTAACGTTACATTCCTTAACACTACGTCTTATCTTTCTATATACGTCTATTATAGCTTCTTCTACTAACTTCTAGGAAGACTTCTATATATCTAATAAGGTAGATTATACTCTTAATTATACTAAAGAGTATAGCGATAAGCCCCGCTATAGTAAATGCGGCCTTAGGAACCCGTTCTTTACTATAGTAGACACTAATATAGCGAGTCGCCGCGAGTCGACTGTAGGCCCTTCCTTAATACTAGTACCGGATCCGATCGATTCCCCTACTCTACGGCGGAAGGAGCCCGCGTCTATAAAGGGCTATAGTAGCTTTACTAGACTCGCTAAAAGCTTATTTAGCCGTACTAATGCCGTTTTAGCCGCTAATAAGAAGTAGCATATCCGCCCGCTTAGTAATATAGGTATTAATCCGTTATCCGGAGAGGTATAAGGTCCTCGTACTAGTAAAGCGAGTCTATATAGGAGCACGCTAATCGCTACGAATCGACTTAAGGCGGGTAGTAGTAGTAGTACCGAGCTACGAGACGACTCGTAGGCCGACTCGTAGTCGTAGAACAAGGGTAGTAGACCGAAGAAAGTACTAAAGGGCCCTAAGCTTTACGTTATAGTGTATATAAGCAAAGTAGTAGTTAATGTAGTTAAGAAGGAAGGCTAGTAGAGGTGGACGGTTAGAGATAATCTAGAGCTAGTCGATTACTAGTCTATCGTAGGCTACTAGAGCGACTTTAAGGCCCTACTACTCGACTCGCCGCGTACTCGTAACTAGCTTTACTACTAGGCTTTGTACGCTAGCTATATTAAGGTTAAGAAGGTTACCGGCCTATAGTACTACAAACGTCCGTTTATATATACCCGGTACGACAAAGAGTAGAAGCTCTTAATTATACTAAGCTCGAACAGTAGAGACAAAGACGACCTTAACGAGCAATTACTACTATTTAAGCGTAGGTACTAGGCAAATCCTACGCGAAAGGAGGTAGATATTAGGGTCGCTGTCCTTGTAGCTAAAGATAAGCGGTAGAATAGGCTTCCGAAGGACTACGGCGAGTCTAGCGAGTCTACCGACGACAGCTCCTCTTTAGATCCGGATCTAATAAAGAGCCTTAATAGGCGCTATCGTAGTAGGCGTCTAGGTTAGAGGCCTAGTACTAAAGCTAAAAGAAAGATAGCTAAGGAGGCAGTAGCGAGTGTAGTAGCGAGTATAGTAGCGAGTACTAGCGAATCTAAAGTAGTGCCTTCTACTAGCCCTAATAAACTAGCTAAATTCCGCTAGCCTACGAGTCCCTCTACGAGTGCCTAATCTACCGAGAAAGAGGCCTCTACTAGTCCGCTAGTTAGTTACAAACGTTAAGCGAGTCGCGAATTACCCTATCGATCTACTCCTTCGTCTATATCCGGTACCTAGGGATTAAGCGCCTATAACCCTATCGATATTATTAACCTTACTAATAATAACGACGACGACGAGCCTACGTACGTACGAGTGCCTAAAAGCAAGCTAGTAGTAAAGTAGGAGGCACGTATAGTAATAAAGAAGGAGCCTATAGATTTAAGTACTATTAAAGAAGGAATAGAGATTACTCCTACGGATTTAGTAGAGCGAGTCGCTAGCGAGTCGCCGGTAGCGACGGAGATTTAGGGCGATAGGTAGGTTACTAGCTTACCTAAGGATACTAAGGCTACGAGTGTACTAGCGGAGCCTACGAGTACGCCCCCGAGCGGACTAGCGAGTACTACGAGTGTACTAGCGGAGGCAATAAGGAATAAGAAGCTAAGGAAGGAGTATATAAGGATTCCGGAGTTTTAAAGGGTTATAAGGGCGTTAAAGAAGCTATAGCGAGTCGGTAGCGAGTTAGTAGCGAGGCTTTAAAAGGATAGAAGGGCGTATAGGGTTAATAGTATAAATATAATAACGATTAAAGGCTTAGAGATCTCTAATATTAACATTCTCCCGACTCGTAGGCTAAAATTAGGTAGACTCGCGGGCGATTTAGGGATTCTACGATCTCTAAGATTCGTAGTATTATAATTTGCCCGACTCGTAGGCCTAAAATTGCTAGATTCGTAGGCGATTTAATCGCTCTAAGATTCTATATATCCTAAGCTACCCGACTCGTACGGAATCGTAGGCTAAAATTAGCTATACTCGCTATAACTCGTAGGCTAGAATTAATCTATACTATCTACTAAGTATATTTGCCCTTATATTTAGCTACGAACTACTCGCTACCCGGTAGCTACGTAATAAAGTCTATTATATAGTAGAGCTTAGCCTCTAGATTATTAATACGCTTATAGGCAAACCCTAAACCCTCCTTAAGCCTAGTAATCTTAGTTTAAAGACTCGTAGGCTTCTACGAGTCGCCTATCTCAGCCCTAGAGTTACCTATAGTAGCCCTAGAATTACCTATAGTAGCCTACGAGTCCGGCTTAGGCTTTAGCGAGTTATCCTACTTATCCTTCTACTTCTCGTACTTCTTCTAGAGCTTACTATTATAACCTAGGCGACCGTAGCGCTTATAGAATACGTATTAAGTATATTCCTTACCTTTATAGATAATGTAATCTAGACCTCTTATAGCGTACTACTTATAGCCGCTAGGCTTAGAAGATAGTATACCTACGAGTCGATTAGATTTTAGTAGCGAGTCTATATAAATTAGAAAAAGCATACCTAGATCCGTCTCTATTATCTTACTAGCGTAAGCAAACCGCCGTAGGCTATTAGCCGCGGACTTACGAACCTACTTATTACTAGATTTAAGATTGTTTAAATAGTACTACTAATCCTTATCGGAGATATACTAGAATATAGTCTTATCCTACGTCTCTAGTTTGCGGTAGGACTCGCTAGACTTGCTAATTAGCTTTTACCTATTCTTTAGGCTTCGGATAGCTTACCTTAGGCCTAATATAGTTACTACTAGGGCGCTCTTAGGCATAGACTAAGGCGGAGGCGAAGGAGTAGGTTAATAATTAGGCTAGTATTAGTCGTAGAGTCGTCTATAGATAAATGTAAGAGTCTCCTAGTCGATTAATACTATAAATTGTCGATTTACGAGTCTACGAGTACAATCTAGGTAGGAAAAGAGGTCTAGGTTCGCTAGATAAGAATGCCTTCTTATAAAATAGCCTACTTATTGTTAGTAGCTGCCTTATTGTTCGATATTATAGACTCGCACTTACAATAGTATAAGCGCGACAATAGCTTTTAATTAATATAAAGCCGCGTACCGCTATTGACGGGTTCAATATAAAGCCAAAAGCTGCGCCTGACTTCATATTGACCGTTCACGTCGACAATAGCGGTACGCGACACTCGTGGAGCCTCATTGTCGCCGTCGTAAGTTGTTATTGTGGTAGTAGAGTGAGTCGCGACTCACAGCGAGTGCCGCTTCGGCAGTCGGCAAAACCATTTTGCGGATTTGTAAGCTCAGGCCACCGCCTCCACGCCCGTATCCACTGATCAACCAAACGCTGTGACCAGCTATTGATCTTGCAAAAATCCTCCTTCCGACTTCACCTCCTCCTCTTCATCATGCTCTCTGAATATAGTGCCACAACGTCTCTTTGTATCGAATGTAATCAACATCTCAGACAGAACCCAAGTTCTCCAGTCGCGCGGGAACACGGCCACACGGTGATTCATGGGGAACTCTTCACAGCAAAGAACGACCTCTTCGTTCCAAAAAGTGCTATCGAACTACGTTACATGAAGTGAAGCCTCCTCCACGCGATGGCTCATCAAAACGGGGTATCTGCCATTGCGTCTCCGCCAGAAACGAGTGCTCGTGACCGTCACCAGACGGCCAGAGAAGAAGCGACGCCCGTCACACATAAAATCGTAAACATGAAGAACAAGTCGGCGCTCCAAAAACTTCGGCCGCTGCCGGTGATGAGGATGAAAGCGATCAAGTGATCAGAGGGCGGCCAGGCCAATGATCCCAGCGATGGCGGCCAGGCCCACGGCTTCCGCGCCGAGCTTGCCAGCAGCGCCGGTCTGCTGTGGCGGTGGAATGTAACCGGAAGAGCTGGATGCACCAGTGCCCGTTGGTCCAGCGCCCGTGCCGAGGACGGTGGAGGTTCTATTTGAGAAGGTCATGATGGAACCCGTGCCAGTCGGAGCCATGATAGGGACCGTAGACGAGCTGGTGCTGGTGTACGCCGAGGTGGTGCCGTTGCGCGTGGCGGTCAGAGTCTCGACGACGCGAAGAACAGTGCGCGTGGTGGTGTAGGTGGTCGTCGCGGACGTCCAGCTGTTGTAGCTCGGTGGTGCGGCGGCCTGATCGTAGGTGTCTGGAGCAGCAGCGCTCGCGCCGTGGAAGACGGCAGCGGCGGCGACAAGCGCCGTGGCGGAGATGTCGAAGAATCGCATTGAGAATGTGGCGAACCGGTCGATTGGGTCCGCCGATGGGGTCTCAAGTCAGGTGCAAGATGCAAGATGACGGAGAGCTGGAATGCTGAAGCGGACAGGCTTGTTTGTTGACGATGGGGACGGTGAGTCCAGCGGACGCGTGAGCAGTCTTGAATGGCAAGAGCGACGCTGATGTTGCAGTCGCGCAGACGCAGTCGGTGTCGGCTGAGCACCAGGCGTGTCGGATCGATGAGTCGGTGGGTGGAGTTGTCGCGCTGGTCGCTGAGAGGCAGTATCGGCTTGCCGGCAGTCGCGTGATAGGTGGTAAGGCGGACTTTGGACGAAATGAATGACTGTCGAAGTCGCTGCAAAGGAGCGTCGGTCGGTCGTCTTCAAGACGAGTCGAAGGTGGTTGGTTGTCGGGAGCGAATGAGTGTAATCGGCGGCGCGAGAGGTGGGTGCTGTGGTGATAGAAGTGAGCGTGCGGGCGAGCTGGGGGATAGAAGGGCGCAGACTCTTCTAAGACTGCGCAGGGAGCGTGGGAGTATTTGCATACCACAGGGCAGACGCTTTCGTCCGTGCTTCCTGAGCCTATTAATTGAGTTGCAGCAATCTCCACCCGACCCCCAGCCCAGCGTCCTGGCGTCGATGAACATTGCACAGAAACATGACATTTTAGCATTGGCAGATCGTGGTTGATGAGATGCGCATTGCCTGGATCGCATCACATGTGATCGTGCCTCTTCGTCCTCTTCATCTCACGAACATCGCCTCATGCCTCCGCACTCTCGCTCTCCGCAGGTGCAGTGCCGTGCAGTCTCGCAAGCGCTCGGAGTCGGCATCGTCACACTGTCACAAGACCACGACAAGACAATGAGCTCGGACGAGGTGCAACGGTTCCTGCATAAGCGCAGACCTTCTCCACAGTCCGCAACGTGGCACCGGACCTTACTGATTACACCACGCGCCCTTGCGCACCGCAAATGAGTTGATGAGATCCGACTGCTCATCAATGCCCAGGGCTTCGACGTCACTCGACAACTACTCACGCGAGGTCCAGTTGCACAATGCCACTGCGACGGATAACACGTTGGACTCGTACCACTTCTTAGCTGCACAGAAAATTTCTCCCGTCGTGATGTGCTGTTCATTTCGGCCTGCTGACTGGAAGCGAACAGTTCGTGGGCTAGTTGCCGCCGGTCCTCTCCCACCGATATGATCAATCCATATCCGCCCCAACTAACGATGATGCAACCTAGCCATTCCATAGGGCGCAAAAGACCCTTGACCCTTGGCGAACGTGATGCGCACGCGGGATAGACAATGTAATGAACGATCCCGTATTCCAACAACTCCGCGCTGAATTTCGCAACGAAAATCACCTGGCAATTTGCCAAAGATGAGACAAAGGCCGTCAAACCTCTCAAATCGACTCCCAGAGCTGCCTCGCTATCGCATCCGGGCTCAACTCGTCCCCACTCGGGGTGTATTCTCTCGTCTGCGGCGCCCTCGCAAAGCTGACTTCTCTCCTCTGCTTTTGCCGTTCAGGCGCCGTAGCCACGTGTACATTCTTCTTCAAGTCAATTGCAGACTTGGGCGGAGAGGCGGACTTGGACAAGTCCCCAGCTCTCTGAGTACGCTGTGCCGGTAGTGACACTGCGCTCTTGCTCGTCGGAAGCCCAGCTGCAGCGTGCTTCTGCTGTGCCGCAGTCCGCTGATTCAGTCTACTGCCTTTGCAACACCTGAGCCGAGCAACTGCCTCTCCAATTGGATCGCGAAATTTCTGCACTACCCGAAGTTCGGTGTTGAGCGCTCGAAATCTGCCTTGGAAGACATCCGGGCCCATCGCTACTGGAGTCGCCGTCGTCCTCGCCGTCCCGGTCCGCCCCTCGCCGAGATTGTTCAAGTGGAGGTAGGATTTAAGAGATTCGTTGCGGCGATCGTAGACATGAGCTGGGAGATGAGGTCTTTGGTCCGCAGCAGATTCCATGTCAGCCATTGCCTTTTCCTGCAACATGCGAAGCTCCGTTCTTGAGCGTCCCAGGGCGGGCGTATTGGTACCAGAAGATCCAGCTGATATCGAGCCGGGACTCGAAGGTCCAATCTGAAACCCAGACCTTTCTCTCCGCTGTGCCGCAAGAGTACTGTCTTCCTCAGGGGCGTGAAACCCGGTCTGCTTCGGTGTACTCGTCGCAGTGTTGGTACCACTTGTCATGGAAGGGTGAGAGGCACTTGCTACGAAGCGTGACACGAGTTCGTCTTCTTGTCCTGCATCCATTCCATCCCCTAAATTGGACCGTGAGGAGCGCATTGACGGAGCTGGTGAGCCTCGGCTGCTGTGAGCGTCATCAAGCGCGCTCACATTGCTGACCAGAGCAGGTGCAGAAAGTTGTTGGCTTTTGTTGAGCAGGCGTCTGGTGGCTGGGTTAGGATGCACCCTAGCCTGACTTAAAGGACTGGTTCTTGTCTGGGATTGTGCAGCTTGTTCTCTTTCCTTTCCCTTCGATGGCTCAGGTTCTTGCAAAGACTTTGTAGCGGAAGCCTCTGGCTCAGAGCGCCTGGAGCTCTCCTCTTTCGCACCCGTGGAGGGCTTCTTTCTTAGCTGGCCAATTGATAGTGGACTGGTTGCCTCATCTGAATCATCGCTCTCTTCGATAACAGGTTGAGGAGCCGATTGAGATGCTGGAGTTGTATATTTTGTCTTCGTGTCTTGCGAGAGCGGGCCCGGAAGCTTTTCCTGCGTCCTGTCCAGGATCGCACTTGTCCTTCTCGAGTTGTTTGCCGTGTTCTGTCGAGTACTGTACGGACTCGCGCTCGCACTCTCCTCTGTCCATTCATCTTCTTGCAGCCCACTCCCCTCCATCTGCGCATCGCCTTCATCGTCGTAATCGTCGCCAGCACTCCCGACTGCGAAGCCGATCTTTCTATTCGACCCTTTCCGCTCCAGCGGTTGCCGATGCAGCGCTACCTCCTTCTCCTGCAAGCTCTTCTCCACGTCTGTCATTTCTGCCGACTTTGACCTCTTGCTCCTTCCCTTCAAGTGCGGTGACGTCGGCGCTCGCTGTGCAGCAGGATTCAAGGCCGCAAGATTCCTGCCAGATCCTAGCCTAGTAAGCTGGCCATGGGACAGGTTCTTCTTCAGCTTTGCATGTGAAGCATTGCGCGGTAGCTGGTAAGAGGTCATATTCCTCCTCATAGACGGCTTCATCGCGGGCTCGCTCTCCCCCAAGCTACCTGGCAAGCGTATCTCTGTGTCGCCTTCGTGCGACCGCTGTCGCGCATGCTTACGCCCGTCGTCGGCATTCTGTGACTGCCGATTGAGCTTGGCCAAATTGCGCGCGCTGCTGTGATTGCGCGGGAGGATGATCTTTGTGTGTCGCGCAGGCTTCACATGATGCCTCAGAGGTCGATCTTCGCCGACGGATCCGGGGCTGGTGATGGCGTTCCTGGCGGAGGAGTGCGACGATTGAGAGCTCTGTCTCTTCATGGGGGCTGGTCGCACAGCGCTTGACGACGCACCGGTCGCTCCACCGCCGGAGGTATTGCGCGGCGTGGTGGGCATGGAGGCTGGTTGCGGCGAAAGGGAGGGCATCTTGTCGTCACTTGCCACAGCAACGAGCTGACGGCAACTCGATTGGACGGGTGCTCGGTGCACATGCGACGGTGCTATAGCTCGCGTGGCCAATGCATGCGTCTGTGTAAAGATTGACGTGGAGTGGTGTGGAGGGCACGTGTCGCAGTAGTAATGTCGTTCACAGTTGGAGTAGGTTTCATGTTTCGGTAGCAGTGTATGCTCTCTGGCGGGGGAAGTGAAGGCAAGCGATCGCCGCGCCAAACCTCCGGTACCGATACCACAGTGGATACTGTCTACGCCGCCTGTTACACGATTGCGGGAGGAACGAACCTGGGGAAACGTGATACTAGCCATGTCGGTTTTTTTTTTGGCTGAAGCAAAGGCTACTAGTAGGCAACTGATAACTCACCCGCGCAGATGGACTACAGTGCAAGTGTACAGATCTGGACCCGTAAATAACGTTGACTTCAACGATGCGGCGATCGAAAATGTCACCTGGATGTTCTTATCTCACGTTGCACAAGTCGCGTCCGTGTAACCATACTGCGTGTGCAGCGTCTTTCAAATCTATCAAATTTCGCGTGTATAAATGTACACGAACGGTATCTTTAGAGCGAATTTGTGCTCAAGACTCCGCTCATTTGGTCGACGGCGTTGCACTCGCATTCGCAGCATCACCTCGTCCCTTGCCTGCTTTGCCGCCGCCTCGACCGCCTCTGCCACCGCGCCCTCCTCTGTGCTTCTTAGCCTTGCTAGTGGGGGCCGTGGAGCCGCCCTCCTCGGCCTGCACCCGTGCGCTCTCCTTGTCCCACCACTCCTGGAACTCTTGCTCTGCCTGAATGTCCTGCAGGTCGCGCTTTGCGGCAGCTTCCTTGATGATGTCTTTCTCCAGTTGTTGCTGTGCGACAATCTCAGACATGCTCAAGCCCCACACTGGCTCTACCACTGGTTGGTGACGAATGGACTGTGGAATCGGTTTGCTGTGGGTGAAGTTGGCAGCTTCACCGGCTGTTGGATTGCAGCTGTTCTTTCTGTGGTCTGTTCCTGGGTGCTTTGCATCCGAAACACTTCGCTGCTGAGCTCCAGGCTTACCAGGTCCAGTGACGGGCTTCTGAACAGGAGAAGGCTTTTGATTGGCCACAGTCTGCCGCATTGTGAGCTGTGGTGTGCTTGAAGATCTAGAGGAGGATCCACTGGCGTTTGCTGCCGAAAGCTCGCTTTCTTGGACTTCTTTCAAGCCTGGCCTCTTCTGTGCAGTGACGGTCTGCCATGAGAATGGCTTGGACTCTGGCTGAGCAGTGAGCTGAGGCGACAGACTTGGGCTTGCGTTTTGCTGGATCTGCTGCATACGCTTCCGATCTTTCTGCGACATCTTTGGACCAGGAAGACTGAATGGAGCCGGTACGTCCACCGAGCCCTTGGACGCAGCCGCAGCTGCGGCAAGACCTTGAGACAGAGAGGAGGTCCGTTTGGATGCCGCTTGGGCCATGATATCTTTCATGCCTGATCGGGATGACAACGGTGTCAGACTCCATGGACCACCTTGATTGGGCGGTGTCTTTCCTGCCATCTGAGGAGAAACTGGCGTTCTGGGAGTAACGCCGCCTGAAGTCGAGGGTTGAGGTGCAAGCTTTGGCGAAGGTACGACTTTGCCTCGGGAATCAAACCAAACGTCTTCAGGGGTACCCTGAGGCATTGGATCAAGACCGCGAGGACTGGACATAGGTCTGATGGCCGGAGATTCTCGAGGTGAGAACGTCTTTGCCTCGAATTCCTCGTCCATGTGGAACATCATATCTTTGGAAGGCGCCTTCGCCTTGGGCGTGGATCTGTCGGTGTCGAACTTTACGACAGTCGAAGACCTGCGCCGCGCCTTTTGCTGGATGGGGGAGGAAGCAGGATCCTCTCCCAACGAGCCTGGCGCGAACGTCGCCATGTCCTGGAACTTCGAGCGCAACGAAATCGAGTCGATCTTGGCCTTCTTGTTGCGATCTACAACCACCGCCAGGTCAGGATACCGTTCAAAAAGTAAGCGCTCTGCTCTACCGCTCTTAGCAAACGGCATGCAAGCAAGCTGGTTATCTCGGACGACCTCGTCTAATTCAAGCAGAAGATCTTCATCCAAGCCATTCAAGTAGTGTCCTTGCAGCATTGCTTCGAGGTTAAGGCAAAGGTATTCAAGACCCGCATCCTTGAATTCGCGCACCGAACTGGGCGCGATAGCATTAAGCAAGTCGCACACGTTGCGGACATTTACAAAGCGCCCAACAGTAGCTTGAGCCATCTGCGATAGCCGATCCAGCATGAGTTCGTTGGCTGCAGAGAGTACGTCCACGATCGCATCCAGGAAGTCATCAACATCGACGCTGACAATTTCATCGAAGAGCTCAGCTCCAGTGTCACAGTAGATGTGACGAAGCACTATGTTGAACGTCTTGGAGCTGATGTGCTTTAGATCCACAGTGACCTCTTCCTCATCGCCTCGTCCGGCAAGCCATCGACCACCTGCACGGCCCATGAACATGCCTTCAAAAAACGGGCATCTAGCACACAACAGGGCGCTATGGGCTCGAACCTCGTCGTCTTCCAAGTCGATAGTGATATCGCCATCATAGAAGAAAGCCGAGTCGTTGAATGCAACCTCCAAGTCCATGTCAAGGCACGGACGAGGCTCTACCATTTGACGGACAGCCGGCTCGAGTTTGGGAAGCTCGAGTTTGGTTGCAATCTTCATGAGCTCAGTGCGTACCTGGCGATATCTGTAGGCCATCTTTGGGGCGGTCCTTGTGAAATTCCAAAAGTCCACGATCGTGTCCGCATAAAGGTAGAACGCCAGGTCGAGGACTGTCAATATATCAATACCCTGGAATGTCACGATAGCACGCCCCTCGTCATCAAGTTGAGATTGCGCCAAGTCTGGAATCGTGAACGTGCTGGTTTCGCACAGATCACGGAAACCTCGTCTGAGTACTCTGCTTCTTGCAGTCAATATGAAACGATGCACAGGTATTCTGACTTCCGAAGACGTCGTTGCGAGCAGAGCATCGCATGTGGACTGCGAGTTGATAGAGCTGTGCTCGAACAGCTTTTGCAAGTCTGCGTCAATATCGGCGCTGCCAATGATGGCTTTCTTTAGGAGTGAAACTTCACTCGGTCTTTGAGTGCCTTGCCAGAAGCGGTGGCGGTTATCGTCATTGGCGTCCTCTCTGCGCCCGTCAATGAGTCGGCCAGGCGATAGCAGAGGAAATAGGTCCTTCCAGAGGGTTGGATCTTCTACCACGACCTGTTTCTTCAGAACATCGCAGTCGTGCCTGATTGCAGCGTACGCTCCATGACCAGATGATCTCACAGCCATGGCTCGGGTCAATCCGGGAATGCGAGAGAACTTGTAGTCCTTCGGCTTGTACTCCGACGTACCAGCTGCGGATGCGTCTTTGATAGTTGCACGCTTCGTTCGTTTCCATACACTGCCTTCGTCGGTCGTCAGGATGATACTTCCATCAACGTCAACGCCCACGTCACGAGCAGCCATGTTGCTCTTCTTCGGCGACCAGATGCGATGTGGCTGGGTGATCGCGCTGCGAATCTTGGATGGGTTGGTAGTTGATACGCTTGATTGGTTCTCGGGACGCTGGTTGATGGAGACAGTATAAATTTCACCCCGAGTCGACAGCGCACATATTGTGTCGCCCTCTGCGGTGACTTTTTTGATGCGGTTTGGCGCGGAATCGTATGTCGTGACTAGGAAGCTCTGTTTGAGGAAGTAGTTCGTGAAGCCCTCCAGCGGGAATTGCACTTTGGCATAGCCGTAATTAGCGAACACCCAAACCTCATGGTTCTCTAAAAGACAGACTGTGGCCCGATCAATAGCTGTTACGGACGCGATCGAGGAGGTGAAGAGCGACGCAGCGACTTTCCGTGGTGTAACTTGCATCTCCAAAGATCGGGCGTCGGAATCGATGATTCCCAGTTGTCCTTCGTTCTTTCCCATTACGTAGAGCGAGTTGCTGGAGTGTGCAACTGAGTGTATTCGTGACGCGGCAATACCTATCACAGTCTCTCGCTTGAGGGGGCCAAATATTTGACGCGGGATGGTGCTGATCGGGTCCTCGTCGTTACTTATCCTAGGCAGACTGTATCCAAGCTGCCCATAGCCATTGTTGCCCCAGGAAAATATCTCGCCTTCGGCAGAAAGGGCCAATGTGTGATTTAGGCCGAGAGCTACAGTGGCCACACGTTTACCAGCTAGTGCTCCGCCCTCGATGCAGACAAAGTGAAAGCGCGTACGCTCATCACCAATACCCAATCGCCCACCCTGACCATGACCACACATGTAAAGGTTGGACTCGGGATCTGCAGTAAGCACGGCCGTGTGGAGTTTCGACATCTGTACGTCCTGAATATCCAACGAGCGGGATTTAGGGATCCATGGAAGGTCTTCAACCCACAGAGAGGACACTTCAGCTATCTTTGACTGGTAGGAAGGATCGTGGGAAGACCACTTCCTCTCGTATTGGTCTAGATGCTCGTCGTAGAATCGCCGTAGCAGATGCTCTGGTCGTCGCAGGGTAATGCGCTCAGGAAATTGGCGATCATCCTGGTCTCCAAATCCCAAGGAAAAGTTTCTATTGCTTCCGAAATGAAAGAGCTGATCACCACGAACATTGAGGAATGGGATCTGAACGAGCGTGCTTTCGTCATTATCGGCCTGGTCAAATGTAGCTCGATCCTCATCGCTGCCAACAGAGCCGGTTCTTGAGCGACTCGAAATATCCGGCCGCAGCGTACGATCCTTGATAGTCGCGGCATATAGATCAAGAGGCCCGAGCCCTTCCCTGTCCTTCACCTTGATCAGAGATTGCGTCGGATGCGCTGCGCCAGTAATCTTGCCCAAGGCAAAGTTCGCGTCGCGCTCCAAGATCAAACGAGCAATAGTGATATTGCCAAAGTAAAAGGCTCGGTGCAGTGCGGTCCAGCCATTCTCCAGATCTTGGACGTAAAGGTCTACGAGCGGATTATCAATGAGCGCATTTGCGAAACCGATGGCGGTATCGGCAGTCGATGAAGCAGCATGGTGTAGTAGAGTCAATCCCAATGCATCCCGCCAGTTGACGTCGCTCTTGGTCAACACAAGTCCTGCGCCTGCGGGTGTACCTTGAGTGGCCATCTTCCGACTTCTTGCAGCTACAGGTGATGTGCCATAACGCGATGGACTTGCTATCGTGGTCCCTGCCAGGGCATGGTGTGTCGTTCCTCCTCTTGCCACTTGAGCCCTTCCATTGAGCGCCGTGGTCTCCAACAGCTGCCGAAAGGTATCGACATCATCTTCATAGAACGCCTTCCACAGGGAGCTGCTCATGAGCCGAAGATGTATAACCGGAGAGAATATCCCGGCGACTTCACAGGCACCTAGCTGTGATCACAGGCGGATCACGGCGATTTAAAGGTGCGATGCGAAGCTCGGGATGACTCCCAGGGAGAGGAAGGAACGTCGGACGAGTTCCTTCTTTGACGACCAGATGGTTGATCGAACGCGAGGCAGGCTACGGCAGGAGGTCACTGTGGTCGCTCGTGCGGATGAAGTCGACGTCTGGCGCGAAGATGATAGCTGGAGTTTGTCGCGTCGCAAATGTGGCGTGGCGTGGCGTGGGGCTGATGAGTGGACGAAGCTTTGTCTCGGGAAAGAGGAGTGTCTTTGGAGGATGTTGCGAGGCGCGCGGCTCTTAAGGTAGGATGCAAGAAGTGTCGGTGTCGGTGTCGGTGTCGAAGGTGAGGGTGTTGTGTGGAAGAGAAGTCAGGCGGACGTGGATGTGGTGACAGGGTGATGGGGTGAAGTCATCAAGCCGAGCCCGGGGCAGAACGTGCGCGGATGGAGGGGCAGGAGGATTGGATCGATGTCCTCTCCTGGACGTCTCCCGACTCTTCCCTCCTACACCTGGCATCCACCACGTACCTCTCTTGCTGAAACCGGCCTACCCGGTTTCGAGTGTCACTCCGATCGGCTCTAGCTACGTCCAATCAAGCTTGCGCGTGGCCTTCCACTGAATAATATGTATGGCTACACAGACGCATTGCATTCTTCCCCTCACCGTCGCAGCACCGCATCCCCGTCACCAGACGCATAGGTCGCGACAGCAAGACGGATCGAGCATCGAGCGGGAGGGCAATCCAACAAGTGCAGAAATCAAGTTTGCAATTGATCTGAGGACCATGCAATCCATACCGAGATATGCACTGCCTTCACACGCCTTCCCAGTCTTACCAGAAGAGCTGTCTTTCCATTCTGGTCAGTTATCTACCCGTTTCCCATCTTTTGACCAGACTGGTCTGTACGAGCGTCCCTGTCTCGTCGACAGTTGTCGGGGCGCGTATACCGCAGGGATTTCCAATCTCCCAGTACCTTCTATCGCTTATTCACAATGGCAATGGCTCCAAAGGCCATGCCTACATCACGCCGAAATGCCATGCTGTATCTCCAAACAAACACCATCCTTCCAGAGGCATCATCATGCATTGTGCATCGTGCCACGTAGAACCGAATGCTCCTCCGTTGAACTATCCTTCAAACGCCGTGCCAATGAGAGAACCGGAATTGTCGCTACACGTTGTCTTGGGGAAAGATGAAGGGTTCTTCGTCTTCCTCCTGGTCCTCATGCTCCTCCTCTTCGCGAATCTTGGGACTGTCCAGGCCTTCGCCGGATGCACCGGATGCGCCACTGATCTCCTCTGCAACACTGTGAGTCGAAAGCCGTGAGCGTACGTGCGGTGCGTATGTCTGAGCTCTTGATGGTGAAGAAGACGTGGAAAGTCCAGGTACGTTGGATAGACGACGACTTGGTGGGGTACTTGAAGTTTGTATGAGCGAGGAAGCACTCATTTCGTCTGCCAACTGCGCACCCGGGTCCTTCATGCTGCTGTACTTGGATAAGTTGACGGTGTTATCGCGCGATGCCGGCCGTGACCGCAGAGTGCGGTCTTTGGCCTTCTCCAGCTCTTGTATGAATCCAAAAATGGCGTTGTCTTCGGTTGCAGGGCCTGGCAGTGAGCCGCTCGCTTGTCGGCTCAGGCCGGGCTGATCTGACGTGCCCTGAAGCAAGTCCTCGTTGGCGCCACGAGAGCTGGGTGCCATCCACTTCTCCTCAGATCTTTCTTTCGACGAATGGCTTGCACGCCCGGAGCTCGTATTGCTCTCACCGGTCTTGCTACTGGGAGTGAAACGTTTGCTCCGGTTCGCAAAGCTGCTGCTGTATCGGTGTACTGGTGCCGGCTTTGGTGAAGATGATCCCGAGGAAGCTATTGCTGTCTCGCTCGGTATCGGTATCGGTGGCGCTCGCAGTGCTTGCTGAGGTAAAGTGTTGAGCGACACGCGCTTGCCGGACGACGTGCCGGCGAGTTTGGCGAAGCTGGAGTCTGAACGTGGCGCAGATGTGCTGGGCGAAGGGGATGCACGTGGCGAAGAAGCCAAAGAGCCTCCTTTGAACGGTGGATTTGCAACGAGCTTCGTTGAACTTCGCCTAGACAGGCTGTCTGCGGCCTTCATCTTGCCCTTCACCTTGTCCCTCTCCGTGTCGCTTTCGTCGGAGTCCATGTCAAGAGCGCGCCGTCGGAGTTCGGTGACGGGCGAGGCGCGCTTCTCGGCGGCATGAAATGTGCCAAGGCTTCCATACGCACCCGTGCGAGGGCGCTGCTCTCCAACCGCACCAGCTAGACTGCTGTACTGCACTCGTGACTGTTCGCTGCGAGCTCCAGGCAGCGATCGACCCGCCGCCAAAACGGGGGTACCCTCATCAAGTCCAAGAAAGCGCGAGCTAAGCAATGCCTCCGAGTCCGCTACGTTGAAGTCACAGTTGGTCCTGTAATCAACGGCGATGGATAAGGGACCGGCAGGGCACAGCAGCGGCGGCACGCGGTAGCGCTCGACTACTGATGCTCCCCTTTGCTCGGAAGGGCAGAGCGGAGCATACAGCGAGTCGTGACGGCCGTGTGTCAGATTATGACCAGCTCGAATGCGGAAACGTAGTCTCATGGCCTGATGTGCCCCCGACTGTCTTGTCAACTTGCGGTGAAGTTTCCAAGCGGGCAGGAATCGGGCAAAGCTGTACAATGCTCTAAAGAGCACAACGCCCTTCTTGTACACATTCGGTAGCGCATCATTAAGTTCGGATGAGGAGCAGTCCTCAGCATCGCCAAGCTCAATCGTCCAGCGCTCGAGCACGACCTCGCAGTAGCGCCCACCATTCCTCGTCGATCGAGGACTCGAGTCGGAAGATGACGGCAAGGCGTCTGCTACATCATATCGCTTTCCGGTCTCGTCTACGACAACCAGGGCTTGGTTGTGGGACAGATGCGATGTATCAAGATACACCTCTATCATGAGAGGCGGTGGCTTGTTCTCGGATAGGTCGGGTCGTCTCCAGGGGCTCAGATCTTCAGCAAGCACATCCGTATCGTCAAGAATGACATTGAACTACAGGTGATGATTAGCAGACGGTTTGGGCGACTTTTGAGCAATGGGCTAAAGAGTATGTGCTTATGCTAGGATATGCTGGGCCCAGGGACAGCCACGGTAGCTTGGGCGAATGGCACGCCCACATCCACAGCCTCAGACGGATAAATGCATGCAAGGCTTCTTGGATCAAATTTCCACCCTTTACCATGACAGTTCAGGCCAAGGCGCTGGAATACGACCAAAGTCTCGTATACCCTCGTGCCGATAATGCGAAGGATTGCACTCTGAGAAGCACGCGCCCATACGCAATGTTTTCCCAATGGAAGAGGGTGAAAAGATTATCGGATGCAAGGAGACTTACCCATCTGTTTTGCTTGATATCTCCGTTCCGAGTGCTCACTTGGGGAAGATTAGCGCGTGAAGAGCAGATGGTCAGAGCGGCCTTGGAGTGAAAATGCTAGCGATCATCATCAGCCTACTATTGGCACCCACAAGTCGGCTGTACTATACCTGAATGATCTGATTCAATTTGGTAGCCTCTCGATCTTCTCCGCTCGACGCCCCGGTCTGTCGAACACTGTCCGAGGCCGTCTCCACTGCAGCTCTTTCTGTGTAGGAAGCCAGATCGACGCTCGACCGGGTACGCTGTGGTGGGCGATCTCTTGAGTTGTTCGTTCTTTCGGGATTTGTAGAAGGGTTGCTCGCAGCAGAGGCGCTGCGAGGCGATGGGCGTAGGTGCTGATGCATGCTGGTCTGGCAGAATGAAAATGCCTCTCGCAAGATGGGTTGGTCGGGCTGGTGTACTTCTGGAGGTATTGGAAACTCGTCTATGGCAGTTTATGTGTGCGTAATGATTGTTCGGGAGCTGTAGCCTGCTTGCTCCATTGTCACGGCCACGGTGCTCGGCGTCGCTTTGGTGTGCGTGAAGGCGTATCGAAAAGTGTCTTGCAGGTGACTAGGTCTGGTTCTAGGCGGAAGAGGCCATGGCTATGACTGAGGCATCAACAGGAGGACACACGAGCTGTCCAGCTGCCTGGGAGCTGGAGATGATGGACGAGGGAAAGCGGTCAAGTCGCAGTGAAGCGCTCGAGGGCTGTGTTTGGAGGGCGGCGTCGGCGTGTGGTAGAGGTGCGAGAGCTGTCCTGGCGAGTCCGGAGGCACAGAACAGAGGCGTTGGAGCTGATTCTGGAGCTGGAGCTGGAGCTGGTGCCGGTGCTGGTGCCAAAGCAACACAATGAGTCTTGCGATACGCCGGGTAGCAGTCACACGCCTCGACACTCAGCAGCTGCGCTAGTGACGTTAGCGGACCGGGTGGTCGACGCGAGACAAGTGGAAAGGTACCAGGCGTCAACTTAGCTCACCTCACGCGGTTCGTAGAGTAGAGCACAAGACCTGGAGATGGAGAGAAGTAAGGAGATTTGGTCTGTTGTTATTGTCGTGAAGATGGCATGGCGGTGATGAGACAGACCATGGTGGCCAACGGGGACGAACTAACAATGCATTTCATCCAGGATGCTCGCGGCTGTCCACCCTAGCCACCGTGGTCCATCGATGCACCCTCCCGTCCCTCGCCCCGTTCCCCAGACAGCCACTAGCAGCCACAAGCCGATGCATCCCGGCCGTCGGCTTCCATTGTCACTCGTGACGACGACCGCTGATCTAGATGCGTAGGTAAGATGAGGTCGGATATGATAAGAAGTCCGCGCTCCAATAAGTGAGCCACATGATCTCCTCATGCCTCTGGTCGTCATTCCATCTCCTCGTGACTGCCTCCCGACCAAATGCCTATCTACACTTCCGATCCCGTTCGGGCTGGATCCGATGAGCAGCCGGGATCAGCTGGCCCCACCGCATCACATGCAAAGTGTGCACCATACGACTCCCGCCTCCTCCTCAGCATTCATCCATCCAAGCCATCCCCCTCGTCTTGACCCTGCCCAGCAGCGAACTGCTTGACCGCACTTTCACCACGATCACGCAGATGCTGGCTCGTCCAAGCGCCGAAAGGAGGCCGCTCATGGGCGGCCGCTTCCTGCCGTGTACCTGTTGCTGATGATTCAACAGAACGTGAGGGACGTTGTCAGCAAAGCATTGGTGCGGTACTAGCCGAAGTACCTTCTCCGTGACACCATCAAGTCCCGCTGTGTCTGTACGCGATGACACGTTCCAACCAGCAACGGCGCCAAGCAATATCTGTAACAAGACCATGATGAGCTGCGTCCATACCAACTACGAGCTAACTGCAGTGGCGTGCTTTTGCGCAAGAGGCTGAAACCCCACGTAATCATTCTCGGCGCAACTCTTCAACTGCTCGTGGTATCCGCTCATGCCACCAAAGTAGAACCTCAGACAGCGCTTCTTGCCCGGGATGTTGGCACCGAAGATCCAATTGTCCTCCGCTTTCCAAAACAGAGACTTTGCCGCCAACTTCTCGCAGAGCTGGCTCCATTTCTGCTCGCCCTCGTGCGTTGCTTCGACGAGACGTGTCCCACCCCTTTCCGCTTCTCCGATGATCTGGGCAATCCATTCTACTTGCGCCTCGATTGCTGCGTCTGTCAGCATAGGTCAAGAAGTCGGAGGATCATCTACTCACCCGGCGGGTTGTTTGTGAACGCTCCTTTTGGCCCATTGATCATAAACATGTTGGGAAACTCCGGTACATGCACACCGAACAGGCTACTGGGACCATCGCTCCACGCATCTGTGAGAGTAATACCATTCCGTCCGTGAACAGCCATCCGTTGGAAATTGCCTTCAACGGCATCGAATCCGGTCGCGAGGATCAGGACGTCGAGCTCATGCAACTGACCGTCAGAAGTCCGGACACCCCCTGCTTCAATCTGCACTATCGGCGTCTCCCTCAAGTCCACAACATCAACATTCGGTCGATTGAACTGTTCGAAATACCTCTGGCCATTTCTCGCGTTCCCATCACACAGCGGCCTTCTGGCGTACAGATCCCACGGTTTCAGCTTGCGTGCCTTTACGGGATCCTTGACGATCTCGTCAATCTTCTGCCGGATGAAAGCACAGGCGCCCTCGTTCGCCTCGTAGTCCGTGCTGATGTCGCTGAATGTCCCGAACATGAACCGGAACCCGTTGCCTTTATCCCAATTCTCCTGGAAGATGCGCTGCCTCTCCTCGGGGGTTACATCGTGATAAGATGTTCTGCCTGTTGGAGACTGTCAACGGAGCAGAGCCATATGGTCTACAGGGTCAGACTCACTTTCATCGATACCAAAAGCCGTAAAAGATGTTCGGACCTTCTCCCAAATGGCATCATAGTTGTCGTTCACGTACGCTCGATATTCCGGTGTCACCTTCCCATCCCCTGAAGGCACGCTATATTGAGGATGTCTCTGGAACGACTTGAGAGATTTCACTTGGCGGCTGATCTCCACCGCGAACCGATCAGCCCAGCGATCGACGGACAAGTGGCGACTAGCACTCACTTCTGTGATGACCTGTACCCCAGTGGATCCTGTCCCGAGTACCCCAACATCTTTGCCCTCCAACTCGATATCCTTTGGCCACTTGGCTGTGTGGTGGATCTTTATCGACCCATTAGACCGACTCAATTACGCAGCGATGGGATGTACGTTTGCCTCTCACCTCGCCTTGGAAGTCCCGAATGCCAGGGATATCAGGATAATTCGTCTTGGACAAGATCCCAAGCCCTAGGATCAGATATCGAGCCGTGACATTCCTGTCCCGATTGAGGACAAGGCTCCAACGCTGCCCGGAGTCGTCCCATCGTGCACTCGAGAGTTCGGTTTCAAATCGCATATCGGCCCGCAGATGATATCTGAAGAGTGGGAAAAGATCAGTCACTTGCGATCCTGAAGACAATGATCAACAAGTTCCCCCAAGAATATCGTACTTATCCGTCACATGTCTCAAGTAAGCCAGAACTTCCGGTTGCTTCACGTAATGCTCCGGCCACGGGTACGAAGACAAGTCATCTCGATCCCACGAGTAGCGATAGACGTAGCTTTCGGTATCGCTCATGGCTCCAGGATATCTGTTCCCGAGGAACATCGGTAAGCGTCGAGTAAAAACAACTGCTTTGTGAAGAATTGCAGCGGAAACCCTTACGTATTCCAATACCTAGGCAACCACAAAAGGCCAAAAACCATCAGTTCAATGAGTCTCTCCCTCCCCATACTACTACGACCGACTGACTGACTGACTAGGAACGCGGGTCTCACTCACCACGTCCCCCCAACATCCCCCGCGGTATCCACGCAGAGACACCGGAGCCCCAGATCATCTCTCAAGCAACGCAACGTATAGATCCCAGCGAACCCCGCTCCGACAATCACGGCGTCGAAATCTTCCTGCGCCATTTTGAGGCTTTTTTGTTTTCTCGTCGTCTCGTCGAACGGAAGCACGATTGTTGGAATGGAAATGAAATGAAATGAAATGAAATGGGAAATCGAAAGATGAAAGAAAGGCTCAGAAGATGCAGTCTTTCTTCTATGGGATGGATGGATGGATGGATGGATGGATAATGAGATCCGCGCTTAGGTTACTTTCCCCTACCTTACCTTATTACCGCGGAAGCTGCCTCGGGTATCGCGATCCTGAGGTGGAGAAAGCTTTCCATTGCGCCAGAAGGTGAGGTGGTCGTGTGGAATTCGGCTTCCTAGCTTAGCTTCTGTATTAACGAGCAGTATCAACCGTGCTGAATGAGGTCGTAGTGTGATTTGAGATGGAGAATTCCGATATGCGACACAGGCGAGCTGGCATCTGAATGGATGTCTGCCGACATCGGCATGCTTCTTGAGGATGACGCCGGCTGATGATACTCGTGTCTGTTAGAGATGAAATATCATGATTTCGGAGGCATGAAGGTCGAGAGTCGAAGAGTGTGTTACAGAATGCATGCGTGCATCACCAACCAACGCCCCGGCGGCCAAGAGATTGTAAGAAGTTCGAACGAAGGCCAAAAAATTCATACGTGGCTCCTTTCGTATCATCATTCGAATGACCAAAGGAAAAGAGTGAGTGTCAGGTGGCTGTCGATGGATGATTCATAATTCATATTCGGCGGCGAGCTGTTTCTAGCCGCATCTCTCGTCATGCTAAGACGGTTCGCTGATGATACATACAACATACATATGTGCACTCCTCCCAAACGCAAAAGGTATATGGCTGAGACATTTAAGGCCGCGGGCCAGCGCAGCGTTCTCATAGAAAAGAGTCGTTATATGCGTGTCAAATATCAATTCATGCTCTTCTTCCTCTCCGGTGGTCGTTCTCGTAATGCTCATACTCGTTGCTGTGAGTTTGTCCTTTGATTCGCCCTGGGTTGCTGTAGGATCTGCGTTGCCTTCCATATTCGTGGCCGCCCAGTCCACCCAAGATTGCACCGCCGAGAGTGCCAAGACCTGGGAATATGGCGTCTCCGATGATGGCACCACCGCCGGCGCCGAGAAAGGAATGGACGCCACTGGAGTGCTTCCGCTTCACCTCTGGCTTGTGATGGTGGTGGCTATGATGCGCTCCGCGACTTCGACTCCTGCTCTGCGAATCATCGCGATAAGGACTGCGTGGTGGTCCGTAAGCGGGTGTAGAGGAAGGCTTGCGACCGTCTGCGTTTCCATTTGCATAGACCTGTTGCATGGCCGGTGTGCCAGCTAGCCCAAAGTATCCCTGCGGTTGTGCCTGCAGATATTGTGCCTGCTGTGGATATGGCTGTGGTGGATATGGTCCTGGCGTGCCCGGCGGTTTATGCATGTTTTGCGGTGGCCTCCCGCTCTTGTGTGGTGGGTACGCGGGGTATCCATTTGAAGGCGGTGGTGGATAGTACTGCTCGCCGGGAGCGGATGGTCGGTGCTGCGGCGGCGGTTGTGAGTGAGGTCTTTGATCGAATTGGCTGTAGGGCGGCGGCGCGTCTGACAGAGGGTAGGGCGGGTTCAGGTTCCCGTGTGAAGGCGGAGCGAGACCCGGCTGGGGTCCCGTGGGCTGTTGTCCGCCGGGAGTGTAGTACTCAGCCGCAGCCATGCTGGTCGATAGTCTCGTAAGTCGAGACTCTTCAGGTCTTCTCGTGTGGTGAGCTGGTGAGATGTGCTTCGATGTCTCAGTTGTCGATGAAAAGGAACGAGTAAGGAGATGAAGACTAGATATCTGTATTACGCGCCAGGCAGAGAGAAGGTCAAAGAAGAGTCGCAAGGCGATGGAGCAGCTGATGAGCGGCCTCGTACAGTCAGCAGACCGGTGTTTTAAGTGCGGCGTGAGAAAGTCTTCTCGTCCGCTCGTGATCATACCACTAATACACACGCAAGTACATGTGCATGTATACTTTGGAGTGACGTCGATCCGAGGGGAGCAGATCTGCGCCGCGCCGCAGTCGAAGCGCCCGTTGAGGCCGACATGTCTTGCAGTAGTGGGGTAACTCCGGGCGAATGTTACGGCATCGGAGGAGTCGTGCACAGTGGCAAACTATATGGGGAAGCTGATGGCGGCAGCAATGACTTCTGATTCGGCGACACACGATGTTGCCTCGTTACTCTCCGGGCCGTCAGCACATGCTCCACCCGGCACTTCCGTTGCTGCTCTCAAGCTCCAGGCAGTGCTCATCGCCTCCTCCTTTGGAACGATGGACGGGACCTCTTCTCTTGCGCCGACTAAAGACTGCGACTTGGCATCATTGTGATGCGACACCAGACCTCACATCCTAGCAACATCTGTATAGTGCACAATTTGACTGCACCGATACATCTCTTTCCACCAATACTCTTCTCCACGGATCAAGGTATCCGTACGACTTGGCAATGCGGCTCATACGCTCTGCACTCCGAGGTTCTAAATCACTTGTGAATACTCGTGCCGGCTTCTAATCTGGGCAAAAGCCAGTATCTTCAAGCCTTTGAGCTATTACGGCATGCTGGTCCAAACTGTTCTCTGTAGACAATTTTCCTCGTCTTGACGTGATGTACCGTTCGTGAAGGTGACCTCTCGAGCAATACTTGACGTCTTTATCAGCGTGATTGAGCGGCCCGTCTGATACGACGTGCCTCTCCTATAATCGGTCAGTACAAGTTACGCAGGCAACGCACTTGTTACAGGAGCAGACGAAGCACTCCAAACAGTAGTTCCGCTCTTCGTCCAAACATTGCTTCGAAACTCCGCGATCCTCGGATCCAGGTGTCATGCTTGGGCCAGCGAAAAGCCGACTGCCATGCTTGAAAACGGGTTGAGATTTAGTATCCGTAGCAGCATCGCTTCGGCTGAGACGGGAGGATATTTCGTTGCTGAAACTGCTGCGTCCCCAGCCAAGCTTGTGGAGTGGGCGCGAAGGCAAGTCGCAGGAGTAGGGCGCAGTTCCAGAGTAACGTATTCAGAAATCATTGGCGTGGGATAAGATGCGTCTGGCGGCTTTCCCGCGCTGCTCAAAAGTAAGCCTCTCCAGCCTTTGGCTGCAAAAGTGAATTTGAGTACCAACAAAGGCGCCCTGACGTCGGAGTTGGCTAACAGAGTGGCCGTGGAGAAGCGAGGCCATGAAATTGAATACGGTGTCGGCCAAGAGAGGTGTGCCAAAGATGAGGTCTGCAGCCACACCGGCCTAGATTCAGCCCAAACGCCACTCTTGTGTAACATTCGGATTCAATGTTACAAGGAGATTGAACCAGTCGTGATATAGCTCTAGAGAAGTTGAGAGCAGTGATAGGTTCGATCCCGGTGCAGTATATTAATACAGGTGTGAGACTGTCGAGATCTGAAGGACTCGATGAGTGGTCCCCGGAAACCCACAGCGTTCGATGGAGGCAGCCTCATAGCGGAGGCGTAAGCCTCAAGTTCGAAAGGCCAGTGAGTTCAGTGCCATCTTGCAACAACGACGAAACGAGGCTGAAGAAAAGTTTAAGGTGTGGCTTTGACCTGCTGTTGACGGACGCTTCGCATCGCCGGCCAAGCAACTCAGCGCATTCCTTCGGTGAGCCATCCTCCACTGTCACCTTTAGGTGTTCTGTCGGAGAGCAATGACGGCCATATGCCAAGGAAGAGGCCTCGGTGCCTCTCCATGGAGATGGTCGGGAAAGTCGCAAAACGCTCGCTTGCGACCTTCCACTCGCTCGTCATGGGTTCGGAAGCTACTCACATGTTTGGTGATGGGTAGCGCGAGGACAGCGTCACCTGTCTTGATAGCGCAAGAGCTGTCAGAGCAAAGTGCCCCGAGAGGAATCCGAGGGTACTATCGAAAATGGAAAGCCCATATCGAGATGTTCACTTCGTTTCGAGATGATGCGAGATGTCTTCGGATTCGTTGACGAAAGAGTGTGCTGTCATAGGCGTCTTACCAAACATATAAGGTTAGAGAGAGTTGTGAATCCCATGCCTCGCGTGGACAACTCTCATCGCCTGCACATCAGCATCTCCACGAGGCATCAATGTGTTCCCGAAGCATTCCCAAGCATCCGGGCTGTGGCCACGCAGTGAGTTTTGCCAGAAGAGCCAAGAGAGTCGCCCAATCTGACCTCGTCCAGGCTCATGGAACTGCTCTGGAAAATGCCAAGATAGTGCGCTGCGAGAGGGCAAGCACTCGAGGGCGCTGTAACACTCCGGCATGGTCCTCATTCGATGTGAAGCGGAGCCACTGCGATCGGTGCATCATCCAAGGGGAACGTCTATCACAGCAGAAAGGGTAAGTGCAAATCAGAATGAAACATCAGCGGGTACATTTGAGCCCTGACTGATCCAGATAGTGATAGCCTCGACCCAGGTTGTTTCGCTCGTCGCATGGGAACGAGCTATACAGATCTTCAGAACGCGAATCCAGCTTGCTTCGCGGATCGAAAGAAGACCGAGCTTGGGAAAAAGGGCATTAGTCCTCGCTCGTTCAGATCTTGATTGACTGGCGGTTTGGGTTGGTCAAGCTGTGCTTTCAACGCTGTAAATCTCGTCCGAAGCTTTGTCGTGGTCAGTCTCGAAGTTGGAAGAAATCACCAGATGCGAAATTTCAAATGCAGGGTCGTTTGTGATGTCGTTCGCTCAGTATGGAAAGGATGATGGCCGTGAGAGGGCGTGGTGGGAAGAGAAGGAGCAAGGCAAGGAAGGTGAGGTCGAGATTTGCAAGAGGCCCGTGCGCTGCCAGCTACCCGCGAAAGGGAAGACGATATCAACTTTGTTTCAAAAACATCAACCCTCATTCTTTTCCCGTCATGAATAAATTTCTTGGCTTGCCCTCCGCTCTGCGGCGGAATGTTATGGGAGATGTCCTGGCCAGACTGGCCAAACGCTCGTTCAGCATCTGTCCCCAGCTGCAAGCATCCGGCCACGAGAACCCCCTCGTACGATCTCCATTGCCCCGTGCTCGCCATCACAGTATTCTGATACCTAACATCTTCAAAGGGTCTCCCACGATCAGGCACGCCGCCAAATCTAGCGGCTCGTATGAAGAGAGGTACTCCAATCACATACAAGTCGCGTCGACATTTTCCCCGGTCACAGCGCTTATTGAACTTTATTCCATCAGGTCTTCCCGAGAAGAAAGCAATCCCCAACGTCAGCAAAGTCATCGCCGTCAGCAGCGCGAAAGGAGGCGTAGGGAAGAGCACGATAGCCGTGAATCTCGCCTTAGCGATGGCGCAACAAGGTCTTCACACCGGAATCCTCGACACCGACGTCTACGGCCCAAGCATCCCTACTCTCCTAAACGTAAGCATTCCAACCCTCTCATCCCAACCACTGTCCCCATCAATTGAACCTCGTCCCTCTAGCTCGAAGGCCTGGAGCCCGAACTGGACCCGAACAACCGCCTCCTCCCCTTAACCGCCTACGGTCTCAAGGCAATGTCAATGGGCTTCCTCGTGCCCCAAACCAGCCCCATAGCATGGCGAGGTCTCATGATCCAGAAAGCGATGAACCAACTCCTCTTCGAAGTCTCCTGGCCGAAATTAGACCTCCTGGTCCTGGACTTGCCCCCGGGGACAGGCGATGTCCAACTCACAATCACCCAGAGCATCGAACTCTCCGGCGCCGTCATCGTTTCCACACCCCAAGACCTGGCATTGAGAGATGCGGTAAGGGGCATCGATCTTTTCCGAAAAGTCAACGTGCCGATCCTCGGAATGGTTCAGAATATGAGCACTTTTACTTGTGTCAATTGTGGCCATAATCATGATATCTTTGGACTGGACGGGGCGAGGAGGAAATGTAATGATTTGGGGATTGATCTGCTGGGCGACATACCGCTGCATCCTCAAATCTGCAGCGACGCTGATGCTGGAAGGCCGACTACAATCGCAGATCCTAACTCACCGCAAGCGCGGGCCTTCGGCTCGGTAGTCCGAGCTTTACGTTCCAACCTGAACATATGATGGAACAATCTCAGGAAATTGTTGCGAGCTTGTCGTCTCTTCATGACGGGCTTGTGTACACTTTCATCAAGGCGTCATGGGACGCCACTGATCATATTATATACTTCAGAAGTTTCTCTCAAAGCCTACCAGCCGTCAGAGCCGTTGCCAGGTGAGCCATAACCGCTTGGGTGTGGGTATTCACTGCTAGGACCGCTTGGGGTGCTGACAGAGCCTGAGAGGTTCAATGCAGCCTTCAGAGGCAGGTTGCGGCTCGAATTTCCAACGTACACAGTCTTGGGGTAGCTTGAGATGACCCAGTTCTGCGATGCCGTATCCCAGTTGCTCAGATCTCTCCGCGTAACGGTGGCATTGAAGGTGGCGCTTGCTCCAGGCTGGATCGTCAAACGGTCGAAGTTACGCAGAACGACCTTGGGATCGTTGGGCCCACCAAGACTCACGTAGAGCTGCGGAACCTCATCGCCGACCACCTTGCCAGTGTTCTGGACCGTCGCTGTCACCGTGAAGAGAACATCGTACAAAGCCGGATTTCCTCCTGGGGCTCTGCCACCTGCTGGCAGGTATGGCTGTGGGCTACTGTCGTACGATCCCTGAGGCCAGGAGTAGCTGACTCCGTACTCTGGATCACCGCTGGAGGCGCCGAGAGAAGAAGAATTGAGGTATGGATAGATGTACGCTTCGACTCGAGAAAAATTGGCCGGGAATACGTATTCGGCCGAGTTGTTCCCAATTACGCCGTAAGTGGGCGCAGGAGGTGTACTTCCCGAAGTTGGCGTGTATGCTGGAATTCCGTTCGACTGCACCTGCAAGTTCGAGAAGGCGAATGAAGTGTAAGACAGTCCGTAGCCGAATTCGTAGATGGGCTTGATGTTGGCTCGGTCGAAAGCCCGGTAGTCGATGAAGATACCCTCCACGAAATTGTCCTGAGGAGCGTTGACGCCGTTGTTTGGCGTGTATATCACGTCTGTACCATAATCCTCGCGCTTGGCACCCCAAGTAAAAGGAGTCTTCCCGCCAGGATTGGCCTTTCCATAGAGGATGTCGGTAATGGCGTTTCCACTTTCCTGGCCGGGAATGCCGGCCCAGACAATGGCAGTGACGTTCGGGTTCTCATACCAAGGCGTCACAAGAACAGGGCCGACCGTGTGCATGACGACTACGGTGTTGTTGCATTGGCTGGTCACGTTCTGGATGAGCGTATCGCCATTATGCCACAATGTGAGGTTGTTACGGTCACCCTCGTTGCCGTCGACGACCTAAGCGGCAATGTTTAGAAACGTCCAAGACCTCCGTTCTCAGCGCAATACTTACAATGTAGCCTTCTCCCGAATCAGAGTTGGCAAAGACCAGGCACACACCGTTAACCTCTCCAGCTCGGTGTGCCAATGCTGAAATTTGCGAGTACGCGTAGTCGTCTGTGACCGACTCGATGTTGCCACGTTGGCCACGAACTTCAGCCTTGATCGCTTCAAGGGGGGTGATGAGGTAGGGAAAATTGGCAGTGCCAGAGCCCCATCCCATTGCCAAAGTGCCGTTGTCACAGCCCCGATCGGCGCAGCCATTCGGACCGTATTGATTCTCGGCCGCATCGGAGCCAAATACGGTGGTGAGTTTCTCCTTGCCAGTGAGCGGAAGAACACCGTTGTTCTTCAAGAGGACGGTGCCCTTTGTTGCAACTTCACGAATGCCTTGATAATGCTCTTGCTGAACGTCAACGTGGTAGTTGATCTGCGTGAAGTCTTCCTGAGCAAAGAAGTGTTGGAAGCCGTAGGTGTCCTGGGACCAAGAAGAGAAGTTCGGCGCATTCTCGACCTGGTTGTTCTCGCGACCGACGTAATACCAGGTAGCCACAATGCGGACAGCCATATCATCGAGACGCCACTGGGGAATGGTGCCGTTGAGGAGGGCAATAGTCATGTTCGTTCCCCAGTACGAAGTTGCACTGTCAAATCCCACGTCTCCTGGCATAGCCATGTCCATCCCAGCCAAAGCAGCGCTGACTCCAGAGTGCTGCGCGCCCCAGTCGCTTCGAAGACATCCGGTCAGCTTGTTATCGTGACGTATGTGTATACCGCTACTCACCTCATCACGAAACCCTGGAAACCAAGCTCATTCTTCAGCAGGTAGTTGAGCATGTACGAGTTCTGGCAAGCGTAGCTATTGTTTATCTGATTGTAGGAACACATAACGGATCCGGTGCCGGCTTTGACAGCGTCTGCAAATGGCCAGAGATAGAGCTCGTGCATAGTGACATCGTCAATGTTGGAGGAAATGGCAGCGGTCAGATTGGCGGGCGGTGGGCCTTGTCTGAAATGCTCCTGTTCGTTGGCAATGCTTTGGAGCGGTCAGTCTTGATCAAGTATCTTGCGTTTTGAGTAGAGAGAGCAACGGACAAATGCTTGGTACAAGCGATGACTCCTGCATCCTGAATGCCCTTCACTGTCTCTCCGACAGCAATGCCAGATAGAACCGGGTCAGGCGAGAAACCCTACGGATATCGATGAGCATCGCACGCAACATGTGTCTCATGCAATGGAGGACCTACCTCCCAATTTCTTCCTCCCTCCGGAGATCTTCCAATTGGGCCCACGACAGGTCCGAGCTGGACGTCGACGCCCTTCAATTTGTGCTCCGTACCCATGTCGTATCCTCGCTCGTAGAAGAGCTTTCGATCCCAAGTCGCGGCCGCCATCACCCCCGCTCCAAAGGCAGAAGCAAAGTCTCCAAATCGAACGCCCAATGGCGAGTCTTGCATGCACAGTGCTCGGTAGCCCAGGCGAGGGATGGCTCCTACGTTGCCGACGCATTTCTCACCCTCCCAGCCAACTCCAGTAGTGAGGTTGACCTTCTCGACGAGGGTGAGTTGCTCGACGAATGCCTTGGCCTTGAGGTATGCATCTTGCCAGTCGCCGAGTCCCTCTCCCCAGGGCGAGGGATACTTAGGAGGCGATTGGGCGTTGTCAAGAGTGCTGTTGGTAGAGGATTGGGCGAGGGCGAGTGGAATGGTCGCCAGCAGGGCGGTGGGAAGGAGATGCATGATGGTATGCGATGAGCTGTGCAGTGGTGCACAGCGTGTGAGTAGCCTGCAGTGCCTGTAATGTAAGTGAAGTCAATCCGGGATGCCTGCTTGTATCAGATGCCCGCGGGACAAGACGGGACAAGGACAAGGACCTGGACAAGGAGGACAGAGTGCGTCGTGCCTTCTTGTAGTAGCTTCGCGTAGATGCAACGCACAACGGCAGTGCAACACACAACGGCAGGCGGAGAAATTGCTCGCTTGTTTGGTGAGTGCGGGTATTATTGAGGCCCAGCATCGCGCAGCGCGTGGGCAGGAGCTCCCCGCAGCGATCTTATCCGTATTCGCCAAGATGGAGGAGCGTTCCTGCCTCTTCGTCCATAGTGATCATCCTACTTCCCCAGTCTTCCCCAGCGCCAGACCAGATCGAGGACGGGACGGGGAGCGGGCCACTAGCGATCTCAGGTTACATCGTCGTCAGGGCACAGCACATACTTCCATGGCTGGAGGGCATTCGTCCATGGCGCCTTCCACGTTCACAGTTGCTGTGCCGTGCCGTGCCGTCATCATGCGGTTGCACAGCTGTGGCGAGGTGGTTGTGGTCGTATTCCGCCTTGCCGATTGCCGAAATCTTCTTCCAAGCTGTTTATCCTCTCGGGAAAGCAGCTAGAGGGGATGAAGGAGCGGACTTCCATCGATCGTTTCCGACTCGCTCGCTTGGTTCGTGTGTCATGGTGGCACGCCTTGCCGAGATGTCGGGTCAACCACGCGACCTACTTCGCATCCACTCCATAATTCCATCGTCTTCTTCTTGTTGCCGTCAACTCTTCTGGACCTTCATCACCAACGGCTTTCCTGTTTTGCCGCTGCTGCTCCTGGACTACTACGGAGGACTCCTCTCGTCTGCTTCAATGATTACAGACCTCTGCTGCGGCTGACCTGCCGGTGATAGTCCTTGGCAGAGCGCATCTCCGCGTCACAAGCTGCAAATCGTACACCTCCAGCTGCCTTCTAAGGCCTGCCAATGCCTGTGCTTGTGCATCTAGCAGGCTTGTTGATGCATCCTCCATGACGTCCGTCGCTGACCATGGCAATATCAGAGATATCCGGCCCCCGACATTGCTGCCGGAGCGAGGCCTCAATCGGGTTCGCAGATCAATTCCACCGCGTGCACAGCGTGAGGTGCTTCACACCCTGGCAGCTCATCCTTGTCTAGTCAAGGATGGTGAGATGCGATATCGATACCTTGGCCTACTCATCCCCATCGTTGCGCACATGAAAATGGATCTCGCTCCTTACTGCATCCCTTACGCCATATGACGGTGCAGCGACTGCTGAAACCAGGCGAGCGAGTAGTCACTGCAGCACTGAGCGCGCTCGTCCTCCCTAGCGTGAACGATGTCCTTCAAATCCTTCACTTTCACCTTCTGCAAGAGGATGAAGGAACAAGCAGTTGAGAATCACACGCTTCCTTGCAGCCTCTCGGCCGATACGTTGATAACATGCCCTTGGACACTTAGGTGAAATTGGTATCGCTATACCGAAGAAACTATCGAGGTCAAGGATACGGCACCGAGGTCATCCAATACGCTCTGGAATGAGGTTTCCGTCGTATACGGGCTTTTGCTTGAAATGTCAGGGCGCTGAAACTGTATGAGAGGCAAGGATTCGTGGAGGAAGCGAGGAGGAGGGATTTCTTCCGGCATGATGGGGCGTATCGCGATTATGTGGAATTGGCGAACTTGGAGCATGAATGTAGGGAGAGATACGACGGCGAGGGATAGACATAGGGGAAGGTAGTGCGTCGTTGTGCAATTGTCGACTTGGATGATTGAGTCTGCCTCCACCTCCCTCTCCCACAGGAGCAGATGTTCCAAACTCGGCACTGAGCTCTGCGATTTTCCTCCTGACCCATTCCGAATCGCTCTCTTCAGGCTTCAACCGTCTCGTCATGAATCGTTCGATCTCGGCCGGGACCACTTCCAACCTCTTTAGTCGTAACTTTTTCTCACCATCCTCACAGCTCTCATCTACAGCAACACTCCAAATGCCACCCAGATCATTCCGATACTCCACCGCGAGAGCATAATCTTCCACAAAGTCACCGCATACGTACAGATTAGCTAGTGCCCTTGTAGACTTCCACTCCCTGGACATGATGAGAATAATGACCCTGTACAATGTCCATGCCGCGCTCGTCGACCAGGAAATGTGCCAGGTCCTGGGTTACTTGGCTCTGGTTCGCAGGCGTAGTTTGGGTTCCCAATGACAGGACCAGATGTAGGATGCTGCGTCGGATGGGGTAGTTTGTTGATTGCGTTGGCGGAGACGGTTTTTTTGTTTGGTTTTGGAGGTATCGTTCCTCAGTCTCGCGGAGGGAAGGATGCGGCCCAGATGCAGACCTTGTAGGGAGGTTGAGAGCTGTCGGAAGATGGAAGAGATCGGATGGCCGGTCTAGTGGCTTCTACCTCGTCTTTTCCCGGCCCAGCAAATGCGATTCCAGCCTGTTGCACGGCCTTGATGGTCTCTGTCAAACCCGTCTCACCAGAGTCGAGGGTGTGATTATTCGCAACGCCGGCGTAATGTACGTTGGAGGCACGATGTGCGCGTATATTCTCGGGATGCATTCGATAGTTGAAGACCTTGTCATGCCATTCGCAGCCATGAGTCCTGACAAAAGTTTCGAGATTGGTAAGATTGGGGTCGCCTTTCTGAAAGAGAAGTATGGCGTCGCCCCAAGCAGACTCTGGTCCCTAGCTGGCCAACTTGGGGTTTGAAGCCGCAAGGGAGCTGGCTATGTTGGCTATGTTGGCTTCCGAGGGCTCGTCGACGTGCTGGGGTGAACATCTGGCCAATGAGCCGGCCGAGCATGACATCGCCCGCATTCGCGACGTGCCATTGTCCGCACAACCCTTAGCATAAGCACCTGTTGTTCCGATGGTGAATGAGTAAGCCTCCAAGATCACAGTAATGGCTTTAGCTCATGCATGTCCTGGTGCAAGACAGAAGCTGTGCCGAAATAACGATGCATTCACCCGGAACATGAATGGTGCAGCTGCAATCATCTATCCAGCCAGAAATCAATCCTAGCCAAACCACCGACGATGAAACAGCTTCCTGGCCCCTAGAAACTTGTTGACCAAGTACATCAGCCACTGCAATGGCAAGAGGTTGCCCATTGGCCTTTTCGCCACAAGCGGTAGCCTTTGGCGGAGCTGTTTTATTTCTGGTTTCTTGATGCTTACGGGCACAGGGCCGAACTGCCTGTCGAATTCTATGCCAGTGTCAATGATGTCTTCCCACCGGACGGCGAAGAGTAGCAGCGCTGCCATTGTGTAAGCTGCATCATTCGAAGCATTGTGCCATCCGACGATCCCGCCTCCATTCCAGTACTTCTCCTCGATGCCTAAAGCTCTGACCCTGATGACGAAAGCCAGACGATTAGCAGTAATTCCAACTAAGCACTGCATCCTTCGTCTCCAATTCACTTACATGGCGCTCAAGTTGAGTGCGGGAAGACGAGCGCCTGCTTTCTTCGCATGTTTTCCAATTGCCAAGGTATCGAAGAGCCTTGCGACTGTCACGCCTGTAATGGCGCTATTCCTGAGACTTAGAGAGAGACTGTCTTGGATCATGGACAGGTCACTCGTCAGAGACTGACCAACGAGCACAACACTACCTGTGCTGCTTTCTGCTCCCGCTGCGCGAAAGATATCTAGAAGCATTTCTCTCGCAGCACTCGGAGACGCATAATTGCTTCTCGCGAAGAGCGCCGTCTTGATGTTGCGATTTTTATGCCCTGTGACAACGATATGATCTATTGATCAATTAGACAAACTTTGTTTCCAGTGACAAGTGGTAGAGGATGCTTACAGTTCCGAAACATGGAGACCCAATTCCTGCAGTAGGGTCTTGTTGAAGGAAGAATTTGTTAGTGAGAGTTCAAGGCACATTAAATGGCTGTCATACCCAGGCTGCGCAGAGGCGAGGTCTCTAGCCCGAACTTGCGTTATTCCGATTTCAGACAGATTTTTGCCCTTGAACTCAGTATCCAGTGCGATCAGAGTGACATCTTGCTGGAGTATGATATCACGTAGGTCGTTAAGGCTACCATAGGAAGTGCCTGCAAACTCTATCCGCAAGGCTGCCATCTGCCCTTTTTCCTTTCTCTTCTGCACTCTGGCAGCCAGTATACCCCGAGCGGCAGCCCGAGTGGCAGCCCGAGTGGCATCCCGAGTGGCAGCCCGAGCGGCAGCCAGAGTGGCAGCCCGAGCGGCAGCCAGAATATCCCGTTTGGAACGTGTCGTCTTACCAATCTCCTGTACTCGATGAGCAGGCAAGCTTCGACTCTTGAGTGATTCTCTTTGCGACCGTTGGTTTGGTAGAAAAAGCCCAGAAGTCATGCGCTTACGAAGATTTAACCTTGGTTTCTGCAGAGTACGACCATTCGCTGCGAAATCGGTGAGCGAATATCGAGAGTATTTGTGAGATCGTAAAAGTCACCTTGGGCTTCCAAGACCGTGTTTGCTAATACAGGAGATGCTGAAATATATCTCCGTGGCAGACGCCCTGCCAGGGGATTGTAAGGCCGCTTGTGCACAGCATGGTGTGGCGAGGTGATCATTGATGGCTGACAGCTCTCGTCACCTCATATCTTCGTGGCCGCGGGAAGAGGTGATGATATCGAACGGAATTTGGGGTGAGAGGTGTTGTGGCGTTCACAAGAGAAAGTCGTGGTATGGTCATGTACGGAAGGCGCTCGCGACAAGTTGGAAGAAACAATCCTGCTCACGTGACAAAGAGATACGATTGACAAGAATTGTCTGTACTGAAAATCTCTGGCAAAGATGCAAATTTCATTTTGGTGCACTATCATCTAACACATTCCTTCATACTCGCGAGCCACTATCTCACTGCATCCCAACCTGCTTCAATGACTGGTGTTAAACAAGTAGTCAGACAGCCTCGCAGCACTTAGCTGGAATGGATGTTCCGCATCTTGAAACAGGTCGCCCTCTGTGGATGCAATGGGATGATACTGAAAGTAGGACTCTGGTGGCAAGCAGTGGGGTGTGGCTAGTTGCGTCGGGCTTGAAGAGCCACTACGGCAGTGAGGTATGGAGCAAGGTTGAATATTGCACACCTGCCTCGTAGACGGATCACAATCAGGGTCGTGGCAAGGCTCGCAAGGATCGCAGTCGGGTTCATCGCAGGGCTGAATAGAATCGTGTTCGGAATGCACATCATTGCACAAGATGTTGCACGGCAAGCAAAGGGGTATGTTGCACCCTTGTTTGCTGCACTCAATCGAAGGAGTTCGACGTGGTGTGGGCGCGAGGCGAGGCGTTGACACGCTGGACACGCGTGACATAGGGCTGCCGCTCATGATCGACTGTCTCCGAGACTCGGATCTTTTCGAAGCCGTCTTGAACAGCTGCACCCACAAATTCCACGCATGCGGATCAGTCACTGTCTCCAGGCCATGACCCTCTCGTTCACAATGTTCCTTCATCTTGTCCTTCCGGCTGTCGACGTAGGGGCAGCCGTGAGTATGTCTCGCTGGGCATTTGATACCCGTTTCGGGATTGTGGACCTGCTTCTTGTGCTTGGACAGGTTGGATGAATCGTCAAAGGCTTGTCCACAATGAGGACAAATATGCTTCTTGGCCTTGAGATGTACACTGTTCATATGTCCGTCCAGGGCATGCTTCACAGCGAAAGACCGTCCACAGCCAGGCCAGGTGCAGACGAAGTCTTTTGCGCCTGTATGTGTTGTCAAGTGTTTGTCCAGCTGGTCTTTGGTGACAAAGGCTTGCGAGCAACTTGGGCATGGGAAGGGCTTGTAGCCTGTGTGGCTATGTACGTGCCTCACCAGTTTGTTGGCAGTTGGGAAGCTACCTTTGTCACAGCCTGACCAGTAGCATACAAAGCTGCCCGCCCCACGGACGTGGTGCGACTTGATATGGTCATTCAGTGACTTGGCATCTGCAAACTTGTGACGACAAGCCGCACCGTTCAAAGACCACTGGCAGCAGTATTGTCCATTGATGAGTGCGGAAGCACCAGCAAGACCCGGTCTACGCATGGATCTTGGGCCGGTCGGAGTCTTGACGGTCAGGCTTTGGACGTACTGAGGCATCGCGGGGACCGACTGCTGGGTGGTGTTCAACTCCTGCGAGATGTGCTGAGAAAGTTGCGAGAAGTCGTTGAACTGAGAGAAGTTCATTTGTCGTTGGTTGTCTGGAAGTCCGAAGTCCAGGCTATGCTGTTGAGTTGGCATGGATAACTGCTCATCCGTGAAGGCGGGATACTCTGTGGCTTGGGGATTGTTCTGGCCGTTGGTCTGATGTACTCCATCATGATTCTGAGGATCGATCAGAGAAGAGAATTGACTCGATGGATGCCAGTAGGGCAGGGTAGACGAGTTTGCCTCTCCGGCAACGCCATTGCGCAGTGCGCTCTCTTCGAACCTAGTCATGGCGGATGTCGAGCCAAGAGCAGTCTAGACGTATCCAAGCCAAAGCAGTATAAATGCCACGCGCCCAGCCCACCCGCAGAAGAAAAACGTCGTGTGAGACGCAGCACACAGAGCCTTCGCAGAGAATCGCCCGTGTTTCAGTAGCGATGGCCGGTCTGACTGGCCGGAGAAAGTATGTGTCGCGGTCCAGGAAGCAGTGGTGGGAGGCCGTAAAGATCGAAAAGGCTGCGAGAAGAGCTCCCTTTGTTCAAGAGCGAGCTGGCGGACGACGTAAAGGCTCCCGGTTCATGACCTGCGAGACGTGTTGTAGGAGGTGGACATTGCGCAAATAGGGTTCGTGCTGATGCCAGCGCAGTGGTCGAGAGGGTTTGTGGGTGTTACTGGCTGACGTAGGATCTGATTCCCGTCGCACTGCTTTCACGCTTTCAGCACCGTGATGGACAACACCTTGATGGACAAGCCGCCGAGCCACGCCTCAAAAAGTTGTGGGCGGTGAGTGGGCATCTCGTCGCACGCGCCTGCAGTGCCGTCCGACCTGCTCTAGATACCTTATACGCCGAGTCCGCCGCCCGATGCGTACATGGACGGAAGTTGCGGGATGATGATAATAATAATAATGTTCGCGTGGTGGGAGCTCTGGTGGTGTTTGTTCTTGCCCGTGGGATGTCAAGAACAATGCGGCGCGCGTGATTGTCTCATCTGTGTCATCGCGGCCCCCAGATTGCGGGTCCGGCCCGCCGCAGCGCGCAATGACTGACTGCACGTGTTCGACTAGACATCCACATCCCAGGTTGCAGGGACTCCGCTTCGAGAGCATCTGCCGCAGAGTGTAGCACTGTCGAATGCGCCTCCATTCGGATATCCCATTATTACTATTGGCATACACGAAAACCTTCCCGCGACACTCACCAGCACACGCAGTCGAGAACGTCCTCGCGCCGGGCCAGTCCGATTGAACCGCTCTGTTGCTTCTTGCCTGCTATGGGCAATTGCTGCGGAAAGGCCGACTCAGGCAATTTCGAAGGCGAAGGTCGAACTCTTGGAGCTACACCCGCGAACGCTCCCGCCTCATCAAACAATGCCACCGCTGCAGCACCGCCCAAGATCAGCGCGCCTCACGGCGGAAGAACATTAGGGCGGAACGAGCAGGTACCAAGCGAATCGGCAGCTCCAGGAGCGGCGGCGGCGCGTGCAGCAGAGGTACGTCTCAGGGAGATACAAGAGCAGGAGCTCCAAAGGCAGACAAGCGACCACACCAGTGCGAAGCCTCTTGAATGCAAGACCCTTGAGGCAATCGCACGAAAATACGCGGAGGTCACATCGTATCCAGTGGTAGAAGTGCTGACTATCGGGCCTAGGAGCGACAGAAAGCCACACAGGGCAAGGGCAAGCTCGGGAAACAATTAGACGCACAGAAGGCGCAAACACACACCGGAACATTACAGCAAATCGCTCAAGATAACGTTGCTGCCCGAGACGCAGACGCTGCAGCGCAAGCCCGGAATTACAATTGATGTCGCGTTTTTATCACCAGGTCGTTAAAATTTCTCGCCAGCAACGAGGCACATGATCTTAACGAGTTGTTCTCTTGAGCGAAGAGTTGCAGCTTTGCCCGCCATTCTAGCGATTGATGCATTGATTAGCATTACGATACCCTTCATGCGATCTCTAATTTTAAAGGTATACTCCAGATTCGAAACGCTATTCGGTCGTCGTTTCGCACAGATGTGCAGAATGTTTGTTTTGTGCTAGAAGAGGACGAAGCGGCTCATGATGCTGCTTTCCAGAGCCACACAGACCCCAGCCATTCCTCGCTCGGGCCTTTGCCCCAGGCACCGATTAAGCCAAATGGTGTAAGGCAGAGCTCCCAGTACCAGCGCCAGTTATCGAGGTACGTTTTGTGACCTCGGAAAATGCACATCTGCTCGCTCAGTATAACAGAGCCGTCGATGTTGAACGGCCCATGGCCATCCAGACATTCAGTCGCAATCAGCGAGATAACCCTATGATTGTCCTCGCTCTCGGATCTATGACGTTCGAACTTGATGTTGACCATTGGCGGGTCGATGTAGCTTCCTCGACTCGTCCACACGTAGTAGCCGCACCAGGTTCCTTCTAGAATAAAAGACGGCTGAGCTAGTTGCTCGCTGCTCTTCTTCATCCAAAGATACCACCGCGACGCAAACGGTAGTGGTAATTCCATCGTATCCACTGACGTCAAGAATAGTTCTTGCGGACGTGGTAGAGCCACATGAGGCGGTGAGGCACCGTCTCCCCCTTGGAACATCAGACCGACCCTCCTGTTAAGCGCCGCATAGCAGAACCTCCAAAGTCGGGCCACCATAGAATCGCCTTGGCGAAGATATAAGTCATCCTGCATGGCGAGACTTTTGTGAAGCTGAGGCATTGGCTCTCTGCACGCGAGAACGGCCATTGCCTGGCAGAACATTTGCCTTGCAGAGATCTTGGTTGGGTCGCGGAGGAACCGTCTCCAGCACTGATGGAACATAAATGGATGTTTTACGACAAAGAGCTCCGGTAGCCAAGCCAAATGATTTTCAGGCGTCTCTAGTGGGCATTCTTTTTCTGCTAGACACCATGCCTTCTGGTCGGCGACTGCATAGCGAGCCCACGCCTCCACATCTTTCTGGCAACGAATGGAGATGGACGAAACATCCAGAATGTCCAGCCTCCAATGATTCAATTGTGATTCGATCAGGATGTCTCTGAAGACCAAGGTATCGTAGCAAGCATCTCGAAGTTGACGAGATGTCTTCGCCAAGGCGAGCGCGGTAGTAGCATCAGAACTTGTTGCTATAAGAGAGATCAATTCCTTTGGCAGCTGGCTGAATGGTGAAGCTTTCATCATGTGACTTGACTCGGGATGATGCAAGAACTAGTATCGTGGAGGACTACCTTAAAGCTGTTTGCATGTGAGACTGAGTAACATGAGGGGGAAAGAGGTGATGTCGAAAGCGGGCAAGTCATTGGCGGGGCTGCACTAGCGCCGGCCATTGCCGTCAGCCGAGCGAGTGTAAACATTGGAAACCAGGAACAACTCCCGAACACCACACTGTGCACCACCGCCGAGTGCGATCTCACGACAACATCCTTACCACGCGCACGTACGACGCACTGTTTGGACGCTCCAACAACTGAGGGCTTCTGGATGCATATGCGACGCGAAGATCACGAGTGTTGAAACTGCAAACACGCGACGAGGCTCGCACCTGCCGACGCGACGCCTGCACTCACTACAGACAAGACATGTCGATCGTGTTGACTCGATCACCTTTGGAACCAATTGGAATGAACGGCGGAGGCGTCGAGAAGCGCCGCAGTGCGCGCTTGTCGCACGAAGGAATTGTGGAAAACGAGCCTCCTGCGAAGAAGACCAAGACCAACGGTGCTGCAACTAGCACCACTACGGTGAACACGAAGCAGCAGGATGGCGAAGGCAGCAAAGCCGCGACGAAGAGGAAACGGAAAGGTGAGGAGACGCTGCGCGACACAGTGATGGCGCATACTAACATCGCGTAGTGTATGATGAAGAAGACGACGGCTTCACTTTCTCCAAGGGCAAGCGCGGGAAGGCAAAAGACACGAAACAGCCTGCTACTGCGAAGAGTAGCGACGAAAGCAGAGACGAAGATATTGCGCCCTCAGCGCATTTAAGCGATCAACAGCCAGCGCAGCCCTTAGAAGACATCGCGCCCAAGACTACCCAGAAGAAGACGCGTCGCAGATTACCCACAACTCCCGAGCGGGATGGCACAGAAAAGCGCGTTCGACGCAGCAAAAGATTGTCAACTGAGAAGGAGCCGGAGGCCGCGCCGAAGCCCTCGCCTCACCGCCCATCTCACGCCAAATCGCATGCGAACACTCAGCGCGATCGCTCATCCAGTCCAGTAAAAGCAAAGCCGGTAACCGTGGAGAAGAAGCGAAGACATGGCGCCAATGGAGTCGAAGAAGAGAAAATCATGATGATCAGCTTGCCTTTTGCAGATACGCCCATTATCAAGAGGAACAAAGAAATGCGCAAGACCAGCGCTGAAGGTAGCCGCAGAAGCTCTGCTGGAATGCGAGGAAAGAGAGCCAGCAGCTTGATAGATGAAGGACGGGGTCAAGGTAAGATACTCCTTTCCTCGTGCATACAAAAGCTCTCACTCCTGACGCCTTTGCCTGTAGAGGCGTCAAAAGGTTCGCCAGATCATTCTCAGAGGCATACATTCGACAATCACGACAGATCGCTCAGCCGTTCGCTTGGTCCGGTGACCAACGACATCGATCATCTGTCACTTGTTGCGGAAAAGTACTCTGTTGCTCAAGAAAATTTGGCTGACGATGATGTCTTCACTGCAGCATTACCACATGAGGAGGTCCCAGCATCCGAGTTCTTCAAGCACATCTCTGCAGATCTCACGGAAAACAGGCGAATGCGTTGTTTGCTAGGTTGGTGTGGTAGCAGAGCTTTGCCTCCGAAGCCGGATCCTCCCAAAGACAACACGGCCCAAGCGAGGGTGGATTTTCAAGCACTCCAAGCCGGTATGTATAGATTATTGTTCCAGCAGGCTTGGTGTTCGCGCTAACATTAAGGCAGCTCGCATAATTCAGGATGAACTGTCTCAGGAGCTTATGACCAATGGAACTCTGAGCGATTGGTTTTCTCGAGATGAATCGGCACCGCCCCAGATACCGCTGCGTAAAAAGCCGAACCCGAGAAACGTAACCAACGCTGCGAAGGCCGATGAGCTTGAACGAGAGCTTGAAAGGTTGAAGAAAGAACGCGCTGAGTGGGATGAGCTGGAGCAGGCAGCAGGAGCTGCCAGCGCTTCATCTGAAGACCAACCGAATGCCGAAGGGGAGGTCTCAACTCTAAGACCCGATGTGCTAGACAGTCCTCAACGAGCGATTTACGAGCAACTGCAGTCCTCCGAAGCAGACTTGTCGACGGATCCTGAACGGATACAGCAGCGCCTTCGCACGATCTCAGACGACTTGGAATTCGCTTTGGACCAATTTGCGCATGGTGTGCATGCGCTCAGCACGACCAGGGAGACTGCCGAGAAGGTGGCAGAGCGGTCCCTTGCGGACGCAGCGAATGCGCTGGAAGAAAGACAGAAGCAACGAGCTGGCAGCGGCAAACCTGTCGACCAGATGGATGCTCTGCGGGGCTTGGCGAGAGTTCTCAATTCACAGTACAGATGACGAGAAGGGGTAGGGAAAGGCAAAGGGATGTATATGTGGCGCTCACTGTTTGCTGGCTTTCGCAATGAAGACTTCAACGATACCTCTGGAACTACTCGTGCATGCCTCCGTCTCTGCTTTATACCGCTCCAAATGGTTGACAAAGGGCAAGACAGGATAGCTCTCGCCATCAGTATATTGAAAGCCTACCAACGCGAAAGGTCTGGAGAAAGGGTGCATCCTCAGTTGGTGCTGTCCCGAAGGCGGCGTCTCGGAAGCCACCATTGCCATTGTTAGATGGACGCCTTACCGGATGAAGAGGGGAGGGCGTTAAGCGTAGGCGCTCACATGTATGCATGACGAGTGACGAGGGAATGACGAGCAGGATGTTCGACATCCTGCAGGTGCTTGATGCGAGTTTCCGTTCTTCTTCACAGCAGCTTCACAGTAGCTTCCCAGACCAGAGGTGTCGTGCATGTGATGAGGAGTGATTGCACGAGTGCCCCTGGCGCCGACTCGACTGTGGACTCAGACTAAGGTAATTTCCAGAGCCCCGGCCTGGCACGGAAGCAGCCGCGCACACACGCGCCTCAACAACTTAACCGTCTGTGATCCACATCCACCGCGCAAGGACTCAAGGCAGCTCGAGCAGAGCAGAGCACAATGCACTCCGCCTCTTGTGCACCTCTCTCCCCTCCGCAGTCGCTCTTACACCATCCACCTCCTTCTTGAACATTATTGTCAATGTCCCCGTTATCATTAGGCTTTCGCTTCATCCCCAGTGCCCGCTAGCCGGCACCCTACTAGCCCACTTAGCTCTAGCGATCGACTCCATGTTTTGATTGCCTCTAACCTTGGGAGAGAGCGCTTCGGGACATCCAACACTCCTATCGCCCTCACATCCGTTCCACCTCGCCTCCAGCATCAAACATCCTCGACGGCACCCACATTCCTTGGCAGCACACTCTTCCACCCGCGACACGCTGGCCGCTCGACAACACAGTCTTTACAGAAACCACCGTCAGGCATGCGAGTCCAGGAGAACTAGAACACCACATCCCAGCAGCACCAACACGATTCATATTCGCCAAATTGCCCCTCCCTCGCACTCATGTCTCTGGCCGCAGCGCTCGCCTCAGAGGGCGTGCGGCCGGCCAGCTTCCTCCCCTCCATCAAGTGTTCCGACTGTGGGAAGGAGATTGAGATATCCGACATAGGATCGCATGTGTGTGGAAAGAGTGATAGTCCTCCGCCGTCCAGCAAGAGCCGCAAAATCAGCATGAGCAATCCCTTCACGCTGCGCAAGCTCAATGCCGGAGGCCAGCCGGCAAACGCTCCTTCACCGCTACAACAGGACTCGTCTGTCATCGCGCCCAGTCCTGTCTCGAGCAAGTCGGCCAGCAAAGCGTCTCGAAGCCAACCTCCTAGAATTAATCCCGAGGCCGCCAACAGGCCGTTCCTGGCTCCAATCCAGCGTCACCAGCCCTCCCCTCTCTCGCCCGCAGCCAGTATCCGATCGGGCAGTAGTAACGACAGCAGACCTACTTTTACTCGAAGTGCTACCAGCCCTGCCCCTCGTCTCTACGACCCTCGGCCTCCAAGTCTTGAGCTTTCGGCGAATCTGGACTGCGCATTTCCTCCCTTTCCCACTCCGACGAGCTCTGGCCGACGACCTTCGGCGCCTACAATCAGCAGCAGTCGCAAAACTCCAACTGGTAGCGATCGTGCGCCCTCGCGGGGTGGCTCACGACTTGATCACGTGCAAAATGCTAGTCCAGCGCCGTCTGAGCTCAAGAGTCCGAATACTCGGGGAGGAGAGAACGTTTTGAAGAGGATGAAATCGCTCAGGAATGGCCCTTTCGCTTTCAATCGCAGACAAGTAAGCGGCGACACAAAAGGGGAGCTCGTTATTGAGAAGACCCGACCAATTGGGCCTACGTTGGACGAGCCTTCGAATCTACCGACGATAGCGAATTCGAATCACTCAGAATCCCGAAGACTGTCGAACCCGGCAGAGGGTTCAGAAACACGACAGCCGCCAGCACGGCCCGAGAGACCGCCCAGCCAAGACGTCTTCTCGCCTGCTTTTCTGAGCCAGTTGAACCTGGAGCCTTTACCTATTGAGCCGTTGCCGCTCGATGACCTGGAACAGATCCGTCCCGTTGACCGCAGCAAAACTTTCCCTTGGCAGGACAGCGAGGAGCACCCTCCGTCGCCTCAGACGCGGTCGCGGATGCGTAGCGAACCTGCCATGAGGGAGACAAACCCACAGGAATCCGCATCTGAACAGTCCAAGATTCCGCAGATCCAGTTTCTAGAAATGGACGAAAGCAAAGACGGGCCACGCCTGGACCACAGAATCCATGATGCGCCTCCAGTACCCAAGGCAATCGAACAGTATCGGCACGACAGTAGTCATACACCCACAGATTCGGGCTCATCTATTTCGTCAGCCACGCATTCCACACCGCTTACCGATAGAAGCGGTACAAGTTCCGGAGGTAGTGTGGCCAGTAGCATGGACACTTTCTCTTCCCGCAATTTTGACCATGACGAGGACATGATGGTTAAGGGACTAAGTGTTCGAGGTCAGCAACGACCAGATTTGCGAGCTGAGCAGCCAGGACAGAGATCTCCGCCAAGAAACAAAGCCAGAACAGAACTTCCGCTCGAGACTCCCCAGAAGCCTGAAGAAATCGCTCAGACACCACTAGAATCGCCCATGGATCCAGCTCTCCTTGGAATGCAGCGTGCCGTAGGACCAGCGTACGAGCCATGGCAAGCAACTTCCCCGCCGTCAAGACCTAAATTGTCCAGGACACAAACCTCGCCGGAATCTGTGTCCGCAGAGAACTTTCCTTATCCGCCAGCACTCTCAATACCGAAGCAGCCGGATCTTGAGCACAGCGCCTTCATTCGGTCTGCGCCGCCAAGAGAAACAACCAGGCCTCGGGCGCCCAGTGCAGCAACTTCGCGATACAGCTCGTACAGCGCCAATTCGACACGACCAGCAGTGCCCGATACGCTTCGTCCTCCACCGACTCCTCAGGACCAGTGCAAGAAGCCTCCTTCGCGCCGAGGTACGAACGCCAAGCCCGTGTGCCGAGGCTGCAATCATACGATTGATGGCAAGTCGGTGAAAGCGGCGGACGGACGTTTGACGGGCAGGTGGCATAAGGCGTGTTTTGTCTGCAAATCCTGTCAGCAACCCTTCGTAACCGCGGACTTTTACGTGATTAACAACGAACCGTACTGCGAACAACACTATCACGAAGAAAATGGGTCGCTGTGCCACGGTTGCCATCGTGGTATTGAAGGGCAGTATCTCGAAACATCGAGCTCCACTCGGTACGGCAGTGTGGACAGGAAGTACCATCCCCGCTGTTTCACTTGCTGTCAATGCCGCACGGTTCTGGCGCAGGACTATTTTGAGATGCGGGGCGCGGTGTATTGCGAGAGACATGCATTGGCGACCATGAGGGCACAGAACCGACTGGCTCATGGTCTTAATCCTCAGGCGGATCGAAGGGGCCTAATGGCGGAGAGGAGGACCACCAGGCTGATTAATCCAATGATGGCTTGAGAAATGCGATGACCTGGAGAATCCCAAACCTAACCCGGTCAAAGCCATCCAGGATCGGCTCCGCAATGCTTCGTACCTTCACGACGTTTCGACATGCGCTATACGAGCCGTGCAAGACCGATATTCACCGATCTATTACCACACACTACCAGTCCACTGGGCATCTTTGGCCATATTTAAGAATTTTGAGCGTTCGACCCATCTCGCCCCTTGGCGACGGCGTTTTTACTCACGGGAGACTTGTCCCACTTCCTGGTATGTTCCCTTTTGATTCTCGGCTGGCACAAGTTTTGCCTTGGCCTGATTTGATTTTTCATTCTGGAGGGAGAGTGGAGAGCGTGTTGATACCCCACGGCAGGTTGGCTGGTTTTTGTATGTTGGTGAAAGTGAGACAAGGAGAGAACAGTGAAGAGAGGAGAGTGGAGAGTGGAGAGAAGTTGAACGACGAGCTCAGCTGGACTGCTGCCTGTCAACCGCCAAGGAAGGGCTGGTTTACGTTCGTAATGTATTTTATGAGGCAGAGAGGAAGGAAAACAAGCGACCATACATACCCATTATTATTGCAAGAAATAGGTCATGTGCAGCATCTTCTCGAACGGGCGTGGCATGAAGGGGATGAGACCCCATTGAGGAAGTAAGACCGGTCTTTGTGCGATGGACTCGTCCTGCCGTGCAAGAATGCTTCATGTCGCGCGCAGCAGCCTGCTGTACGGGCTGATCACAAAGCATCCGCCGTGAGAAGGAATGCCCTTACATGGAGGAAGGGGGGGGGCTGGTCCTGAGGAGGAGATTCATTGGATGGGAGGGATTTCTGGTGGTGATACGTGTGCTAGCATCTTCTGCAGGTGAGAGGAAGCAAGCATGCTGCAGCGAACGACTGGAGAGCTAGGGATCGCAGGCGATGAGGCTGAGGTAGGGGAAGAGCTTTCTTGGTATGGTATTCGGTATTCGGTCCCGTGGTAGCAGTGCTGAAACTTCTGCGGAGAGCCGTTTGGTGGAAGGACTTGAAAAGATTCTGGTTCGGAGGCTAGAAGTCCAGGAGCCAGAGTTTGGTTTGGATGCGCGGGAGAAATGGTATCTCGTTTGTCGTGTGAAGAATAGTCCTTTTGGGTGGACGAGAAGGCGGGATCTATTTCTGTAATTGACTTTTGTCGGTTCCGTTCGTGGGGGCTAGGTAAGGTAGGCTAGTGTAGGATGATGTCTGTCTGTGGCTTTCGGCAGAAGGCAAGGGCAGAGGATGCAAGCGAAGCGACCGCCGACATGTACGGACTTCGTTCGGGCGACGGCAGATGGACTTTGGTCATCGTCCAGCCAATCATGTCATCTCCTGAACATGACTTGTAAAAAGGGGAGGAAAATTGGGAATGGCTGTTCGGCGAGAGGTTCGTGGTGGGGTAGAAGTTAATTTCCAGAAGGATGCTAAAAGGGATTCTGGAAACGCTAGGCCAACGCTTGAATGCGAGGACTGTACTGCTGGAGTGGAAGGTATCTCCGGCACGTCGTGTTGTAGCTACTGTTTACTACAATTATTATCACACGAGAGAGAGCTGGCTGGCCGGCTGCGGAGGAGGAATGCGAGCGGGCGGACATGTAACATGAAACAGCGTCTCTGGGACAGAGGCTGGCTTGTGAGACTCTTGTTGATGTGTTGCGGTGTTGCACAGGACAGGTTGCTTGGCCGGTTCTGGGAACTGCCGATCTGGCAGATGTGTCTCAGCTTCGGAGTGGAACCGCGAGAGATGTCTTTGCGACCGAGATGAGGAGGAGTCTGCCGTCACAGCTGAGAGCAGACGGATGTGAAAGCTGATGCCGTGTGAGATGCGGAGGTCTGCCCGTCATGATTGTTGTTGTGTATAGCACACGCGTTGTTCTGGTGGGTCGTTTGGTGGTGGTCGCGTTTAGATTTGCGTGGCGCGGCTGGAGGGCACACATAAAAGTATCCAGATGGGAGTTTGGGCTAGTTGCTGCCGCATCCCGGCCGCAGATGGAGCTCCCTGGCGCCGGGTCTGCTTCCTGTACCGATTGTGCAAGAGCCATGGACATTGGAGATGACGAGGGAAGGAGCAGCAGAGGTGTCGTTTCCATGTCGCACAGCGCGTTTTACCGTAGACACCGGCTAGACAGGCAAGACAGGTAAGGTACCTGAGAAGGTAGACAGAAGAGGACGGGCAGGCTGCGGCACACCTGACCGGCCTTCTTACACATTTGTCGCCCACTTCCAGCTTTTCCCATCGCGACGGCCACTATTATCGACACACGCCATCGTCACCTGGAACCGACCGCGCCCAGACGACGGCGCTACACAGAGCGTCGACATTTCGGCTACAGGCTCAGCATACACCAGAGCTAGTGCTCCGTGCGCGCCGTGAAAACGGAATCAGATTTGACGATCGCTCCTCACTTGGCCAGCTTTCGCCCCGACGAATTAAACTCCCTGCCTCAGCTTTCCCTCGCCGACAACACCTTCAGCCTCCCGCACCGCACTGCACTGCACTGCACTGCACCTCACCTCACCTGCGACGCACCTCCGCCCTCCAGCTGCTGCCACTCGTTGCGACTGCCACCGCAAGCCAGCGCCAAAGCGACCTCGACGCCGCGCCGCGCCGCCGCTAAGCATACTATCCTCCAATACCGACGCCGCCGCCGCTCAACCTCGTCTTCAGCGTTGCCTCACCCGGGGATCCTGGCCTTTCCCACTCCTCCTCCGTACCACTCCTGAAGGAAGCGCAGGCGACGCTCACTCTCCCCCATCGACCATCACCGCCGCCTCCCACAGCGCGGCTACTCTGCTATACCTGCTCACGCTGTCTGTCTCCATAAGGTACGTTCGCCTGCCCGAGTGACGGAACAAACTCTCGCAGCAGCACACCACCCCAGCAATGCAATCGCCGTCGCTCTTCTCTTTCCCACTCCCGCCAACCCTCGCGTGGCCTACACATGCCGCGATATACCCTTCCGTCGCCGCATGCGAAAGACTTGCCTCCGCTGCGTGCTCACCTCGTCCTGTCGCGGTGACGGCTACCAATCCGTGATATCGCTCGTCACCAGCAAACATTCTCACCTCGCTTCACCTTCACCGCTGCAATCGTTTCCACTAGCGCTTCACTAGACTCCGTGTTATCATGGAGAAGCGAGTTCAAAATTGGCTGATTTTCTGCGCTACAGGGCTGCGCTACCTCGACGACCCTCCTCTTCATACCCCAGCATCCGCTACCGTACCTTTAGCGTCGGCGACTTAAACCTACATAATACCACCTCTTCCTACGCACACCGAGCTCCTTCGCGCCACACAACACAGTCACAATGGGTTGCGGACAGAGCTCAGAGTCCAAGGAGGGCAAGGCGCGGAATGAGGAGATTGAAAACCAGTTGAAGAGAGACAAGATGAATCTCCGAAATGAGATCAAGATGTTGCTGCTCGGTGCCGGAGAGTCGGGCAAGTCGACCATCCTGAAGCAGATGAAGCTCATTCACGAGGGCGGATACTCAAGAGATGAGCGTGAGAGTTTTCGGGAAATCATCTTCTCAAACACCTGCCAATCGATGCGCGTCATTCTGGAGGCCATGGAGAGCTTAGAACTGCCACTTGATGACCAGCGAGCCGAGTACCACGTACAAACCATCTTCATGCAACCCGCGCAAATCGAGGGCGACGTCCTACCTCCCGAGGTCGGCCAAGCCATCAAGACCCTGTGGGCAGATGCGGGTGTGCAGGCCGCATTCCAAAGGAGTAGGGAATACCAGCTCAACGACAGCGCGAAATACTACTTCGACTCCATCGACACCATTGCCTCACCCACCTACATCCCTTCTGACCAGGACGTTCTGCGATCGCGTGTCAAGACGACTGGTATCACCGAAACCACCTTTATCATTGGCGACTTGACATACCGTATGTTCGACGTCGGTGGTCAGAGGTCCGAGCGAAAGAAGTGGATACACTGCTTTGAGAACGTAACCACGATTCTGTTCTTGGTCGCCATCTCGGAGTACGACCAGCTACTATTTGAAGACGAAACAGTCAATCGCATGCAGGAAGCATTGACTCTGTTCGACTCGATCTGCAACAGCAGGTGGTTCACCAAGACCAGCATCATTCTGTTCCTGAACAAGATCGACCGCTTCAAGGAGAAGCTGCCTGTGTCGCCCATGAAGAACTACTTCCCGGACTACGAAGGTGGTCAGGACTACGGCGCAGCGTGCGACTACATCCTCAACCGATTCGTTTCGTAAGTTCGCCACCATTATTTGATACTGCTCCCAGTACTGACATCAACCCAGGCTCAACCAACATCCGACGAAGCAAATCTACACACACTTCACGTGTGCCACCGACACAATGCAAATAAGATTCGTCATGGCTGCGGTGAACGACATCATCATCCAGGAGAATCTACGCATGTGCGGTCTGATATAATCAGCCGTCACCGAGGGCAGGCTCCTGCGACCTGTCCCAAATGAGACATTCTTGACCGGTGGTGAAATGTAGCAATATGTGCAGGATGTGGGGCAACAGTACGGGTGTTGATGAGATTTAAACTGGCCCCGAGACGATGACCAAGGGCTGTGAAGATGGGCCAAAAGCGCTCTGGCGATCAATCGTGTTACGGATAACACCGGATGGCGTTCGAGAGGCGCATTCTTCCAGAGGCAGGCCGCTAGCATCGGCCACATGACACAACCATCTTCCGTCAACGGTTTCCGCTGGTGCTGGCTGGCCTTGGGACGGGGATACCTCTTATTTGTCATCTCATCTGATTCGAGCATTCACTACGGTCTCCGGCGGCGAAGCGAGGCGAACTGTGGTTATACTACTGCTACTTATTCGCCCGGAAGGCCAGGCCGGTGTTGAGATTACCCTAGTTTCTTCTCTTATTTGTACTTTGGGAGCGATGCAGATAGCTTACTGCGGAACGAGAGAAGAGGTTTTCCCTCTGTCCATGTCTCTTTCTCTGACTTATTCTTGCATCCTTGGCATGGGGAATGTGTGTTGGCAGCTGGTAGAGCCCGGGCGTGTCAAGCAGCGCGACTTTAATCAAAATCTAGATGGCTGATTTGCTGCTGGTGGTACCTGTACGATCTGATCTGATCTGATCTGGACTTGCTCGGACATGCCCAGGTGTGGCAACCATCCACCGGACTGGCTGGAACCGCTTTCCCCGTGGCATTGTCTTGGTCTTGGTCTTGGTGGTGCTGGTGCTGGTGCTAGCACGGTGCGTACACCGCTTCTCCTGCTTGCTCCTTGAGGCTTGGAGGTTATTGCTTGCTTGCTTGCTTACTTGCTTGCTGATGATTCTTGGAGTTTTGCCGGCAGATCGATCGATCGATCGATCGGATTCTCCTCCTCGTTCGCTCTCAGCTGCGAATGCCGAGCAGAGCGGAGCATCCTTCTTCCTTCCCTTCTCGTACTACTACACCGGTACCTATGTACCTTACGTACCTACCGAAGCTCTTCTCTCTCTCTCGGTAGATAGGACAGGACAGGGGTTGGATTTTGGAAATCTGATGGCGCTGCAGTACCTAGATTTTCCGGACCACATAAGCCGCTGATGACAAGAGACTGCAACAAGAGCCTCGACTATCTACTACTTATTTTTCGGTGGAAATTGTTGGCAGAGATTTGTTCTTTCGTTATTGCTTTTTTCGGCCATGAGCTTCTTTTTTTTTACTTGGCTTTTGTTACCCTTTCCGTTGGATATGAACATACAGTATGCTTTTGAAAGTCGGATATCGCGGTTTGGGGTGTAAAGTAACGAATGCCGATAGCAGGGCCCCCGGCTGACTTGTTGTTCGATAGGTTTTCTGCCGCGGAGGGATGTTCTTTGGAAGTTGTAGAGGTATGATACGCAGAGCAACAGAGACAGGTAGAGCTGAGAGGAGATGAGATGAGCAACACGGCCTGGCCTGGCCTGGTGGCAGTTCGCCGCTCCACCAGCTAAGTCGCTGTCGTTCAAGAGAACACAGGTTGGTTGGCTTTCCACCGACTATGCCTCTGCCTCTGCCTCTGCCTCTGCCTCTGCCTCTGCCTCTGCCTCTGCCTCTGCCTGCTCTCCTCGATTCCTCTGCGCCTCATCGACAATCTCCCTCACCACCTCTCTCACCATCTGAACAGCTTCCACCCTCAACAGCGCCGCGCTCATAATCACCCTCTGGCATTCCTCCCTATCCTGCACCTCCCATTCTCCATCTTCATCTTTCTGCTGCAGCTCTCTCGCCTTTCCCTCTACGCCTGCGATCCGCACTTTCAAGGCCGAGAAGACGGCTTTGGCGGTGTACTTTTGGTGCTTGCTCATGCAGGCGTTCAGGTGGTCGACGGCTTGGATGCTGGTTTCGAGGAGCCCTTGGGCGGGGATGTTGCCTCGGAAGACGAGGTCGTGCAGGGAGGAGAGGTCTTGAGGGAAGGGATTGCTCGACTGTGGATGGATGATGGGTCAGGAGATGAGCTTTTGGACGCGCGATATGTTGTTTGCGGACTTACGATGATGCGAAAGAGGTGCTGTTGTGCGGACTGAGGACTTTGGTCATTTGTCTCTGCCATCATGGAACGGGGAGGCTCTTTGGCTGCAGCTCCCGGCGTGGGCAGAGTAAGAGAAAGGTAGTATGAGGGTCAATGGTCCCGCCGTTTGCTGGCGGTCTTGTCATGGTAAGTGAAAGAAAAGAGCTGCCGCTTCCCGCACATGCTAATCTACGCCACTGCAGCGTCGCTCAAACACTCAGCCACATCAGAAGAGACAGTCGAATGAGACGCTATCGTGACAGCTCATACCAGCGGCTTCTTGCGCCTATGAGGTGGGATCGCACTCTGGTCCTTCGGTAGCTGCGCAGACGCCTTCTCCCGGTCCAACTCAGCTCGCAAAGACGCCAGCTCGTTCCTCACCAACGCGGTCTGCAGAACCAGCCTAACCGCGCGCGCAGTGTCTTCTCCGCCCCGATCACGTCCTCTGAACCCTCCCTCGAACATTCGAATTTCCAGATCAGGAGCCTCCCCACCCCATCCAGTCAGGCCCTTGCAGCGGACAAAGAGAACATGAAATCTGGAGTCATCCCACTCTTCATCAATAAAGTTGCCCTTGAAGTCGTCCACCATCGCCCCAATACCTTTCGCGGCGACTTTCATGATTGCTCTGTCGGTCATGTCTCGCTGATGTAGAAGAGAGTGGAGCTCGGAGTGGTCTTTGGGAGGATCTTTGGCGCTCTGTGGATGGGGTCAGTCCTGGATGCGGTCGACGTGCAGCTGCGAACGTACCACCAGTGCCACCAAACGGTCGCAATTGGCGCCGAAGGAGGGCTCTGCCTCTTGTTCGTCCTGTAGTGCACTACTCATGACGAAGGTCGTCTCTTGTTGTGTGTGTGTGTGTGTGTGTGTGTGTGTGTGTGTGTGTGTGTATTGAAAGTTGATGTAGTTGGCGCGAAAGACATGACGCAGATCTCAAAGCCGCCACAAGCCGCGGCTAAGCATGTGAATCGCAACTGCCAGTGACAATCGGCGTACCATGCCTAAGTAGGAAGGCACGTCTCTCGTCGAGACACAGCAAGAGCGACGAGACTATTCTCCCGACTACTATGGCAGAACAACCTCCCCGGGCAAGCAACATGAACCTGTCACGACTCAAGCGCCTGACAGATCTACCTCGGATAGCAAACGAGAACTACCACGAGCGGGTCTGGTCTGCGCCATTCTCGCAAGCCGAAATCCGAGATCTGCTCACATGCACCCATCAGAGAGCAGGGACCGCATAAAGAAGTACATCCTAGCGCTCGAGGATGAGGCCCTGAGCTTACGGTGGACACTACGGAATGGACAGCAATGGCTCCATGGAAGTCGGGTTGGCGGAACGCAGCACGTGAAAGGGCTAATTCGAGTACTGATCGAATAGAAGCGGACATTTGAGAAGCTGACAGAGCAGCTGTCGGGAGAGAAGCCGCCAGATGGAGAGCCGAGCGGTCCTTAAGAGCGGTATGACTTTTTGATAGGGTGAAGATAGGATAGTCCTGCAGCATTCTTTCCCCTCGGGATGACCCTGCCGAATACACTTGCGAGGGCTGGGACCACAGCGAGGTGGGGACTGTCTTCAGACAAGCGTAGCATGCTCTGAGACGATCTCGGCTCAGCACTTCACTCTCGCCACGTATAGTCGCAAGGTGTTAACGGCTCTCCCGCACCATTTGCTCTCGCACTGAACGGCCTTGTCCAACAGCAAATGGTATGTGCGTCTCCAACGACCTGCTCCGTCAGGGAATGTCAAGGCAGGAGATACGTGGACGGTTGATTCTCTCGCACCAGCAGGCCAGCAGTGAAGAGGCCTGACTGTAACTCCGCGTCATGGATGATTTGCTTCGTTTGGGGGCGCGATGTGGAAGGAAGGAGGAAGAAGGAGGGGATGGCGTGAAGTAGATTTGCTCTCGCTAGCGTGCCAAGCCTCGGCAAATTTACTTCAAGAGCTTGCAACTCTGTTCCTCGCTCCTTCCTTCTCTGCTTCATCAAGACAGCATGTGAAGACTCCATATCTCCCCACCTGCAGCGATGGACACACTCGACGGCAGCAGCTGGGACGTCGTCATCTCTGGCACCGGGCTGCCGCAGTCGCTCCTTGCGCTGTACGTGCCTCTGGCTTCCACACCATACGACTCAGGCTGACTAACGCGAAGGCCTCTCTCGTAAAGCGCACTGTCTCGCTCCGATCGGACGGTTCTCCACGTCGATCGCAACGACTACTACGGCAGCGATGAAGCAGCCTTCAGCCTCTCGGAAGCAGAGGCCTGGGCGGAAAGACATGCTGGCACAGAGAAAGCGGAGAATAGCTCGTTCAGTCATGCTGCAGTGACCAAGGCAGCACAAGGCGAGGATGGAGAGGCGGCCCAGCTCTCCCATGCCAGGGCATACTCAGTCGCTCTTGCGCCGCAACTGATATACTCACGGTCCAATCTACTACCCGCTCTGGTATCCTCCAAGACACATGGCCAGCTCGACTTCCAAGCTGTAGGCTCTTGGTTCGTTGTCCACAAGACTTCCGGCCAGACGGAGCTCACGCGAGTACCAGGAGGACGAGAAGATATCTTCCAGGATGGTGCTCTCGATCTCAAGGCGAAGAGATCTCTAATGAAGTTTCTGCGATTCGTAGCGAATTTTGAAGAGCAGCAAGACACTTGGCGAGAAGACAGCGGGAAGCCCTTCTCAGCTTTCCTCTCTGAGAAGTTTGGACTGCCCCTGGCTTCGCACGCACCTATTCTAGCCCTCACCCTGAGCAGTCGACCGCTCGCAGACACCACCGTCGAGTCTGCGTTGCCGAGGATCGCAGGCTACTTGCGAGGTATCGGCCTCTTCGGCCCTGGCTTCGGTGCGCTCCTCCCGAAGTGGGGAGGTCTGGCAGAAATCGGCCAGGTAGCTTGTCGCGCTGGTGCTGTGGGAGGCGCAGTGTATGTGCTCAACAAAGGCATCGCCGACGTGCAGCATGACGATGAGTTCAATCTTACTCTTCGTCTCGGTGGCTCCGAGAAAGTCACCTCAAAGTGGCTTGCTGGCACTCAGCAGGAACTTCCAGGCGCGAGTCCGACCCCAGAGTCCGGTTCAAAGACCTCGCTGGTGTCGAGGAGCATTGCGATTGTTTCTTCAACGCTAGGCTCGCTATTTCCGCTCACCTCAGAAGGTGGGGTGACTCCCGCTGGTGCTGTAGTATTGATCGAACCCTCCCACGATGCTGAACCACCAGTTCACATACTCGCGCACTCGAGCGAATCCGGCGAGTGTCCCGCAGGACAATGTACGTATGACCTCTTCCTCTTCATCCCCAGTGCTGCATCTCCTCACGAAATGATGATCAAACATTTGAATACTTATCTACATTGCCTGAACTGCATTGAAGAATAAACATCTCTGACAACCTGATACTTCGTTTGCCGTAGCGCATTGCACACCAATCACTTGAAAGCACGTCAGGACACAGTTGCTGACTCATTGCCTAGGTGTCTTGTATGCTTCAGTAGCCCAAGCACCCGAATCGGGCTTCGACCGCCTCGACCACGCAATAAAAGAATTTCTCTCATCCACACGCGAGGAACCGAAGCCGGCCGTTCTGTGGTGCATGAAATATCAGCAGCGCTACGCATCGTCTCCTTCGACGCCTCAGCGCACGGGGCCTCTACTGGTGTTGCATAATCTCTCCTCGGACCTAGCTTTGGAGGACAGCGTCCTCGAAGACGTCAAAGCTGCTTGGCAACAGATCACGAATGATGATGAGACGACGTTTATGAAATTCGAAGCAAGAGAAGGTACAGCGGAGGACGAAGAGACCTTTGAGTAGTGACCCATACAGGAGTAGGCACAAAGCACGTTTCTCCTCCCTTCCAGCGTCTCTCAGACTATTCCCATCCTTTGTCGGTTTTGCGGTCGTGGACCGTGTCGATCACAAGACACCTGGTGGTGCAGCGTGTTATCACACGATCACCTGGTCATTTTGTTTCCGAGTATTCTAGCCGGAACGGGGCTCACAGGGAGCCAGATAGCAGCATATCAGTCGTCTTGCCCGTCAAGATGATTTCTCAACGCGATGGTGCTGTCGTAGGAATTGTAAACCTCGCTCAAAGCCTTAAAGATTGGGTTCGTCTCGAAGCTGCATACCTCGTCTCGATGTATGCCAAAAGGAACAACTGATGCACGGCAAAGCGGAAGTCTCGTGCGGTGCTCTTCAGAGCTCCTTGGATTGACGTAACTGCATACAGATACAAAGACCTCTCCAGCAGCCCAGGCCTCCTCCCGCGCGACGCAAAACACCAGCCAGCCAGCCGAATACCCCAAACCACCTCGATCAATCCACGCCCTATAACAACGCCACCACAAGAATCTTCCACCATGGCCTACACCCTCATCAGCGCCACCCCGAGCCCCTACGCGCGCAAAGTGCGAATCATGCTCGCGGAGAAGAAGATCCCCTTCACTCTCCAGACCGAAGTACCATGGGACAGCACCACGCAGACTCCCCAATACAACCCGCTGGAGAAACTGCCCGTGCTCATCGATTCTGCGACGGGGAAAGCGGTCTATGAGAGCCATTTCATCCTGGATTGGATCGAGGCGAAACATCCCCATCCGCCCATGTTACCGACCGATGTGGATGGGAGGTTGTTCGCGAAGCAGGTGGAAGTCGTGGCTGATGGTATGTCATATGAATATATATTCACATCTTCGATGTGGGGAGAAACAAAACTTAAATTGTTAACAGGTATCTGCGACGCTCTCGTCCTCTGCTTCTTCGAAAAACAACGCGATCAACCGAGTGAGGCGTGGAAGGAACGACAGATGCGCAAAGTGCAAGGCGGTTTGCAGGCCCTCGCGACGTGGGTCGAGCAGAACCACGGCGGGCCGTATTTGATCGGAGATTCTCTGACTCTGGCGGATATCGCGGCGGGGAGTGTTTTGGGGTATATGGCCGTTCGATGGCCGGAGCATCCTTGGCGGGAGGAGCTTCCGCGGCTGAAGGCTTATTGGGAAGCTCTGGATCAGAGGGAGAGTTTTGCTACGACGAGGCCTTCGCCGCAGAAGATTTCGGATCGGATTGTCTAGGTGGAAAGGGGATGGATGGATGGATGGATGGATGGATGGATGGATGGATGGATGGATGGATGGATGGATGGATGGATGGATGGATGGAGAGCAGCATGTGTATATGTTGCGTGGTTTCGAACAATGTAAAAAGATGCCTACATATCTTTCCGCACGTATTCCACGGGGCCATCGTACTCATGTCGCCCTTTGAGCATGTAATACGTAGAGGCAAATAGGGTAACAACTCCGTAGACCAGGATCGCCCAGTTCATGGACGCGGGATCGGGATTCGGTACAGCTGGGAAGAACAGGAAGAGGTATGCGACGAGTAAGAAGCAGATCGCAAGCACATTCGCCACGGCTCCGAATTTCCCTAGATTGAATTGTGATGGAGGGAATGGTTCGCCGCGGAAGCGTTTTGCGAGGACGGTGCCCATGACCGTTAGGTAGCTGGTGAAGAGACCGGTGGCCGAGACGGAGAGGATGATGTTGAATGCGGTTGTTGACCCAATGATGATGAGGGCGATGAGGCAGGTGAAGAGTAGAGTCACGTAGACTGCGTTGGCTGGTACACCGCTGCCTGGACGAACTTTTGAGAGGAATTGGTGGAAAGGCACTGCTGGCGTCAGCTGAAGTAGACTATTGGCGGGCGGGCATACGGCACTCACATCCTTTGTCGCGAGCGAACGCGAATACCTGCCGAGAGCTCGTCGTGACTTGATTGACTGCGCAGAAGAAGTACTGTGATTTCCCGTCAGAATTCGGGCTTTGCAATCTCGATTGAGATTTCTTACCATCACTATCATGACAAGGATAAGTACGATGGTTCCTGCTTTCGATCCCGTGATTCTGTACATGACAGCAACCCAAGGTTGTCCCGTGGACGATTCGAGGATCTCTTCGACGTTGCCCACGTTGAAGAAGAAGGTGACGGTGGTGACGAATCCCAGCGTGTAGTTGATGAGGGCGGCGGAAAACATGGCACGCGGAAGGATATAGCCAGCGTCTTCCAATTCCTCGGCCAGATGGACAGCCGAGTCCGCACCGAGATAGGTCGTGGTCGGTCCAACCATTCCGATCAGTGTTGCCAGACCGAGACTACCCCATCCATTCGCATCTTGGAACTGGGTGAAGGTGAGGCGTGCGTCGGCGCGAGGCCCCATGACCCACATGATGACAATGAAGGCGAGGAAGCCGAAGATGTGAAGCAGCACTGCCAGGCCTTCGAGGATGGGGAGTTGTCCGATGGCGAAGGTGTTGAAGGAGATGGCAGCCAGGACGAATGCCATGGTCATCAATGCACCGTGCCCTGAGCAGGATAATTAGACGAGGCGAATGACCACTACGAGAGTAGACGACTACGAGGGTACAGCAGAGTAGAGGAGGCTTACATCCTTGAATCACATAGCTGGTGTCGCAGATGGCAATGAGTGCGAGGACCTGCTGCGCTCCAATGTACGCGACGGTTGGCATGGCTGCCTGCCAGCCCAGAGCGCACAACCAGCCCACGGCATAGCTCAAGGGCCGCTGGAGATGCGCGGGTGCGAATTCGGACACCCAATGATACTGCCCTCCCGATGTTGGGGCCATGGAAGCGAGCTCGGCCATGGAGATCATGACGAAGAACATGCCGAAGCAGACGGCCAGCGTGAGCCAGATGGCGCCTGCAGTGCCCCCATTGGCGAGATTGAAGATGAGCGTCGTGAGGGAGAACTCCCATGTCAGGCCGAGGACGACGACGAAAGCAACAATGGAGGAGAAACGGAATCGACGCTGTCGTCTCTCTCGTCAGGATGCGAAGAGTCTCTCATATCATGTGGCTGGCTATAGGCTGACGGGACGGGACGGGGAGGTGCTTGCCTTCAGTTCTTGTCTCTTTCCCAGTCTGCGCATATCGCGTCGATCTGTTGGAGAGATGCATCAACAACACAACGTACAGACCTCACGTGCGAGGGTCGGGTTGCTGACCGTTGCTGGGATCGTACTTCCTGCGAGGTACTGACCGGACCTGACTGTCTGCTCCATCGGGCGAAGGATTCCTCTCCTGCACACCCGGATCCTTCGACTCCAGCATGACGGTCTCCATGGTGGGAATTTCGGATGTACACGGGGGGCACGACGCCCAAGGATGGGAGGGAGAGTCCTCGATGACAGTGCGATGAAATGAGGGTGGGGAGAGGAATGGGAGAGAAGGAGGATGGGACAAAGATTCCCGTCCCACGTTCCCCAAGCAAGTAGGATGCGCTCCAGGAGGATGCGGTCCAGCTCCCAGAGGATGCGCTCCCTGCAGCGCCACGCAGGTCTAGACTGTCTCCCCAAGCTTTCGAGACTGCTTTTCGCTTTGAAAAGAGGAATGCTTGTACTCACTACATCAATAGCGAGACGCTGTCTACCATACAATGTTATGTGAGGTGATGATACGCAGCGAGCATGCTGTTTCTCATGACGCTGTTGGTCGGAACAGAACAGAACAGAAAGCAGCCGCAAGAAGAGAAGAGAAGAAAAGAACGAGCAGAACTAACTCCTAATCCTCCTCTGCCGCCCGATAACATCCTCCAACAAATAGGTCAAATCGTTCATTCCTGGGCGTGGGAAGCATCATCCGACATGCAGATGCAATTCCGATCGGTACCACTGTGAATAAAAAACCCCATCAATCTCTAGACCAAATCCCTATACATACACTAAATAGTACTTACCCGGCAAATTGATAAGCGTATTGGAGAGGGCTGCAGCTGTGTTGGCAGTGCTTGGTCTGCTTAACGCACTGCGGGCTTGCCAGTGCCGGGGTTCCAGGGTTTACAGCGCAACCCCAATAGCCGTGATGCTGACAATTGTAGAGCCCCTCCTCTTCGCATTGATAGCCTTTGTAGGGATCGGTCGCTAACGATGCAGAGAAGAGAGGAATGACGGATAGGATAGTGATAGAGAACTTCATGGTTGCTGGAATTTGCGTACGAGCCGATCAGCCAAATGGGCGAACAGACGACTTTAATACTTAGCCCTTGGGGCGACGTCAAGAGTTTCATGATACGAGTACTCCGGCCCGCTTTGGGCGGTTGTTAGACCCTTACTCGATTTGAGGTTGGATATAGGTGATGGGTACTAGGATTCCAGTACTGTATTTATAGATTCGAATAGTAGAAGCCTAGGAGAGTGCGAAACAGGATGTCTGGCTTGGTGTGCACGCGCACAGACTGCATCTATGTCTATTTGCCCACTTTGTTAGACCAGCTCTCCAAGTGATCCTGTCCAGGTGGTACGAAGGGGTGTGATTCCTCTTCCGTGTGCTAAATTATTAAGGTCAACAAGCGACGCGCAAAGGTTGTGTTGGCGAGGAAGAGACGGAAACATTCCTCGGTGCTCATGACCCGCACGATAGTTTCATTGTTGTTTCCGTCGAATGATGCGAGGCCGTGAGGAAAACCATGTCGGACGTGATCTGGTCGCTGTACGATGGGAAGCCAATGCCAGCACAGCGTCTCTGGGTGTAGTTTTCAACAAGACTTCTTGCGTCGTTTTGCGGGGACAGTATAACCTTGAAGAAGCGGAGAGTATTGTCTGCTCATATCTGGGCATGATCCCCGCCGCCGTGGTCTGCCAATCTGGATGGTCCGGAAAGAGGCCAGCGGCGAAGAGAGCGCTGGCGGAGCGCAGAGCAGCTGGGACTAGTAGAACCGTGTTGACATCGTGTGGAAGTCGGCCTCCACCGAGGCCGTATGTACTGTACTGTCTCGCCATTCGCCCAGAAACCGGGCCTTCCATGGAGATGGATGGAACTTTGTCTATCCACCAGAATGAGCAAAAAGCTGCGGTACGATTCATAACGCCCTGCGTTGATCAGAGCCAGTTCTCGATAGGCACATGCCCACGTTTCCGCAATCGAGAGTCATTTTGCATGTCAAAGAAGGGTTCCCTGCGATATCTTCCGGTCTCGCTCTTGAGGAAGTAGTCGTCCACTACAGGCGCCAAGCAGTAATCCCTGTCAATCTGTGGAGACGGAGTACAGCGTCAGCCCCTGAAGCAAGTGACAACAGATCGCCATGATGATGTTTCCTTCATACGTAGCATAGTCCGCAATCGTCTTCTCATGCTATACAATTCCAGATGTGCGACTGAGTCGCTCCGGAACGGTGCCAATGACAGCTTCAACAGCTCCGCCTTCGCCAGCAGACAACACCGACTGTGAAAGCAGAGTGGCAATCATACTGTCCCGACCAAACCAAGTCAGAAGACGCCAACCAAGCTCCCGCAAGAAGTTTCTGAGAGTAGGAAAGGAAAGGATAGAGAGGTTGTTCGATTTCGATCCGAGTCCAGCGTGATCAGGCCTTGTGATGATTGAGGATGTACAACCTCGCTCACATTCAGCTTGTGTGAGCTAGCGTGTGTACTGCAGACATCCAGTGGTCAGCGAAAGCATACCAGTCTTCACCACCAAGGGAGGTTCATACGTGCCTTGCGAAGTTAAATATCTTGCTTCATCGCAGTACCGTAAATACTCAGTACAAGTATAAGGATGGAGCCCAGCCTTTTCATTGCCATTGTACCTGTCAAATATTGTCATCAGAGATCCCATACCAATGTGGTCACAAGACCAATGGAGTCTGCATGTGCTTCGTTTCCATCAGGCCTTGCACTGAAGATCTGCAGCGTCGGCAACATCGTGCACCTGACTCTGCCGTGTGCCTGAAGTAGGCATTAGTCGTGGCGGATACGAGCGGGGATGCTCAAGAGAAAAGTACAGGTGGAGTAGGGCGTTTTCCTTGGCGAAAAGCGACAGCAGTCGTCATTTCTCTCCTTTCCAATTGTGGTCGATATGGGGTATTTACAGCTATACAAAGTCAGACGGCCGTCATCAGTTGGGGAGAAAACGCTGCAATCAAAATGCAAATTGGGAATCCTCCGCTCGAAACGCCAGTCGCTGATGCCCTCCATGCATTTTCGTATCCGTCAGTCGTGGCCACACATGCCGATGTTGGCATGTCAAAACAAATTCGTAATCCATCTCTTTATCATCTCACATCCACCCCAGGGTCATCAAAATGCCCTTGACTTCGGCCTCCTTCAACCCATTCATACCCAGACTTCGGACCTGACTCCCCTTTCGCAGCTTGCCCAGACCTATCGCGACCTTGTACCCTTCGGATTCATCCAGAACGAAGGTATACTTTTTGTTTTCAGCATCCCTGACTGTCGCTCGGAATATGTGCAACGCGCCGCCAGCATGGGTCTTAGTCATACCGTCTTCGACCAGCTTCAAGGTCCAGGCTTTGACGTCCCACTCACGTTGAGGAACACGGCGAATATCGTCATCAATGAACAAACCTTCCGTCTTGATGCGCAAGATGAGTCCGTCTGTCACAGGACCTTGGCCAGAGACCAGTTGAGAGATTGGCTTTGTCGGAAAGCTGTCGCTGAACAGGTATACCGCCTTGATCTGGATCTTGTCGGGGTCGTTTGTGGAATAAGGACCTCGTTGCGATGGCGGCGGTGTCGTCCTAGCGGTACTCATGCTAGGCGCATAGCTGCTTTCGCTGAGCCCAGAGATCGATGAAGCCGACGACTTGTAGGTAGTGGCTTTTGGCGTATCGTACGGTCGATACGAATACGTCTCGGTGCCCGCTTGCGACTTGGCTGTCGGTTTTTCGTAGTTTCTTGATGGCGTTGCTGGTTTAATCGGAGTTGAGCGTTCGCTCGCAGCAGCTTTCGCCTTGTCTGCTTTTTCCTTTTCCGCCTGCTTCGCCTTGTCTGCCTTTTGCTTTTCTGCCTTTTCCCTTTCTGCCTTTTCCTTTTCTGCCTGCTTCGCCTTCTCCCAGCCCGCTTTCTCCTTCTCGGCCTTCTCCTTGGCCTCTCGCGCTACCTTTTCTCTAGCCAGTCGTTCTCGAGCAATGCGCTCTCTAGCTTCCCTTTCACGAGTCTCCTTCTCCCTAGCTCGTGCCTGCTCCCATTTTTCCTTCTCCGCCTTTTCCTTGGCTGCCCTTTCCGCTTCTTCGCGAGCCTTTTGAGCTTCCTCACGCTTTCTCTTCAACTCCTCCGTCCGCTTCCTTTCTTCCTCTCGTCTTCGTGTGTCTTCTCGAGCTTTTTCCCATGCGTCGGCGTTGGGGCTTGGACGAGGCTGTGGACCGGTTCGCGGTTCCCCCTGCGGTGGCGGCGGCGGAGAGTGGTGGTTCGGGCGAGGTCCTCCAGATTGGTGACCCTGCTGCCGCTGCTGGCCACTAGACCCAGGGCCACCAGGACCTCCTGCTCGCGCGCCTGCGTCGTTCTCTGCCTGCGTCTTACCCCAGGCCCATGCTCCAACGCCGACAGCAATGATGAGGAGAACGACGCCCAGTCCACCACCGCCACTCATGACAACGCCAATCCACTGCTTGAGAACAGGAATCGCGAGAGCGTATATTGCCACGGCGAACAAGGCGACAGCGACACCAGCAAGAAAGCTGTTTCGATGCCCTTGTAACGAGGGCAGGTAGAGGAAACCAGAGCCGGCGGAATGCGGTGGTATGATAAAGATATCGTAGTTGCCATCCGGTAGCCCTGATCCGCCGGGCGGGCGTGGATTGTGCCCGTGCGGAGGCGGCGGGGGAGGAGGCGGGTCCTCAGCCATCCTCGCCGCTCAACCCACGGGCGTGATACAGTCGGGGTTGGCGCTGGGTCTGAACGCCGCTACGAGCGGTCGTGAGAAGTGTGAATGCTCAGTCTCTGCCTCGGATCTGGTAACGGATGCATAAGGCACTCTTGGCCTGCGCTCGAGTCGGATTGCAGCGGTGAGTTGTGGTCTCTCCGGGTAAGATGATGATGATGGCTGGAGCGTGCAATGAACGATCAGAAGCACATTTGCCCAAGAGTAGCACGCTAGAACGCCAAACGCCAGAATTCGCTCAAACAGGTCGCGATGTGTGCGGTCGAGACGTTGGACAGTCGCAGTCGCAGTTGGAGCGGAAGTGGTGGTGATGCCGTGAAGAAATGGCAGTGGATGTGAGGGGAGTTGGGAAGTTGGGAGTCCCTTGGAAGTGGCAGGCGGGCCGTTGCAGTGTTTTGGCGCACAGGCCGCCGGCGAACCGGGATTCTCACCACAATTCGCTCGATCGATCAGGGCTGAGGAGGCCGCGATTCACGGTGACGGGGACACTGACACGCTCAGAACTGCTGTTCGCGTCGAGGCGAGGGCAACTGCACAAGCCATGTATGCTCTCCATCTCCCTCTGCTGCTGAGCGCTTCACACGGTGGCCTTTCGCTGGGCGGGAGGGCAGCAATGTCTTCTCAAACTCCACCTACCTCCCCAGCGCCAAATCCTTACCCTGCGAATTCTAGCGAATTGGATCATCTGCCACGCGGGGTTGACACCTCATACACGCGCCGGTGTACGCGACATTGATATCGCTGCAGCCGAAGCGCAGCTAGAAGAAGCTGCAGTCCATTCACGAACCAACGGCCACGTCAACGGCGATGCGGTCGGCTGCCCGGCGGTGTAAACACTCGTCCAAACACTGTCGCTATGCCACACCCCATAGCAACCGGGAATACGTCAGCTCCCGCAGTGAAGGCCTCTCCCCATTTCAATGCCACCATCTCCAATGGGCATTCTCCTGGGCACTGCGATTGGAGTAACACATCACCTCTCGAGCTTGGAGTGGAACGATGATGAGAAGGGGCATGGGATGAACGGAGATATTGGATCTCTAAGTTTATCACTACAATTTTGGCCCACGAATCGTACAGTCATGTCATCCCATCACCATCCCATCACTTCTCTCAGGAAGCTACCCGACGACGCATCTAAATTCGATTGGCGCCAGTCGCGAGTCTCGCAGTGGCTGGGACCACCTCCGCACGATCGATAGCAGCCCAGGTGGCAGCGACAGCCGCGATCGCAGAGATGACGAAGCGACCAAAGCTCTGAGCTGCCCAATTCTCAACAAGGCTGTGCGTAGACTCCTCTTTGGAGACCCCGGCTTCTGCAGAGGCGTCGGTGATTGAAGCGCTGGCAAGGTTGCGCTCCTTGCTCTCGAGCTTCTTGTTGAGCGGCTCGGCGAGCACGAACGTGTATGGAATGAGTGCTGCTAAGAGCGTGGAAGAAGTCGCATAGAGGATCGAGGTCTTGGTCCAGGCATTATCTGAAGGACCTTGGTTAGCGAGCAGGCTCGACAGAAAGATCATCGCCGAATTGTCATACCTCTGTATGCCAGGAAGCCGAATACGCCGGACGAGAAGAGAGCAACCGCTGGCGCGAGGGCCTTGTCCGCGTCAAACTGAATCTTCCATTGCTATCACACCAGTTAGCTGCTGCTCCGGCGGAACGGCCAAAATGTGCGCATCTACCTTGGCAAGGAGCGGAGCCGGTGACTGGGCAAGAGCCGGGACGGTCGAGATGCTCTTCGTGAATTCCTTGCCTGCAGCGTCATCAGTATATTGAGCTACTTTGGCAACAGGAGTACATCTATTTTCAAGTCGCCAGGAAATGTTCGGATTGGATGTACTCACCAGCGAAGAACGCTGTCGACGTGAGTCCAACAAGCTGCGCGATGCGCAAGCCGGTGCCCAAGTTGTCGTGGTAGAAGGGTTGATGCGCCATTTTGCCGCTGAGAAGCTTGGAGTGCTGTTGTCGTTTTGATTTCGTCTGTGTCTGTGTCTGACCACGGATGTAGTGCAAAGGAGTTGGTGAGCTCTCTTGATTGTGTTGCGTCGCCCTTGCGTCGCCAGTCACAGTGACATCACTGCCAACTTATGAACAGTCGGACCACAAACGACTGGCGCTCCACAGCTCCTTCCCTGTTTCTCGATCACGCATTGCACGCCAGCCTTTCACATGCGATTGCAGCCACACCTCGATGGCAGCAGCACCTCGGAACGCAAATGGTGTCACAGATATGGCTGAGCGCTTCCAGCTGATACGTGGCGACGAAGCTAGTCGGCACACTCTCGACTTCTTGGGAACGAGGTCAAAGGTAAGTCGCCATCTTTGACGCCGTGCTTCAGCGACTCTTACAAGTCGGAAGGTCATGTCGAGGGACGCTACCGCTCAAGTGCTCCTTTTCGACGCCCTGTGGTGCCGCGTTCGTACTAAGACGGTCGGCGAGAAGATAACATCTCGACGGAAGAGAACGCTGTGTGCTATACAGGTGTATGGAGATCCGGAATCGTGGCGACTCATACGCTCACCCGGTCAATCAATTCAGTAAACTCTTCCGGACTCGCCAGGAAAGGTCAATGGCCCGTGTTCAGTGTCGCCACCGCACTTTATCGATTGCTCGATCGTAATTTCCGTACCAATTTCCCTTGTAAAGTGGGCGCAATACAACTGTCATGTGCATTGCGCACAGCTGACGTACAGCGCAGGCGTTCGAGTCCAGTCCGACGAAGACGCAGCGCTTCGAAGACTGATTACGTCTTGTGGCCTCATAAGTCTCCTTCCTCGCGCAGTCGACCAACGTCCGTATATCGGTTTCGAATGCGTCGGATACAACTCGATAACCTGAGGGCAGTTGAGGGGTCATTACCCTGTACCTAGTGTCCGTAAGCTCTCCGAATAGTTTCTCGTAATGATCCGGCGTGTGGAATGCGTCGTAGGCAAGAAGCAAGATAGGTTTCTGGGTCTGCTACTGTCTGCTCAATCGCTAGTATCAATTCCGTGAGGGTTTGGTCAGGCGTCTGCTTTAGCGTCTTGGCTTCGTTTCCCCAAGCGGAGCCAACGTACTCATCTCAAGAGGTCCTGGCCAGTGAGCAGTATCAAGACCGACCGGTGGATTCGGCGCCCAACTTTGGCAGTCGCATTGTAAGGCAACCTGCGGCTCATACTCTCCTGTGTTCCTGTGATTACGAAAAGGAGCTACGAGGGCATCGCTGCAAAAAGGCGCTTGTACGACCTGAACGCCGAGTCATCTCTTCGGTAGTATCGATGGATGATGGAGAAGGTCAGTAGAAGGTGACAAAGGCTGCAGTCTCGTGACAGCGAGCAACAGGCTCATCGCGACCTTGATCGGCGGCGCCTCAGGCGCTCGTCTCTGCGCGGACGGGATTGAAATCTACCCAGAGGAGGCTGCGCTGCCCGTAGGCAACCCCCCCCGCACTCCCCTGGTCTGTTCCCAAATCTGTTTCGCCGACATTCCGTCACCACCTCAGTCTTCCTGACGCGGCCATCTCCTCTGCTCGGGTGGAGATACTTTCGCAAGATAATTCCACCTTTTCGCTGCCATGGTCGCTACACGAAACCATCCCTCGGGCGCATACGAAACCGACACTCCCCCCAAAGCTTCACCTACTAAGCGCTCCACGCGAACGTCGGTCGCCGCGAGCGACAGCTTGTCAGCGAGGACAGCCGCCTCGCCTACTCCGACTCCAACGCGCACGCGAGCAAGCACTCGTCGCGGAGAATGGGCGCATACACCGTCCAATCTGACGCTCATCTGGCTTGCTGTCAGCCTGCCGTTGGTCATCTGGGACACAGGTTACGTCCTCCTGCGACCGCATTCAATGCCTGGCGGAGCCTTACACTACCCAATCTGGAGCCCGTATGAGCTGTACGGTCGGATCGATAGGGTATATGGCTTCGAAGCGATCGAAGCCAAGAATGGATGGACTGCCGCGCAGGGCCTGGTGAATGCCATCGAAACAGCGGCGTACCTCGCATACCTCTACATTGTGTATCAATATGGAGAGCAAGAGCCGATCCAAGGACGTGGTGCGCCAGGAAAGAGCGTGATGGGCCGTCTGCGAGGGCTTAGTGAGAGTCGCACGCTGACTGGGCGACTTGCGGCCGTCGCAGTCTTGATCGGATTCAGCACGGCGACTGTGACATTCTGGAAAACGGTCTTGTACTGTAAGTTTCTCCCTTGCGCAATAATCTCAAACAGTTCTGACGGCAGCAGGGTTGATCGAGATCTTCTCGGGGTTTCATTCCATTGGACATAATGATATGTCGACCATAGTCCTTCTCTGGGTTCTTCCAAACGGACCTTGGCTTGTCTTGCCGCTGTATATGATCTATGTCTTTGGCGCAGAGATTTTGCAAGGCCTGGAAACTGCAACAGGCGCTAACAAGAAGTCAGGGTAGATCAATGATCATCATGTCCATCCAACTTATCGAATCCGCGAGGTTCATTATCACCTCAGCGCCCCTCTCCTCTCAAATACGCGCTGGGTGATGGTATAGCATGTTCGCAAATGTGGCCCTGCACCTAACAAAGAGTACCAGAATCTATTGAAGTTGCATAATTGGTCGAAGCTTCCCACGGAAGAGATCAAGAAAGCCGGTCCACGCGCCCCTACATGAAGTGGATTCGGGGATCTACCTCGCCGCGGTGGGACTTCGCGCGCGCCAATGATATTGATCCTACAGCAGGCGCCACCGGTTTCATCTGCGCCTCATCTCCTTCTTGCCTCTTTGCACATGCGACCAACACATCTCATCATCACTTCAATTTCACGTGTATATCATACGTTTGATGATATTGCCCCGTCGATCGATATACTGATCACAGTGATGGCTGGCGAGATACTCTTATCGATTCACGCACCAGGACCCGGATAATGCTCCCTAATTTCGTCGCGGCGCGATGCAATCGCAGGATCGTATTGGTGTTCGCGATCCTTGCAACGCCCTTGGTTTTGCTCTCAACTATTTTCACACTTCAGGACGACGCATATGGGCGGCGCGCGGCGAATATCGTGCATCAGGCCGTGGACGCGGTGGAGCAGGCCACCAAACCGTACAGAGTTACGCCTGGCACCACGGACACGACCACGACCACGGCGTCAGAACCTATCGTATTGTCAGATTTGGACGAATATTGCAGGACGTTTCCAGACCCGGGCAACATCGCCGTCATCTTGAAAACTGGCGCTACCGAAATTCACGAAAAAGTTCCCATGCAGCTGGCCACCTCATTACGATGTGTGAAATGGCCAATCATCCTGTCTGATCTCGAACAGCATTTGGGCAATATGAAAGTTCACGATGTGTTGTCGAATGTTTCGGAAGAAGCGATGAAAAATAACACGGATTTCAATATATATCGACTGCAACGCGAATATCTTGCGAATGGACGAGAAAACGAGTTGTCAACGTTACGCGATCTACCGGGTAACTCGACAGATTGGCATACGGAGGGCAAAAGCGCGGCGTGGGAGTTGGATAAATACAAATTCTTGCGTACGTTGTGATAAGGTTGTTCGGAGAGCTCTGCTAACATTCTGAGCACAGACATGATCGAAAGCAGTTGGGAGCTTGCGCCTAAGAAGGATTGGTACGTTTTTGTCGAGGCAGATACCTATCTTAGCTGGCCGAATTTGCTATACTGGCTCTCCACTTTGGACCATGAGAAGCCTCTGTACTTTGGAAACGGGATACGAATGTGGGAGTACAAAGCCACTGAGCTTCTGTTCGGTCATGGAGGCTCTGGAATCCTTCTCTCTGGAGCGACGGTTGCGGAATTTGCTGCTACGAATCGAGACATCGCTCGCAAATGGGACGAGAGAATCCGCGAGATGTGGTTCGGTGATTTTGTCCTTGCTGCTGCTCTTTACGAAGAGCTAGACATCAGGATTACCAAGGCTCAGCCGTCGATGACAGGCAACGAGCCCGAAACCCAAGCATTCCTCCCAGAGATGTGGTGTCAACCAGTCATTACGGTAATCAGAGCAACGTGCCCGATATTGAAGCATGCATTGACAGGATACTAGGTGCACCATATTGCTAACCAGCCCATGAACGCCATTTGGCAATACGAAAAACAACACAACGATTCTGGTTTGCGCTGGAAGGACGTCTATCATGTGTCTTTTCCTCAAGGCATGCCTAACCACCGAAACGATTGGGATAACATCGCGGGCGACGAGGCTTATGCTCTTGATTTCTCTCCCGCACAGGGTGAAAACCAGTCATACGAGTCTTGCGAACTGGCATGCTCGCACAATCCCAAGTGCATGCAGTTCATGTACACAGAAAGTTGGACGAAGAAGGAAGAGGGGCCCGAGGTGGAGAAGAAGTGCCACCATAGCCTTGCCATCATTTTAGGAAATCAGAGGCTACCTAGAATCGGTGCAGACGGACCAGACTCGTTGCAGACGTGGTCGAGTGGGTGGATGAAAGATCGAATAGCAAAATGGGTTGAAGACCATCGAGATTGTGTATTGAGCGACAGCAACTGGCCTACATAGTCAACGAAAGGTCGATTTCCGTTTTTGCAGAATAAATCTCACTTCATGTATTTCTACATGTCAAGGACTCGGTCAGAAAATCTAGAAGGTGGACTGGTTCCGCAAGGGTAGCGAGACTGGTCCGTGCCACTGTCTCGCGCTAGCGAGTCATGCAGGCTTGAGCTCCTTTGATCTGCATGTGATCGGAACAGATTCTGTCAGCAACGATATGCCAATGCAGCTCTTCATCTTGGGCCCAGCATTCGGGCTGCCATCAATTGATGCCGAGTGCAATGCTACCGTTGCGTTACTCCAGCTGCGCGCCAAGGATGGCTACCAGATCATACCAACCCACCAGCAACCGCACCGTCTACCGCTTTTGATCGATGGCAGAACGCGAGTGTCCGGCTTCAGCGACATCGTCCGACATTTCGTCAACAAGCGAATCTTCAACAAGAGTTCGCTTTTGAATGCCAAGCAACAAGCAGACTCCTTTGCGATCTCCTCTTTCGTCGAATGCAACGCGCAGACACTCTTGGACATCTCACTCTATGTCGGTTTCGAGAACTATCGCCTAGCCACGCGACCCGCTTTTACCAAGATACTGCCATGGCATGCGAACTACATTGTGCCGCCTCAAAGACGTGCTGCTGCGCGGACACGAACAGAGCATCTGGGGATCTCGAGCATCGATGTGGACAACGTGCATGAGGATATGAGCAACAGACCTCCTGGCTTTGAGGCTGTTGGGAAAGATGCGACATTTGAGGCAGAGACGCAGAAAAGGGCAAGCTTGCTACTGCCTCGCAAAGATACCCTGAGAAGCCTGTTACAGCGGCCAAAGCACGCTGCCGTGTTCAAGCTACACGCTCTGGCCGAGAATTTCTTTGAGCCGTTACAAGACTTGCTGGAAGATAATTTGTATATGCTTGGAGGACAAGAGGCCACATCTGTGGACTGCCTACTCTATGGATACCTTAGTTTGATGCTTCATCCAAAGCTTCCACAAGATTGGCTCGCTTCGATTCTACGGCGCAAGTATACAAAGCTGGTCAAATACATCGAGCGCCTCCACGAAGTCCTCAATCTTGAAACGAACTCAGACGAAGTCATGGCCCTGTCTAGCACAGGTCATCAATCCCTTCCATGGCAAGCAACCGCCTCGTCAAGCATACTCCAAAGTCTTGATGAGATACATCACGGAATTAGAGACCAGCTGCCCGTCTACGGGACGTCTGATCAACTTTGCTTGTTGCATTCGAAGCCGTTCGCTTTTTTCCAAAGGGATCATCGAGCCTCGATGCTCACCACATGCGCTTTTCTCGCAGCCATGGGATATATGACGCTGCGCATGGGTTGGGTGGTTTGGCCTCATGGGGATGAAGTACAGATTTTTGGCCGCAAAAGACTTGCTGATTACGGACACCTCGGAGCCGCTCTTGCAGGTGTCAGTCTCTTGGGGTCGCAAACTGGTCATGGCACTTGAGCCGACAGGAGTTCTATGACATACTAAAAGTGCACAACAAAGTTGCATAACAAAGTTGAACAACACTAGTCGTGCGGAGTTCGCACTATTGCCGCAACCCGGATGTGATCCGGCACAACAGGCCTCTTTTTCCCGGCTGACGAAAGCCAATCTTTGTCCGTGGATTCACTGTTCGGGTCCGGCACCAGAAAGACATCCAAACTCTCGGCATCAACCAAGCACGTCTTGCACGCCTTCCGTCAGGCGCTTATTGCCGCGTTGCGAGATTAGTCGACACCCACAATGAGCAGCTGCCTCTATGGGAGCGTAGCAAATTCTTACTGGACGACAAGAGTCCTACCACTCTTCTCCCCTCAATTTTTGCAAGACACAGTATATACCCATGTAAATCCGTCCAACTGGAGATACGGAAGAGCGGTTTGCAACGAGGTCTCCCTTCCTAGGCGACTGCACCCACGGTCCAGTTGTGAAAGCGTCTGTCACCTCATCGAATTCAAGAGTACGCCCTAAGACCTATTTTGGCGAAGTTCACTTTTATGGCATTTGGTATCGATATTGAATAAGAATGTAGGCCAGCTCTAGGAGAGAGCAATCATCGACTGAGAAGTCACATCAGTTGCATTTCTCTGGACCAAATTACGCGAGAATTGTTCGACGCCTGCGCTTGCAAAATGCTCCGGCCAGAGCCACTTGAGCAGGACAGACCTACTGGCAGCCTTCGTTGCCATGAATACGCGCGGAGCTCGTCATGCGCATGACACTATTCGAAACCCTCCCCAGTCTCCAGATCAAACCCCAGACAATTCCCTGCACCGGCACCCTGATCATCTGTGGCTCTTCTCTCGGCTCTGGTGCGCGCAAAGTGCATGGAAGCCTTGACGGATGCCTTTTCTCTGTCGTCATGGTGCCCGGACTAGTGTATCAATTCGCTGCAGCATCCAACTACAGGTGTGATTGGCACTGCTCCGAGAGCATTGTTCTATGAGGGGTGACAGTACAGCCTGCAAACTTCTCATTACTTTTCTCAATAGGTCTGGAAGTTCGATATGCAGGACCGCTATTTTGGCCTACGCGGCGGCTGGTTGACCTTCTGGGTCACCGTCGCTTGTGGTACAGATATGACTCTCTTTGGGTTGGTCAGTGAAAGGCATTCACACTCGTCAGGCAGGCTGATGCTCTTGCGCCATAGGTACGACCAAGGTGTCTTTGGAGGCGTGATCGTAACCCCGGACTTCTTGAATCAAATGAACATTGGGAACAACAGCTCTCTGCTCGGAACTGTTACGGCCATCTACGATGTTGGGTGTTTCTTCGGCGCGATCTTGGCTTATCTCATTGGAGACATCCTTGGCAGGAAGAAGAGTATCCTACTCGGAACGACGATCATGAGCATTGGTGCTCTCCTGCAAATCACGGCGTATGGAGTACCGCAGATGATCGTTGGACGAACCGTGGGTGGTATCGGCAATGGATTGAATACTTCTACTGCCCCACCTTGGCAGGCAGAGACGAGCAAGGCTGCCTGGAGAGGCAAGCTGATTGTGATCGAGCTCATCTTGAATATTGCTGGTTTCAGCTTGTCTAACTGGGTTACGTTTGGTTTCAGGTATATGGCTTGCTTGCAAGATCTTCTTGGGCAGAAAGATATGCCAAATCGATTCCTTGTCCATCAGACTGACGTGACTGCAGCTATCTTCCAGGAGGCGTAGCGTGGAGAATTCCTCTCGCTCTGCAATTCATCTTTATTGTGATTCTATTCGCAACTGTCCCATGGCTTCCAGAGTCGCCGCGTTGGCTCGTCCAGAAGGATCGAATAGAGGAGGCCGAGCAGATCCTGGCCGATATTGAAGGAACGGGAACCGCGAACCATTACGTCCAGACGGAGCTGGGCGATATCAAGTACTCCACGGCATACGAACGTCAACACTCTATTCGTCTCCGCGATCTCATCCGTGGGCAGAAGGGCAACGAAGTTGGATCTTGCACGCTCCGCCGGGTAATTCTTGGAATGGGCGCTCAGGCAATGCAACAACTGTCCGGTAAGCACTCCGCACGACGAGCATCTCGCTGTCTCCGAGCCACCTGCTCATAGCGCTTTCTTGCAGGCATCAACGTGACTAGCTACTACTTGCCAACGGTACTGATCTCCTCGGTGGGCTTCGACAACCGCATGGCTCGTCTTCTCGCAGCTTGCAACAGCGTCAGCTACCTCCTCTTCTCGTTTATTGGCATACCGAACGTCGAACGCTGGGGAAGACGCAAGATGCTGATGTACGCGGCTTCTGGACAATGCTTTTGCTATCTCACCATCACTGTCCTGCTTCGCTACAGCGAGCTGCCAGGTTACCAATACAAGACCGAAGTTGCCTCTGCTAGCGTTGCATTCTTCTTCTTGTACTATGTCTTCTTCGGCATTGGGTTCCAAGGAGTCCCGTGGCTTTTCCCAAGCGAGATAAATTCACTATCTATGCGAAACAAGGGAGCTGCTTTGGGAACGGCTACGAACTGGATCTTCAACTTCTTGTGAGACTTCCCCGACACAGCGGCTGAGCATCCTCGTTGGTTGACGTCAGATAGGGTCGTTGAGATCACGCCAAAAGGCATTGAAAGCCTTGGTTGGAGATTCTACATCATCTGGACTGTCCTCAACTTTTCGTTTGTACCGACAGTAGTACGTGCCTGCGTCTTCTCATCTCCGTTGAAAAGCTGACACGGTCCTCTAGTACCTCTTCTACCCTGAGACAGCAGGGCGCACACTCGAGGACTTGGACAGTTACTTTCGCGGACAGCCCAGTGCGCTCGTCTTCCGCGACAAAATTGCCACGTCCTCCAAGCGGCCCGTGGAGTTCATTGAGAGGGAGGAAGAAGACGTGCTTAGACAAAGCTCTGTCAATCTGCGTGCTGCCAGTCTTGCGGCGGGCCATAACCGATCTCGATCGACTGAGAATGCGGAGCTTGGAAGGAGGTCCTCGTATAACAGTGGTGAGGGTGGAAAGAGACAGGAGCTGGCATACAGGGAGCAGATACGGTTGTGAGTCGCACAAAGTCATGAGAGCATCGGAGTCTTCAACAACGCAAGGCGTTCGAGATCTCTTCTACGCACAGGTCTATCCAGCTGTTGAAACACCTTTCCAGTGGCGTGTATTGTCCGTGAAATTGAGGGAAGCTATATAGTTGCAACAGTCAAAAGCTGACCTGAAGAATTCAGATGAAATCCATGCATGTTGTGAACTAACTGGGCGAACTTCGGCAGGTGCACGGCTGTCGGGGCGGTGGCCTGAGCTTACAAATCCGCAAAATGGTTTTGCCGACCGCACCACCACACTCTCACACACCGTAATCGCAGTGGTTAGGCACTGATGTACTCGCTATCGACTCGCAATCTATCTATCAGGTCCTTTATTGTCTACTTTGTCGTTATGCCGCCTCAGGCCCTCGATTTACAGCCCTATCGGCTCTAGATTAAGCTTTGGATTCATGCTAGATATACCTACTAGCGAGTCGTACAGAGCCTATATAATACTAAGGGCATTCGCTGCGGTATTAGAACTCTACAGACACACTTATCGCCTATTGTCAGTAGCTGCCTTATTGTTCGATATTATGGACTCGCACTTATAATAGTATAAGCGCGACAATAGCTTTTGATTAATATAAAGCCGCGCACCGCCATTGACGGGTTTAATATAAAGCCAAAAGCTGCGCCTGACTTCATATTGACCGTTCACGTCGACAATAGCGGTACGCGACACTCGTGGAGCCTCATTGTCGCCGTCGTAAGTTGTTATTATGGTAGTAGAGTGAGTCGCGACTCACAGCGAGTGCCGCTTCGGCAGTCGGCAAAACCATTTTGCGGATTTGTAAGCTCAGGCCACCGCCTCGGCCCGCTCCGCTGTATTTACATCTGCAAATAGCAACTTTCGCGACGTCAGCAAAGAACGGCTACCTAAACACTCGATGCTACAGAGCCGAAGCAATCATACACCCATCATGCCGGCAACTCGCCAGACAGCTAGAAAGCAGGCGGATTCAACTGTATCATTGGAACAACAGCAATTTCGATTCCCAGAGGAGAGCCATCTGCTCATCACCACGCCGCGACATGTCTTTGCCTGGGATTCCACCGGAATGCAGACGATCTTCAGTAGCCGGCGAGGTAGCATTGTCGCCGCCAAAGAAGCCAAGGATGGCTCTGGACTCCTGGCGGTCGCGAGCAGCCATGTTGTCGTCATGCACGACACCCAAAGAGGGCAGGAAGAGAGCTGGGGGTTGGATGCGCCAAACGAGCAAGTTCGACATCTGGAGTACGCACCGGATGCCAAATCTCTTTTCCTATCAACGACCGCGGATGGATCCATACAGCATTACAGCATGGAATCTTCACGAATGCTTCAGCCTACTCACAAGCATGACGCGGCTCCAGTGGCGCTGGCAGTGTCCCCAACAGGCCACTTGATTCTCTCCGCCTCCCACCAACCTCCGGTTATCTTTCTGAAGAACATGACACACAACAGTTCGCCTGTACAGATGCTGCCAAACGCCTCGGCAGCTTCAGTATCGCACGCTGCTTTCCACCCTGAAAGGCCAAATATCTATCTGCTCGCGTTTCGAGACGGGACGGTGGCTGCCTATGATGCCACAAAGGCACCTCGACATGGCTCTTCTGAGTCTCGATCAGTCGTTGATGGAGAGATCGCGTCGATCAGAAATGTCCATCGAGCGGTAGTGACCGGGGACGAAGTCTTTGACAAGTCTAATTTGGCGGCGCCCTTAGCTGGAGCCGCCTTCTTGCCCGGCTTCAAAACGAGAGCAGTGACGGCGGGTCGTGATGGAAAGTGCAAGCTTGTCGACTTCGCGAGGGGCGGTGTCGTTTTGAGAACCTGGCATGTCAGGGCACCCTTGACTTCACTTTCAGTTCTGGCCCTCCGATCTCAGGCAAAGCAGGGAGACACTCGAAAGCGAAGCTCAGCTTCTCACACGATTGGTGGACCAACAACTACCGACTGTGTTATTGCGACCAGCCGTGTGGATGGACAAGTGCATCTGTACGACAGTGTCGGGTTACTACGTGCGCAAAAGACCGTCAGCGCGCAGGAAGAAAGGATCTTGAGCGTTGAATGGGCGAAGGGCCCAGCTCCGAGGTCTGTGGGTACCACACAGACAGTAAGGCGCTTCAGCGAGGAGACATCAATTGCAATACCAGACTCGAGGACAGATTCTCAACGTCCAAATACCATCACAAGCAGCAAGGCAAGTCCACCGAATTCTGGCACCAGGAGTGAGCTTGGACTTCCTTCCGAATTGAAACAAATGTCGAACACAGCACCGAGGAGATTTACCCTACATCCTAATGAGATGGATGCGAGTGAAGGTACCGTACGGTATATACCCTCTCCTGTACGCGCGCCGCCAGTACCACTCGCAGGCGCAGAGTATCATGATCTCTTCTCGCCGGTGAAGCCAATGGACCCTGTCTTGAATAGTCAAGCAACGAGAAGTCTTGCGAAGGAACGGGTAACCAGTCCTGGAAGAAATCGGCCTCGGCTCTCCAGTCAGACTTTTGTCCACAGCCCAGAGACGAAGCACAATGGGGAAGACCCGATGGTCTCTCGAAGTTCCGCTGCCGCTACTTCTACCCACGATGCGACCTCTGCTGCAATCAAAGAGCGTCCTCATCCAGGCTACCCGCCCACACTGAGGCCATCTCGACAGACTGCTGTGCATATGTCCCCGCTTACTAAGACCAAGAGGCACATCAAGTTCAAGCATGGTGGCGACGGCTCGACGAATGTCCGTGGGAATGGTCCAATCGCAGCAGTAAATTCTAACGCGAAAATTCTTGCCGACCTTCGCAAGCTCGCAACCGGTGGAACTTCGCAACGCAAGCATGGCACACTGTCGTCCTATGCAGCTTCTCAACACCGAATACCAGCCCCGTCTCCGCGGTCAGGAGCTACGCAAGAAGTGGCCCCTCACCCAGTCGACACGGCTATGATGGCGGCAGACTCGGACTCAGTCGCGATGGAGCCAGTCGATGGAGATATCTGGCTCACGTCAGAATCAGAACCACAACCAAGCCATGCTCCTCGGCGGCGCAGAAGGAAAGCAACCGCCACAGTATCTTCGAATTCGAACTCCGTCTCGCGAACGACTGCCGCTCCAGCAAACACCGCGGCTGCGATACCCACAGGCATGACAGCTCCCTCCCAAGTAGACGGCTCTACAGAGGAAGAGATGTTCGCCACCGCCCCTTCGCGTCTCTCCCCGAACAATGGCACTTTCTCGCCAGCGTCAGAGGACGTACGAGAACTCTTCCCGAGATCCTCCTCGCTGTCACCTCGTCAGCGCCGGAGCGCGAAGAGGAAGTCGCCTCTGAAAGAAGCCCAACACACTTCCGTGGCGATTAATGGCGCGCTTGGACGTCGACCGGAGAAGAGTCCCTGGGCGCGAGCGAAGGCAGAAAAGGGCGGCAAGTCGGTGCAGGTGCTGGAAGATCCTCCGACGACGACCATGTCCGGGGCTTTACCGAGGAGTGAAGAAGGACTGACGTGCTTGAGTTGTCCGGAGACCAAGGCGAGAGTGCAAGCCCTGGAAGGTGAGGTTGCTCATTTGAAAGGGGAAGTTTTGGCATTGAAAGCGATGTTGCGGCGGAATGGTCTGCCGGTGTCCGCTGGAATTCGTTGAGTATCAGTTTCAAGAGCTCGTGGTTGGCATAGAGCGTGGCTACTGTTTGGAAATGACGGTTGGATTCATTAGCGAGGCGTTGCTAGAGGTTTTCCTAACTTTGGATACACCCTGAAGTGATTACCGAGATCATCGATATCCCAGTATGGACCATTTGATTGTAAGACGTTTATCTGCTACAATTTGGTGACGTCTTTGCCGGATCGTCCTTGTCCCGCTGCACCTGTTCGCGGACTGTGAATATACAGTGCTTCCCGCATCACCCCGTGTTGGTCCCAAGTCTCCGTTCCCTTGGCCAAACTCGGTAATCCAACATCTTCAATTCTCCGCTGGACCTGGCCATCTTCAGCGAAAGCATCATGACCATCCATGCTCGCTGTCGTTCTCGTGGTCCTCAAACATCCACTCGTCTGACTCGTGATGCTGACCAGGCGCTCCGTCAGCTGGAACGGTGGACTGTGGTGCAGCTGTCTGTGGCTCCTGGCTCGCTGCCTGTGCGTTCGGCGCACCACCAGCAGCCTGAGGTTGGTCTCCAGCAGGTGGCTGGGCTCCCGGCGGCGCAGGAGGAAAACTCGCGTTGACAGCAGCCCCGAAAATGCCCTGAAGAGATGCCAAAAAGGCAGCGCCTGGATCATTGGGCTGTGGTGCTGCACCCGCAGGAGCATTGCCGCCTTGCGCCCCTCCCGCGTTCTGTGGGAAGGGCGGTGGCATGAAGTTTGGTGGCACGGCGATCGGTGGCAATGTAATGACATTTCCCCCCATTACAGTGCCGCCCGCAGGTACTGGACCTCCAAGTATGGTGTTGAGGATGCCGTTGTAGTCCATCGGATCCTGCACGCTACCTCCCACGTTGTACTCCTTCATGAATCTAGGCAACTGTTCTTGAATGTCTTCTACACTCGGGAGACATATGTAATAGCCCCGCTCTGGAAGGGCCGCAGCTCCGTTCCCGGGAGCTTTGTAGTCCTTGCCCGTGAAATGCTTGCATTTGTTGACTGGAGCTTTTGGCTTTGGCAATGGCGGAGACGGCTTCCGAATTTGCGGCGAGTCCTCCCCCTGACCTTCATCCTCTGGAGAAACCAGGTCAGGCAAGTCGTCTAACTCATTCTCTTGCGGAACCAGATCTGGAGGCTCGTCGTCCGAATAGTCCTCTGCGTCGTACCAACCATCCCCGTTGCTATGATCCATTTCAGGGAGAGGACCATCACTGTACCATAGATTGTTCTCGTTGTCGTTGGAATCTGGTTGCTGAAGGAAGTACACACGCTGGCCGGAGATTTGCAGGTAGTGGAGGTGGACGTGCTGCAAGGCTGGCAATCTCTTGATGGCCTCCAGAATTGGCACCCACGAGTCGTTCGGACCCGTCAACGCGACACCGTATAACGTCAAGAATGACACTGATCGCAGCTTGCAAATGATGGTGACAAGGGACGTCATGTCAGTGCCTATGCCGTTCAGAGCCAGCTTCGCGAGCCTCTCCAAATCCAGTTGACTGCTGAGTGTTTGGAACATCGCACCAGACCAATCGCTGGAGTCAAACGTTAGGGAGAGGCTGGTTGCAGAGTGGATGACTGGTGCGAAAGACTTGATAATCTTCTGTGACCTCTCCAGATCTTGTGGTTTGTCTTCACCCCTGCCAGGACGAAGCAGACGGGTCCGGAAGCCAAGTTTGACTTCGTTGAGCTGACGGAATGCCACGGCGAGTTTGTCGATAGTGCTCTGCTTGAACTTCAGGTCCGTTATAGGCGAGAGATGGTAGGGGCTATCCGGACGGAGGCGCGTCGTCAATGCAGTAACGCTTGTTATGCCGGATTCCGCTACCGCCGCTAGCATGGTTTTGAATACGTGTGTCTGCGCGATGCAGTACTCGGGCTCGAAAGAGTCAAACGCATCGGTGGTCGGAGCGAAGAAAGGGCGCATGGTGGTGGTGCGCCTGAATTTGTTCAGGCCTCGACACTCGGCGTTCTCCGGAAGCGAGCTTGGAGCGTCCACGATGCATAGTGTCGTGAGCTCTGGGAGATTCTTGAAGGCTTCCACGAGGAAGCGTCTGTCCTGGCCAAGGTCCTGCAGGCGTTGCTTGTCGTCGACGTAGAAGCGATAGGCCTCGCGATTCCGAATGCTCGGGCTCCAATGGCATCCCGAGCGGCAGTGAAGCGGGCTCTCGGGGAAGACGACGGTGATGAAGTAGACTTGCTTCAGATATCGACGCAGCTTGGGGCTATGCGCGATGTTGACGAGGACCTTCAGGCTCTCGGTGGTGAACATGAAGCACTTGGCAGAGAAGTATTCCATGGCAAATTCATGCTGGCTCTTGGCCTCGACGTCCCTGCAGGTCAGGCGCAAGTGGCAGATGTCGTCGCAGCCCAGCTTGACAGCGATGCTGGAGAGCAGCTCTTCAGGTAGCGTGGCGAGACGCGAGGCGGCATTGATGCTGTCGGAGGTCGACGTTGCTTCAAGTGATGCCGCCGAGGAGGTGGCCATGACTGTTGCGCTCTCTGGTGTGGTTGATGGTGGTTGCGGAAGCGGCGAGGCTTGTGTTCTAGTCGGCCTTGTTTGTTGCTGCGCTGCACTGCACTGTGCTGTGTTTGTAGTAGGTGGTCGCGGAAAGGGTGCAGTGTGACGGCGTTGCACTGCCGCCGTCGCCGCGGTTGCCTGCACGAGCAGGGATGTGTTCAAGCCCTGAGATTGTTGATGGATTGTGCACTGATGACATTCGCGTGTTGCAGCGAGTGTGATGGAAGTCGGTGGAAGGCAGTCGAAGAAGGAGGCTAGGCAGACAGCGCGGTGCGGTGCGATGCGGTGCGGAGAGCAAGTGAAGGTCGGGTGTTTATAGCCCAACCCGCACATGTGAAAGCGGAGCGGGTGGGCTGCTCTTGCCCCCCGAGCTACCTTATACGCTGTCCCTCCGCTCTGCTCCTGCCCAAATTCATTCGTGGTCCCAAACACAGGCATCTTGGACGCGCCTTCCCTGTCACGCTGGAAAATCGATGCCTCAGGCTGCAAGTCCACATCATTCGCGACACATACCTTACCCTAGCCGACGATCCGGACATATAGGGCTTTGCTACACGTCGTCAGTGCTGGGAGCTCCAATGATGCGGACGAGACAGAGTAAACTGCATTTCACTCTATGCACAGCTAGAGTGAATGGACTCGGCATCGCCCCGTTTCATGTTAGTAATCTGCTTGCTAGATTCCCAAGTCTTTCACATGCTAGCTTCGTATTCCACCGCGCGATTAGACCGACGAAAAGTAAGTCAACGCAACGCGGACCGCTCATCGTATTCGTAGGGACAGGCGTCTTACCACCATTCTTCGAGATCAGGGACCATGGACATCGTGTGCGGTTGAGGGCTAACAACGGCCGGGCACGAGACCTCTTTCGATGAAAGAACGCGCCATCTCCGATGTGGCAGCTCATGACAAGGATGACCTCCAGCTAAAGGTTCGCGTAATGGATCTCTGCTGCGCGCGCTCGGTCTTGTCTGCTTGTGCAGATCAGTCCTTCGAGTTGCATGACGCTGGTAGGTAAGTTATCGGCGTCGAAGGGACTCGTCGACGGTTGCGCTCTGGACAAATTCCTCCATGCCTCATCTTGCCCTACGAAGAATTCGAGTGTGACAAGCGATCCGACACGCTTCCGGGATTCCGTCCAAGTGGTACAACGCCATTGGAGCGGGCGCTTGGCCCGTGAGAGATGTAAGATGGCAGGAGGCAGGAGGAGGAGCGATAGAAGCGGAGATGATGAGATGCGGGAGATAATACATGTAATGACCTTTTCTTGGAAGTAGGTCAGCGCGGGCGCCACTGCAGCCACTGCAATACCTGGTCGGCCCAAAACAGGGCATGCATCTTGGCACCTCACAGCCACGCGCTGTGTGCTGCCAACTTCCACTCTACAGCCATCATGAATCGCTGCAGTGATTCCATCCTTCTTCCATTGTCCCTCTCGCCCTCTTGGAGTGCTTGGTTTGATTTGGAAATTGTCGTGTCCTGCACCCATCAAGTGACTCGATCTGGGAACATCCGCATTGCACTTCACTCCCACCATCAGCCGCGTCAGCATCCATCACATCCTCTCATCCTGCCCCACGCCCACGCCTGACCCTCCACACTCGTCCGAGTCGAGTCCAGTCGAGTCGAGTCCTGCCTTCCAGTGCTTCCGTCTGCTTGTGCTGAAACCGTGCGCCTGTCACGCACGGCGATCGACATCTTACAAACAAGACGCCTCATGCGATAGTTTCGCAGCCGCCGCTCTGCCCACAGGCTGCCGAGCCGCTATGCTCCCTCTCACACCCTCACAAGCTGGAGACAAGGAACGAAGGCAGCAACCGCCTCCGCCGCCATCGAATCCCCACAACTCCAGCAATTCCACTTCGATCGTTGCTGTAAGTTTTATACCCGAATCATTGCGAGAACTCTTGCCTCTAACCCTGCATCGACATACAGGCCGTTATCGCCGCCGTCCTCGGGGTCTTGTTGCTCTTTTTCCTACTCGCATACATTCGGAGGCTACGGCAGCGACACGAGAATCCAAAATACGTTCCAACACAGTTCCTGAAACGAAAATGGCAGAACTGGAAGCCGCGAAGTTTCGGCGGACGTACTTCCAAAGGCGCGTATAGCTCGCAATTACAGCAGTCAGCTCCCGCGCCTGCACACTACCTGGGACACGATGATCGAAGCGCCCATGCCAGCAGGCAAGACCTTCCCGATCTGGAGCGCGCAGAGGCTGCAGAAGTAGCGCAGAATGGCGACGGAGTTGATAGACATACGAGCGTGCGTTCCGTAATGACTCTACCCGCCTACTCGCGATCAGTGCGCGAAAATGAACGTATACTTGCACGCGAAGGTGAAAGAGATGGAATTGATGTGGTGGTGGAGGCACCGGAGACAGAGCAGGAAGAAGAGAACAGAAGGGAAGAAGAAATGGAGAGCCTATATCAGATCCGTGTGCAACGAAGAACGGAAGTTGCAGAGCGAGAAGAGCGCAGGCGCCGAAGGCGCGAGGCGAGGAGGCGAGGAGACTTTGCTGAAGTGGAGCGGCTACGAGTTGAGTCGTTGGCAGCAGCACAGCTACGGGAAGCGGCCGGCGCTGCGGCTATGATCGCAGAACACCAGGGCATGAATCGTCAACGACGCGTGAGCAGTGTTAGCTACGCGGATCTAGGAGTCGCCAGACACGACGGCACGAGAATCAGAGACGGGACCCGCATACGCGCCAACTCCGGCGAGTCCGACAGCAGGCCTTTACTGGATTCTGCCGCCTCTATAGGCGATGCAGCTAGCCTACGGCCTTGGTCCACGCGAGGCTCTCATTCTTTCACGCATCATCGGAATCAGTCGCAAGTGGACTCTCTGACCTCAGCTTCCGACGGTGATTCTGATAGGGTGGAAATGGCTGAAATGCCACCGTTCGGCAGAGCTGGAAGTGACTTCGAAGTCGTGACGCTGAATCAGGCAGGCCATTCTCGTAATGGCTCTGCTGTAGCCTCGGGTAGCCGCAGTCGTGCTTCGACCAATCCTGGTCCAGTAAGGCCATCAATTGATACCACGAGGCTGAACGGCGATCTTGGCGAGGGTCAAATACCAAGCACGGAGCCCCCATCGTACGATGGCGAAGGCTTCGAGGAAGCGCCGCCCTATACCTCGCCCATCCAGGAGCCTGCACCCCAGCGTCTGTCTTCACAATCGCAGCGTTCCCAGGTCCAGCGGTCATCTTCTACAGGTAACGGAGCTCCTCACTTACCAGAGATTGGACGCCTCCCGAGTATCCGTATCGCAGACGCTACTCCAATCGATACAAGAAGGCCAGGCTTACCCGGGACAGTCGCGGAATAAGCTCGTCCTGTTTGTGGGCATTGCAAAAATTGTACATTTTGGAGAGGTTTCTGTCATTTTCGGTGACCAGCGAGCGGATATCTGTCCTTTTGAATGGCAAGGAGCCACGGCGTATGCACACCTTCTATATGGGCAACTTAACGTGAGAACGAGACCAAAGATCTAATGAGAGCGACTTCTGGATTGATCAATAGATAGAATAATTGTACACACTTGTACCGAGGAGCGAATGATATTCGAGATACCAAAACCTGCCAGATGCTGCTTCACCACGGACTCTCAAGCATCACTCGCCGCCCTCATCCACCTTGCCGTCGTAATTCGAGCTGATGGCCTTCTCCAGCTCTTTCGCTTTGGCACCGGTGATACTATCCTTGAGATCCCCGTCCTTGAAGATGTGGAACGTCGGCATTTGGTTTGCGGCGAGTTCTTGGGAGATGTCTGTCACAATGTGATCAATAGATATATATGTAAGTGGTTCCGAACCATCATCACGAGGGAACGAACGTACCCAAAGCGGAATCGGTGTCGTAGTTATAGAATCTTGCATCCGGGTATTTCTTCATCAATCTCTCGACGAAGGGGGCGATGGCTTTGCATTGCGAGCACCTGGGCAAGAAGGAAAGGTATTATTGTTAGCTTCCCGATCTGGGCGGTGTTCGGGTGGGTCGGTTGGTCTCAGAGACCATTTGTAAGGTAGGTTACCTACCAGGTTGTGGTTGCTTCGAGGATTGCTGTGCCGTCTGCGTTGCTTGCTTTGAGGTATTCGGGGAGGGTTTTGAGTTCTTCCATGATAGTACTATCTATGAACAACAAACAGTAATCTATGCGTTATTTGCTAAGCAGGAAGTTTCGGTCGGAGGAGGACATGTTCATACTGCGATGTTAGTCGAAAGGACCGTGGATTGATCTTCTGCAGCCGACGTCATGTCCGATTGATACATGAGGTTCTTTCCTTTCGTCCAGTGTGGAGGAGACCTATTGGAGGGTTCTGACGCGGGAGCTAGTGGATGTACTTTCAATTCACCCAGTCCTGCCATTCAAACCTTCGTCCTTCCTTTCTTCATTCCCAACGGACAACGACAGGTTGTGAGACGGCTATAATTTCGAGCTCCAGCAAGCCTAGCCTGACCACTCCTCTATCCAAACCCCGAGCACAGTGCGAGCTGCAATGGAATCACTTGATCCGATTGCGCTGCCTTCTCCGCAGCTCATCAATTTAGCCGGACGCAGACGCACACGCAGTAGGAGCGGGTATTGATGGCAGCGGTATTTGATAGCCCGAGCATGGCCTTCATCGTGTCTATAGGCGTCTAGGATTGTTGCTGATGGTTCTCACTGCTCTCAGAGTTGACTCTCAAAAGCACAAGATGTCTACGGCACAGGTCGCTGCATCCAACCAGCCTTTCGCGGCTCATGCCTTTTCGCGGAATCCACTCGAGACGCGTGAAGATGTGATCGCTGCATGCGCGTCTTTCCTGGATCCTTTGGAAGCTGGGTTTTCCCCAGGCTGTGCTCTCGTGCGAGTGGGCGGCACAGGCACCAAGTGTATGGTTACGCAGGCCTTGGTTGAGAACGAATTGTACTGACCGGGTAGTCGACGAGACGGCCGCTCAAATTGAAGGCTTTGCACGTCCATTATGGGGTTTGGCTCCTTTGCTGGCCGGTGGCTCGTGCTACAAGAACACGTACCTATTCGTGAAAGGACTCGCGGCCGGAACAGACCCTCAGGGCGACGAGTTTTGGGGCAGGATGGAAGACCTCGATCAACGCATGGTGGAATCCTGCCCTATTGGGTTCACACTTGCTATAGCCGGCAAAGACTTCTGGGAACCACTGTCTGAGACGGAGAGACGAAATGTCGCAGAGTGGATTGGATCGATGAACGACAAGGAAATGCCCAACACCAACTGGCTTTGGTTCCGTGTGTTTGCGAATCTAGGCCTGAGGGCAAATGGCGCTCCCTATTCTCACAGTAGGATTGAGGCCGATATGGATCACCTAGACACCTTTCATCGAGGGGATGGCTGGTCCAATGATGGCCCTTCGGGTTATACTCAAATGGACTACTATTCGGGCTCCTTTGCGATTCAATACTTGCAACTACTCTACGCCAAGCTAGCCTCGGAGTTTGATCCAAAGCGAGCAGAGGAATACAAGCGACGAGCCAAGGCCTATGCTCTCGACTTTGTGCACTATCAGGATCCAGATGGCCATTCGATACCTTTCGGAAGAAGTCTGACTTATCGTTTTGCAACCATAGCTTTCTGGTCTGCCTTGGCTTTCGCTGACGTCGAGCCTCCCGAGCCATTGACCTGGGGAGTGGTCAAAGGTCTTTTCCTCCGCAACCTTCGATGGTGGAGCAAGCATCCTCACATCTTCCAGCCGAACGGCATGTTAAACATCGGGTACACGTATCCCAACTACTATTTGGCTGAGAACTACAATAGCCCTGGATCCCCTTATTGGTCAATGCTCGCATTTGCGGCACTTGCAGTTCCAGAGTCTCATCCATTCTGGGCAAGCACGGAAGAACCGCATCCCTTCACGAATGCGCCTAGCCCTTTGCCCGCCGTTAAAGCTCTGAAGCATCCAAAACATATCATGGTTCACAAGGGAGGCCATACGTTCCTCCTGTCAAGTGGACAGAAGTGCCACTACCCGCTCAAGGCGACGCAGGCAAAATACGGGCATTTCGCGTACAGCGCGTCGTTTGGATACTCTGTGCCAACAGGCGGGTATACGCTAGAGCAATTCGTACCAGAGAGCGCCCTTGCTCTCAGCGATGACGCCGGGGAGATATGGAAGATGCGAAGGGCTGTGGAGAATGCCGAGATACTTGAGAAAGATGGTGTCCCTGTCTTGTACTCAACGATGCAGCCCTGGCAAGATGTCCTGGTGCAGAGCTGGCTGATCCCTCCTGGGGACGAAACTCCGAACTGGCACGTTCGTCTGCACCGCATCAAGACCGGACGAGACCTACAGAGTGCCGAGGGTGGCTTCGCTATCGCTGGCACCCGAATTCGAGACGGAAGAATGCTCACCGCTCTTTCTGAAGGCTCCCCTCCTAACGAGGGCACTTCTGCTTGGGGAAGTCAGGCATTTGTCCTTTCCAGGGCTGGAATTTCCGGAATCGCGGAGCTATTGATGCCAGAAAGCCATCGTAAAGGCGGGATCTGTAACGCCGACGCGAATAGTAATCTCATCGAGCCACGGACGCTGCTGCCGATTGTATCTTCCGACTTGAACGCTGGATCTACAACCTGGTTTGCAACCGCTGTCTTCGCAGTGCCGGCTACCGTGGAAGGATGGCAGAGCAGTTGGAGAGAGCAGTGGGAGAGACAGCCTGTTTTGCCGCGGTGGGTTCGCGAGATGCTTTCGTAGAGCATTCTGTACTACTGGGCGCGGACCAAAGAAGGCAAAAGTAAAAGCGAGCACATGTAACTCCGAAGTGGGGGAGTAGCTGCCTTGATGCCCGAGTCAAAGATTTTACCCAGCCCTCTCATGTGCTAAGCTCAAAAAGCGATTCATCGCATATGTTACACGGAGGTTCATCTGGTACACTCGCTCATCCGAGCTCATGTCTTTGATCATCTATCCCAAAGGATCTTAGTCGAGCGCCCCTTCGCCATTGGGCGAGTTCGAGAAGTGTGCGTAGGTTTCTTTTCACCGGAAGGACGAAATTTGGACAAAAGTGATGGGAAAGGAAGGTACGCTTGTTGATACCACTTCATGATCTCAGACTGTTATCGGGGTTGGTCTTTTTTCCTAAGTCTGAGACCAAAACTCATTTCTGTTCGTTTGGGAAGAGCTCCAGGAGAGAGCCTTTGTAGAGAGGGCCGGCTGTTAGGCTGTGTTGGCTGATTGGTTGTCTCTTCATAAAACTCGAGATGAAAAATCGGCTCTATCACGCACTAAATGTTATCTTCCTCGAGTAACATCCCACGCAAATGCCCATTCGGTGCACCTTCTCTGCAGCGAAATTCTTTTGCATGTGGTTGGTTGGTTGGTTGGCGGATCAAAGGGTGGCTCGTTTGCCTTTCCCACTGCCGTCGAGCTTTGATGTCCGTTAGTGACCTTCTGGCGAGGTCGGAATCATCAAGACACCGAAGAAGCAACATGAACCGCCGCAGCGGCAGGCCACTGCTTGTGGAATTCCAAGAACTGGTCTTGCGTCTCGTGATATGTTAACCATCTCGTCGTTGCTTTATATCGTTTGGACTAGGTACATAGGGAGTGTGTGACCGACGTGGAGTCTATTGACACCCATTTCCGGAACCAGTTTCCCGCGAAGTCGGTGTGAGGGTCGGACGTACCTTACCTACCTATAGAATCTTGCGTGCATGTTGAGAAAAAGTGTGTGTGGGTGCAGGGCTTGTATAAAGGGTAAGGTAGGAATAATAATGAGTTCGTTGCTTCTGGAATATCTCGTGCGCAAGTGCCGGTGCCATCGGGTAAACTATATATACGATATTTCTTCAGTCCGCATCATTCGTGAAGGCCGCGTGGCCCAATGGCAAGGCGCTTGACTACGATCCGTTGGCATCAAGAGATTCCAGGTTCGACCCCTGTAAGTTTGCAACGGTCACACCGCTTAATAATGATCTTACCTAACGTGTAACAGGGCGCGGTCATCCATCACAGCAATGTGCTTTTTGTTCGGGGGGATATTTTTTGGCTCGGCTTTCAGGTCTTGGGTTGAGCTTTTTGAACCGCTGGAGGTTTGCCAAGACCAGCAAAGGAAAGACAACCATTCAATTCACTTTCTCAAATTTCAAGTAGAGAGCAAATGCACTTGATATTGTTGTGGATTTTGAGACGTTCGGCTTCCGACAGCTCCCAAGAGGTTTTGCGCTTTTCTACACGTGGAAGTCTGCTCGTCAGAAAAGCTTCAGAGAGTGACAGGGACAACAATAGACAATGAACACTGACAACGCGAGAATCGTTCCACTGATCACTATCGTTGGTAACGGAGGCGGAGAGATGTTGCGCCGGAAAGCGAACCATAGCCGCGGGTCGCGGCTGAGGCCTGAGCCAAAGGGATAACTGAAACTCCACCATGAGCTCATTCAGCTGAGATATATTCCCTCACAGTCGCTTCAGACGATTCCTGCTTGAGAGATGGGCTGAAAGATTTCACGCGATCAAGTTTGACGTGAGAGAGAGAGAGAGAAGACGGCATGGCAGCGACAGATTCAGCATACGAGCAAGCGACCCGGCTTCTATCTCAGCGAAACCTGCATCAGAAGATATGGCTTCCGCAGACCAGCACGCACGCACGTCTGCGGGTGACGTTCTCGACGACGACCAATTTTGTCGAAGATGAGAGTCTTCCGGTCGTTCTGTTCATCGGACCGATGTTTGGCACGAGATATATGGGTCTCATGTTTGATAGGATGGCGCGTGAGATTGGAGTGCGGATGATATGCGTTGACAGGTGAGATTCATCCGTCTTCTTTGATCGAGCGGGATAACATGTATACTGATTAACGAAAGACCGGGATTAGGTGGATCGATGCCCGTGAAAGGAGACCAGCGTGTCGACGTATGGCTTGAGACTGTGCCCGTCTTGCTTCAACATCTCAATGTGAAGCATGTCCACATCATGTCGCACAGTGCTGGGACGATATACACTTTGAACACCATTTCGCGGTTTCGGGACATGCTGCATCCAAAGTCGCCTTATGTGGCGCTACTAGGTGAGCATTGCCTTTGCATGTGAGAACTCACCTGAACTAAGTCGACTGTGTAGCTCCATGGGTGGATAACAAGTGTTCGAATGTCGGACTCATGAACGCCGCCTCAAAACTACCCGCCGGAGCATTCTCCTACTGGAGCAATCTCAATGAATTCATCAGTCAGCGCGTGATGCCGGCATCCTTGTGGTCTGGAGGCCTGTTTTCTTCCATGGCCGGCAGGTTCCAAGCGCAGCCAGGCGAAGCGGACACGGGAGACTCCGAAGATGCGCAAGAGAAGTACGGCGTCGACAAGAAGACCACGGGCGAGATCGAAGCGCTTTCGGGGAGGTACGCCTTTGCCGAAGACATGTCCGGAGGCAACGATGAGGCACGACTCTGTGTCAAGAAGCTCGGTGCGGGAGCATGGGCGGACTGTGAGGATTACATGGACTTTGTGGGGGCTTTGTCACGGAGGGAGAAGGAGCGGATGGGCGAGGACGGCGCGGCTTCGAGGTTGAAGGTGCGGATGCATTTCGCTGAGAGCGATGTCCTGATTGGAAAGGGGGGCCAGCGGTATTTCGAGGAGTGCTGGAAGCAGGATGGAGTTGCTGAGTCGATTGATGTCGTGAGTAAGGAGTGGCCTGGGTCGAATCACGATTCGGTGCTCGTCGATTCCAAGGTGGGGGCGGTGCGGAGTGTGTTGGAGGAGATCAAGAGGCTTCGATGAAGGTGGTACACATGCGGATGGTTGTTGATAGTGATTTGAGACGATGAGAAGAAGAAGGATTTATTCTCCCAGCCGGCGCACGTGGACGCGGAGATGCCGTGACTGGCCGGTCCGGCGTTGAGTCGGCGTCTGCCGTCCGTCTCGTCGGCGATTCCCTGCACGACCGAAGACAAAACATGAAGCCACTCCTCAAGCGTGGAGAGATGTTGACGTCGCCTGTTGTCTGGTACATGCACCTACACCCTACACCACCCACGCTCTAGGCCGTCGATACCTGCAAGTAAGTGGAGAATGAAGGCGAGAGGCTCATGCATCCGCCAGGGCATAAATATGCCCGTCTCGACCGACAACATGAATCCGAACACCATCGACAATCCGCAAGGTGGACGAACAAGACTTCTCTGCTTGTTCTCATCATGCTCTCTGCAACGGTAGCAGTTGCTCTTCTGATCTCGGGGTGAGCCATTCACACTTGCATGCATCCTCCGACACACTGCTGATTCTTCAACAGCAGCACCATTGCCCACTCTGCCCACTCTGCTTGCGATTCGGTCGACAAGGGATACCAATGCCAACCGGAAATCTCGCACTATTGGTCAGTACCGATCGCCATCCATCACTCGCTAGCGATCTGATGATTTCGCAGGGGCCAGTACAGTCCCTGGTTCAGCGTAGACTCTGCCATATCCAATGCCGTGCCACCGTCCTGTGCCATCACCTTTGCCCAGGTACTCTCGCGCCACGGCGCCCGTGACCCTACAGCCTCGAAGACCAAGTCGTACAACGCCACGATCCAGAAGATCCACGCAAACGTGAAGAGCTATCCAGGAAAATATGCCTTCCTTCAGAACTACCAGTACACTCTCGGAGCCGATCAACTCACCACCTTCGGCCAGCAGGAAATGATTAACTCTGGCATCAAGTTCTACCAACGCTACGAGAGGCTTGCGAAGCACTTGACCCCATTTGTTCGATCTTCTTCCGAGGATCGTGTGGTTGAGTCTGCCCAGAACTTCACCCAAGGCTTCCACAGTGCAAGAAAGGCCGACCGATTCCATTCTGGTGGTGATCATGCCTACCCGTACCCGATCGAGATCATCTCCGAGGCAGACGGCCAAAACAACACGTTAAACCACGACCTCTGCACCAGCTTCGAGAACGGACCAGACAGTGACATTGCATCAAACGCTCAGAAGACTTGGGCGAACGTGTTCGTCCCGCCAATCCAGAAGCGTCTCAATAGCGACCTTGCGGGGGCGAACCTCACCCAAACCGACGTCATCTACGTGATGGATCTCTGCTCCTTCAACACCGTTGCATCGCCGAATGGCACCGTCTCCCCGTTCTGTGCGCTATTTACCAAACAGGAGTGGCACCAGTACAACTACTACGAGACCTTGAACAAATACTACGGCTACAGCTATGGAAACCCACTGGGCCCAACGCAGGGCGTGGGTTACACCAACGAGCTGATTGCGCGCCTGACCAACCGCCATGTCCACGACGAGACCTCCACGAACCACACGCTGGACGATGACCCGGCTACTTTCCCTCTGGGCCGTGTGCTGTACGCTGATTTCAGCCACGATAACGACATGACTGCAATCTTCTCCGCCATGGGTCTCTATAATGGTACGAGTCCACTTTCCAACACCACCGTCACCGAAGCAGCAGCTGCAAATGGATACAGTGCTGCTTGGACCGTACCATTTGCTGCCAGGGCCTATTTCGAGAAGATGGTCTGCCCTGGTAGTACAGAGGAGCTTGTTCGCATAATCATCAATGATCGAGTACTGCCACTCCCCCAGTGCGGTGGTGATAGCCTTGGGCGATGCTCGTTGAGCAAGTTCGTTGACGGCTTGAGCTTTGCTATGCGTGACGGCAAATGGGATCAGTGCTTCGTCTTTTGATCTGACGACAAGTTTCTACCAGTCACATTACGAGAGCCAGACTTATCAGCCCATTCGAGAGTGTACAATATATGATTTCGACTACAGAAACATGGCAGGGCCAGCTGGGAGATGAAGGCCGTCTTGGCTTGTAACGACAATCGGCAACGTTCGTTCCTCAGTCAGCCCGCATCCTCATGTATCCTTGTTCGATTGGCGTTGCCTGGGGTGTTCTTACATCGAACCGGCTCATTGTCGTGTTCAAGTCGATGGCACCATCGGAGCAAAGGAGCCGCCGAGGATAGCTCCTCTGGTACCCAAGCGGGGCACTCGACGCTATAGGTGCGGGGCGAGGCAACAGAAAGACAGCGACATAAACAGGAGCATTGCCCCATAGCAACGGCGATGAAAAGGACGCGTTGACACCATAACAATATATTCTAAAGTTGAGGTATGCCGTTTCCTTCATGATGAACTGCGATCCCATGGCTGATTTCGACAGATACTTCCTAAGACGAACACAGCCAATATGGTCAACCAAAAGGCACAAGATGCGGTGCAGAAGAGCTTGGATTCTGTCACATCCGACCAGACGACAGGAGTCGCTGGGCTGGTCTTCGTTGCTGTCGACAAGCAAGGCCAACAGATTGCGGCCAGCGCTTCGGGGAAGAAAGGACTTGGTGCGAATCGTTCACCGATGGACCTAGACACCGTCTTCTGGATTGCTTCATGCACCAAGCTCCTTGCTACTATGGCATGCATGCAAGCCGTGGAGCAAGGCATCCTGAGTTTGGACGACCACAAACAAGTCTACAAGCTTTGCCCAGAGTTGGAGAAGGTGCAAGTCCTCAAGGATGACGGTACCCTGGAAGACAAGAAGGCCGATATTACCCTTCGTATGCTGCTGACTCACACGTCTGGCTTCGGATATGAGTTGTAAGTTGCGGCTGGGATCATGCTCGTTCAAGATGCAGGACCTAAGTTTGTCATCTCAGTTTCAACCCAAAGCTCCGCGATTACGGACGACCAGTCGGCTTCGACATGTTCCACGCCGACATCAAAGACGTTCTCCGCATGCCATTGGTCAACCAACCTGGCTCGGCGTGGGAGTATGGCATCGGCATTGACTGGGCTGGAATCGTACTCCAACGAGCAACTGGCGTGGGCCTCAATGACTGGATCCAGAAGAACATCATGCAGCCACTGGGCTTGAAGAACGTCAACATGTTTCCCACTGCCGAGATGAAGAAGAACCTGGCGTACATGCACCAGCGGTGGCCTGGCTCTGGACAGGCGGAAGAGCGAGACCATATCTACCGAGAGCCCATCATCGCCGAAACCGAACACGAGAAGAAGCACATCTTCCACAGTGGAGGCGCTGGCGCTTATGCCCTACCAACAGAGTATGTGCAGGTCCTCGTCGCGCTGTTGAACGATGGCAAGAGCCCCAGCACCGGCGCACAGATCTTGAAGCCAGAGACCGTCGAGGCCATGTTTGAGAATCAGGTAAGACAAGGACACATTTCTTGACGTTCAAGGTGTTCTGCAATGAAGAAACATTTCGCTCACTTGTATCACTGCAGATTCCGCACTTCCCCAACTTTGCACGACAGGGCATTCCTGCCGCGAAGCCAGAGCAGACGAATCCGGCGCCGGAGCTGTATCCCCAGGACGGCAACCCGCCGCAGGGCTGGGGGTTGAGTTTCATGATTACACAAGAACCGGGCGCGACAGGTCGGGGGCGGAACACGGCTTGGTGGGCCGGTATTGCGAATCTGTTCTGGTGGTGCGATCGGGAGAAGGGTGTTGCTGGTGAGTGCACAGAGTGTTTGGAGACGTCTCCACTTTTGATTTTCCGCATGGAAGCCATATGAGCTGACGTCGGTTCCTTTCTACTGCAGGCATGATCGCGTCTCAAGTCATGCCGTTTGGAGACATGAGCGTCATGGGGCAATGGTGAGGTTTTCCCACCCTTGCATGAAGGGCACCCGCGAGCTAACACGGATCCGTCTAGGGGTGCTTGTGAAGCGGCCGTCTACCAGGCTATCGGAGCTTGATCATGCGGTACGAAGTTGCAGAAAAGCAAGAATCTGATGTATGCACATATGTATGCATGCATATGCCCTCGGAAATGGAAAATGTGACAGCTCAGATTATCTTTTCTCTCCCCTCCCAGACTTGCTGCGCTGCGTGTTGCGAAACGAACCACCGATCGCCCGCCCGTGCGTTTCGATGTTGTGGGACTGTAACACGACCGTCGCCAGGGACTCTTTTCTTTTTATTTAATTTGTCGCGCGCGCTAGTAGGGAGAGAAGGCGTATATATCCTGTCGTCGTCGTCTGCGATATCGATGGAAGCCTGCCTCCCTTCCTCTCAACGCGTCAACCATCATCATCAACGCCCTGTAAAGAAATCCAATTCAGCGGCCAAAATACGACGACGACGACGACAAGAGACCAGAAACAACAGAAACTCGACCCCAACTTCCTCCAACGAAACGACAGAAAAAAAAACACCATGCCAACAACCCTCACCTCCCTCCCCGACGAGCTCCTCCTCCAGATCCTCGCCCACAACGTCCCCCAAAACACCCTATCATCAACAACACCAACCTCCACTATAAGAACAACACAAACACCCCACCGCTCCTCCCCCGCCTCCCCCGTAGACTTCCCCACCTACATCCACCAACACGCCTACTCCCGCCGCTTCCTCCGCCTCGCCCTCGACGCCTACTTCCACACGCACACTTACACCCTCTCCCTCACCGCCCTAACACACCACCTCTCGCGCTCGCGCACCTACACGCAGATTCAAATCCACACTCCCCCCCCTACCCAAAATACCCACCACCATACCCCCCCGACCACCACCACCACCACCAGCAGCAGCACCAATACACCATTTTTATTAAAACGGAGGCATTTCGAAGACCGAATCCGCCGCTTGAATCTCCGCCTACACGTATACTACCCGGAAAGTCTCGGGGCTGCGTTGAGGGAATTGGGCGCTCTGGTGGGCAAGTTTGCAAGGTTGGGGTGGGTGCGGGTCGGCGTGGAGACGATGAGTTGTGCGGTGGCGGAGGGGGTGGAGGGGCGGGTGAGGGGGGTTTTGGAGGAGGTTTTGGGGGGCAAGGGGAAGGGCAAGAAGGGGAAGGGGGGGAGGGGGGTGGTGCAGAGGGAGGTGGAGGTTTTTTTGATGGGGGAGAGGGTTGGTGGGGATGTTAGTAATGCTGGTGGGGGTGGTGGGGGTGGGGAGGGTGGGAAATGAATGTTAAGCAGGAGAGGGAAAGTCGGAGGCGGCAGGGTAATGGGGAAGACGGGGAACATTTTCAATGGTCAGTATTGGTGAAAGCAGCAAGGAATCATTAAGATTTTTTTTTTATAAAAATGGCGCTCTGCTGAGCACCCTCTCTCTATTCAACCCCAAAAGATGAGTGAGTTGATATTCCTGCTCCAAATCGTTACATCGTCAAATCAGATAGATCGAAATTTCCCTTTCATCAGGCCAAATGCCTTTGCCGTTCCGACACGCAAGTCGGGATGGTATCATGCGAAGAAATTCAAGTCCAACAGCAGCAGCAGCACACACACACACACACGAGTACAAGTACAGAAGCCAAGACGCAAAAAAGCGTTTCTTTTCAGTGCGTCGAGCGTTCGAGCTCTTCATCGTTCTCCTGGATCCACGGTCCCTTCTCTTCGTCTGTCGCGTGGTGGAAACCCTCGGCTCGGCGGAGGGTCTGTACGTCAAGATCGGTCACATAAGCCCGGTCCTCGCCCGGTAGTGGGATTCGGACTTCGTAGTCGGCATCCATCATCATATCGTCTTTGGCCAATCTGATCGTAATGTTAGCACAAGTCACATACAAGTCATCGAGACGGACATGCTTACCGACGCTGGCCATCGTATACACACAAGACGCGCTTCTTCATCCTCATCTTGTCGGCCGAGGCACCCCACGAGAGAGGGTAGTTCTTTCTGCGCTTGGAGCCTTTGCCAGTGGTGGTGCCGGCGAGAGGCACACCGTTCTTGGAGTAAGTGAGGCCCTTCTTGGTAGTCTTGGTGATGGCGCCATGGTTTGAGATGTTGAATGCGTCGGTCTTGCGAGCCTTCTTGGATCTGCGACTGCCGTAGGTGCCATCGTTGTTATCTTCGTCTTCGACATCGTCCTCGTCCTCTGCCTCCTCCTCCTCCTCCTCGTCGAAGGAGGTAGGGGCGTTGTAGTCGAGGTTCGTCGGCAGCATGTGCTTTTCCATCGTGTCCTGGACATCCTTGTCCTGGGATACCTCCGTGAGGAGCTTCTCGTTGACGGCCTCACTGGGGTCTGTTTGCTGCACAACGCGGAGAACACAGTCGTCGAGATGCTCGTAGAAGTCCTGTGCGCTGGGAAAGGTCTTGCCGCAAGTCGAGCACATGCCCGAGACATCGCGACTGGAGTGGTAGGGCCGCTTGCTGGCGCCGGAAGGACTCTTCCTGCGTGCGTTCGGTGGGGTCTGCTCAACGCCGTGCACGGAAGTCAGGTGTCTCTTGAAGACATCTGCGCGATTGAAGCTCTTCTCTGCGGCGCTGCCACTGCCCGGGCAGAAGCCACAGACCATGGTACCCTTGTAGTGTGTGAGGGTATGTCGGTTCTTGTCGTACTTTCGTGCAAATCCCTTGGTGTGATATTCACATGTTGGAATCGGGCACTTCTCGGGTCTCTCATTCTGGTGTGTGAGCATGTGGGCCTTCATGTCCTTGACGTGTCGGCCGCAGGTTGCAATCGGGCAAAGGCCCTTGTTTGAGTCCTCGGAAGACAGCGAGTTCTGGCTGTGTCGGGAGTGGACCGAAGATATCGAGGGTCGTCGCGAGCCCTGACGCTGAGGGTATGGTTGCCATGACTGCTGTCGCGCGTATGGTGACGCCGAGCCAGCGGGCTTTGCGCTGAACGGTCTCGGGCTGTGGGAGAGGTGGTTGGGTGCGGGTGATGAGATGGCGGGGTATGGGAGATTTTGAGCTGGGACATCGGGGAACTGTGCGCCTGTATATGGTGTTGGGGAGAAGGGCTGTATCAACGAGGGGTCTAGGAAGCGGTGTTAGCCAAGATTTCTCCAGCGGAGACGACTGCTATCGAGGAGAGAGAGGAAATGGCTGTCAACTCACCCACACACCCCTTTTCGGTCACCGGGATGGTCTCGAAATCGAAGGAGGAGTTCGAGAACAGACCGTCGGTCTGCTGAACGATGCCCGGGAACATGTGTGCACCATGCTGGTGGCCCCACTCGTGCGCTTGTGGCTGGGTGGGCGGAGAGCCCATTGCTGAAGAGATGGTGCTGTGGACCGATGCGCCAGAATCGGAGACGTTGGACAGAGCAGGTGGGTTGGGGTATTCGAAAGAGTGCGATGCCGAGTCGGCCAGGCGTGGAGCTTGCAGGCGTTGTTTGCACTGATCGAGTGCTTGTTGTCCGAGGAAATCGAAGGGCTCTGGCAGAGGCGCGTAGCTGTGCTGGCGTGGATACGAGTCAAAGGTCGTTGCGCTGAGGTAGGAAGGGTCTGCGTAGCGGGAAGTCGGGAGGTACGTCTCGTCTTGGTTCCACGCCTCCGGGTATGGGTAGAGGGTGAAGTCGTTGGACGCCATAGCTTGAGCCGGGTACTCTGCGTAGGTAGCCATACTAGACCTCACGACATGCAGCACCGGGTTGATGGTGATGTTGTCGTGGCTGCTGCTGTTGTGAGGGAAGGGAATGTAATGGTAGGCCTATACCTCAATGCGAGTCAGGATCGATGGATCAAAGGGTGGAACGCAGGGAGCAACGGCGGGGGGTTTTGGGCAGGACTCACGAGTTGCAGTGGGCCGGATCGCTCTGCGCTTTGCAAATCCTCTGCGTTTTGTAAAGCCTCCGCGCTTGGTCTTTGGAGAGCAAAAGCTTGGGAGCGCCACGAGAGTGTTGGTTTTCCGTAGGCGAGTGGGCGTGACGGGAGCGGGTAGCGCCGACCGAAGGGACAGTAGTCACCGAGGATGAGGTGGGATTCGGTCAGGGCAGCTGCAGGCACGGTGTGGTCGGGGTTGGATGCGGAGAGATGCTGATGACGATGGGTAGGGAGGGACAAGAGCAGGCTTATGGATTGCGCGAGCCTGACAAGGAGGAGTCGGGCAAAGATGTTGGCGGTAGTTGAGCAGGGCGGAGGGCTTGTTGTGTGCAGGAGGTCCAGGCAGTGGGAGGAGGCTTGAAGGAGTCGGGATGCAGTGGGAGGAGGCTTGAAGGAATCGGGATGCAAGAGGAGGCATTCGAGGCGAAGTCAGCGGGCTATGTATCGATCATAAGAATCCCATCGCGAGGCATCGGCCCCAGACGAGACGAGACGAGACTGGCAGACAGAACAAGCGAAGCTAATGAAGAACGAGATATCTCATGCGCAGCAGCAGCACGAGCCACGGACCCTGGTAACTGTCTGCCTTACGAGCACGGGTGCGGTGGGTGCGGTGGGTGCGGTGGACGCTAGCCGGACTGCAGGAAGAGAGACGTGGGGCGGCGCATGCAGGCGCCCTTTAGCCACTTAGGGTACGTACCCCACTGCACCGCTCCCACCCACTGTCATCATCAACACCTCCAACTGTTGACCGTGTAGAGCCGAGCCCTCTTCTTCCAACTTCCTCTCGTCGCACATGCCGAGTGAAAGTGAAAGGGTTGCGCAGCAGCAAGAATGCAACCCGCCCCGGTGCTGCCTTCCCACACCGGTCAGGTCGGGTCGGGCAGCGTCAATGCGGAGAGGGCGTCTCTCTCACTGCCACGGTCACAGACACGGGCAGCACCGGCATGCGATGCGACATGCCTCCGGTCCGCGACTGACGATGGAGCGGACGACCTCGACGACCCACGCTGCCGGTCGGCCCTCCGCCTTCTCATTTGCTGCTCGTCGGCAGACCCGTCATCTGGTGCGAGCCCACTGCTAGTGCCACATGCTGCAGATGCAAGTGTGTGAGGGTGTGAGGGTGTGATGTGCAGGGAAAGGCAGACGACGAGAATCCCGCCTTCTCTGTGGCTGAGGGCGGTGACCATCTCTCCATCTCGACTTAATTCAGGCACAGACCTAACCCTGGTCGGACTAGCTCGGCGCGCCACAGGCGACCTCTTTCCCGTCCGGGAGCTATTTGCCGTCTATCTCGAGCTCGGGCGGAGGCGAAGCGATATTAGTCTGCATTTGCTTCACCGCGCTGCCTTGCGGTTGCCCAGTACAGTAGTAGTGAACGTGAACTCGACCAGTGAACCTGGAAGTCGACCAGTCAACCGCGTGCAGCTTCACCGGAATCTCGCAACTGACGTCTTTGCACTGCCCGTAGTCAATCACTCTCTGGCATGTGCTTTCCTTTGCTCTGCTCTGCTCTGCTCTGCTCTACCATGCTCTGGCGACCGCTCACAACCGAACCGAACCGACCCGACCCGACGCTCGTCATTAATAATCGCGACCGCACACCGGTCAAGAGCCCTGGCTCCCGTGCTCCAACGCCCAATGATTGCCCTCCCAAATTTCTCCCCTTCCTCAGATCCCTGCATATTTGCATGGTGCTGCATCCTTCGGATTTACATTATGCTGCATCCTTCGGGATTCCTGGAGGATGCGCGACCCGTGCCTGTCGCCGCGCCCTCGCGAGAAGGAGGCCTCCCACAGCCTCTATTGGCGCCGGACGGGGGGCATGGTCCTTAGTAACACGATTTGGGGGCTAAAAAGGAGTCCTCGCGGACCCAGCACGCCACGCGAAGGATGCATGCCCATCGTGTCCATCTCTCGCACCGGCATGACAATCAACGAACCCTACGAGCGGCGCCAGGTCTGCACACGCAGGCACTGCACTGCACAGGCACTGCACAGGCACTGCACAGGCACTGCACAGGCACTTGACTGCGACTGCTCGGCCGACCGTCACGCTACTCTCTGTCTACCTACAGTACCAGCCCTCTCCCGTGTGCAGCACCGTGCAGCCCTTGGACGAGCACGTTGTCGGGCAACTCTATTCTTCGGCAGACACCAACAAGCGAGGGAGTGCATGTGATTGCAATGGATATCTTTGGGTCGGGGCGAGTGGCTGATGTGAACCGTGGTGAGTCTTTACGCCAGTCAGCAAACGGCCGTCGTGTGCAAGCGCTGGCTGGCAGTTGGCAGATCCCGGCCGTCTACTACTGTACCTTAGTGTGGACTCTTGACTCTGTGGAGAGGCGGCACGCGGCGTGCCACGAGGTGGCTGTGGTGGTGGTCCGGGTGCCTCAGCTGTGGAGCGTGTCCCGCTCGCTGGCTTGCTCGGCTCGGCCAGTCCGACGACGCCCTCGCCCTCACCGTGCACATGCGGCCACCGGTCAGTCCAGTCCCATCGGTCGCTACGCCGGATTATTATCATTTACATATGGAACCCCCTGGGTACGGCCTCTTTGTCCCCTCTATCCACCCCGTACAGTACATGTCTCCCACTCGCCATCATCGCAGACCCATGTCGCTTGGGCCATTGCCGAACCCCACCCCAGTGAACCATATCTGGCGCGCTTGGACAACCTACCTTAATCCACGATCCGCGTCGGACCCACCTGGGCATGAGGGCTCTCTCAACGAGGTACAGTACCTTGTGGACCTAACTTCCCACGAAACGACGACATGATGGTCCCGGTGTAGACGACCAATGCTTGCACCAACATCCTCCTTCCGGCTGTCGGAAGAATCTCCCTGCTGGCTTACCGTAAGCACGGGCGACCTTGCCTACTGTACCTCGATCGTTCTCGCGTGCGACTCGTCCCAGACAATACAACACCAGTCGCACAAAGATCGACACGGAGCACGACCAGAAGTTAGGTTTTGCTGGCCGTAAGACGGCGCGACTTCCTTCCGCGACGCGGCGGCATCTCACGTGGTGGCCAGCCACGTTGTCCCCGGCGCACAGGCGCGATCTCGAGTGCATTATCAGACTTTCCCCGACGTGTCCCAATCAGCAGCCTGAGCACTGCGACTCTTCCATCCTCTGACCCTTTTCTTGGATTGCACCCGCCGAACTGTCTCGCCCGCACATGTTACATGTTGTTGTCGGCGATGCTGTCAGACGGCACATCTCTTGCCGGAATCACGCTCGTCGGTGATGACAGCTGTCTTCCCAGCGATTCGTGGCGAGGTATTGACCATCGCAAATGCGAGTGGTGATGAGTGGGTATCATCCCCTCGGGCCCGAAAAGTTGACCGTCAGTACGACACACTCGCGTTTCATCCGATCTTGGTGGTCGCCGCTGCATCTATCCGCCTTGGCGTCCACGAATAGGTAGTCGCAGTGTGAGGGCTCTGGTAGCCCCGACCTTGTTGATGACAAGCACGGCAACAATCATAATAACAATGATGATGATGATGCGGCGCGGAACCCTGTTTAGTGCTCGTCGGGAGGGACAAGTTCTCCACACGTGCGACAGGAATAGGAGCCGAGCTACTGCGAGAGACAGCTCACCCACAGCCTACAGGGTTTCACAGGCTTCTCCCACACCGGTCGACGGTCTCGCGGACAAGACGCACATGCAGAAGAAGTTGTTGACTTGTTGTTGGCAACATTCGCGATCCAAGCCACCAACACGCCCCCACTACACCTTCACCCTCCCCTTCCCTTCCCTTCTACACTCGTCGCATGTCACCACCATCTCCATCACCACCCTCTTCATCATCAGACCAACACATCCATTCCCACCCGTGACTGACGCACGGCGAGATGCGGGCGCACAACAAGAACATGCCCTGCCCTGCCATGCCCTGCCCGACGAGCAAGCAAACCCACCGCCGTGGTCCGGGGAGCTCTCGCCCTGCAGCCCCATCGCGCAATAATTAATCCACGAGGAGGAGCTCCTGTGCTCCTCCCTCCCTGCCACACACACACACACACACACACACACACAACGTGGTTTAAACCAACCGACCCATTTCCCATTTCCCATTTCCTAATGCGCTCTTATCTCTTTCCTAGGAATCTCAATGCAGCCCCGTCCCATTCGGACTTTGTCGTCGTCGTGGTGTGTTCCTACTATGGTTGGTTACACTATGACTGTAGGAGAATTTGAGAAAGCGCCCCGTGTCTCCGAGAGTCCACTGTATGCAAGCCCCAGGTGGGCAGACTACTACTATCTTGTTGAGTCTTGTTGACCCTGCATCGACGTGATATGATATGTCTTTGCAAATACCAGCCAGTACTGCATATCATCATCATCATCATCATCATCATCATCATCGTCATCGCTACCTCGCAAGACTCGAACTCACTCGGGCAGAGCTCTTCCCGTCCAGAGCACTCTCTGTTACACAGTTGTCACAGAGCAAACCTCCCGAATCCATCGTCCCAAAAAGAACGTTTGCAAGTTGTAAACAAGCATCGAACAGCCCCAAACTTACAATAAAGCTTGGGGCAAGACTCGTGAAGCGTCGAAGATCAACACCCAAGATCGACACTCCAACTTTCCTCTCTCTGTGCTCTCTCTCTCTCTCTCCATTCCACGCGCTGTGCTAGAGCAGAGCAGCAACACGTGCGAGCGATTTTTTTTTTTAGAATAATAAGCTCCCCGGAAGGATTTCTGGGCCATGATGAACGTGTCTACGTGTGCCAGCCATCGTTGGAACTCTTTGCTTTCACGCATCATCGCACATCGGATCCATCGTTATCATTATCATCATCATCATCATCACCACACGGGACGTATACGGCTTACCACCGCTTTTCCTCTTTTGGTGGTGGTGGTGGTGGTGGTGGTTTGTCGTAGTAGTAGTACTAGATGATCAGTTCAACGACTGCTCTCGCTTTGCTTTGCTTTGCTTTTCCTTTCCACCCATCTCCCACGACGATCTATCTCTACTTCTTCTTCCTTCTCCCGGTATTGCGGCATCCAATCGCTGGCTAGCTCGCTGGCTGGCTGGCTGGCTGGCTGGCTGGCTGGCTGCTCATTCATCACCAACATATAATAATTACATGTCCATCTCCTCATCATCATCATCATCATCATCAATGGATGGATGGACGAGAAGGATTTCCCCCCGTCCAAGTTTTCTTCCCGGGCAAGCGAATTCCTTTTCCGTCCCCCTTCCCACTCCACCAAAAAACCCCGCCACGCAACGCGGTCGAATCCTCCACCAGGGGCAAGAGATCTAAATTTAAATTAGACTCGTTCGTTCGGTTGGAAGATGTGGATGGATGGATGGATGCTGGGTTCAATAACAACAACAAACAACATGCACATGCACACGTGTGTGTGTGTGTGTGTGTGTGTGTGTGTGTGTTCGACACACGCGCGGCGCGCGCGTGGGCGACGACGATGATCAAAAACGTGGTGGGATGGGGCCTTTTCTTCACTTCACTTCCTTCACTTTCCCTGCCTGTCTGCCTGCCCGACACACTCTTCTTCTTCTTCTTCTTCTTCTTCTTCTTCTTCTTCTTCTTCTTCTCCTTCTCCTTCTCCTTCCACGCGGTCCCTGCAAGCGTTTGAAAACAAAAAATCTCCGCGACAAACGTCTTGCTGGCTTTTAATTAGAAAAGTGAAGATTAGTGAACGAGATGCCTTGCAAGGGACGCGTGATGTGCGCTCGTGTTGGTGTCGAATGCAGCTTCGTGACTGCAGGTGGACTGGGGAAGAGCCTCTGGGCTCCGTTTCATTGCTGAATTGATTAAATGCGGTTTGGTCTCTGTGTCTCTCTCTCTCTCCTCTTTGATCTATCCTCCATGACAGTCCCATTTTGATCCAGAAGTTACACCATCTCCCCATGCCCTTCATCCCATACCTTCCCTGCTGGATGGTGAAGAACAAACCCCCTTTCTGCCGTCGATAATCCCAATCTATTACACCTTCGCCATGACCTTCGCCCCGGATCTCATAAACCGCACGCCGCCAAAGATAACCCCCGCAGCGATCGCGCAGACCCCGGCGTAGACCCAGGTCCCAGTCCAGTGCAAGTCGCCATCGTCGCCGGTCCCCAGAATCCCGCCGCCCCCCGGACCACCTGCGAGCACGCCGAGGCCCACTATGGCGAAGCCCATGCCGATGCGCGTGCCGACTTTGCTCTTGTCCTGGGTGAGGGCGACGAAGAGGACGGGCGGCAGGGCGATGAAGATGCCGCTGAAGAAGCCGAAGAGGGCCGCTTCCACGATGAGACCCCCGGCGCTTTGCACCGCGATCATGCAGAAGAGGACGATGCCCACGCACGTGGCGCCTGTTGGGAACAGCAAGCGATTAGTGTGAGGGTTCCCAAGGGGGGCAAAAAACAGAAATGGATTTTTTTTTCGAGAGAGAGAGCAAGGAAATCATAAGTATACCTGGAGCAATGACATTTGCCGGACCGATCTTGTCGGCGAGCCAGTTCGGAAGGGTCCGACCGAACACGGAGCCGGCGTTCAGGATCGGGACCAGGTAGAAGGAGAGGCTGTCGTCCGTGTATCCTGTCGATTGGCCGTAGTAGCTCACGTAGAAGAACGCGACATAGAGTCCTGCAAAGCCAATCAAGCAGCCTAGCACAAACGTCATCTGTCATACGTTATTAGTGAGATTAGACCGCACGCGTCGGGCTTGAACGGCTCACTTACATATGGCACGTCGGTGAAAGCGGACCAGTCGATGATGGAGCGAGGTTTCGGCGGCTTGACCCGCTGCTTCATCACGAAGATCCTGATGATAAGAAGAGAGGTGAGTAGTGTTCTCTGCGCTGGAGGGTCGACCTGCAACAAAGTCCTTCCGCCGACTTACGGGATAAGAAGAGTCGCCAGCGCTGTGAATCCTAGGATCCTCACACTCCAGCCAAAGCCGACCTGCCATGTTATCAGTCCTCCCTCTTCTCACGGCCGATTCTCTCCCTCTTTTCTGGACATACCTCATCGATTAACCGGTAGAACATGATCGGATAGATAATGCCTCCCATGGAACTCCCAGAAGCCGCAAGACCAATCACCAGCCCGATCTTCGTGTTGAAGTACGTGGGCAGAATCGCCACACTGGGCACGAACAGACATCCTCCTCCGATGCCAATCACGAATCCCTGCGCGAGAAGACATTGCCTTTTTCCCAACAAAGAACCAAAGTAAGCCAAAACATATTCTCTCCAAACACTAAAGATATAGCCGTGACCTTTTGCCAAGAGACAGCAATGATGATTGATGCGGAGGATAGGATGGAAAAGAAGAACAAAACTCACCAAAACTCATCACAGAGACTCAACATCATATGTCCAAAGACAATCATAAACGACCCGAAGACCAACAGCGGACGGAAGTAGCCTCGATCGTAGACGGGGCCCACGAAGGCGCCGACGAGCAGCACCATGAAGGCCTGGATGGATCCGATCCACGAGATGTTCGAGGACGTTTCCACGTACAGCCGTCCGCTTTCGTAATACGTCTGGTAGACTCCAAACGTGTTGAGGATGCCCCAGGTGTTGAAGAAGAGCATCCAACCTAAAAACGGTAGTAATGCCATCATCAGTATATACCCATCCGTACTGCATTGGTTTTCCCTTGGAAAATGAGAGTAATCCTGGAGGGGGCCTCATCACTCACTTCCAAGCACCTGCAACCACGCCTTCGAACCTCCATTGGGCACCGGTCCACCAGGTGGCGCTGCCGCAACAGGAGGAGCCTTTTCTCCCTCTCCTTTTTCCACATCCCCAGATGGACTCGGTGCCTCATCAGCATGATTGTCCTTCTGCTGCGCATCGAAAGACCCAGGCTTATTATCATCAGAAGCCGCGTCGTGATGGTTGTGTTGCGCCATGATCCCAGGCCACGCGGGCGTCGACGGCCGGGATCTCGCACCTTCGCCACGTCACCACCAAGCAAGGTCTTCTTTTCTTGTGCACGGATCCAGGAGATCATACAAAAAAATTCTATCTTTTCTCCCAATCCTTGCCGATGGAAAATAAGACAATAAGAATTAATCGAAATGGAAAAGTCGTCCGCAATGCGTCCCGCGCTGTTCAGGAGGGGGGGGGGGGGGGGGCCAGGAAAACGGCAAACGGGTGTTGACATTGGATGGTGGAAAGGAATTTCGGCTCTCGCTATCGGATTTAAGAACTCAGAATACTGTCGCGACAAGCCTCCTCCCATCATTAAATAATGCACAAAAAAGCGCCTCCTACGGTGAATGATCTTCGGCTTACGTTGATCGAAAAACGCGAGAGTCGCCGGAGATGCTCGTCCGGCCCAGGAGCATCTTCTTAATCACATGTGCTCGCGCCCTTGGTGGGAGCCGGCCTGCGAGGCACTTTCTCGTACAGGAAAGAAGTCTTCTGCCATGCAGCATCGTTTCCTGTTGGGGTAACTATGTCTAAAGCATCAGGACTACTGACTCGGAGAAGCCGCTCGGCCGAGTCCTTCTTCGATCTTCCAGAACGACATATCGGTGCCACGTGGTAAGCAGATAGAGCTGCCTCTGGCCTCGCCCCTCATTCGCTTAGATTGCATACCAAGCTCAATTCATCCCCTACTGGCATCTCAGGTGACGGTGCTGCATCGACCTACTGCTCGCGTTCACTGTCAGAGGATGCCGTGTCGCGGCGGTGCTAGTATCACGCACTTTCCAAGCTCATGCCGGCCGCAAGGAGAAATCAGATCGCCTTTTGTACTTTTCTTCCTCTCCTCCCTTACTTGCCCGTCTTAGCCTTCTTCTTCGGCCGCTCCACCTTGGCCTCCGTATCGCTCTCACTGCGACCACCGCCATCCGCATCCTCCATTTCTTCGTCGCTGCCGCCGGAGCTCTTCGCATCACTGTCGTATTCTTCCGCAACGTCAGACTCAGACTCTTCCTGAAAGTCCTCATCTACGCTCTCATCATCCTCATCAGCGCTACCGCGGTCTCTTGCGACGACCTCCTCATCGTCGCTGCTCACGAGATCAGGATCGTCGGCAAGCGCCGCGGCCAGCATCGAGCCGTCACCGTCCATTTCGTTCTTCGTCTTGATGTTCTTGGCTTTCAAGAATTCTTCCAGCGGTGCTTGCTCCTCTCGGTTAATGTTCGAGAATTGATGCTCTCCGTTCCCACTCTTCAGTGTGACCGTGATGTCGAATGTGCGGCTGGCACTAACAGCTCCGCCCACGCGGCTCATGGTGACTGTGGCAATTTGTTCAAAAGAGATGTACGTTGCCGGCTTCGGCACGAACAAGAACGCGCGATCCAAGCAGAAGAGGTGGCCCTCGTTGGCTTTGATGCTGCACTTCACGCCACTCATCTGGTGGTGACTGGAGAAATCCGCGGATGGCTGGATGAGACGCTTGCCGGTCAAGCCATGGAAGATCTTCGACACAACTCTTCCGATCGGCTCCTCGTACTTAGCTTGGAGTTTCCCGGAGTATTTCGTGTTGAGGGCCTCCTCCGTCATGTTCAGCTCAATTGCCACTTCCTCGTCCTTCTTGAACTGCATGACGAGGAACGGATAGCGCGTTTGACCTTGTCGTAGTGGAGGATCCAGACCAATACAGAGCAGCTGGTGCATGTCATCGGGCTTCGGTAGGAGGAAGAAGCGCTTCGCGCTCTCGTAAGAGATCTTGTAATCGTATGTCTTGCCGCGCAGCCGGAAGGAGCTCTCGTACATGTCGATGTCGAAGCGTCCACGAGGCGTAAGATGTAGAATGTCCTGGAAAGTGGCATATGTGTCGCCGGCCACCTCTCCAATCTCGGCCTTGTTCATGAGGGTCTCGTAGAACAGGTTCGCCGCGTTCTGCTCTTCGTCCTCGCCGTCTTCTTGCTCCTCGCCGTCCTCTTCGTTCTTCGCTCGCCGCTCGGTGCCGGGTATGTAGAAGCGCATCTCAGTCAGCTGATCCACCGCGCCTCCCATTTTCTTGCCTTTGCCCCGCGCGCCACCCAGGTGTCCGTTGGTACCTGTGTCCTCATCGTCTGCTGGTAATGAGAACTCTACGGCGACCTCGTTCTTGCCGGCCAAATTGGTGTTGGAAATCTCGGTGTAGGGGATCTCGAAGGCCGGTTGATTGCGCACGTTGAAAGTGAGCTCGTTGCGGCCCATCTCGTTCTTGCCCCAGTTCCAGCCGCGCAGTGCATGCTCTTTCTGCTCGAACGGTACGCCGTACCAGACCTTGAAGCATTTCGAAATCGGGTCGAAGTCCTGCGCAATGTCAGCACCCAAGAAGGCTTCACTTTTTGGACCGTAGCTCTTTACCTCTTGCTTGAAGCCGTCCAGTTGCACCACGCCAGCATTTCGCGCATAGATCTTCAACTCATAGCCTCTTGCTGCCTTACTCCACTGAGCGCTCTGGAATTCGGCCTTGTCGAGGGTGAAGGACTGGCCGCCTGACGGCTTCCATCCGAGACCAGACTCGGCGAGTCTGCATTTGCCGGGCTGTTTAGAGAGGTCAAGGTAGATGTCGTCGAACGATTCCCTACCCACAGTATTAACTGCCATGTCTCGAGATCGTGCAGCTATCCACTGGTTGTGGCTTGGCTACGCGGTTGTTTCGCAAGTTGGGAAGAGAAGAAGACCTACATGCTGCGGCAAAAGTCTGGCGGCTATCAAGAGCCGCTAAGTCGTAAGATCGGTGACGTCGCAAAATCGTGCGCGAAGGAGGACGGCGAAGGTAGTGAAGTGGGATGTGAGCGGGACCTCAGTCGATGCAGCAGTTGCGAGGCGGCGATGGAAAGAGCTGCTGCCGCCTGGGTATCGATGGTCGATAGCTGAAATCGCTTGTCGAGGCGTGCCAGCAACGATGGCTCAGTGGAGTGGCAGCGAAGGCGACAAGGGCCTTGGAAAGATGCGAGAGAAGCAGAAGTAGAATCCATCTCAACTGTCGCGCTTCAACGCGTGCTGTCCGTCCGTGCACACGCGGACCGAGCTCCGCATCGGCCTTGGCAGCTGCCGACTTTCACGTGCCTATATGTCAATGCACCTCCCTCACTTGTCACGTGCAGGGCAGTGAAACGCTCTGCCATCTTGCATATAGTCTTCTCGGATTGATGGGTATCTATTGACATCGTAAATCTTTCACTTCATGTTCATAGGGCCGCGTTGAGCGTCTCCTTCCCAGCCTGAATCTCGAACTTTTCAGACATCCCGTAAGACTTTTGCTTCAGAAGTTTCCACCCCATTTTCGCCATGCGCAGGACTTTCACAACTGGCCGTGCCCAGTTGCTACTCCCAATTCTCACGAAGTCCATCTACCTCCCTGCGAGCACCTCAAATGCCTAAGCTGCTGAGGTCGCAACTTCTTTTTCGTCCTCATCAACGCGTGTCACCCAAGGATGCTCTAGTACTGCTTGAATACCGATGCGCCTCTCCACGTCTCGGTCCAGCATCTTCCGGATGAGGTCCAGATTCTCGTCGCTCATGATGTACGGCACTCGCAGGTCATGGTCCATGATCTCGTCGATGCTGTAGAACGGGTTCTCCTTGTAGACAATGGTGTAAAGAAGTATTCCCAACGCCCATACATCTTGCTCCTTGCCTCGGTATGGCAGGCCTCGGAGGACTTCCGGTGCTGCGTAATCTGTGTGACGTTAGCAGCGCACATTATAACAATGACTGCGAGCTTGTTTCGTGGTGGAACTTACCGATAGTACCAACGAAAACGTCAAATGGACCAGACTTGATGTATGCTGCACTGCCAAAATCGACAAGCTTGACACGACCTTCGCCGTCGAGAACGACATTTTCGTCCTTGATATCCCTGTGTACGACTTTGGCGTTGATGTGAAGATGCTGCAGCGCATCTGCGACTTGGCGGAAGATCTTTCGGCACTCTCGTTCTTCCATCGTGACACGAAGCTCAATGTAGTCGAATAGATCCATGCCGGGAAGACCGTGAGGAACCATCTCGATGTAGTAATTGATGTCATCTTCGAAGAAATCTGCCATCTCAACGATGTTGGCATGCTGCAAGCCGTCACGCCTCAGGTAGTCCAAGACATGTATCTCCAACGGAACAGTCCCCAGTCGTCGATCTCGGTGCCATGTGTCAACGAGGATACGGCGCTTGGTGACATATTTGATAACCATCTTACTAGCGCCAGCCTTCTTGTACCGCGCCAATTTTACTTGACCGTATGCGCCTTGACCCATCTCCTCCAGGATTGTGAAATCATCGATCCGCTTCTTCTTGATGACCTTGACGCTCGCAGCGATCAAGTCTGGGGAAGGATGCTCATATGGCTCGCCTTCACCAGGGCCACTTGGGAGTTGCAAAGCGTTATCGCCATCGTCCTCCTGCCGACTGCTGGAGAGCTCCACCTCTTCCGCAGACTCTGGACTAGGTGCAGCTTCCTCCTTGGACAAACCGGGTGTCGATTGTGGTGGTGGCGTACTTGGGCGGCTGACCAAAGGTGTTACTGGCCCAATGCCGTGGTTGACGGCGTGCAATTGCCTGCTGTAGGTGATCCAAAGGGCATATACAACTTCGCCACCACGGAAAGATGCCAGGCCATCCTCATCGATGATCGACTCGTTGTAAATGGGATCTCGATCGGACCGGACGACGCGCATTTGCACATCGATCATGATTTCTGCACCATCTCTGTGCTTCGCGGGCAAGCCACTGGGTCTGAGAAATATCGCCGCCGCGTCTGCGGATCCCTCTCTCAACGCGAGCAGTGCTCGGGCTCTTCTGAAGCTATGCTCCGGTATCACAATACCATCCACAAGAGCAATCTTGTCTTCATCGGTCATGATGCGAAGGATGTTGTCGAATCCAGGTATCAGCTGCGTCACTGGGAGTCCGTTCGGATTCGAGTGACCGAACAAGGCGGCGGAGAAAACATTGTTCGAGCTACTCACCCGCATGGTCGAGGGGTTGACCACGATTATGCCAGCGATGTGCGGGAAGCTCGAGACTCGGAAGACGCTTTCTTTGGGCATCTGGACGACCGTCACTGGGATGCTGATTGAGTTGCTTGTTCGCGCCGTAAACCTCCTAAGCTTGGCGAGGGCATCGTAATCAATTGCTCCAGTGTTAGTGCCAGCCAACTTTGGCCATGCTGGTATCAGTCTTTGCACGTCCATGCCATTACGCACACGGTCAAGACCAAAGATGGCTTCGAGATCTCCGCTGCCTTTCAGGACCAGACCAATTTCATCGACAGTCAGCATTGCAACGTCTTCCGCAATTTCCTCCAGCACCCAGATGAGATTGTGGCCTTTCTCCTTGACCCAGAGTGATGCGCTGCCTGTGGAGCCGTTCATTTTCTGGATCGGCACAACGTCTCCACAGAGCAATACGCCTCTGCTCTTGTTACCTGGATGGTTGACGCCCTTCTGTGGGGTCGTCGTACCATCCTGCGTCTTGCTCCTTCGACTTTGATACGTCTGCCGGGAAGGAGGTTTCGAGAGCAGCTTGGCTGTTACGCCGTTACCCATGCTCGCAAGACTATTACTTGGGCTCGTCTTACCGGGTGGAGGAGGGGGGTGCAGCTTGGACTGTCTCGGCACGCTTCCACTCTCCGGGTTCTTGAGTTTGTCCTCGAGCCACCTTCGTCGCTCCTCCTTGATGACTTCCATGATGCCGAGTTTTCTGACCTCGGCGCGGGTCACACCAAACACTAGACATGCAAGGTCATTAGCTGCAGTAATAGTCCATGGCGCGGAAGCTTCTGTAGTGAAGATAGCCTGCGCCTGATGATTCCGGTGGCCGTGCGGCGCTCTCTCGCTACTGACGGCGGTGTTAGCCAGGGCTGGAGGTCGCGGAACGGAAGTAGCCATTGGTTGAGGAGCCCGATACGGCTGGGCCATAGCCTCGGTCAGCTTGTGCTGCAAAGAATAGCCCGCGACATCAGTGTATGTGCGCTTCAAAGACGATCGCTGCGATCGCCCAGATGACATTCCCGAAAAGTCGTCGTAATCGGTGAGTGGGCTTTTTGAGATGTCGAGCTCCTCCGGCTCCTCAGAACGGTTGTTCTCGGCGACCGTCGCAGGAATTCGCAAATCAGTGGGTGATGTGACTCTTCCTCTCGTCTCCTGCTCCGATGACCGGCTCTCGTCCAATGAGCCTCTACCTCTGATGGTCACGGGACTTTCTAGAGCCGTTGGACTTTCGGTCTCTTGCTCACTCGGCATGAAGCTCTTTTCAAATACGTTCTCATTCGCCAAATGTGCTGGTCCGGTAAGTGGTCCGGGATCGATGCCTGATTCGGTAGCATGAGAAGCCGATGGGCCCATGATGTTGGCTCTTCGCAGTAGCTCCATCATGCTAAGAAGTTCCTCGTCTCCAGCCAGACGGGCTTGCGCGCTGGCGATTCGAGGAGATGTCTGAGCCCAGCCCAGCTTGTCGCGCATGAAATCTATACTGCGCTTGAGGACATTGTTGCGAGTGTGCAATGAGTCGGAGCTCTGATGAGCGAAGGAAAACGAGTGGAGCGACTCGGAGGGAAAGCGAGTGAGGTCCTCACTGAAGGGGAGTGTAGGTGACGCGGGTCCTATGAGAGCAAAAGATGACTTGCGGGACACGGGGCTGGAAGGAGCGGGAGACACAGGCTGCAGGCTTGGTGAAGATGGATTTCTGCTGAGCGATTGTGGCTGCTGTCGTATTCGCCGTAGTCCGGTGTCCCGCTCTGGTGCTAATATGGGTGACCTAAACGCCCGCAATTACCAGTCAGCCAAACGGCCCACGATGTATCACGCGCCCTGATGCGTGTGGACAATCGGGTCTACCCATCATCATGCCGATTGCAGAAAGCCAACAATTGTTCGCGGCCTTTGAAAAACTGCATGTGACGCACCTTGTGAGATTGTCATATGCGTCTGAGGAGCTGCCGGCGTCCACAGACAGTCTTGCTCTTCCCTGATACTGCTGCGAGTCCACATCGGTGCGTAGGCTGGCGCTGCTAGAGCTCGGCGAAATGAGAGAGGAGGGCGAGCGAGTCTTGGGGATGTGTAAAGTGGCCGGTCGTGGGTGCTGGTTGCTCGATGCAGTTGATTGCTGGCTGATTGCGGGCTGAGTGCTGGGAGCGTCTGTTGCAAGCATTGCTCGTCAGCGAACGATCGGGTTCGTCATCTGCGTGGTATGACTCGTGGGCGCAGGCGGCGTTCTTGGAGGGAGTGGAATGGCGTACCATCTTGCACTTCAGAGGGCGGCTTCATGCCTCTCGCCTCAGCAGCTCCAAGAGCAACACGGCAGCTGGGTAGACAGTAGGCGAGAGTACTGGACGCTGTCACCACTCCCGCGGTCCCCTCGCTCCACTTTCACGTGCCGCTGCGGTGGGCAGGATATCCCAGCGCTGCGCGCGCACACACCACACCTCGCGAACGGTGACGGATACCAGGCTGATCGATGGGCAGTAGCGGCTGTGCGAGCAAGCGAGCAATGCAAGACTAAGCGGTACAATTTGTACTGTGATGGTGAGCCAATGTGGATAAAGCGACGGGTGCTACGACAGCTGCCTTCGAACGGTAAGCTGGAAGGGGACGGTCGGCAAGGCGTCTAATTATGTAGGGTATGAGCACGGAGAGGGCGCGGACGGCAAGTGGTGCAGGTGAGGTCGGGTGGTGGTGTTTGACGGGTCCAGGTGCGCTTTTAGGTTGGAGAAGAAAGAACGGCTCCTCTTTCGTCTACGCACTCCAGGCTAACGTACCTAGCCAGGGTCTCTCCAGGTCCCCACCAGAGAAGAACTAATACCTTAACTACCTTACCTACATGTAGTTACTAGGTGCTTGACCCTGCTGCCGTAGTACTCCCTCTACCGTGACCACCTACTTACAGACTAATCATGTACTCGCTTGACATGTGACGACAATTCTCTTCTCCAACCTTGAAGTGGTAGGTTTGTCCCTGTCCAGACCAGCTCGCCAGATATCAGCAGCGTCTCAACAACGAGTGCCATGTCACCTTGCAGCTGGAAGATCTGTACATCGCTAGCTACTACTAGGCTACTACATGCCCTCCCTCCCCAACATTCGTTTTCACAGCCATGCAGGACCTTGGCCACAAGCAAATCGCTACATGGCACATCCGGCACGTTCAACAGGGCCATCGTGCGAGGAACCAAGGCAGCAGCACCACAAAGGTGTTGCGTCTCGTAGGCGCTCAAGGCCACTCGCTCTTGGCCGAATCCGCTAGCATAATCGTAAATATAATAATGGGCCCTGGTACTTCTACAATTCTCCGTGCAGTAAGCTTGACCCTGCTACTTCGAGTGCATCACCGTGACTTGTGTTTTGGACCTGACTGCTGGTGCGCTGTCAAGACCCGTCATCTCTCCATTCACGTACCATCTCGGCCGCGGTCGCTCGGCGATCAACGCACCCATCCTGTCGACAAAACTCTCCTTGTCCTTCGTCTCGCTCGACCAACTCAATGCCTCGGCATAATCAAACCTCACCTCGATGGGAGTATCTTTCAAGACCGAATGCATGTTCTTGAGCACGTCGTCGAGGCGGACATATCGCAGAACTGCGTCGCCTGTACGAAGTCGATGTTTGGCTCCGGCGGTGTCATTGATGCGGCCTGCGATGTTCGCTAGCTCATCGTCGAATGGGAGGCTCGAGAGACCCTTATCGTCAAGCGGAACTGGGCAGTGGATCGGAGCTTGCGGCAGAGATGTCAAAATGGTTTCCACCACCGACAGCTCGTCAGTGTATACCTCCTTGGTTTCCCACGAGTCCGCAAGACTCCCTTCATACCCAGGTATGTCGCGCCGCAGCATTAGCTCCATTCCATGTTTGCCGAGCAAGGGAGCCGCCTGGACATTGATGATCCAAAAGCGGTCGTCTCTCGTGGCTGTATGGTGCACGGGAGAGTCCTGTCTGTTGATGTGTACGACTTGAAGAGGAGTGAAATGATAGACCAGATGGCTTCGCGCGGTCTCTTCATATTCAAATCCAGAAGTAGGCCCAAGAACCTGAGAAAAAGAAGACGGTAGAGACTTGACAACGCGCTCTCGGTGTCTTCTCTTCGCCTCCTCCATCTCCCTGGCAATTCGCTTCTGCTCTTCTTCGACACGTCGAGCTTCTTCTGCCTTGCGTTCCTCTTCCAACCGGCGGGCCTCTGCGGCTTTGCGCTCTTCCTCTGCCTTGTGCGCTTCCTCTTCGGCAGCACGCTTTGCAGCAGCCTCAGCCTCGACTCGAGCCTCCTCTTCCCGTTGAGTGGCGATCCGACGACTTTGCTCAGCAGCGCGTTCCCTCTCCTCTTCGCTATGAGTTCCCGAGCCGTCTTTGGTATCGACATCCTCCGTCTTTTCAGAGAGTGTAGGCAGCGGCTGCTCGCTGTTCCCACGTAAGGATGCTCTTCTAGCTCTTGGAGATGCTTCGGTAGGATGCGCTGAAAAGCTTTTGGTTCTAGATCGTGTCGGCGTGCGCTTGGAGGCTGGACTCTCCGGGGGTTTCATCGTGCTTCCCTGAGTCTCTTCCGCGCCTGTAGCCATTTCCGAACTTGACTCGTCTGAAGACGTATCAGACGCCGCTTTCCCTCTAGCCACTCGCAACTCCCGTCTTGACATCAATTTGCGCCCGTTCTTTCGCCTTGGAGCTTCATCCTCGTCGCTATCCTCTTGTCCTGCCCGGTGACGGGGCCGACGCTTCCCGCTGTCTCTCTTGGTGACTGGACTTGAACTGCGGCGCTCCTTTTGAGACGCTCGCTGATCGTAAAGACGCTGTAATAATTCCTGCTCCTGTCGCCAGTTTGGACCGTGTCTCTCCTCGGCCATCTCTGGCCAAGATTTGCCTTGCCGATTTCGATAGAGTGGGTTGAAATTATCCAGTTCAGTGAGAGACTTGACCATTTCCCAGTGTGAGGATCCCAATACGCTGAGTAATGGCTTCTCCGGCTTTTGACCTCTCTTCTTCTCAGGCAGTTCTACCAATAGCATGTTGACCAAGTAAGAATCACCAGTCTTGGCAGCGGCGGCGATCACTGCATTGTCCACTGGAACTCTCGCATCCAGAAATTCTCTTACACCCGTGCGATCCGTATTCTGCACCAGTCTCAGAAGATTTTCGTAAGTGCGAGCCATGAAGTGCAATTCCTTGGCGGGCCCGCCACGGTGGCGGCTCTCCTCTTCTTCCTCACGTCTCTGCTTCGCGCCACTACTGTTCCATTCTCCTATAGCCTTTCGCAAAGCAGCCCGAATCTCCTCAGCATCGTCGGTATCATCTGTTACCACGTCCAGGGCCTGCTGCCCTTTGTAATTCTGTCGGAGAGGATCTACGCCTGCCTTGAGCAGGCTGTTCACCACATCCAGATGTCCATTCTCAGCGGCGTCGATGAGAGGCGTGTCTTTGTCCACGTTGGCACAATCGATTTGACAACCCTGATCGATCAGATAATCGACGACCTCCACATTACCGTTGAGAGCAGCAATCTGCAATGGTTTGTTGCCCGCAAATTCAGCAACCTCTAAAATCTCAGGATCTCTAGCGCGCCATGCTTTGACAAGTTCCAGGTCGCCAGCTTCACAAGCCTCTGCAAATTTGGTGAAGCCATATTTGTTCACATGTCGCTTGATCTCTCGTCCATTTGGCCTTCCCGGAGTGGATGTGGATCGGCCGATTCCTCTACGGGGCCTGCGATGCTCTGGTTGGCCGTGAGAAGTCGTCTCGGAGGAAGCATCAGACTCCTCCCAGGTGGTTTTTGACGTCTTCGAATCTTTGGATGGACCGTGCGTCGCGGCTCTCCGTTTGTTGCTTGGAAGGTCTCCTGGACCATCCATGAATGCAGACTGCGTAGAGACAGCGCGCCGATGGCTACGCAATTTGGGCGACGGTGAGTGCTCGTTTCTTCCAAGCACTTCCTCGGAATGCAGGCCACGAAGTCGCCGTTTAGAACCATCGAAACTTGGACGCTTGTTAGGGAGACTGACCGAAGAAGCACGGTGTTTTCGCTTCCGTGGATTCGGTGACTGCAGCCCGTCGCGGGCAAACTCCGGCCGTTCTGAAGCCGCCCGCGACAACGAGGAACCTCGCGAAGGTGCATTTGAAGCATGTGAGCGCGCTGAGCTCAGCGCATCGCTATCATCATCCTCGTTGCTACCCACATCGGCGTGCTCCGCATCATCGTCCCTTTTATCATCGCCCGGTGTTGCTTTGTCTACGCTGATCCTGGTGCTGGGCGCTGGAGACACAGCGGCCGAATCATTCTCATCATCAATATCAGTCGGAACTGGTAAGCTGCCTATCCGATGCTTCGGTGGTCTCTCAGCTCTGATGGTGTGACCCTGTTTCTCGACCTCCTTCTTCACTGGACTGTCAATCAACGTTTCTGCCTCCGAATCTGCGCTATTGTCATCCCCTGTAGCAACTGAGGCGCCGTCGCGCGGCTTCGAGGGTGCGACTTCAGGGGAGACGTCCTTCCCATCAGTGTTCCTCTGAGATCGAGTGGGCGAAGACTTTGTACGTTTCCCGCTCGCATTGTCGCCAGGATGGCCATTGAGAGATCCCGTATCCCCAGCCTCAGGTTTCGGCGCGTCTGGCGATTTGCTCCCATTCATGCCGCAGTATGAACAGGCGCTCGTCGCATGCCTCCTGCGGCAGCGCAACAGCACCACACGGTCGTTCGGTCGGGCGCAAAGACGGTCGGGCGCAGCGGCAGTGTCCTGGTCAAAAGGCGTCTGTATGCAGACCGTCGCGAATGTATCGAGCACGGCGCGATGCCTGCACGCGTTTTGGCGGAGTCTCGACGCGTTGTTTGCTTATTTGCAGCGATGTTGTTTGGGCGCGAGTGTTGTTTCGACGAAGCGATCGAGTGACAGCCGCCCGATAGAGACGGGAGTGTTTAAACTTTGGCGCTATTAGCTAAGCCCCCAAGTTCCAGCACAGCACAGCAGTGGCCCCCCAGCTGTGCAGGCTAACAACTTGAAGGCAGAGCACGAGATCACGACGCTTCCCAGCCTTCCCACCAAGGCCAATGACTTGTGCTGAGGTCGCTCTCTGAAAGATTTCGCAGAAGTCGCAGAAGGAAAGCCCGTGATGCATGATCTTTCAATGGGTCTGACGACCGCTTGGGATCTCAACGAGCTCGTTCGAAAGTCAAATACTTGAAAGGGATTAGGTGATTGGATGGTATCTCAGACGCTATTCTTCGGAAGATATTACGATATCTCTCTGATTGTTGATACGTATCTGCGTGCTACCAGGTGTAATTGCGTCGCTGTGAGGCCTTATTAACCAAACGCCATGCCCTTCAAACGCCTGTAACCTGGCCTGTCCTTCCTCCAGCCGCCCAAGCGCACTGTGCCTGCGATACCTAGAAATGCGTCAAAAGAGCTTGTACTTCTCAAAATGACGCCGGCCATCTCATGGAAATGCACGTGCCCTGGAGCTCACGATCAGAGTCTCACATCACCATACACCCACCACTACGAGCGCGTCTTCGTCTGCCACCTCCAACTCCCAGTCCGGGCATATTGGCGTCCTCTTCATCAGCATGCATCATTTGCGCCTCTCGTGCTCTCCTCTGTCGTCGACGCCTCCCTACGCCTTGCGCACCGGCCTCCTCCTGAGCGATCATGTACTCAGCCCACTTTCTCTCAAGACGTCTGGCGGCCATGAAGTCGCCTCGCAACACGCGTTTTGTATGCTCCTCGACGGTTGGCTGGTAGGTGTAGAAACATTTGAGCTGAATCACCTGTGTAGGGAATGTGGAGCTGTGGATGGCAGATACGCGAGGCACAGCTGACAAGTTCTCGGCGGAAGAGCTTGCAGAAGCGTCGGAAGATTTGTTCAAGATCGCTAGTTGCTTGGTGTGTGTCGTGATTGTAAGGTCGGCATTCCTCGAAAGTATTTCCCGTACGCCGGTCCAAGTCACATTCTGGCAGTCGTATGCTACCAGTCTCAGGCCGATAGAAGGCTTGAAAAGTGGCTTCCCGGGCTGAATAGGGCCTCGAATGGTAGTTCGAGGCACTCGCTGCCGGACCATGGCTGCAGCCTCGGCCAGAACCAGGTCTCCAATCCGAGTGTTGTCCATCTCAAGAGATTGGAGATTGGTACATGACTTCAGAACTGGAAGCATACCAGCATCGCCGATACTCTCGCAGTAAGAAATGCTAAGATGCCTCATTCGCTTCGCACAAGGAGCATTGGCGAGTGCTTGAGGGACAAGGTTAGTGAGGTCCTCGAGCTCCTCCAGATCAAGGTGGGTCAGCATTGGCGTGGTCGGCAATAGTTCCGTGAGTGTAGCATCCAATATGCCGTGGCATTTCGACAATTGAAGGCCTTCAATCTCAGGAATGTTGTTGACTAGAGTTCGTACCCCTTGATCGGTTATGCCGCGGCACCTTGTCAGGTCGAGATGTTTGAACCTTCGGGGAGGGACGACCGGACGGCCAGTGATATAATCGATCTCGTGTTCTCTGCCCTCAAGGAGCACCGAAAGAGACTCGTCCGACAAGGAATTGCAATTCATGAGAATCAATCGCTCCAGCGTATTCTTGAGAAACATTTCGTGCATGATATCCAGATCATCCCAACCACGGATCTCACCGGCCCGCAGGTCCTTCAGACCCGGACATCCAGTGATGACATGCTTCAATCCCCGAGTATCAATGTTGTTGCACCACGAGATGTTCAAGCACTCTAGCTTGGGACAGTTTGCGCCAAGAATCTTCATTCCGTGATTCGTGGCTCCAGCGAGACCAGAAAGATTTACATGTACAAGTCTGTTGTTAGACCAGAGAAAGTTGTGGATCGAGGCCCTGTCAATGCGGCAGCCTTCCAGCGAGAAATTCTCAAGATTTTTGCATGCATCCGTGAGATCTCGGGTGTTCCATCTCTCTCGAAGTTGGACGCAGCCCCGCAGGTTCAAGTCTCGTACAAATGGCCCAGCCGAGGTAATAAGCTTCACCAAGGAGTCTCCAGAGATGTCTCTGTAGAAGCCAGAAGTGTCCAATATGCTCCAAAGCTGTCCATCGAAGCACATTCGGTGCCACCCTTGCGATACCAGCGAACAGCGAACAATCTCTTTCGGGTCGAGGTACGTCAGGACCTCCATTCTCAACTCGGACGGCAAGTCCCGCCAGAAATTGAAGTCTCGCCTTCCCGGCTTTGATCTGAGCACAGGCCGAGAAAAGTAGTCTTCATCTACCTCTGCGATACCCGGCGCTGCACCGGCCTTGGAAGCAGGGCGAAACTCAGACGGTAATCCAACGGAGACTTTGCCGTCTTGGCCGTGTAGGTAACGCAGTCGAGCATTTTCGTCCGTAAATGGGCTCTGGATCCCGGGTGTGGTCGCAGTAGATGGTGAAGGCGTGCCATACCCGGTAGATTCTTCCCTACTCAACTGCGAGCCAAACGGATGCGCGCCCAGAGACGAAGCCGAGTTCAAAGATATGCATGAGATGGAACCTTTCCCAGTCCCGGTGTAACCTCGCGTTCGAGAATTGCCCAACCTTGCAATCGATGGAGAAGAAGAGATTCGGTGCAACCCCGCGAACAACTTCTTCCTGCCCCTCAGCTTGGGAGGTTGTTCCTGGAACGGAGGAGATGAGATCGTCGCGCTCTGTGGTGACCCAATGGGTGTGTGCGCTCCCTCCGTCCCACCGATAGAGTCGCTGGATGTACTCGCCATGTCTGGAAACGCCGGGCAGTCCTGTCGCCCGCTCCTCAGCGCATCGGACTCCGACTAAGGCGCCGACCGTAGTACTCGAGGTGACTCGATCTCGTATAGGCACGAAGTGTGGGAAGGAGAGGGAGAGGTCTTGAGCGTGCAGGCGAAGTGCGAGATACAACGAGATGTCTGGTGCGTAATGACAGCTCGAAGTGATCGACGCGACACGCACGTAGCACCACTGTGGCACTAAAGTGAAGTCAGCTGGGCCGCGGGGCTGCCATTAGGTCTCAAGACGCATGATACACCGAAGCGACTCAGAGCGCGTGCTTTGGAGACATACCATGCAAGACGCGTGACCTCAACAACAGGGCCTCTGAAGGTGTGGTTGTTTCTCGAATGTTTGTTGTCGCCGGCGAGATGCTACCTACCTTATCGCGGTCGACTGAGGTGGGGGTGTGGGCACGTGGGATCCGCGATAAGCGTCCCCACTATTTCGATAGCGCTCGGTCCGAGGGGGCGGGGTCGACCGCTGTCGTCGCTGAGAGATGGATGTTGTCCGGTGTTGTCGTGGCAGGTGGTCTTTATTTTGTGCGTGAGATCAGGGCTGTTGCGAGGGGTGGGGCGAAACAAACAGCAGCAGCGATCACGCAGACGACAGGACATGGAAGAAGTCATCAGGAGTCTGACAGCCAGAAGGAGGGTGCCCAACGAAAGCGGCAGGGCTGTGGGACAGTGACAGGGACTCGGCAGATGCAGGCATTCGAAGGGACGCCCTTGTGCCTCGCTCGTAGAGCCGAACCTTGATCACTCTCTCTCACGCTAGCTCAGCACACTCGGCCCTCGTGGTGCTTGGCTGTGGGTTCTCGAAACGCCACCGCACGCGACCTTCCTGGAAAACTCCCACAAAATCCTCTTCCAGCCGTAATCCATGTTCTCGAACCACTCTCACCCACGTGCAACCTACGTATCAGAGCCAACAGCGCTGTTAGGGGGGCACGTAGACAGCATCCTTGGGTGACATGTTTTGGCCACCCATCGGACGCCGATACAAACGCTGTATCTCTAGGGACCATGCCTCTGCAAGTACACGGTCGGACCGTGGAGGCGGAGACAATGACACCGGCCAGGCGTCGCGGTGTAAATTTGCCGCATGGCCTCGTTGAGTATTACGGGAGTACTTTCAGCATTGCCAGGACGTTGGATCTCATATATAAGTGAGCTTAGCTGCTCTTCCCTGCCTTCTTCGTAGCCGCTGGAGCTTGTGGTGCCACTCTCACCATCTCCTCCTCATCCCAATAGCTCCCCAAGAGACTCGGAAGAAACATGCCCACCCGCGCTTGATACATCCTGTATTCCGGGTATTTGCTGCCACTGATCCATTCGGTGAGGGGCGTGCTCCCTGAAAAGACTCCTACGTATCCCAGCACGCCTACGAAGGTCCAGTTCCAGTACTGGTTGGTATCCACGCAGCTCCATAGGTATAGGAGTACCCAGATAGCCTGCTCAGCTGCGAAATTGGGATGGCGGCTATACTTCCACAAGCCGGTCGTAACGAACCCACGATCCATTTGTGCTCGCGTCCATCCGTCAGGCACTTTGGCAGTTTTCTGATACTCTTTCTTCGCCTGCTGGTAGTTCCACATCTGTCCGTCGGCAAAGTATTCAAATACCACCAACGCGATCAACGACCTGCTGAAGATCAGATCCACAGTCGCCATCTCTGGCTGGATTCGAGAGGTGAGTAGGAGGACGTATGCTGGAAGCGTCACGGCCCAGAGGAGCACCTATCTCATTCGTGAGCATACTCTGGCAACAGACGGCTTTCGAGAAACTCACGGGCTGTATCGAGGCAACGAATAACACGTTGAGTAGCATATAGCCAGCCGAGCCGATTTGCTTTTTGATGAGCTCCCAACGATAGTCCTCGCTGCCAATCTGGTATCCACCCTTGCGCCAGTAATTGAACGTAAGGCGAATGGACCAAACAACACTAAACGCCAGGACATTGTCAATCTTGGCTGTCGGAAGTCCGTTCATGCGAGCCCACAGAGCGTAATGGACATTGAAAACGGTTGGCATTATGCTCCACACCCGGTCCACCTGACTGTAGTTCTTGTTGATTTCGGAGACAATCAGGAATATGGGTATCGTCGCGATCGCGAACGCCAGACCGGAAATGGCTGGGTTTGTCGAGATATACAGCTGTTTCAAAGCCTCTGGGTCCGTGATGGATGTGAGTATTTGGTTCGGGAGCTCGTAGAGCTGAGGCAGGTACTGGGCAAACGTCCGGTCGTAATCGGCACATTCTAGCAGCGTCTTCACAGCTGGGACAGCCATGTCGGTGGCCGCCATCAAAGGCATTTCGACGACTTCAGCTGGTAGCTCGGTGTTGTCGGAAACAAAGCGCAACGTGAGATGAGACGAGTAGACGCGAAGTGAGAAGTGAGAACTCATGCACCGCAGATCAGGTAACTACTTCGTGTACGTCATTTCGGCTGCTTCCGTCTCCGCCATGCGCGAGCACCGTCTGTGACCGACAGAGAGCTCGAGCGACTTCTTGTCCTTGCACATGCTCTGCACGTATGTCTCTGTCCAGTGAGCATGCGCTCGCAAATTCTCAGGGCCGCTCCCAAACCTTCTCAATGGCATACCTCTAGACAACAAGCCCGTCCGTACGCCGTACAGGCTCCTGGAGCTCCTGCCATCGAAGTCTTTGATCCCCGGACGAAATGGCTGCACAAGGAGAGAGCAGCGAGAAACGTTGCTCAGAGCCGCCAAGTGGACTATCTCCGAGATGAGGTCGCTATGCGGCTCTGCGATCGAATACTGGACATCAATCGACCATTTCCCAAAGTCCTGGATTTCGGCGCCAACGCGTGCAACATCGCTCGCGTGCTCACACGTCCAGACCCCGATCCAGAGTCCGCGAAACCTTCACTCGAGCCCATAAGCAAGAAGATAGGCAGTATAATTTGCACAGACACGAGCCCGTCGCTGCTGTACAGAGATCAGGATGAGCCGTTCAATAAGGACATAGACATTACTCGAGAAGTGCTACAAAGCCCGGAATATCTGCCCTATGAAGCCAATACGTTCGACATGGTTCTCTCCTCTATGTCATTACACTGGATCAATGACCTTCCCTCCGTCCTGATGCAGATCAACAACTGCTTGAAGCCGGATGCTCCGTTCGTGGCTGCTATGAGTGGCGGCGACAGTCTGTACGAGCTGCGTGGTTCTCTACAGCTGGCTGAGCAGGAGCGACTTGGTGGCGTTGGGACACATATCTCCCCACTCGCTGACGTGCGAGATGTTGGGAATCTGCTCACACGCGCGGGCTTCAAGCTTTTGACGGTCGACGTTGACGACATCATCGTTGACTATCCGAACCATTTCGCACTGATGTCTGATCTTCAGGCCATGGGCGAGGCCAACGCTGCCCTGAGGCGAGACCCTGGCGGCATCAGTAGGGACGTGCTTCTGGCTACCGAGGCGATTTACAGAGAAATGTACGGCGAACAGCAGGAGGACGGCACTGTCACCGTACCGGCAACCTTCCGAACAATCTACATGATCGGTTGGAAAGAAGGCGGAGCGCAGCCAAAGCCGTTGGAGCGCGGAAGTGGAGATTTGAATCTCAAAGACGTCTTTGGCGGTGGTGGGGGTCAGTAGGGATCACATGGACGTTCATAGCCAAGGCGAATTCGAAGCTGTGGTCGAGACCAGATCTGATACTGCCGGCAATACCTCTTGAATCAGGTAGGCCCTCTCTGCCGTACTCCTGATATTGCAAACCATCAACCGAACAGAACATCTACTTCAAGCGTGAATCTAAGTTCACCAGGGCCTGGCAGCTCATGGGTAGCGACGACAGGCCAGAGAAGACACACAGCATAGCCTCTTTTAATGGAATCAGAACACGTTGGGCTGGGGATAGGTAGCCGGAAATGATATGCTCGTCAAATGCAGTGACATCGAAGTGTACATGCGACTGAGAATGTCCTCAGGCACGAAGTGTAACTACGTCACGAGGAAACCGCGGCCGCGGCTCACACCTTGCAGCTGCAGTCGCTTGCTTTGGTCGACAGGTGGTCTTAGATGCTGGTGATCGGAAACGGGACCATGCGCCGTTTGCCATGCGTTTTATCGCGATGCCGTCGAAGTTACTAAGAACGGGAGGAAATCCTGCAAGGTCCACATCGCATTCATGAACCCGATTTTTGATGCCTTGAGCGCGTAAAGACTCACTGGGCTTGACTACTAGGCGATCAACAGCCAACACACCGCACCGTACCGCACACGAGCCACACACCGAGTCGATCATGTCGAGCGAAAAAGCGAGCGCCCTCAATGGACAGAACCACGTCAACCACATACACGAGCCTCGCGCGCGCAAACCCGTCAATCCGCAGCTCCACCGTGCGCTGAACAACGAGCTGAACCTCCACCCAGACCACCGAGCATCGGCAGCGACGGCATCAAGAGTCTCCAGCGAACGCGCGACACCTGCGCCGCCTGATGACGCTCCGCCTTCAGTGAAGGCGACTTCTGCGGCAAGGAAACATATCCGTCAACGGACAAAACAGAGGATCTTTCCCACCGTCGAGTATCATGACCGAGTCTCGTACTTTGACCCAAGGTCAAGCTATGGGAACTTCAGAGGGTTCTTCGTCCTGTTCTGGATCGGACTGGCGATCATGGTCATTACGTCCATGCTGCGAAACTTGCGAGAGACGGGCAACCTGCTCAACTCTCGGCAATGGCCCTTGTTTACGAAAGACTTGGACGAATTGGCAATTAGCGACCTCCTCATGTGCGCCAGCACAGCTCTCGACCTCCCGCTTCATCTTATCTACAGAAATAGCAAAGGGTTTCTCAGGTGGAACAAGGGCGGTATGATTCTGCAGAGCTTGTACCAGGCGGCATGGCTCTGGCTTTGGATCAGTTGGCCGTTTCTCAGAGATTGGACATGGACAGCTCAGGTCTTTTTTACGTTGCACACGCTGTGCTTGTTCATGAAAATGCACTCATACGCTTTCTACAATGGCCACTTGTCCATCTCCCTGGCCCGTCTGAAAGAGTTAGATCGCCCCATCGGCCCAATGACCCCAACAGCGGCCGCCGTTCGTTACCCGCCTGCTCAGTCCCGGCTCGCAACGACCAACCAAGACGATGAAGAGGATGAGGGCAACGAGGAGAACGTTCCTCCGGTTGCTCAGCTTCGCAGTGATCTGGCTGAGGAACTGACCTCACCAATGGGCAACGTCACTTATCCCCAGAACCTGACCCTGGCCAACTTTGCGGACTACTTGCTCTGTCCGACGTTGTGTTACGAGCTGGAGTACCCACGAAATCCGACGAGGTCCTATCTGGAGCTCTTCTATAAGACACTGGCTGTTTTCGGGTGTATCTTCCTCATGACTGTGACGAGCGAAGAGTTCATCATTCCCGTCCTTGATGAGTCTCAGCATCGACTCGTCAAATCACGCACTTGGATTGACAGCGCCCTGATTTTCGCCGAGACCGTCAGCCGCCTTCTATTTCCCTTCATGATCACATTTTTACTGGTATTCTTGAGTATATTTGAGTATACTCTAGGTGCCTTCGCAGAGATAACTCGCTTTGCCGACCGGCAGTTTTACGTCGACTGGTGGAATAGCTTAGACTGGATGGAGTTCAGTCGTGAATGGAACATACCGGTACACAACTTCTTCAGGCGCCATGTCTACAGTGCCAGTCGCAGTGCCAAGATGTCGAGGACTGCAGCAACGGCCTTGACCTTCCTAATCTCTGCTCTGGCGCACGAACTGATCATGGGATGCATCACGAGAAAGTTCCGCGGCTACGGGTTTATCTTGATGATGTTCCAAATGCCATTTGTAGTGGTTCAACGGATGCCCTGGGTCCGAGATCAGCAACTCCTCAACAACATCATCTTCTGGATCTGTATGATCTTCGGGTTGAGCTTGGTGAGTTGTCAAGCCCTTTGAATCATGGTGATTCGACTGACGTTTGGCAGCTGTGCGCACTATACGTCCTCGTTTAGCGAGCTTTTTATACCCACTGTACAGTACAGAACCTCACGAAACTTCCACATGACCAGGCTGTCTTGAGCACTAATATCCTGTATCATAGATAGATAGTAGATTGAATCGAGCTTTGCCAGTTCGATGCACCTCAAAACTACGAATTGTGTGCCAGCAGTAAGAGCACTCACCAAGTGTCCACAGCCCCAGCCAGCAGTACGCAATTGCCTTTTCGGCAAATCCACGGGACTGTTTGCCCGCTTCGTTTACATCGCTGGCCGTATATCAAACTTTCTCAAGCATTTGACTCAACGCTAATACACGACTGACCATCAGAAGAAGCCGCATTGAATGAACGAGTAGCGGCCAGCCATCCTTGAACATTGCAACAGACGGCGTAAACCCAACGCAAACGAAAGCATGGATCAAAGAACACCGCTCTGGCTTGACTGCGATACTGGGCACGACGATGCCTTCGCAATGCTTCTATCCGCATGGCATCCCTCTCTGAATCTGCTCGGAATCAGCACAATCTACGGGAATGCACCACTCTCACATACCACATATAACACCCGTGCAATTCTGAAAGCCATCCGAAAAGAAGATGTCCCAGTATACGCCGGAGCAAGCAAGTCCTTCTGTCGACCCCCAGCCAGTGCACCTGATATCCATGGCGAATCTGGTCTTGATGGAACATCTTGTCTACCTACACCCACCGTGCCCGTCAGAACGGACCAGACAGCCATCGAAGCAATCTACAAAGCCCTCATTGGCCAACCGCCCGGAACAGCCTGGCTAGTAGCAACAGGCTGCCTCACGACCACCGCCCTGCTCTTTTCCATCTATCCCGATCTAGCCACACACATCGCGGGCCTGAGCATCATGGGCGGTGCCATCGGCGGCGGCTTCACAAACGCACCCATGGGCTCCCTCCGAGGCGAAGGCGAACGTTTCGGAAACTGGACCCCTTGGGCTGAATTCAACATCTATCTCGACCCCGAAAGCGCAAAATCCGTCTTTTCCAATCCGGTCCTAAGCAAGAAAATCACAATCATCCCACTCGATCTGACGCATCAATTCCTCGCTACGGAGAGAATTCAAAAGGCTATGCTCTGTGGCTTCGATGCCGAACCATCAGATTCGAATCATGTCTCCACTGTCCGAACCCTCTTCTACGAGATCCTGACCTTTTTCGCCAGAACTTATGCGGATGTCTTTGGTCTTGTAGAAGGGCCGCCGACACACGATCCGCTTGCCGTGGCGGCAATTTTCGTGCCGGCGTCTTTTCACGATAATGGTGGAGAGCGGTACAGCATTGAAGTTGTCACAGAAGGAGATCATGGTTCGTCAGATCATGTGCGCAGTGGCCAATCTCAGTGCGGGAGAACGATTGCCACATTATTGCCAGCTGGCAGCGAGGGAGTGAGAATACCGCGGTCATTAGAGAAGGAAAAGTTGTGGAGGATGCTGGAGGAGTGCCTAGGTCGGGCAGAAAAGGCGGTGCATGCAACGCGATGAGCGCTGGGATAAGCGTTTGGACATCACACCATAGAATCGTCGAGGATAAGTCGATATAGACACATGAACGAGACACGTAGACTCATGAAGAAACATCGGTATCATTCGCCTGATAGGTATCCTTTTTCACCCGAACCCCAAAGCAAAGCGTGTTCTGTACACGCCTCGCTTCCGTGTTCCTCGCTGAGACAATCTGTCACGGTCCTCCCGACCTCCTGACACAGCAGACGATACATTAGGCCGACTAGCTTCTGGCTTGTAAGACGAATTCCGATTCCTCCTGCGCCTTTGCTTCGTCTCTAGGAAGTCTCACTGAATGCCAGATGTTACTTCCTAGGTCTCCATAGCATTCTCGGCATCAGTCCAGGCCTTACTGGCAGTCGTTGCAAAGTATCGTACGTCAACGTCATCGTCTTGCATCAACTTCTCAAGAGGCGGCATGACTTCATCCCTGATGAGTTGAAAGCCACGCTCGCTTCCCGGGAAATTGGTAGCGCCCTTCTTCTCCATTTCCACAATCGTCACGTTAGGATCGTCAGGTAGTCGCTTGAGGATGTCGATCAAGACTGCGTAGGATTTTGCGACGTTGAACCGGATATTTGGGATGGGGTCCAAGACGAGCTGCTGCAAGATAGGTAGGACGGAGTGCGCCAGGACGGGAGGGGAGAGAGCAGGGGCAAGTATCTGTCAAGGATTAGTAGACGCTCTCGTACGTCGAAAAAGCCAGGATACTTACTGAAACGGCAAAGCACGTGGTCATGCGGTAGAGGTAGTTGGGGTGTTCGGCCATGGCGGCGACCTTGGGAACAATAGCTCCGCTTGCCCATTCAACGCCAAACACTTCGGTGAGTTTCTTGAGGTTCTGCGTGCTGGCTTCACGGATGCTGAAAACTGTGTCTCCAAGCCAGGACATGCAGAGACTGCTTAGCTTTTCGTCAAAGAAGTTGACACCGAGCTGAGAGGCCAAAAGGGGAACGTATTGGATGATAGCCAATCGCACACGCCACTGCTTGTCCTCTGCCAGTTGGACGATGGCGGGAAGTAGCGACTGCGACAAGAGCTCGATGCCGATAACGCTGTTAACCTGTTCCAGCTTGGAGATGATGTTCAGGCGCACGTCCGGGAAGTCATCCTTGAGCATCTGCAGAAGCATTGGCAGAAGGTGTTCAGTTGTCTCTTGCTTGCCAAGAATAGGAGCAAGGCCGCTGATCTGGTTGCCAAATGCGGCACGGACGTGCTGGGATGAATCTGAAACGAGATCCTCGATGGCTGGCATGATGTCGCGTAGGAGAGCCTGGCGGTCTACCAGCTGACAGAAGCCTATGCTATGTCAGCACACGTATACATGTGATACGACTCTGGGAACCATACCTGGAATTTGTCCAGCTATTGCACTCCTCACTTCGGCCTCCGTGTCCTTCAGGAGCTTGACGAAAGCAGGCACAAGATCTCGGGCGATGACCTCCTCGTCAACAGCCTTGGCAATCTTCTCGAATCGATCGGCGACCATGTATCTAACACGCCAGCTCTTGTCATCGAAAAGCTCGCGCAAAGCAGTGATGAGGACTGCATGACTTGATTGTTGCTCCTTCGGCACGGCCTCAGCAATAGCAATCAGAATTTCAACGGTCAGTAGTCTGACACTATCCTGGTCGTCCTTGGCCAGATGCTGAAACAATGGAATCATCTCGTCAATCACGATCGCAGCGGGCATGCTCTTGACGAATTTGGCGAGGTTGTTGGCCGCCTGTCTGCGCACCATTGGTGTGTCATCGTGTACGAGCTGAGAGAACTGCTGTCGGAGCCCTTCTTGGGACTGTGGTGTCGCGTGCTGGTATGGAGTGTTGTAGAGGCCAGTGGCCGAGATCTTAGATGTGAACCAATCCGCTTTGGAGAGGCGCAGTGTCAAAGGAATAAAGTACTGCTCAACCTGCTGCTGGGAGAGCTGGTCGCAGATCTTGTTGAGCGACTCGACGGCCTGGATCGGTCAGCACATCTCGTGGAAAGCCTCATGGAATGATCATACCTTGTCGCGCACGAGTGGCTCCTCGATTGTTGCCAGATTCTCCAAAGGGGAGAGGAGCACGTGCCCATGTTCGGGACCTCCCACGTACTCGACAAAGTTGCCCAGCTCATCCCCAAGGGCAGTGAGCACCTCGTCCTCGTCTTCCACGGATTCTATGCTACGGTCAGCGCCCGGTCTCTCATTATGTCATGTGCCACCAAGGCGTACCGTCCAAAAAGGGTATCAACTCTTCTCTAGTTCGCTCCGGGCCCAGGGCGAGGGCAATGGTGGAGAGTCTTCGGATGGCGTTCAATCGTAGCAGAACATCGTCGTGCTATGCCGCAGTGTCAATAGTGTCCGCTCAAGTCGTAATGTACGTGGTTGCGGGTTCTCTCGCACGTGTAAACACGGATAGCGTCATACCTTGAGCTCGTCGATGAGAACAGCAATGGGATACAGCTCGTCGTTCTGGCCCTGATCCTCCATGATTGCTCTCTATGTCTGGTGTATCTTGAAGGTGGGTAAGGAACGGATGGCCTGGCGACCGGCCTTGGGATGTAGAGTCGATCGGAGTAGTGGTGGCAGCCGCGCAACGTTTGAGATGATGTCGGAGGACCCGCTGCTACTGCGCTGTGGACTGGAGTGGGCGCGTCCTTTTGGGACGATTGTCAGCGGTGAGGCAGAAGGCAAGAGCCAGTGTACGCGAAGATCCTACTGAGGTTAAGGGTATAGCAAAGTTCAACCATGTACCAGCTGCTGCAGGAACCGGCGTCCGTTTTCGCTCTGCCCTGCTCTGCTCCTGCTCCTGCTGCCGAGGAAATGGTAAAGACTCACCGTGAATATGATATGGTTGGCGCGTGCGAGTGTTGGTGTGACTGCGATGGGTGGTGTTGTCGTGGAGAGTTGTTGTTTGCGAAATCAATGGGTGCTTCCGTCGGCGATGATGTCTGTTTCGCTGCCCAGCGAGATTGAAGCCAGGAGCTGCCACCAGCCACCAGCCACAGCCCTCTGGTTCAGCCACACCCCAGTTAAAAGTTGATCCGACTTGTGTTCACAGTCAGTCACACCTCACCCTGTTCACATTCGCTGCAGCAGACTACGCTCACCGCGCTCGCTCCCACCTTCACCGATTGCATACTACGGTCTACGGCTTGGAGTGGAATAACATCCCCGTGAAAGGAAACGTCGACAGCCCACAAACACCAAGAGACAACATCCATAAAGAGGGGACATCACAAGTACAGTGGAGAGATTGAAGGCGAAGACGCAAAAAGCGCCATAGAAGGCGAGGAATCTCGAGATGCCCACCATCGGCGTGGACAAGGCCGATCTCTACAAGGCATTGGGAAGAGAATACACCAAAGATGAGTTCGACGAGTTATGTTTCGAGTTCGGAATTGAGCTGGATGAGGACACCTCGGAGTCAAAGAGGCCGATTGTGGACGGAGCAGAAGAGAGACCCCAATTGAAGATTGAGATACCTGCCAATCGGTATGACATGCTTTGCTTCGAGGGCATCGCTATGAACCTCAATATCTTCCTGGGCCGACAGACCATACCCAACTACAGACTGGTACCACCTCCCAATGGCGAACTATTGACCGTCAATGTGAGTCCCGAGACTGCGAGAATACGACCGTTCTTCTCCTGTGCCATCCTTCGAAATATCAAGTTCGACAAGGTCCGCTACGAGTCTTTCATCGCGCTTCAAGACAAGCTCCACCAGAATCTCGCCCGCCAGCGTACGTTGGTTGCCATTGGCACCCATGACTTGGACACTCTTGAAGGCCCGTTCTCGTACGAGGCCCTTCCACCAGAGCAGATCAAATTTGCGCCTCTCAACCAAACGAAAGTCATGAACGGCAAGGAGATGATGGAGTTCTACGAAAAGGATAAGCATCTGTCCCGTTACCTCCCTATCATTCGAGACTCTCCTGTGTACCCAATCATCTACGACAAAAACCGCACAGTGCTTTCCATGCCACCCATCATCAACAGCAACCACTCCAAGATTACCTTGGACACCAGGAACGTCTTCATCGATATTACAGCTACCGACAAGACCAAAGTTGAAATCGTCAACCACATGCTTGTATCCATGTTCTCGCAATACTGCGCGGAACCATTCACCATCGAGCCGGTAAAGATCGTCTCGCCTCACAATGGCGAGTCGAGAGAAGCGCCCGACTTGACCCCGCGAGCAACTCAGGCGTCTGCGGGCTTCATCAACTCCGTTTGCGGGCTCCAAGAATCAAGAGAATCGATTTGCAACATGCTGAAGAAGATGTGCTACCACGCGAAGCCATCGACTAGTGACAGTGACCTTTTGGACATCGACGTACCCATCACTCGCGCAGACGTTCTGCATCAGGCCGACATCATGGAGGACGCCGCCATCGCCTACGGCTTCAATAATCTTCCGCGCAACTTTCCCAACACCAACTCTTCAGTAGCGGCAGCTCTGCCGATCAACAAGCTTGGGGATATCGTGCGCTCAGAAGCAGCGATGGCCGGTTGGACTGAAGTCATGCCGCTCATTCTTTGCAGCCACGATGAGAACTACGCATGGCTAAACCAAAAGGACGACAATATGGCGGTCCGACTAGCTAATCCAAAATCTCTCGAGTATCAGATAGTCCGCACATCGCTCATTCCAGGTCTCCTGAAGACAATCCGAGAGAACCGCAAGCACGCGATTCCGATGAAGGTCTTCGAGGTTGCGGATGTTTGTTTCAAAGACGCAAGTCTAGAGCGACGCAGCCGGAACGAACGTCATTTCGCCGCTGCGTGGTACGGCAAAACGAGCGGTTTCGAGCAAGTCCACGGTCTCTTGGACAGAATCATGCTCATGCTCAAGTCGAGCTTCATTACCCGGGAGGATGGGTTGGAGAACAATGAGATCCAAGGATACTGGATTGAGCCCGTTCACAGTAAGTCCTGGATGTTAATTCCTCTTGACGACTTCTTGCGACTAACTTCCGTAGACCCGACGTACCTCAACGAGGCAGCGGCCATCTACCTCAAGCTCGCTGGGAAGCCGCAGCGCATCGGCACCTTTGGCGTTTTACACCCCACCGTTCTGAAGCACTTCGACCTGCCATTCCCAACTTCTGTCCTCGAGATCAACATTGAGGTATTCCTGTAGAGCCATGACCCGCGAAAGCCAGATGCGAGGAGGCTGATGAGCTTTTGAGAGCTTGTTCCCATGAGCGGCGACTTGGTGCCGGATAGATGTTCGCTACGAGACTACATGTGAAGAAGTTGTGTAGAAGATGACGATCAATGAAAAAGTGGACAAGTTCGAGCACTTTATATGCAATTTACAATGCATACTTTCCATCGTGATATATCGTAAGTATTGAGTACATGAAGGTGTAGCTGCCTAGACCACCATCGTGGAAACAGCTGAAAGGAGAGGTTGTAGAGGTGCACTAGGTCTGCTGGATCTCAACGCGTGAGATGGAGTAGAATCCTAATCAATTATTTGGCGTCCAAGATGGCCGTGCTGGGTTCCTTGGATTCGGCAGCGTCCTCTGCAGTCTGACGGGGTAGCGGCAGATCGATGACCATCTTGTCGTTCTCGGCAGTAGTGATGCCCAAACCATGGACTTCAACAGACCCTTCGTCACTGCTCTTACCCGCCTTGGTGCGCAGCGCAGCACGCTCTCGAATATCCTTCTCCTCCTTGTCCAAAGCGCGCATACGATCGCTGTTGTCGCCCATCTCATGTCGCACATCGTCGACTGCCAGCTTAGACCATTCGAGATGCCGCGCACACTTCTTGCGATCGCAGATCTCAGGCTGCTCTGCTCCCTTCGCTATTTCCTTCTTCTCGTCGCTCTTTTCCGTCTTCAATGTCTCCTGCTCGAAGGCTTGTCGTCCAGCCGTGCTGTTGCGCCAAGCCTCGAATTGTATCTCCGTCCACTCCAAGCGCGGATCGTAGCCACAATACTCCTTAGGTTTCAACTCCTTTTCCGTAGCTGTTCGGCTCGCGGCTTGCTTGGCGAGTGTGACGAACTTCATGCGATCTTTGAGCAACGCGTGACGTCGACGAGCGTCCTCTTTCGCTTGCTGAATGCGGTCCAACGCTTGCGATTCGTACTCTGTGAATTCCACTTTGCGCTCCTTGCCGTCTGGAGTCGCCGGAGGACTGAGCACGCCGTCTCCAAGCTTGCGAAAATCCTCGGCAGTATTCGAAGCACTCAGCAACGCCTTGACCTCGCCGGCGGAGAGAACACCGCCTTTCGCCCCAAGGTCGTCATCTGCCGGCGTCCTTTCCGACTCTGCGATGCTACCCTTTCTGCGCGAGCCCCTGCTCTTCGCATGCTCTTCGCGCCCCCGGGTTTTCGAGACCATTTCTCTGAAGTATTGGACGCCGCACTCCTCGGAGCAGTATTTGCTAGCATGAATGCCACTCTTAATCTTTCCAGCTTTCGCAGGCTGCCGGCAACCAGCCCTTCTGCACATTCTCTTCCACGTCGTTTGACCGACACCTGCCTTGGTGCAATTTGGACATAGGTACTTGTCGATGAGGTTCTTATCGCGCTCTTCTATCCCAACACATTTACCGTGGAACCAATCGTCGCAGGTTCCGTCGCAGCCGATCATGAACGTACCGGTGTCAGGCTTGCGGCAGATGCAGTACTCGTCTCCGTCACCGTCTTCGTCCATATCCTCGTCTTCGTCATCATACGGTTCTTCGTTCGGCTCGGCGGAGTATGATCGAGTAGATGGTGCTGGCGACGAATCGATGGGGGTTCCCTTGGCGCTCGCGCCCTTGATAGTGGACATTTTCGATGCTCGAGAGGAAGGCGTCGCGGATCTCTTTGGCTCCACCTTCCGCTTCTTTGCTGGAGGTGCCTTCTCCTTCTTGACGGTAGATGCCGTCCCCTTTTTTGTCTTTGAAGGAGCGGGCCTCTTCTTCGCATTGGCAGTCTGTGGCTCTGGAGCCGCAACCTCAGTCGTTGGAACAGGGACAGACAACTCTCGCAAGGGCGATTGGATTCGCAGGCCGTGCTCGTTCTTGAGTGATGCTACGGCCTTGAATGTGTGATTGTCCATGTCTGGCGGTCTGCGGGCTTCTGTAGGGAACGCGGGTTGTGGTGTTGCAGTTGCTTCTTGCTTGATGGTTTCTGGTGCAGGTCCACCCTCTTCTCGCAAAGTGGAGATACTTGAGGTGTGCGTCTTCGAGACATGTGAAGAGTTCTGTGCCTCACGAGCATGAGACTGAGCTTGTGATACCGATTGCGCAGAAGAGTCAGGCTGGTTCACCCTGTCAAGCTGGTCCGAGGGACTAGGCGCGAGCCCTTGAATCGGCGGCAATGTGACATCTGATTGCAGCGGAGAGACGACTGATTGACGGCGCTGCTCTGGCGAGCGCGATGCGACATGGTACTGATCGAGGGTGGGCGAGTTCATCTTGCGCGAACTTCCTACCTGCGGCAGAGGAAGTTGCTGACTCTGGCGCCGCTCGCATGACTGTGTCCTCTCCAATTGACTCGCATCTTGAGCGCTGTGTCCGTTCCATTGCGACGGTGGCGGTGCCGGGCTTGTCGAAAGACTAGCCAGCGCCTGGGCTGCTTCATTTCTGGTCGAGGATGGATAGGCGAAGTGCTGTTGATTCGCATTCACTGACGATGGCGATCGCGCTGGATGTTCCTCGTGAGACTCGACGTGCTGGATGGGCGGGAGCGAGTTCTTGCGCGCGTCCAGCGAGGGTGATGATCGAGTCTCAGCGTCGGGAGAGGGATTGAGCAGCGAGGAGAGACTCAGGGACATGATTGCTGTTATTGTCGCATTTCTGGCCGGGGTGGAATATGTTGCGCGATGAGATGGGAAGATGACAAAGGCGGATGGTGAGAAGGCGAAGGAAGCAAGACTCGAGGACCGCGTTCGCTCTGTTGTTTAGTAGGACGGGAGAGTAAGGTAAGTTGACGGGGATTCAACAATCCAAGGGCGCAGGTCTAGCCGCACCCGGCCAAGCGAAGAGGTCAAGAGGGGTCCGTGCATGTGACGCCCCTCGCGTGCTGTGCTGCCAACATCCTGACGCCATCCTCCATTATTATTATCCTCTGCACATTCCCATTCACAATTCGCAGAAGTTGTACCGACCGTCCTCGTGTCAACACGGATTGTCACCTTGGCAACAATTTCATGGTCGATAATCCAAGGCCTTGAGCGTTCACCGACGGTTCCTACAAGACACGCAGTTTCATTCCTGCGGTACTGGCGCTGAGCAACCAAGAGCGAGGGGTGACCAGGAGGGGTTGGCACAACAGCTGCGAGAAGGAAGGTCACATCGCCTCACCCACCACCTCTGCCATGGATGTGGATGTACTGTTGATATTGCGCGGGGCATACTTGGGAGCGGCGGCACTGGTGAGCGAGCATGACCAGGCTTGCACGCGCTGGCTACGGGACTGATGGGCGGTAGGTGCTGTTTGTCTTTCTTGTTCCTGTCCTCCGTTTGCGCTTTCTTGAATATGGTCCACGCACGAACGGGAAGCAGAACGAAGGTTCGTCGGATGGCACGAGGCATGGTCGTGATATCCTGTCCATGTCGCTGGACAAAGTGGCCCAAATATGTGTTCTGCACAGCTGGTTCACCTCCTTCTACGCTGTCTCAGTCTCAGCCTCGCTTTATTGGGCGACTGAGCTACTAGCCAAAGGCCCTACTTTCCGAGCACTAGCCCAGCGTGTGCCATCTACGAATCATTCCATGACCTATACTCAGGTCACGGTTGTCTGGGCCATGATGTTGGTTCAAGGCAGCCGTAGGCTTTACGAGTGCTTGCTCATCGCTCGTCCCTCGCAGTCGAAGATGTGGTTCGGGCACTGGCTGCTGGGGATCGCTTTCTATCTTGCAACCAGTATTGCGATATGGATCGAGGGCACCGGTAAGTTTGGAGGATACTCCGTCATGAACGTGGCCACTAATGCTGGTTTAGCCTCAATACAAAAGCAAATCACGTCTGTCAAAGATGTGATGATCACAGGACCCTCCATCAAGTCGTTCGTGGGGATCATGCTATTCATGCTTGCGTCTGGATTTCAGCACGACTGCCATGCTTACTTGGCTTCCCTCAAAGACATCAAGAAAGCTGAAGGTAATGATTCGAAGTCCGACTACCGTCTTCCCGATCACCCGGCTTTCAATATATCGGTCACGCCTCATTATTTCGCAGAGTGTCTGATATATCTCTCGCTTGCGATAGCGGCTGCACCTTGGGGCCAATGGATCAACTGGACCATGTTTTGCGCTCTCACCTTTGTTGCGGTCAATCTCGGTGTCACTGCCCACGGAACGAAGCTATGGTACGAGAAGCGATTTGGAGCGGCCGCTGTGCAGGGGAAGGCGAGAATGATTCCTCTCCTGTACTGAACCGCTACTTCGCACGATAGCTGATTCAGGTCCTTCTTAAGTAGACCAAAAGCAATATTTAATTGACGTCCGATTTCACCCTCCAAAGACTTTGAACGGTCTGCACTCTAGTGAAGACGATCTATCTGAATTTGAAGCTAATCACTCTGCCTCTTTGGTTTCAATTGACATGTATTTAGCGTTTGAAGCTGCGCTGGCTAAGGGATAGGGGGAACCACACATGGCATGTGATTTCTTGGCACTCCGATCGCGCTTGCCCGACTCTCAATCTTTGTGCCTGCCAAATGCAAGCGCAAACAACATCACTGCAACTGCAACTGCAGTTCAGAGCCGGCGAAACACTGGCCGAACCCGACGATGCCTTCTTCTCGCGGCATCTCCATTTCGCTGCAGTCTCAGTACGACGCACGTACTATTCCGGAATGGCCACCACCGCCAACCACTTCCACTGCCTCACTGGGCTCACACAACTTAGACCATAGCGCGAACAACCCCGATGCCACACCAACCGATACCACGAGCGCAAATACAGCGGAAGCTCACATTCCCATCTACAGAGGAAGCCAGCTATGGATCAATTACACATGCCCAGACCCACACGACACGAGCAGCGCAGACACGATGTATTACTACTTCAAGCTCTTGATTGGAGAACAATGCATGTTCAGCTGGGGAGTAGGCGAGGAAGACAATTGGAGCGGCAGAGTGACCTTCGGCATCTTCGACGGTGGCACAGACTTTGAGGGCAGGAGGGTTCTGGAAAAGAGGGCACTGTTCTTTCCGAAAGACGAAGGAGAAGGGAAAGGTGGATTCGAGATCAGGGTGTTCAGGAGTAAGGCGAGGAAGGGGGAAACGATGAGGCTTGAGAGATATGATGGCGCGACTGCTGGTCAGGGGCTCCAGTGAGTTTGCAGAAATTCCATGACTCCTGAAATAGTGACTGACATGTCTGAAGCCTCGTCAACAGCGGCCGCATGCGAAAGGGGGAGCCAAGACGAGTGTATACCTACGCGCTGATCGATTCGAAAGATGAGCCCTATGCTGTCTTCAAATACCGATGTGCAAGCTCGAGTGAGTTGGCCGTCTAAGCTTCCTTTAAGACCATGATGCTAACAACACTAAGGGCAACTCCAGGAAATGGGAGTGGACCTGGACGGTGCAGATGACCGTGATAGCATTCTAGGCATCGCTGCTAGCTCCGAGAATGGCTCTCCCAGTAACGGCTGCCACAAATCACCTCCAGCACCAGCTGTGCCCAGAGACGACCTCACTGCCGCCAACCGTCTCTCTTTCCCACCCAGACTTCGACTGACTCCGAGCGCATGGCGACAAGGCACGCAATCACCAGTCAAGAAATCCAGAGCCGAGGACGAATCTGCATTCTCAGAAGAGGAATTCGAAGCTCTTTACGTGACGGAAACAGAACCTAAGAGCAACAGGCTGCCAATGTTCGAGCGTCTTGGGAACAAACACTCTGGTGAAGAGGAGGCCATAGGCGTCCCTCCTGCGGGGACTGTGAAAGCTAGCGTGACAGGCTCTCTCAGAGGCCTTGCCAGTAGGTTCCGGCGGAGAGGCGACAGTCGCGACGAGCAGAAGGGAGTGCAAGAACGATAAAAGAATGGCTGTGTACAAGTGCGGTCGAAGCGCTTCGGAGCTAAGAGCTTGACACCGGTGCTACCCTCGGCAATGCATAATGCGAAACCGACTCTCCAACTCAGATGGCATGTTCAAAAGTGTCCGTCTGTGTGAAGTTATATTGATTGCTATGAGTGATTGAAAGATGGCGCATGCTGGTAGTACCGGCGGAGTCGACTCAATGTAGGTAGTGAGACCGAATGCCAACCGATTTGGGAGTCCAGAAAACAGCTGATGTGTGACCTTTCACAAGCACTCAAAAGAATCCAAATGATATTGTCATAACACTTGCGATTAGAACGCCATTGACCAAAGCTAAGAAAGGCGGCTTCAGAGATACGCCTCTTGATGGTTTGTGCCTTCGAATCTTGCAGCTGGTACGAGAGAAGAGTAATCTGGATCCGGCCTTGGTCGAAGACATTTGTCTAGGAAATGTACGTGAGGAGATCAGAACAACAGGCGGATCATGCTGAAGGCAAATTAGGTGAGAGAAGGCAGGGCCGCTTACTACGTGAGAGCAGCAGCACTTGCAGCAGGATTTCCGGCTACAACTGCGGCTTCGAGCACGGCTCGCTTTTGCTCCTCTGGACTCACCGCGACGCAACATGTCGCAGATGCCATCACGAACGCGGAGATAGAGATCGGTATAGCAGTCGGTGCGGAATCACTCACTCACTTCACCGGCCAGCGGCTCGACAGAGATTTCGTCCCCGAGGTCATGCAGGGTAGTCCAGAGGCCCGAGACTGCATGTATCCGATGGGTGTGACCTCGGAGATTGTAGGCCAGGAGTTCAATATCACTAGGCAGATGCAAGATGAATATGCCGTGGAGTCCTATCGAAGGGCTGAGGAGGCGCAGAAAGCGGGATGGTTTGATGATGAGATTGTCCCTACCACTGTGAAGCTGGACGGGAAGGAGGTGACTCTCACGGAGGATGATGTGCGCTATGGCACGAAGTTGGAGACGATTGCGAAGCTGCCGCCATCGTTTCCGCCGGGCGATAAGAGTACTGCGGGCAATAGTAGCCAGGTCACGGTAGGGCATGCCGAGACGAGAAGTTTTCCTGTGGGATTTGCTGACCTTCCCTGCTCTGCCTTCAGGACGGAGCTGCCGCATTACTTCTCATGAAACGCTCCAAAGCGCTCGAACTCGGCCAGCCTGTTGTCGCGAAATACGTCGGTTCCGCCCTCGCCGGTCTTCCACCTCGTATCATGGGCATTGGTCCCGTATATGCCATCCCGAAACTGCTGAGCAGATACAACCTCTCGCTCAGCACGGACATTGATGTCGTTGAGATCAATGAGGCTTTCGCTTCCATGGCTGTGTACTGTCGCGATGAGCTTGATTTGAGGTGGGAGAATATGAACCCGCGAGGCGGTGCCATTGCGCTGGGTCATCCGTTTGGGTGTACAGGTATTCGACAGGTAATCTGTGGCTTGAGCGAGTTGAGGAGGAGGAAGCAGAAGGTGCTTTTGACGAGCATGTGCATGGTATGTTCCACACTCTCATATGTCTCTCCGGCAAAGCATGCTGACTTTAGTTTCGTAGGGTACAGGTATGGCCATGGCAGGCCTGTTTGTCAATGAGCAGCTGTAGAGGTTGTGTGGTGCCGATTCGGACAGAAGTTGCCATACGAAAGCTGCATCGCTCCATGCACAAGTTCTTCTTTCATTATCTCGTCGACGACCATTCGTTCCGCTCGTCGTCTGGTTGAGTGAGGTTGATGTACGTGGCAGAAGGAACAAAAGTCCAACAACATCGGCGTCCCAACCTGTGAAGTCCGAGCGGCGGAACATAGAAGCCAGTCTAGTCCGAGAATGGGCATCGAGACCCACTACGCGATTAATGAGGAAGGAACCTTCACTACATGTGTCCTTCACCTCTGACTATGTACTACTATCATCGCTATCCACTATCAACGCTTCCTTCGAGCAAGCCAGCTTAGATCTCGAGGTGGACATGTTGTCGTGAGCACGCGTTCGGACTGCATCGGCCAGCAGCGAGCAGCTGAGATGTACCGCTTCGCCGACCTCACTCACGAGCAAAAGCTCCAGCGACGGGAACTGCTGGACTGGTATGGCTTCGTGGCACAGCTTTCCGTGCTCGTACCTCTAGCTGCAACTCAGGTCTACATTATCTTGTCTCTCCTTCGACGCAAATGGAGTCAGAGAGACAGCACCCAGGTTCCCTCATCGCCATACGCCAAAGCCCAGCAATTAGAACAGCAGTTCAATGTTTCCGGCCTGGCAGCGACATGGCGGAAATTCTCCTGGTGGTGTGGTGATGCTGTGAGCATCTCGGGAGTCTATTTGGGCACCAGAGGAGAAGTCATCGGTGCTGGAATCTGGACGCTATGGCTGCTTCTATTGTCGTTTCTGGATACCGGGGACGGTGAGTCTGCATTGTAGCTCAAACTTCTGGTATAGCGAGACTAAACGTGATCAGACTACCTCCATCTGACCAAAAGATTCGGCATCGTGGGAGCGTCTCAACTCCCATTCCACTATCTGCTCTCACTCAAATCTCCCTATTCGCCACTTCAGCTGCTCACCCGCCGGTCTCACGAGTCCCTAATATCGATCCATCAACTCTTGGGCCGGATCGTTACGTTCTTCTTCTACACACACGTGGTGCTATACATCAACTTCTACATCCAGTCGAATCTCCTGCTCTCCAAGATCACCCAGGCGTACATCATCTGCGGCATCCTCGGAACCATTTCTTTCACGGCGATAGGTACCACGGCCCTTAAGCCAGTACGAGATTGGAGTTACCGTGTCTTCTATATCGCGCACGTCGCTCTAGCAACGGCTGTACTTCCGTTGCTGTACTTCCACGTCCATCATATCCGCGTATACATCTACGAGACGCTGCTGGTATACGCGATAACAGTGGTGTTGCGAATCTTCACCACCAAGACCTACACGGGCACAGTAAAGACTATCGAAGGAGACTCGCTCGTCGAGATCAGCATCCCAATCCGTGGCGACGGAAAACGTGGCGGACCTGCTGCCTGGCAACCAGGCCAACACGCCTATCTTTCTCTGGCTGGACACCCACTGCTTCGTACGTTTCGAAGCAACCCTTTCACAGTCGCCTCTTTGCCTTTAGTCGACGGGCAACTGCGCTTCGTCGCCAAGATCCTAGACGGGAATACGGCCAGGATGGCGCGAACCCATAATCCGTCTCAAAGACTATCGATCGAAGGACCATACGGTCTCGCTACTCATGCGGAGACACTACTCCATTACGATCGAGTTTTATTCGTCGCTGGAGGCGTCGGAGCGACGTTCATTGTGCCACTCTATCGACAACTGCTGGACGACTTGAGCCCAAGCACAGGCAGCCAGCGACGACAGAGAGTCAACTTCCTATGGGTGGCTCGGTCCACGGTAGAGGTGTCTTGGGCGATCCCGTCAGATCCTAAAGCAAAGGAAGGCTTTGCTGAAAGGCTGCGTGTCTACCTCACCAAAGATACGAACGGCGTGTCATCAGATGCGGCGGCCGATATCACGATTGGAGAAGATGAGCAAGAAGCAGGTCATCCTGGCGAAGGTATACATGGGATCGAACTGGAGGAGCAGAAGAAGCTCCTGTCCGCGGAGAATCCAGAGGACAAGGGAGAATTTGGCCTATCCACGCACGCAGGCAGACCGGACTTGGCTCGGGCAGTAGAGCAGACGTTCATCCACAGTAGCACGGAACGTGTTGCGATATTAGTCTGTGGGCCGCGAAGCTTGAGCCAAGAGCTTCGACAAGAGGTGGGCAGGTGGGTTCGCAGAGGACGCGACGTGCTGTTCTGGGAAGAACATTTCAACCTGTAGTATGTTCAATAGATTTGCTCGCCCACCACCGCGAATGCTCCCCGGTTCGTGGTGTCGTTGAGATGGGACCACGAGCGATCTTTGTGAGGTAAGAACTGTGTCAATACTGCTTCAGTCCATGGAGAGTCGCTTAACCTAGGTACTTGCAGTGCAGTGGAGATTTCGGTAGACTTGACGTGACTTGTACGGCAATGTGTGCGTGCGTCCCACTTTGATTCTAGCAGGTTCGTCGATACGCACCCACGGTGCAAGAGCTTCAGAAAGGCAGACGTCTATAGAATCGTGCACGTTGCGAGGCAATGGCCAAGGACAAGACGAGAATCAGTATGCGAGTATTTGGCATGGCAGATGCATTAGCGCTCGCGGCGAAGGGCAGCGCAGCGCAGCGGTGTGGACGTTGGAGGTGGCAGAGCTGGCGCACGTGAAGTGGTGGTGCAGCGATGATGGCGGTTCTGGTTGGAGGGGAGAGGTGCTTGGCGCCAGCCAAGCTCGCAGTCGCAAGACGGGGGCATCCATCTCTCGGCGACGGCTTCGGTGCAATTTGTTGTACATCTGTACCTCTACCAGCGAGCGAGACAAGCGGTTGTCTCGGACAGGAGCGCGGCAAGAGGGGAGCTTCCTGCCACGGGCGGCTCTGGACTGGTGAGTGAGGTGGTGACTGAAAAGGGAAATGAGTATCTCAGCCACAGTTGATAAGGGAGGATTGTGGATGCGCGAATAAGCGAACGAACGATACGTTACCTTATCCAAAGCGGAGTCGGGAGTGGAGGGCGAGCGCGAGCGCTCAGACTGGCGCGTGGCCCCGGATGGAGACGGAGAGGCGAGTGTGCGTGTGTAACGGGTTTGCGAGCAGAGGATGACGATCGGAGGGCGATGGTGAGACCCACATGCACTCTGCTGCGAGACCGTGTCACGGGTTGTCGCCGTCAGTCGCCGCCGCTCACACTGAGGTAGTAGCTAAGGTAGACTGGATGAGCGATGGGTGAGATGGGGAGCAAGGCGACTGGAGTGACGAGGATGAGCCGGATGTGCTGCAAGAAATGGAAATGGGTGATGATGAGATGAGAGCCACGTTTCACCGGCCGCACACGCTTTGTGCATGCATCGGGAAGCGGGTGCGAGGCGGGATTGCGGGATTGCGGGAGTGCGTCGCTCCTGCTCTCATCTCATCACTGCTGCTGCTGCTTTGGCCGGATGATCAGGATCAAATCGCCCCTGTCTGGCCAATCATTGTAGCACCTGCCCAATCGCTGCGTCGCCTGTCCACGCCCAGTAGTACGCACCAGAAGTCACTCGCCCAGTCCAGTCCGCCGTCCTGCCCACCTGCCACAGGGAGCTGTCAACAACAACAACGCTGCCCACTCTTACTGCTACTACCGCGACTTTAATACTAACCAACACACACAGACGCACACACGCACTGCTGCAACAATAAGAACTGCCCACGCCACGCCCACCACAACTTTATTCGCTTCTGCTTCTCTCCTCAACCAACGACATCATCGCGTTGATCACCCGACAACCACCACCACCACCTGTCCGCTGCTATCGTCCGCTTTCGGCCCAGCTATCTATCACGCACGCCTTCCACCACCACGCCCTCGCGACCAGATAGCAGCTTTCTTGCGAAGCCAAGTGAGTCGCATCACCACGCAACACTCTCTGCCACCGTCCTGAACGCCTATCGCCGCCGTCTCGTTGCACCGCATCGCGTCGCACTCCGACTGACTCACCTGCGCGTATAGGAAAGCTCTCTCAACACCACCACCAGCATCCATGGCTCACGCTTCCAACATCGCGATGGCTCTTGCCTCGCAGACCTCCTCCGTCGCCATCCCCAAGGCGCGCGACTTCGGCGACGCTTCCGGCACCGCCAACTACGAGAAGGCCGCCAGTGCCTTGCTGACTCCGCCCGAGTCCAGCTCAATCTCCCCAGAGCTGCCTGCCTGCCCTGACTTGGATGTCGCCTTCTCTCCTCCACCCATCACCATCGAGCAAGATATGGATATGCAGGAAGCCGACGATACTGTCGACTACGACCTGCCCAAGGGCGGCATGCCTCTGAGCAGGGGCGCTTTGTCCGATCTCGACGGCTCGGCGACAATCACTCCCAGCATGCTCGCGAAACACCACTTGCCTGGCATTATGTTGGGTAACGGACCACGTCCCATCCGATATGTCATGGGCGAGCTCACCCACACTGTACCGGGCTTCTCGCGCATACCTCCTGCCAAGGCTCGGCGCATAGTGGTAGCCGCACTGGAGAGCCGCGACGGTGGCGGTCCTGACGGCAACGTCGAGTTCTGCAAGACCGGCTGGGGACGATGGGATGCCCACTACAAAGGCTCGTCGCGCGACTCGGGCATCGGCTCTTTTCACGAGGGTCACCTCTCGCCACCGCGTAGTGAGCGAAGCAGCTATGCCATGTCTCACGGCGACTCGGCAGTACATATCCCTGCTCCACCGGTACCCGGCAAATACAGAGACCAGTATTCCGGCACCAGCTGGACCAATTCCAGCATCCGTGAGGAGTACGAGTTTGGTATGGACATGGACCCGGTTGAGGAGGAAGCAGACAAAATGAGTATGGATGGAGACTCGGACGACTCATCGCAAATGGATGACGACACCGACGATGACGATTGGGCTGCTCAGGGTGTCGAGGCGCTGCGGAAGGCTTCACTGTCCACCTCTACCGCGCCGCGACAGAGCTACCAAGCCGTCAGCATTCCTTACAATGGACCTTGGGCATCCAAGAGCTGGACGAGACGCCCGTCGACCAACATGCGATCTCTTCACTCTTCATCGGTCCCTACCGGTAGAGGCGGTGATCTTAACCCTGCCTTGCAGACGCCGGAGGAAAACGCTGCTGCTGCCTTGCTCAGTCTGGGCAGCATGTAACCACACAACGGTGTCATGGCGACGCTATAAGGAGCGGGTCCCTCCCGCGGACCGACGACGCTCCCGTCTTTGTCAACATCTCTTTTCTTTTGTTTTACACGAAACGACACTGGGCACCAGTCTTCGCAAGTCAAGTGCTGACGGAAGAGCCTGGACTGACATGGGTGGCGTACTCTCACCTCTACCACCTTCCACATTGGATTGATACCCGAATTGCTTTTTGCTTGTATTTGCACCCAGGATTCATGGCATCTGGGAACACAGAACGGAGAGTCAGGACAACACTGGGCACCAGCCTCCCATATTCAAGTGCTGAGACGGAGGATCCTGGATTGACATGGGCGTTGTCCTGACGCATCGATATGGAAAACCACGAAAATTAACATCATTATGAACGACGAGAAAAAAAACAAAATTACCGGCCGAGATGCGGCCACCATTACGAATCACAGCGGTGTCGAAAGACACGGCTGCAACTTTTACCTACCACGCAAGTTGAAGGTGCCATGGAGGAACGATGATTTCTTGAGCTCGCGACAAGACGCTGGAGTTCGATGGAGTTGCTCCCACACTACTTGCATCATGCTTTGGGGGACTGTGACTGTTGGCAGGAGGATGCTTGGGAGACAGCGGACTTCAACACCACTCTAGAGCCTTACTCTTCGAAAGTTGACAAGTCCCAGAGCATCTTAGCTATCGCCCGTTGACGTCCCATTAACTTGGTCAACGTCATCGGCGAGGCTCAGATGCTCGGGCAACTGGTCAAGCTGTATGTAGTTACAGGTTAACGATTTTAATTGATTGGTTCGATGAATCTTATCATCGTCCAACAGAGTCTACCCTTCCACCATCATCTTCCTCCTTGCCTCCCTGACCGACACGTCTCGCGACAACACAGACGACATACGGTGAGCGGTATGCCCGACATCCCTGCCATAGGAAAGAAAAAGTCTACAACCATGTCCCCAGATTCACATGCACCGCCTTCTTGTTCGTGTACGCCTCCAACCCGGCCTCGCCCAGTTCCCTGCCAATCCCGCTCTGCTTGACGCCCCCAAACGGAATGCGAAAATCGCTATCCTGACTCGAATTGATCCAGACCATGCCCGCCTCGATCTTCCTCGCCAGCCGATGCGCCTTGACGATATCGCGGGTGAAGAGGGCGGATCCGAGGCCGAAGTCGGAATTGTTGGCCAATTCGAGGGCTTCCTCTTCGGTTTTGAACGTGACGACGACGACGAAGGGGCCGAAGATTTCTTCGTGGAAGATGCGCATCTGCGGCGTGACGGCGGTGAAGATTGTGGGGGAGACGAAGAAGCCTTTGTTTGAGGGTTGGCTGGGTGGTTGTTCTTGTTGTTGGTGTTGGGGGGAAAGGGAGAGATGGGTCGCGCCTTCGGATTTGCCCGTCTGGATGTAGGTCTGGATACGCTCGTACTGCGCTCTCGTCACCTGCGGACCCTGGAAGGTGGATTCCTCGAACGGATCACCGACAATACTCGTGGCCTGGACGTGGGCTTGGAAGGCCTGCATGAAGGGCTCGTAGATTTCCTCCTGGAGGAGGATGCGGGTGGTGGCGGTACAGATCTGGCCTTGGTTGGACATGCAGCCGATGTGGGACCATTTGACGGCCTGGTCGAGGTCGGCGTCGTTGAAGACGAGCAGGGGGGATTTGCCGCCCGTCTCGAGGGTGATGTTTTTGAGGTTGCGCGCGGCCAGTTTCATGATCTCGCGGCCGGTGGTGGTGCTGCCGGTGAAGGCTATCTTGTCGATGCCGGGGTGTTGGGCGATGGCGGCGCCTGCGGTGCGGCCGTGGCCGTTGAGGATGTTGACGACGCCGGGAGGGAAGCCTGCTTGTTTGATGAGGTTGGCGAAGACGAGGATGGAGAGGGGGGTTTGTTCGGCTGCTTTGAGGACGACGGTGTTTCCGCATGCGAGCGCTGGGCCGAGTTTCCAGGCTGCCATCGCTAAGGGGTAGTTCCAGGGGATGATCTGGCCGCAGACGCCGATGGGCTCGCGGATGGTGTATGCCAGTTTGGCGGACGAAGTGTCGATGACTTGGCCGTGGATCTTGTCCGCCCAGCCTGCGTAGTACTTGAGGGTACCGCTCACTTCTGCGAGGTCCTCATTGAGGGAGACGGAGTACGGCTTGCCTTGGTTCATTCAGCATCGATTTGATGAGATGGCTTGGAAGAGGTGAGACTCACCATTGTCCCACGTCTCAATGGTGGCCAGTATCTCCTTGTTTTCTTCGACGAGCTGGCTCAACTTCAGCATCAGGTCTCCGCGTTCTGTGCTGGCCATATCTCGCCATGGGCCTTTGAAAGCAGCGCGAGCAGCAGCTACAGCTTTGTCGACATCTTCGGATTCTGCCGCATGCACTGAAGCAATCTCGGATTCGTCCGTTGGATTGATGCTGGTGATCTTATCTCCCTTGGCGGACGCAACCCATTCGTTATTGATGAACAGTCCAGTGGGCTGGGTGTACTTCTTCCCGTTCGGAGCCGTGAGCTCTACAGTCAGGTTCGACATCTTGCGGCACTGCAGCAGCGTTCTACCTTTGAGATGGAGACTGGTGGAAGTGAGGGTGATTCTCAATGTTCTTACCAACATGTTGAAGGCGTCGAAGCGCCCAAGCGCACTCTTTTAACCCTTCACCTACCTGATATAAGTCAGCTCCAGCTATATCCGCGGATGCTGCAGGGCCGGAAGCGTTACGGACTCGGATGGGGATGGATAGGTCCACCTTGTGAATTCGGGCGAGAGGAAGTTGTATGCGAGGACCCACGTGAAGACGCGCCCCGCCAGCAAAGCTTCAGGATTCGATTCGATTCGCATTTCAGTCGACTCCCTCTTCCGAGCATCCACATACACACAGCACTGTGATCGGCACCGTGCAATGGCAAGCGTAGCCCCGGAAGCAAAGGCCTACCTCGGCCATCTCTTGAACCGCACACTGCACATCCACACTTCGGATGGGCGAATGTTCGTCGGCCAGATGAAGTGCACCGACAACGAGAGGAACATCATCCTTGCCATGACCCACGAGTACCGCGAGCCCTCCAGATCTGATATCGAGCGCGCTGCGGCAAGACACGAGAGCAAGGGCAAGGAAGGGAACGTGAACGTGGACATGAAGAAAAGATTCGTCGGTCTCGTGGTCATTCCTGGACAGTATATCACCAAGATTGAGTTGGAAAGCTACGTATGAACAGCCAGAGATACAAGGAGATTGCAATAAGGGTTTGACATGATTGAACTTCCCACGATGAAGTGGTCCACGAGGCGTGCCTGCCTAAACCAGATTCGCGTTTGCTATGACAACAAACGGACACCAAAACACAACGAGACATGCATGCGACAGAGACAAGCACAGGAACATTCCACTGTGACTTCATGTCCCCGTCTATTCGCGCTCGTCTCACGGCTTCCCTGACTTGAGCCGTCCCAACGCAAGGACCAGACCGAAACCACCATGTCTTCCAAGACCATCGAGCAGCTGATCGACGGCCAGCGCCAGGACATCGAAGGCAAGCAGGAGATGGAAACGGCCGCAAACCACAATCTGGCGCTCCGCAGAGTCGTCCAGGCACGTATCCTTCTCGGCAACAGTGTGTCTGAGTTGGAGGCTCTCGACTCCCTCACAGACGAGTGGAATGCTGAGGTCGACCAGCTTGAAACCGCAGCCATCGAAATCCACCTACAATGCGACTACGCCGTGAAAGAAGCCAACACCATCCTGGAGGCTCTGAATGGCCTGCTTGCCAATACGCTGCCGTTGCAAGAGTGCCTCTGGATCGAGCTTGAGCTGAGGCAGGAGAGCGCACTGGCTGCTACACTGGAGCTCACCAAAGTGCTCGACAAATTTGGCGCCTCTATCACTGGTCCGGAACAAGCTCAGCAGCTCGGAGTGAAGGAGATGAAGTTGCGCGCTCAGCATGTCTTGTCCAAGCTCAAGGAATCGAAGGATGTCCTCGCACAGCTGCAGAAAGAGGTGCAGGTCAGCATGGGAAGTCAGCATCGAGTGTATACCTGAGCACAGAGAGGATACTTGCAAGGACACACGACTATCGTAGCGAGGCATTGATTGATCAGCGAGTGCTCAAAGGCAAAACAAATCAGCAAAGCTTCATTGGGCTCAAGTTGCGGTTGTGTAAGCCTTCACCACCTTGGATGCTCTCACAGTGAGGCGTCGATGCGAGGACGAGCACCATTGGATCTGGAGTGGATCGGGAGAGGATCCCCGCCGATGCTAAGACCCTTGTGAGTTCGTGGATCTGCAGTCAGTGGATATGAGCTCGCACTGACAAGCACATCAGGAGTGGACTATGGCTGAGACGGAGCTGGTTGTTGACTGCGCCTTTGGCGGAGAGACGCCTCGGACGCTTGATGACGCAAATCGCAACTCAGAATTGTTTGACCTCCTCTTTATCAACAAGACGTGCCTCTTCATCATCTCATCCACTACCATCTTCCCCGATAAACTGTCTCAAGATACCTCGCAACGTTGACTGAAAGACTTTGCGAAGCAAAAGCAGTCACTATGTCTATCCTCGAATTGGCAAATGTACGTACCTGGCTGAAAGCTTCCTGTCCATGTGCCTGGAGCTACGAACTAACAGCTCTGCTTTAGCCGTATCATGCGTACACGTTCGGTATAGCACTCAATGACGCAGAGTTCTTCGATTTGTGGTCGTTCTGACGGAAGATCGGAATGCAGGTACTGCCTTTTGGTACTTCTTGAGAGGTATCATGCGTATAATCGACCCTGCTACCGTGAGCGGCTGGTTCCGCCCTCCAGTCCAGGGAAATCCGACTCCAAACGGTGAGCATATGCTCTTCTCATTAAAACAGACTCATTCTCGCAGATGAGATCTCCTACTGAGACTTTCCCCTTCTCGCGCGCAGATCTAGAACTCTACACCATCTGGACCGACGGCTTCGGACTCATCACCCTCGCAGCCATCCTGGTCCTCATCTCCGACGCGGTACCTCTCCCGGCGACCTTGACAGGCTCCGCCTTGGCGGAGTCGACTCCTACCAGGGCGAAGAAGCCTTATGCGAGAGGTATTGTGCTCGTCACCATGTTCCACCATATCACGACGGGGTTTGGAGCCTTCCAGCACTGGGTCAAGCCGACGCATCATACCGTTGCGATGGATATTGGCGTGTACGGGAATATCGGGCTTACGGTGTTGGGGGTGGCTGCGCTTGTGTATGGGTTGCAGGATGGTGGTGCGGTCACTGCTGCTAGTGGGAAGAAGAAAGCGTGAGAGGATTTATGAAATGATGATGATGTCAAGGGAGGTGTATATGGGTTTTTGGGAAGGAGAGATTGGGTATTACAGTATAATACAGGCTTACACGGAGCATCGTCGACATATCACGTCTTTCTGTCTATTTCTTGACGACCAAGTGGTAGGTCTCCAGCTGCTGCTCAGTCATCCGAGTTGGGCTTTTGACCAGTACATCCTCGCCCTTGCCGCTCTTGGGGAACGCGATCACGTCTCGTACGGAATCCCTTCCCAACATGACCGCAATCAACCGATCGAACCCAAGAGCCATGCCGGCGTGAGGTGGACACCCCGCACGCAGAACTTCGAGGAGATGGGCAAAATCTCTGATGCGGTCCTCGCTCATCTTCAACACGTCACGCATGATGAACTCTTGCATCCGCGCATGGTGGATTCGACGACTGCCCCCGCCGAGCTCCACGCCATTCACGACGAGATCGTAATGGTCTGCTTTGGCCAACAACGGATTCTCGAGAAGTACAGCAACATCTTCGGGCCTTTTGGGTGCCGTGAAGGGATGGTGTGTGGCCGAGATGCCCGCCGATCCGCCCTGACCTGGCTCATTCTCGTCCATGGGGGAAAAGAGCGGAAAGTCTGTGATCCAGGTGAATGCGAAGCCCTCGGGAGCAGGTAGGAAGCCTTGTTTTACGGCAGCTTTGTGGATGGCAAGCCGCAGATTCCCAATGACCGTGGAGCCGCCAGAGGAGGGAGCCTTCTCCCGTGCCTGGATCACGACGAGGTCCCCGTCTTCCAGCTCCAGCGTCTCTTCAAGCTGCTCCGTAGCTTCAAAGCCAAACGGCTGCAGACCCTGCAGAGGCTTTCTAGAATCGTAAATGAAAATTCCAGGTTGTCCGTGTGGGTTCTGTATGAATGGCTGAGCTTCGGGCGAGTCCATGAAGGTGTTGACAAAGTTTCTGGTGTCTGCGGGCTCCTCCGCGATTGGAATCTTCATGACCTCGACGATGGGATCGTTCAGTGATCCAATCTTCATGATGAGATCCTGTGGTAGCATGTATTCAATGCGACGTATTTCAGAGCCAAGACGCAGGTCTGGTTTGTCCGATCCGTACTTCGACATGGCGTCCTCGTAGGTCATCCTGTCAAACTTGTCCGGGAGATCTGTCATGCCCAAGAGCTCCCTCCAAAGCCTCTTCACGACAGATTCAATGACCCGCATGACATCCTCGCCGGTGGCGAAAGCCATTTCCAGGTCCACCTGCGTGAACTCGGGCTGCCTGTCAGCTCGTAGATCCTCGTCGCGGAAGCACTTTGCAATTTGCATATATCGTGGGATACCACTTCCCATGAGGATCTGCTTGTATTGCTGAGGACTTTGCGGCAGTGCATAGGCCATTCCGGCCGCGCGCGTGGGAACAAGGAATTCCCTTGCGCCTTCTGGCGTGGACTTGAATAGAAGCGGCGTCTCGATCTCGGCAAAGCCATGCTGGTCGCACAGTTCGTCGCGAACGAGACGTGCTGCCGAGCTCCTAAATGCGAGAGCATCTCGGACCTTCTTGTCATTTCTGATTTGGAGGTGACGTTGCTCGGGAGGGAATACGGTATCCTCAGCCATGATGATGTCTCTTGGAAAGGTGTTCAACGGGGTGACTTTTTCGATTTTGATTTCGGCACCAGTAATCAGGACAATCCCATCTTTGCCACCGTCGGTAGCTGCCTTTGGGGCCTTGCGAGACTTTACGGTGCCAGAGACTGCTACTGGTGTGTGTTCTTCGAGAGTCCGTAGTAGCTGGTGAGCCTCATCACTGCCATCTACACCCTTCGTTGGTGTCGAAACTAGCTGAACGGTGGCAGCAAGATGCATGTCGTGGAGTACCGCAAACGTGAGTGATTTGGAAGCATCTCGACGGGTGCCCAAATAGCCATGGAGGACCACTTGCTCGTCCAGTAAATGTGCTGCATTCTCGGCGAGATGTTGGAACGTGCAGGTGGCCGATGGGAATGTTAATGACCTTTGGAATTCGTCCAAGATTTGAGGACCAGATGTCGCTGCAGCTGAAGTCGAAGAGAAGTCTTTAGTTGTGAGATGGTATCTGGAATGGCCAGGAGACTTGTGAGGATCGCCACGCCCCCGAGCCAGTGGATAATATCGTCGCCATCGTGAAGAAGATTGCCCAATTGCAGTCAGACAGCGACTGCGCAGAGGCAGCATTAAGGGTTCGCTTCGTCGATATGTATAGATATATATATATATATATCTCTCTCTCTTCGATGTTGTGTTAGCGCATGTTCCTCTTCGATTTCGATTGATTCCAGAGCAAATCGATCTGATAACATCTTACATAATATCACTAGCGTGCACGGGCCCCCGTCCACGACTTCAAATCTTCTCCGTCTCCAGCGCCAACACTCGATTTCCTTTTCTCTTCATGACCCTCCAATTCAAAACCATGTGCGTATTCGACATTCGACCCGAACAAATCCTTCAACAACGACATGCGCTGACCTCGATGCAGATGATGAAAGCCTAGCGTGTAGCAGATGAGCTGTCTCCCGGTTCTGTCGCCTGACGCTCTCCCTTCACCGGGCTCAAGGGCGCGCGCGGCTGCCGGGAGCAGCATGATATCTGCGTTCGGCACACACCCCTTGTTACTCTACGGACGCGAGGAAAGGCATCTCTGACATATTTGGACTCGGAGGCATTCATACTTCTCCGCAACGCGGCGTGCTTTGATAGAAAAGACAGGACTTGTGTCCCGCAACCTGTGCAATACTGAAAAATTTCTCGTCCTTTCTCCCTCTGCTTCTTCCACTTGCTTCTTCCATTTCCTTCATCTCGATTCCCTCCCGCCGCAGATATGCCTTCGTGGAACAGCTTGGCGCTCTCTGTCCTCGCCTTTCCCGCATCGCTGCGAAGATTGAGTCTTGCACTGCCAACAAGCCTCGGCAGGCCATTTCCTTGCCGCCGCGACTGTAACAGTGGTGCTACAGATGTGTCAGTAAAATTCATAGCCAACATTCAGCCTTGTCGTACTTACTTTGTCGCTCAATCCGAGCTGCTGTGCTTGGAGAAGAAGTTCTTGATTCGCCAGCTTGAGCTGCTTCCACCTCGGCCTCGCTGGCCGCCACTCGACGAGCCGGGAGTGTCGTTCGACGCCCGGCCGTCCCCGGAGCTCCCAGTCCCGACACGTTCCTGGGAGGCTCTTGAGGAGCCCGGCTGGCTCTGCTGCGGCGGGGATGAGGTGACCGCTTGTTGCTGGTAGAATGCTTCTACCTGCTCCTTGCTCATCCGCCAGCCGGGCTCTGCCGGGGGAGGCATGGCGACCTGGATCTCCGGCCGCTGGTGCAATGGGACATCGCCCCCCGCAGAGAAGTACCGCTGCTTCAAGGCGGGACGGGGGGCGATGAAGTCGGGCAGGGCGCCCGGTGCCTCCTGCGAGGACTTCCATCCCGCAGACTCGTCGGTCGGCGATTCGGCCACCCTGGGGCCATAGACCGGCGGCGACTGGTCCATAGCCGCCGGTCTGGTGAATTTGGGGTAGCGCTCTCCCGAGCCGCTCCCGTAAAATTCTAGGGGAGTGGTGTCCTTGCCCCTGTGGCCCCGGGTTGGCGTCCTCACCCCCGGCACGTATGCGAGCTGGCTGCCGGAGGTCCCCTTCCTCTCTCTGCGACGAAGAGGAGGTGCCGTGCTACCGGATGGCTCCCCAGCACCATGATCGGCGCGCATGGGCTGGGGATGTCTTGCTTGTCTCCGGGATTCTTTGCACTGGCAGGGGCCGACGTCGAACTGGCACACCAGGCGACACCGGCAGTTGGGCTCGCACTCGCAGGAAGTATCGTTCACCTGCTGAGGCTCGCGGAGGCCGATGTCGATGTGGTAGATGGTGCGGCAGTCGTGACGGATTGCGGGCACTTCGTTCGTCCACAGGTGCTCCAGGAGGGCTTCGGGTGTCAGAGAGGTGGCATCCACCATGCCTCTGTAATTGTCCAAGGCGGCATTCCTCTGCTGCTCGCTGCTCTGCTGCCACTGCTGCTCGAAGCCTCCCATTCCCATTCCCATTCCCATCTCGCCACGGTCTGCTCGCTGCTGCGCTAGAAGAGATTGATAACGTACCTGATGCTCAATAGGGCCAACGGCCCGCGCGTCCATCAACAAGTCCCACATGTTCTCCAACTGGACGGCAAGGTCCCACGCCGTGAATGCGCTATTGGCAGCGGTGCCATCATAGCCATTGTAATGGAGAACGGTGCTTGCGTCGGACAGGTTTGCTCGTAGGTCGTTGTACAGGATCTGGACTTCGGCAACCAGTGCGAGATACGTGCCCTTCCAAAAGCCGAGGGGAAGACTGGCTGAGATGCGTAGGGAATTGGCGTTGAGGATCTCTTGCGACTCCGGGTGGAAGCTCTGGCCGTGGGCGGCGCAGATGAAGAAAGCGATGCAGTTGGCGGCGGGTTCAATCTGTGCGTGTTAGCGCGTCACGGGAATCGGCAAAGAAAAGAAGGCCTCACTTACCCGTGAATGGTAGCGTGCGCAGAGCTTCTCGTGATTGTAGAGTGTAGTTGCGTAGGTGCGTAGGTTGTTCATGATATGTTCGTCGTCGTGAGCTTTGAGGCCGGCTTTGGTGATGAGCTCTCTTGCTCGAATGGGAGACATGCTTGAATAGAGTCCTCTCAGTGCGGCAGATCCTGCTGGCTCTTGGAGTGCCATCTTGTCGAAGCTAGACATCTTGGAGTCGCTGATTGCTGTAGTAGTTGATGTGTAAGAGAGCGTGATAGCGGTCGGCTTTCCGTACGGTGACGGTAAATGTACAGTAGCAAGAGTGCGTCCTGGCTTGATGCTACGGCGCGGTTGGGTAAAGAAGATGTTGTGCTGATCAGAGCGCTTGGCACGTTGAAGCTCAGAGAGGGTTGACAGCGGATTGTGAGTGAGGTTTATGGCGACGGCTTCCAGTGCGATGTCGAGATGCAACCAGGCGAAGAAGTTCGTGCCGGCTAGATGCTGCGGTGCGGGTTGAACAAGCAGGATATTATGATGGTCAAAAGCTTGCCAAGGCGGACTTCGTAGAGGTTCGGTAGCGGTGTATGGGTGATGTTGATGGCGGCAGCTCTCAGTACGGTGTCGAGATATGACCAGTGGAAAGAAGCTAGTTCAGGCTAGATGCTGTGGTGCGGATTGATGGAGTGCTGAGAAAGCGTTTGCCACGGTGAACGTCGTAGAGGATCGACAGCGGTGTATAGGTGATTGTTCTGGTGGTAGCTCTCGGTGCGATGTTGCGATGTGACCAGAGGGAAGAAGTTCGTTCCGGCTAGATGCTGCGGTGCGTTTGATGGTATACTGAGATGAGCCTTGCGACTGCGAAGTCCAGAGATGGTCGGCAGCGGTGTGTGAGTGTGTGTGTGATCGTGAGCGGCTCTCTGTACAGCGCCGAGAGATAGACAATGTCAAGAAGCTCGCTTTGCCTGGACGGTGCGGTTGCGAATCGAACAAGAAGGAGGATGTGTATGCTGATCGGACGCTTGCGACCGTGCCTTCAGAGAGGTTCGACAGTGGTGTGTGAGTGCTTGTGTGTGACGACGCGCAAATCTCGGTATGGTGTCGAGGTCTCAAGGACGAGATGAAGTTCGGTCTGGCTGGATGCTGCAGTGCAGATTGAGCAAGGAGGATGGTGTGTTTGCTGGTCAGGCGCTTGCCACGGTGAAACTTCAGAGAGGGTCGACAGCGACGTATGTGCGAGTGTGTGTGTGTGTGTGTGTGTGAGATAGCTGGTTGCTCTTCGCACGGCCTCGAGACTCGGAAAGAAGTTCGTTCTGGTTGGACGCTGAGATGCGGATTGAAGGAGGGTCGTGTGTTGGTCAAGCGCTTGTTACGATGAACTTCAGAGAGGGTCGACAGCGGGTCGCGAGGGTAGCAGTTGTTGTTGTCGTGGTCGTGAGAGCAACAGAGCACAATGGGCTGAATAAGTGAAGTGCAGCGCGCTGTGATTGGTCGCTTCGAGGAAGTTCACAGAAACAATACGAAAACAATAGGACAGACCGGCGAGCTTTTTCTGTGGGAGTGGACGATAGGGTCTTGGAGACGAGGTGAAATTACTACAGGGCAGCGTTGAGGTTCAGGCACCCACATATCCCATACTTACGGATCATGTGACTAGCGCACTAGGGCTGGGCCAGCATGTGAAAGTGGGGCGAAATTTGCAGAGCACAGGCTTGTGCGGACATGGCCCAGCAAACACGACACCTGGAAGCCAGACCAGTTTAGACCAATTCTTCTTCCAAGTATTCCAGCTCTATCTTCTTGAGGAGCCACTCTTGCACGGTGCTGTTCAAGCAGCGCATGTACGACTGGGAGTCTCGCGAAGGCATTTGGGCTCGTCTTCTTCATGCCGGTACTGCATGTCACCTGCGTATAAAGAAGCACCAGAGGTTACTCGAAAGGTATCGCTCAGCAGATAATGTCAAAGGTTGGCATTGTGGTCCTGGGGGAGTTCCATACACAGAGTACGCTTGGGCCGGATGTCGCGAGCATCTCTGATGCTGCAAGAGATTGTCAACATGGGGCCGCTCAGGATAAATCGCTTACTCACGAATCCTTTGTCACACTATCCGTTGACGGCAACCCGTCTGGATCATTCGATGAGTGAGAGCGAAAGGTGAAGCGAAAGCCGGGCGGGAAGGCAGGTGAGGTTTCCTGGATCCACTGTTTTTGCTTTCGGCTCGCATTCCGTCGTGAGCCAGTTCCGGGGCACTCAACCGGGCCTGATAGGTACCTTACCTTAAGATAGGTAGGCGCACTCAGAGTCCTGCCTGAGGCCTTGTTTGAAGTGCAGGTGATCTTGATGCAAGTCCCCTATCTTACTCGGTAGATCCGTATTACATTACACTGCCTTGCGCTCTCAATTAAAATCCACCCTTGATAGTTCCTCTCTCAGGATAGCGGTTTTCCAGTGGTGCGCACTCGGGTATCTGACACAATATCGCCAACGATTAAATGATTGTCCGCATGATGAAACGCCTCGCTTCGAGATCAAACAGCGCAACGTGATCGTACAGTGTGTACTCATCCAGCTTTCGACCACACTTTAGCCCCTGAGGTTGAACGAGAACTCGCTAGCGCTGGCGCTTGTCGGATGACCGTCTGCTCTCCGCCCTGGACTTCTTGCGGGCATTGAGCTTGTATAATTAGTGTCGCGGCTGCTCGATCGACCGGTATATTCATTCTGCCCTCCGCCTCTGCGCTCACCGTTCTTATCGTATAATTGCGCCCGTTCTCGTGCTCGCGATGCATCCCACTCCTTGCCTCCGATATTGTTTGACACTGGTGGTGCTTGTCTGAATCGTCGAGCGGAGGGGCCTCCCGTGGCCGATGTCTCGTCTTCCACAAGCACAACCATCCACACGCCCACAGCACCAGAGTGCCCTAGCAACGGCGTACAGTGGATCCAACGCGGACGACCCTCGCCTTCTCCGTCGTCAGCAGGACGAGTGAGCCAGCGAATCTTGGCCGTCACTCCACGTCCTTCGGCCAGAGCCGCGCCAAGATCCGATCGTACACGGCTGCTGCCACCTATTCGGTTGAGGAACGGCGACTGAAGTATTCCAGGGACTCGGAGGGAGGGAGAGCTGAACAATATGCGCAACGAGGGTGCCGGACGAATGAGGAGATAGTGCTGGTATATCCCCTCGAGCTTGCCATTCAAACGCTCTGTCACGCTTGGAGGCACAGTTCCTGAAGTGCTCCGCTTGTCCTTGCCCAGTACTTCCTGACTTTGGTCCTTCAAAACGAGGCGCGGCCTGCCGTGCACGCTTTCTCGATCGCTCTCGTCGACGTATTCCTTGTGCATACGGCCACCGAATTTTCGGGCGGTGTCGAGTTCGGCCCCGTTGAACATCTCGCTGAGCTCTTGAAACTCGTCTTTGTGGCTCGCACCGTCCTCGTCGACCGCAGACTCGGAGCCCTGCTTCTCGACCAACCTGGCAAGCCCATCCATTTCATTGCAATCTTTGATGAGGCCAGAGACGTCGACCTGCGCGCCAATAAAATATCTGATATTTCCTCGGCTATCCTTTAGGGGCGCGGTCATCAAGAGGTTCATGAACGGGCTCCCATCGCGGCGGTAATTAACAAAGACTTCGGTATGCTCTTTGCCTTCAGCAGTAGCAACCGCAAGGCGACGGACAGAGTGAGGACTCGATTTAGGCCCTTGCAGAAATCGACAATTGCGCCCAATGGCGTAGTTCATGCCATACTGAGTTGTCCTCGTGAACTCCTCCGACGCGAAGACAATGGGATTGTCAGTCCTGCTTGGGTCAGTGAGGCAGAATACCTCAGCTAGACCTTCGCTTGCTTCCCGTAGATGTGGGGCAAGAGTGCCAGTGATTCGCCGCTGGATGCTCACGCTGACGACTTGGATCCAAGTGTGTGCAATGTACGCGGGCAGGTCTTCTTGTACCAGGACGTCGAAGGCACGGTCAGCTTTCTCCTCGAGTGCGGTATTACTCGTAGGTTTCGCAGCCTCGTTCGTGAATCCTTGCCCTTTAATGGGCTCCAAAGCCTCAGCGATGGCGTTTGCGTAATTGATTGCGCGCAGAGCTTTGAGTGCATCCAAATAATAGATCAAAATTGGTATGCTTTTGGGTCGGTGGGAATTTAAAAATCCTGTAAACCTGAGCAACAACTTTGGGTCCTCGAAAATAGTGCGCAGATGCTCTGCACTGAACAGTTGGTCAGAGCGTCTCTCAAGTGCGTACATCCCCCTGTCCTGGTCATTCGGCAGTGGTGCTACAAGGTCCCAGGATCGAGGATCATCTTCAATGACAGGCTCGAGGTACTGTGCATCGCTGTGGTCTGGACCTTTTGTTTGCAACGGAGGCAGCGTGTGGATCGATGTGGCAGAAGTCTCTTGCGAGAACACAGAACCTGCACTACTTCGCGCGCCTAGATCATCGGTATCGTCCTCCGGAGAGGACGGATCCGAATTATTACTGTTGTCCAATTCTCGATGTCGCGCAGGAGACCTCGACGGCCGTGTTGGCATGGGCTCAGGGTCAATTACCGGGCGGCGCTGGACGCCGCTTGAGCTGTGGAATCATGAGCATCTGATCAGACCCACGATCCAATAAACATACCTTGTCCTGCTAGGGATGTGATTTGCACGGTGGCGCATCTCGTTATTAGCAGCTGCCGGCTGCCCACTGCCGTCGTCCATGTCCGAAAAATTGGGCGAGGTTGGAGGAAGGTCGGAATCTGTCATTCGAAGGCTTCTGGGCCGAGACTGCGCTCTGCTGGGCTGGGCATTGGCACTGCGCGGATCGTGTCGTTTCTGGAAGTCTTCGCTTTGATACTCATTCATCATTGCGTCGCCAGTCGGACCAGACGGGATGTGAATGGTAGTATCAACGCTGTTGACCTTGCTCCGATCACGACTGCTGGATGCTCGAGTCTGCGAGTGCGCATTGCTGCCCTGGTCCCGTTCCATTGGCCGCAGCTCGTTCCGGCCGATGGAGGATTGGTGAGGATACTGTGCACCAGGATACTCGTAAGCAGAACTGAACGCCCTCAAAGTGACCTCGCGCGGAGGCATAGCAGCAGCTATACTGTGCTCCTGCGGTTGTTACGCAACGTGAAGGAGGCGAAAGGAGTGCGTGCAGTGCGCTGGCCGCGGAGTTAAATTCTTGGTAGCCTTTTGGCACGTCTGGGACTGATGACGAGCGGGATGGGGAGGTGACGCGCGGACGGGCCCGAGCAACAGATGAATAGATTGAGCGTCGACATGGCACGTGCTCGCGATGGTATAGTATGTGCTCCACCAGCAGGAAGAATGAGGCGGCACGAGCACGGCAAAGGGTGATGGCGGAGCAGGGATGATGAATCAAGACAGACGGGGCAACTGACCAAGCGATATACCGGGGCCATGGTGTCTGCCGCTGAGCGTGGTCGGGCCTGTCGCTTCAAGGATACTCGTGGAACAAGGCCACCCAGTCCGATGGCCGAGTCGCGCTTTGAGGAGCCGCTGCTCTGTCTCGACATGGGCCCGGCCGAGGACAAGATCAAGGGCTGAGGCAGCCACTGCGAACCCACGGAGGCCAAGGACATGAGCTGGTGGAAGATGGGCGGCGGAGGGTCGCGAGGCCAGGAGGATCTGGAGCGCGAAGACGGTGACGCTGGCGACGCTCGCGGAGACGTCGCCCGGTGCTTCTTATACGAACGAACATGCTCGGCCAACTCGCAGTTCTGCTGTTGTTGTGTGGTGTGACTGTCGAGTGCCTCCTGCTTCTTGCGTTGCGCCGCGCCGCCCGCCAACGTCTTCTCTCAGCTCTGCGCACGCGGGTACGTACCTATGGCAGCTGCAGAAGTCAATGCACAGACGCTTGCGACTCAGTGCACTGTGTGCTGACCACACTCTCGATGATTCGTCAGCGATGCCCATTGCAATCTTGCACAGCAGAGCGCGACCACTAGATAGGCTTACCTGCCACAATCTGCGTTCCTCATCATCGACGCGGTCCGTCTTGTTGAACTTCCACGACCAAGTTGCCGTAGCGAGTGCGCGAGCACTTTGCGCGTATCGTGGAGATCCGCAATCAAATTTCACTGGCGTCCAGAGCTAAAATCCTGGCGCTGAGCCGCGCCGCGTCGGCCCTGCTACCCGTGGAACGAAACCCCAAAGGCGGTCTTGACCACCATTACCCTGTGAAGGCCTGTAGAGGCCTGTGAAGGGTGATGCCAAATCTTCAACAGCTGCTGCTTCTTTTATTAGTTCAAGAACTTCATCATTAAAGAGGCCTCATGGAGATGTAGCGATTGCAGTTCGTCGCTAAATCAGTATGCAAAACCCCTGTTCACAGTGTTGGTGATTGCAGATCTTCCGGGATCCCCGTCTCTGATTTTCACCGGGGTCCGCAATTTTCGCCTTGGATGCGGCGAGATAAATCTCACTAGCCGTGGTACTCACAGCGGACTTGATTGCTCTGCATGCTTGCAGCTTACAGGCCAGCAACAAGCATAGACTGGGCTTTCCAGGTGACACTCAGCACCCCAGTCCGACAGTTGCGTCAACATGCGTGAGAGCCGGCCACGGATCCTGCGTTCAAACGCTCGATTCACGCATCGCTGTTGCCGGGCAATAAAGATTGCCCCTCATCGCCAGACGATTGCCCTCGATCGCTGGACATGCTGCGCTCTCGATCAAGACCTTCTTCCACGGGACCGAAAAGCAAGAAGTGTTGTACAAGGAAGACCACATCGAACACCTGCCGACAGAATCGCGGACTGTTAGCTGACGTGTCGGACATAGCGCAGGAACATAGGATGGTGTCAGCCTGTCCATGGCTTAGACATGGCCTAGGCGTTGGGGACGGCTTCTGCCCTTCAGTATCGTACCAAGCTGATGTTTGCTAACCCAAACTTCAATGGATTGCCGGTGAGGCCACTCCAGTCATTTTGCAGGCTGCTGTCGATGATAAGTTGCAGGAGACTGCCAACGCCGCCAGAGAAGTCCAAAAGCTGCTGGGCAATGCTCCAGCCTGCAGTCGATCGTCGGCGGAAGTTTGCCACCTAGAGCAGAGGGAAATGGTTAGTAAATGTTGCAGACATGTTTGCTTTCTCTCCTCAATAATATGACGTACAACCTGCGGGATATACTTGAATACTGTCATAGCAAGTTTGATGTATTCAAGTGTGTACACAGCATCGATCCATGCCCATCCACTGCTGTCATTGGGATCTCCTTTAAGTAGGACGATAAGAATCGTGACCAGTGAAGCGAGCAGACTCCCCCATATAAGGCCGAGGGTAATGGCATTCGCGTGTCGCTGAACGCCCGCTTCATGTCCCCATCCCCAGAGTCGTGGCCAGAATTGCGAATAAGTAAGAATGCTCATGGTAAACCCAATCGCACCGAAGGTCAGATCGTTGATACGGACGGTGGGCTCGGGAGAAACGCTATGACGAGCAGCGTACTCGCTCCTGACGACTTTTGAAAAGAGGAACAGAGCTGTTGATAGAGTGTAGCAGAAGAAGCCGAACACGTTCAGGAGCGGAAAGTCTGGCACGAGGCCTCTGGTCGTTTTCCTTCTCACATTCAGGATCGCCTGGGGAAAGAACGAGATAGTCCAAGCCAAAAAGTAGAACCAGCCCAATATCCTGTGAAGGTGAGGTCAGTGGTCTGCAGACTACTTGAGTTTCGCAGATAGGTAGTACCAGGAAGCTACTATAGCTGCTTGATGCCAGCCTGAGTGTGACATTGCCGGCGAGCAAAGTGCAAGGGAGCCTCAGGCAACTTCTCACGTGCACCGCTCGCTTGAAGAGAAAGACACGGTGAGTAGGGAGGGATTAGTAAGGCGACTTTGTGGCAGTGCAGCCATACAGAGTTGCTGCCGCCCAATCGATTCGACAATGTCACTGGACCGTATGTTGTTGTATACTACCGCTACTACTGTTGTACGACCGCTTCAAGTTGTCTCTGCTCGGGAACGGACCGGCGGTGCAGATGAGGCCGGCTAGCGGAAGCTTGGCACGGCATCCTCCAGCTAAAGGTACTTCGGATGGGAGAGGGGCAACTTGGCGACGGAAACACGCCAACAGCACCAGGATTCATCTGCGGAAATGCATTCCCACTCCCCTTCGCATTCTGGTTGCTGAACTGTCATGCGCGCTTCTCGGTCACACGCGAGACGAAGCGAGCAGATTGCGACCGTGAGACAAGCAACAACGGCCAAGCCACAAGACCGGCGACCACCAACTTCTGCACGCGCACGGGCACCTTCCCACGATAGTCTCTAGCCTTTAGCCTCCATAGCAACGTCTCCGTCGACATGGCGGCCCCCGCAGCGTCACCGCGACGCGCACACCGCACGCCGGGACGAGCACCGCGCGCGCTCGCCTCGATCGAAGCCGTGACAGAGCCTCCACAGAAGAAGCGCAAGTTCCTTCCCGGAGGACCAGGGGGAGGTGGACGATACGTCGACGAGCACGGCAACGAGATGCCTCGAGAAGCCGTGCTCGCAGCTGCGCAGTCTGCTCCCAGACCTCGACCCCGACGAGAGCACACCGGCGCCAACTCCAAGTCTGGAGACACTCCCGCGGCGACGCGCTCTGCCCTCTCGACCAGACCACGGCGCGACCGCGCTCGCGAGCGTCCTCAGCGATACGCGCCATCGAATGCCAACACCCCAAGTCGACCGAAACCGCGTTACAGTAGTGCTGCTGCGGCGGCCGCGGCGAGCCAGGCCAGTGATGGATACAAGCCGAGAGAAGAGCGCAGCTGGGAAGAGTTCCACCCGGAGCTAGATCTGGATGTGAGCCTGATGTTATTCACAGCCGACGAGGTGGATGGTAGGATGAGCAGGAACGATGTGAACTTGCAAGGGAAAACGATACATGGGCTGGATGGGAGGCCACTGACAAATGGAGATATCGAGATGGCCGATGCTTCTGCAGAAGCTGCAGAAGCGGATAACACTTCGCCAGCTTCTCCAGCTCCAGCAGTCTCCACTCCACTTAAGAGGAAGCCAGGTCGGCCTCCCCGGAAACCCGAATCGATGTTGAGCGGCTTGGGCTCCCCTCCTGCTCCTCGCATTGTACCGCTACCGACACACAATCCGAAAGAGCGCCTGAACCTGCCGAAGCCGTCCTTTCGGCACTTCAGCCACTTTCTCCAATATGAGGACGATGCCAAAGAGAACAGAATGAACTACGTGGACAGGACAATGGCTCATGTTGGGTACCAAGAAAGTGACAGATTCGAACTTCCTCCAAAAGTGCTAGTCCGTCTATCAGAAAGCCAACAAGTGGAGGATGAAGCGGATGTTAGCCTTCGGCTGGAGAGCGATGGACCAGCCCAAGCCAATCAGGCCACATCCGTCGTTGGCAAGGTGGAATACGACATGGATGAGCAGGATGTAGCATGGCTGGAGGAGATCAACGAACAGCGCAAAGCAGAGGGCGTCGACGCCGTCAAACCCGCGATATTCGAGATCACCATGACCCAAATTGAAAAAGAATTCCACGCATTGGAGAAGCGCATTCCCAAGCCACAGCCACGGCATGCTCAAACACATAGACCGCGTTCGAGCTCACAAGCCGCGGTCAATGGCGATCCGAATCCGCCGGGAGATGAGCCCGATAGTAAGTGCGCCATCTGTGATGACGGCGATTGCGAGAACGCGAACGCGATCATCTTCTGCGATGGATGTGATCTTGCAGTCCATCAAGAGTGCTACGGCGTACCTTTCATACCCGAAGGCCAGTGGTTTTGCCGCAAGTGCAAAGAGATAGGGCGCGGAACAGCTACCTGTATTTTCTGCCCCAATGTGGACGGTGCCTTCAAACAGACGAGCACCCTACGTTGGAGCCATCTGCTTTGTGCAATCTGGATTCCGGAGGTCAACATTGCCAACATGACATTCATGGAGCCTATACAAGACGTCGACAAGGTTCCCAAAGGCAGGTGGAGGCTGTCATGCTATTTGTGCAACCAGAAGATGGGCGCATGCATCCAGTGTGGCAACAAGAATTGCTATCAGGCTTTCCATGTGACATGCGCGAGACGTGCCAGGCTCTACCTGAAGATGAAGTCGCAATCACAGGGCGGCATAGACACCTCTGCGTTGAAGGCATTCTGCGACAAACATGTACCTCAGGAGTGGCGCCGAACTCACGATACGGACACAGCTACAGCTGAGGCCAAGCGATGGTACAGACACGCATTCAAGGACCGCAAGTGGGCCGACAGCCAATCTGCAGCACTTGAATTGGGTGCTCCTCCCCCGCCCGATGGTGGGCTAGGGGCTGAGACGAATGTTGGTGAAGACACCATTGCGGTGACGAAGCGACGCAAGAATCAGCCACAAAGACTGAGCTGGCGCCTCCCATCCGGCGCTCCAGTGGTACCCACGGTGGTGTTCAACACTGTCGAAGCGAGCCTTACACGCTTCAACTTCCGCCAGCGAAAACAATTTATCGAAAAGGCATGTAAATACTGGACACTCAAACGAGAGGCTCGACGTGGCGCGGCTCTCCTGAAGCGCTTGCAACTCCAGCTCGAGAGCTTTTCTAGCATGGAAGTTACTCGTCGCCATTTCGCAGGCATGGGTGCTGCTGGTGGGCCCAGGCTCGAGCGGCGTATCGCCTTTGCGAACATGTTGCAGAAGGACATGGGCCATCTGACCCGGCTCACTTCTAGTGTCCGACAACGGGAAGAGCTCCGCCTCCAAGAAGTCGAATTGCTCAAGGAGTTGGTGGACACGGTCTACTTTCCGATCCCTCGCTTACTTTGGCCGGTCTTGCAGCGAGCGCAGAAGTAGGTCTAGGCCTGCATGTGTCACAAAGTGGATTTGGTGCTAATTTTGCTTCAGGCTGGACGATAAGACGCGCCTGTTTCGCGCTGGCTTCGAGACTCTGGCCGAAAGGTTGAATGAACGCTACTACACCTCGGTGGCTGACTTTTCGCGAGATTTCTCGCGCATCGTTCTTGGCGTGTTGGCTCCGCAGGACAATCTTGATGAGCTAACAGACGCTGACATCGAAGCTATCCACAGTCAGCTTAATGAGGCACCTCCCGGCACTGCGGAACACTCTTCGTTGACTCAGGAGCAAAAGGATCTCAAGCGGATAGCCAAACGGATTGTGAAGCCGGTCAAAGAGCTTCTAGAGGTGGCAACTCGGCAAGAAGCCGAGCTCCGAGGCCGCGAGCTCGAAGAAGAGATTCGGAAGCTTGACTCGATGGGCATATTCGCTTCTGCTGTCTCGAAGTCGCTAGGTGTCGATGGCGATGAGGAGGTGGAGACAAGCAGGAAACGACGCCGGACAGGCTCCGAGGCTTCCGCGGTTGCAGGTGCGTCTCCTGAAGGTCAGGTCCCTGGCGACACTGAAATGCCGGATGCTGACGAACCCACGGATGAAGCGGTCCTTCATCTCAACGTCGCAGGCAAGAATGATACAGTACCTGTACCGGGCAACCAGCGCACACCAGCCTCCAAGGCGCCAAGTCGCGCATCCTCCACAGCAGGAAATGCGTTGGCGAACAGGAACGGTCACCCGACTGCGCCTCTGTCGCCTCCGATCTCTCGCTCGTCATCCGCGCCCAACGGTGCGCCGCATTCGACCAGCGAAGAGTCCGAGTCTCACGATGTTTTTGCACAAGGCGGAGTGCCCTGGTATCTGGAGCCCTTCGATCCCAAAGGAACAACAATACACGAGGAACGCTACACCGGCCGAGCGGTATTGCGTGACATGTCGGAAGAGCTGTCAGATATGGACGAGGACACGCTGACCGAGCTTGCCGTGAATGGAGCAGAAGTTGCCGGCGGTAGCAAAGCATCAGTGAACCATGCCGGTGCAGCCACTGCAGTGCACGCGGCAAAGAGTAGCAAGAAGAAGGGAAAGGCGAAGAAGAATCAGTGGTCGCGGTCGAGGAGATGACTGCGAGAGGAATGTATGAGTATTGGAAAGGGCTTTGGCGGGCTGGCGCTTGGTCAGGGACGCGCCATCGCGGATACTAGATATTCTGTTAATTGTACATTAATTCCTGCTGTGGCGGGCCCCAGTGAGGATGTTAGGGATGGCATGGTGGTACACGCAGGCTCTTGAGAAATGCGCGTCGAGATTAGAGGAATGGATTCCCTAATCAACATGAATTTCTACATCATGCTTGAGCTGGTATGTACACTTCACGCTATTGGCGTTGGTATCTCGGGGAAGCCGTCCTCTCATACTCAGTCGATGAAGACCCTGCTCCTCACCTGTGGAAGTAGCCTTCTCTCATCGCGCCAGATTCTGGTCGCGAACCTGACTCGACCACTCTTCAATGCTCAATAATGCCGCGGAGCTTCTCGTGACAGCTCCGCGTAGCCCCTCTTCTCCGCACAGGAGAGAGAGAGAGAGAGCGAGCGCTTCGGGCTCCGTTTGCGCCACGATTGAATCGCATCTCTTCTCGTAGACATGTCCTCATTTCTCCTTCTCCGTAGTCGGCACGTGCCTTTCATCCTCCCTCCTGAAAAGCCGCCACTTGCTTAGAAAGCTGGACGAAGAAAGGCTGTCCGCTCGCCATGTGGTTCGTCTTTGCGCCCCAGACGCCTCCACTCGCTCTGCTGTTGCTCCCCGGGCCGTCTTGTGGCTTGTAGGCGGCCGGGGGCGCGGGCTCCCTGCTCAGGAACGCTCTGACTTCTGCGCTGTTGAAGCCGTTCACGGAGGGCTCTTCTTGGAGGAGGGGGAGGGCGGGAGGAGGAGGAGGACCATTGCTACCCGCGCTCGAAGCCGCTGCCGCTGACTGTTGTGCGCTTCTCTGGGCCCAGACGTTGCCGCTGGGTGCGGGTGCTGGTGCTGGGGCTTGTTGTTTGGGTTCTTGCGGTTTCGATGATGGTGGTGGTTGTGAGGGTGCGTTGGGTTGGCTGGGAGATGCCGTCCCCGAGCGGGTCTGGGGCGTGCGTGAGGAGGAATGTCTGTTGCCGCGGGCGGTCTGCCAGGCACTAAATAATAACAAGGGACTGTTGAGTGTCGGACGATGGACTGTATGGGTAGGGGAGTACGTACTTTGACTGGGAGCTCATGCTCGGCAGCTCTCTCTCTCTCTCTCTCTCTCTCTCTCTCTCTCTCTCTCTCTCTGGCTCTGGCTCTGGCTCGGGGGGCTGTCGTAATAATGGACGGAGAGTTCCAGGGATCTCTCACCTCATCGCCGGGTAGCAGCGGGAAGTACAATAATGTATCAACTACACTGCAGTCAGTGTATGAGCTTGGCCGAGTCGATCTTATCGGATCCGATCTTTCAGGTTCCTGGGCTGTGTTGGAGGGCTGGAGGTGCACCGTGCTGTGATGCTCCACTTGGAACCGAGGTGCAGTCCGAACAAGTCCTGAGTCAATTCCTCCTTGCTTTTGGGTATACTCGACTCATGCGTGCGGGATTGGATGGCCATCCAATGTCGCCGTCTTGCTCTTTGTCTTTGTCTCCCGCGACATCGAGACTCCATGTCGCCCACACCACACACGGCCTCCGCACGGATGATGAGCAGTGACGAGCACTGACGAGCACTGATGAGCAGAGTTGCAGAAGAGTATCCCACGCAAGATCATCTCGGGCTGGCTGGCGGCCAAATCAGATTCCGGGACAAGAACTCGTGTTGAAAGGGCTTCAGGTATGCAGGTACGTACCATGCAATGCATTCATGTCCTCCTCCTCCTGCCTCTTTGACAGTCCTTGGGCGCCCATCTATCCACGGAACGTGGACGTCGTGCAGAACATGTCCAGCCATGACGAAGACAAGCTCGAGCGTAGCGGGACATATCATATACGTATACATCGGCAGGTAGAGTCCTACATTGCATCGTGTCCTGGCTATCCACAAAGATGCACTTCTCAATGCGGTTCTTGGCCACTGTGCCCATTGCTATCGTTTCTGCCCTGCCTCAAACTACTACTCCAGGAGCCACACCTGCCGTCAACACTACAACATGCAACGGCAAGACTTACGTGTACGAGTCTTTGGCGGGTTATGGATTTGTCCCTTCCAATGCCACCGATAAATTCGGCGACACCATTGGCGGCCATGGCTCTTCCATTGCCATTGACAGCAGTTCGTGGACTCGCATTGGCAACAGCTACACCGGCCTTCTCTACACTCTTCCCGACCGAGGCTGGAACACCAACGTGAGTATTGGCAGCCTCACGCATCGGCTGTACAGATTTCAACTAATTGTCCTTTGTCGTTAGGGCACTGTCAATTACCAAAATCGAATCCACAAGTTCCTACTCACCTTCACCCCCAACGACAGTGCAACCGTAGCCAACCCTTCGCCTCCAAACCTCAAGTTCCGTTATCTGGACACCACCCTCTTGACAGACCCTGTCGACAAGCCAACTTCTGGCCTTGATGCCGATATCACTGGACCTTACCTGAACTACGTACGTACAATCGACGGAACCGCGACTCAGTACTGTCCACGCTAACCGTATTCCCTACCTTCTAGCCACTCGTTGGTGAGATTCCATCTGTCAACTACACTGGTGATGGGTATGAACCACTTTACGTTACCACATATGATGGGTTGTTGATAGCGATTTAGGTACGGCGGTCCTGGCGCAGGAGACAGACGCATCGTGATCGATTCTGAGGGTCTTGTCCTCGGTCCTGGAGGCACCTACTGGGTCTCGGACGAGTACGGCGACTACATCTTCAACTTCCTTCCCAACGGACGACTGATCAGGACGATCCGCCCGCCAAATGCGTTCATCCCGATCCGTAATGGAAACGAGTCCTTCAGTGCCGACAGTCCTCCAATCTACAACCCTGCTCTCGTGCCTGTCCCAGCCCAGCCTACTTCTGGTCGATCCAACAACCAGGGCCTCGAAGGCTTGACTGTCAACCCTGCGGGCACACGACTGTACGCCTTGACGCAATCTGCTCTGATCCAGGATGGCGGCACCTCCAACCCTACGAGCCGTTATGCTCGTCTGCTCGAGTACGACATCACCGGTATCAACAAGAATCTTGTCGGAGAATACGTCGTCCCACTCAACCGTGTCACCGCGAGCGCTACCAGCAAAATTGCCAGGCAGAGCGAGATCCACTACATCAGCGACACTCAGTTTCTCGTGCTTGGTCGCGACTCTGGACGTGGCCGCGGCCAAGGCCCAACCAACACCATGTCTCAATACCGCGACGTGGACATCTTCGATATCAGCAACGCAACCAACATCGCCGGCAAATCTGACTGCCAGACTTGCGCCATTGCCCCCGCTGGCGTTTTGAACCCAAACACCACCGCTGCGACTTACTGCCGTTGGCTCGACTTCAACGTCAACAGCCAGCTGAGACGCTTCGGAGTCCACAACGGTGGCGCAGAGGATGCAGGTCTGCTGAACGAGAAGTGGGAGTCGATCGCCCTGGTCCCGGTCGACAAGGGCCCAACTGGCAAGGCTGTCAACAACGAGTATTACCTCTTGTCCCTCTCCGACAATGATTTCATCACTCAAGATGGCCACCTGAAGTGAGTCCATTGCTCCAGGCTATCCTAGAGTCACCGCTAACATCCCATCCCTCCAGCTTTGGACGCTTCTCGTATCGCGATGGAAGCGGCTACAATCTTGACAACCAGGCTCTGCTTTGTAAGTTCCACTTTCCCGTTGTTGAGAAACGCTTCTGCAAATGCTGACATGTGATGCCCCATTTAGTCAAGGTGCAACTCCCCAGCGGTTCCAGCCCCTTGGTCGCATAGAGGTGAACACATCAGCTCAGTCCCTACGACAAGTTCTGGAAAAGAAATGATGTACATGATTTCCTAGAGGTGAACACCTCAGCTCAGTCTCTACGACCACGTCTTGAAAAAGAAAAGTTTTATGTACAAGATCTCCAACGACGTCAACTGGAACAGAATAACGAAATGCAAAAAGTTGTGTCTTCGTATAGCATGAACTACATGCAGCTGCCGTCGATTCGTCATGGTCTGGTTGACTGGGCGAGATGAAAGGTACTTCGTATATGTCTGTGACTTTTAGAACTTCCTTCATACAATTCATGATCGGGCGTACCAGCAGTAGAGATCAATTTTGTCCCAATGAGCTGAACGCGAAGTTCAGGCTTTAGCGTAGTCTTCCCAAAAGAGAACCCGTCGGCTCGGAACTTGACATGTGAAAGCCACAAGCTTCCCCACATTCTTGGCATCCCATCCCATCCATCTCCACTCTCCACTCTCCACTGCACTCTCCTCACCCCCAGCTTCTTCCAATACCTCATCTCTCCTCAAAACACCCATCCCACCAATAAAACAACCACCATGCCCCCCACCATCACAACCACCGTAAACACCCTGCAAACCCCCGACGGCCTGACGCTCTACACCAAAACCTGGTCCCCCCCCACCAGCAGCAACAGCAACAGCAAAATCAAAGCCCGCCTCGTCTTCATCCACGGTTTCAGCGACCACTGCAATTTCTACGACCCCCTCTTCCCCTGCCTCGCGCGCGAGGGGATCCGCGTCTACAGTTTCGATCAGCGGGGATGGGGGCGGAGCGTGCATTCCCCGGCGCAGAAGGGCTTGACGGGGCCCACGAGGCAGATTTTGGAAGATATTTCGTTTTTTATTAGGAATTTGCCCGGTGGTGAGGAGGAAGGGGAGGAGGCGCCGTTGTTCTTGATGGGTCATAGTATGGGCGGGGGACAAGTGTTGACGTACATCTCCCTGGGACCGGAGGATGTGAAGCGGCAGATCAGAGGTTATCTGTGCGAGGCGCCGTTTGTGAGTCTGCATGAGCGTTCGCGGCCGTGGAAGGGGACGGTCGTGCTGGGGCGGTTGGTGGGCAGGCTTCTGCCGCATCGACAGATGGTGCAGCAGTTGGACCCGAAGAAGCTCTGTCGGGATCCGGATGTCTGCAAGGCTTTTGAGGAAGATGCGTTGTGTCATGATACCGGTACGCTGGAAGGGCTGGCGGGCATGTTGGATCGCGCGAGTGATTTGCAGGAAGGGAAAGTTGTGGTGAGGGAAGGACAAGGGGAAGGGGGGAAGACGAGGTTATGGATTGGGTTTGGCACGGGAGATGAGATTCTTAGTGAGGATATCTGCAGGAAGTGGTATGAGAAGTGTCAGATTGAGGATAAGGAATATAAAAGGTACGAGGGATGGTATCACAAACTGCACGCAGAGGTGAGTGCTGCTTCCTTATGCAAGAATTCGAACTTGAGCTGATTGCCATGTGTAGCCGGGCGACGACAAGTTCCAATTTGCGCGGGACGTCTCGAAATGGATCCTGGATCGGAGTGGACCGCTGGAAAACAATGACAGCACGGCAACAAAACCGAAATTGTAGAAAGCTTTTGGCTTGTCGTGTGTCGTACCTGACATTGAATTCACCAATTGGCGTCATTGGCGATCAATATGGTATTCTAAGAGCAGACTCGGAGAGGCTCTTGCGGCTACCTGCTGTGCCGTTCCTTCCCTTCGTCTTGCATGTATGCCCTCAAAACAAACCCCATTTCGCCAGCCTAATCTTTTGCAAACTCACATCAGCCCTTTAAGAAGCGTAATCAGTCTGCGACTGAGGGAACTCGAAGTTGACTCCCTTGCCAGTCAGACGCTTGTAGACCTCAGAGTAGGTGTCGAGACGGTAGTCAACACCACCACGCTCCTTCTCGTCGAGGATGACCTTGAGGATCTTCTGGCCGTCCTCCTTGGTGCGCGTGCGCTTACCGACGATCTCGACTGGGTAGACAAGGTCGGCAAGGATGGCGTCGTGGACCGCAGTGAGAGTGCGCGAACGTGGGCGCTTCTGGGTCTGGGAGGTGCGGCTGCGGTTGCTGCGCTTGGGGCGGGGAAGAATGCGGCGCGACGCAACGATGAGAACGTGGCGGTCGGAGAACTTCTTCTCGAGCTCACGGGTGAGGCTGTGTGAATGGGTCAGTTATGGGAATTGGGTGGGCTCATGATTGAAGATTCTTACCGCTGCTGAGAGCGGTGCCAGCCCTGGAGCAATGGAACGGGGACGAAGATGACAATGGCCTTGCGTCCATGGCCAACCTCGATCTGTAAGAGTCCTGGTGTCAGCGCGAAGCTTCCCAGTGCCCACCGCCTCTTCGGTATCAAGATGTCTCATATTTCCGATCGCCCTCCATCTTTCTAAGCCGAGCCCAAGGCGTTGGCTTGTTCGAATGTTCCCAAGCTTTTTTCTTTTGCACGATGAGGGTAATGGCTCTCATCTTACCTCGCGGGCGGAGACGAATTGCAGCGGGCGCAGAGCAGCCTTCATGTCGGGGATGTTGGTCTCGAGCTCGTACAGCGCGGTTGCGATGTTGGTCTCGATCTCATTTGGCTTGGCCCGCGATGGGCTGTTGGGGGCGATCTTGTTGAGCGCTTGCTGAGACATGCTGGGCGACTTGTCCGGGTCGGAGGAAGTTGACGGTGAGGTGGAAGGATTGCAGCGTGCCTGACGAAGTCCAAGATGAGAAGCTCGAAGATCGAAGAAGTGAATTGAGAGTGCGTGCCAAGGCCGAAATTTGTCCTCCGGGAAAGCTAGCGTGACCGGCACATACGCTACTCCTACTTGACGCTACTTCACATCTCTCCCTCCCTCAAACATGATCAACAATCAACAAAATGAGTGACTGTTCGCATGTACTGGCCCATCAACACATCTGTCGATTTCTCGCTGCATCCAGCACAGCTAATCAACACCCCACGATTGTGCATCCCTCGCATCCTGGTGCAGTCTGAGCATCGAAGCTGCAGTCTGTCAGTCTGAGTTCGATTGGGGCCTCGCGGCTCTGGTCTTACCAATCTCCGGACTTCAAGGCATCACAGGCATTCAAGCCAGAAGCCGCAACGCAGCTCTCGAAAAGTGGCGTGCATTTTTTCACGTCGCACTGTGCATCCGCCTGCCGCATCTTCACTGGGGACTTGAACATGTCTTCGATCGCGGTAACGACGATGTCATGTTCGGCGTGAGCTTGATCGGATGCTGTGACGACCCGAGCAGATAACATCAGGGAAATTACAGCAAGAATAAAGCGCATTTTGCAGAGGTCTCTCGAAGAATCGTACAGGAATTGCTGGTGGTGATGGGAGAAACTAATCAAAGGACATGGACAGCATGAATATATATCCATCGCTCTCTTGGCAACAGTACTAGGAAAACACTACTTCCTGGTTGCAGAATCACCTTCATCTCGTTGTATCCAGAATCGACCTTGGTCTGAAATGTTTGCACATATCAGGTGCAATTCCATGCAACAGTGTGCGCTTGTGTGTGAGATCCTTGGCCTGTATGCCAAGGAATTACACCACACTTGCTAAAGTGGTGTTATGCCTAAGTGTGAAAAACTCTGGTCTTGGCAGCCAAGCAGAGGGGACATAAAAACACCTCAAAACCTTATGTAGATAGCCCGGCCATGAACCTTCTTTGTTAGTCAAAGCTCTCACAAGAGGGATGACCACATGGAATAAAAATGCCTGCATGGCCATCGCAACGAGGATGAGAACAGGCCGTATGATGGAACTTGAAGGATCACAGCTCCAATGTAGGGCCAAGACAATCTTGCACCTGCGACATTTGCCCCGTCCATGCAGGGTCCCTATCATCGCAGTCTGCAGGCTCCAGGAGCGAGCTTTTGTCGAACACTGACCATCGGATCTGTTGGCGGGGCGTATCCTGCTGACAGCGCTGGCAGTACCCATGTGCGATGCCACATCTAACCGTGACCTGATGACCGAACACCCGAGGACATCGTGAGAAGAAGCGTCCGACTTTCCGTTGTCGTAAGGATGGCGGCTTGTGGTGGCGAGAGTCTGCATTTGATTCCATCTGATGTTGCACCAGCGCACTGTAGTCATGATATGGCTTGGCTGGATGAGGTCAGCTCCGCTCATGTCCACGTGATCTCGGTATCGGGATGAGTCAAGTCTTGGCACCAACATCCACCTCCTTCGCTTCCATCACATCGACATGCTTACTGTTCACCCTCTCTACTCATACGCTTTCCTCTACCTCCAGTTCACACGAATATCCGCAATTGCGAGAGCTACTGTACTTCCATGCTCTTGCATCTCTGTGATTACGTCAGCGGCACGTCTGTAATCGAGATGGAGACGACGATGGAGACGGCGAAGATGAAGCATCCCGAGGGAGCCGGAAACGAGTATTGATGGGACTCTTGGCGCGGTTGGCCAACATGTGCAAGTCGCGTAGTCTCTTGGACCGCTAGAGCTGCACCACGCTCGCAAGACTCATGATTGGCTTTCTTCCGCGTAGAAGTGGAGCGGAACGAAGCAACAAAAATTGGGTGCAGTCTCATAAAGAGCCGGAGAGAGAACTCTGCCGCAGAATCGCCACGGCCAATGTTGCGAGTGTTGCAAGTGATCCAACAGTCAGTAATAAGATCTGACTCGGCCCACTCGTCTTAGAGTGGTTGCCGTTGCTTTGCTGACGCGAGACTCGATTGCAAATCACTTGGTTCCGCGACTTTGCAGTCCAAATCATCACTCGCAACTTTCTCTTCGCTTCGTCATAGACAGAAGTGTTTCTCGGGCTGTAGGGCTCGCTGAGAGCTCAGGCATAAGTTGGTCTACAGTGTCCAGGTCCGTTGTTGGCTTTCTTCTGTCCCGTTGAATATCACAGCATGTTTCGCGTCTGGGCCGTCATCGGCATTTTGGACCGTTGCAAACCCTTTCTGAGGACCAGAGCTGGAGCTGTGGAATTGATGTATGACTGGCGTTCTTGTGCCAGAGCGAGCGAAGGCAGAGAGGACAATCATGATGTCGTAGCGAGTGAGAACACGTTTGCATCAGTTACCAAAGAGCTTGAGGACGCAGAGAGACAACTGTCTACGACACATCCGGGACATGAGACATGAAATATGAAACATGGATCATGGTGCATAAACGGCATCGCCAGCAATAAAACGTTGCATCGACATTCCGCGCACGCCTTCTGAACACAGTCGCGGCCAGTCACCTCGAGGATGCGCCCCCGAAAGGCGCCAAGATTGTATCGCTGCATGTTGTACTCGCGGAGGATGCCGTGTAAGTTTAAGTGTATTCAACACGCCATATACCCACCGCAGCTATTAAAATGAGAGTCCCTGTGTCTTTCTCGTCTGCTACCTCCTTCGCAAACACTCCTCGAAACCGCGAATGTCCCCAAAATCATAGACGGAAAGCAATTATTACTCGATGGATTGGCGAAGGCTTTGCGAAGCAAACATGCTCACTTGGATGAGTTGAATTCAGAGACATGCCATCATACAATGCAAGTGCGGAAGAACTAGCTCATACAGATTGTCAAATGTTGGCTTAGCGCGGGTCTGTGAGAACGAAGTCCGTGCGTACGTCTATGGCCGTAGGGCTCCAGAACTCCCCATTCGCGGAAGTCCGTAGCGGTGCCTCTACTGCAGAGGACAGATTGGACACACTTACGGTCTCGGTTTGCTTGAATTGCTTGCTTGCTTGTTGTGCAAGATGCTAGCCGGGAGACAAGTACGTGATTATCTAAGCACTGTGGAAGGATGAAAGCCGGAATTGCTAATTACCTGTAGCATCCTCCACAGCTTAAACACGTTGGATGAACCTAACTTCGAAAGATTTCCAAGATACATACATACGCTCGGCGCGTTTTCATCGTTCTCTAGAACCACCAAGTGCAGTCCTTGGGGGTAAACATAACGTCTGCCACTGTAACCGCTCCTCTTGGCGGCAAAGACTTCTCCAGAAACAAAAAACCAACCACAACCGAGGCATGAACGATGCACGATTCGACCAAGCTGTAGCTCCGGATCAGGTTATAGCGTGCGCCTGCCAAACGACGCCAGGGATGTCCGAAGAGGTTCGACGAAGGATCGACCACATGGCAACGCCGCACGCCGCATGGGCGCAGGTGCATTCCGGGAAGGATCGAGCTGACAGGCGAGCTGCATGTGCAATTTTAAACTCATCCGTAATCCCACGGAAGTGGAGTCATGTCTTCGTGCGGCACGGATGTCGTCTGTTGGGTCACCAGTGCCAACTGCAGGGCACCGAAGGGGCGCGAGAAAAGCGTCGTCGAGTAGAATCGGAGAGTCTACATTGTCGTATGTACGCGGCGGTTGTGATGCATGCGCGGAGTCGGCGTTGTGATGGAGCTCAACGAGGGCTGCCTCGACGAATCAACTCCATCGCCTGAGCGCGAGTTGAGGCACGGTCGCAGCGAGCGGCGACAACGTAGAGCGGCTCGCGCACATCCAGAATCTCGGAGAAGGCCTCTGGCGACTGAGAGCGAGAGTTGGGTTTCTGCCTTCGAGATTGCAGGACTGCTCCTGCTAGTTCGACGATAGCCTGGAATTCGCTGTCGAACTTGTCGAACGACGAGCCCTGAGAGGCCAGTATGGTGCATGAAAGGTGATTCGCCTTGAGGACGCGACATTGCGTGATGTCCTCCGTCTTCATGCTAGGCATCGCGAAAGAGAGGTAGGCCGTGAACGCTTGTTCCCATTGCTCAAGCCACTGCTGAAAGTGTCGTCGACCGTACGCGTCGATGGGCGAGGGCGGCGGCGACGAGCGTCCAGGATTGCTCTGCCACGATCTGGAGAGCTTCGTTGCACAGTGCTGAAGTGTAGCTTGTGCCTGCCCAAGACTGGTGATCCTTGTGACAATCGGCATCGGTAGTTCTCTGCTGGTACCCATTGGTATGGCCAACTGTTTGCTCGGAGTCGATGTTGATGGAGAAGGAGAAGAAGAAGAAGACTTCGAGATTGTTGTCTGGTAGCCCGTACGGAGTTTCGGGAGTTTGGCACCGGCATTGTAGAGATTCCGAGTGGCAGTCGGCATCCTTCTAAAGCGTGTTTACAGCCTCGCGGACCGAGAATATCTTTCGGTGAGTGGCTTGAGCCGAACTCTTATGTTTTTGGTTTAGACTGATGAACCCGTCTAATACTCGCTGCTGACAACGCGATCCGCAACTCGCTCTGCCACCGCCTCGCAGATGAGAGCTGAAGATGCAATGTAGTTGGATGGCACAGCAGCAGCGTATCGCTGAAGTCAGTCTTCTCAGCTTGGTTCCGTACGTTAGTAGCGGCTTGTTCGCAATTGGGTCTTGTCGCTGGTCGAGCCTGGTAAGGGTTCTCGGGTCTTGTGACGGAGCAGAGAGGCATTCACGTGTAGAATCGCGGTACGACTGGAGGAGGAACCAGAGCGTATATGTGTACGGGTGCAACAGAGCGCTGAGCTGAGACAAGCTTCTGGTCAGGCTTTCGCTCGTTAGTCTATGATTCCACTAAATAGCCGCGAGGCTGACAGGGCATCGTCAGCGCAGACCCATCATGGACTCCTTGTGGCTTGCTTGATAAGGTTTCTGCTCTGGAGGTCAACCTAGACGATCCTGTTCGGGCAAGTACTCGGGGGCCTAGGGGATGATCGTTCCCTGGAATCTGATAGCATCCTTCAGGATCAAAAGACAGCGGTCCCAACAATGCTGATATGCTGGATATCAATGGTCGTTCACACGTACCAGAAGAAGCAGCCTTTATCAATATGATCCTCCCGTCCCTCCAAGCACGATTCTTTGGCCTCATGGCATCCTTCCCAGCGGCATGCCTCGCTGTCCGTGGTGACCGAGGCTACCCGAATCCTTCAGCTACCTTTGTAGCGGCGCATATCTGGCGAAGCATCGTACAGTGGAGCAGACGTATGCACGCACGCATCCTTCGGAGCTACGCCGCAAGCCCATCATGACGTGCAAGGCCAAGAAGCCGTGGCATATTGCCCTTGTCGCAGAGGGCAACCCGACTGTGAGCATGGCCGGGTGAATTAAGTGCTCTTTGGACGCTCGGCCTTGTGGCTGCGGTTCAGCCGCTCGCAGACAAGAGGCGTTCGGATATGGTTTGCTTTGCCAGTTGATGCCTCGGCAGCCTGCAGTGACATGTTGTGGCGGCCTGAGTGGACGAGGATTAGTGGTTCATTGGATCCTCCGTCCACCGGCACCGAAGCTCGTCGTCTCGTACCATCATGGAGGCGCGCCGGGATAGGGCTGAAGCTGGGCGATGGATGGCCATCTCATGCCATGTGCGCGAGAGTGTATTTTAGGGGAACCATGTGGCCGCCACAGAGGCACTGGATCCGTCGCACCGGTGAGCGTCGTTCTTCGGGATTGTACACCGAGTTACTTTCCCTTCCCGTGCGGGAGGCGCAAGGAGTAATCGTTCATCACGGAACAGAATGGACTTGCCTCGGCCGTGGGGCTTCCGTGTGTGCCTCGTACACGCACAGATTATTGCAGAGAGCGAGCCAGCGTCCACCATCGTCGCCTCCATCATCGCAGACGCAGCAGACAACCGTGTCGGACCGAATGGATTGCCAAGCAGGTCGTCGTACGCGACAGGCGCTGCGACGCGCCAAGCTCGAAGGATCTGTTTCTCGCTAAACGCATGCAGAGCGCCCGCTTGTGGAGAATCAGCAGGAACGCAGCCCAGGGTTGATGACACGACGAGGCGTTCAGGCCCCTTTCGTCACCCACCTTCCTCCTTGTCATCTCAATAAGTGAGAAGCGACGAAGCGTTCACCGACGTGATCAGTGAGGTCGTGAGAAATGATCACACGCCCATGACAAAAATGACGACTAGCCGAAAACCAGCTTCCCTGGTCCCGATCACATGCAAGTCATGTCTCTTCGTTCGACCTGCTTCTTGCTGTTCTACTTTCTCAGCGCCACTGCAGTTGCAGCTTCGAGTTTGGCAAGTGAATGAATCTAGCTCGCAACTTTGCTGACCTTTCTTTACTGCATGATGGCTTTTGCGTACCCCAGAGATCTGCACACGTGACCGACCTTTCACATGCCTCGGCTTCCGAGGTCCCAAGTCCCGGACAGCTTCGCTCTCACATGCATGTGAGCTGGTGACGAGGTTATACCGCAGCTCTCTTTGAATCTTCGTTTCCCTTCATCTCCTTGCACTCTTCTTTATCTGTTCGCTTCTGTACTTCTTCACCTCCACGCGAGTATATTGCTGACATCACCATCAACATGTCGACCGCACAAGGACGCCTTTCTCAAGTCCAGGGACAGATGAAGCCATCGGGCCGCCCCTCGCTGCTCGAGAAGCACCCAGACGATGTCGTCGTGACTTGCGCACTCCGTACTGCTATCACCAGGGGCGGCAAGGGCGGCTTCAAGGACACCGCCGGCGCTGACCTCCTCAATGGCGCCTTTGTCAACCTCATCCAGCGTTCCGGCATCGACCCTTCTCTAGTGGAAGACATCTCGGTTGGATGCGTTCTCGCACCAGGTGGCGGTGCTACAGAGTTCCGCGCCGCAGCTCTGGCTGCAGGCTTCCCCGAATCTACAGCGGTCAAGAGCTTGAACAGACAATGCAGTTCCGGACTGCAGGCCTGCGCCGAGATCGCAAACGCCATCAAGACCGGCATGATTGACATTGGCATTGGAGCTGGAGTTGAGAGCATGTCAACACAATATGGCCCAGGTGCCGTTACTGAGTTCAGTGAACTGCTCGAGAACCACAAGTCTGCTGCGGAGTGCAAGGTGCCCATGGGTGTTCTCAGCGAACAGATGGCCAAGGACAAGAAGATCACAAGAGCAGACCAGGACAAATTTGCGGCAGACAGTTATAGAAAGGCTATTGAAGCACAGAAGAAGGGCCTATTCGACCAGGAGATCGCACCGCTGAAGGTAAAGTGGGAGGATCCAAAGAGTGAGGAGGTCAAGGAAATCACCGTCGGCCGGGACGATGGTGTACGTGAAGTTACAACAGAATCACTGGGCAAGATCAGGGCCGCATTTGCGAAGGACGGTACAATTCATGCTGGTAATGCATCTCAGGTCTCCGATGGTGCAGCAGCCGTACTCCTCATGAAACGAAGCACAGCAGAGCGCCTCGGCCAACAGATCATGGGCAAGTTCGTGCAAGCCTCCATCGTCGGTGTGCCACCACTTCTTATGGGTATTGGGCCTTGGAAGGCCATCCCCGTGGCCCTCGAGAAGGCCGGCATCACAAAAGACGATGTCGATATCTTTGAGATCAACGAGGCTTTCGCTTCTCAGTGCCTCTGGTGTGCAAACGAGCTTGGTCTGCCAATGGAAAAGATCAACCCCAAGGGAGGTGCCATTGCCTTCGGACACCCGTTGGGCTGCACAGGTGCCAGACAGGTCAGCACATTGCTCTACGAGCTCAAGAGGACAGGAAAGCAAGTCGGTGTCACCAGCATGTGCGTTGGTACCGGAATGGGAATGGCAGCAGTCTGGGTAGCAGAATAAGCGCATAGCAAGGACTTGGCTCTCATTTGGAAAGTATCATATAGATATTGGCGTGTATGATGGTCTTTATACGAGTACACATGCCACTTCCTCCACCTCGTTCGATTCCATACGGCATCTTGTGGCCTGAGGCTCTCCATCCCGAGGGGCCGGAACCTCTGGCCCAAGCGTTGTACTGGGTCTTACACCTCTGCCTATGACATCAACCAACACCTCATCACGAGGACATGTCCGTGGTCATCGTCAAATCGCGACGAGTTTCCATGGTAGGCATCTCATGGACCGACTCCGTCAAGAGCTCGGCCCGGCAGTGGACAGACGCGTAAGGACCCGTAACGCAACATCCTGAGCGGCACAGATCAAATGCACACCAATGTTTGGGTACACCTTGGGTTCTTTGCATATCGACAAGAGGAGTTGCTTCGACCCCTATCTCTCCGGCTGATCCGTCAGCAAACCTGCTGCGTAGGTGCAGGTTTACGAGACATCCGCACTCCATCGTAGCGCAACCACCCACTGCTCCTCATCAGCTATCGAGGACTCACTCCAGCAAGCATTTCGCTACTGCATACCGGACTATTCTCTGCTCTTGTCTCCGACCTCGTTATCCAGCAACCGCTTCATCTGCCGAATATCCGACGCATCCGGTATCGTTGCACCAGATGCCAGCGCGGAAGAATGGAAAGTGCTTGCTCCAGTCGCTACTCGTAGGTGGGACAGATTCTGCAGTCGAACTCCGCCACCAGGAATGACCGTGATTCGCCCTTGAGCCTTCTGAGTGAGTGTCCTGAGGGCCTCAATACCCTCATGCGCTGTCGACGCGCCTCCCGAGGTAAGGATAGCGGCACACCCAGTGGCTATGACAGCCTGCAGAGCCTCAGAGGCGTCCGGTGTCTCGTCAAATGCCCGATGAAATGTACATGGCAGGGGACTTGCTTGCCTCACAAGTCTTGTCGTCCTGTCCATATCAATCCTCCGGTACTGATCCAGGAGTCCGAAGACAAATCCATCCGCGCTGGCTTTGAATTTGTCGATGTTGGCAATCATGGATTCAAATTCAGATTCTGAGTACACAAAGTCTCCACCACGCGGTCTGATCATGACGAAGACGGGTATATTGACTCTGGCTTTGACGACTGTCAGCCATTCGATTGGCGGTGCTGTGCCTCCGGCCTCCTGGTTCTCACAGAGCTCAATCCGATCTGCGCCTGCTTCATCGGCGAGAATAGCGCTTTCGGGGTTGAAACACGCGATCTCCAGGAGGGCCATTGCGGAAGTCAGACGACAACAAATTAATCGCTGCCACCCAGACCATTCTTCTTGACTTTGACAAAGAAAAGTCTGGAACCCGAATGTCGTTGGCTAGTTTCCGGCGCTTCAGGTAGGAAGCAAGAATATGGCAAACACTTGCCCGGCGTTAGCAAAAGTCCGAGCTTTGCCGGTGCGCAACACCTCCCACTTCGACACTTTGTTCGTCGGGCCGCGCAGTCCCTTACTTTCCACCGCTCAAGGAGAAGACCACGGCGAAGAGTGTGGAGCGATGTTGCACTGCATGCGTCTCCAAGAACGGCCTATTGCGAACTAGGCGAGGAGGGACATGCTAGTATCAGTTCACGCACAGAGCTTGCCGACTTATGTAAGCTCGCACTCCTTCAATGGCAGAAATACATGCAATCTGCACGGATTAATGCGGTATATAAGTATTACAAGGCCGCTTGAGGTGGAAGCTCTTAACCCACGATCGACACTCCAGCTTGACGGCAAGCGAAGCAGCCAATTTCATCAGCACATGCACACGAGCTAAAACGCTGCGCTAAGAATCAACATCAACATCAGGCTATCTATGCCCCAAGTATGGCTCGCGATGATTTTCCGGTCAACGACATGTATCAGACCTGCGAATCAGGCTCAAGTGTGACGTCAGATTCCCAGGTCGAGAGATCCTCCTGGCCGCTGAATTCCAGTTCTGTCGGACAGCGAACGGAAGCTTCTGATCGACCGCGCTGGTCTGTGGTCGTGACAACGGTTACCCGATCGTCATATGCACCGACAATTAACTTTTCGATCCTCCGAGCTTCGTCAGATCTCATCAATGGTCGTCTGATCGTGTGAATTTGCACTCGCTTGAATGAGAAGTTTCTCTAAAAAGGCCATCGCCGGGCCGGAGACCTTTCGGGAGAACAGCTGTGTCGACCACGTCTGTGCCACTTGTCGGACCAAGGACTGGAGCCCTTGTTCGCGAGACCAACGCGCTCGACTCCTCAAGGTGCAGACGAAACTCGTCTCGACGCGAATGCCAATTCACGGCCACCAATGGGTCATCTCCGTCGGATCATCTGAGCTTTCAGCCTTGGGGTTGTTTGATATCAACCCCATTCCTTCGGAAGGCGAGCCTCCCGAATGTTTTGGACCGCTCTTCTCTCATCCCCTCACCGGATCGACCGGTATACAGATCCCCGAGCCACACAGGCGCAGGATGAAGGACGTCCAGAGCTGAGCGCGACAGGAAGGAGCACAATCCTACGGATAGACCACCGCACGCCGCAAGGATTTCAACTGACATGTGTACCAGGACTTCGAATCCTACGACCCATCATGCCTCGGCTCCACCACGAGGAGATTTTCATGTTCTTTCCTTCCTTCCTTTCTTCCTTTTCCTGCCAGGAGTAGGATGGAACTGTTGTAATCTCCGTGCCTATTCTTGCGGGGAGTAGTTGTTCCTACAGGATCGCAGAGTGGTTGGGTACGATTGGTACGACTCCGACTAACGAGTGGTTGCGCGCAGGTTGCCTTGTTGAGCTTTTATTGATGAGAGGAGTTGACCGCTCTTCCAGTTCGCGTTGCTTTCTCGATACTGCTTAGTCCCGTTCCTTATCCAGATCTGGTGCGAAAGTGACTTCCTTGCCAAGGCAGCCTCGCATGGACCAAGGCTGAGACAATCTGAGCGAAGATGTATCCGGTTATGAGGCTGGCGTCACCAGTGAGGAAGTGGATTCACAGCGCATAGCTTCTTCTCCAGCGTCGCAAAACTTGCAGACATTCCGATTCCCTACTAGACGGATACGCTCTACCCAACCTTGAAATAGCGACCACCTTCCCTTCCCTCGTCCGCCAAGGCCTCCCGCCTGCCCTTACTCGCCGGATCAAAATACGGCTTCTCGCCAATCCCCACCGCCCGATTGCCGGCCCTGTCCCCGAGTCCATCAAAATCAAACGTCGCGGTGTGAAACGTACATCTGTTGTCCCAGATCGCGATATCATTCTCATTCTGCCATCGAAATCGAACCTGCAAATCATGATTTTCTTTCAGCAGGGTCTTGAACCACGTGAGGAACATTTGGCTCTCTTCGGCCGTGAGGTCGTTTATGTACTGCGCGTGTTGGCCGACTGGGTATATAGAAGCCCAGCCTGTGACAGGATTCGTGCGCACGACGGGGTGGACCGCTTCGAGGGAGGATCCAGTATTGAGGGGCGAGCCGCGTGGTTTATCGTAGATCTGGAAATTGCCCCGTTCTGCGGCTGCGAGGAAATCCGGACGAGAGAAAGTACAACTCAGCGTCTTCAAGAAAGCCTGGACGGGTTCCGAGATCCGATCGTAGATTTCATATCCCGATGCCCAGAGCGTATCTCCTCCTGTCTCGGGTAACTGCGTCAAGCGCAGAGAACTATAGTCTGCCGGGACGGGTTCGAAAGCGATGTCCGAATGCCATTGATCACTGCTCTGTTTCTTTGGGGATACACCCGGTTGTTCCGCGAGGCCGTAGACTTTCTTGAAGAGTTTGGAGGAGATGGTGGAGATTTGTTGGTCGGGGTCGCGTTGTTCGTCGATGGAGCCTTCGGAGTTGAGGACGGGGTGGATGTGCAAGGTGGAGGTGGAGGGTTTGCCGGAGAGCTGGCCGAGGCGGTGGATGAGGTCTTTTTGGAGGTCGTTGGTGAGGTTTTGGGCGCGGAAGAAGACGACGCCGCGTGAGGAGACTGTATTGCGATAGTGTTAGTCGACGAAAGGTGGAGTGAGGGAAGCCGTCGTACTGGTGTATGCCAACTCTTGAAGGAGCTCGTCTGCGTTGGGCGCTTGGAGCCACTCGACGAGGCTTGCGGTTGGGTATTCGCGGCCGATTACTGGAGTGAGCTCGATGTGAGGGTATTGATCAAGGGCGCCGGTCGGTTTGAGTGGATTCGTGCTCTGGCGATTGCCTGCCCGAGACCCATGCTCTGTGGACGCGTCCTCGACCTGCTGAGCGATCGGTGCCATATCAAAGTATCTGCAATGAAGCAAGCTTGAAGTGCCTGGTCTAATTGTGAGGAGTGCAGGAAGTAGATGGAGGTGAGACGGGATAGATATTGACCGCTCACGGTACACGTCTAGGTACACGCAGTCCGACCCACAGCAAGGTCTCTTTCATCATTGCGTGATCCTTGAGCCCTCGCACGTATTGCTGTCACGTATTGCTCTCACGTGTTGAGAGTGTGAAACACCGCTTTCGCTGTGCAGCAGCTCGCCTCTCCACGTCGACGTGAGGCGACAAAGGATGGAGTGTCGCGACCCAAGCTCATATCGCGAGCTCTGGTAGCGAGAAGAGGCATGCTTCATTCTGAACGACGCCTTGGGCTTGGTCTGTAGCCCGATTGCTCTCCTGAATCGCTCTCACTCAAGGCTGTGGATCTGGCGATTAGCTTGAAGGTCCGATTGTGCGATGAGTTTAATAAAGGGGATGAGTCGTGGGAAGAGGAGGGAACCTTGAAGTTCACCCGGAGGACTGCGCTTTGATTGCAAAATGGTACGTGCTCACTGACAACATCTCTCTTTCAACACGACTATCGACTCAATCTGCATTCTCGACACGAAGCACGCAACATGTCTTCTAGCAATAGCACACGCAAAGCTACGGACCATCCGCAATCACCGGGTCCGGCGGCATTCCGTATCTTAACAATGTTTGGAGTAGCTTAACTTTGTACAAGAGATGCGTTGCAGGCAGCGGAATTGCTGCTCTGATGACAAACCCCGCAGCACTACGTCTTCTGCCAACCCTATATCTGGCCGAGTTGCCTTTCATCGACATCTCTTCGCAAAGAATCATAGAAAAGGTCTCCAACCATGGCACAGAACGGAGTCACCAAAACCGAAGCGCACGCCGACAAAGACGGCCACTTTCGACGAAAAGACAGCGCCTTCCGAGACTGGATCTCCAAAGACCCAAATAGCAAATTCCCCGCCGAAAAAGGCCGCTATGCGTTGTACATGAACTACGGATGTCCATGGGCTCATCGAGCGGTCATTGTTCGCGCACTGAAAGGCCTTGAAGATGTCATACAGATGATACCGACGGACTTTGACCTGACCGCCAATGGATGGACGTTCACTGGCAAGAATGGGTCCCATGGCAAAGATCCATTGTATGGATTCAGCGGTCTGAAGGAGCTCTACATGATGGTTGATCCAGAATACACCGGACGATACACTGTTCCGTGTCTCTTCGATAAGAAGACTGAGACCATTGTCAACAATGAGTCCAGCGAGCTCATTAGGATGTTCTATACTGAATTCGATGACTTGGTCGCCGGTGAGTTCAAGGAGGCAAACAAAGAGTACGGTGGCTTCTATCCGGAGCATTTGCGAAAGCAGATCGACGAAATGAATGAGTGGGTCTACAACACGGTCAACAATGTAGGAACAGGCAACATTGCTCCTGAATGCAAAGTTACTTACCAGAGTACCAGGGCGTCTACAAATGCGGATTCGCCATGACACAAGAGGCGTACGACACAAACATCTACCCTCTTTTCGAATCTCTCGATAGATTGGAGAAGCATCTGTCGGTGCCTGAACACCAGCCCTTCCTCTTCGGCAAGAATATCACAGAAGCTGGTGAGCGGATTCGTGGGCTATCATGTGAGCTCTTGTATTGACTCGAATTAGACATTAGACTCTACACGACCTTGATCCGCTTCGACACGGCCTATCACACCATCTTCCAGACCAATCTGAAGTCCATCCGCCACGACTATCCGAATCTACACCTGTGGTTGCGAAGATTATATTGGGACGACACCAAATTGACGAGAGGGATCTTCCGAGAGACCGTCAACTTTGACGCTTACCGATATGGCTACTCAAGAGCACGTGGTAAGATGTTAAGGGGTAAGTCGATTCACTAGTCACGCCTTGCCAAACGAGACTGCTAACTACGTGCTCTCTTGCGGTCCAGGCAGCTCGCAAGATGATAGAGAAATCGTCAGGCCAAGAGGACCAGCTGTCGACATTGAGCCATTGAAGGAGAGCGAGAAGGTAAAGTAGTCGCCTCAATTTCGGCATGTACATGGAAACAATTGTTAAATTTAGCCTTGACGGTTGTGGCTGAAACGAGGCTGCAGCTATGCATCTTTCTCCGCGACTCTGCGACCTGAAGTGCTTCAATTCCACTCCCTTTCGGGGCAGAATACCGACCGTGGAAAATGTCTGAGCTGTGCAAAGCTTGCAGCAAGCTGAATCTGAACCGATCTGATTTCACCTCCCCAACGGAAGGTTAAGCTGTTGCCAATGTCCGTGACTTCGTACGGAAATCTCACTACTTTCCATGCTGCGTGCTCGCATTCGCAGGTATATCAAGCCCATGGAGCCGAGGATAATCTCGAAGAGTATCTTGGATCTCTTATCCACTAGGCTACCATGTGCTCGCATTCTTCCTTTCTTCCGAGCGCGTGCGACTCGGGTTTCAAAGTGGAACTAATGCCCATGACCATGCTCTAGCTGGTTATTGGCAGCCCTTAGGAAACGCATGACGGCATCGTAATCTTCAGAGATAAAGACGCGGATGTGGTGTAAGTGTACAAAGGAGTGCAGACAGAAAGCCTTCGTCACGGAGCACGAGCAGTACTGTAGAGCTTTTCTCAACATACGCATATTTGGGTATAATCTATCGCTTCCTCCTCCCCCTCTGCATCTCAATCATACACGCTCCAATACGTCTATCAAAACCAACAAGCCGGCAGGGCCGCAACGCCTATCTCTTGGCATCGTTGGGTGGCTGCGGTGTCGTGCTTCCCTCCCTCTTTTCCCTCTCCCGGGCAAGCTGCTCCTCGCTAAGACAACCGATCCGATTAAGAATTTCCTTGTGCTCGCCGAGATTCAAGCCGCTTGAGATACCCTTGGCTTTCCGACGACCCATATTGCTGCTGCTGTGCCTGGCATTGCGAGTCGGCCAAGTGACCTCGTCCGAGCTCGTCTCGACCTCAATGAAGCGCGGCTTCTCAGCGTCTGCTTGCGCAGGAATAGGCCCAGGAACTTCGTCTTCGGCTTCCTCGCCGCCCTCATCGTCGCTGCGAGTGTCATCGGCGCCTTGACCGCGTAGGACACGCACGACGACTCTCAAGATCATGACCAGCCAGACCAGTGTGATGATTTGTAGCGACAGAAGCAGGCCGAGAAAGCCATATTTCATGTAGGCATTCAGGCCGACTGTCTTTGCGTCTGGCCGCAGTATCGGTTGAAAGACGTTGGCAAAGACTTCATTGCCTCCATCCGTCGAAATCAATTTTCCGGTTGCAAGCGAGAATGTGCCATAACGCATGTTGACGCCGTTGATATGCTCGTAGATACTCCAACAGACCGCCAGATATCCGACGTGTCGTGCAGAGATCCAGGTAATCACAAATACGCCGAACATGGCGTCGCAGGCCGTTTGCCATCCCACATAGCGAAAGATCTTGGCAAGTGGGAAGACCAAGTCCACAATGTCCATCAGAACCAGGATCGCATTGCCTACCCGCCACAACCTGCAGGAGTAACTGCTCATCATCAGCCCAACGGTGACGAAGTGATGCATCAGCATCTGGTAATGGTCTTTCCGTCGCTCTTCAAGATGGATCACAAGGATCTGCTGTATCCAGAAAGCAAGCTGAGAAAGATAGTACAGCTTGATGCCGGTCGGTATGGTCAATCGCGGGTATTCCGTCCACATGGAGGCCAACACATCTTTCAAATTCTTGGCGTCAGACGGAGTGTCTTGCCAGAACACATACACGCCCCATGACCAGAAAATGGTGTAGTAGGTTAACAGGTACGCCTGCTCCGCAAACCGGACTTTGCCTTTCCGCTTGCCAATTCCACATTTCCCAGCCAGAGGAAGAAGCACATAATCGAGCATGAAGGCTCTGAAGGCAGTGAAATAGACGATGCAGCTGCCCACCAGGTACAGATCCAATGGCCCCTGGCTGTACTGCCCCTCCACTGCTGTAGGGTAGGAGAGTATAAAGCAAGCTCTTGTCCTGTCGCGCAGAGATGGAAACAGCATGTGGCTCATTGCCAGCAGTACTATGAAGTTGAGGGGGAGTCCCAATTGGTGCTGCATGACCATTTTCCTCAGTGCGCTGCCAATACTCTCGTGGTCCTTGCTGTTCCTCATGTTCCTCCTCTTGGGTGTGACAAAATCGCCCGAGCTCGCACACACCGCCAGATCATCGACATTGGACTCCGGGCGAGGAGGAGGGGTGTTGCTGCCCAGCTGCGGCGAGGGCGGAGACAGATTGGGAGCACCGGCCTTCAACTGTGGTGCCATGTCGTCGGGCTAAGTTGCGTGGGTTACGTCGTGGAGATTGTCTCAAGCGAGTGTAGAAGATGCCGACCTCCGCTTTGATCGAGTGAGCGGGTTTGCGGTCGTAGTGAAGTTCTGGATCGCCAATGCTATTGTTGCAATCGGGCGTTTCTGGAGAAGCGTCGAAAGCTCCTCACCGCTCTCGTCTTCGTCCCCGGTCGATCACGAGATTGTCGGGCGAGACAGCGGCCGTATCGAGACGAGAACGAGCGTGGTCTGGTATGGACAGTTAGAAAAGGGCCATTGGGAAGTGACCGAAGCTCCGGGCAGCAGTCGCAGAGGCGGCGGGTGGCAATGCGAAAGGGACAAAAGCGTGGTCAGCGATATTCGATATTCTGCCGAGCCGTCTCGCAGTCTCAGACTTCTAAGCCCCCCTCAGGACCCTTGCTGCCGCACGCGGCTCGTCTCATGCGTGCCGAAACTCTAACGCGTTGAAACATCACCAGTATCACGTCGCGTGTATATACAACAGCAAAGAAACTCGACCAAGATGATCTCATCACTCATGTCAAAAATCATATTGCTGTGCGGAAACTGCTAACTACTCCGGGGTATTCGTAGCCTAGTTCTCCAACACATATCTGTACCGTGGCAGCCCTGCCTCAAAGTCCACAATGGTCTTGTTTGCCTCAGACATTGGCCTCTTCTCAATCCATGGCTTCAGCTTGGACTTGGCTGCCAGCTCGAACATCTCGCGAATCTCCTTCGGGCTACCGATCAAGCTGCCCACGATCTTGCACTTCTTCATGATCAAGGAGAAGGCGAGGAAGGGTGGGAGGGTGTCGTCGGGTGCACCGACCTGCACAAAGGTGCCACCGACGTCCAGCAGGTTGAGGTAGCCAGACAGCGGCATCTTGGGCGAAGAGACCGTGCAAATGATGACATCGAGCGTGTTGGCGGCCTTGGTCTCCCAACCTTCGCTTTCGGTGGTGATCATGTCATCGGCGCCCATCTTGATCGCGTCCTCCCTCTTCTTGTCGTTACGGGAGATGGCAACGACCTTGTCCGCTCCGAGAGCCTTGGCGAACATCAACGCCATGTGACCAAGTCCACCAATGCCAATGACACCGACCCTCTTGCCCGGTCCAACGCCGTTCTGCTTCAACGGAGCGTACACGGTGACACCTCCGCAAAGCATGGGAGCGGCTTCTTCCGACGGGATCGCATCCGGAATCTTGAAGACGAAATGGCCAGAGCCACGCCAGTACTTGGCATAACCACCTTGTGCCTTGGAGCCGTCAGGCCATTTGCCGAAGTAGGTCATGACGAAGTTGTTCTTGCAGTATTGCTCGTCGTCATGCATGCATTGGTCGCAGTCCGGCTTCAAGCAGGCTCCGGCCTGAGCTCCGACACCAACCCGATCGCCCTCCTTGATCCCACTCTTCACACCCTTTCCGACTCGAACAGCTTTGCCCACGATCTCATGACCAACCACCACGGGGTAGTCGGTCGGGCCCCAACCAGATCGTAGAACGTGAAGGTCAGAGCCACAGACACCTGTAATCGTTAGCATATTTGCCTTGCACGGGATAGGAAAGGCAATACATACCGCAGTGGGAGATCTCGATGTCGACGTCAGTGTCCTCGAAAGGCTTTGGGTCATAACCTTGCCAGACCATCTTTCCTTGATCCGCATCCTTGTCAAGACCACACCATCCTTCGAAGACTCTGTCGTTGGCCATTTTGGAAAGGAGTCGTATGTATTTCACGGGATAGTCTTGTTGCAGTTGAGTCTCAGCGAACGAAGTCAAGTTCTGTATCTCGGGGCAAGAAACAACAGTCGTGGGATCGCAGTCGTCTTCCTGGAGCAACATGAAAGTCAGTCGCCATTGCCTTGCCTTTATATCTGAGCGTGAATGGAAGCCGAACTTCCGCCATGTGTCCCATAGAAATTTCTTCCTCAGGCCATGTCGGTTGAGGGATCACGGTTCTCATGGCAACACACTTGCATTGCTAAGCAGCAGACGTCAGTCTGTCGCGTATGCGTCGGGCTTGATGCGGTAGATGTGAGTGTGGGTATCCTGCTGCAAAAGGCGAAGCACATAGCGAAGGCGATAGGTTTCTATCTCGGGATTCTTTCGGGTGCGGTCGGTCGGCAGCCAGCGCGTCGCTCATCCTTGCTCAGACGTAGGACCATTCGTTCCGCAAGCATATATCCCAGCATCGTTCCGAATTCTGGAGGAGTTTAATAAAACATCTCAAGCGCTGGAAGCGACGAAAGTAGATCGGGAGTAGAAGACCCATTCGCTAGTCCATCAACGTGCTCAAGAAGAGCCATGAAAGGCATGACGATATCGGTACTGGGGTTTGCCCCTGTGTGCATGTGGGCGCGTGGATCCCACGCTAGCGAGAAGATCTTGTCCAGACCATGAGGCTTGATTGCGAGCCTTGTTCATTATTAATCGCACTATGACGGCACCCGACAGACCTTTCAACGAATTCGAAGGTCCACCGAAGTCCGTCAGACATGACGAAGCGAGCACGAGTCGATCTGCTAGGTTGAAGCGCATCTCAGGCTCTTTCGCTTGTTTGCTCTCACGTCTCTGAGAAGGCATCAGGTGCGCGCCAGAGCGCATATCTCTTCTCTCGTCCACGACTCGTCGGCCTCGGAATTGAGATACCAACCTTCGTCAAGCAGCGTGCTTTCGACCTTCTCCCACTTTGCGAGTTTCTCGGGTTGCTTGAGATCGAGATCCCCAAGGCGGGCCTCTATGGCATTACCAGAACGCTTCAAGAACAGAGTGCAGTCCCGAAGGGTCATCGCTTTGCACAGCGAAGAGATCGAGCCTGCGTCCGAAGTCTTCAATACTCCGCACTTATCGAAGGCTATCTGGCAAGAGCGAAGCTGTTGTAATAGGGTCTGACATTGATCGAGGAGATATTCGCGCAGACGCCTGTCCGTGGTCAACGCATGTATGGCTTCTCTTCGTTGCTCGAGATTTGGATTGATGAGATCGAGAGGACAAGTTTCTTGTGCATCGGTCGCCGTGCGTATTCGTTGTGATGCTCTGTGGGCACGAAGAGCACATGTCCGACAGCGTCTGGCGTTTGGTGGCGCGGTCGGCGACTGCGCGAGCCATTTCGGTTTGATCTGGAGCAAGACCTCGCCAGTATCAGGAGTCATATCTGTCACCAGCAATGCAGACATCTGCTCCACAGGCAAGAAATCTCCGGATCTGTGACCGGGGCGGACCGTCTTCTGGAGAGCATCATTCAGCAGCAAAGGCAGATTTTGATCCAGAGCAATCAGCTCATGCTCGACCAGGTTATCCCGAGCGAAAAGGGGACGAAAATCCTCGTCAAGAGCCTTCAATTGTTCCTCCGCGGTAGGTATATGGGGCAGGTCTTTCCGGAGTCGCAGCAACCTGCTCTTTAATATCGTGGGAAGTTCTCCATGAGGTTTCGGCAAAATTCGGTACACCAGATTTGCTCCGCCCTCATTCAGATATTCCAGGGCGCATCTCGAAGCCGGCGAGAGGCCTTTCGCGGGCGTAGGCTGAAAAGAGTACAGCATGGGAATCTCACGTTCCACGAACCAGACAGGGATGGACATGACGTGCCGAGGACCGTCTCATGTAGAGCAGACCCGCCGACCTGGGTCGGAGTTGAGAATGACACTGTGACACTGTGAATATATGCAGCAGGACAAAGAGAGTTTCCCATCGCGTGAGATCCAGGCGGCACAAAGGCAGAAACATTCACCTGCTCACCGTGCTCTTCAACGAGCCCGTGGTCATGCGGGCCGTCGCGATTCCACAAGCTTTTACGTTATTTGCAGTAAAGAGAGCCGAGGGGTGTGTAGTAGACTTCCAATAGTAATCCTCAGCACTTAGCTTGTGATCATACATAGAAGCGCAGCCATCGCGGTACGGTGCATATCTTCTGCGTCTGAGAAGCCCACCCAGTCCAGACTCTGCATGCGTTGTGGGTTCTAAGAATGGAAAGAAGAGAGCGAAATTCAAGACCACACGGGAAGTGGAAGTGTCACGATTCCCAAACTTTCGCTTCCTCCCGGCTAGCCTGGCCTTTTCGCCCAACTTCCATCTAATAATAAAACCCTCGACATCGGAGAATGGACACTTCACCTCAACTCGCCAATCTCTTTCACAAGATGGCTTCAGAAGATCCGACCAGCCTTCCGACTCCTGCAGCCTGCACTGCTGGTACGGCCCAAGACTTCAGATACCGGGCTCGTTGTGGCACTCGCTGATTGATCCATGATGCCTTCAAGATTTTTGCTTGGTCCCCATTGGGACGCCCACGGCTTCTGTATCCAAAGAAGTAGCCGAAGTACAACGCCTGCTCAAGAAGTCCGGCATTCATTACACGATGCACTCGGCCGGTACGACGATTGGTATGCTTGCACCTTTGTTGCACTTTCCGCCGTGTCATGCCACTGCTTCAGCCCGCTCATGTGGATATTAGAAGGATCATGGGATGAGTGTATGCGGATCATTGGCCAATGCCACAGCATGTTACATGCCAACGGCGTAGTGAGGATACAGTCCGATATCAGAGTCGGCAGTCGAACAGACAAGAAGCAAAGTTTTGAGGACAAGGTTAAGGCCGTGGAGAAGTTGCTCGAGAGCGACAGCAAGGCCCGGAGTGAGGCGACGGAGAAGTAGAGAATGTCGTCCGCAGAAGCTGCTGGGTGGGTATGGGAGAGAGTAATACACGCTCTACGTATAGTTCTATTTTCTGCTCTGGCACCAGTGCCCGCCGACCTCCGCCGCAAAGTGGTATCATAAAATGAGTCGTAACGCCATCCTGGTCATCAAGTGCCAATCTTGTTTTCCGGTGCTTCCATAACACCATGCTCACAAGAACTTGTAGGAACCCTCATCTGCTGTGATATACATTATTTAGGAGACGTACGCCGGAGGTGCTTCGGCGCCCTCGGAGACGCCATCTTCGGACGGGGCTCGCCATGCGCGCTGTTTCGATCTTTCCGACTCCACTTTCCTGGCTATCTCGGTGGCCATCTTTTGCATCCAGGCTTGCTCCAGGATACCACCTGTGCTACTCTCGCCAAAAGCAGATACGAGACTCTGAAGTGTCATCTCGGAGGATGAGCGACGCACATTATCCGAGGTGGTTCGTCGAAGCTCAGGTGAAGGAGACCGAGACGGAATGGCGTGCATGGTGGGAAGCTTATGGATGGTAGGGCGCACGATCTGGTCAGTCTCTGGGAGAACTGTTGATGCACGAGGTGTAGGGTCCGGATCGGAGACAGCCTGCGTGGAGAGCGAAGGTTTGGCCGGAGTAACAGGCCTTGCTCTCGACGGACGCCCATCAGAGCCTCCATCTTGACGGCTCGCGTCCTGTGCAGTAAACTCGACTCTCTTTCGCGCGCTCCTAGGCGGAGTGGTGATTTCGCCCTCCCGCAACTCGCTTGATGGAGCTGTCGACTCGTGTGTCCCAGTCCTGACCACACTTGATCGAGCAGAACCGCCCACGCTCCTTGTAGCGCTGTCGTCATAGCTGCTCGACACGCTTGCAGTCTCCATTACGTTCTCTTCCGCATCCTTGTTCCGTCTCAAGTTGACGACTCTGTTCTTCCTCTTCTTGCCGGGCCGTGACCTGGACGCACTGCCACCAAAGCTGTACGTCGTGCTGGCAGAAGCCATAGATGTTAAGCTAGGCCTAGTAACCTCGGATCCTGCTCCTGATGTCTGGGATGCAGCTGAAGATACAGCGCTTTGGGACATGATGGATGACTGAAGTCTTTGAAGCGTGACCGTTCTAGTTGGCGTATTCGTGCCTTTGTTGATTTCGTCGCGATGCGCTGCACTCGCCCACGCGCGGTAGATTGAATCTCTGATACTCGGGGTAAACAAGCTCAATGTCTTCTGACTTTCCGTCAGAGCCGCCAGGCGGACCATGTTCTTTTGCGAGAAGGTTGCGTAGGTTTCGGTCGGCGGTTCGAGCGTCAGGGAGGAGAACGGGTCGGAGTCATCGGAAACAGGTTGCTGTGCTGGGCTTGCGAACGGATCGATAGGCTTTTGTCCCTCGGCGTGTTCTTTGCTTGGTTCTTGATGTTCCGCCGTTTGGTACTCTGGGCTGAACACCCTCAGCGACAGCCGATGGATTATAGCTGGCAGATCTTCCATAAAAAGAATCCGCAGCTGATTCTCGATGGTCTTCTGCAGGTAGTCGCGCACGAATGGTATCGAGTCGAAGGTCGAGGAAACCTTCAGCTTCTCTAAAGGGTCATTCCTGAAAACAATGGTGATACCCTTCTGTTTGGAAAAGACCAAGATGACAAAGCCTGATAGCCGGATATCAGACAGTGTGATTTGTATGGGTATGGTCAAGCTACTGCTCGCTGCCAGGGGTTGCGGGCTTGCGAAGCTGGGCTTCGTAGAAAGGTAGGTATTAAGCGGATTGGCCTGCACTCTTGTCTTGAGGGTGAGGTATGCATCGCCTTTGTAGCTCATCTTGAATATGCCGCGGAAACGATCTTCTGCCAAATCCCCAATCTCCAAGATCTCCAACTCCGGTGGTGTGGAACCCAAGTTCAGCTCGTTAACAACAATATCGTCGACGATTATGGGCGGCTTCGGGGATTTGTTCAGAGCGTTGGTGAGCATATCGCGTACTCGATCCGTGTCCGCTATTAGCGGCGACCAGTTGAAGTTGAACGCCATCGTCGCGTAGGATGAGTCGGTCGGTCTGTCTGCGAACGTCCGGCTCTGATCTTTTACCGTCTTGCTCGGCGCGCAAGACAGGTTGTCGCGTGGCTCATGGAGCTGCTGATAAGGCGCAATCTTACGTGCGCCTGGTCAGGATGTTCGCAAGTCGGTTTTCTTTCAGGCACGAAGCCGTTTTACGGTCTGTTTGAGCGCGCGTAGGGGCCGCGATGGATTGTTATGATTTATAGAAATATCCTCAGGGAAGCACAGAAGGGGCCTTGCTTGTTGACCGAGTTTGCGCAGAGTGAAACCATCATACCCGGCGGCACGGGTCATTGGTGCCAAGATCGGCGGAGATCGGAAAGGGCCGCAACTGCCTAGCTTCCCTACTCGGTAACCTCACTTCTTGTCTTCTCGTGAACCAAAGGTCACCAACTCATTAACAACGCCTTGCTGTAGTCCTGGACGGACTGGCTGTTCTTGATGCGTCCTCCGCCGCTATGGCCCAGTCGACCAAGCCTGTCGACCAGGATTTTCAGAGCAACCGCCGTCGAGTGTCATGCGACCAAGACCTTCTACCGTCGCGCCCTTTCCTGCACCGCCCAGGCTCCCGGGAAACCTGCGTCTGTTGCGCTGCCCAAACTGATAATCGAAGAGCGAAAGAACTGATCGCAAAACCACGTAACCTGCCGTGGGCGGCCTCTCTCAACCGCCTTGCCGAGGGCAGTGCAGTTCTTCAGGCCACCGTGCCCAAATCAATCCAATCACCTGGTAGCTGAACTCAGATGGAGAGCTGTGGTCTTCCGTGGTGGTGCACATGAACACATTCGACTCAAGAAAGGAGGCGCATGGTATTCTGTCAAGTGAAAAGTCTGTGACTCTGTCTGCTCCTTCATGGCTTTGGCTCGTCATTGCTGCTGACAGCAGAGAGAAGGATTAGCGGGCGGCAATCGATGGAGCAGTTTGAGATTACATGCATGCCTACGGCAGTACGGTAGGTGCACCCCTCTTCTCGCTATACAACACCGTCTTGGAATACATTTCAAAACTCGTCTCGCTTGTGGAGCGAATTTAAACAGCGTGTCTTGCTCAATATCCACAAGAGAATATCTCGAAGCTGCGAACACGCAGAACACTTTTGTCAACCAGTTCGGACGACCCTCCGCGTCCCCAAGATTGCCTCAGTTTGGAGGCCTGACCAGAGGCTCATGGTGAGCGTTCATTCCAGGGACCAGACAGTCCACGATCCAATTACTCTACAAGTATACAGGACTTGCTGCAACTGCAGACATACCAATCAACCAGCACACACTCCCACCGGTGCCCAACCCGTGTGCACTTCAAAATACCAAAGATGTCATGTGTTTCGATGATTATTGCAGTGAAAGTTTCGAGTTGGTTTAGAACTACAAGTGAGGCGTTTTCGTTCTAGAGAAGGAAGAGACGTAATACCTCAGGCTGCAACTTGGTGGGCGGAGCAATCATCTAAGGCTCAGATAGACTGCTTCATTCTGAATTCGAGTTCTACGTTGCGTCATTCCCAGTACATGCCACGACACACATCATCGAAGAATGAAATGGTACCTAGTATCCAGATCTCCTGTTAAGGCTCGGGCCGCCCGCAGGGCGACACGATCACCTGCCCAAAAGCCGCCCATCATTAAATGAGATTTTCTGACTCTCGATGCCTTTTAAGGCCACCATCTGTCGCCTCACCTACCGATGCGCGATTTAAGAGATGCATGCGACGGTACTTTTGTGCTGTGCGGCCTGAAATTGCAGGCGTGGACGAAATTCGCAATTACTCACTTCACCCTGCGGATCACATGTGATTTCGCCCCCAACCCAGCCACCTCCTCCATCGCAGCCCGACTTGTCAAGGCATGAGAACTCGGCGACCGATGACGAGTCGGAATTTTTTGTAATTTTTCTTTGGCAAGGAAACTATGCCGGCTCCGCAAGCCACCTGCACGCTTGCAGCCGGCGAAGAAAGTGATGTTGACAGAGAAGCGAGACTGCCGCTTGCGCTACTGCACTGCCCACTTTAGGCATAGGCGGGCAAAATTGAAGATTCGAATGTGGTTTTTCCTGACAGATTTGGCCAAAGCGCCCTATCAAGTCGTGCGGCCTCGCATCCGACCCGCCCTTCTGAAAGATCGGGCTTAAGCGGTGCAACCTCGACGTGACCTGTTTGCCTCGCTTCTGCGGGCCACGGCACAAATCTTTGCAACCTGATACGAGGGACTTTTGCGTGTCCTGCGCCCCTGCAGTATCGGAGGTCGCCGCTCCACTGTAGTCGCTGTGCGGATCAGGACCATCGCCCCTTCAAACTTGCCAGCGGTGCTGCTCAGTGGTGGCCAAGCGAACCGTGCTGCCTCTGATATGATTTCTCTGCCTCGAACACGACCCTGGGGCAGTGTCGCACGAAGACTGGATTGGTGCTACTGGCTCATGTGATGATCATAATTTTTCAAACGTCGCCGTCGGGATCCCAGAAGGAGTAAGATGTCAACAATCGTCCTTGGGAGAGCACACGCTGCATTTGCTTTCCAGTCATTCCTCTGCTGCGGCCGTGCTGGTTCACAGCGGAAGGGCCGACGTCTGAAACGCCTCGGAATTCTTGTCGCGGTGAATGGTGCGCATCGATATGGTCGCACTTGTTTCGATGTTCTCCCGCGGTCCAGTACGCAGCGAGAAACCCTCCTTGGAGCTATCCGGATCGACTTCATTCGCACCAGTGAATCGTCGCCCGAAGTAAAGACTCCTGACAGCGCAGCGATGGCGCAGTCGAGCAGCAATCGCCTCACTGAACCATCTGCGATGCCTTGATGCCGCAGATGGAAAAGTATAAAGATAGAGAGCGCCACTGTGTCAACTCCTAAAGAAATCAATTAGCAACAGCATCACAAGCAGCTTTCGAGTATTACTTGCCTCCTATTCACGACAGAAACCACACGCAATAAACACCTCATTCAGCAACGTGATGTTCTTCGCCAAGAAGACCCGACTCTCCCCAGCTGACGGCGGCGAACACGGCGAGAGCACTGCCCGCACTCTCAGCGGCCGACCTCAGAAACCAAGCATGCGAGGGTGGTGGTTCGTACAATCTCCTCACCAGATTTCAGACTCCAGGCTGACTGTCGCACAGGACTTGTCACAGCTGTCGCCAGACAATGAATCCCGCCATAGCGCAAAATCGATGCTCAATCTGCGGTCACATGAGGTGTAGGAACTGCCACACGTACTAGCTCATGCAAGGGCAGTACACGTTGATAACAGATAGACCAAGACGGTGAACAATTCGCGCACTCATGAATGAAGTCTTGCTGATTACCCACATTGCAGGTGGAGCGCGGGTCTGTCGGACGGAGTCTGCAGCGTTCAGGGTGTCCTCCTAGCGTTGGTGTCGCACAAACTCGCATTCGTTTTCGTGGTGAGCGTGATGGAGTGCTACTGTTTCTTGGCGTCTGGACACAGCGGGCGGCGTAGGGTGCTATGATCTAAGCGAGCTAGACAGTCTTGTTCGTTAGCGATGTGGCATCAATGGTAAACGACTTGAAGACTCACTTCTCCGTCAGCACATATCGGCTGTTGCCTTTCTGGTGTGATCCCTTCCTCCATGCACTGGGGATCTAACAACCTCCCAAAAGTCCTCTTCCACGCTTCGAGTGTCTGACAGTCGAATTCCAGATATCATCGACCAGGCGAAATGCTACCTGTATTCCAAAATAGAGTCGTGGAGGTCTAATCTCATCAGATTGGCATCGTCACGATAAGATCACTGAGCGTCAGGATGCTGCTCTCGCTCGGCTCTTCGACGCCATTCATTTCGCAGGCGTCGGGCTTCCTTTTCAGACATCCATCCGTCAGGTCTCTCGCCGTTTTGCCAGCCAAGATCAAGTCGGCGTTTTCTTCTTCGGCTACTTCGAGCAGAACTTGGTCTGAGCTCTCTGGCAGACGAGCCTTGCGGCCGAACAAGACCGGCATCTACCAGTAGGAGCTCGAACTCAGGACCAAGCGGATATTCGGACACCGCGGAAGAATGATCGCAGCAAGGAGAGTAGTTCAGAGGCAATAGCCATTCGTGCAGCTTGAAGCCAAATACAGCCGTGAAATTCCTGTAGGCGCTCCCAAGATTCCTACGCATTGTGGGGCTGAAGTTAGCGGCGCATTCGAGATAAACCTATGTGGTAGGTATCCTAGAAAACATACCAGGGGTTCGCCCCAGGAGGCACTTTTAAGATCGCAAAGGTCCGTGCGGTTGGCGCCGGTAGAGGAGGCCTGTCCACAGACCAGTGAAGTGGATACGTGACGGAACTCCTCCACAGCTTCGACCTCGGGGCAGAAACGGAGCTTGAGTTCCGGGTACGTTTAGCAGGATTGGCCTGTCGACTGAAATAGTTGTGATGAGATGGATCATCGAAGTCAGAGGTTTGGGGCCTTTCGCTCCCAACATCAGAATCGAGTGGCGGCGACGGCTTCACTGGAGGAGGCGGAGGTAGAGGGTCCTTTTGCAGCTCCGGCGGCAACAGGACCGCCAGATGCATCCTCCTTCCGGCGTTTTCGATGGTTGTGGCATTTTGAAGCACAAGGTGCACGCTATTCATGACCATTCCGGTGGTGAACAAGCAAAAGAATCCCGAGAGGCCCAAGCCGACAAACAGCTGAACATCATCCTTGTACTGTGCAACGAAATAAGCCAAGACGATGGTGAGATAAGACGTGAGAATCATGGAATAGACCAGGAACTGGATGAAGAATTTCATGGAGCGCTCTCCAACCACGCCGCCGACCCAGGGACTGTTTTTCTCAAGTCAGCGAATGTTCCAGACTTGGTCGAAGGGCTTTCGCTTTTGGATCGCATACCAGAAATGGTCCATCTTCCGGGTGCATCTTCCCGCGTCCTGGGAATGGTGTGTCCTGTCTGGCTTCCAGTTATGACATTGGTCACACCAGATCGGCAAGCCACTAGGGTCGCATGCGAAGACTTGTCGATTCCAATAAGCTTCACATCCTGGTCGCGCTTCGATATCACTTGGCTCTGTGACCTCGGGACCTCGCGGAATGAAGCCTGGATCGAGCAAGAGGACCAGCAGGAGGCGCAAGTAGGAGGTGGCGACGGGGATGAGGAGAACGAAATGGACGATTGCCAGCGCAATGCCGGCCGTAAGCCGCCGCGGAATGTCGTGACCTGGTGGATTGACGAGGTAGTCGATGCAGAGCGGTCCGACGACGACATACGAGACGTAGGCGACGATGAGAGCCAGGAAGATGGGCGTGATTCGCGCCGTCCAGATTGAGGCCCTATTGCGCCGGTGGAGGGTGTTCCGGTCGTCCATCACGATAGCGGACCGGCCCAGCGACCTGCTGGCAAGCAGAGACGAGGACACACGCGCATCACGTCGATGAATTGACGTCGCCGTCTTATTATTATTGCGAGGCTCCAATGTGGGTGGCTGTCAATGCGAGGCGAAGCGATGATGCGCGATGCGATGCCGATCCCGCCCGAGCCCTCGACGGGCGGGGGCAGGCGCGCCGAGCCGCTGCGAGAACCTCAACTTCCTTCCACTTCCTCCAACCTCCTTCCTCTCCTCAACAACCTCCCGCATGGACAGATGCAACACGGACTGGAGCTTTTCATCTGCCGTCGCCTGGAACGATTCAACACGTCACCATCACGCCGCCGGGTCCGCGGATAGTGCGATGGCCCTGCCGACTACGCAGAGTACCCGTACCCGTACCCGTACCCTACGCCCACCTCCCGTGTCAGCCAGCACCGCAATGTTCCTTGTACCTTGAAACCATCGCTGGCCATGCATGGACCCTTTCTTGCCGATTTGCACAAGCACGTAAGTCGCGTCTCCTCTCTATTACCGTGGGAGCTCTCCATGTCGGGCTATGAGCATCTCTGGGGAACCCGTGGCATGATACGCTCCACTGTGAGTCCCGAGCACCCGATTTCGGCATACACACGAAGAGGAATACGAGCCCGCAACCTCCCACGAATCGGAAGGCCGTGCTGCTGAACGCTCGACCAGCCACAGCCTTGGTGAGTATCTTGCTCATCCTGGAGTCACGCCAGGTTCTCGCTACTAGTCTGGCAGAATCTGCAGAGGTGTATGGCGTATATCGGCCCTTTCGCCGCAGGCTCAGGCTTGGTAACGTCCCAATCCAGGGTCCAAGCAAAGTCTATGCAATGGAGCATTGCTGTCACGAAGGCGGTGTTCGACTGTGCACCCTAAGCTATTCACATGAGCCCAGCGAAGTCGCGGTCGTAGATCGTTCGAAGGGTCTGAAAAATCTGCTCATTGTGATATCCCTGCCTTATATCCGCGTGATATGCTCACAGGATATCGACTGGGGAAATGAATGACGAAGGACCGACGCAAGTCTCGGTCGATAGCCGAGTTAAAAGCACGCCGAGCATGCCATCAACCTTGGATCACCTATAGAAGAACTCTGTGCCTTCTACAGATGTGCGCAAAGACCTCTTTGCGCCCGCCTGGCGTATCAACATCCAAGGCATCTGCACTTCGCAATTTACGGAACTTGGAGTTTTGCCTTCATCCTAGTCATAGTTCTATTCTTACTTCTGCGCTCCTGGTGTCCGCCTCTCATCCTGAACTTAAATCATGAATCGTGCTGGGATGCGAACACCTGTTCCCTTCCGCATCCATCATCAGCTTCACGCTACTTCCGCATCTGGAAGTCTTCCAAGACCTCATGCCAAGTGGTTATCTGACGTCTTCCACGGTCGACGGTCGTTAAGCCAGAGCTTGAGGTCTGCACTCAAGCTCATGGGTACAATTGACTTGAGACTAACGAATTACAAGGCAATGAGCCAATGGCATAGTACTCGGGTACGCTGAATTACGTCTCCGCGGCCTCCGGTCAGCAGCAGGTTTGATGGCCAGCGGAGGGTATAAAGAACGTCGTTTCTTGCACATTCCAAGCCAGATATCCTTCAGCGACCTACTTCAAAGCAGCCAACTAGCCTTCTCAGCACTCTTCGCTCCCACGTGCAAAGCCCATCACACCACCCAGCAACGATATTCTTGTCAAACAATCAATAAAACCATCAACAAAATGCAGTACAAGCTCATTGTCGCCGCCCTCACTTCAGTCCTCGCCGTGGGCGTTTCCGCGATGCCAGCCCCAGAGGCAGCTCCCAATGCCCTCGCTCTTCCAGTCGCCGCTCCTGAGGTATGGAGTTGAGACCCCAGACTCGACGTTGTAACCACTGATCGACATCTCAGGTCGTCGAGCATGCACCCCTCGAAGCTCGTTCCGAGATGAGCGACATGGCAGCTGCTCAGAAGGCTTACATTCAGGCCACTCTGGACTACGCCGCGAAGGCCAAAGAATTCAAGCAGAACGGTGGCCTTCAAAAATGGCAGCAAGAGAAGCATCAGAAGCGTGCCGAGCAGGCAGGCCAATGGTACGGACCTCAAGGCTATTACTCCGGCAGCAATGGTTTCGAAGCGCAAGGCACCAATCGCCAATCTGGACAGGGCTTCGGCATTTCTCTCTTGGGCCTCCCTCTTTTGAGCCTTGATTCGAGCCAGTACGGCAACGCTCATTTTTACGATGTCTATGGAAACAATCAATATGGTGGGTCGTCCTAATCGATTCAATCCCCTCTTGGTCGATTCATTCCCCTCTTGGTCGGTCTGAACTCAAAAGCTGGAGGGCCGAGCGAAAGGACGAAGTAATGTAGAGATAACGGGATAATGGTTAATGGAGAGATGATGGTTAGTAGATAGCTAGACAGTGCACCGCTGAAAGGACGTTCATTGACAGGCTTGTTTGACGCTCTACAGTCCTGCGGTGATTCCGATGGATGTTTTCTATCAGCGCCTCGTCTTGTTGTCCGAACATTTTGAGCTCGATTCGTCAATGCCTGTTGAATATTCTCTGAAACCATGGCTGGAGCGTCGAGCGGCTGGAATGATCAACACCTCTCGCTGCATACCAAAAGCGTTCCTGAGCCGGTGTAACAACCCTCCGTTGACAAGCTATGATGGAATATTCACGACATCTTTGGTACGAGGAGCAGTAGTGCCAAAGACCAAGAGTCAAAGTGAAATTCCTCCGGGGGGAACTGTCGATGCGGGTGCTGACGTCTCGGGGAAACCAAACGTCCGCCGCTGCTGGCACTGTCGTCATCGATTCCCGACTCCGATTGCAACAACACCATATGTATCAACATATCCAAACGTAGGTCCATCTACCTCTCGCCGTCCATTTTTTAAGGTGTCTAGACGTTTCCCACCTCCAAGAAGAAGATGTCCTCTCTCATCAACGGCCTGCTCCACGCGACCAACTTCCGCAACCCATTTCTACGGACTCTGGTGCCATCCATCGGCCTGGCATACGGTCTGCAGGCAGCCGTTGGAATCCCCTCCATCATTTTTCAGACCGAGCGATTCTATGACCTGAGCGGCTCTCTGACGTACATCTCATGCGCGGCGCTGTCTCTCTATCTACCCACCATCCGAGCACGCCTCGCTGCCGGTCCGGGAAGCCCAGCGCCCGCATGGCCCAGCCTCCTTCAGAGCCTCACTAGCAAAGGCGGTATCCACGCGTGGAACTGGAGACAAGTCGTCCTCAGCGCCGCAGTGACCATCTGGGCAACGCGACTCGGCAGCTATCTCTTCTCCCGCATCACATCCGACGACGGACGCGACAGCAGGTTCGACAGCATCCGGGCATCTCCACCCAAATTCATTGTGGCATTCTTCGCTCAGGCAACATGGGTTTCGCTGTGCTTGATGCCCGTTCTCGCGATCAACAGTATTCCGGCCACAACGCTCGCTGCTTTGCCGCTCGTCACGATTACTGATATTCTGGGATTGCTGTTGTACGTCGGTGGAATCACCTTTGAGGTCACCGCGGACAAACAGAAGTCACAGTGGATGAAGGAGAAGAAGGAGAAGAAGCATAGTGAGGATTTCCTCACGAGGGGTCTGTGGGGCAAGAGCAGACATCCGAACTACTTGTAAGGCTCATCGAACTCACATTTGGCTAGGCGACTCATGATTTAACCTATGTACGATCTAGCGGCGAGAGCACACTTTGGACTGGCATCGCTACGACCGCGGCTGGTGTAATGCTGAGCAGCGTTGGACAAGCGGGCATGGGCTTCAGTGGCACTGCTGTCAGCAGACTCGGTGCCTTGGCAATGGCTGCTGTGAGCCCAGCATTCGTTACCTTTTTGCTACTCAAGGTCAGTCTGCGAGTCATTCATCACTCTGCGTGCCAAGCTTACCGCAGACTAGGTCTCTGGAATTCCATTGAGCGAGAACAAGTACGACAAGCGCTATGGCGACAGGAAGGATTACCAGCAGTGGAAGAAGAACACGCCAATGTTCTTTCCCAAATTCTAGAATTGCGGATGCAACCAAAATACTAGTCCAGCTAATCTTGCCATTTCCCACAACGGGCACTCCTATTCTCGGATCACTCGAGACATCATAGTGCCCAAGATGAAGACGCCATCTCTTATTATACAACCTCTCCCGAATAATAACGAATTTCCGAAACCCCATCCCGTTCACTCCGCTCATGTGCTTTCATCACACCGCTCTTACTCGCTCGCATTCCCAACCGCTAAAGAGGTATAACATACCTTACCCTTCCACAATTCTTCTTCTTCTTCGCTGCGCGCAACACGGTTTAGAAATCCTGACATCGGCCCAGTACTTTTCAGGATGTCCCGGTCCGAAAGCCCCTTTCTACACATGATGAGGAGATGATGAGCCACGCTTGTGCATCCTGGGACAGCTTTCGCGAGAGATGTTTCCGGAGTCGTAGGTTGTTGCGCGGCGAAGAAGGACGCCTTTGTTTTATGGCTGGTTGAGTGGAGTTTTTCTGAGTTGGATTGGGGTAGAAGCTATTTGGTTGATGAGGAGGAGATTATGATCCAGAGAGGGGCGTTGAGGGTGGCGAAGCCGAGTTTTCCGGATGCTCCGACTATTGCTAGCCTGATGATTTCGTTGTTGGTTGAGTTTGTCGATTTGAGTAGAAGTGAGACGTTGGAGAATGCGAGATTCCAAACAGCATAATCATGGTGCCATGCCTCCCCCTGCTTCGTAATGTACGTCAAAGGAGAAAGGAGGATGTTACTACTACTAGTGAGTTCTGAGGTACAGCGTCTTTCCACGGTGGACCGTGATTGTCTCCCCGAGAAATCTAGCAAAGGACAGGCAACGACGAGCTGCATAGCGCGAGATTACTTTTTTGTGCGCAGACGCTGGACTCACGGATTAGAAAACGCTCCAGAAGACGAACAACTATCTCGATCTCTCCCACTTCTTCTTTCCGTAAAGCTGATTGAACGTTCACTGGTGCTAACTTTCGCGTCAGGCAAAGCGTCATGTATCTGGGGGACAAGCATTAGTAGAATCGCCACATGTAGGGCTTGCTGGCCATGGCCGTTCTTGAGACGGAAAATTTGCTTGGTGATTGAGCAGAGGCCAGACATGATGGAAGTGGTTGGATCCCATAGCACATTCAAGAGCTTTACGGGCGTGCGAGTCCCGCATGTAGATGCTGTAACCACGGTTGACCGCATACTTGACAATGGCATCGAAGCATGTGCTGGTCCTTTCTCTTGCAGCTTGATGAAGCACGTTGTCACAGCCCTCCCCAAATTGCGCCAAAAGAAGCATTTTCTTCGCTGTTGACAAAGAGTTCTGTTCGACCGCCGTCGGAATCTCGGAGCATTGCGCCGCTATACGGTGTGTAGGGCACGCGAGTGTAAAAGTGAAGTCTTCGTTTGTCGTGTTTTGCTGGTTGTACTCCAGATCTCCGAATGCAGCTTGGGTTTGCAGAGTGAAATTGGCGGCAATTGAAGCAGATTCTGTGAGAGCAGCCCTTTCTGTTTGCGCCGATGTCGATATGTACTAGGACTTTTTGTGGTAGGCATCTCCGGGCTGGACTTCTCAACTTCCGCTTCGAACGATTTTTGCGTGGTGTTTCACATGTCTTTGGTTGATTGGAATGATCTTCTACTGTAAGTCGTTAGCACTGGACAGATAGCTATGACCTCTGATCTCGAAATTCCAAGGGCGCCCTGAAAGTATATCTCGAATTCCATGTATCGGTCCTTCTTCGCCGTACAGCAATGTGCATGCGATTTGTCGCACTGTTTGCTAATCCTTACGCTTGCGAGACATTTGGCCTTGGCTTTCAAAGGAGGAAGTCTGAGGAATTTGACGAAACAGAGCGTCTTTTGATAGAGTGACGCAAGAACAAGGACCATTCGGTGTGCCCAACATGTCGGGCCCCGGCAAGGCTCCTCACCGTAGTGTCACTCGCTCGTGCTGCGGAACAGGTACCCGGCAGCGGACGAACGCCCGATGCTCGTTGCGCGGCTCTCATTTGACGTTCTGACACGCTTCGTTATCTTGGGCACGCGGCGACGCACACAGATGCAATGCAGGATGCCGGCTATCCTCTGCCGACCCGCGTGCTATCCATAGCCTTGGGATGATGCCGGGTCCGCCTCACTGGCGCACGGCAGACGGGGAGGTTCCCCGAGGGTCAGATTTTGGCATGGCAGAATGCAGCAGTAGATTGCTTCCATATCTTTACACAGTGCAAACATGCCAGGCAAGTTTAACGCACAGCGCCAGGGGTGCAAATGCACAGCGGGTCGTCGAAGACAGACGCACTGTGTTCGTACTCGGTGTACATGTCCCAAACCTTGCCAGGCTTTGCCAGGCATCAGTGATGCACACGAGCGCGACGTGTTTCTCGACTCATTGATTCTTCCTACTGCTCCTCATTTCCGAAGTTGCGCTGCGCAACGCGCTGAACGATTTGGCCACAAGCTGTTGCGTGTCTTAGCCATGCAGATCGTCTTTAGGTGCAATCACAGTATGAAGTGCAATCATACCTCTCACTTCTCAGCACATCTGACTGTCCATGCTGTGCGCCGGCAGCCATGCAGTCGCAAGTTGTGTTGCCATGAGGGAGAATTTGCATCGGCGGTGAGGGCTAATTCCATTTGTTTGCAGGCTCATCGGAAGCCGCGAAGTGTACCTTTATCGGTATGTTTGCGCAATGGAGTCCCAGATAGGGCGCACTGAGCCACTACACGAAAATTCCCGGGGTGGAGGGGAATGAGGTATGCAATGTTACGACTGCAACATGGCCATCCGTGCAGGAATTGCACGACTTCGGTTTGTGGGTGCGAACAACAGAAGGATCGGGGGAAGCTCCTCAAAGTATGCCGAGTCCTCACTACCAACCTCAGGCTGATCTTTTGAGGCATCCATGTAGGGGAGCCATTGCCCATCCTCATTGCCTATCCTCACTTCCAACTCTTACTTCGCGGAACCCTCGGCGGTCCACTCGCTCGCGCAATGCCGCAGACTACACTCAGGTCTGATGCCAGCCCGCTGTCTGTGATCCATGCTCATTAGATGCAGTACTCAAGCCGACCGTGGCTGCTTGACCCATTCGTACCATGCCGAATCATCAAGTGGAGGCGCGGAGCCGATCCACCAACAGCAGACATTCCCCGATCTTGAATCACGCATCCAGACATGGATTCTCCAGACCGGAAACCCAGAAGCTCGAACGGTCGCAGAACACACCTGGGTGCACCTGGTCACTCGAGACCAACTTGCCGCGGACATTGAGGCAATCTTGCAATCATTTCAGGCCGAGTCTTCCGGGAAGACCGAATAGGCGCGTCATTGCCCGTTTCGCTGCGCATGTCGAAGCCGTAAGGTAGTCTGAGAATTGAATGTTGAACCTCCGGCACTGACGATTTTGTGAGCAGGGTGAAGAAATTGGAAATGCTCGCACGCCATATGGCTCACGTGGCCGCTCGATGCTCAATGTCAAAGCAGGGGTGAAGGTTCTGTAAATGTATGTTTCTTGATCGAGGTTAGAAGGATTGCTACGTCGACTTGGACTTTCCAATGCGCTGCGATATAACCTTGACCATACTCCTCAGTCCACTCTGTCGTTCTTCCTGTCGATTGCACAAGAACAATTTCACAACTGGCCATGCGTGTATCCATCCTGGTTCCTCGTGTTCGCTGACGAGACAGTCAACTTTCTTCAATCGAGTGATTAGGTCCTTCGCTTCCGGAGCGAAGACCTCTTCGGCGCCGTAGATGAAGTACCACCCTTGGCTAGGGGACGCTCTGCGCCACCAGCTGAGGTCGTCACACCGCCCAGGAGACACCAGTGGATTGTCCGAAGAGGCATCTTTGCCGACGTATTGTGATCCATAAAGCCGAAGACTTTCGGCGTTGAGATAGTCCGAAGTGGTGTCTTGGTTCTTTGATGAGATGATCGTCGACCACGGCGAGATGATGACAGCAAGACCTGGCATTTTGTCTTTGATCGAGGAGTATCCCGAGATGAACAGCATCAAGCTCAATATCAGCGTCGCGCCTGCGGAATCTCCGCTAACGACTATCCGCGACGGGTCGTTGATCATTGAGAGTACGTATTTATATCCGGCAAATGCTTCTTGTATCTGAGTTGGGTAGGTAGCCTCCGGAACCAGACTATATTCGAGAGCAAAAAGAGCCGGATTTTCATAGCCAGCCTGCTTCAACAGTGTCAACCAGGCCATGAGAAATTCCAAGTAGAAGTATGATGACCCCATGGAAAAGCCGCCGCCTAAGACAGTCAGCAAATAGCTATATCGACCGGGCTGTCAGCTTACCGTGGCAGTAATAGAGCACGATGTCTGGTCTTCGAGATGCATCCATGACGGCATAAAGGCCCTTGGCGCCCTCCTGCGCTCCGTCAGCGTCGAAGACACAGCAGTTGCAAAGACGGGACGAGGCGGACCCAATCGACTTCACGCCAATATATCGGACTCTTCCACATCCCGTGTCGCAGCATGCGGAACTTCATAAAGGGCAAGGCCACCCATTTCGAGAAGAAGACCTTGCCAATGCTCGCCGGAATGTCAGCGAATGCGTATCGGACGCATCGGATCACTAGATCCTGAAACAGAGTGGCTCGCTGGACAAATGGCGATTGCTGGGTTTTGGGGGTGAAATAGCGCTCGGTTATCAGCTGAGCTGGCATCTTGAACGCTGTGCGCAATGTCAATCGATCGAGTCTACCACGCCTTCGCTGCTCTTACGAACCCAGGAACGGCAATGCCTTGACGCCACATATTGCCGTCGTGAAGAAGCCGACATGAACGATGAGCTGTGGGGCAAGGAAGAAGAGAAAGACGAAGCAATCAGACCAAGATATCTGTCCTAAGATCATGCTTGCGGCGACGACCACACAACAAGGAGGGAGATGATGGCGCCGACAATGGGATGAAGTCCATGGAACGAAGTCCAAGAAAGCTTAATCCACCCAAGCGGGAAGTCCGTGCCCAGGAGTTGACGTAGTCCATCCGGCTTGGGTACGTACCTAAGAGCCGTTGAGGGGCATTGCCGTATGATCCTGATGTCATGAAGTGAAGGAAGGATCATCCGAGTTATGGTGATATGGCTTTCTCAACATAGCTTGGGTTGTGAAAGGGGGCATGTGTGAGATGGTAGTGAATGGTAGATATGTGAGATGCCCATTTCTCGGCAGATGTTCGGGTATCGGCATCGTACTCGGAAACCTCCGCGGTAATTAGAGTTTGAGGATAGACGACCACGCGACTCTCCTCCGACTACTTTGATCTTTGCTTTTCATCTTGGCTTGCGACAACCACAAACCGATCACACCGCAATACCAGACAACTCCGCCATTCCCGCGCGGTATTCGATACAGCAGTCTCCTCCATCGTCACGCGCTACCGCCCCACTTCGATGAGCGCGAGCGACTCCGCTACCTCCGCATAAGCTGCGGCGCCCTCCACGGGAGCTTGAGCTGCGACTTCCACCCACCTAGCCAATATCCCCCTCCGCTCGGCTCGTGATTTCGTCGACAGGAGGCAGCAACATGGCAATGAATCCGCTCGACGAGCATTCAATGGAGCTCGCACGGTGAGCTCATACCCAGGATAGGAGTATCTCTTGAGACATCGTTTCGCTAATCGCTCTTTCTAGCTCCATGGAGGTCCAGAACATACCCGAGAAACTGCGCTGCGTCGCATGTGACAAGCTCGCTGCCAATCCCCGAAAACTGCCTTGCTGCGACAACACCATATGCGGCGACTGTAAGTACCCCAGCATTCGCTTGGCCGAGGAAACGAGCGCTGACCGCGGTGAAGGTTACGAAAATTTGGAGACCGAGGAATGCCCCGTTTGCTCGCACTCGCCCTTCGACAAAGACACTTGCTCGCAAGCCAAATCGCTCCAGACGACGATCAAGGTCTTTCTCAAGAACGAGGCTAAGAAGAGAGGCATTGATCTCAAGACCGGTCAGAAGATTGCCGCCAAAGCTCCAACTCCAGCGCCGGCAGCAGAAACACCAGCACCAGCGGCGTCTGAAGATAAACCGTTCGCAACGGGGGAGTTCGAGGCTACTCCTGTAGCTAATGGAGAAAACGAAGTTGTCGGGGCGCCCTCACAAGATCAGGTTCTGCCTGCTGAGGGCGGAGCGGTACCTGGTAGCGAAGTAAGGGTGGACGCCCAGCACAACGAAATTTTAAGCTTGCTGACAAGTCTTCAGACGCAGTACGGAGCTCCACAGACGAATGATGGCGCCGAGAATGAGACTGGTGACCAGGATCAGGACCAGGATCAGGATGACGATGAGGAAGAGGATGATGACGATGTGATAATCACTACTGAGCGACCAGAGAACGAGGAAAAGCAACATGAGCAGCAAAGCGGAAATGAAGAGCAGCAAAACGGACAGTCGTACACTGAAGGCCAAGAGTCCCAGCAGAACATGCAAATGGATCCACAGCAAAACTTTCAATTTGAACAGAACATGGGCGGCTTCAATAACGGATCCTTCGGTAACATGGGCATGGGCATGAACGGATTCAACCCAATGATGGGGATGAATCCAATGATGATGGCCAACATGATGGGTGAGTACCTCAACCCCAACAACCCTTCCAGACTGAGAAACATCTCAGGCATGCCCGGCATGGACCCTTCGATGATGTTCGGCGGTATGGGCGATATGGGCATGATGGGAATGGGCATGGGCAGCAGCATGGGCAGCATGGCAGGAATGGGCGACTTCGGTGGCATGAGTGGTCCTTCAAGTTTCTTGAATCAAGGAAACTATATGCAATCAAATTACGGAAACCACCGCCAAAACAACTTTTTCAATGATCGCGGTTACGGTCGTGGATACGGCCGCGGCGGCTTTGGTAGAGGCGCCCGAGGTCAGTATGGTCGCGGCCGCGGCGGTGGCGGCTGGGGATACCAGCAGCAGCAGCAGCAGCAGCACCCGCAGCAATATGGCCAGAACCAGCAATTTGGACACAACCAGTTTGGTGGTCCACAGCAGAGCGGTGCCAACGCGCAGGAAGTCCCGAATCGTCGCCGCGCTTCAGCTGTACACGAGGGTGGACAGGCAGGCAGTACCGCAGCTGGAGAGCGACCCAAGACTGCGGACGCTAATGCCGACCAGGACACGGCCTTCGATACTAATCGCGCAGAGGATACTAATGTCACAGGCTCAAGCACGGACCAGCAGAGCGGAGATGCCGAGATGCCGAATCGGGATGCTCAAGGTAAGTCAAGTTCCTCCTCTTTGCTCCTGCTGTTTCGATACTAAGTCACTTCTAAGATGCAGACCTCGGCCTTGACGAACAGAACGCTGCTGGTGACGGCGTCAACGGAGACGGCAGCATGTTGCAAGAGACAGGCGATACCTCTACACTGCAAGCTGCAGGTAATGGCGAATTCGACGACGGCATGCACGCCTACGGTGGCTACGGCAATCAAATGGGTGGACAAGGAGGCTTCAAGAGTCGTGAAGGCTTCCATGGCTTTGGTGGCAGAGGCCAAGACATGACCGATCTCACTCCTACGGCAGCCCCACCCGTCAACGCCCCGACCGGACCCAAAGCCATGCGACAGGGATTGCCAAACACTGGCTGGGCCAGTCGTGCATTTGCAGCGCCTCAGAAGCCTACTCCAACGCCAGCTCCAGAGGCGAGCGAGAATATGGAGTCCGATGCACGTGACGATGAAGACATGAGGGACACAGACCAGCAGTTCGACGATAGAGGCCGCTCTGAGGACCGCTCAAACTCTCGGCATCGCAACAGCAAAGATCGCGGTGAGCGTTCTGGACGAGATGACGGTTACGAGTCGGACGAGACGTATGCTCGTCGCAAGGAGCGCGAGCGACGCAAGCGCAAGGACCGTGAGGACCGCTATGAGGATGAGCGCGACGCAGACCGCGCGAGCAAGAAGTACCGCTCTCGCTCTGAGTCGCGCACCGATGAAGGCTCTCGGCGCCGCCACCGCGATCGCGATGACGAGTACCGATCTTCGCGTTCCCACCGCGATGGTGATCGTAAGGATAAGGACAAAGACCGACATCGCCGCCGTCATCGATCCCGCTCGCCTGGTAAGGAAGACAGCCACGATGACCACTCGCGCCGCAAGAGCAAGCGAGACCACGATCGTGGCGCGGAATACGACGACCACAAAGACAGCCGGAGCCGTCGTAAGCATTCCCGGCGTGATGAGGATGAATACGACATGGAAGACAGCAAGAAAGACCGCTCGCATCGCTCATCCAAATATGACCGCAACGGAAAGTCTCGCTCTCACCGCGATTCCGAGCGCGAGCGCGAGCGTCCTCAGTCCGCCGTCATCCAGCCACCAGACGACGAACTCGGCTTCAAGATCAAAGGCTCCCGGTCGGCCAAGGCAGGCAAGGAGAATGGCTCGATGGGGCCACCCTCGTCGCGCCACGATCGCCGCGGAAGTGGCCTCAACTCCGTCGCGGTCGCCACACCCCCCAGCACCGATCCGTACGCCGAAGAGCGAGCGCGCGCGCAACAGGATCGCGAGGCGAGGGAAGCGCAGCGGCGCATGTCCTCCACGCAGACTTCCTCCTCCGCGTCGTCGTCACTGGGGAAGCGCGCTCGTGCCGCCGAGGAGGAAGAGGTCATCGATGCGCCGCGTGGCCCCAAGAATGATCGGAACCGGAGCCTGAAGAAGGGCAAGAAGGAGAGACGGATTTCGTACAAGTATGAGGATGAGGTGGAGATGCGTTGAGAGGAGGCCTGGGCGGGCGTGGTGGATGGCATGTGTCGAGGTGTGTTGATTAAGTGTTGTTGAAGGGGAGAGAACATGGTGGTGAGGTGCTTTTTGTTTGAAAATGAGCGAGCGAGCGAGCGCGCGCGCGCGCGGACAGACGGACAGACGGGCTTCTCTGTGAGGTCTCGTCGAGGGAAGAAGGTGCGATGCAGGCAGGGGGGTTAAGGGGCAAGGGGGCAAGCTCTCATCAGCTGATTCTTGGCACCAACAATGAATGCATGGTCGCCCATTTTCATGGGCGGCTGCATGCATGGCTTCCCTCGCAAAAGGGGACCTACAACACTCTGCCTCCTTTTTGTTTTTTTGGGGGGGGGGGTTTTTCCTCTTTTTTTTTTTTTTTTCTCTCGCTTCATCTCGAATCCGCGCCCCAAACGGGCTTAGCTAGGCTATGACATGCTGAGGAGAGAGAGAGAGAGATTTCGTAGACTGTACAATAACCCAATCGAAGAGATACAATTTACGCAACAAAAACAAAAAAAATTTGGACCTTGGCAAACATTCCTTTTGTATCGTCATGTGCCAAAAAATTTTTTTTTTTCTTCTTCAATATTTCTGCTACTATCTATCTATCTATCTATCTATCTATCTATCGTAGGTAGTTCTGGCCCCCGAGATGATATCTTATCTTGTACCAACAACAGCGCCTTGCTTCAACCATTTCGAAAGAGAGAGAGAGAGAGAGAGAGAGAGAGAGAGAGAGAGAGAGAGAGAGAGAGAGAGAGCAGGTAGATCTGTCTGTGCTTTGACGGACCCAACCCACGGGGTATCATATCATATCATAGCAACCAAAAAAAAAAAAAAAAAAAAAAGCAGCCAGCGTCTTGCGAGTCTTTTGATTTTTTCCTTCTTGTTCCTTGTTCCCAAAGCTATGATTTCCCCAAGTCCCCAAGTCCGCAAACATCAAATAATCAAGCCCTTCCATTGCGCTCATTCATTCATTCATACATTCATTCATTCATTCACTCACTCACTCACTCCTCCGGACCCAAAGGCTCCTCACTAGCAGCCAAATTACACTGCCGAAAGACCCTCACTTCCTCGGGAAAAAAACTCCCCGTCACGGAATGCAGAACGCCATGGTTATTAAACAGCGCCAGATCGCCCGCTTCCCAATCCACGGCGAACACCAATTCCGGCGCGATCCCGGGGCGTTGCAAGCGGTGGACAATCGCGCGGACCTCTTCCAGATCGTCAATGGTGCTGCCGTCTTGCAGGATCAATTTCTGCACGGCGGACGGGTGGATCTGCAGCGCGAGGCGGCCCGTGACGGGGTTGCGCCAGCACATGGGGAGGGTTTTGATCTTGAGCGCGTCGATGGGCTCCGGGAGTTGGGAGGCGGGGAGTTCGAGGTTCTCCGACAGCAGGCCGAGGCCGTCCGGGCGCGAGCGGGCGCGCGACATCCAGACGTACGGGTGGGCGGCGTATTGGACGCGGGTGGTGCGGACGAAGGCCTGGTCGGCCGGGGAGAGGAGGTCGTAGGTCTTGTAGGAGGAGACGAAGACGGTGCTGCCGCGGGGGAGGGAGAGGGAGTCGTGGGAGTCGTCGTCGTAGCGGAGGGTCTGGGTTGAGGTTTGGGGGACGGAGACGGCCATGAGGGAGGTCACGCGGGGTGGGTTGAGGTCGTAGAGGGCGGCGTCGATGTGCCAGCGGTAGAATCGCGTGGCTTCCCGGTCCTCGGAGTCTGGGATGGGGTCTTTGTGGAAGGTCTTGTGGTGCGGGTGTTTGAGGGTGATGTTCTTGAGGCCCTCGAATTCCGCGACGGGCCCGTTGCCGATGACTTGGACTTGTGGTTGATGTGGGATTGTCTTGAGGTCAGGGTGGAGGATGGATTGCTCCTGCCGTTTTCCATGTCCGTAGGCCTGCACGGAAGGGTCGAAGCGGCGGGTGAGTTCGTATTGCGCTTTGGGGGATAAGTTCTGCTGGGCCTTGAAGAGAATGACTTGGTTCTCGTAGAGAGCACGCCGGATGACTTCAAAGTCAGTCTGGGTGAGGTTCTCGAGATCTGCTCCGCGGATTTCGGCGCCGAAGTCGTAGGCAGCGCCTTGGGGAGGCTGAAGTGGGTGGACGGTGATTTTGCTCTGGATGGCCATTGCTGCTGTACTGTCGATATGATCCGGGTTGATGCTGTGTTATGTTCGAGAGTTCTTGTGGTCTCCATATATGTGCCGTGAGATGCTCGGAGGTGTAGCTGTTGCTTATCTAGCCGCTATTGTCGGAGCTGTCCGATAAGATGGACCTGCGGGTCTGGAACGAACAGAGCAACATTATTTTCTGCAGCTCGTCGCCGCTCTCCGCGTCGCAGGATGGCGAGAAGATGGTGAGCTCATGTCCAGGAGCGAGACCGGCCGACACTCGATGCCTTGGATCAGGAGTCACAACCATTGCAGATGTGGAAGATTGAAATGTTGCCAAAAGCTGTGCCTTAGCGCACATATTGATTTATAGCATTGATTCATAGATATTGCCTGGGTATAAATAATAGAAGCGAAGTCTTATATGCGACGCTGCATGTTTCGCCCGCGTATAATCGCTCATGAGCGTACTTGTGGCTGTTCTCGCGTCACCCGCTCTCTCATGCGTTCCGCGTTCTGTGCCATGAACGACTCTCCGAGAGAGCCCGCGGTAAACGAGCCTTTGTTCGGTCTAGTGTAGGAGGAGCCGTAGATGTCGTTCACCACCGCGTTCTGCTCGGCACTCTGGTAGTTAGCCCCTCGGTAAACGGGGTCGAATGTGGCTGATGGCCGTCGGAAGCCGGGGTTCGTGGGCTGCTGTGATGCTACTGCAGAACCGGGAACGAACTCGACGTGCTCTGCGTGATCGTCCGGCTCGTCCGACTCCTGTATCAAGCCATGATTGGGATCATCAAGCTCGTTGTAAAGAGCAGCAGCGGGGTCACGATGGACTCGTCCTGCCATCTCGTCGCCACTTCCGAACAGATCATCGTCCGCAGCGGGTATTGGTGGTCCGTCGTCCTCGTCCAGGTCGAATAAGTCACCATCGGGGTCCAGTCTGGGCGGTGAGGTGGTTGGAGGGGGTATGCTCTGTACGGCTGGGGAAAGAACTCTCGTTGCTGAAGCCGTACGGATTTGCTCGATTGCTTTGTCGTTGGGAATGGAGCTGGATGCGGGCTCCAAGAGAGGTGGAGGCAGAGAGGCTGGATCTGTTCGCGTTCGTTCCACCGAAAGGGTGAGCGGCGGTTCTGCGCGGTCCGGGGCGGGTGAGCGGGTGCGGGAGTGCGAAGGCGTGCTATTGTTACTGCCCATTTCCAGGGGGACATTATCTGAAGGGGCGACGATAAAATCGCCTACCGCCAGTGAGACGCGTTTCCGTTTGCTTCGCTGGGGATGGGTGGGAGACTTCATGGCGGACATCAGCCTGCCCTCTTGCGAGGAGGCGGAGGAGGAATTCCGCTGGACCAGCTGTAGCTCGGTCGGTCGTCTGAGCTTGGCACCTACGACGGGTTCCGAGTCGGCACGACGGATATCCCGGTCGTCTGGTATGTCTTGCGTTCTGTCGGGAGTGCGCTGGGGAGGTGCGGAGGAAGTTCTCGTTCTCTGCGAGGAAGATGTGTCGGAGGAGGATCTGTCCGAGATGGGATGACGGGCTTTGTCGTCCAAAGCAGGCAGGAAGGCGGGCATGAAGACGCCGACCAACTCCTTGTCCCGCTCGACGCTGGCCCCACGACGTCCCGCGGTCAGGCCAGCGACGGACCTGGTCTCCAGCGTGGGCGGATGGTCATTGGCGCTGGCTTTGGCTTTGGCGTTGGCATTGTCGGTGTCGGTGTCGTTGTCGTTGTCGTTGTCGTCTACCAGCGCCACCGCCACGGCCACGGGCTGTCCGATCTGATCTCGTCGGAGACCTGCAGCCAGCAATGTATCCACCACCGACTGCTGCTGCTGCTGCTGCTGCTTTCCTGCTACATGTATCCGAGACGACTCTCCCCCGTCCGTGTCGTGCCTGCCCGTTTCCGTTTCCGCGGCACCTTCCCTGGGCGGCCTCGCGCCTTCCTTCTCCTGCGCCAGTCGGTACTGCTGTCGCAAGTCGCGCTCCCACGTTTTGTATTCGCGTTCCTTGGCGGCGATGTACTTGTGGATCGACTCGTCCAATTGCTTCCGCTTCTGCTCCAGCTCATCGAGGTACTCCGACGGCAGTCCGGATTCCGCATGGTCGGCGAGGGCGCGGCGGAAGGATGGTCGTCGGGTGGAGCCCTCACGGCCAGGTCTGTCCGCCATCATCGGCCACCGCCTGTGTGCGCCGGTGGAAGCGCCTGGTCAGTGATGTGCAGTCGATGGGCGGCATGGGAGAGGGCGGCGAGGACAGCGAGGTGTCAGATGCTGTACCGAGTCAGAAGCGAAGTAGTGAAGAAGCTCTCTCACCCACCACTCGCTACACTCGCCTCGCCTCGCCTCGCCTCGCCTCGCCCTGTGAGCCTGGTCGCGGCAGAGCGAGTGCCGCGCCCGGCAAATCTCAACCCGGCGACGATCGCTTTCCTTTCCAAGACAGCAGCACAGCTCCCTCCACCGCACACATTACATTATTGTGATGTGCACAACTCTCTCTCCGCTCACCGACCACCGACATGCAACCTCCCCCTCATCATCACATGCCTCTGCCTCCTCTCTCCTCTCAACAAACACAAATCCGTCCCAACTGTCTGACCACTACCACTACCAAGCACAAAGCTGACTCTTCCTCTTGGCATCGCATCGTACCGCCACATCACACATGGCCCTGGAAGCTCCCGTCTTCTACATGCTCCTCTCCTCTCCTCACCGCCCTCGCTCCACATGCCTCTCCATCAGCATCAGCATCAGCATCAGCAGCTCGAGCTTCCGTGAATGAACCTTTCGGCGCAGGTCACGCGGTCATATGCCCAACATGGTCACGGACAGCAGACCAAGTCCATGATTATTAGGGCTACCACCGTCGTGTCTACCTTTCCGTGCTTCCAGGCATCTCTCCTCCTGGAACCTTGTCCCGCCGCGTGGTACCTTCTGTACACGCCAAGGGCCCTTGGTTGTTCACGTAAAGACAATGTGAACTCACGTCTTCCTTGCCGAAGCTTGGAGGCAGGTGGAGGAAACACCAAGATTGGAGTCGCTCCTGCTCTCTCCCCACATTGTAATGTCCAGGCTCTTCGTAGCGGCATCAGTTGTTCAGAAACATTGCGCCCTTCAGCTTGGTCTACCTTCAAGCTTCGATGCTATCACGAGCGCCAGACCCTCGCACTGCGACAACATCGAATGCTGTTGAGTCGAGATTGTCCGTTTCTGGCGCATCGCATCAGACACTCCGCACTACGAATTCCACTTTTCCATCCCACATGGTCGTTTCTCGGGCATCGCCACCCCTATTCGCACTTCGTTAATCTCTAGTCACACTCTCGCGACGTCTTCGATCCCGCAGCTTTCGAAGGCGAGCATAACCTCCACCCTGCCCTACACTTCGACAATGGAGGCTCCACCAGCACCTATAGCAACTTGCTTGGTCGCTTCGTCATCCAACGTTACCTGCCCTGCATCAAATGGTACCCTCTACCTACCGGAAGGAGAATGCGTAGGTACGTACGGAGGGCTTTCATATCATCGACTGTGCCCAGCGCTTCGTCACTGTAACCTCGAAGTCGTACCGGACGTTGCGAATGCAACTGACTCCATCTCACAGTGCCCCAGACGATGATGCTTGTGTTGCAGTAGCATTCTACAACTCCACTCAAACGTATTACCCGAAGAGCTCTGTGGTGTTCGGCCACGACACGGGGCGTTTCGCCGAACGTGCTCCTTGCTTTCAACTTGCGATATGCTTTGAATTCTGGCAGCAGCCCTGCTTCTGACTTGATCCCTGAGGGCTCAAACATCGAGGTCACCACGATAATGCCAACGCCCGTCTCCGCGACGGCAATCCCGGAGCCATCGACTACACCACATCTCTTCTCGCACGCTTGCCCGACCTCTAACAACACGGACCTGACTGCTGATGGAATCGATTGGCTCATCCGACGCGATATTGACTACGGGCCTCTTTCCTTGCTAGCGGTTACTATCGATAAGCGTCAGCATTAAAGTAACGTGCATCGAACTGCCAGGCGGTGGCGAATTGCGTTGCATTCAGTTGGCTCGGAGGACAGTGTAACCTGTTTGACACTTTCCAGGACAACACCGCTCACTTGGACGGAGCTGTGTCCGCTCGGAGAGCATCTGGGGGCATTGCCCGTTTCACGAGGCTGATATGAATGCTGCAAAGGGAGAATGTGCCAAGCTCTTAGGCTATCGACCGCATCTCAAAGAGTCTCCTGGCTGTCTGGTCACGCGTCGTCATATCTTCGAGCAAAGATCTATTCGACTTCGCCGCAGATATCTCTCTCTCAGGATCTTGACCCATCTGGGAGCTCACAGAAGTGCAAACTCGCTGTATATTGACGCAGACAAAATGCGATGTATTCTTAGCGTGGCGATCCGTCATGAGTTTGTGCTAGCCACGGCCAATCCAACAAGAGGCTCTTTGGATAGTATCTGTGAACGTCACGGCCTGGAGTCATTGAACATCACGTTGTCCCTTCCTCACTGGAGGCGGGAGGTCATGTGATGGCCGCAATAGACACGGTGGCGACGCAATCGTGAATATTGCTTCACGATGGTTTAGAAGGGCAATCGATGGCGATCAAGCACTTCTTCAAGATCCTCAAATTGTTTTGTTCAGGCCACACTATCAAGAAGTCCACTTCCTGGCACGACACGAACGCCGTCGGCCTCAAAATCGAAATACCCCAAGCTCAACTCGTTAAGCCTCTCAGGATGATTGTCAGGATGATTGAGGATCTGGTTGCTCGCGATGTGCCCAGCCGCACTCCAGCCTTCATTGCCGTAACGACCGTCCTTTTCCTCGTCACGACTGCTTTCTTCGCCGCGCGCATCATATGGCGCCATTCGCATCAGATCCAGCGAGGCTGGGACGATGCTTTCGCCATGGCGGCCTACATCAACCTCATTATCCTCAGTGCTTTTGGCTACCGGGCCGCACAACTCGGGTTCGGTAAGCACATGGATGATATCCCCCATACCCGTGCCCACGCGCTGTACTGGTTCTGGCTCTATCAGATCTTCTACAAGATCCTCGGCGGTCTGACGAAGTTGACGTTCTGCGCTCTGTACCATCGCATCTTCGAACGTCAGGATTATCGAAAGATTGTCTGGATTGTCAGCGGCATCATCGTGGCCGGTACGGTCGCCTTCACTTTTGCGACCATGTTCCAGTGTATCCCGATCGCCTACAATTGGAACAAGACCATTCCGGGAGGACATTGTATTGTGTTTATGGGATTCTGGTACACGCACGCGGTCTTCAACACGGCGTTGGACGTCGCCGTCTTCGTCCTGCCGCTACCGCTGATCCGCACGCTGCAGATGGCCAAGAGAACCAAAATCGGGCTCGCGAGTGTCTTCGCGCTGGGTGCGTTTACTATTGCCGCGAGTATCGTGCGAATGGTGGAGCTCCACTCGAGCGCGCAGGCCATCGCTCACGACCCGACATGGGGCTCGATGCCAGCACTCATCTGGACGGAAATCGAAGCCAACACGGCCGTAATCTGCTGCACGCTTCCCGCACTCCGCCAACTCGCCGTGCGCACCTGGCGAACCCTCCGAGGCAAGAAAGGACCGGAGACGCCTTTCAACTCCCAACACTCCCCATCTCGTCCAGGGGGGGCATCGCAGGACCCTTTTGCAGACACTTCCCACACGGATCCTCCGTATTCTTCATGGAACCACAACACCGCAGACAGACCAAATCCCCTCCGAGTCCCCGACCCCCAGCGCTTCGGCACCTTCTCCGAAGCCCACTTCTCCCCCTCCAACCAGGCAAACTACGAAACCATCCACCTCGACACCCTCTCCCCCACCCAAGCCCCTACTCGCCCCGAACCCCTCCGAAGACCGGGCTTCCTCGAAAAACTCCTCCCGCTCAAGACCTTCCCGCAGAACAGTCGCAGGACGGAAGATCTGAGCGCGGCAGAGGAGGCCCGTGGTGGTTCTCGAACCGGCCTCAAGAAGCCGCTGCAGCAAACTCCGATTGCTGCGTCTGCGTTTGGACGAAGGCGGGAGTTCTTTGTGGGTTCGGTTCCTGGTATGCAGCCGCGAGATGCTCAGGTTGATGATGATGGAGGGGAGGGCGCGAGGGGGTTGACGTTGGAGGAGATGTTGCGCGAGGGATCGTGGGGGAAGGGATCTTCGGATGGGATGAGTAGTCATTCTTAGGAGGGGTGAGGGTTTGATTTTGATTTGATAGAAAGGGAGATAAGAGACTCATTGGCTTGCTTTCTTTTTTCAACTTTCGTATGTCGGAGATGGGGGAGAAGTACTGCTTACCTATTCGCGATACTAGATTCCAGAGAGGTTGTGGGGACGGAGTCACTGTACTTGCTGTTGCCATTTCTCCGCTAGATGATTTATTCGGTTGTTTGGGGGTCACTTGGTCCTTCCCAATCCACGAACGACTTGGATATCCTCATCATGAGCAACGCCCATGGCTTTCATCTGGGCTTTCGGCGTGAGGTTGTGTATTCGTTGCCTGCAAACCAAGAAGCATTGTCAGGTCCCCATCGTCTTGGCTCTGGGCGGGATAGAAGAAGAAGGGCAATGTACGGTACGTACCGATAGCAACGTGCCTCGACACGATCGGGCGAACAACACTATCATGAGACACCTCCTGGTCAAGCTCGTTGTGGTGCGATTTGTCCATCGGTCTCTGCTACGGATATGTTTCGATCGGGGCATGCTAACAATCGGCCGAATTTCAGAGGCTCTTGACCATGGGAATGAGCTCAATTCGACCTAGTGGGTTTCTGCAAGGTAGAGTACAAGGTGATTCAGGCAGCTTCATTACGTCACTGTGGGCGTTGAAGAACCTCATGTTGCTTCACGTGAGGAGCCATTAGGCTCGTCTAAGAGAGCCAAAAGGCCATCCCGCTCCGCAAAGGCATGTCGTCAACGCACAATCCCGGAGCAACGTCGTCGTTTGCAAAAATGCTGAGTAGGAAGCTCCTCAGAACCCTGTGGTTTCAGTCGGGACTGCGTTAGTATTTGAGCAAGCTGATAAAGAGACGAGGGTAATCAAGAATCCATGACCCTGGTTCCAGACGTCAACTTGATTCTCACTACGGTACAGAAACGCTAACACGCTTTCTGCGAACCGAGGGTACGAGCTTCTATCTGCTCGGCGTACTTTAGTCCAGCCGTCATGCTGCGAAAATTGACGTGAAACGCCTGAACTCCTGGCTAAATGGCGACCAAGTCACAGGATTGCAAGATCTCACGTGACCTTGACATAAGCTAGATCATCGTCAGTTGAATGCATTTTATGTGAGAAGGAGTGGCTTACCCGCATCGATTTTGTTGACCTGCGGTAGAGCCAGCCGCACCTTATTGCGGTAAAGCACGGGGTTCTGCCGCTGGACCGGGTTGCCCTCAAAATAGACCTCACCCAAGTTCTCCTTGTCCTTCAACACACGCTCTATCTCCTGGAAGCTCTCGATCTGGCAGTTAGATGCCCAAACGTCCTGCAGATCCTTCAGCCCCTCCAGTCCAGCCAGCGAGGAGATTGGATTTGTCTGGAAGTCCAAGGTCTCGAGTTTCGTGTTGCGGCGTAGAGGCTCCAACGAGGTGATCTTGTTATCGCTGACATAGAGCTCTGTGATGTGCGGTATGGACTCGATGCCGTCGAGAGACGTGAGACGATTGGCTTGTATGCTCAGTGTGCGTAAGTTGCCGAGAGTGTGCAGACCCTTGAGTTGTGTGATCTTGTTCTGGCCGAGCCACAAGTTCTCCAGCTTCGTCAGAGTCTCTAGGCCCTCGATGTCTCGTATTCTGTTGGCGCCAAGCTCAAGATAGACCAGATTTGTCAAGTCTTGTAGCCCCTCGATCTTGGATATACGGTTCTGCACGAGGTAGAGATGGTGCAGCTCCTTCAGAGTAGATAGGCGCTTGATGTGCTTCAGCTTATTGTAGCTCAGATCTAAGCTCTGTAGTCGGGTGTAATCCTCCAAACCCTCGATGTGCTTGATGAGGTTGTCGTATAGCTCGAGATCTTCCAGGGTCGAGGTACAGGTTTCGGGGAGAGTGATGCGCTGGATCTGGTTCTGTCTCAGGCATATTCGTCTCAGTCGCTTGAATCGTTCGAGGCGGAGAGCGGGGATTGAGGTGATCTTGGAGTGTAGCAGCTCGATCTCCTGGTGTCACCTGTCAGCAAAGGAGAGGTATGGAGGGCCCAGAGTGAAAGGTACGTCTACGTCTGGGTCTTCTCCGTCCAGTAGGTCCTCGTCGGCATCTATCTGCTCCACGGGCGGAGCATCTTCATCGGAGTACTCTGGATCGCTGAGGGCCTCTGGATTGGCGAGCGTGGCGTGTTTGTTGACCCTCAGCTTGCCATCCCATCCCGACTTGCTCCGAGGGGGTGTTGAGTGGGAGGCGGTGCCGTTTGTGTGGCCATTCTGGAGGGGTGTGCCGTCGGTGTCAGGCATGTCGTATGTGAACGGTGTGTGTACTTGGCAGTGAACAGGTTGAGCTTGCCATGTCACGGGAGGTTGGTCGCGTGCATGAACCCTGGAAGTGGAGTGGAGTGCAGTGCAGACTCGGGAGCAGGCAGAGTGGAGGTCTGTGGTCGGGTGCGGATGAGAGATGAGGGGAGCAGAGTTGCCTGGAACAATGAAGCACCGACTCCGGTCAAGTGGGGCAGGATGACGGCAGGGAAGGTGCATTCACCTCACGTCGTGTCTTGGGACTGCGCTGTAAGTCGCATTATTGATTAAACCGTAGGCACCGGCAGGCCGTGATCTATGTGCGATGACAGCGATGAACCCGGTCATGCGTGCGGTTCGCCCTCCACTCTACTCCCGACGCGGCAACGCGGCCTTCTCATCCGACTCATCATCGGCGAAAGCGCAACAGCACAGCGCACCGTGAAACTCTCCTGTCTCATGGCGTCAGAGCGAGCACCTGGTTTGGCTGGAGGATGCAGCGACGAGAGGCGTGATGAGAGGAAGAGGTAATGGAAGAATAAGGTATGTGGTAATGCAAGACATGTCCTCCTTCCGGATCATGTGCTGTGCCTGGCGCCTTCCTCATCCGGCGTAGATGGCGATACACTGCCGATATCGATATCGCACCTCCATCTTCCACGAACAAACTTCTTGCCCCGTGTCCATGCCCATGCTGCATCCTCCTCCACACCCCTCGCGACTCGCGCATCCCCATCACATGACCCCGTCGCCCTTCATCATCAGTCTTCTTCTATAACCATCCCGTCCTTCGTTGCTCTCTCCACCCATTCACTTGCCGCTCTCTTGCCAAGCATCGTCTCCCCGCCATGGCGTTTCTAAAAAGCTTGCTTGTCGCCTTGGCCTCGGCCTCCGCAGTCCACGCCGGCGCAGCCGCCCGAATGGCCGCCCTCAAGCAGCGAGGTATCAACGTCGATGCCGCTCTCTCCAAACGAGCAACGCAGCCCTCGCGACCAAATCCAAATGCCTACTTGAACAGCAAGACCCGCCCCTACATGGTCAACGGCTCCTCCCTCCCCGACATCAACTTCGACATCGGCGAGAGCTACAGCGGCCTGCTGCCCATCGACAATACCAAGGAGCTCTTCTTCTGGTTCGTGCCTTCCACCAACCCCGCAGCCAAGAACGAGATCACCATCTGGCTCAACGGTAGGATGAACGCAACAAACACATCGCTGAAACACTGCTAATCACCTGCAGGTGGCCCGGGTTGTTCTTCCTTGGATGGCTTCTTACATGAGAACGGCCCGGTCATCTGGCAGGCTGGCACCTATCTTCCAGTGCCAAATACATGGGCCTGGAACAACTTGACCAACATGGTCTTCATCGACCAGCCCGTCGGCACCGGCTATTCTCAAGGCACCCCAAACGCAACCAGCGAGATCGACGTCGCCGATCAATTCTTGCCCTTCTGGAGGAACTTCATGGACTTGTTCGATCTCCATGGACGCGAAGTCTATGTCACTGGCGAGTCGTACGCCGGCCAGTACTGTCCATACATCACAGCAGCCAGTGAGTCGTCAACCTCCCCAGTCTACGGTCTATATATCTAACCTTCTGTAGTGCTGGACAAGAACGACACAAAGTATTTCAACGTCAATGGCATGATGATCTATGACCCAAGCATCCAATACAATCTCGCATCACAAGTTGCCACCATTCCTTTCATTGATTCCCACAGGCCCGATTTCCCATTCAATGACACTTTCGACGCCTACATGCACGACAAGAGTAAATCCTGCGGCTACGACACCTACATCAGCAACGCGCTCCAATTCCCGCCAAACGGCCATTTCAGCAACGATATTCCAGGCTACAACAGATCTATTGGAGACGCTCCTACACTCGATTGCGATGTCTTTGACGAAGTCTTTACCGAAATCTTCAACATCAACCCCTGCTTCGATATCTATCAGGTCGGCCAGCTGTGTCCGCACCTATGGGATGTCCTCGGATTCCCTGACAGCACCTTCTACTTCCCTGTTGGCTTTACGCAACCCTACTTCAACCGCACCGATGTCAAGAAGGTATGACCCATGTGGCGAGAAAGCCTGCATTTCCAGACTCAGCTGACATGGAGTGCTTAGCTGCTCCACGTCCCGCAAAGCTCCAACTGGACGATCTGCACGGACACGAATGTCTTTCTGAATGGCACCGACAAGTCGCCTCCATCTGGAATCAACGGTGGGCCTCTGCAGAAGGTCATTGAGAGAACGAACAACGTGGTCGTAGGCCACGGTGCTCTGGACATGGTTCTCATCGCCAACGGTACCCTCCTCACGCTGAACAACCTGACCTGGAACGGAAAACAAGGATTCAGCAAGCCTCCTACCGATCCCTTCTACGTTCCCTATCACAATGATCCAGTCGCGGGCAGCGTTGCTGGCGCGGGTGTCTTCGGAGGCTACGTCAGCGAGCGAGGTCTCACATTCGTGGCCGTTGTGCTGAGTGGACATGAGATACCAGAGTACCAACCCTCCGCTGCTTACAGACACCTGGAATTCCTCCTCGGACGCGTGAAAAGTCTGGACGAAGTCAGTCCGTTCACGACAATGCCGGGCGTGATGCAGTCAAATCATACACTTGGAAAGGGCACATGGTGGCCTACTGAGCATTAAAGGATCTCAGCGAAGAGACGGGGAAATGAAATCTTGGGCAATGCGGAACGCATCAACGACAGAGAACGTAGCAGGCATGATGGCTTCCACTACATAAAGAGAAAAAACAAACATCTTCCACTCACCAATACCACCATGGACGAACTCAATCCTTTCGCACTGGTGGAGTCCATGGTCTCATCACATGCTCAACACACATTCCCACCCTCGCAAATGTGTCGCTTCCAAGACTTCCGGTTTCGGCTCTCATCAGGTCTGCAAGTCAATGATACCGCGTGCCTTGAATCGACGACATATCCCGAAGTACCACGAGGAGTTCCTCTTTAGTGCAAAACCTTATAGTTCCTCCCCGTAGGGTTTCCGGGTAATAAGAGAAGAGAAGTAAGTTTTCCCTCGGGTACATATATATTCTTCACCCCCCCCCCCTCTAAATCGCTACGGCGGTTTCACGAACGCAGATCGAAATCCACCTCTGTGCTGCTGCTGCTGCTACTAGTAGACGAATTGATAATAATGAGTCTTGCGAGAATAATGTCTGTTAAGAAGGGGTGGGTGGTGCTTCTCGCCAGCTCTCTGACAAGAAAACAATAATAAAGACTCTCGGCGCATTTTTACCATCATCAATAATAAGAAATCCAATAAACTTTTCTCGAGGATTCCCCCCAAAGATCTGGTACGGGAATCTTGCGCCACGTGATGGCCGGGGGAACGACCGTCCCTCCCTCCCTCACCAAGTCCTTGCCTGCCCCAGTCACAGTGTTGGGGACTAACTCGGGCCGAAGCGCCACATTTCCGGTCACTTTTCTTTTTAGTCACCACGCCCCCATGGACCCCGGTTTCTCGTCCGTGATCTGTAAGAACTACTGGAAATAAGTCAGCATCCAGCCAGCCAGCCAGCCACAGTAGTAGTAGTAGTAGTAGTAGTAGTAGTAGTAGTAGAAGGAACACAGACCCCATGTTTGGTTGGACGAGGCGAAGACCGACTGATGACTTCTATGTGGAGATATATGGAGCTGAGTAGGAGGGAAGTTATTATCTCTCCATGTTTTGGACGAGGCGAAGGACGGACTGATGACTTCTACGGAGATACGAGAAGCTGATGAAGAGGGAAGTGATCTCTTAGAACTGGAACCAGTCTCATTTACCGGAGCACGCCCAGGCGCCGGGTCAGATTATCGAGACCGGAAATCTACCTTACCTACTAGTAGGCCTCCACGCTACCACTGACCAGCTCCGGGAAAAAAGGGAGAGAGAGAGACATTTCTAAATCTCCCCGATGGGAGAATTTGGGTAGGTATATAAGGCTGAGCCTGCAGGGACTATATAATACTCGCCGTGTCCTCCTTACACGCAACGTCAGTCAGTTCATTTATTCACTAAAACAAGTACACACACTCCTTCTTCCCTTCCTTCTCACAGATTACAATTTCTTCTCAAAAGATGCGCTACGCTTTCGTCGCGGCCACGCTGGCCCTGTTCGGCGGCTCGGTGCTTGCAGAGGTAAGTTGAGCCGGAGGCCAGTACTTTCGGTCTTTTCTGGAGGAATTAAAAACATGCGTTCTAGAAAGCTGACACATCTCGACTCCCAGGCCGTCAGCGGACTGACCGACTTGACCGCGGAGAAGTGCAAGGGCCTGGTGTTCTTGCAGGTCTATCCACCCACGGCGGTGGAGGTGCGCTGCAGGCAGCTCCTGGGCGAGCCGGCGATCGAGAAGCGTGGCGACGGCGATTACGTTGACATTTCGGTCAAAGACTTGACGGCCAAGGCGTGTTCCCAGCTGGCGTTCCCTGCGGTCTTTCCACCGTCGGAGACGGAGTTGCGCTGCAGAGAGCTGCTCGAACAGAAGCATGCAGTCGAGAAGCGTGGAGACGACGATGCTAAATATCAGACTTGGGTTAAGGCCTTGACGATTGAGAAATGTACCAAGAAGGACTACCCTGCGGACGTTCCAAAGGCGACGATGGAGTGGCTCTGCAAAGAGCTGCTTGAAGAGAAGCATTCAATCGAGAAGCGTGCTGAGTTTCAGACTTCGGTTAAGGGCTTGACGGTGGAGCAGTGTGCCAAGAAGGAGTACCCTGCGGGCATTCCAAAGGCGACGACGGAGTTGCTCTGCGAGCTGCTTGAAGAGAAGCATGCAATCGAGAAGCGTGGAGGCGACGATAAGCTCCGGCATTGGCTTAAAGATTTGACGCCTGAGAAGTGTCACAAGAAGGAGTACCCTGCGGGCGTTCCAAAGGCGACGGTGGAGATGATCTGCAAAGGGCTGCTTGGAGGGAAGCATGGGAAACTTTTGAAAGCTTAGCTGAAGTCTCCATAGCGGCAGTTCAATGTCGGCGATTCCAGCAATCTGTACTCGTAGTTTCCTTGTAGAGCAATATCGTCCATCATCCCAACATTGTCTTATCATCAAAACCAGATATAGTCTTGTGCTTGACAGCAACCCACTTGCCCTGCACGACCCCGAAGCTGGCAATTCCCACTGCAGACCTGATGAGACCTAAAGGCATCCCTTCGATCTGGATATTGCCATAGACTTCGGCTGAGCGATCGGCTTCATTTACGGTTGAAGTCATGTCGAGAATCTTGACGTAGTAGTCCGGGTAGAGCTCATCCAATAGTCGCCAGGAATCCACCCATTGAGTGAGCGTGAGCGTTTTGTCAGACATGAGGCCGATTTCTGCTCTCCAGAAGGAAGCTTTCTCTTGCCAGATTGGGGAGGTGAAGTCGAAGTCCCGGTCGTTGACAGTCTGGACTTGGGTCCGTACCAGACCCTCAATATATTCTATGATTTCTGCCACGGTCGATGATCCGGTAGGCCTGTGCGGATGTGTATGCTGTCGGTCAGTTCTCTGGTCTGCACGTTGCGTGGGCCGAAGATGCTGGACTGGGTATGTATTGATTGTACTCATGACGATTGCCGTGCCTTGGCCTTGTGATGTCCGTACGAGCGGATACCTGCTAGACTGGCCTAAATTGGGCCTTCGAGACTGAATGTGACTGCTAGATTTAGTGACTGATGTGCTGAGTTGATTAGATTGATGTTGAGTTTGACGTACGAAAGCTCGAAGGAGGTGGGACGACGGCCTCGTGCTTGCCCGTCATTTTCGCGTCGCCGAAAGTCTCCGAGACGCGTCTTCCCCCTGCAGACCTCACTTCCCATCGACACTCGGAACACTACACCACACCATGCTCGCCATCTGAACAAATGCTCCTTTGACTCGTACATCCAGAGACGCTCTCCGCTCGGAACATCATGAAGACGCTGCTGAAGAACAATGACAGCCGCCGTATTCCGCAATACGCCCGCGCTGTCGGTGCCTCAGTCGCAGAACACAGCGCCCGTCCTCGAATTCAACTGCCTCTACACGCATGATATTAGAAAGAAGAATAAGAAATGGCAAGATGGATCCCTTCGATATCACACGTTCAATAAGCGTATCATGGTCTACGACGTGCCTCGAAACCTCATCGGCGACACCCACTGGACGTCAGATGAAGCGGTGCAAGAGGGCGATGAGGTGACTCTGGATCGCAATGGTGTCCTGGTAGAAGTGGGAGATAGCATTGGACAGACTGAGACCGACTTGACTGAGCTTAGAAAGAGCAGAAAGAAGGATCAGCCGGGGAGCAAAGCCTCCACGCCGGCACGCACGATACCCAACGGATCAGCGAGACTCGGCAACGCTGCCGGCTCCGTGTCAAGAGGAATTACTCAGCAGAAGCATAGATCGTTGAACGCTTTGCTTGGGACACCAAAAGGACCAATCGGAAAGGCTACTTTGCCGACCAAGTCGCCTTTCGAGGAAAGGCATGCGGACATCGAGAATGAGGAATGGGAGGAAGGAAGGCCACCAAAAAGAGCTCGGGTTGGGAGTGCTCCAGCTTGGAACGTTACGCGAACAACGACGACGCCAAAGAGCGCCAAGCAGACTCAACAACCACCATGGGCGCGAACGGCGGATGCGGCTAAGCAAAAGAAGAAAGCACCACTGCAGCCAGGTCAACAAAGGCTTGGCACAAGGGAGATCATTGACCTGGCTGACGAAGAAGATCCGAAGGGAGACTTCCTACCGGGCTTCTCTGACAGCGCTCTGGAGCCTTGCTCATCTCCAAAGCAAAAGACCTCAAACGCCGCGCCAAAGCAGAAAGCCTCTGTTAGGTCCAGTTCGCCAGCATTCCAGACACAGCGCGTGCCTGCGAAACCAGTGAATGATAAGCACGTGATAGACGTGGACGGTCTGTCGCGTCAACGTGACTTCCAAAGAGCCAAGACCGCCACGAACGGGACTCTCGAACATGGAAAGGACGGGGCCTCCGAGAAAGAGAAACGTCGATTAGAATGTGACTCTCCAGGAACGATGCGTGAATCGTCTTCGCTCTCAAGAGCTCCATCCCCGCGGCCTTCCAGGCCAGCGAGCAGTAGGCCTGGTCAGATGTTACGCTTAGCTGCAAGTGGGCCAAAGAAAAAGACCCTGCTGTGCCAAGATCAGCTGAAGAAGAAACCTAAGAGAATCTCGTCGACGAACACGGATGAGCTGGCCCAGGGTCTCATCGATGAGTTCCATGAGGACGAGAACGAAAACGGGGGCCGACCAAAGACTGCTCGGGAGAGATTTGAAGAACGGCTTGCGAGAATCGACAAAAAGAGAGGCAGTACTAGCAATGCGAGGCTGCAGTCCCTCAAAGTAGCTCCGCCGCCCGTTGAGATAGATAGTGACGACGGCGAGGAGGCTCCGACAGACAATACCATCCAGGAGCGCCCACGGACATCTCACGAGGCTTCGGCGATTGACCCCAGACGTTTGGACGACATGATGCTCCCTCCCGCACCTCTATCAGCACGTCGTGAGGAATCGCCTGCGCCTGCACCTCCAGTTCCAAGGCCTTCCGCTTCAATTCAACAAGAAGCACGGCCATTCAGACGAGCAATCTCGGATTCCATCACTACCTCATCCGGGAAACCAAGACGAGTACCTGGCGCACCAGTACGCTACACTCCGACTCCATCCCCGACAAGAAGATCTCGCGAGCCTACGCCTTCTGCTGGTCCTGGATCACGACCGACCAGTAAGGCCGGACCACCACCACCACGGACCAACAACCGTAACGGCAGTATCAAACAAAAGAGACCACTGCAGAAGTCAGTCAGTCTGTACGTCTCTGCCCACGGCATGTCTACCGTGCTCTTGAGCAAACCGTTCCAAGCACCCGGAAAATCCAAAGCGCAAAAGCAAACAGAGCCCGAGCAGCCCAAAGAAGTTGAAGGTCCGTGGAGTCGAGAAGCTTTTGACCTTTTCACGTGGCGGCCGCCGAATTGGGACGAGGAGAATTGGTGTCAGAAGGCCGGGGAGGAGAAGGAACATGGGGTTGCTCGGGCGCAAGACATGGATAACCAGGAGGAGGGTGCTCCTCCTGTTGGTCTGAGTGGGGGTGTTTCCTTTCCGCATGCCTGAAAAGCGCTTCGCTGGTAGCAGATACGTCTAGACGTTACCATCACGACACAATTCACGAGATAGAATTTACTAAAAGCAATCGACATTGGCATGCAACATCAAAACAAGTCATCGTGAAGTCCATCGCAGAATTCGCTACGTGCCTCTCCGTCTCTCTACCTCGAATGCGTGCGAATGTGCAATGCCTAAAAGCAAGCGTCTTCGATTTGCGAATGCAATCTCTCTCTCGCTCTGAGAGCAGCAATGATGTAAACGCGAATGGATAGAGCACCCTGTGCAAGAAAGACAGGACAGGGTATGTGTCCCGAACGAGCGCCGCGCAGAATGTAGAAACATTCGCAACCATTCTCCCGTTTTTTCAATCCATGCATGCGAATTGCAAAATGCTCATGCCCACGAACAATAAAAGGCCCACCACCCACAATCGCCCACAATCACCATTTCTCCTCGTTTCCATAAAGTCATCTTTCGTCCAGACTTCTCTGGATTGCATGTTCCAATTCGGGATCCTCAGACGCATAATACGTCGGCGGTCCAGGCTGGATATCGCTCATGCAAAACCACATCCTTGCAGCAGATTCGATAGTGCGGTCGCGCCATGCATCGTCATAGTTAGGAGGAGCATCGGCCATCGCCTCATCATCGCTGGGAGGAGCACAGCATTCGTCCACATTGCAAAGAAAAGGCATTCCTTCGACTTCGTTGTCGCTCGGAATCAGCGTTTCGCCGGAGTATGTCGACTATGACAATTCCGGCATTGCATCGCCTGGGTCGTCCACATGAATCTCGTGGACTGCCTTGTCTTCGACATGTTCCGCTCCATCGTGCCCTGCGTCGATATCGAAGTGCTGCATCGAGTTGTCCGGGGAGTTCCGCGTTCCCGTGGCGTTGGCAGACGAGTATTCACTAATGTCCGTGAAGGTACTACCTCCGGAATTGAATCCTGAGTCGTCGTTGCCATCCAGCTGGGCCGTGGTGCTGTCGCCGTCGTCTCCACTCAGTCTCTGGAAACTCCAGCTACTCTCACCGTTGCCATAACCAAGGATCCCATCAAGGGTACGCTCGCTGCCACCACCATCTTCTCCGATACTATTCATTGTCGTCGTCGGCTTCTGTGTCAGATTGTGGCCGGCTCCAGTTCCACCATTTGCCGCGGGATCCCTCTCCTCCAGACTGGTCCCCTTCCCGACTGCGACTCCTGCTAATGTGCTCGACGACCCACCGTGTTGCTGAGAGGAGTGAGTTGGGCCGCCGAGCCTGCCTTCCCCCGACTCGCTCTCCGCGGCCTCTTCCTCACGTCCGAGGCGGTATTGGGTGACGAGCTGCTGGAGATACTGTGGGCCGAGAGGCTTATCGGATCGACGACGGTAGAATAGCAGGTATGCAGCAGCAGACTTTGGTCGAATGGTAGTCTTGGAGCACGACGAGTCTAGAGTTCAGATTAGCAATCATTCCAGGATCCGTGCATAAGTGCAAACTTACCGTTGTATTCATACCACTGGTCGTCGAAGAAGTTCTTGGCGTAGGCAGTGTAATGACCACCACCAAGACCTCCATAGTGGTTGTCTACAGCGAATAAGTCGTAGATGTACTCCTTGCCCTCCTCTTTCAGGCCAACCTTGTCGCTCATGTCAAGGCCTTCGATGGGGTACTCGACGGCGACGTCAAGCTTGTCACGCAAAGAACGGTTGCCACCGAATCGCTTCATGTGCACGACCAGGATATCAGGCAGCGTCCAGATTTCCAGCTGCTTATCAGCTTGTCGTAGTTCTTTGCAGCGATTGCAATACCACGAGTTGTCTGAGGACAAGACCTCTTTCTTGCTGGTCTCCGCGAAGCAATCGTCGAGATTGATTCCATGCTTCTTACGCTCGGCACGCTTCATCTTTCTAGCCTCGAGCTCTTCGTCATAGAAGACTGGTCCGCTTTTGCCGTCGTGATTGACGTAGGTATGGCCGCGCATCTCGGCAGGGTCGTCCTTATCGCCCCCAAACAAGCTGTCTGCAGCCTCCGGGTGCCAGTCGAGAACGATACCTTCGCCAATCTGGATATAGTAGGGGCTGTCATCCGACTGGCTGCTCGCTGGAGATGAGCCGAAGTAATTGAGGTTCTGCTTCTGGCCATATCGCTTCCTATCGTTCTTACCATAGGTCACTTTCTTGTTATTGCGTCGATTCTTCTTGCCTCTACCACCCTTCTTGCTGTTCTTGTTCTTGCGACGTCCACTTCGAGAGTGGTCATTGTCTGCGTGAAGATTGCTTCGTGACAGCGTCGGCGAATTGTTTGCCAGCTCATCCTCACTGCTCTCGTCCACGGTAGGTGCCGAAAGAGTCGACTCTCCACCGAGCGTAATGTCAGGCTTGTCGGGATCATCTTCATCACTCTCCTCATCATCACCGCCATTGACCTGCACGCCAGAAGTGGTGCTAGTTGTAGATTCTTCCGAGCTAGAGGACTGCATCGAACCCCTCCGATTGGTAGGCTTGACACGATCATGCATGGGGCGCACGGAGCTGCTGATCAAGCCCGACATAGCAACGCAATGGATATTGCGTTCATTGGCTTCCCCGAATTTCAGCTCGAAAAGCTGGTGCCGTAGAGCTGGGGCTAGGAAGTAACCAGGTTCCATAAAGCCATAGGGTACGGCAGGCAGGTCTTCGTCAATTTGCATTGGGCTCTCGCCGTTCACTTGGGAATTTGTGGGCTGCTTGTTCCGCGAGACGTTAACGTAGCTCTCCTCAGACTGGGCGGAATGATCGCTAACGCCTGCAGCATCTTCGTTTCCTTGCTCCTTGTCGGTTTCGGCCTCAGCTTCGGCATCGGGCACGTTTTGAGACGAATCATTCTCAAACTCCGTGAGAATCTTCCTTGATGTGATGTTGGAGACAGCAATGAGGACTTTCTTCAGAATCTTGTCGTAGTCTTTGGCCTCCTCCCGCGTGACTGTAATGTACAGTGGGTGCAGCGCGGCATCGTAGTCTTTCTGAAGGCGCTCGTTTCTGTATCGGTTGAAGATGGGAACGGCCATCACGTCGGCTTTCGAGGAGTCCATGCCTTCCAATGGAACCTTGTCTTCTTCACTCTTTGTGTAATTGCCGTACATAGAAAATGACTTCTTCGTTGTTGGCTTGTTCGTCGGTACGTCTTCGAGCTCGTACATGAATAGGAAGTCGTTGCTTTGAATGCTGGCTTCGGCGAGAGTGCTCTGGTCATCAAAAGCCTTGTAGATCTTATGGTTGTAGACCTCAATCATCCATAGTCGATCTGCGTCAGTGGAGTGCTTCTTGGCCATGTACTCCTTCAAAGTCTTGATGGTCCAATTCTTATCCACGTCGATGTGATGAATTACCGGATGGCCATGGAGCGGCACAAACGTGATATCGTGGGTGAAAGCAACGTCCATTGGCAACTGCACAGTCAAGAGTGAGTACGGGTCGAAGGTGACGCTAACCTTCTGGCACTCAGGGCATTCCATGGTGTTCTTGTAGAAGCCACTGAAGAGGTCCATTGCGACGGAGTCATTGCGTGCCTTGTGGTTGTTGCGATATGTCTCGCCTAGCTCGTGGATGTACTCAGGGTCTCTGACCTTGTTGTCGTCCGAGTCGGGATTCTCCATGTAGGGCTTCTTCTTCACGCGGTTCAAGTCTTCGTGGAGGGCATCAACGAGGAAGCTTAAAAACTCTTGCGAATCTTGCTGGCCATATCCGGAAAACGTAGGTGCCAGACGACCAAGTGTCCGCTTGAAGTCGGTCGGCGTGAAAGAGCTGGTGCTCTGACCACCGTAGATGCCGTTGAGGACACCGTAGTACGCGTTGGCCATGGCGCCATGATGTCCCAGTGGATTATCGTTGTTGATCTCTGGCTTGTATGTCTTCGTCAGAAAGTAGACTGCGAGCTCTTCGACACTGCGGATGCATTGAAGAGCGGAATTCATGTAGCAGGTGTTGCCCAGGTTGGACAGTCCCACGGTACCAATGGTTCGACCGTCCTTGCGTCTTCGCCCTCTTGTCATCATACCGCCAGGTGCCGGACTACTCCTGCCAGATGTTGGAGCCGAATCAGGTCTTGACGCGGTGCTCTGCTTCTCTAGCCCCGACTTGGTGCCTTTCTTCAAGTCCGATTGAAACTCGCCCCCACCAGGACCGCCCTTCTGCTCCTCAAGTAGAATAGTTTGTGAATAGCCAAGCGCGATGGCGTCCAATGTTCTCTGGCCATTGTACTTCGTGTTAAGCGTCTGGTCGTCGAGATCTACCGACTCCATGTCCTTGCCCGTCTCGAACTGGGAGAAGGTCTCAGAATCCACGATCAACTTTGTGTCTCCGGATCTCGAGGGCGATGAGGCTCTAGACGCAGGCGGCGATAACACTCCAGGCTGAGTGTTATCGGGCTTGTCAACAGCGACCTGTGACGGATCAAGCAGGCGCCAGACTTTCACCTTTGTCCCTTGTGGGATACCAGCGGCTTCTTTTGCGCGACGCAAGAAGTTCATGGCTTTATCGGACGCTGAGCATACAAGTCGCACTGCCTCATCGGGATTGCTCTGGCCACGACCTTCTCGATCCTGCTTCATCCGCAGTTTGTCCAAGGCCCTGTTAGGCTTGACTTGAGCTGAATCTTCCGTTGATTGCGGGACTTTCCGAACAGTGATGACAGGCGGATAGAGCTCATACATGATGTTCTCCACTGATGCATCTTCCTCTACTGTGTTGTGGGCATACCGGACAATAGGCTTTGTCGGAGTAGTGTATCCATACTCTCCCACGATGTAACCGTAGGCATCGTATGGAAGCACTGAGAACTCCACGTCTAAGCGAAGGCCAGGCTTGAGAGGTACAAAGGCCTGATTTGCGGTGTCCTTGAGAAATGGTCCATTGAAAGCGCCTTTGGAGACAATGTCCGAGTTATCCAAAGGCCCGACATTGCCTTCTCGTGCCTCCTTCGGATAGTCGTTGTTTCCGCGTCCTTCTGTAGAACGTGACAAAACTCGCTGAAGCCACTTATTCGATATCACAACTCCTCGAGAGCCTTCGTCTGTCTTTCTGGCATCCATCTCCCGTACTTTGGCGACTTGCTTGTCAATCTGCTCTGTGGTATACGGCTCTTTATGGGCGGGAGGCACTACTTGCGACTTGTCATTCGCGGAAGTGAAGCTCGTTGCCGAAGTGTCCATGCTCTCGGTGATAGAGCTTCCAGCAGCAGTCATGGCAGTCTCTTGTGTCTGGGTCTCCTCATCGTCTTCAGCAGGTGTCATGCCTGACATAACCTGGTCTGAATCCGCTGTTCCCGTCTCTCCATCGGCGGGTCCTCCATTCACCTTCTGCTGCTCTGGTTGAGCACTTGAAACATCCTCCATATCGGCAGCACTTCTCTTAGCTGGGCTCGCGCTTCTGGCTCCAGTCGTCCTGCCCGGGCTTACGCCTGCTCGCTGCTGTTCGACGCCGGCATGAGTGCCCGCAGCGCCATTGTCACTCCCAGACATATCCACACTGCTGGCACTATCAATGGTAACTTCCGCGAGCGCAGCACTGGGCGAGCTCGCTCCTTCCTCGCGACTGGGCAGCACTTCGGGGTGCAAGTGGGGTGGCAGATAGCGTGGGGGAGGTGGTGAATTACGTGTCGCAGTAGTGTTGCTGCTGGTGGGCGAAGGAGCGGGACTGTCGCTGCTCGTCTGATGAGCTCCTAAGGGCGAAGAGGAGGGCGATAAGCGGGCGTGCGCGCGAAGCGAATGTTGCTCAAACAGTGCAGCCGACGGAGAGGTTGAAGAATCCCGCAAGTGATGATGTTCGTGATTGCTGTTACTGGGCGCGTGACTGTCACCAGAGGGCGTGAGCTTGCGCTTCTTCTGCGACGAAGCCGTGATTTTGGCTGGTGACGTGAGGCTGTCTGCTGAAGCGCAGACCAGCCCCGGTCTTCCTTTGAAAAGATCCTGCCGTCTGTTCGGAGAACGAATGAGGCTGTCACTGGGCAATGCGCTCACGTGGTTGGCCAGTTGGACATTCCAGAGACCGGTAATGCGGGCGGTGCAGGTGTCGAGGTGGGCGTTTCGGAGGAGGGAGAGATATAAGTTCGTGGAGCAGATGTTGGACCTGCACACAGTTTGGCCTCCGTTGCCCAAAGCGGCCGGTGACGCTGTACGGGCTTGGCACTGTCAGACACCTCTGCCGCTCTCCACGTCTGCACGCGCCGGATAATAAATGAATTCTAACAAAACGCGTGGGAAAACTTCGAGGCGGGAAAATGTGATGCATGAACAACTCCGAGAGCGACATGTCAAGGCCAAACAAGAAATGGAACCCAGTCCAACGCACCTCTCTTCTTCTGCTTACGGCAGCTACTTGCTCAGGCGCGTCCGAGGCGCGAGAGTTCCGCGAAGGCAAGCATTCACGAGTACCTCAACGCAATCGTTTCTGGACGTGATTCGATACCTAGGATCTCAGTCCATATCGCCACACATCATGTACAGACCAGAATGAGCTTGCGCCTTACCACCTGGTCACCTGTAAATGCCCCAAATCCAACATCGAACCCGCTCGAACGCGTACAATCCGAAAGGAATAACATGCACCAAACTCAAGAACCGCGCCCGATCAAGCCCATTCCTTCTTTCTCCTCCTGCACGTGTTTGACATATCGCACAAATGTCTTCTTGTGGACCATGCCCGCGTACTTGCCGCGATGCAGAACGCAGATATATCTCAGACCAAGCTTGACGAAGCACTCAAACACCAGGTCCATCGGACTCGTGTCATCCAGAGCCACTGGCGACGGATCAATGTAAGGCGTGAAATCAGTCGGGTCTCGGTCTTCTGACGAGGTCGACTGCTGGCGCTGCGCTTCGTCCACATCGGGATCTTCGTCTCGTGCGGTCGAGGAGCCCTCTTCCTCATAATCGTCTACGGCGCTACCCGGGCGCGTATCATGATGTGATATCTGAGCGTGGGCGTCCATTCTGCAAAGTGCATCCTCTTCATCCGGTACGCGATCGAGAGCATATTCGAGATCTGGTCCAGGAATCATGCCAACCAGAACACCGTCCTTGAGAATCGGCAGCCCTCCGTCCAATTCGCCTGCCATATGCAGGTACTCTAACTTGAAGCGCAGCTGCTTTGCCGGAACCCATGGCGATGCGGATATGTCAATATAGCGGTTTGGCTTCGGCTCCTGTGCGATGTCTCCTAAGTCGGTCGTGAAGATGGGTCGCACCTTGTGGTCCAGGTACGGATACGCGTTCATGTCAGTCAACAGGTCGTAGATACTGAGCGGCTCAACGGCATCTGCAGTCCATTTGGCGATCAGAACGCCCAAGCTGAAAGGTAGCACGTGCTCCAGGCTGCCTGTCAGCTCAAACAGGATGACTGCTAGAGTGACTGATAAGCGGGTGACACCACACATGGTCGCACCGGCAGCCACCAATGCGTAGACACCTGGCACTACGCACGACTCCGGATTGCCATCGTGAGGACAGTGTGCGAAGAATGCCAGGTTGGGGTACTTCAGTGTCAAATACTGCACAATGTGCCCAACGATTCTGCCGAGCAAACCACCCACCACCATCGAAGGGACGTAGATTCCGGCCGGAACCTTGATTCCAAATGTCACAGTCGTGAGCACCGCCTTGATCAAGAACGCTGCAACGAGGTACTGGATGGTGGACGGAATCGACTCTTCGGTAGGACAGAGAGCAGATCCATCTCCAGAGAAGGATGTGCACGGAGCAGACATCTCGTAGAGCAATTCAGCTACTGGGAGTCGGGTGTATCGGTTCCAGTAGCTGACGAGACCTGTCACAAGAGCGACCAGGAAGACTTCCAATGTAGGATAGTTCTTGATCAGCCTGATCCGGCGGAAAGTCTTCGCCCAGATCCGCGAAGCTTTGATGAACAAGGCTCCAAGAACGCCACCCAAGACTCCAAGGCATATAAAGGCGATGATCTCAAAGGACTTCCAGTCCGTGAGATACCGCACTTCGAACAGCACAATCTTCTGTGTGCCGTACGGATTCAGTGCTTTCAGCGACAGTGCTGCCGCTATACAGCAGAAGAAGGTCCGGAACAGCGTCTTTGGCGGAAAGTAGTAACTGACCTCCTCCAGACTGAACAGCACACCGCCGATGGGAGCGCCAAAGGCTACGGCAACCCCAGCCGCAGCCGCAGCGGAAAGGACCTCACGGCGTTTGGCGTCGTTATCCCGGTACTTTGAGGTGAGTCTCGTTGTGATATTGCCAATGCAGGTGGCAATGTGCACATACGGGCCTTCCTTGCCGATCGAGAGCCCTGAAGCCACACTGAGAACCAAGCCGATCGCCTTGCAGAACAGGGTGCGGACACCCAAATATCCGTGCAGAACGAACCCGGAGAGAATCACGCGGACCTCCGCTACGCCACTGCCAGCAGCTGGGTAATAGGTCACAGGCGGTCGCTGGGCTGCCTCCTGAAAGCGTCGGGTTGGACTCATTGTGCCTCCACCGACCTCGGTGTTAGTCTTTCCATTGCCGTGGTGCTCAGCACCCAGGTTCTCGTCCAACGTGGAAAGCGAGATGGCGGAAGATATTGATGTCTTGGTCTGCAGGGTGACTAGACATGCGAGGCATGACAGGAGGACGCACCACAAGACGAAGAAGCCCCAATCCATCCAGACGTTCGCGCTCCCATCTGGATTAGCGAGCCGTGACCATTTGCTCCACTCGTCGCAGACGCTAGCGCCGCTACAGCACATCCTCTTGCTATACCACCAGTGTGTTGTGCAGTATCCACTTTTGTAGTCAAATACCGTGGCTTCAGTCACATCGATCGCGTAGGCGAAAAGGGCGGTGATGCACCCAATGATGAAGACGAGCACCCATCCTATTCCTCCGTCGAGGGAAGCGAGCACTCTACCCTTGAAGTCTTTTCGGCTCCGTAGCTCTTTCACTCGGTAGGTATCCGCGATACTGTCGTGGACCCAATCCGTAGAGGTGAACTGATCGTACCACACACGGTCGTCCCAGTAGAGCGACTTTTTGGATGATATCAAGTTTTCGACCTGCTCTTCTTCCGTTGAACTGCCCAAAGCTCTCATCAACCCTCTCGCAAAAGAGCTTCTCCGACTGAGGCCGCGAGTGGAATGCACGTGGCTGAGCGATCGGCCGTACCGTGGTGTGCCTGGCACACTGGTGGCTCTATAGCCACTGCGAGTGTGAGTGGGACTGGAAAGCAGTCCAGTCGTCTCGTCGGCATGTGATCGGGGCAGTCGCAGTCTCAAGTCGCCTTCAGAGTTCATGGTGGAGAGATCTCGTCTGCTAGATCGGCCTTCTCGAGAAAGCACGGGTGAGAGTTCGGAGGTGTGAGGGTGGAACGCATTTCGGTATGCATTTCGGATGGCCTCAGCCTCCTGCTCGCTGATCTCGTGGTCATCGTATTCGTCGTCGTCGTCGTCTTCGTTGGTGGAGGTGACGGAGCGGAACGAAGCTTGAGACTTTGGCATATTTACGGTTACGGTCTGGTGGGGCGCTCCTCAATAGCTACCACCGTAAGCCTGCGTACATCATAGCTCTTCGCGAGAAGCGATCCAAACGGAGGTCGAGCGTGCAAATGTCTGTGTATCGATCACAGCAAGCGCGTGTGATTGTGGTATGGTGTATGGTATTGTATTGTGTAAATGGCGTGCTGGTGCTGGTCCGACGGCGTCGCGTGGCCCTTAACCGATAGTCACCAGGCAACACCCTTGTCATGTGAAGCGGAGGGCCGTAAATCGGACACGCTCCAGAAAGGTGTCACTCCGAGTCCTGTTCCAGAGGCGGCACGGCTGTGTATCGTTGGTGTCTCGCGCGTTTGGGTAGGGGTGGTCGTGGGTGCCGCGAGGGAATGATGACGAAGGATTGATGAGGAAAAGGTCGAAGGACTCGGGCATACTCACCGACCTCATCACGCTCTCACAAGACAAATTAAGTCCGAGTCGCACGCCGTGTGCAGCTTGGCTGCTGTCAAATACATGGGAATAAGCGGGATATGACGACGACAACGACGGTTGCAGCTGTGGCCGAGCGACCTGCGCGCAAGTGTGGGATGATCCTGGTCCCTCAATCTGCGGAGGCTCCACGGTAATTGTTCGCCCTCGTCGTAACATGTCGGACATGGATGGATGGATGGGCGGATGGATGGGTGGATGAAGGTGCGCGTGGTGTGGCTCGCTGGGCGTGTGACCACACACATCTCCCGGCAACGACCGCCTGCGCCTGCGGTCCATCTGTACATCGACCGGTACGGATAGTCCATACGAAACGTCCGCCGAGAGAAGGGCAACCTCTATGATTTAGCTGCAGCTGGTAGCGCCCATGGGACCTGTCTTCGCAACCACGCCGCCCTGCCTACCTGCATCTCATAGCTTGCCTGCATCACATGCATGCAGCCCTTCCCTTCAGCTCCTGCAAAGGGCACGTCATACCCGCCTGTCGCGAAGCTGCATGAATGATAGAGAATGTGCCGAAGAGCATCGAATATCTTCCCCTACCACACGCCTCCACATTTCCTTGACGCTATCTCCACAGATACGCCGACTGAGGTGGTCTTTCAGACTGCTGCATGGCATATACATATAACTACGGACTTATAGATGGAGCTAAGGTGCTCGAGACGGGGAATGGATTTTCTCACGTTGCTCAGCAGACAGATTGCTTTGAAGATCGCCATTCGTGTCGCCTATGCTACTGCAGCGAGTTATGCACCCAGCCGACATCAGCATTCAGAAAAAAGATTGGCCGGATGTGCTCGCATCACAGCACACCTTATCCGGGTCCTTCGAATCATGTCCTTTCCAGGAATGCCGAACAACAGCTCTTCGCGACCGGAAAACGCATTGATGGCTACAGACGCGCCTTTGATACACACACAAAGTTGTGCAGGGGCGGGAAATGAAAGCCCTGATGCCTCGATCACTTCTGCTTGCACCCTAGCCTGTGATTACAACCACCGCAGATCATATAGTCCGACCGCCCTCGCCACTTCTTTCAAAATCTCCTCCGGCAGCTGGAGCAGCTCATTGTGCACCTTCTCGCATGCCTCACCGCCGAGCGCGATTGAAAAGGTTGCACCATAGACAAGGTCGATCATTGCCGTACAATCTCCAACTTGCAGCTTCCTCTCTTTTTTTCTCCGGGAAGCTCAACCGGTAGCCTGGTCTCAACTGTCAATTCCGCTCCCTCGGTTCCAGTAGTTCCACGATGGCCCTGAGCGGCTGCTCATGCGTCAGCCGCAAGGACAAAAGGTACAGATGTCCATGGGCGAATTCTCCCTCGATGGTTGATATCGGCAGGGAAAGCATACATGCTGTTCCTTGACCGACTTTGGCATGTCATGAGTCGTTGTGCAGAAGATGGTGCGCCGATGGCCTGATTCGCCTGCGCCGAGATAGGAGGGCCTCGCCCAAGGCATCGTGCGTTGTGCAAAGCCATGTCGACATTGCTTCCATGCACCCGCTTTGGAGTATCGCTCTTGTGTTTGTTCCTCCTGCTGGCCTCGGCGAAAGAAAACATCGGCCGCCGTCTCTATGTCAATGTTTCGCGAGTTCGCATGCGCCAAATTCCGTGTCTGATCTTTTCGCTTCACTTCTTGAAAGGCAACACTTCCCCATTCGTGTCCGTAGGCAGAACGTCCTCAGGCAACAAGTCCTTGATCTCCTTGGTCTTCCACCGAGGTTTGATCTGGAGAAGTGTTTATTGACCAGCTCCATCATCTTGTCCGGATTGAGAAACTCTTCGGTGTTATCGTCCCGCTTCCCCTTTGCATCGTCCATGGCAACATCCTCCCACTCGTCATCTTCGACTTGCTGGAGGAGTGCGCCGCATTTAGTGCCTTCGAGCAATCGACTCGGAATGGCGCTGTGACCATGGCCTTCGACGGTAGGCTTCTCTTGTCCTGAGTCCGCCAGCGGGCCGTGATTGCGGACTGCCTCTTAATGCGTTCATGTCATCAAACGAAGTGGGTGAATGACAGAGGCATGTGCAGTCTTTAGACCCACAGTCCACGTGACAGATGCACAGGGCTTTGTCCGTTGACGTCCCGCAATGTTCTCGGCAGCTTCAGCCTAGAAAGCGCTTGATTTCTCCGCCAACGCCTTCTAGATCCAGTAGAAAAGTATCATGACCAAACAGCGAACGGTCCTCCCCAAGCTCATAATGCGTCACACTCCTGTTGCCGACTTTGCGCAAAGCCTCTGCAATCTCCCGTTGCTGCCACGCTGGGAACAGAATGTCAGATGCGACACCCAAGACGAGAGTCGGAATGTCTCTCAGCGGCATGAGACCATTGACCAAGTCCTCAGGCGGGCCTTGTTCGCCGAGATTGGGTTTCGAGGAGTCGGAGGTAGAGGCGGCGGATGACTCCATGAGGTCTTCCGACGAGGCATCTTGTTCTTCGTATGGCACGTCTGGGAGTGACAGTGTGCAGCGGTCTTGGCTCGCTTGATCCAAGAATGCGCCCTGTAGCTTGGCAGCATTGGATTGTCTCCTTTCCGCAGTCGATTGTTGTAGCTCCGCGCCGAGATCAAAGAGGTCCATTGCTTTGCTAACGTAGAGCAGGCTGTTAGCATCGTACTCCAGACACCATTTCTCTCCCGCGTGATCCAAGTATGTCTCGATCAGGAAATCAGGGCACAGAGCAGGCGGCTTGCTGGCATCTGCACGCTGTCTGCCGAATCTCTTTTCCCATTCTGGCCCAGAGCGATAGGTGATGGTTGCAATTTGTCGAGCAAGTTTCATGCCAGTGTGCGGAGGTATGCTTTCGTAGTAATTGCCGCGTGTCTTTGACCAGTTCGGGTCATTCATCAAGACTTGGCGTTGAGTGTGTCGCATCGCAATGCTGTAAGGATGGCTTCTTGCACATCCCGAGACAGATACAATCCGCCCCACACGCTTTGTGTCGATAATACCGGCAGCCAAGCTCTGCATGCCTCCCATACTACACCCAACGCTCGCATACAACTTTTCAATGCCCATCGAATCGAGAAGGCGAAACTGGGCTCGCACCATGTCCGACATAGTCAAGATTGGGAAACTAGTTCCGTAATGGTTTCCGCTGAGTGGGTCGATGCTACTCGGACCTGTACTTCCATAGCATCCACCTAACACGTTCGTACAAATCACGAAGTACTTGTTGGTGTCCAAAGGCGCCCCGGGGCCAATGAACTTCTCCCACCAGCCCGGCTTTGGGTTGGCTTCTGTACTCCGTGCATGACTACTGGCTGACAAGCCGGTGTGTAGCAAGATCGCATTACTCTTGTCTGCATTCAATGTACCCCAGGCCTCCCAGGCAATATCGAAGGAAGGCAAGACTCCTCCCCAGTCAAGCAGAAAGGGCTCTGGAGAGTGATAAAGCTCAGTCGCACCAGCTGTGTATGACGGCTCTGGACCTGACTGAGAACGCTTCTTATTCAACCTCCTCGTTCTGTCTTCAATGTTGTCCAGGCACGGAAACGCCAGTTGTTGCTGGCTTAGGGCAGTCTCGGAGCTCGACTTGGATCGTTGGTTGGTCAATCGCCTCGTTCGGTCTTCTGCTTTGTCCAGACATGGCAACGACAGTTGCGGATTAGACAATGAAGAGCCAGCCGGTGTGTCGTCTTCAATCGGCTTTTGAGCGTAAGCTTGGGCTGGTCTGTTCGTATTGCTTGATATCCCTCGCTGCGGCTGCACCGCAAATCGGGTCCTGAGGTTCGTCTTACGGAGAGTCCTGGGTGCGGCTCGCGAGAGCGATGTCAACGCACGTGAGGCGCTCATGGCGAAGCGAACGGGAGAACCGCGAAATGAAAGGTTGTTGTAGAGTCTCGTGTGAAGTGTGGTGCGAAACCTTCTACGAATCTTCAATCACATACCTTACATCATCGCGTCGGCACGGCGGTCGGTAAGTCGGAATAGTACAACAGCGGCGGCACCGGCCATGACCCGGCCAATTCGGTTCATTCTCCATTGCTCTTCTTGCTTTCGCCCTTCACTTTACTTCTTCATCCTCTCCTTCAGCCATCGCGCTTGGCAAGTGCTAGAAGTCTCAACGTGGTTGGCAACGAGATTCTTCTGCAGTCACGAGTTTGAAGGAGAGCGTATCTTTAGGGTCTGCAGGACATTACACAGTCCCCAGCACGAATGGTATCTTGCTGACCGTGTAGATTCATGGCAGGCGGAATAATGTCGTCACGAGCAGCCCGTCAACCATTGAATGGCATTTGGATGCTTTTCCAGTTTCTGAGGTGGAGGCGCGAACATTAGGCTCGCGGTCACCTGCGGGTGCAGGATCACAAGGCACATCAATGACATAAGTGGGCGACCCCCCTGTCGACTGTTGAGTAAACTTGGAAGTAGCACGAGAGGTCTCGATATTTGACGGACTGGGAGCCACTAATACACATTGGGCGTCACCTGCAAGGCTCGATATCTGGCGTTGGCATCAGCGCAGGACCACCACGATGCCCTTTCAAAAGTTTTCTCACCGCCTTCAGAAGGACAACAGTCCACCTTCGAATAGCAAGAACGACAAGAATGCGCATGAAGATTTCAAAAGATACCTGGAACACAAAACCGATGATACGAAGATCCGCTGGCTGAGAGAGTGCCTCGATGAGCGGAGCTCTCAATTTGTGATCAAGCAAACATCACTTGTCTTGACCGACAAAGTGGGCCATGCCGAGACTCTCATTCACTGGATCGTGGAGAGAGACATGAAGCAACCAGCTTGTGTCCATGTCTGCTCTACAACGGCGGAGAAAGACCTAGAAGACGTTGATGAATCGTCGCAAAAATTGAGCAACATCGAAATCACCAGCGATCTCCAAAACGACCATTACACTCATGCGATATTCCGCATAGTACAGAAGCCTGAAGCGCCGAAGACGTTGAATCTCCTACATCAAGCCCTTGCTTTCGACGGAGTAGCACTTATAGAATCTCTCAAGAGAAACCCAACACTGGAAGTCCACCTCAAAGTCCTCGAGATGCAGAAGAAGGGCGACGACCAAGCGAAGCAGGAAACCGTGGAACGCGTCAGAGAGACCGTGGGAGCGAATAATTTCGACAATGGAGAGCTGGCCGACCTCGCAGTGAAGACTGGATTTGAACGTGAGAAGGTCCGCTCTTTCCCCAAAAGGACAAATATCGAAGGCGAGAAGCTCGAGAAATGGACCACGGAAGTCAAGGCTCAGATGTCATGTGGGAAATATCCAGAACTCGAGCCATGGGTCGATAAAGCCATCAAACACTACATGGAAGAGAACGGTGGCATGGCGGTGGAAACGGAGCTTCTAGTGGTTACGAAGTAGTGTTGTCTACAGCTTCGCTTTCGTCTCGCCACTTGGTCGCTGCCTCAATTCCTTCCTCAAAATCTTCCCCGACGGACTCTTGGGAATCACGTCAATGAATTCCACACCACCTCTCAACTGCTTATGACCCGCGAGATTCCTCTTCACAAACTCCATGACGTCCTGTTCCGAAAACCCCTCATCAGCACGAACGACAAAAGCCTTTGGCACCTCCGTCCCCAGCTCCTTCGAAAACACACCGATAACAGCGGCATCCTTGATCTTCTCATGACCAACCAAGCAATCCTCCAACTCCGCCGGAGCCACCTGCAGTCCCTTATACTTGATCAGTTCTTTCTTCCTGTCTACAATATACACCAAGCCATCTTTGACTTTCCCAATATCGCCAGTAGCGTACCATCCGTCTCGAATCGCTTCCCGTGTCGCGGTTTCGTTGTGGTGATATCCCTGCATCACACCGGGCCCTTTCACCAACAGCTCGCCGACCTCTCCCGCTGGCACATCTACTCCATCGTCGTCTACAATCCGGAGTTTCGTATTGGGTAGTATGCCGCCCACGCTACCCGTCTCATCCCTCACATCCCAACCCGTCGCCGTGATCGAACCCGTCGTCTCCGTAGTTCCCCAGGTCTGCGTCATGAACAATCCCTTCCCGATCTTCCCACTGACTTCCCTAGCCAATTCAACCCCCATGGGAGCCGCACCCGCAATCGCGACCCCCAAGCCCTCAAAAAGCCCACTCCGAGGAGCTTTGGAAACCTGCAACCAGATCGGCGGGACAGAAAATTGTACCGTAATCCCATATTGCTCGGCATACCCCACAAACTCCTCAAACTTGTAGTTTCGCATCCAATACGCCGTGCCGCCCATGTAGACCGGATTCATCGCATACATCATGATTCCGGCGATGTGGGCCATGGGGAGGTGTGCGAGGGTGCGGTATTGGAAATTGGGATCTCGAGTGAGGAGGTGGGAGCTTACTTGCATGCTGATGATGTTCCCGGCTACGAGATTCCAATGGGAGAGGCGGACACCTTTGGGTAAGCCGGTTGTGCCGGAGGAGTAGAGGAGACAGGTAGTGGTGTTTTGGAGGTCGTGGAGGGACGTGAGGCGGGTCCATTCGAGCATGCGACTGCGACCGTCGGGGGAGTCCAGGCAATGGGGTTCTGACCGGTTGTAGAGTTGCCACGAGTTAGGTGTCTCAGAGTCCATGACGAGGATTCGATCTGAAGCGATTCGACATTTCCGTGCTGCTTCTTTCATGTGTGGTTCGTATTCCTCAGAGCATATCAGGAGTTTGGCTTCAGAATCTTGAATCTGCCGAGCTAGTTCATTGGCAGTGAAAGCGGTACTCGCTCCGCTGTAGACTCCTCCGGCGGCTATGATGGCGTACAGAATGATCGGGTAGAATGGACTCAGGGACGCCACGCAAAGCACAACGTCTTTGCCCGCGCCATGTTTGCCAATGCCGAAACGATGGCGAAGGACATGAGCGACTCGTCGAACGAGATCCCGAGCTTCTGACTTGGTGACTCCATTCGATTGGTTGTGCGCCCAGCAGTGGATCAAAGTGTCTTCTTTGGCACGACTCCATGTTGAGTCTGGAGGTCTGTAAGCAACGAATCCAAATGTGATTTCCATCCTGGCAATTACCGAAGAGCAAAGTCAATAAATCCACATGTGGCAGATCGACGTCTGCGTATTGTGAATGGTATAGATGCATCTTCTGCTGGGACGGAGAAATCAAAGTAGTGTGAATGTATTGGAGGAAGACGCAAAGGAGTTGTATCAGGTGTTCTTACTTTGATGCCAGCTCAGTACAGCGTCTTAGTACATGGAACCATCATCTCGACGGCGACTACCGCCTCCAGTGTGCAATCCGACTCGCTGTGACTCTGGTTGTGGCCAGCATTCTCGGGAAGACGAGGACGCTGTAGCAATTATCAGAGCGGGGTTCACCTTGCGATCAGCTTTGCCGGGGTAAGGTACCCTCGTGTCTCCGCTCAGAGCCGGAATTCAGGCATCCAGGCATCAACCTCCACAACAACTCTCTAAACGCCACTCCGAAGGCCCCCAAAGGTTGGCACGTAGGATGTTTCTGCCTCGCAGAGAGCGTGCACCAAGTGGGAAAAAGTGATATGCCACTCGAATTGCGCAGTATCGCCGTCGGAAGTTGCAAGTCGAGGGCGGATGTACCCGCGGAGATTTCCTGCTTTGGACGGAGCCGCAGAGGTAGGACAGCATGTGAAGAATGTATCTTGACTGTGAAGTTGACTAGTCACTCACTTGCATGGTCCGTGCACGTCACGCTAGTCGGCTCAGACGCGAAAGGCGCTTGGCGCGAAGGCGAGGATTCCGGTACACATGCGACTGCATGCGAAGAACAAGCCCAGCAGAGATTCTCACCTGAGGAAGTGGGGCATGCTGCCGACGAATTGCGTCTGCCTGATGAGTGCGCGTGTGCGGTAAGTCGACAAACGGTCTTCGCACTTGCGCCAGAGACACGAAGCCGTCACTCTCGACCTCAACTCCTCATCGATAGTGGTCGCTGAGGAAGCCGACTTCGCAAGATGACTAACAGCACAATCGGCGACGATTCGCGTATCACGAGTCACTCGCTGAGATTAAGGTTGAGGACCCTCGCTGTGCTCGCAATTCAGAGCCAACTCTACGGCTCCGCACTCTTTCCACAGCCCGAGGAGCAGAAAGTGTGTGGTGCCTCGCCGACCTCCATATCAAGGGTACGAAATAGCGCGACCAGAGTACCCGAATACATCATATCCAACTCCCGATATTCTCTCATCAGTCAATCGTCAAATCCGTAACAAGGCAAGTAAGATCTTCCAGAGCGAAGCAGAATTCTGTAAGGTGGTATCGTTTCGGGCCCCATGATGAGCAGGAACAAAGCACAATTGCGCGAGTACGCTTGGAGCTTCCACAGGGAGTGAAGCCAACTGCAGACACGAGAGCATGGCCGAACATGTTTTTAGCAGGGAACAGCGAGACGTCAACTCGATGCTGCGAGTCATTGCAATAGGTGTCAACGAAACCTTATTAATAACACGCAAGCTGTCACGCGGGATTGTAAATAAGAATTTCCTTACGTCAGCTCTTGCGCAGCTCTTCTCCTACCTCTCCTTCCTCTTTTCGCGATATTACAGGTACCGCGATATAGATTGGCGTGTAACCGTCATTGCCATGTCGCCATGGAACTCGGCAACGGCATACCAGACGCGTATAAGATGTCGGCGACCGCTTCCTCCTTCACGTCCACGTTCAACTCCACGTCCCCCCGCGCCTCGTTGACGCTCCCGCGGGAGAGGTGATAGCTGATGGCGGAATCGACGCATGGAGAAGCTGAGGTGCTGATAGGAGCTGGACGATTGGTGGCGGTCTCCGATGTTCATCCCTGTCCACTACCTTCCAGAGATTGATCTCGCATCCTATTCTTAGTCAGACGCCCACAGAAGCGTCCTCAGCGCCAGTAATCTCTTGGTTTTCCCGTCTACCTCGACTTTCGGACGCGTCCACGGTATTACAGGTAAGCCTCTGGCAGGTCCGAATTCCTATCTTCACTCAACCTCCCTCCCTCCCTCTTCATGACCTGTACCACACACGCCGCCATGTGTGCGACGACATGATCCCGCCAGTGCAGCCATCTCCGCGCATCAAGACGCCCAATCGAGGACTCCGCACCACCATGAAGACCCTCACTCTCTATGGCACCGCCTTCGTCCTGATCGCGACCATTCTTATCTTCATCGCGACTCAGTCCGGGTCGAGCGTGCCTCTCGACGACATCTCCGACGGCTACAGATCCTCCAAGGACCGCGCTCCGCCCAAACCCCAGAACCCTCAGGCCCCGCTGCCGCAGACACACACACACGAAGGCTGGCAGTTCGAACACAAACGAGATGCGCGCAATTATGGCTTGTCCGAAGAGCAGTGCAATGTCGCATTCCCTCAGCTCTTCAAAGAGGTGGGCAGGGCCGTGCAGCACAGGAGAGAAACATGGGGAGACATCACGCCGGACGAGAACGAGGTGGAATGGCGCAAGGACGGCATTGTGCGCGCAATGATTCACGAAAATCAGCTATACATTATCAATCCTCTCGAGGTATGGGATGGGAACCACAGGCCGCGGACCATGGCTACGCTTCATTCCATTCATCGGGCAATCTCGGCATATCAGGGCAAATTACCGGACATCGAGTTCAGTTTCACCGTGCAGGATTTCGCCATGGACGATAGAGATGGCAATTACACCACTTGGACATACACACGGCTGCCACATCAGGAGAAGCTATGGCTCATGCCGGATTTTGGCATGTGGGGATGGCCAGATGTTGGACTGAGATCCTACCCCGAGTTCCAGGCCGTCATAGAACACGAAGAGGACGAATTCGTCGACAAAGTGCCCAAGGTCGTCTGGCGTGGCTCCGTAGCTGTCGGCTCCAAGGACGTGCGACAGGGTCTTGTGGAGCACAGCAAGGGCTACCCATGGTCTGATGTTCAGGTCTTGGATTGGTCCAACTCGAGCAACATCGAGGAGAGACTGCTCTCCATGCAGGACCACTGCTCCTACATGTTCATGGCCCAGACCGAAGGCAACTCGTACTCCGGCCGCCTCAAGTTTCTTCTCAACTGCCACTCGATTCTCTTCTCCCACGAGCTCGAATGGCTGGAGCTCTATCACCACTTGTTGAAACACGAGGGTCCCGACCAGAACTACATCCGTGTCAAACGAGACTACCGAGATCTACCAGAGCACATGTCGTATTACACGAAGCCCGCCAACGTTGCCAAAGCCCAGAAGATCGCCGACAACGCACGCCGAATTTTCCGAGAACGCTACCTCACCCCCGCAGCTGAGGCATGCTACTGGAGGGCCCTGATCCGCGGCTGGGCAAGCGTCCAGGGCTTCACACCAGAGTTCTGGGTTGAAGTCAAGAAATTCGATAAGGTCTACCAAAAGGAACGCACCAAGCGGGTGCCTCGAGGCGCGCCCTTTGAAGCTTACGCGCTCATGGAAGAAGTAGAGTGGGATATTCCGGCCAAGCCGCGGGTTCTGCATGTTGGATATGATCTGGAGGAAGAAAGAGAACGGAGGAAGAAGATTGCGGAGGAGAGGGCAAAGAAAAAGGCAAACCCTTGAATTGTGGAGAGTCAAACCGGTTGGATAACTAACTGGTCTCCTTGGCGTATAAAGCGTGGAGTTTTAGGCGGGACCTAGAGATACACAAGATCTGGGCTCTCTCTCTCTCTTGTGCATAGGGGCGGTGAGATGGCGGCTCCAGCATCGTTAGATTCCCTGTTCAGCATTCGAAGGCGTTTTCCCGGGTAGAATCGATATATGATAGCGGCAGGTGTGCCGTCGATATGAAAGCATTATCTACTCAGAAGGACAAACAAATAGCAAAGCCCATGGAAGCTCCGAGCTCTTCGCTCCGCTGCGGAAACATGAGTATCTATGAGAAATTGACAAGCGCATGCAGGACGAAATTCGGCGAATGCTCCCAAAAAATTTGGAATTCCGGGACCTGGATTCATGGAATATGCCGGTGGGACTTTTGAAGGCTTTACTAGCTGCGGAGATTCTCGCGGAGTAGGTGATTCCAACTCTTTAGATGACGATTATTGTAGGGTCTTCAAGTATTGAAGTAAGTATTCGAAGGGGAGCCTGCGGCGAAAGTACTACTCCGCTTCTCCAGCCCTTTGGGAAAACCTTAGGCAATACTATTGCTTGCACGAACTTTAATAGTAGAGGAGGCAAGCTACGTAGGTAGGATTGACTCCTCACGAGCGGATTTTGCTTTTGAAGCCGCCAATCTAGCTATGCACCTGGGTGATTCTTAATTCTCTTCTTGACATTGCCTCTGTGCCATAGCTGGGGGTTAAGAGCGATGCCTAGGACACTCTGGACTATCTGACCTGACTTTGGACAAGACGACTTCCTCGGCTAGGTGCTTCAGTAACGCTGAAGAGCCAGACGCAGCTATGGCTTTCACCACAGAGAAGTCCGCCTATACTCCAACTTACCACAACAACAAAGTATCTCATCCCTTACAGAAACCCGTTGTGTCATTCTTTGTCGTGTTGACTCAAGTGTCATAGGACTCTCCGTACGCCCTGCCTAATGACGCACCTGAACATGTTCGCCTCGAGACCCAAGCCCACCACCTTTCCAACATCATGAACAATCAAATCATCCATTCCCCTATATCGCCTTCAGAGAACCTCGAACTGGTCATTCTCGACGTTGGATGCGGCACGGGGATTGTAACAGACTACCTCGCCAAGCGCTATCCAACGGCCAAGGTCTACGGCTTAGATCTCTCCCCCGTCCCAGCATTGCACGAGAGACCACCGAATGTACAATTCCTTAGGGGCAATATCCTCACCGATCAGCCGAGCAGTTGGCACGCGTCGGATGGATCGAAACCTTTCCAGGGGAAGGAAGAAGAAACGGGGTTGTTTGATCTGATCTTCTCGCGATTGCTGGTGTGCGGGCTGTCGGACTGGGATGGGTATATCTCCACCGCCCATCATCTCCTCAAACCCAATGGATACCTGGAAATCCACGACGTAGACTGGACCTGGTACAGAAATTCGTCTTGTGATCCTTCCGACATCGTCTCCAATACCTGGCCTTGGTGGCGGGAGGTCGTGTCCGCCGGGCAGGCCAAAGGTCTCGATTGGAGTTGTGGCTCGAATGCCGGCTCACGCATGGAGAAGTCTGGCTTTGCGGATGTCAAGGTGGAGAAGTATCGATGGCCGTGGGGAGGGGAGTGGGAGACTGAGGCAGCGTGGAAGGAATTTGGAAATTATGTGCATTCTGCTTTGACGGGCATGACGTGGCATCTGATTCCGAAATTGATGGAAGGACGGGAGGATGAGGAGGGGATTGAGAGGTTGCGAGGGGATATGGTGCGGGACTTTAGGCCGGAGAAGGGGAAGGTCTGGTGGATGTATGTTAGTGTTGGGAGGAAAGGGCGGGTAGGGAGTGAGGAGTGAGATATTCTCAGCGTATGTGGGAATTATGAAAGCTGATGCGTTTTGTCCTAGTCGGGAAACTGTCAATAGTCGTCCTGAACACGTCGCTCGAGTCATTACAGTATCTCGTGATGATTGACTGAGAGTGATGGACAGGAGCACCATGTGGCTTCTGCAAGGGACGGCCTGGCCGCGTTAGTCATCCACCCGCGGCTCCCGGAACTCTTCTTCAAACGAAACCTCCGACCTTTCCCTGCACCAGGATGCTGAAGGGGATGTCTCGAACGGGGAAACAGTTACAGGCGTTCTTTGGAGGCTTCGACTGGAATTCCTGCTCTGATGCAGTGGCATCGTCATCTCTCCAGCGATACGTGATCGGCAAGAGTGGGGCATATTCACAAGAGCAAGCACAAATTGAAAGATGGACGACACGACATCACCAACGCCCGCGCAGGAAGAATCGCTGAGCGCCTACCGAGCGAGACTGAAAGGTCAACAACAAGCAAAGCCTCTGATCGAGCAGGTCAGCAACCAGTGGAAGTCCGACAAAGCGGATCCTTACGGCACAGACGAGGAGTTCCAAGAAATCGGCTTCTGTGATCTCGACGAAGAGGGGAGCTGCGCCAATGTCAGCCGGGATATTGTTGCTTCGAGACGCTTTCGCAGGATGATTGCATATGCGCTGCTCTTTGGCGTAGCGCTGTACTACCTATGGTCGAGATATGTGCAACCGCCATTGGACGACGAATGGGCATACAAGGAGGGTTTCGTGTCACAAAAGAACGGAACGTACGGCATTGCACAAGGAGGTGACCTTGATGCGGATTTGGTGAGGATCAAAGACTTGGACAATCACTTGCTGCCGGGCGGACCTCATGATCCAGATGGCAAGAGACGACTGGTGTTCGTGGGAGATGTCCATGGATGCAAGAAGGAACTCATCGAGCTGTTGGAGGAGGTCGGCTTTCGGGAGGAGACGGACCACCTTGTCCTGACTGGCGATGTCATCTCAAAGGGTCCTGACAATGTCGGGGTACTCGATGAACTCATCCGGCTGAATGCTACCAGCGTACGAGGAAACCACGAAGACCGAATCCTTCACGTGGCTGAGAACCTGGACCTGACTGCAACGGATGTCCCTTCCGAGCAATCTACCAGCAAAGGCTTCTCCAAAGACGCTGCCATCTACCGCCAGTTGAAGCCACATCACGTTCGATACCTTCGAGACATGCCGCTAATGCTTCACATCTCGTCCCTGCCACAAGCTCTCACCCCTACCAAGAAAGATTCTTCGCCTATCGCCGAACACATGCTCGTTGTACACGCGGGCTTGGTGCCAGGCGTCCGCCTGTCAAAACAGGACCCGTACTTCGTTATGAACATGCGCTCTATCAACCGCCGTACCCACGTACCTTCAGCTCAACGAGAAGGAAAGAATGCGAAGCCCTGGTATGACCTCTGGGGCTGGTACAACAAGCGAATCTTCAAGCGACTATCAACGGACAATTTCCACATAACCTTGGACGAGCAAAGTGAAGCTCTAGGGGCCTCCGGATCTGATTACTGGCCGTCTACACTCTGGAAGAACTTCTTTGGGTCACGGAAGTCCCATCTAAAGCCTCAGGTCGTCGTATATGGCCATGACAGCAAGTCTGGACTACAGATCAACCGCTTTTCCAAAGGGTTGGATTCGGGCTGCGTGGGAGGCGGAAAGCTCACAGCAATGACACTGGATGCGAAAGGTCGGACTCGCTTCTTTCACGTGGGCTGTGACAATTACAGAGGATAGCCTGCTTGTTACTGTCCTTAGACTCAGCAAGCTGATCTCTGGTTCCCAGACGAGTCGGAAGGCAGTACAGTGGAATGCCAACCAATCCGGATGCTCACCCAAGGGTATAAATATGCTTGATTTCTTCTGAGAGAAGAGACTCGCCACAAAAGACGAGTAATGGGAAAGTGTTGAACGGCGGCGCTTGGGAAGCAGATTGTTGGGCCATCGCGCTTGGACAGCAAATACCTTCTCACTCGCGAAGCGAAACTGTGCTTGGTCCCATGGTCCGGCATTGGGCATGAGGCTTGCTTCTTTGCGCCCCACGTCTGTTAAGATATTGATTGTTGTTGCGTATAAGCGAGGCGTTTCTTTTTGGATTAGAGGCTTTCCTTGTTGGTGACTAGTTGACATACCCCGAGAATTAGACTCATTAGACCTTGCCAATTTTTGTCCCCTGTGCCACCCTCTCCCCCCGTCCTTTTCTACGTCCACATTTCAGGTTACCGCTTCGTCCCCTGAGGCTCAGAGACTTTGTCTCGCACGCTGCTCAATCTTCACAATCTCGACTCCTTTCCTTCCGCTTGGCTTGGCTTCAAACTCTGCATCCCGCACGCATCGACACAACAATTTCGATTCGCCCGTGGTTGCAAAGTGGCGCGCTGTCCATTCATGTTGGCTTTGTTTCCTACGTTCGTGATCTAGGATAAAAAGCCCCCCACCATCCAAGTCAGTTGCAGTCATCATTGGTAATTTCCATCCTCACCTTCCTTCCACCCAACGCAGCCTGAGTGTCCCGGGCTCTTGCAAGGTCTTCGATATATATGTACATACGCGCTGGGAACCGTGCACGGGCACTGGGGACGTCAGAATCGCGTTGCAGGCTAAAGTGACGCGTCCAGTGCACGATTTAGCTAAGGCACAATAGCAGAAATTGAAAGTGGTAATAGCCACACATCACGTAAAAAGGCCTTGTCGTGTCTATGATGACCTGTGGTCGCGTTAGGTGGCCGCGAATGTATCCCTCGACGGTGGCACTGCTCTTTGGAGGAATCGAAGTCGGGATATATGACTTGACCGAACGGTAGGGTGTAAAGTGTTTGGAAGGGTTCACAAGGAATTCGATGCCTTGTGCGGGTGACGGCATTCCGCCTATGAGGATATTCAGCCATCACAGTACGATTCTATGACCCAGTCAGGCACGTGGACCGGTAATTTCGATGCAGATGCATGCGTCGGAGCATCACCCTTTCGCCGGGCTCAAATTTGCCGTAGCCATTCTCGTCTTCAATAGCAAATGACAGAAGCCATGTCTGGAGCAGCATGGCCCGAATCAAGTCGTTCAGACAGCATGTCGACACTGGTACTGCCGAGACGCCCTGCCAGGTAGGCCAATATATTTTGCACAGCCGAAGGCATGGTCGACAAGTCCGACGGTCATGCATATGACTTGTCGGTGCAATTCCCGGTCCTACTGTAGATCGTACAGGCTTCATTGGAGCTGTCTGTGGTGCACAATTGCAAGCTTCGAAGCGTCCACCAGAAGTGGTGCATGAAATTCAAGATGTCCATGTTCTTCTACTTCAATGCCGCACGGCAGCCAGGAGAGATTTGTACATTACGATGCAAATCCTACTTTCTCCTTTGCTTTGCCCCTGCCCTCGCTCCAGTTTTATGACTTGCTATTTCTCCGCAGGGACTCCGAGATACGAAGGGCGATTTGGAGGAGTTCGTTGGTGCGTCGAGTACGTCGCTACATCGCCCTGCTATAACATAGCCTCGAGAACCAGATCTTGGTAGTGCAACTTTAGCCGAAGATGGTCATCCTGCTGACGCCAGTCTGGTAATAGTCCATGCGGGTCATTTCCCACTGCTAGTGGTGACATGAGTAGTTGCCCTCCAGCTTTCCATCGCAAAGCCCAGACGTGAGGGCATACTGGTGGGTATCTTCCAGCTTTGGGGCAGATTCGCCTTGATCTTTACCATGGCCATTCCGAAGAGGCCGGAAGCAAAGCATACACTTGATGTGGGATCCGAGCACTCCGCATCGCCATGGAAGGTCTGAGCCGGTCATGTTCGTACGTGTTCCAGTCGAGATGATCCAGTCCACAGAACAAGTGAATCCGTTTGCTGAGAATAATCTCTTGCTTGATTCGAACGCGTCCGTCGGAAGTAAGGTCTACGCTGTACTTCTTGAACAGCATTTCTCTCAGCGAAAAGTGTTCGAGGTGTATCGTTCTGGGTAGGCGCCTTCACCAATCGCCGTGCAGCTGCAAGGTCTTATTCAGAACTGAGATGACAAGCCGAGTGCCAAATGGAGTCTCTCGGAGGAACATAGTGAGGTAATGGCATTACTGTGTCGATGAGGGCGTCTCCCGCTTCTGGCGAAGATGTTGACGCGTCGAGAGGAGACGTGAGGTTGCAGCGGCAATTAAGATTCCGGCAAAACGTTGATCCGGGTTATTCGACCTGCTCTGGTGTGCCATTTTCTCCTCCTCACTGCGAGACCGTCACTTCCATTCGATCTGCGTAGATCTCCGGAGCGCGACATTTTAGAAGCCCACTGTGCCACTGAACTCTTCCAACGGACTCGCAAAGCTCCTGCTCACCAAGGCGGCAGAAAGACCACCTTTGGCAAAACTCGCCATCATGTTCCAGCGCTTACCAAGCCCTGGCTGACAGAACGGTCGTTCTCAGCAGCAGCCGCAGCGACAAACCATCATCATGTCAACGTGCAGACTGAGTGCAGCACTTGCAGCGTGTCCCCGGTATGCGAGCGACTGACAGCAACACTTTCCATGCGCTTGCAAGCGTGATCCTGGAGTGCTGGTCAAGGATGTGGAATAATCTCGCACAGCATCGAAGCTCGGCCGATCGATGTGCGCGAATCGACGAGCAGACTCCTCGTCACGCCGCAATGATATACCTACCGCAAAATTAGCGTTGGGTGGATGTCAGCGTAGCAACCATCAAACGGGCTGTCCTCTCAGCGCGTTGCAGGCCCGGGCAAGACCGTGGTGGTGGTGTCTCCTACGGGCGAGAGGTGTTCATGCACCCTTTTGCCCCAACACCAAGTTACGGCAAACTGGACCCTTGACATGGATGCAAGATAAGGGCGGACCCGAGGACTCGGTTGCGGCGTCTTGGCTGATAGGGCAGAAGGTTTCTTCACGAGATGATTCTGAAACCCACCCTCAACGACAATTTCCTTTCAAGATACAAACCTTCAACGATCCAACCGGACCGGCATGTGAAGATGGAAAGAGTACGACATTTGATGTTTGTGCCCACGGCACGCGTGTCTGAAATAGCTGCGGGGTGCGTTGGGGGTTGGCCGGGGCGCTGCTTGTGCCGACGTTTCATCGAGATATACCACGGGTACGCGAGGTGTTTGGATCGGGCGTGGCCTGGCAATGCACAGATGCTATCGAGATGCTACTGTATGGAAGGTGAAGGATGTGGGAGGCGTTTGCAAATGGGTGCAAGTAGCGTGCACATGAATGGTCCTGTTCATTAGCCTTGTGACGCTTATCAAGGACGGGCTCGCTCGGCGCACGTCATGTGAAGTGAATGGATACAACGGGAGTGCAGTTGGTGGAGGAGTGGATCGGAGCGGGGCGGGGCGTGGCGTGGCGTGGCAACCATGCCGTGCGCTGTGCCACCCATTAATCATTATTGAGTATCTTTCGGTACCGTATCTTTTGGTCCAGTACAGGTACACAGGTATCTTTTGGGTGACATTTCCCAAAGTGGGGTTCCCGCCTCTGCCCATGATGTGTCTGTCTAAGTTCAGGGTTGTCGGTGTGTTTGGCTTCATGGCCGCGGAGCCGGTGATCGTAATCGCTCCATGCGGTCTTGGCAGATCTCCATCAGCTGAATCCTTGAAGGCCATCCTCGTGCAATCACTACCTAGTACAATTCTACTGTGCCTCGCACTCGCTTTCTTCCCTTCCCTTCCCTTCCCTTCCTTCCTTTCCTCCCTCCCTCCCTCCCTCCCTTCTCTCTTCCCTTCACTTCACTCCGCCGACGATAACAGCCACACACTCCATCCCCCACCGCCATCATGGGCCGATTCGGCTTCGGCTCCTCGGACAAAGAGAACGCGAGCGAACACAGCACCGGCGAGCCTTTGCCCGAGTTCAACGGAAATGCCGAGCTCCAAGAAGGCCTCGTCGTCGAGAATGGCGACCAGCTGCAGCGACATCTCGCCAACCGACAGATCCAACTCATCGCCATCGGAGGCTCCATTGGAACCGCCCTCTTCGTCAGCATCGGTTCCGGCCTGTACCATGGAGGTCCCGCCAACCTGTTGATCGCATATACCCTGCAGAGCTGCATCCTGGCCATGGTCAACAACTGCGTTGCAGAGATGAGCACCGCGTTCCCCGTTAGTGGCGGCTTTATTCGTCTGGCTGGTCACTGGGTCGATGATGCCCTGGGGTTTATGGTCGGATGGAACTTCTTGTCAGTTGCATCACGTGGGGGAAATGCTGCTTGCACGAGACTCGACTGACGTGGTGCTGTAGTTTCTACGAAGCTCTCCTCATTCCCTTTGAGATTTCCGCTTTTGGTCTCGTGGCCTCCTTCTGGAGTCCAACGGTGACGGAGACTGGACCCATCGCTGGAATCATCGCCGGTGTTATCATTGCATATGCGTAAGCTTGGCCCCCAACCCTCTCACCGTGCAGAGACTCACCTTCATTCAGCTTGATCAACATCCTCGCCGTCAAGGCCTACGGAGAAGCCGAATTTTGGTTGTCGGGAGGAAAAGTCGTCCTGATCTTCTCCCTGTTCTTCTTCACCTTCATCACGATGGTCGGAGGGAACCCGCACCACGACGTGTACGGCTTCCGAAACTTCAACCACGGCCAGGCCTTCCAGGAGTACATCGCAACCGGTCCGCTGGGTCGATTCGAGGGCTTCCTCGCCGCCATGTCCTCTGCTCTCTTCACCGTCGTCGGCCCGGAATATATCTCCATGGTTGCAGCTGAAGCCGTCCGCCCGCGAACTTACATCAAGGCAGCGTTCAAAATGGTGTATGCTCGATTCGGAATCTTCTTCATTGGAGGTGCTCTGGCTGTTGGCATCGTTTGCCCTTCGCGCGATCCAGCACTCCGCGCTGTCGTCGTGGGCGGAGAAGGCCATGGCTCTGCTGCTTCGTCTCCATATGTGATTGCCATGGAGAACCTGCAGGTCAAAATCTTCCCATCCATCGTCAACGCGTAAGTTCGACGAAATGACCGGTCACGGCCATGGAACTTCTCGCTAACATTGGGATACAGTTTGATGTTGACATCCATCTTCTCGGCTGGTAACACCTACACGTACTGTGCTGTTCGTAACCTCTACGGTCTAGCCCTCGAGGGAAGAGCACCTCGATTCCTCCAGAAGTGCACGAAGAACGGAGTACCGATCTACTGCTTCTGCGTGGTTATGGTCTTCCCCCTGCTCTCCTTCCTCCAGGTCTCGAGCGGCTCTTCGACCGCGATCACTTGGTTCGCCAATTTGGTGACAGCTGGAGGCCTCATCGACTACATCGTCATGTGCATTACCTACATCTTCTTCTACCGCGCCTGCAAAGCGCAGGGTCTCGATCGCAAGACTCTGCCATACACGGGCTACTTCCAGCCCTACTGCGCCTGGATCGCACTCGTCTGGCTCGTCGTATGGACGTGCATCTACGGTAAAAATATGCGCCCACATTGAGTAGCATCCCCGTCATCTGACTGACTCCTCCTTCCGCAGGCTACAACAGCTATCTCCCCTGGGACGTCTCCACCTTCTTCTCGCAATACACCATGCAAATCTTCATCCCCCCGCTCTATCTGATCTGGAAGTTCATCAAGAAGACCAAAGTCATCAAGCCACACGAGGTAAGTCTCGGACCCCTGTCGCGCCCAATCAACGTCCGTCCCTCACTCACTGACTCAATCCCACAGGCCGACCTGGTCTGGGATCGCCCCATCATCGACGCGTACGAGGCGACGTTCGTCGGGCCTCCGAGTGGTTTCTGGCAGGAACTCGGTCAGATGGTGGGTATTGGCAGGCATAAGGGGGGCAATGAGCAGAGGAGACGAAGTAGTGTCGTGGTGGTGGGGGATCCTGAGAAGTAGAAAGGGGGCCCCGAGGGATGAATAGATACCGAAACGCGATGATGGATGGGTTTGAACAGCACACATGAGAAATGACATGAAATGAAATGAAGCAGAAGTTCCGAGAAAAAATTGTGTTTCTTGCTCGGCGGGAGTGCCCCGTCAGGCCTTCGTTCAGGGTGCTGCCTGATCATCGACTTCTTCGCTGGCGGGCTCATCTGCTACGCCCTCCATCCCGAAGCACGCAGAGCGTGGACGCTCCGCGGTCACTACTTGCACGTACGCCCCGGGCTGGGATCGTTAGGATCCATGCTTGTTCTCCTTTGGAGCATTTCCGGCCCGTACCCCGGGCAGGCAGAGGATAGCTCCTCGCAATTCGCCAATAATTAATTACCAAGACAGTGGATCGCTCAAGTCTGTCGCTCGCCAGGCTACGGGTTGCTCAATGAATTCCATCCTCGGATCATCGATATTCCATTCATGGGGAAAGTCGTCGACCCACATTTACGCCCTTATAGGGAGGGGGGCTTGGATCGTAGATTCTGAATCCGAACGGCTGGCTTCGAATTGAGAGACCTGTCTATCACGTCAATGGAAAGTCTCTTGACTGAGGTTTGTATCGAGCCCCTCTGTTCGCGAAGTGCTGAGCGTCGAAAAGAGGGAAGCCTGAAACCTTGTCCGATGATATCAAAAGTAGAAGGATGGTCTTTCTGTCTTCTCATGATGAGACAAGGGGGAAGGGCAAAGTCGCCTACCAGGCCAGGCTGGCTGGCGTCATGTTGTGAGTTCCAGAGACAATATTGAGGCAGAAAGTGGCCAGATTTTGCATCGTGACCGACAATGTGCTGCAACTCGAGTGCCTACACATACTGCTTGGAAGCTCTTGCGTTGCACTGCAGAGTCCAGTCCAGCAGCTCGAGTATTTGTCAGTCCTGTGCGCCAGCCCGTAGCATGCTCCTGTACGAAGTTCTGTTCCTAGTACCTAGCCGCTGAGATGTGTCCTCCATGATGCGGACTGGTCCTGATACAGATAATCCTCCACGAGGTCGGCTAGCCCTTAGCCATCGATGAAGACGGCTGGATCTTCGTCAGACTGCTGACCCCAGGTATACGAAACGGCGTTAGAAGCAGGTGCACTGTGGGTGCTCTTTCGAGATCCCAGACGCTCAGCTCCAGATGCATCTTGTCATTCTTATTTCCAGGGAGCACGTAGAGAAGTCGGATCTGACACTGTGGTCTCTCCAATGGTTGGAGCGTGAATCTATTGACACAATGAGCCGTCCCCAGGTTTCGTAAAGACATGTTTCCATGCGCTTGAATTCGTGAGATCATAATATGTGAACAATATACGAGCATTCCACCAAGATAACGGTAGTAAACTGAGGCTGAAACGCAAGATGGCCGGGCGGCAGAACCCGGGCCGATTCCGGACCTGGACAACATCCGCTTTAGTAGCGTGAAAGAGAGAAGAGCTTTTGAACTCGATGCTATTGGAAAAGCACAGGGCGCCAAGTGGAATACACCTTGATGATTTCTCGCGCATTGTGATTCTCAAGTCTCAGCCCTCCTCCAGCTCGAATTGAAGTCTCGCAAAGGCGGAGCTGTCCTGCCGGTCCATCTCTGCTCAGGTCTCGTGAAGCCGAGTTGCTCCCGTTCCACTTTGGTCGTGCTTCCGTGATCATTACGGGCCACTTGAACTTCAACGTTCCCTCCAAAAGTACATCGCGCTCCGTTTAGCTCCCTAGCCGCACGCTCAGCCTCGTCGGGGGTTGCGAGGTCGACAAAGCAATAGTGTTGGTAACCGAAGGATCGTCCAGTCCAGGGATCCGTACGTACGACGAGTTTGCTCACAGCTTGAACTTCGAACCCGTCAAACATCCTCCGCATCTCAACTTGCAGTGCGTCTTGGTGTGAGATCTTTGGCAGATTGTCAACGCGTACGCGGCGTGAGTCAAGCAATGGGTCCACCCAATGACTTTTCGCATCATTCCGCTCCCATCGGTTGAAGACGAAGGCTTCCTTGTTCGGGTCGTGAAAATCCGGCAGAGGCCGGCTTGGAGTTGTTCGTTTTTGCGTGTTGAAGTTCACCTTCATCGGCCGTCCTCGAATTTTCTGCCCTTGTAACATCTCCATCGCCCGAGAGGCATCTTCGGCGTTGGCAAAGTCGACGAAGCAGTAGCTTGGATTTCGCCCAGAGAATGGATCAGTGGAGAAGTCGACATTGTGGTATTGAACTTGGATTTCGTTTAGCAGGTCGACTATCTCTCTTTTCTGCGCCACGTAGGGCAGGTTTCCAAGATATAGACGTGTGCTAGAGGTCGCCATTGCAAGTGGGGATGGTCGTGTGAGACGAAAAAGGTTTTCGCAGCGAGTGAGAATAGTTATGGGTCCCCAGACCCAGACAAAGAATTAGTAAGCGTGCCTGTCCTTCACCAATGCGGAGCGCAGACGAATTGCATTCACCATTTATCACATGGAACAAAGGCCTGGACAGTCACTTCGCGAACTCGATGGCTTGAATGCCTTTCCAGTCCTCACGAGTTCTGCCAACATCGATTGACCCCTGGTCAAGCGGGCTGTCCAATTGGGGCCCTCCACGGGATCATGCCAGTGCCAGTGCCATGAGTTTCTTCGAGAATCTTCCTCAGGCGCTCCAACATTCTTCTCCGTAGTGCTCTCAACTATCTCTGCTCAGTCGACCTCTGCCTTCACTCCGTCTCCTTCTCCTCGAACTCTTTCCCATGAACCTCCCCGAACTCTTGCTCCTTCCAGAAGCCAGCACTCTGCGCCACAGACCGGATCGTGGTAGTCTCGCCCGACACCGTCGCAAACGTCAAATCCGCAAGCAGGACGACTGCCAATCCTTGTAGAACGAGATAACCCATCATCTGAGGCTTTGGCGCAGGAGTCCGTTGCAGGCCGAGGAAAGTACGAGTTTGCTGTGGACGGAAGAGCGCACGCGGCTGTGGACGTGGACGAGAGGGGAGAGGAGACATTGTGATGGTCGTTTGGCGGCTGTATGTGAATATTGATGGAGTAGATGGCATTGCAGAGGTTGATCTCCACTGGACATCTACGCCAACTGTGAATGGCCCGGGCTCTCTGGACCCGCTCTTCTGTCCCAGTTGGGCAGGCCGATCAACATCGCACGATCGGATCCCTTCTGCCTAGGAGGTCTCCCTTGTCCCACATTCACACCATCAGACTTGTACTTCTTGGAAGTGTCAGGCAACTAAACTAGTTCTCTTGCGCCTCTCGCAGTTTGACGAAAGGCTACACAAATATCAGTGCCTTGAATATTTGATTGACACCTGACGCGTTGTACCTTGTTTGCGCTGTAATTCTTCCTTCAAACACTTGTTACTCTTGCCACTGCTGTTCCAATTTTGAGAATCCTTCTATCCAAACATCACGATATCTAGCCATGGAGAACGACAGTAGTAGCAAAGCGCAAGAAGCCGCTCGAGACCAGCAGACATACGAGGCTCCACCTCCAGCGTACGAAGAAGTGAGCAAAGACGGATACCAAATCATCATGACAGGAAACGCAAGCGAGAAAGCGCAGACACGACCACCGCAGCCCAATATCGCCGAGGACGTCCCTCTCCTTCCAACACGAGCAACGTCAGTCCAAACGACAACAGACTCTGGATTGCCGCTGACTTTCACGTTCACCTGGCGTCGCCCTTGGACAGACTACCCGGCCCTGCTCATGACACCTTGCACTCCTCTCCAGGCTGCGGACTCTTTCATCCAACCAACCTCTGAATGGCGTCTGAACTATGAAAAGAAATACTTCGCTCGTTTGCACCGATACGGAGCCGACAAAGACAAAGGAGACTTCCCCATGCGCCAGGTCGCAGAAGTGAAATATCCCGAATTCAAACTGGGCGGTGGGCCGGTCATCACGTTCGAGCCTCACGAAGAGGAAATAGCTAGGAGAGGAGCGAGACATGTCAGCAGAACCGATCGATTGATGCTCTGCACCGGTTGGTTTTCGAGCAGGTTTGGGATTGATCTGCCCGTCAGCAACGGAGCGAGATGCGAGTGGCGGGCGGTGAGGGCAGAAGGAAAGGAAAACGACTTAGAGGCCCAGGAAGGCGTTACTGTCAATCCCGCGGCCGTCAAAACACCAGGAAGCACTATCATCGAAAGGCGACCCGCAAAAGCACAAACGCCGATGGAGACGTTTGAACAAGCCAGGAAGTTCGTACAGGACAATTCGTGGACCCCTTATCCAACCCAAGAGTTGGTCGAAGAGGTTTTCGGTACGGTAAGGGCAAGATACACTCGCGCAGCGCCTTGGGCGACACGGGATGGGACGCTTGAGATCCTGCAGCCAGAAGGAACGCAGATCACGCCGGGGTATATTGAGGGCATCGTCATTGTCGCGGCTGCTATGGTCGGCATGCAGGATCGAATGGGACTGGCGTCTGCGTTGGTCGAGGCGGGGGCTGAGTCAATCATGGCGAACAATGCTAGGAAAAAGCGCGAGTCCTGCACCGGCGATAGAGAGGAAGAAGGACGCCTACCTTTGGAGCCGGTTCAAACGCAGGATACAACTGCGAGGGAGAAGATACAGCCTCAGAAAATATAAGGGTATGGGTGTCTCCGTCGTCAGAAGGGGAAGCGGGATTTAACTAGAATTCGACATCGTCCTGCAACACTCCGTGTCAGGTAACGAGCAGCTATACTCAGTCAGGACATCCAGTACCATTTCGTCGCTGCTCGGCGTTCTTCTAATGCCCGTGGACACTTCATACCTGACAACCTACCATTTCTTTTTCATCCATTTGAGCGTGATGATACCCCAAGCGGACCGTAGCCGACCAGGAGGCACGCCTTGATCCGTCGCAGTCACCCAGGCCGTTGCCTTTCCATTGCGGCTGACTTTAATAGTCAGGTCGGATATCTGGGCACGATATCAGGACTTTGGGTAACTCGATTCTTGATCAAGTCCAAGAATTGCTCGCGGGTGAGCTGGTTGGATGCAGAGAAGAAAGAGCTCATTAGAGACGAAAAGGAGCGAAGAGTGAATGGGGAGACATGCATAGACACTCGTACGAATAATGCTGCGCGGTAGGCGGATCTCACATGTGTCAGCGTTGTGTTACGTGGGGCCGGGAGGTGAAGTCGAGATGAAGGTGTTTCTCTGGTGGAGACACCCAACGGAGAGAACCTTGAGAGGGTGAGAGGGACCGGACGGGCCGTGGATGCCGAAATGTTTGAGCATGTTTTAGCGGCAGCATCCTCGCACGCGGATTGGAGTGGTGCATTGAAGGCCTTGGCGCCGGGAGGGCGGTGCAGAGAGAGCTGCACACTGGAGGCAGCCAAGCAGCATGGAAGAGCGCGTAGACAAGATTGTCGCTCTCGGACCCTTGTGCCCGCACTCTTGAACAAGGTCGCTCTCCGCCTCTGCCGCCAACCTACCCTGATCCTGAAACAACCCAGAACCGCCGCTACACCCGCCTATACCACGCACCACACCCTCATGCAGTCGCATTGAGTGCGTCGCGCAAGACAGACGGAGGCCTTGATGGTCGCGCGAACGAGAGCCAGATAGCTCCGGCACCAGGCAGGCCAGCACACTCCCGCCAGGCCTGCCGACAATGGCAGGCAGAGCGGGCTATCCGCAAAACCAATCGCACCGAAACGACGACCTGTTAGGCCTGGACGAGGACGACGATGGGCTCATCTATAGCTCGGGTCGACCACCGCCCACCTCAGACGACCGCATACTACACGACTACGACACATCGAATTCGAGTAGTGCTCAGGGCCGAATAAGCACAACACATGACGACTTTGTCGGCTCCCAAACACTTCACCCCACGACATCCTTACCAGGCGGGCCAGGACAGCAACATGACCTTGCGACACCTCCACGGATGGGTGATCATGGTCGCAACTACTCCCAGACCTCCGGGTTGAACAACTACCAGCGCTATTCCGACATGGACCCCGAGCGGTTCTCCGACGGCGAGTCCATGGCCGGTGGGTATTATGCCGCGGGCGGGAACATTGACGAGGACGCAGTGCCAGGCATACCGATTCAGCATGGGAAGGGCAACCACAGGAGTCGCAACAGTATTATGAGCTTGGGTGGAGGTATCATGGGAAGAGCGAAGAACATGCTTGGCATGGGACCGGAGTATAGTGAAATGGACCTGCCCTTGACAGAGACGGGAGCGCATCGGACAGTGGGCAGTGGTGGGGTTGACAGTCTTCAAGACTCCGCTCCGCAGCAGCGCAAGACTCCCGGGTCCAAGTTCAAGTTTGGCCTGCCCGGCCGCGGCAAGCCTGACGCATCGACTCTCGGGCCTCGTATCATACACCTGAACAACCCACCTGCTAATGCGGCGAACAAGTACGTGGACAACCATGTCTCGACGACAAAGTACAACGCCATCACCTTCCTACCCAAATTCCTGTTCGAGCAGTTTAGCAAGTACGCCAACTTGTTCTTCTTGTTCACTGCAATCCTGCAGCAGATTCCGAATATCAGCCCGACGAATCGATACACCACAATCGTGCCTCTTGGGATCGTTTTACTGGTGTCTGCGGGAAAAGAAGCAGTGGAAGATAACAGGCGGAGGTCGCAGGACAGCCAACTGAACAGGAGCCCTGCGCGTGTGTTGAGAGGGTCAAGCTTCCAGAACGTGAGATGGATCGATATCAAAGTTGGGGATATTATTCGGGTGGAGTCTGAGGAACCCTTCCCCGCTGATGTGGTCTTGTTGGCTTCGTCCGAACCTGAAGGTCTGTGTTATATCGAAACAGCGAACCTGGACGGCGAAACGAACCTCAAGATTAAGCAAGCTATCCCGGAAACTTCACATCTCGTCTCGTCCGCAGAGCTCTCGCGGCTGGGTGGACGGGTCCGCAGCGAACAACCCAACAGCAGCCTGTACACATACGAGGCGACCCTGACAATGCAATCGGGAGGTGGTGAGAAAGAGCTTCCGCTCGCTCCTGATCAACTACTCCTGCGAGGAGCCACCCTCAGGAATACTCCCTGGATCCATGGCATCGTTGTCTTCACTGGCCACGAAACCAAGCTTATGCGCAATGCTACAGCCACGCCTATCAAGCGTACCAACGTGGAGCGCAGAGTCAATACTCAAATTCTCATGCTTGGTGGAGTCTTGGTCATCCTGTCCATCATCTCGTCTGTCGGCGATATCGTCGTGCGCAAGACAATAGGCCCTAACCTGTGGTTCTTGGAATACGTCCCAGTGAACTCCGCGCAGCAGTTCTTCAGTGACATCTTCACCTACTGGATTCTTTACTCTAACCTGGTGCCCATTTCGCTGTTCGTGACAGTGGAGATTATCAAGTACTACCAGGCTTTCTTGATCAGCAGTGACTTGGACATTTACTACCCAGAGACGGACACTCCAGCGAATTGCAGGACAAGCTCTCTCGTTGAAGAGCTCGGTCAAGTTGAATATATCTTTTCAGACAAGACCGGTACCTTGACCTGCAATATGATGGAGTTCCGCCAGTGCACTATCGGAGGATTACAGTATGCTGACGAGGTACCTGAAGACAGGAGGGTCGTTCAAGGCGAGGAAGGAGGCAATGGCATCTATGACTTCAAAGCGCTCGAGCAGCATCGGAGAGGCGGCAACAACATAGAGGGTATACACCAATTCCTCAGCCTTCTATCGACATGTCACACGGTCATTCCAGAGACCAATGCCGAGAAGCCAGGGAAGATCAAGTATCAGGCCGCGTCACCCGACGAAGGCGCGCTTGTCGAGGGTGCTGTACAGCTCGGCTATAAGTTCGTGGCTCGTAAGCCAAAAATGGTCACTATTGAAGTTGGTGGCCAGGAGTACGACTACGAGCTCCTGGCAGTCTGCGAGTTCAATTCTACCAGGAAAAGGATGAGCTGTATCTACCGCTGCCCGGACGGCAAGATCAGGTGCTATTGCAAAGGTGCTGACACCGTAATTCTGGAGAGACTTGGGTTTCGAGACGAAATGGTTGAGAAGACATTGCTACATCTCGAGGAGTATGCGTCCGAAGGGTTGCGAACGCTATGTTTGGCCATGCGCGAGATTCCAGAATCAGAGTTTCGCGAGTGGTACGATGTCTTCAACACTGCCGCCACGACCGTCAGTGGCAACCGAGCTGAAGAGCTCGACAAAGCTGCCGAGATCATTGAGCACGATCTCCAGTTGTTGGGTGCAACTGCCATCGAAGACAAGCTCCAGGATGGTGTGCCAGACACAATCCATACCCTGCAGACCGCCGGCATCAAGGTATGGGTGCTCACCGGAGACAGACAAGAAACAGCCATCAACATCGGCATGTCCTGCAAGCTCATCAGCGAAGATATGACCCTACTTATCGTCAATGAAGAGAACGCAGCAGACACCAGAGCCAATATCCAGAAGAAACTGGACGCTATCAACTCCCAACGAGCTGGCGGCATCGAGATGGAAACACTCGCGCTGGTCATCGACGGCAAAAGTCTTACCTTCGCACTTGAAAAGGATCTTGAGAGGCTCTTCCTGGACCTCGCGGTCACCTGCAAAGCGGTCATCTGCTGTCGTGTATCGCCATTGCAGAAAGCTCTGGTCGTCAAGTTGGTCAAGCGGCACATGAAGAGTATTCTGCTGGCCATTGGAGATGGTGCCAACGATGTCTCTATGATCCAAGCAGCTCATATTGGCATCGGTATATCTGGTGTCGAAGGTCTTCAGGCAGCACGCTCAGCCGACGTGTCGATCGCTCAGTTCCGATTTCTCCGGAAGCTATTGCTGGTGCACGGTGCTTGGTCCTATCAGCGCATCAGCAAGGTCATCCTTTACTTCTACTACAAGAACACTGCGCTCTTCATCACGCAGTTCTGGTACTCTTTCCAGAACGCCTTCTCCGGACAAGTCATCTACGAATCCTGGACATTGTCCTTCTTCAACGTCATTTTCACTGCCATGCCTCCTTTCGTCTTGGGCATCTTCGATCAATTTATCAACGCGCGATTGCTCGATCGATATCCACAGCTGTATCAGCTGAGTCAAAAGGGCATCTTCTTCCGTACGCACAATTTCTGGAGCTGGGTTGGAAACGGGTTCTTCCATTCTCTTGTACTCTACTTCGTCAGCGAAGCCATCTACTGGCGAGATGGCGTCCGCTCTGATGGCAAAATCGAAGGTCATTGGGTTTGGGGAACAGCTTTGTACACCGCTGGCTTGGTGACAGTGCTGGGAAAGGCGGCTCTTATCACCAACATCTGGACCAAGTATACCGTCATCGCTATTCCTGGATCGCTGGTTATTTGGTTCATCTTTCTGCCAGTGTATGCGACCGTTGCGCCTATGCTGGGATTCTCGACCGAGTATAAAAACATCCTTCCCGTCGTGCTGTCTGATCCGAAATTCTGGCTCATGGGCCTCGTCGCTCTGCCCGCTCTGTGCTTGCTGAGAGATTTCGCTTGGAAGTACGCCAAGCGCATGTACTACCCGCAAGCATATCATCATGTGCAGGAGATCCAGAAATACAATATCCAGGATTACAGACCGAGGTATGTACCAATTAGGCATGCGGCAGGAAGAAGTAGTATACTGACAACTTGTGCTCTAGGATGGAGCAATTTCAAAAGGCCATTCGGAAGGTACGCCAAGTGCAACGGATGCGGAAACAGAGAGGGTATGCATTCTCGCAGACGGATGAGAGTCAGGCGAGAGTTCTGCAAGCGTATGATACTACGAGGGAGAGAGGACGGTATGGTGAGATGGCGAGTAGTCGCCGTTGATATCTCTCGAAAAGGACAATGTTGCGCGTGTGGTGCTTCCCAGGGATGTGTACATTGTATGGTCAGATGTATGTGTAAGAGCATGGAAAGCTGGGATGCCGCGAAAGGGTCGTATTTGCTGTTCTTTGAGATGGAATTTTTATGATATCCCCTGATCGGGTCCTGTTCTCGACCTTTTGTTTCGTAGAAGCTTCCGTTTCGTGGGCTTGAAATACTGATGTGCTGTGCTGTGTCTTGCAGCTGGAATACCGAAGAGCAGAGGTTACGTCTATGGTCAGTTTCATCGGGACTTACTTGTAGGTGGATCCATAGACGCATCAGTGACGGATCTACATGGGGCTGAGCCCACTTTGAACGATTGCAGGGCTGGAGAATCCTCTGGGTTGGTCGTCACTTCACCACTGCAGCACTAGCACATGATGACACGTCTGAACATCGCGATGTGTTCAAGTACATACGTGTCGGCCGACCAGCAGAGTTACGATACTGAACGGCAGAATGTCAGCATCAAAACCGGGCTTAAGCCTCTTAGCCTCCTGGTTTAACTTCAGCGTGTCTGAGAGGTCAGACAACATTCCACCCCTCTCTCTGTTTTACAGGCGCGCGAGTCAACTGCAAAGGGAATCAACCTGTCCTAACCTCGTTGAGTTCAGTTCCAAGGCAACACTAAGATTTCGCTACCCTTGAGTGCCCCAGCATTCATCTTCACCTCCTCTGCTTGCCTCGCTTCCTCCCTCCGAGCTTCGTGTCGCTTTCGCTTCTTCTCGTGCTTTGCAAGAGATTTCGCCTTCAGCTTTTCTTTGATCTCTCCTTGCCTGATTTTATCATCTACCTCGTCACGTTGGGCCTGTGTTAAGATCCATGGTCGGTCGAGTCTGTCCTTCTTCCACTCTGCCGCTTTCTGCCAGTGCTCTGCTTCCTCATTCGTATACCGGACGCGGTAGACTCGTCTGAGAAGGAGTTGTTTCTGATTCCGGAATTCTGTAAGAGTACCCTGTGCTCTGATCACGTCTCCGATCTCGAGAGGGCTGTGATCGAGTCGCAGGACCGGCAGGCTCAACCTGATGAAAATTTCAAGTTCTTCGCCTTCGACATTCGTGGCTGACAGGTAATCCACTTGGTTCAGGGTTGCCTGGTACTTCTTTCGTTCGACTTTGACTTCGATGTTGGCGCCACTGCCATCGTCCAGAGTCATGAGGCAGAATCTTCCATTTCCCACTATGTCGATTTGCACAATCACGCCAACGAGACGTATGAACTGGATTGGGTGGTTTTTGTAGAAGTAGATGTTTTGTCCTACATCTTTGATGTCAGCAGTGTAATCGAGGGCATTTATGCGTTGAAGATCTCACCTTCAAACCCAGGCTCTTGCCTAAGGTTGCTGACGTCGGCAACCGTCAGCTTGTTCCACTGGAACCATGTTGGCGACTTGTCGAAATATCGTCTGGGGTATATCTGGTGCTGCGCGGCGGGCAACGCGCTGTTCATGTCATTGTTGGTGGTTGTAGCGAATGTGTAAACAGCGAGAAGATGTTTTGCACGTGAAGGCGCAGGCACCACTTGGCGCCGGGTCATCTTCGGCAGGGAGTCGCGTCTCACGCGTCGCGATCTGGCTTATCCTTCCTCTTTCAAAGCAAGTATCTGACCACATCATCCTCCGCAACAGCCGTACGAACACTCCCCACATTCTCATCACCATCACAGCCATGCCGAAACATCCGCGTGACGAAGATGAGGAGCTCGAAGCCGGCGAAGCGCCGACCGAGATCAATCCTTACGAAGTACTTGGTGTACCACAAGATGCATCACAAGACGACATCAAGAAGGCGTACCGAAAGGCCGCTCTGAAGCACCACCCTGACAAGGCTACACCCGACGACAAGCAGTCAGCTCACACCAAGTTTCAGGAAATCGCCTTTGCCTTCGCAATCCTCTCCGACGAGCGCCGACGCAAGCGATACGACACCACAGGCCGTACCGAGGAGAGTCTAGATCTTGACGATGACGACTTCGACTGGACGACCTTCTTCCGGGAGCAGTTCAAGGGCGTGGTGAACGGGGAGACCATCAACAAATTTAGCGATGAGTACAAGGGTAGTGACGAGGAGAGAGGACATGTGCTTCAGGCATTTACGAAAGTGAAGGGTAATATGTCAAGCCTCTACAGCTATGTCATGCTGAGCGATATGGTGGACGATGAAGAACGCTTCCGCAGCATCATTGATAAGGCGATCGCGGATGGAGAGATAGAAAATTACAAGAAGTATGCCCAGGAGAGTGAGTCTGCCCGACAGAAGCGAATCGATCGCGCGCGCAAGCAGAAGGAAAAGGAGAGTCACGAGGCAGAGCAGGCCGCCGAGGAGATCAAGGACAACGAGAAGGGCCAAGCGAAAAAGAAAGGCAAAAAGGATGACGCCGATTTGGGTGACCTCGCCGCATTGATTCAGCAACGGCAGAAAGGCAGGGCGGAGAACTTCTTTGACAACCTCGAGGCCAAATATGCTCCCAAGGGCAAGAAGGGTAACACAAACGCAGGACTGGATGAGCCGCCTGAGGAGGCATTCGCCGCAAATCGCAAGAAGGCCAGCGGCGCTGACGCAACCGGAGGGGCGAGGAAGAGTAAGCGAGCAAGAAAATGAAAGTGCATCGTTCAAAGCACAGGACAGACAGAGACAGGATATCTTCTGGAATAAACAACGGAGCCATAACACTCTTGGCTGCCGTCTCATGGGGATCAGCTACGTGCAGAGTACGCAGGGCAACGTACAGGCATGATGAACCCCGGTGAAGCGATAACCCGACAGAAAGGACAGAAATCTTTTGGACATGTGTATGCTCGAGTGATTTGGTCAAGTGACAAAGTCCTCCAGCAAGATGAGCCATGGTCGGCGCGAGGCTTTAGCTACACAACGCCCGCTACATGCGTACTGATCCAACCGCAGAAATGACGCCTCTGCAATATGGACTTCACCTCATCAGAAAAGCGGAAACCACGGGTATATTTTTTATCCATTACGAGCTCAGCTGCACACGCCTCTAACGCCCATCATAGCTTTAAGGCTGTCGTCTGTGGGTTTTTACACCTAGCGCGTTAACCATCCACGTCTACCTCCTCAAGAAGACCAGCCCACCGAGAACATGGAGACCGGCGATCATGAAAACCAGTCTTGCCCATCCGAGCACCGCGGCTTGGACAGCATCTGCCGCGACGATCAATATGGTGCCGCACTGACCGGCTTGCGTAGTTGGCAATCCGGGTCCAACTGCAGTGAGCGTCGAACAATATCCTGCATATCCTCCTGCAGCGGACGGTGAATTGTAGACCGTCGTCGCGGGTGCGACATAACCTCCTCCCGCTACTGTGGTGGCCGACGGTTGGGCCTCTCCGGCGCCCTCAGGACTTCCCGAGCATGTTTCGCCATTTGGACAACAAGCTACTACGCTATTCGCCCACGCGCAGTAATTGTTTGCAGCGCAGCAACTACAACAGCAAATGACATTAGCCAAATCCTTGAAGTCGAGGTCGTACGCAATGCATTGCGACTTACTAATCCGGCTGCTGTATGGAACTACAGCTCGTCGGGTGATCAGCAGGACACTGCGCTGGAACTGCAGATGACGCAGCCTGTGAGCTACCTCCATTCGAAGTGCCGGAGTATGATTGTCCATTCGATCCATATATCGCAAGCGCGCCCGTGAACTGGTAATTCTGTCTCGGCTCCAGTAAGGCCTCGCCCTCTTCTTCTATGATCCCGTACTCTTGCGCTGCGACCAGCGGAGCTAGCAACGTCCATAGAAGCAGCACAAACACTGCGCCCAGTCGCACTGCGTCTCTGCGCGCCATCTTCGCCGTTGTCGTAGTGAGGGAGGAAGTGGTTGTACTCGGTGGCTGGGAAGGCTGGAGAGCTCTGTGATCGACTTCTATGCGCGGCACGAGCTGGAGCTCATGTCGGTTATCTTCTTCAGCTCTGCAAACCCGAGGTGACACCATAGAACGAGCGCAAATTGCCAGCGGTGCTGTCTGGAGGAAGGAATAGTGTATGCGAAAGAGGAAGAGAAGAGAGAAGAGGAGACAGAACCAGTAATGTCAAGAATGTCGAAGGCTGGAATACCTCAAAGGCATTTTTAGACTTCTCACCTGCGGAAGGCTCATGCGGACAAATGGTTTCGAGAGCTGCATCTGCTTGTCAAGGTCAGCCCGAGTTGGATGGAGTCGTGACGCTCGGCTGCAGACCGCATTGGGCTGCTTCGGCTTCACTCGGTGGGGTTCGTTGGCCGTCGTTCGCTCACTCCCCCGCTTCATCATAGAATCCCGGCTTCGAGAACGTCAAATACTTGTGCAATGGATATTGCTCCGTTGGGTTGGGAGAAGAGGGCTCTTGACTCGTGGGAAGGAAGCTGCACACTGGAGTGTTCGGCGCCTCGGGAGGGAAGCCGGAAGCTCTCAAACCTTGAGCATGCCCGCTAAGTGCTTGTGTGCTTGCATAATCAATGCAGGGATCGGATCTTTATCCGCTTGGTGACACTCCGTGAATATTCCACGGCAATTGAAAGGAACCCTCATCAATGTTCTGCAACAACCCAGGTGGTCTCGTCAGGGCCATGGGCAACGATATGCATTCGAGCTCGCCGCCCAATCCCAAAGCCACGTAATACAACCACACCCGCGGTCTCAAGAATTCAGTGGCTGGCAACGCGCTTTGGGCTGGACTTCGATGGGGCCAAGTTCGAAATGCTGTCCCGAAACGCGGCCTTCTATCCCATCGTCGTCTGCACCGGTCTCGAAATCTGCTGGAGCAAAATTCGGTTTCGCTTTTCGGTACATCACTACGGAATTCGGAGAACGCCGACTTCAGAAGGTTGTTGATGCAGCTTTCCGCCACGTTCCATGTCAAGCTGGTGTCGAGATGATATGGTATTGCTCTGTACAGGTCCAATTGAATGGCGAAGCAGGAGCAGCAATGACTGGCAACAAAATTGCTCTCCTCGTAGCGGTGCCACACACCAGATCACCACGCCGCATTAGCGATCAAGCATTCTTTCGTTCGTCCGTCAAGGTGGAAGATGAGAGGAGGGCGAGGATGAAGTAGAAGGAGGAGGGAGATGCCTTGGAGGAACAAAGCCAGATCAAGACCCGTCATCTGCGCTTGTAAACTTGCTCGCTTGCTCCAGCAAGATTCCGTCTGCGATGCATCTTTCCTTCCGGAACAGATCGTTGCAAAATCGCGAATGGTCCTTGTACGAGATGAAGCACTAGCCGGGTGTTGCCCCAAGTTCATCAGTTCATCTCGCACTTCGACCTCATCAGGCGACTGGGGCAGATGCTAGTATGTCCGACACTACACATGGTCTTGGAAAGCTCTGCGGGGACGCAGGAACCTCAGGATGGTTTTTTCATTCCCTGCAATTGGGACTTGTTCGCCATCGTCGCGTTGAAAGTAGAATTGCCCGAGCCGGGCAATGTGGCCCATGGGGAAACAAGACGGTGTGCTTGCTGGCTCTCTTGCGGCATTTCCTAATGCCCTCGTGTGAATGTCGACACTGTGCCCGTGCCCTCGAGAGAGCCAGCACATGTACTGCGGCAGCTCGAGGCTACAACTGGAACTCTGGTACAGCATCTTCGCACCTCAAGATCTCATTTCCACGGCTGCTACCCCTTGGTTTTGCTCCACCCGACTCGCTGCGATCCTGCTTTTCGCCATGGTTCCTGGGCATGAAACAACGTTCCGTTGCGAACAGATGCTGTATCTCTGCTGATGCTATGCCAACTTGCCTCTAGATCTCGCTGGAGACATAACGCGATCTGGCCCTCTCCAAATCCCGAGATGCGTACGCAAAAGTCTCCTCGAATTGATCCGGCAGTGTTCCCGAGGGTAACAGCTCTTACGTACGCAGAATACCACTGTGCCCGCCTGGCCGGAAGCCGACGAACATCTTCCGGAAGGATTGGAAGATGCCGAAGCTCAGGCCAACAAGCAAGAATGGCGGCTGAAGTGCGCTCGTACCAGAGTCAGTTGCCTGTTCCTCACTGAATAGGCATGTGTGAAGCACATGGCCCTTGTCAAACAAAGCATAAGCTGCTCCTAAGCCACGCAGACATCTGGCTAAGAATCGTATTGTTTTCTGTTTGTGGAAGGCGTTCGCGGATGCACCCGATGGTCGTGCTGGTCTCGGTACATTTCCGTTGCGGCTGACAACTCGGTCAGCAGACATTGGTGAAGGTATGATGAATCTTGCTGCCACGGTGTTCTGGAAAGACGTTCGACACTGCTCTAAGTTCGTCCATCAATTGACCGGAATAACAGGGGCAGATATCAAGACGCATACCCAGCTGTTGTCCGCTACTAATAAATAGGGAACATTCTCTCCGCAACCACATCCCGTTTTCGATACGAGGATTACGTGGAAGCTCGATCTGTGCCCGTACGCGATCCGGTGCAGTGACGCTCAGAGGGAGAATGGGGCGCGATCATGCTACATGTACCGACCAGATGGGGGGTGACGAACTCTACACTTACTGCACACAGCACGGCGGCAAGGACTCGCACATCCGCTGCACGTGTAAAGTGCAATCGTCGACACGCCTTCAGATGGAAGATGGTGTGACGCGCTTGAACGGTTTGCATGATGCCTCTTCGCGTCTCAAAGCGTCACGTTGTGCTCAGTTCTGACATCATCGACCGTAAGAGCAGCACCACCACCAACAGCCAGACTCGTGGATATAACGCCTGCGAAATACTCCGAACCAACGAATGGTCGACTGCAATCTGACGTCTTCGATTTTCGAATCCTCCCACGCCTTGTAACAGAGAATAGAAAACAAAACATGAGACCCTTCGGACCTCAGACTTCACGATCAGGCCTCACTTCTACCATCTCCCAAGCTCGCGCAACTCCTTCAACTCTCTCCTTCAATCCAAAGAATCTACTCTTCTCTTCAAACACTCCACCACAGCAGCAGACAGAAAGAATGGCTTCCACAGAATCCACCGGCGACCTCCACATCGAAGCTCAAAACGTCCAAACCGCACCCGGCGTCTCCCTTTCCGGATCGCAGAAGACCCTCGTCGGCTCCGTCCTCGACCTCTTCGCCGGCCGCCCTTCTCTGGCCAAACTCGCCCTCTGGAAAGACGACGCCGAGTTCGTCGATCCCCTAACGATAGCCAAAGGCCGCAAACAGTACCAAGCACAGTGGTACGGTCTGCAAACCGCCTTTTCCGAAATCGAACGTCAACATCAAGAGGTCACGAGTGCTGGCAACCCAATCGAATTGGATCTGAAGACTAGATACGTCGTCAAGGGCATCGGGAAGGAGCAAGTCATTCAGAGCAAGGTGCTGATCCACACGGAAGGGGATAAGATTACAAAGGTGGAAGATAGATGGGATGGCAAGTTGCCGGAGAGTGGAATTGCGAATGTGAGTTCCGTGTTGCAATTGTTGAACCCGTTCTGGTGGATGAGGTATGCCGAGGGTTGGGCCTTTTGGTGTTGGAGTTTGACGTGGGAGACGCTGCCTTGGAAGGTGTGGGCCTTCTTGATTCCCTTCGCCTCGTTCTCGACTAGTCGTCATCCAGCGATCTTGAAGCAATTGCTAATCATCACTACTTTCACAGGCTTTCCAAAGACTTAACGCTGTCACCGTGCCGAACGTCGTTGGCGTGCCCAAGAATGCCGAGGAAGATGCCAAGAAGGGCAACTAAACGATACCAAAACTCGATGTGTACGAATAATGACTCTACAGTGGGAAGCATGCTAGCTCGTCTTGTATATTAGGACCCACAAACAAAGATGCGTTAAAGTCTCGCTGTGCCATTCCGTGCTGGCCGCTACCAAACGCGTGAAATTGTTGTTGGTCATCTACTTCGCGCTACAGAGCAGATACGATATAGTCTGGCGAAGAACGCCCACAGCTTAGCCTGTCCCTCCACGGCCAAAGCTATTGCCTGACCCGAAAGCTTTGCTCCTAGTTCTCTCAACACCTCAGTCACAGCTTCGGCGAAGTGGAAGACACAGTCTGGTTCTTCTGTCGCCCGCTGCACACCACCTCCATAGAAATTCCCTATCCCGCATGTCTGCTTGGGAGGCAAGCCACAGTATGCGAGAATGTCCCATGGTATGGCAAATGGACCGCAAAGTTTGCCTATTCGTCAATGCAGCAGATAGTCGACTGGGACTCGGACACCTAGTCACCAATTCCGGCGACAGTGTGATGGTACTGGCGCGGCGCCACATGTCCTGCGAAAAGAGGGAGAGCAGCAATTGTCCTTAGAAGAAATTTGGCGTCTCATTCCTCCACGTGTCCTGCCTTTGCAACCCTCAAGATCTCGTCTTCTAACCCGCTCACGTGCACAACTTCAATTCCAGCATCTTGCAGCTTTCTCTTGCCCTCATTGACTCCGACGAATGTGTCTGGCTCACTCACGCCGACGACCACGGTCTTGATGGCAGGCGACTCATCCTCTCTCCTCACAGCTAGTATCCTCTCGGTACATGGCGTGTTACCCGGCGAACGCTTATTGCAAGGCTCCATCGTTGTGTAGAGGATTGTGTCTGCTGGCAGATGCGGGCCAACGGTCGCCTCGGGGAATTTAATTCCTTCGGAAGACTGCACAGAGGACGAGGGCGGGTTGAGGGCGTATGCCAGCTTGATGAAGCAGCATTGCTCGGCATGTGTGTTTCCCTCGCATTCGAGGGTGAATCCTGTCACAAGCGGCTGGGCGGAGATGGACGGAGAGACTAGACACGCGCCGACGCAGAAGTTGGTGGACTTTGGCGGACTTTTGCGAGCTTCATTGAGCGCGAGGCGGAGGTAGTGGAGGTGGTCGGGTGAAGTGGACATGTTGATCGTTCGCAATTCGAAGATGTGAGGTTGGTTATCGGGGTTCCATTGCTTCAGCAGTTCAGCTTTTAGCTTTTTAGCGCCCTTTTCGCGAGACGTCGTGATCAGTCCATCTTTGGCTGTGAAGGCCTCGTTCTCAAGACGGATAGAAGCGAGTCACCAATACGGAAACACCCATGGGCGTTTTGAAGGAGGTGAGGTTGAACTATCTACGACTATCGAACTTGTTCGGCCCGACATTGGCTTGCCGAGGTCTAAACCAATTGACTTCACCCTTTTCTGTTTATATCCCGACCAACTCCAGGCTTCTCTTCTGCTTGGAAAGAGCAGTGTTTCGTCTCAGCACAAGACAATGAGCCATGATGTGAGCATATTGGTTGACAGAATTCGAACCTCAACTAATTTTGGGCAGGATATAAATACTCCAGCGATAGTATCGATCTTGGCGGGCGGCGTAGCTGGAGCCGTAGAAGGCGCTGCCACTGTACGACTTAACACCAGATTCTCGTAGCACAAGTTGGCAAACACTCACGATGTCAGTATCCCTTCGAATTCGCCAAAACCCGCGTTCAGCTCCGTGAGCGAAAAGGCGTCCCCACACCCCGGAATCCCTTCCGCGTCGTCTACCAAGTTTACAGCGCAGAAGGCATAGCCGCCTTGTACAAAGGATGTCTCCCGCTCGTAATAGGCAGCGTGGCTAAAGATGGAATTCGCTTCCTTTCCTTCGACACAATCAAGAACACCTTCAAAGACCCCGAAACGGGGACTCTATCCCCTCTCAGGAACTTAGCTTCGGGAATGATGTCTGGAGTCGTGGCTTCTTTGCTCGCAGTCACGCCAACGGAACGAATCAAGACTGCTCTGATCGATGATGCGAGGAACGAGAGACGGTACAAAAACGCCCGGCATTGTGTGAGGACTATTTTTGCCGAACATGGCTTTCTGGGGCTGTATCATGGTTTCGCGGGAACGACGCTCAAGCAGGCCGGTGCTACTGCGTTTCGTATGGGGACGTACAATATTCTCAAGGACTATGAGCGGACGCGAGATATTCCTCAGTCGACGCTGACGAATTTTGCAAATGGCTCAGTGGCTGGCATTGTGACGACATTAGCGACACAACCATTCGACACGATCAAGACGCGATGCCAGAGCTCACGGGGAGCAAGCACTGTGGAAGCCTTTAAGAGTATAGTAGCGGATTACGGCGTGAAAGGCTTCTGGAAAGGAACGTCGATGAGGTTAGGCCGGACGGTTTTCAGCGGTGGGATCCTCTTCACGACGTATGAGTGGGCGGCTGCATTGCTCAACCCACTCTTCGCGGCGAAGAACGAAGTTTAGATAATGAGGCCTCCCCCATTTGTCTTGTTGTGAATATGCATATACCCCATAGGTGGTTCAAATCTTGATCACGGCTAGAACGCTGCTCTCCAAGCGCATGTCTTGGTCGCTCCATTTTTCGTCCCAGCATTGCTCGTGACAGGGGACCTGAAGCTACATACACAACGCCTCTAACATTTCTCCTTGATAATGAGAGCAAGTGAAGTTGAAGTAGGAACCTTAAAGCAGCCTCAAGATTTCTAGATCGATCGAGCGTTGGCCCGAGCGCCGAGCTACGTCATAATCAGCTTGTGCTTCAGGAACAGCTCTTGGAAGGCTGTTTCCTGTTTTCCAACATTTGTTTGAGCGACACTGTTCACAATGCACGCGCTGTGACGATTCATTCCTACTGTCTTCTACCTATTCTTTCACAGAGATGGAGCCTCTCCTCTCTCGTCTAATCGTGCAGGCCGCGCCGATATCAAAGGCAAGCAGGAGCTGTCGCTCATCAACCCCGATATCAACAATACCTACGAAACACGCGTTCTTCTCGACAACTCCTCGAACAAGGCAACCAAGAGAGCGACAGCGTTACGATACCGCCTCGGCGCCTGATTCCTCGTACAGCAAACCTGCCGCCGATGTATCGCAACATGTAACGCGCGAAGAGAAGGACCACTTCGCACGCGTGGAAGAGCAGTCGAAGCACCTGCAGACTCGATCACCCTGGATGCATGACGGTAGCGACGTACCTCCTGTCCAACGCAATCGTTCAGCCGGTGCAATGACCAAGGGAAAGCTGCTGACGACGCCGTCGCGAATGCTCAAATTGGTTCTACCCATGACCACTAGGGATGCGAATCAGGACAGGAAGGACGTCGAGCCTTTGGCGTTGTTGGTTCATCCCCAGCAGCCGCTCAGTTATCTCGAACGGCTAATCCAGAGCGAACTACCATTCATGTGGGACGAGAAGAAAGGCAGGGAAAGAGCACCTGAGGTCAGCTTCAGGGCACAGGACAGCATGGAGGAGAGTGTCGGCGGGGCGCAAGCTATGGAAGACGAAAATCTGGAAAAAGCAGACGAAATGTATGTCGACGGAAAAAAGGAGAAGACTGGCAAAATCAGCAGTGGAAAGGAAGACTCCGAATCAGACAGGGAGAAAGGCTTGACTGCGGACACTGAGAAGGAGGAGAGATTCGGTACTGCAGAGCCCGAAGACCGAGACTTCGTACGCTGGAGTCCAAGCACAGAGATTGGCGACTTTATCAGAGATGCTGCGCGAGGCAAAGAGTTCGCTGTGGACATCGAAGGTGCGCCGGAGTCGATTTACGTGGGTGTCCCGTCATTTCAAGATCGAACGTACTACCTTCGTATGCGGCTTCGCAAGGTTTCGAAGCGCATTTCCAATATGGCGGACGTGAAGCGAGAATGTGATGAGCTTGCACATCGCGGAGCTAAGATGGTTGCGAGGATGGGCTTCGCAGGACTACTCAGTTGGTGGGGAGTGGTCTACTATCTCACATTCCGTACCGATCTGGGTTGGGACGTAATGGAGCCCGTCACGTATCTTGTTGGCCTCAGTGGTTTGATTGGTGGTTACATGTGGTTTCTCTACCACAATCGGGAAGTGTCTTACAGATCTGCGATGCATTATACCGTGAGCCGAAGGCAGGACGCGCTGTATAAAGCAAAGGGCTTCAACCTGCCGCAGTGGGAGATGTTGATTGAAGAGGGCAACCGGCTGAGGAGAGAGATCAAATTGGTTGCTGAAGAATACGACGTCGACTGGGACGAGACAAAAGATGAAGGTGACGAGAAAGTCAGAGAGGCGTTGAGGAAGGAAAGGAAGAAGGCAGAAAAAAAGAAAGAGGACAAAGAAGGGAAAGAGGAGGACAAGGATGGCGATTGAGAACCTCCAGGTGTACAGCACTACATGTACCTCACTCCTAAGACTTCTTGCACACTTGTGCGTACCGACAAGGCTAGGGATGGACATCTCCATGTCCTCCCTCCGTTTTACTTATATCACCAAAAAGATGTCCCAAGACTGGCAAGGCCGCTGGTGGAATAACGGGACTGAACAATAGCCCTATAATTGGCAGCGGTCTCAGCGGACATGAGAATCGTTCCAGCGGACCTACGCACATTGGTCTAGGAGTTGAACCTGACAATCCTCACCTTCGCCATTCGTCGGTGCATAGCAGCAATTCGAATTACAGCAGGCAACTGGAGTCGAATTGCCCCTGCCGTCGCAGCGGAGCTGAAAAATGGACGGAAACAGTCAGGACACAGGAGTCACAATGCCGAAAGGATTTTCCGACTTACCGATATGGTGTAGTCTTTGCTACCGATGTTCTCTGCGGCTGCTGAGCTGCGGAGACCTGTGTACGGTCTGTAGAGCCGCCTCTTCGTGCACTGCTCATGGGGTCGATCCCCCTGGAGCAAAAGCCGTTGGAAGTGCCGTACGCGATGCCGCTATCCTCAAGGCAGTACTCGCTGTCCCCCACGATGGGTCCTGGAGTAAACTGTGGAGAGCAATAGCCCTGGACTGATTGTCAGATCCATCGTTCACCTTAGGTGTATCTTCGACGACTTTTGTTGATTCTACATACGACCGTACTGCGATCCGGGCTGCAAACCTAGAGCGAAGTCAACTACGGCGTGTAGAATGAAGGGTGGCCTGACGTAGTCTGGATGTCCAGGCATTAACTGTGAACAGTCCGTAGAGATAGTAATGTCTACACCCTGGGCTACAGCTTTGAATCCAAAATTCAATATCACGAAAAAAGTACGTGGCTATCCATTTTTGCCCGTTTGCGGAAATGTTGGGCGGCGAACGACGTCCGTCCGACACGACATTCAAGATCCAGCAGTGGCTTTGTACTGCACAATCAACTCTTCAAAAAGGTGGAACATGCCTGTCGCCCTGTGGGTGGGCGCCGACGCGATTTAATGGAGCACTCGGAACCAGCTTTACGGCATATACGACTGATCGTTACCCGGTCCGACCCCTTTGTCTGAATTGGTTTCCTATGAGGTACCCGCCACCATGTGACCATGCGAGAACAGGGAATCTCTCCTTCGGATCGGCTACCCTTGGCGTATACAGACGGACATTGATGTCTTTGCCATCGCGTCCTACGACGGGAAAGTTCCGAACTTGGACTTGATCGTTCTTCGGCACTGCTTCTGGGTCCAGACCGCACGTAAAATCGGCTGGACAGTAAGGCTTTTTTATCTCTTCTGATCGGAGTCTGGTCCCGTTGGTGTTTCAGTGTCGTTGTAGGTTCTATCTAATCCTTTGATCAGCCAGATTGGACGAAGTCGTGAGGTAGGCTAGCGTACATACCTTAGCCGACTGAGGCGTCGCGCGGCACATCCAAGTATGCGGCATCGTCGAAATGGCGCCATCGACTGCCGTGTGCAGGATCGCTCTGTTGTTATATCAGCTTGCGGAGGACCTCCCGACCACACGTCTTGATCCCTCTGATGGTAACTTCACTCCAAGTTTTGCGACTATAAGATTGAATCTGGCTGCTTGGGCACGAACCACCTTTCGATCCCTCTCCCGCCCTGTGGCTCTTCTTCTGCATGCACACGGGAGAAATTGTGGCACAAGGCAGTGTGGCGGCTCCGTTGCGCTGGAAAAGGGCATTTGAAGAAGCTTCCGCCTGTTGTACCTACCTTGACCCTACAATCTGTGTCGCCCTATATTATTGGGCGAAATGGAAGGAGCAAGCTCCTAATCCTCGGCTATCTCGGACTACGTCGTCTCTCGAATGTCGGCGTCTTGGTGAACCGTTGACCCATGTGATAGAAGAAGGAAGACAAAGCATCTGTACGACAGTTCAATTAGTCCTTTCCACGCATACGCCGTGGGCTTACAGAAGCCAAAAAAGAACAGTGTTCTGTCCCCTGTCAGCCTCAATTCCCCCAACGGCTATGCCAACGTCAAAATGACCCTCTTCTTAGCCCAACGATCCCTTGTAGCATCAACCCACACATACTTCCCTTCTCTCAGGGAGATGTAAATCCGCGCATTCGACGAACCACCCGTGTACTCAACCTGCAGCCCCGTGTCGAGGTTACCCCAAAACACCCCAATCAAGCGTGTTCCCGCATCGCCCTCGTTGAAAGTCAGCTCGAGTCCGACGCCTTTGGTGCTTGTCGATATGATGCCTTTGATCTGAACAACCTGTTAGTGCTGCCCCGCTGCTCCATTGGGCACTGGTAGAAGTACCTCGATTGGCCCCGCATTCCAATCGAAATCAAGAAAGCCTTCTCCAAAGGTTTGCCGAGTTGCGCTACCGAATGTATCGAAGCGACCTGATCCGCCGGGAAGAATTGATGAGGTGGCGTTTGCGTCCTTGGGATCGGATACTTCTTTTATTTTGAAAACGTCGTTGCTGGGTTGCTCGATTTTGAGATAGGTCGCTAACATTCATGTTAGGTATCAGTCGAGCACAGAAGGGGAGATGCTGCTTTGCTTACTTGTTGCCATAATGTTGACCGAGTCCTCCCGTGTTCTACTGGAAAATTGTCGAGCATCGGGATCAGATAGTCGACTGAGAGCGATATCGCAGATGCTGCTGTCTCGCCGTTCAGCCGCTTTGCCGATCTCAACGAGGCGTCGCCTTTAGAGTCCCGTGACATACCAAACGTAATCGCTGGAGCTGCAAAACCCATACTTGTCCAGTTACCGGAGTACTTGTTATGTAGCAGCAACGGCAGGTGGCTTGAGCAATGGTGAAAGCTGTTGGCAAAGTAAAATTATACTCACTCACGAAGCAGTCATGGCTGAGAGAGCGTCGTATGCGAGTGTGAGAACTGATGATGATGCGATTAAGTAGCTACCAAGCATCAGTCGCCGATTGCTCGCTCTTAGACAACGATCGAGATTAGTCAAGTCATGGCGTACAGTGGATGACAGTCGAATGCTCGGAGGTTTCTCATCTAAACACAAGTTTCATCCAATGTATTAATCACAATCGGCCGAAAAAGGCAGAGCGTTGCTTCCGGTCGTGTTCGGACATCGAAGATTTCAAAAAACGAAGTAAAGCGAAGAGCGGACATTGCGGTCATCAGAGGAGCCTGGAGCAATCGGCTCTCAAGAGTCCTAGAGACGTGCACGGACCCGCTTCTACTCTGCTCTCCGCTGGCTACCTCGATCGTAGCTCAGCTCAGGGGTAGGCGTAAAAGTAATACCAGTGCCGCAATGGAGAACGAAGCGCAAAGGAGTGGCGTTTAATAACGTGGAAGGTCCATCCAACTCATTGGAGTGGCATGGCATAGAGTCATGCAAGCTGGCATTAGCAGGCATTCTGGCAGTAGAACAAGGGTGTGTTGATTCGAAGAATTAGGACGTCACTGGGAGAGGCAAGAAGTACTTCGCGCATGCAAGCACTCACCATTTGCGACCGCGAAAATTCATATTTTCAGCCTCGGTCCAAATCGCTCATCCGAAAACCTGATTGCCGCCTCAAGTCTCCCAACGAGTGTTCGATCGCAATCTGCAAAATGCACTCGGAAGTGTTGGCCTGCACATGTTAGGCTCCATAGCGAGCGGACAACTCTCCTGAATCCATGACCTGGCACCGGGGAAGTGCAGGTATAGTCCGCATAAGGTTCGAAAGAACCATAAGAAAAACGCCAGCATAGGATCGTGAAGGAATCTTGGAAGAGAATCAGAGGCGAAGTTGAGTCGTGGGACCGAACATCGCGAGATTGTCAGTTGGAATCATGGTTCATGACAAAACTAATGAGGTGCACGACAGAATTGTGAGGAGTCCTCGATCCGAGAGTCCGGGTCACACTTGCGCACACCGTGTAGGGATATGGAGAAGCTTCGAGAGTGCCAGGAGCTGCTGATCATATCAGTACCGCTGAAACGTCTTCACTTGCGCAGATGTCAACGTTTTCTGCTGCATGAGATCCACCAGACCCACATGAGAGACCGTCATGCAGCACCGCGAGCTAAGACGTTGCGTCGCTGTCTTAAGTGAATGTAATATAGAGGACCCGACTCATGGCAATGATGTTTATGCTCGTAGAGGAATTCGCGTTGGGGTCGCGATCGGGGTTCGAATCAAGAGCCGCACTGTGTCTTGGATGTTGCCGATAGACGGCCCATGGTTGTTGGTTTCGAAAGCAGCAACCGCATGGCGGTCAACGGCGAGTCATGACGGTGCTCAGGAGACGGTATGTCGAGGCGAAGGAATTAAAGTGAGCAAGTGAGGTCCAACCCGGAGAGACCTATTTCCGCCCCGATAGACCTCGGTCTTGCCGGAACGGACCGGCTGCGAAGTGGTCAGTGCTTCATCGAACTGCTTCCGTTGACGAACGACATGTTCCATTCCACGAGATTCAATATTCTGTATGCTCTATCTCAGCGTGCCTGTACCAAAGTATTGCGCTCGCTGTCTGCGGGCTTGCAATCGTCCTACCCAAAGGCTGCAGTCGAGCTTTCGTACCGCTCGTCATGCATCTAATCGCTCATCGCAACCTGCAACAGGTGGCGACGGCGATGGCGAACCTCCTGAGCCCGAGAGAGATAACGAGCAGGGCGCGATGACAAGAAGATTACAGGAGATGAGCGAGGACAGCCTTGAAACAGGCGGTTGGAGGACCCTGAAGGCCGTAGAAGAGGCCGGGTTCAGTGAAGAGTTGAAGGATAAGCTGGAGAAGAAGATCGCGGACGCCAGCTTCAAAAGCGAACATGCCAGCGCTTTTGCTCAGGCCAACATACCTGCCAGCGCTGGACGTGGCACACGGGACATCGCTGGCGCGCAGCCCTGGACTGGCATTGAGAGTGTAGAGGATGCGTCGTTGCGAATGCTCAATGATGCCCACAAGCCGCTGCGCACTCCGGCCAAGGTTCCAAAGCCCATGCGCGGTCCCACCAAGGTCGACACTGGCCGGCCGAGTAGTAAGGTCGGAGCGGGTACGCGAATTGCCAGTGCCCGTGAACAATCCAACATCTATTCGTCCACCAAAGAGCAGCAAGAAGGCTTGTCTGACGAGGAACGTGCCAAGTTCCGCGCGCAGATGAAGGCTCGCTATCAGCCTGGGCAGCAGATGGTAGCTGCTACCATTACTGGGCTGCAGAGCCTTGCCAATCAACGAATCGAGGACGCAATCGGTCGTGGCCAGTTCAAGAATCTTCCGGATCGAGGCAAGATAATTGAACGCGATTACAATGCTAACAGTCCCTTCATCAACACTACTGAATACTTCATGAACAAGATGATCAAGAAGCAAGAAATCGTTCCACCTTGGATTGAAAAGCAACAGGAAGTGATATCGACACTAAACATATTCCGCCGGAGACTCCGAGCGGACTGGAAGCGGCATGTTTGCCGGAGCATCTCCAGTCGAGGTGGATCCCTCGAGGCAAAGATGAAGCTGGCTGAAGAACACGCATTCGCAGAACGAATCGCCAATCCCACGAAGAAACAATTGGAGCAGATCACGGCCTTGAACGCGGAAGGACACTTGTCTCAGATTTCCATTTCTGGGGAACTGAAAACACCCCCTCCCGACGATGCTACCATCATGGAAGAAGAAATCAAGATAATGGAGCAGACGTTCAATGATGATGGTTCGCTAAAGGAGCCCGAGGCGCAAGTCAAGATTGCCGCGCAGCACCCACCTCTCACACAAGCGCTACCCCCAGAGCCGCCTAAAGCGCCGACCGTACCGCCTTTCCGTGACCCACAATGGGAAGAAACGGAACGGTCATACCACCACCTGGCTATTCGAAACCTCAACGCTCTCACTCGTGCTTACAATCTGATGGCGCCCGACTTGGCGAAGAAGCCTTATTACTCGCTCGAGCGCGAACTGCTCACGTGCTTCGCAGATGTTGCTCCTCAGGTTGCATCTGCCATTCGCGAAAGAGCGCTAGCGCCGAAGATCAAAGGCGTCGAGATTGTACAACACAAGCCTGGGGGTGTACTGGAGAAGTTCTCTATGGACAAGGCGAGCCATGTGTACGACGAACGCAAACCGCAATACGGCTTCAAGGAATTCTGGAGAGATCTCTTCGCTCCCTCGAAGACTTAGTGGATAACTATGGCGAATACAAAAGCGCATGCAGCGTTAGCGGGAGATATCGAAAGGTACATGTAGAACGAATGTAATGTTTTTCAGGTCATTGGCGCATCGACACCAGCAGTATGCAGACACGTGTGGCTCGGTAGCTTCACACAAATTCTCGCGCCGAGACCTCCACAACGCGTCTTTCACAATGCGTCTTTTGCCAAGTCGGGAATCACCTTTGCACGCTCGCGATGTGCACGAAAGCATAATAAGTGGCGTATTATTCGGGACTGCGACAACCTGAGACTCGGTCGGCAGTGAAACACGCTACGGGAGCGGGCCGTGACGACTGACTTGGTGACATCTTTGCAAGCTGAGACAATGGCTATACAAGGAGAAGTTTGCAGAGAGAGATATCTGGGATGGAAGATGGATTCGTGCCTCGCGGCTGGTTGCTCTATAGAGACGTCGCGGGCGGACTTGGTGATGAGGAAGCAGGCGATGGGGCGAGGTGTCGTGTTGGTCGGGCCGAGATCGGGAGGTGAGTCAGTTGTTCTTCTCTTTCTCCCGCCGCTTGCAGTGATGATGATGATGATGATGATGATGATCATGATGAGATGCACCTGCACGCACTACAGTGTAAAGTAGTAGTGTAGGTCTGCCCTTCGTCGTCGTCGGGCTGTGGACGGGCGAGACAACGCCCGCGCCCGCCGTCCAGCTGCGGCAGGTGAGCACATGAGGCAATGAGGGTGATGAGGATCCAATGTCATCAGGTCGGAGAGATCGTCCTCTTCTGAAACCACCGGCAGGGATGCGGCCTGGAGATTGCACTACCAGCCAGACGGATGGCCGCAACTCAAACATGGCCATTGACATCCGAATCGAGGTTCGCGAGCTTCCACCCCTCTCCGCCGCTCAGTCCCCATCCCTGCCGTCGGCATCGCAGCGACACGGCACCCGAACACCACCTGCTACTGCAGCAACCAGCTCGAGAGCTCCACCTCAGCTCTGGTCCGGCATCACCATCACCACCATCGCCGACCCCAGACCTCCTCCCCCCTCCTCACCGCCGTCCAGCCCACTGTTGCTGACCATGCCCATGGCCCGGCCGGCTACTGCGTCTGCAGGAAATCCGCTCCTCCTCTTCTCACTCACACACACACTCACACACACCGTGGACACCATGCATCCCGCATGCTCTCCGTCCAGAATTATTCAGGGGCTGTCGACAACGCAGGTCGGCTCGATTAAATGCGTATGGATGGTATGATTAACGCAGCGCCGTACCAGCAGCCTCGTCAACCTTGTTGGTGAATGGATGGTAATGTCGTAAGATCTCTCCATCGTCCCGCGTGGCTATCTGCGCGCCGCAGAGATACTGCTCTTCTGATCCGCGTTATCGGTAACACCATTGGTTTCTCACCGGATCCCAATAGTAACTTTGGCGATGTGACTGGCTGCTAGGTATTGATCCTGTTGCACAAAAAACAAGGTTAGAGTCCGCGTCTACAAAGAGGCATCTGCGCGTCCGCCCATCATGCTTTCGAAATCCATGACAAGATTGGGTCGAGACTTACGAGACGACGAGCTTGATGCGTGACCCTCGCTGCCCGAGTAATACTGCCTCTGCCCGGGTGCCCTGCCCGGAGCGGACGGTCGCGCTGCAGAAGAGCGCTCTGGGCTGGGAGAGATGACCCTCCGGTTCCTGTTGCGACTGTCGCGGTAACGGAACACATGCCAGAGCATCCACCTGATCACCCAGTTCTCCTCTTCCACGCGATCGGTGTCCCGGCCCAAGTCATACACCACCTTGGTTTCAGGCCGGGCCATCCGATATATTCGAAGGATCTCGCGGTGCGTGACTGTTTCGCTGATCTGGGCATTGCTGTACGGAGGCTCCACCGAAGCATTGCCTCTTAGCGACGGTACCAGGACATCCTGGCTCTCCGTCATTCGTCTCCGACCTTCGACGGCTTCTTCCTGGGAAGTCGTCAGATTGGCAAGATCGATATGATAATGACTAAGGGGCAGGACGATAGCATACCTTCATCATCGCGTATACTCTGCGATGGTATTCATTGTGCTCGTCGAGACCGAGTCGCTCGAAGAATCGTGCCTTGGACTCGCTCTGAGCCAAGGCAGGTCTCGGCGGAACCATCGAGTGCGGGTGTGCTTCGGCAAAAGTCGAGAGATGGGACGGAGGCAAAAGATCCACAGAGAGGGGAGGGAGGGCTGGAGGGGCCCTTTATAAAACGAAAAAGAAGGTAAGGAATGAAAGTCTGTGGAAGAGCCTCGTCGGTCGTGCGATAGGGTGGTTCCCGGGAGTCGAGTGAGAGGGCCTGTTGAAGCCCAACTAAAACAGTAAATTGTAGCAAGCATCGGGGCGAAAGGTCTATTTAGCCTTGGCCGCCTACGGTCGACCACCTCCTAGCATTATGGGACCCCAGCACGAGCGGGAGCAGAGTCAGGCGGTATGGAGGCCAGCCTAGCGTGTGCCTGCAGACCGGCACCGCAACATGCTTTCTGGGAGCTGGAGCTGACGCATGGTTGCACAGTCTGCATGCTGACATGCAGAGCTAACTAAAATATCAGATGCCAGGCAAAGACCGATGAGGGTAGGGGAGTGTCTGTGTGTTCTGTCTAGTGTCGAGGGTCGCGGAAAGGGGACCAGGCCCAAAACGTCCAGTGCGATGCGCCAAACGCCCACTTGTCGAGCCGAACCTTCTCACTTCTGTTATTATCACACGACGAGGCGCAACGTTCTATAACTCCTCCACATGGTCCATTACACACCGCCACGCTGCCGCGGCTGCACTTGTCGAACGCTTCGAGAGGCTCCCACCCAATGGCCGTGCCTCGAGAGCGGCCGCACCCTCTGGGAATCTGAGTTGAAAGAAGATTGCGTCGGTTTTCAGGGACCACGTACCAACTCGCTACGAAGGCACAGCACACAGGCTGGCAGATCCTTAAACTCATTTAGACATGACACATCATCCCGGCACTGTTCTTCAGCTGCCGCACGAGATATCTTAATGCCAACAACAACGACTGCAATTGATGAATGTCTCCTTGCAACTCTGGCTGGCAAGAGAAGTGATCCGGGGTGATACGGACACGCTCGACGATGGCAGCAACGGGCAGGCAATTCGATACGACGAAGGCAATGATGACTTGTTGACCAGATCAATAGCATTCGCGTGACACCACCTGCATCATGACCACTACAGCACCTCCACTGACAGGATCGCATGGTGGTCGTATCGACGAGCAGCTGGCCACTGGCGTCAAAAGGCAGACTCCAGAGTGGCAGTGCGCTAGAGTTTTCCGCGATTCTGCAACTCGCGGATGGCGCGAACAGAGTCGTGGCACTAGTTAGTCGATGCTTTGATAGCCCATGAGTCGGCAACGGGGACGCAGACCCAGGATGGCGCATGCATATCTGCAGGTGTGCAGAGCCGGCGGGTGCAGGCGGCTAAGGAAAATAAGTGACTTGCTGGCAGCAAAAGTACCAGGTGAAGAAGGAGATCGATTAACGAACGAGCGAAAAACAACTACGCATCCGCTGTCGCGTGCATTCGTTCTGGTTCTTGGCGTTTGCGCGTGTCGGCGTGGCCTACGCCCCTCCGCCTGACTACAGCGGCTGAAACGTACATACGTACCTGGGGGATGTCATAAGGCGAGCCTGTGACAACCATCCAGAAACTTAACCAGGTTTCACGCTGGCTTGACTCCGTCAGGAGCCGCGGACGCCGCCCATGACTCTCGTGAGAAGTTGGATCTCAATGATTAATCATGATTGGCGCGCAGCTGGAATCCCATCATTGACTTCCTTCCTCGCGTCCATCATCTTCCAGCGGGTTGCGTGGCTCATGATCGACGACTTGCTTTCGAATCAGCAGCTGCCGGCGTCTCCATGCCCGCTGACGCACCGTACGGAGCGCCACTGAGCGTCTACACGATGCGGGATCGATAGCAATTGCGGGCCTCTGCCTGACGCCCGCGGGCTCCCAGATCACAAGTCGTCCTGACGGTAGGAGGTCGCTGGGTACGTATCTGTTTGCGGACGGCTGGTTGTGCAATGGTTCGTCTGGGCTGGGAGTGCTGGGCGCAGGGAGGAGTGGAGAGGAAAGGGAGGATGAGTACCGTATCACAGTATTCTCCGGCGGTACAGGTGGAGCACCGTCTGCCCGCAGTGGGGTCCCAGGTCCTCCGTAACTCTAAATTGCGGGGCGTTAATTTTGTTCCCGGGTGCCGGGGCTGTCACCTCTGCAATTTAGCAAAGAGCCAAAGACAACCAAATGTTCCACACCACCACCACTCCTACTCCCACCGTGACCACCGCCACTGACCCCTCCCCCTTTGACTTCTGGCACCGCTCCCCTCAAATGACTCCCCACCCCCCATGGCCACCACTTCGCATGCTAGACCTCCTACTCATGTGCGCACGCCTACCGCACCCGAAGCGGACCGCTTCAGCGAGAATGAGATGCTATTATTTGGCCTGATATCACGGATCAGGGTTCATCGCACCGATGGCTGGCAGGCGAAGCCCACGGAAGCCGCCGAGGATGCCTATCTCTTTGTGTCTTGCTCCTGGTGAGCGAATACCTTCGCTACGCCGACCCCGAGACTGCGGTTCGAGAAAAATTGCCAACAATGATCTCCGGAAATGGTATCGACGACTGGCATGATCCTTGGACTGCGCGTGAAGATACGGCCTTTCCAGAATGTACGTGTCGTCTGAGAGATGACAGGCAAGCCGAAACACGTCGCAGTGTCTACGCGGAATAGTCACGAACTTGCTATCAGCAGCAGCCTATTGCGAGTCACGCTGTACCCCTATTATAAATGCGACTCCGTCTTCCCTTGTCCCCTGGACACGGAATGCGCGACTTCGACCACCGCAGACCTGATGAATATCCTCCCCAACTTCATCCTCTCGCTGTCGTGTCACCAGACGGGCCACAATGCATCGGCTCGGAAAATACAGGGAGAGCAAGACCCATGGCATGCAAGCTGTGCGTAATGCGCGCGCGCGCCTTCTATGCAATGAGCCGTGTCGCTGGAACCTCTGACTTCACATCATACTGACGTCGCCGCGACTGGTGGTCATGCTCTGCTGGGTATCACTCGGCATGGCCTCAAAACCGTCTTACTCAATTGCAACGTGCCGTCAATCTTCGATCATCCGTTTAGTATACTGGCTACGAAGAACACGGCTATATCTAAGCATAGCAGTCATAGCTGATTCGCAGCAGTGCCACATAGGGTGGGATCGCTACCGAGACAGCGGCTCCCGGGATCCCTCTTCTGGTTCGCGACGCAACGCCGGCCCCGTCCACATGTGATACGATTAGTGGTTCAGCAACGGAAACAAGACTTGATCTGTTGCGAGTGAGAGCCATCGCGACGATGATTGCAAATGTGGAGCCTACGAACTCGGAGTCGGGAAGTGTACCACTCGCACGGCCGCTGGCTTGCGAGCAGCAGAATGCCATTTCCAGCTGTCTCGGTTGTCCTCGACCGGAACGGCATGCGCACAAAAGACTTGTGACACGTGGACGATCGCTTCAGGGTTGTGAGAAGGGAACACGGAACAGCAGAAAATGTGATGCCACCTGTGCCACCAAAACGTGTACAGGGATCCATCATGGCGCTGACGACGACTAGGCTTGTTGCGGCTATGTCCCTGTCTACTTCACGAGCAAAGATGGCACGTCGAAAACACCTTTTCGGCTCGCGGCGCCTGCCAATCGCGCCGATGTCACGATTGGATGCTGCATTCGCCATGCAAGGTATTCTTGCGGTCATCTCATCCCAGCAATTTCATTTGCAGTCTATGCTCTTGGGCCAGAACGCATAGCACAAGGTGCCTACTCCTCGTTCCTCACCAAATCGGATGGAAGTGAAGAGACTCCGCAGGATGTTTATAATCGTCAATGTCGCCAACTTCCGGTTATCGGGTAGGGATTAGGACCGCTGTGCGACATCCAGAAGTATTCTAACCAGAAATTACTCCTTACGAAAACCAGATTACTTTCTAAAGTGTAGTCTTTCTCAACGACTGCAGCACAGCTCGGGAGGCCTGCCGTGTGAGCGCCAACACAGAAGCCAATTGCTTCCCCTCAAACTGGGATCCTTGCTGGGCGGAGTCGACCGCGATATCATCCATGTGGACCTGATCGACGATGCTTTTATTGGATTTCTTCGTCTCGGGACGCAACGCCCATTGTTCACACCGAAAAAGCAGTCCGTGTGTACCACAGCATTGCGCATTGATTTCTGCAAAGCTGCGACGCGCTCGGAAAGCTGCTCGTATTTCTCGACGTCGCTTGCGACAGTAGCCGGGAGTTGAGGATGCATTGGTCGCGACCGCGGCAGCCGAGAACAATTGGACTCCTACCATGCCAGCTGCACGGCGGAACGAGTGAGAGTACATACCGAATTGGTATGATGCCACGCTGATGGCTTCCTTTTGAAGCATACCGGGAACAGGGAGACAGTGAATCAAGGATGTCACGGGACACAGAGCTTGTCCGGGCTGTTGTGTACATGCACAGTCATGGCCCTGGCCCTTGGTTGCTGGTAACGAGTTCTCACGGCCCCGATGCAATGCTCGGATCTCCGACCCGTGCCACCAGCCTTCATGTGTTTCGGTGAGCGGCTCTGCTGTGCGGACCGTCGGTATGAGGAAACCGTTTTCGCTGTTTGCGTTGATGCCGTCACTTCGCGTTGGGAACTTTTGGGTTGCATGCTTTCGCCCAAACAATCGTCGCGCAGGCGAAACGTGAAATTGGACATGAGTGGACGAGGCGGCGCTGCAAAGATGATGCGTTTGACACGTCATGCCCGCTGCGACTTCCTCATGGGTAGGATCAACCGTCCTTTCCGTCTTCATCGAGCGGTTTCCATGTGGTTCAAGTCTTGTTGCGGGGCCGCGCAAGTTGCCTTCCTTCTTCGATCGCAGCTGAAGACTTCCATTGCAGGTAGGTAGTCGAATGTTGCTTCCGAGGGCAAGCTCGCGGCCGGCTGTACAGGTAAGGTACAGGTAAGGTACAGGTAGGGAAGCGTTTCAATTGCCGCATTCAAAACTTCTGCTCTCTTCCTGAAGCCGCGAAATTGGACGCTCGTATGCTATACCAAGGCATTTTCCAGACATGATTTCCTCGCAGCATCACGGCCACAGTCTCGCCCACAAGACGACGTCGACACGACGACTCGCGAGACTACCTACCAAGAATTCCTCAGAAGCAGCGCCTAGCGAACACCGCTCTCAGTACGAGGCACCGTGCGGTACCTCTGGCGCTGAGATCGAGGAGTCTTTGCCTCAGCCTGAGCAAGCCGGCGGCTACGTGAGCCCTAATCTTACTGACAGGCGGGTTGGCACCCGTCTGTCCACTATCACAGAGCGAAGGAGCACCCAGACTCTCCAGATGCTATTGCCCCGGCGAAGCCATCCAGGAACCACGCCTGTAGCCATTCGCGGGAGCAGTCCGGGCTAGCGACCCAACTTCCGGCGGCGACGATGCTTCTCGATCGACGAAGCAGTCCTTCGGCAGGCCCGGTACGAGAGTGAGAGTTCTCAGGCAACATCTACGTGTAGTCCGGAGCGACAAGCTCTCACTTCGTTGGCAGCGAGACCAAGGGAGCCACCCTATCGACCACCTGAGCGCTCAAAGACTCCCGATGGTCTGCCAAGGTGGCCTGCTGACGTCGCGCCTGACCAGTCTCCTGATACAGCATCAGTCACAACTCGCAGTGGTTTCCTGCACTCTCTTCGAGGTTCTGGACCATCAGGTGCGGCGAGGTTATGGGACGCTTTCTTCAATCCGAGTCAGACCGATGGCGCAACGCAGGAGCCGGTCCGCAGAGGGCGTCGCTTCTGGAGACCACCTGCCAGTGGACATCTCCCCACGAGATTTCAAGACATCAACTCACATCCATTTGCGTTGGCTTCGAAAGCATCAGTTCAAGATCGAGCGCCGGTCTCGACCACGTATTCCACCAACCAGGCTAGCCGGGATGAGGACCGAGAACAACCTGGTGAGACGATCGCCACACCTGCAGCCAGCCGGGTAGTGAGTCTCTCCCAACGAGCTCTACAATATGCAAGTGGGAACGCGGTGCCGGTGTCTCCTCGCAGAGCCTCGTCCAAAGCTCGGCTGCGATCCATGAATGTACCGAGCCAACTGGTATGTTCGCCAGCCTACAACAATAATAGCCATGGACGAAGCTCGGTGCCTCCGAAGTCGGCCACCAATGTTGGCACGGTGCGTACTGCAGAGCTACTCGAGAGCTTCCCTGCTCCTCCTCAGCAGACGAATGCGGAGGGCTGCGATAATGAGACCGTAAGGCCACCGCGGAGCCGGCCGGCGTGGTCCTTGTTCCCGAGTACGAACAGACGGAGTCCACTTCCATGGCAATTCGATCCTGTCAGCAGGTTACGAAAGCGATATGCCAATCAGAGTGTCGATGGCTCAGCTGATCGCAACGCCGACGAGAGTGCTGTCTCGGCCGGATATGTGCGAGGCGAGGCTCAGTCTCGATACCGCCATTCTGGAACGCCTTTGTATGATGCTGAACGGGCCAGTCTTTGCAGCTTCGATCGTGATCAGCAAGAGCGGCGAGGAGGAGGTGGCGATGGGGCTCGAGCCTCTCTGGCCCTAGGCACCAGGGCCCTGCAACATCGCGCGTCAGAAAACGACAGGGCCGTTTCCAACGGTGCACATCGGTTCAGTTCGACCTCGAGACCCCCCACTTCACCACGGCAGATTGTGGTTGATGGAAACACCTTTACGCTTTGTACGCCAGACAATACGCAACGTCAGCTGGATCATGAGGTCCAAAAGCCTCAGGTGTGTAGGCACAGGCAGGCGAAGCTGCAGAAGCGGACTGTGAGGTATCCTGTAACAGGGCTAGACAGGCTTGCCAATTCTGCTCTGTTCGATGGCAGTGCTTCCTCGCCCACAGAACCAGGGATTGCTACTGCGGACCACTGTACTCCAGCTCCCACGGAGGCACCATCATCAAGCAACCCACCACCAGCGCCGCCTCCTCCTGAGATCACGCGACTCAGCCTGACACCCACCACAGCCCAGACCCTCGATTCCGCGCCCAGCGGCACTACGTCTACGTCGACCAGCAATCCCACCACCGAACCTATGGCTCACGTGTCTCGTCAAATCCCCCTCCGAACTGCCACTCTCCAGACCGCTACTACCATGCCTGGACGCGCCTAGTTGGTGCACCGGCGCAACAAGCGAGGCACCTGGCATGCTCGCATGGGCCGCACCAAATGCTGGAGATGCGAGGTCAAGCGGGTGAAGAAGAATTTCTAGGAGAAGTTTCTGCTTGCGCTGCAGTATAGTTGTCTTTGTCACTATCGGGGGTATGACGATGATGAAGATCCGTATTGGAGGAGGATGAGTCAGCGAGAGAGGGTGAGGATGAGTGTCGTGGGCAATCTCCAGGACCGCAATCGGGAGAGGGATGATGAGGATAGTGCGGAGGAGGTTATTGTGGTTAGTGATTGAGGGAAGTACGAGATGGAGAAGTGGGGAAGGAAGGAGAAACTGGACGAGGTATTCAATCGGAGGAAATGCTAGTTTGAGAAAGCAAATCGAACAGAATGCAAATTTACCTACGATACCGCTAGGAGAAATCACTCACGACGAATAGAGGTTAATACGACAAGAACTGAAAGGTTCCAGTTTCTTTCAAGTCAACCTCCCATCAAATCTCCGTGGACATCACCTCTCTGCCACAGGTCCCGTTCCGTGTCTTAACTCTGTATACGTTTCTGACGTCGTTCCTTGATCATCTCCGAATTCGCCTGCGAGACGGATCGTCATCTTCATCCTGCGAGTCTCGATCGTCCAGCAAGTTGATCTCCGACTTCTCCTTCGGATCCATACCCGCAAGAATGCGCGCCTCATCCTCCCGTGATCGACACGTAATCGATCGGAGCATCTCCATCGTCGCCCGTCAGGTCGGCGAACTCGCGCTTCTTGTCCTCATACGACCGGAATAAAGGGGCCCGGGATTGTTGTCTTCTTATCGGTTGGTCGAAGTGGCACGGCGAGACACTGCTTGATATTGTGCTGGCAGTATCCGATGTCGTTCGTCCTCTGAATCACTGCCCAAGTCGATCAGTGTCCCAGAGCGGAACACTGAGATGCCAATGAAAGGGGGGAAATGGATCAAGAGTCTTGGGTGTTTGGGTACGGATAGACATTAGCGTGCCCCTGAGCGGTTGGCAGTCCCATCTAGCAGTGAAAATAGAGAGTCTTGAGTGGGCTGAGCTTCGCACCTGTACGTAAAGTGGCTTTAGCAGACGCTAGCAGCAAATGTTTGGAGGGTTCGCGAGGCCGAGATGTGTGGGCCAGAATAGCGATGCATGTCGCTCCTCCGGGCGGGCATGCGTGGACCATGTGGGTTTCCGTAGGACATGGAATTTTTGGCTAGGTCCGACAGGCAGTGGTCATGCACATGAGTCATGCGGGCAATACGCATAGAAAAGAAAGCCTCGCTCGTGCAGTTCTGTCGTTTGCCATTGCCATTGCATACGCCACGCGTTTCAGCTGTCTGTCGTTGCAATCTGATCTGTCCGTAAATCAAGTAAGTTTCCTTTCCAAAGGCATACCGCTCTTCTCCTCCTCGGTCAGCTCAACTCCCAGCATCTCCTTTAAGACCCGCACACGTTCCTCTTCCGTCTTCAACTGCCGCTCTTCCCCCTTCTTCCCACCGATCTTCTTCATCACGCCGTCGTTGAAGAGACTGATATCTCCCACAATACACTGCTGCTCCTCATCCAAGATCAACCGCGTACATAGAACGGAGTACGTGAAGAAGCTCTTCGGATGCGTGCTCGTGAACCAACTCATCATCTCGTAGTCCTGCGGCAGGAATTCCGTCTCCGTGAAGCAATATGTAGGAATCCATTTTCTTTCACTCTCATCCGGTCTATGGCATACGTCGTAGCACCACAGCTTCGTGGCGTCTTCGCTGGTTCTGCTGTAGGTCTCGGGAATGCTTCTCTTCTGTAGTCGTATCACTCTCGGCGGGATCGCAACGCCCTCCCACCCGTCCTGCAGGGGATAGATGATGGAAGGGCCCATGCTTCCCATGCCAACATCGACGACCCACCACTGCTCCTCAATCCTCACCAGGTTGAGCATATGATTCCAGCAATCGTACGTCTCACCCTGCTGCTTCCTCGTCTCGGCATCGGGACTCCACGACCGGCTCACTCTACCCGCACAGTTCCGCACATCATATCCGATGCTCCGCAGTACCGTGCCAAAGAAGCCATTGTTCTCCATGCATCGCCCCCCTCGCCCGTACTGGAGTCCCCGCTCTGCAAATTTCGTGTACAGGTCGTCCATGTTGAGGGAGATCTTCTTGTGGGCGGAGTAGTGCAGTTCGAGATTCTCGAAGGGAATGTTTCCCAGGTGGTACAGATGGAGGGCTCGCAGAAGAGGGAGGCCGTGCTCTTGCGTGGATGCGAGAGACGGGTCATTCTTGAGCACGGGCGATGCGAGATGGTGCTTCGGGAGGTGGATGCGATGGAAGTACGTCTGTAGTTGTTCTTTACTGTATCGTGGTCTGTCCTCGGGCTTCACTGGGAGCTGCGTCATCTGCGTTGGGGGCGCGTTGTGTGCCATTGTCGCAACACGATTCCCCAAGTCTATGATTGTAGGGATGGTGGTGTTCTCAAGACATAGATAGGCGTAGGATTCGTTACAGCTCCAGCTCCAGCTCCAGCTTTTGACGTCAGAATGTAAGTGAGGGAACGCGATTGCACGGGAGCTTCAGAGCTCCAGTTGTCTGAACGTCAATGATTCGTGCGATTTCTGGTCAAGCACAAGAAGAAGAATATGATGATGATGTTGTTGGAATAATCGTCGTCAGCTTCTTACCATAGTTCAGCCTCGCGGAAACCATCGACAATATGCTAATGCAGGTCGTCTACATACTTCATGCCAAAGTCAGAATCCTTGTTAAGCGCGTGCTCGCTGGAATGTTGACAGCAATGGTGAGGTGAAAATGCAACTTCCAGAACTAGTGACCCCAGATCTTTCGGCGACAATTAGAACCCTAAGGTCATGTCAAAGGTTGGACCGACCATCGAGGTGCATTGTCTCCAAGCAGAACGATGCTAAAGGCCAGCAACGAGCGACTTCGGTCTCTGCCCTCTCACCAATGCAATGGAACTGAGTACCTCTCTGCCATCTCCGCACTCTCATCCGCCTCTCGGAATTTCTCAACTCCGCCAACCACTCCATGCTCGTCCACATCCCAGTGTCCGGCTTCCACCATGTGTGCCCAGCTCTCCAGAATCAGGTATAACTGTATGTGATGCCTTGTGATAAATGGGTTGAAGTACGCCTGATAGAGTTGAGAATTCGCAGGCTCCCAGTCCTTGGCTGCCCGAGAAGATATCGCTGGTCCATCGTTGAACCTCGAGTACCCGTCGCCGAGATCAAAGGGAAGACTGAGGACGCATGTGCCCTGATGATCGCGCCAGTAATTTGGATCATATGGGTCGAGATAGATTCCTGCCGGTGCGTTGTCTACTGACGCGAACGGAAAGAAGGGAAAGGGATTGCGACCCTTCAGTGTTGACTGTGTCTGCTCTCGGGCAGCATCAAGAGACAGGAATGAAAGCTGATGGTTTAGGTTCTGTGAAGTCGCGGGGAAGAGAAGTATTGGTATGTATGGCTTCTCGTCCTCGTCGGCATCTGGAGCTGGACGGTGGTCGGCGTAACGATCGGGGCTTCTTGCTGATTCGAAGGGTTGACTTCGAAAATTCGGCCTGGATGGAAGTTCTATCCTAGGGCCAATGAATTTGAGAAACTTCTTCTTGGGATTTCTGGCCTTGAGCAGGAAAGCTCGAACGAATGATCCCGGTTTATAGAATTCTTGATTGAGGTCTTCTTCTCTCGCCAGATGGTCGTCAGCCTGATCTTCCTGCTCTTGTTCGAGATCCGGCATCCTTCGCTCAACTGCGGTGATCAAATGATGGTAGGCGTCAAGAGTCCTTTGCAACTCGTGCTGTGACCAGCTTTGCACAAGCCATGGATCATGAACATCGGGACCTCCTTCAGGCTCACAGCCCGGTGCTCTCCAGTTAGCAGCAATGACCTTACCTGCGTCGATCATGTCAATATAGGCTTCCAGTATACACTCCAGAGGCTGCCATGGGAGCAACGGGTCCTCCCACTCTGAACTCCAGAGAGACATTTGCATGATGCAAAGGCCAGTCTCTTGATCCAATCTACGAAGTGATCAGCCACGACACCCATTGCAATTCAGCAAGACCCAGCTGACGTTATTCCGGCTGGATGGCTCTCCAAGCTCGCAGCATTATACAGTAAAATAAATCTATCCTCAGCTTCCGCGTCCACATTCATAATCTCCATCATATCTCTGAACTCGTCTGGGAAAGCCAGCCCATAAACATGGTAAAGGAAATATTGATACGGGGCATCATGTTCTGCTTGTCCACTATCAAGAGCTCTCTGCCAGAACTGGACGACCTTAGGATGAGCGAGCTGGGATAATGCATCGTGTCTCTCCGGATGGGCGTCCCAAAACGTCGCGGATGGATAGTCTGACCAGTCCTGTCCGGTCGCTTCCCATCCTCTGCGGATGATTTGATTATGCAGATCTGCACACCGCTCGTACTCGAAGTCCATGCTCACGTAGTAGCTACGGCGAGCGATTCCGAGAAGAAGAGCGTGGAGAGAAAAGGCGAAGGGCAGCGTGAGACAGATCAGGCGTTCCACAGCATTGCGGCGGCGCATCTCATGGTCCACTCATCATCCTCGCATTGCCTATTGCCGCGGCTTGGCGTGCATGTGATGCGATGAAATATTGACCAGGATGTGATGACTCTTCGCCGGTGAAGTGAATGACTCCAGCTAGATGTAAGACCGCTGCTCCTCGAGGGTGTGACGTCAGGCGCCTGCGATTTCAAAATGTTCCGCGACGTTGAACCCGCGACACGCGATCAACAACCACACGCCGAATTTTCCATCCTCTGATCATGACCACGACAAATGCTTCACCTAAGCGGTCCCCTACGACTCTAATCGATCTTCCACCCGAACTTTGGCAACAGATAGCCGATCACCTCGAAACCGCGTCCTCGCTGTCCAATTTCTCGCGAACAAGCAAATCGCTCTATGCAGCAATTGAGAAAGATGGGTGGAAGTCCTTCTGCCGGAGTCGTTTCCCTTCAATAGCACCACGGACAACGCCATCGTTCAGAGAAACAGCACGTACATTGACAAGGCTGTCCAGAGCATGGGACAGAAGAGCATTTGTTGCTCGCCATGTTGAACCAAGAGGAGACATCACGTCTTATCCAGGTGGTAAGCAGTTGGATAGGTGGAAGCCTCCAAAGGGACAAACAATAGGTTTCACGCCACAGCTAGATGTCTACGAGGAAGTTGGGCAGACATGGAGAGACAGAAAGGAGACACTGGCATTTAGTGCTGGGGCTCAGGTTTGTCTACGACGGACTAGTGGAGAGAATGTGAAATGGACAACATATCGGCCCCGGACAGCAAGAGAGGGTAAAGACGATATCACAACTATGCACCTCCTGAGGCCGTTCGAGGGCGACCCATCAAGTGACCGGCAGAGAGTCGTGACGGGAACGGCGAATGGCGATTTACAGATGCTGAACTTGCCTCTGGATGGTCGGGAAGGGCAAGACGTGGACATTACCTACTTCACCACGCAAGGGAAGTGTGTGAGAGCCGCTAGCGTCCTTGAACGTCCTGGAAATACTACCCTCCTGGCCGCCAACCTGAGTGATGCCCGAGTCGCGCTCTACAAAGTCTGTTCGGAGCAGTCAAAGATCGCTCCAACAAGCGAGTTGGAGGTGGTACCGCCTCTGCAAGCGAATGGTAATCCGTCAGGCTTCTTCAGGCTGTGGTCGACAAACTTTCTATCACCGTCGATGCTAGCGATTGGCACCGGGCCTTCCGAGTCACCGATCTCAGTCTATTCTCTCCGCGACTCAGGCCTTTCTCAGACACCAACACGGAAATTCGGCCTGCAGAGAGGATCACCGTCCTCTGTATATTGCACAGTCCCGCTTCCCACAAGCAACGGGACCCCTTCGGACGGCAACGTGTTCCTATCAGGGGCGTATGACGGTGTTGTACGATTGCATGATCTACGTTCCAACAGGGACGTTGAACAAGCATGGAGCGACCCTGCAGACGATGGCACAATCTATAATATATTACCTCGTGGCCAAGAGAAAATACTCGTAGGAACCAGCAGGCATCATCTACTGAAGGTCTTCGACATGCGCATGGAGGCGAAACGCTACAATTATCTCGACGGTTACCAGTCGTCGCGCGATCAATCGGGGCCATCTGACTACAATATCTTCCTACGCCCGAATAACACATCCTTCACGGCTCGAGGAAGTGGGTGGGGCCGCAGCCGGAACTTCACGACCGAATCGAGTGTGTACTCACTCGCCTCCCCTTCCTTTCACTCTCCATATATCTATGCCGGTATCGAAGGGGCGATCTGGTCACTTGCATTCACAGAAGTTTTAGACAAACACCCTGATCCCGTATGGTTCGAACCGTGGTCTGCAGGCAAGGAAAGCAAGGCCGGCAGTGCGAAGGGCTTCAACTCTAAGGAGGTACTGGGCTTGGCGATGTACGATCAAGGCACAGTCATGAAGCTGCAAGTACAGAGGAGTCTGTGGGAGACTTGGAGGGCATGTACACCCCGAAGGAAGGGCGTGGATCATGGACTGCTCGATGAGCGATGGAAGGGAGCCAACGAGTTCGGACCCTGACCTGAGCCACGTGAATGAAACGTGTTGAAGCTAAGCGGCATCGTGGCAAATGACAGTATTCGACCTCGAGACAGTCCTATTGCATGCGGACAGTATTTGAAAGATCTCTTACAGCTTCCAGAAGTGACTTCGGAACAACAGGTGAAGAGAGAGCACGAGCATGGAGAAGAATACGCACTCGTGTCGCCCGTATCTTTAAGAGCGCGCTTGCGTGCTCCCCAGAGCCGGCTCTCGACCTTCAAAGTCATGGCCAGTCCAGATATCGATATCGACGCAGATGCCCTGGTAATACAAAGCCTTTATTTCCTCCTGCGACAGTCGGAGAGGAAAGCTTTCGCGCTGATGGAATTGGAGAGCGATTTGAGCGGTGTGGCTTTCGAACTGCGTCAGTCACGAGACAACAAAGCATTCGAAGTGGACCGTCTGCTTTACAAAGCCGGTAGGGACGGAGGTGAAGCCTTTGAAGAAAAGTTCAATCAAGCCTGCGAAGACTATGTTGCGCTGTTCACCGAGTATAAAGCTGTGGCAGAACGCCTAGTGGCAATCGAAAGGCAGACAGGCCCGATGAAGGAGGACAGAAGAAGGATTGTCGATGCTTTAGCAAGAAGGGTCACGGCGCTCATGCTGACTCACGGCAAGCGAGAAGTGGACAAGCTATTCGAAATGCCGCCATGTGACAAAACCGAAGATGATGAGTTGGTCCGCAGATGGACTATGTGACCAGGTCACGCTCTTATGGCCGGACAACGCGTCAGGAAAGACGAAGACAAAATCCCAACATTGAGAAATAGAAGCTGCGACAAAGGCTATAACCCACAGCTAGCGTTCAACCCAGAGCTCACCATGTCTTCTAAATCAGCAACGTCCAGCATTTCCACCTCAACCACGAGCCCCGACAAGACCGACTTCCTCGACACCTTATACGTCCTCCAGAAGCGTGCCTCAACACTCGCGAGCGAAGCAGAATCCCGCGCCACATTCTTAGCAGCAGAATTCTCACGCCGAGAATCCTTGCGGGAGAATCAAGACTGGAAGATCCAGCGTCTGAAGCTCAAATTACTCGAATATCATGCTCCTGAAGATGAAGGCTTCTCAGAAGAGGAGTTCAAGCTTGCTGTGGAGCTCTATATGGAGCTGTGTAATGAGTGTAACGAGGTTGAGGTCGCTTTGATGGAAGCCGAACGGGAGGCGAGGCAGAGGAGAGGGGATGTTAAGAGGGCGGAAGAGAGATTGGTCCGGGCTGTATGGAGGAGGAGTCGTTTGGGGAGTACTAGTTGTTGAAAGAAAAGATGTGATATTCACAATCGGGTGGTTCTTCAATGGCATATCGGGGCTGTTCGAGGGGTTGTCGGTGGTATTGAATAATGCGAATATCCGTTCTGAGCAGCATTTTATAAAACAAGTCCAAAACTCTGGGCAGGTCAACAACACCGTCCCTTCCAGCTCCGACAACCACCGATAACGAAAAGTCCAACACCAGAATTCTAGCGCAGGCAGAAGCCACTCTGTTTTCCTACCATCGATGCCCTTCGGAGACTGTTCGCCGTTAGCCTCGAATAAGACAAACAGTGGCAGGCCATCGAGAGACTAGAGAGCAGAGGCAGCAGGTTCATGTTCATGTTCTTGGCGAAGACAAAGACCTCATCGAAGACCTGCGACATGCTCGAACGCGTTACAACTGCCTGATGGAAGCTTGCAAACAGGGAGGGAAAAAGGGCGGACAGAATTCATGGCGAGGCGGCGGGAAAGGCTTTGGAAGAGGGTCGAGAGGCTTTCGGGGGTAAGATGTACTTCTTCTTGGGGAAATTTGATAAGTTCTAGATGGAAGTCTGGAGGCGAATAGTGAGTGACTCGTGATGTCTCGAGATATTCATGAGGAATTATTGTCCTGTCGAAGGTTGGCCGTTGCTGTTGTTTGCGTTTGATACCGTTGCACTGGAGTGCTCTCAAAAGTGCGGATTATGCACAATGGGCAATTCGCTACGGTCGGTATCCAGACAATGAGATCCCAAGCACATGAATTTAAACAAGTTTCATTGGAATTGTCGTTCTACAGATCCTGAGCAACGATCCTGTGGCACTCAAAACCGCATGCAACGTTAAGATTGCTATGGTCTCGCTCATCGTTCTCGTTTTCAACGGATTCTCAGTTGCCGCGCCGTCTGCCAGCATCATCATTGCCACCTATGTCGTGGAGGGAGGAAGTCTCAATCGGCTGGCAGGAGCCCTTCATTTGGAAGTCATCATCACAACTGGCTTAGCATCGTTCTATATCCATTGAAACAGTCTTGCCATTCTATTTCCCAAACGCCACGCTACTTCCAAAGCCGCTCTCGAATGAAGCCTTTCTAGAGAATAGCAGGAGGATCTGTTCGTACCATCCAGCAATCCTGAGAAGTCCTAGAGGCGGCTAGCCTGGTGGGATCCAAAATCGAAGGAGAGATGCGAAGGCATCGTCCTTTCGTATCGAATAGGCAGTTGAGCAATCGACAAGGGCCCTCCACTGACAGGCGCCTGAGGAGGCGTCAGTTCACCCCTAATATTCGAGCTCATCTGCTTCGACACTTCCCCGGAGGAGAGTTCCTTGCACGCAAGCAAGTACACCATCTTCGTATAAGCCGCCTCGCTGGTCATGTCGTACCCCAGCATGATTCCAGCCTCCACTAGCTTTCTCGCCGGCTCATACGCGTCGCTTACGCTCCCGTGCAGACACTGCGTGACATTCACAATGACAACGCCCCTCTGTACTGCCTTGGAGAGCGCTGGAAGGATGTCCAGCGGCAAGTTACCCGCGCCGAAGGTCTCCAGAACCGCACCTTGAATGTGTTGAGGCGAGAGAATGGCTTCGACAACGGATGGAGTGATGCCCGGATAGACTTTCAATACGACCACTTTGCTGCTGTCGATTTCCACAATCGCTTTCCTCTCTTTAGCCTTAGCGATGACGCTTTCCTCTGGATGCTGAAGATTATCCCAATGCACCACAATACCCGTCTCTGAGACCGTGGCAAGAGGTCCTGCATTGGGACTCTCGAATCCAGAATAGCTGCTCGCAGAGATCTTTGTAATCCTTGTCCCGCGGAGCAGCTTGTGGCCAAAGTAGACGCAGACTTCTGGAATCTTGAGATGGGATGCTAGAACAATCGATCCGAGCAGATTATCCGAGCCATCCGAGTCGGCAAAGAACATGCTCCGCTGTGCGCCGGTCAGAACCACAGTCTTTTCCAGACTTGGCATGAGCATGAAGGACAAGGCGGCAGAAGTATACGCCAGGGTGTCTGTACCGTGACATATCACAAACGCATCGTAGTTTGCCTCGTTGGAGCTGACAGTCCGTGCTAGTTGATTCCATGTCGGAGAGTGCGCCGTAGAACTGTCCAGCAAGGGATTGAACTCTAGCACCGTGCACCGTACGTTGGCACCTACAGGATCTCGTTAGCTACCATACCAAGCGTGATAAATGCATGACCAGGAGGTTGCAAGCCGAGCAGCGGCTCAAAAACAGTTGGCAATGTTGGAGATGGCTTATATCATACCATTTCTGTCCCTGGGGAGCCGCAGTGAAGGTGCCTCGCGGGGAATGCCGTGTTCGTCGATCACTGGAGAAGTGGGAATCGGTGTGCCGTCGTTGAAGAGTGGTTTCGGAGCTAGGCAGGAGTCTAAGAAGAGTTTGGAAGTTACGAGGCCGTCTTCGGAGTCCTGTAGTTCGACAAATTAGCAACGTCATCTACTAAGACAGAGATGCTATGCGCTTGAATCTATGCCCCCGGCGACCACCAGAAATAGCACTTAGCGTGCTGGAACCTATGCCCCCGAAGGAGCAGGGGGCATAGTGGTCGTACCTACCTGCATGCAAATAGTTCCTCCAGCCACGATCAAGAGCACAGAAGGCTCATAGACTGCCTGACACTCTTGCGACTCCATTCCACGCTGACTGAGATAGCTATTCCGGTTCGCAGAAACGAAAGAAAGCAGTCGATAGATTCCCGAAGACATTCTGGGCGGTCGTCGTCGGTCGCTCTTGAAGCCTTGCCAGCCGAGCACAAAAAGATAACAGCGTGCGACACTTTGGAAAAAAAGATACGAAAGTACGACGTCGCAAATTGCTGACCGCAAAGAGAGATAGTGAGGACACGAAACCAAGGCCCGGTCGTCGGGATTTCTCTTATCTTTCAGGCAGCCCACGAACACAAAGAAAACTTTTCTCACCGTTCCGGAGTCCCCCAGATGGAGTCGCCATGGGTACTGACGGCATTCCTACATGTGCGATCCCGAAGAGTAGGTGTTGCCGTATCCCTCAACGCTAAGCCAGCGAGTTGCGAATTTTGAAGGGGTAATGGAAAATGCTTTTTCCGCGCGGTCACCAGGTGTCGTCGAGACGGCCACGCCCGAACCACGTGGCGATCACGTGCGTGAATGGCGGTTTCCTTGTTGGGTAGCACGAAAGGACTACAGAAGACGATATCGATGGCTGCTGTTGCCTATACTATCGACCCAGGACAGCTCTAGATTCTACTGTTTGCTGACATCCTTGAAGTTTCAACCGGATGGTAGGTTACCAAGACGCGGCGAGATTCATATCATGTCATTTGAGAGCACACTGAGAATGGGTCCGGACCAACGCGAACGCACATCGTGTACCATTCGATTGACGGTCGGCGAGCCAAAGAAGAGCGTCCACACAGCCCCTAGCTGTTTCCGCAGTGCTTCAAATGCGAATGAATGCTACTCTGGAACATGTGACGTGGGATAGTACAAGTTTATATCGAGATTGCTGTACAGGCGAATGCAGGGTCGCGGGCTCTTTCGTATTCTCCACGTAACTCATCTCGATGATTCTTCAAGCTGTCATGCCTTCTATCTAGACACACATCGAGCTGTTCGTGGTATGCTTGATTCAATGTTCGGTCGTCTACTTCAGTTGCCGGAAAAGCTTGGGTGCGGCGCACTGGGTAGCGCAGTGCATCATATGGAAGACTGCAATATGTCAGCCATTGATTCAATTCACCCGCCATACACTTCCGGGCTCCGCGCCTCGCACAGGATGCGCAGAAATCGGAATAGGGCAACCTACACTCCTCGACACAGTCCTCCTGGGCCTTGCCGTGTTGTTCCTCCTGGTGGTGTACGCGCTCGGCACACTCTTCGTAGTGGTGCTTCAGTGGCGCGCACTGCGCGGTCTTCAAGCATTCTGTGGCCTGGCGTTAGTGGCGATGTCCTATTTCCTCGGCGTTTCATGGAATTTCCAATGCCATCCAATCTTTCACTGTTCGCCAACTCGGATGCAAGCTCCACGTCTGACCCAGCATGCGGTAAAGGAACACTTACCCTCTTCAATCTTAGGCTTGATATCCTCAGGCTCCTCTTCCTCTTCCTCCTCCTCCTCTTCTTCCTCTTCCTCGTCGCCTCCCTCATCGTCGCCGCCCTCCTCGGCTTTGCAAATGTTAGTCAATCTGTCCAAGACTCCGAGTCGCCGATATGCGAGAATGCCGCTTCTCACCTTCATCACCCTCTTTGCTCTCTTCCTTTTCCTCGCCGGCATCTGATTCGTCATCACCGCCTATCCGTCCCAATTGTCAGCGCGAAGGAGGCTCAATCTGGGCAAGGCACGAGCTCCGCAGTCATTGTGATCGCTCAGTCGCGTCGATGACATCCCAGATCAGTGCAATGGTTTCCTTACCCTCGTTCTGCGGCTCTTCGGCGTGAGCCTCCTGTACGCTCAGGGCGGCGTAGAGGTCGGAGACATAGTCGAGGATACCCATCTTGTCGGTTGATGGGTCGCGGACGCGCCAATGGCTGGGTGAGCGGGTATTGTTGAGGGATTTGGCTGCTTGGAACTCGAGCTGTCGCTGCAGGAGTTGAAGGTCTCATCAACTTTCCGAGCCGGCAGCGTCCGTGCTTTGCGGCTCTTCCCGGGTCATCGATTTCTCGCTGCAATCATTGGCCGGCCAATCTTCCTTCTCTTCAATCTTCACATGAACAACTTCTTCACTTGAATCTCTTCTCGTGGATATCACTGTCGGAACATTGATTCTGACTACTAATTTCACATTGCCATCGACCTCTCAGCCACTCGTCTCTGCCTGCTGGAATACACGCGGGGCAGCATTTCCTTTCCTCGAAGTAGAGGGCTATTCAGCGGCCAAGCAGCAGTGCGGCATGGAATCTCATCGTCGGACTCTCTGCCTGTTAAAAGCAGTGCCGCAGCTTGACAGGGTCTCACCACCGAGATCTCCGTGCCTCAAGCTTCATATGGAAGTCTAGCGTTCCGTAGAGCATTGCGAAAGCATCGATCTTGGTGGCGTTCGTGATCTGTAGTGATCACATCATTCGTACTCCAGACCATCACTTCCACAAGCCTGATCATCCAAATCACGCTGCGAACGCTGCGAGATGTGTGTTCCAGAAGGCCACATAAGCGCCGGAGTAAGTGAATGGAACTGATTCGCACGGTCCCTGCATAGAACGGGACATCCCGCACCTCTCTAAGCGCCGGCCAGCACCAATGAGAGACCTCACCTGCCTTTCAACACAGCACTCGCACCAAGACTCTGCAGACCGTTCTGTGATGGCCGCTGCAAGGACGTATAGATAGCCGGGTTCCCACGTGTGCCTCAAAGACACTTCTACAGTAGGTTGCTGCTTGGGCTGTGCGCTCTCTCCTTGTCCTGGGGGTCAAAAGATCAACTACTCTCACTTCCTCGCAGCAGTCAAGATGGGCAGAGGTGGTGCCATCTACCTCAGCTATACCGCTCTGGTGCTCCTTTGCGCAGTTTCCGAGACAAGCGCTGGTCTTTGGGACGTGGACATCGATAACGGACCGGCTCCTTCGCCTGAAGACGGGCCACCATTCTCTGCGCACGCCAGTCGAGATCGAGCCCTGCTTCCATACCAGATCATAGGCGTCGTTGCCTCCTATCTCGGGACCGTACTCATCGTCGGCACTCTTCTCTTCACCGTAGGGAGAAGGGCCCGCAGACACGCCTTGACCATGGCGGACAAGCCAACCGAGATGATCAAACCGATGGCGAGGGCCTTCGATGAATCAGTCAAGAGCCCGGCGAGTCAGCGAAGTCTACGCAACATTTTCAAGAGCAAGAGCGGTAGCGTGAGGAGCAAGGCTAGTAACATTGGCTCACCAGGCGGGGCCAGCGTAGCAAGTTTCGATCAGGAAGCGGTCAAACAGCATCAACAACGCCTGAATGAGGATATGGCGAATATCTATGGCCAAGTGTATGCGTACGACGAGTCGAAGGAGCCACAATCGGTGACTTCGGAGATCCAACCAGCCTCGCCTCAATATGCGCGAGCGAGTGAAGGTCGCAATGCGCTGCAACGTGTACAGTCCACCGATTCATATCCACAGAGCCCAATGACCCCAATGTCACCCTCGTATCAAGCTATTTATCCTCCAGCAGAGCTCCGGACCCTGCCGCAATACCCGCTCAGCCCAACAAGAGGAAACTATACATCGCCGCAATTGTCTCCTGGCCTGCCTCGTTCTCCTATCAGACCCAGCCGCACGGCGTCCTTTGGCAGCACCAACACTACAGGGTCGTACAAAAGCTCTCCCAGCAAAGCACGCAAAGCTCTCAACAAGCTCGAGATCAGCTTGCCCATCCAAAAGCGAAAAGACGACGACAACAGTGACGGGGCACGAACACCCTTGTCTCCTCGCTTCTACGCCGATCCTGGGATTCCACCCGAGCCTCCAACTGCGCGCACGATGGGGAGCGACTATCCGCCCACCACGCCTGGAACCGGCCGAACCATTCCATATCCCGAAGACCGCGACTACGAGGACGAAGAACGAGACCAAGTCCGAGCTTTCCCACCGCAGAGTCCGCAACGCCGAAACCACTACCACAACCTTCCGCAAATCGTCACAGACGTAGCTTCCACACGCCCCGATCCAACGAAAACCACGCCTCAAAACCGCCGCGGCAATGCGACAAACCTCGGCGGGACTCTCGCTTTTCGCGCCCAACGGGAACAACAGCGAGCATACCCCATGTCACCGGGTCGATACCCACAATCCGCTGGCCCGACCAAGACGACTTTTGTCGAAGCCCGGAGGGAATTCCTAGGCATGCCGTTGACTGCGACCGGCAAGGAACCTTACAGCCCTTACATGCTTCGCTATGATGCACCGACACCCGTGACGCCGCACATGCTCACGAGGGACGAACGCAAGCAGAGACAGAAAGAAGAGAGAGCTACGAAAGGAGCGGCCATCGAGGAGGAAGATCTCGTGGCTGATGAGAAAGATCTCTGGTCCAGTGGATATTAGGACCCCTCCTTCCTTGCGCCATGGAATTTCTTTCCTCTCTCTCTCTTGTACATACTGTGTGAGACTCTTATTTCTGTCGTAGCTACGGATGGATTTTTAGCCATTGACAGGCTCCCACTTCACCTTCACTGTATCCTGCGTTCAGTTCTCTTCTACCCACGAGGGAGGTGCTCCTTTGCAATTTCCCCTGCTCGGAAACATTGACCGGCGTGCAAGGCATCGTGCAAGACTGCCTCGAGCACCAACGCAGAGCAGGCCCTCAGCTACCAAGTTGTGGAAGCTTTGACAACAATGATGGTGATTTCTGACATGCGTCCTGTGGATCAGGCAGGCAGGCCATGGCTGCCTGCTATCTTGGGAGGACCTTCCAAGAACATCACTGTCAACCCATATGGCAGCACCACCTAGTTACCTGCTTGTGATGCTTGCTGCCTTGCTTACTCCTTGGAGCCAGCACCAACACAGACGGCCTAGAGGAGTTGTCAGATGTGGCATGACATTCTTCCAAAGCACTTCCAGGAATGGCCAGACCGACACGATACTCTTCAATCAGATTGCCTCGTCTGGTGCATACCTTACTAACAATGTTGGTGATCCTGACATGCGCCCTATAGATCAGGCAGGCCATGGTTCCTGCCATCCTGCGTGTCCCTTCCAAGACCATCACTGTCAATCCCCATGGCAGCACCACCTAGTTACCTCCTTGTGATCCTCGCTGTCCTGTTGGCTGGAGCCAGCACCAGCACAAGCACAGGCGACCCAGAAGACTTCCCAGACGTAGAGGAGAATAACCAGAACCGCTGCATCCAGCGCGATCCTGAAGGTCGCTTGGCTCTGTGCCGCCGCATGCCGGATGGCTCGGGTGGATAAGGTAGCTGCTTAGGGGGAGCTTGTGCCAACTGTGCCTGGACTCTTGGACGTCACAGATGCCCTTTGAGTTCTAGATTTTGCCGGGCACGTTCAGCAAGCGCTGGCCCAAGCAAGCAGAGGTTCTGGCCTTATTCAGTCTCTCACCAATCGGAACACTCTCTCCTCTCAAGGGCTGGCCAACATTCGTAACATGTTGAACACTGCTGATGCCACAAGAGGCCTCATCCACTTCAACCCCGAGACCATCCAGCCATCAGGAGGACACCATGGACATCCTTACTTCCGTATGATCGACACGCTGCAACCGATCCAGACTGGCATCAAAATGTCTTCCTAGATAGGTTCCAAAAAGTGCTCTCGCGGATACGAGAATTTTGATCGACAAATTTCCTACCCATCCCCATCGATCGAACAGGCACCAAATCTCCTCTCCAACACCCGGGCATTCGGCGTCGCGGCAGAGCGATAGAAATTCTCCCCATTGGACCTGCCAGACACTGCTCGAGTTCGATTGTTAGCAACGACAACAGGTGCTTCGAATCACAAGATTCGGTTTCCGAAAGATCGGTCAGAACGTCCAGTCTCCGAGTCAACAACACTCTTGGGTTTTAAATATATTTTTATTGCTCTCTTGATACTTTTGCTTCATGTTTTGAAGCACAGCGAACAATTTCATTGTCCTCTGAAAGTAAAGTGAAGGTCCGCCAGTGGGTTCTGCTGCCGCGTAAGGCCGCCTTTCAGAACAAAACTTTTGAAATTTGTTGATGGGTGTTTGATCTTTTTTATTATTTTTTTCATCGATTTTTGGTGCTTGTCTTTCCTTCCGTCCGATCCTCGCACAATCCATATTGCATATAGCGAAGGTACATTAGACGTACCAAGTGACCTGTCCCAGGCGAGGGTGGACGTTGCCGGACCATTCGGTGTTGGCGTCGAACGCGGAAGAGTCACTGGTTTGGCTCTCTGCCAGGGTACTGAAGAGGTACGCACGGCCACGCTCGCAGAGCAGGTCGGCGTAGTAAGCGGGTGGGCAGATCGAGACTGCTTTCGTGGCACGGTTGAAGAGGTAGCAGAGATGATGCGTGAACTGTTCCATCTCATCTGCCTCGAATGACAGCTCGTCTTTAATGACAACGTAGTGCGCCGGGCGAGCTGTGCCCTGGAGTCCTTGGTGAGCCTGCAGCCAGAACTCCCGGAGAACCTTGTTCGCGATGCCGCGGTCGACGACGGTGCCAGGCTGCGGATTCCACGAGCCCTTTTCTCTCTGAGGGTTGTAGTCCGCATCCTCCTTTCGGGTGGGGTAGAAGCGAGTGTGATGCCTCTTGCCGACGATGATGATCGCAATCTTTGGCCACTTCTGCTCTGCGCCGTACCGCTTCTGGAAGGCCTTTTGAAACGCGGGCAGCTCATTCTCCAATACCGTGCTGTACTGGCCTTCGGAAACACCATCACGGTAGATGACGATTTTGGATGGCAGACGACCGTTCTTCTTCTGCCACACATCCAAACGCTCATGAACCATGTCTTCCAGTGCAGCAACCATTTCTTGTCGTCCCGTTTGAGTCCGAATGGAACCGGGCCACTGAAACATTTGTGGATCGACGCTGGCGACAACACAGGCGATGCTGGGTGCTCCTTCGGAACTGCCAGGAGAAGGGTGGGTGACATCAATACCGACAAGCATGGTGTTGTTGTCAATCGGCTTCGTGACAGTGTTGGCCACCGTGTGCGACACACCGCCACCCTTCAAGTTGAACTTCAAAGCGAGATTGCCGAAGTACATGCCCTGTCCCTGTGGCTTGGAGATCTTGCTGCCAATAGAGCAGATGGTGTGGACGCCGTGCTCCACATCCCCGAAGTATTTGATGCGGGCATAGAGCCATTTGTCCTGCTCCGGAATGATGACGAGAAAAATGTCAACGCGGTTTTCTTTGGCTTTGGCAAATGTCGCGTTCAGTTGTCGATCATTGCTTGCGCGGTTGGGTACGGTGAGCGCGTCCAAGTTGAGGGTCTGAGTTGGCCCACGTTGGCCCATGCTGATGCCGTAGTTCTTCAGAAAGCCTTCGAAATTGCCGATAAGAGGTTCCGGTGGAGCCTGGAGAGCATTGCGACCTTGACGGTTGATGACGAGGACCTGCCATCTGTTGAACTTGCCAGGCTTGCTGAACTTGACATCGGCAGAATTCCACGACCCGCCCCGTGGTTGAATGCTTTTGCTTCCGTAGCTGATCTGCGGACTGGCAAGGATGCGACCCGGGACGGTGATCATGTCCGTGCCGACAGTGAAGCCCCATGGCTGTACAGAGTTGGCTTGAGGATTGCCCGAAGGATCCGCCAGACGGAAGAGTCTAAGCCCATTTCCGGGTGCGCTGGGAGTGCCAGCAATGGACATGGCGTTCAGGTTGGGGAAACGTGCCGCAAACCTCAGCATCTCGGAGGTCTGATCACCACTGAGGAGGCGACGATAGGCTTGACCAGGGAACACTTCGCAAAGTTCGGCAGGCAGGTACTGCGGATCGGCACGTGTACCAACGTTCAGCACCGGGTTTTCAGGCCTCTTCAAGGTGATACCATGATGTTGTCGAAAGTAGTCGAACACCGAGATCTCCTTCCGCTTTGGTGGTTTGACGTTTCGGTCTTCGAATTGAAACTTGACTTCGTTGGCATTTCCAAAGCGCTTAACCCGGAAGGTAGGTGGGCGGAGTTCCTTTGCAAAGCCAACAATAGTCTTCTGTTTGCTCATGAAAGGTTTTGTCTCTCCGTCTCTGATGTACCTGGCCTTGACTTTCAGCATGCGCAGGAACGCTTCGCGCTGATCGAGCGAGCCATTGAATTCCCCCATCATCTGGATGAGCGGCATCGGCTTGTAGAATGCTCCACTTGTGACGTTCAAGTTCACCAGCAATCGATTGACTGCCGGGCGAACCGAGGCGAAATATCCGCGAAGAGCTTCCAGTCCAGCGCCAAGGTCGTAGTGCTCCACTCCCGGATGGCCATGAAAGGGGTAGAAGTTGTTTTGTCCAACGTTGGCGACCGCATTTGCCTCGTTCGGGGCCTTGGTGAGGATGATGTTGAGCATTTGGACCATGTCGGCACCGCCATTGAAAGCAGCTCCCGCAGACCGGCTTTGCAAGTACTGGATGATCTGGCGCAAGTCATGACCACCTTGGTATTCGACGCTGAATCCAAACGTGTTGCGTTGTCTGGCTTCACGGACGAATTCGGGCGCCTGGCCATTGCCGCCGTTGCCGTTGCCGTTGCCATTGCCGTTCCCAGAGGAACTTCCAGAAGAACTTCCGTTCCCGTTTGAGATCTCCTCTGGAGGTAGAGTGACGTCCTTCCACCCATTCTTGTCTTTGCCCTCCATCAACTTGCTCACATCAATCTCGGCAGACGTTACCAGTATACTGGCATAGTCGGTCGCCCAGTTCACGGTGGAGAAGACCTCGTGCCTCATGATCTGGTCAAAAACACGGCGACGCTTTTGCTTGCTCAGATCTTGTCGATGCTTCACTTCGTAACGGTAGAGAGTCTTCTCCCTTTCCTTCGCTTCAAAAGCGGTGGTCAAGGTGAAATAATTGGTACGAAGGACAATAGATTTGCCCTTTGTTCCGTAGCCGCGTCGTCCCGGGAAGCCGTCGATTATCTGGTCGCGAGTGTGTTTGACCAAGGCATCTTCAGCAGCACGAACGTTCGCGTCTGGCTGAGGAACTTGCTGAGAATCCCTAGACATCTGTCAACAGCCAATCCAATTCAAGGGAAGAAGTCCTCACTCACATGTAGATTCCCCCACGTCCTGGAGGCGGGCCCCTGAAGGCCAGCTGTGCACCCTGTCCTTGCATTGGCGCCCCTCCACGGCCGCCTCGGCCGCCACCTCCGCGACCTCCCTGAAAATCTCCCCGTCCTCCGCCGCCGCGCGCCTGGCTGTCTCCACGGCCACCACGGTAGCCTCCGCCGCCTCGCTGGCCTCCACGCTGGCCGCCGTCTCCTCCTCCACGGCCACCGCCGCGTCCGCGTTGCTGATTGCCAGACATGGTAGATATACCTTTGTCAGGCTTTGAATGGCTTCGTGAGGTCTTCGGTTGGTCAAACTCGGCAGTCTCTAAAGCGCTGAGCTGCTCGTGTGTGACCTGATCGAATCGACAGATAGTTTGGATCAGTCGATCAAGCAATCTGTTGTCAAATATCGGTCAGCGGTCGCGGCAGAGAGGGCATAAGTATGCCGACGGGCTGTTTGCTGCTTGTATGTCGCTTTGCTGTTTGTCTCAACTGAGATGAAAGACATGAAAGACATGAAAGAGCGTGTAAGAAGTACCAAGTGAGGTGGAAACAATGTCTCGCGAGACTATTCCCAACGATGTCTATGCTGACAAGACAACAGCAAGTATGTGGGGTTCCAACGATGTGATAGGGCCCAGAGGGTCTCAAAGGATGCTCTCCCCAAGGACGCTCAACGATGAAGATCAGAAGGATGCGTGCATTGTGATTCCGAGAGATAGATAGCGTGAGATGGTGAGGGAAGAAGAGAGAGAGCGAAAGAGAGAAAGAGAGAGGTGACGTGCCTCATGGCGGGCGGGCGGGCTGCAATTGGCGGGCGGTGAAAGTGTGAAAGGGCAAGGGCGGGATTTGCCGGGATCAACTTCCTTTCCTGACTCGTCTCATTTCTCTCCATCGCCACGCCACGGGCAACTCACTTCTATCGAGCGACAGTACCTTGTTATTTATTACCGCTGCAATCCGACTAATATCTCGCCAAAACTATCTTACGACGCGCCAGAAATTGACGAGTTGCCCATGCGTCCGGATACTCGCCTGCGCTGGACTCTACCAACTCATCGCGATGCTTGAAGTGCATTCATTATATTGGCCTGGCATGAGGTATGGAACAGCTATGTATGGAACAGCTATGGAACAGGTATGGATCAGGTATGGAACAGGTATCTGTGGTATGGATCAGGTATGGGACAGGGATCCTGGGAGACGACGCCTGCCAAGAGCCATCAACATGTCAATTGATGAACGCTGCTGCCTGTTCCATGCGGAATAATAATACGGCGCGGCGCGGCGCGTCCAGTCCATGCCCAGGCGCGCGTTCCCTTCGCCCACAGATACATTACGCGAAATCTCCACGCTTTCCTGTGAGCGCCTGGTGATATCATCGCCTCCTCTTTGTTCGATACGCTCGCCGGGAACTCACCTGATGACTTCTTTCATCTGGTGTCGCCTGCAAGTCATCTGTCACACATCCGTCTCACGGCCAGACCGGCACGGGGACCCGCGAGTCTGCCCTTCGCCATGTATTACCACGGAAGACGCCAAAACGACGCCATCCGCTGGAACACCAGCCGACGCGTTCCTACGACAAGTGCATCACATGAAGTGCTTGGCCCTCTGCCAATCGGTCCAGAATTCGTCATGCGCGCGTGCCTGCAGGACACGGATGCATCCCACACCACGGCCTGGACAGTGGGAGCTCGATTTAGCTGAATGCATTGAAGATCCGCTTCATGCTGCTCTCCAAGATCAACCTGCACATGACGGCTATGCGTCTCAAGCGCATGCAGCGATCGGTATGCTGTGCCTGCACTGACATGTCTATAGACGTCGGACGTTTACTTGGTGCTTCATATGGTTGCAAAGGTGTGTTGGCCTTCTCAAAGAACCCTTTCGCCCCGGGCGTTTCAACAGCAGCGCCATGTGTCTTTCCATCCTGACCGGAGTCCTTATCCTTTCCGTGTGAGTCATGAGTAAGGTATTCAGTTGCGACTTGAGTACATTTGGTACACACGTCGATAGCTGACTCTTGCACAAAGCTTGGGGTTCCTGCAGGTACTGTGCGACGTCGAACATTCCAAAATGATCATCACTCACGTCTACAGCATTCCTCAGCTGCCAGAACTTCCGGTTACCTGGGACAACCTGGTCTCTCCACGACCCTCCCACACCCTGCGCATGTCAGACGACCTGATGCCGCCATAGAATCTATGCCATTGTTTCACTCGTCGTCTTCGAGACCAGACATTCCAGCATGTCCGTACCCTTGGGCGTCCTCAAGCGCAGCCTTGTTGCTTCCGTCGGGTCACATACTCCAGCAGCTTTTTGTACCAATGACAGATTCATGCTTGGACCAACGTGTCACCATCATTCATCGATTTCCAAGACTCGCACTACCCTGTTCCTCGCCGTTTGAGAGTCATTACACTCGATCAAGTGCGCAAACGCCTGCTCACACGGGGCGCAGGCATCAAAGGAGCAACAGTTCCTGTGGAGGGTTGGACCGGGATCACAGGTCGTGGTCGAATGAAGCATTCGTGAAGTCAAATTGAGCACATACGCCCCTCCCCTGCCCTTCACTTCGCCTCAATTGACTTCGTTGCACGCAATAACTTACAGATCCTCACCTTCTTCATGGCCAGAATTCGCTCTTGTTTCGCGGTATTGCACATACTCTCACTGACAGCCCTTCATCAGACACCGTGCTTAGCACATCCTTTTCTTCCCGGTCGGTTATTCCCAAAATCAATCGCCTTCAAATGAGCACAGGTGCTGACAAGGATCTGTAGACTCGCCTCGCTATGTCGCTACGATCACCGAAGACGAAACTTACAACCCCGGGACCGAGACAGTCACGATACCATGCAGCGCTTCGCATTCCGAAAATGTCGTCTATCAGATTGCGGTACACATCCTCAACTCCTGAACGTCTCGATGCCGACACTAACACAGCGGCAGGACGGGCAAGTCCAAGTGGAGGACCAGGCTCCTTTGACTTCATCGACATTTCATTTGCTGTCAACCTCCAGCTCGACTACCGGATTATCAGCACGAGACCTAGTCACCACAACTTCAACAGCCCTTAGCACTGTGTCTTCGAGCACGACATTGACTCAAGCCGCCTATCCAAACGCGAATTATATGAACGTGGATCTAACGACTGCCGAGACTACCAGTGTGCCGGACTCCTCACTGTCTACTCTCTCCACTTCTGCGGTTCAGACTGCTACTGCCTCGGGCACGGGCAGCACTGCGGGCAGCGTGATCACTACTCTGGATACTAGTCTCCAGCCCACATCCCAACCATTTCCTACCGTGATCGACAGCTCCACCAGTCTTTCTCTGGTCGATACTGCTACACTTGGAAGTGTGCAACCTACTGAGACAACGGCGGTACAAACGCTCTCGGTGAGCAGTATCTTTGTGCCGATTGCTACCAAAGCGCCGCCTGTCCAGCTTGGCAACAGGACCGACCATCCAGTCAATACAAGTGCCATTCGCAACCAGGCACATCGCTATCCGACCAACAACTATTACACAAACTTTCTCCTGGATACGAGAGACGAAAGCGTCTTCACGTTTCCATACTCCGTCTTCTGGTCACGAAACCGGGGATCACTTGGGAGTTGGGGCCTTGCTATTTCCCATACAGAACGGAGCCAATTCGCATTTGGAGATCCCAGACCAGGGATTGATGCTGGCAACTCCTCCAACTTCGGGAGTCCAGTGAATATCCAATCCATTGTCCTCTCGGCGGTCGAAGTCAATGTCACCACAATCGATGGTGCGATCATGAGTCCAAATATTACCACTGAATCCCTTGAATGGGGCTCCATCCAAGTGAACCTTTGGGCACCTGCCTGGAAGACTCCCACGATCCAATTCCCACTTGTGCAAGGCGCCTCTTTCATCACTGGAAACTACAGCTGGACCACGCCTCTTATCCAATCGGGGATCGGCTTCAAGAGTATCAAGTACGATGGTGCTGTGGTGGACAACACAACGTTCAAGTACACAGTGATGCTTAAGACTAATGTGACATGGCTCATCTACCTGACTCCCGACTTCAATCTGAGTCCTGGCTACCCGGTCAACGAGTTCACATTACTTAACAGCACCGCGGACGAGGACGTACAAACGGATATTCAGGGTCATTCCGGCTACAATGGTCTTATCCAGGTCGCCAAGTTGCCACGCGGTTCGACGGACCCGACATACACCGCACCCGACGTGCAAAGCTTGTATGACGGAGCTGCTGGGGCCTATGCCGCGAACGTCAGCATCAATGGCAGTGTCAACGACAGGGTCGGCACGTACTCCTTCCATTGGGACAAGAGAGGAAACCAGAACCAAAAGCTGCTCATGTTCGCTTTGCCTCATCATCTCTCCAGCTTCGACCCAGAGACAGAAGCCCGAGCGACTGACTTGAAGCTCATGACCCCGGTCAAAGGCAACGCCACTGCCGTGCAAGGAGAATCTTGGACTCTCACGGAAACCGATATGCCCATTGACATGGACTTTGCACCATACTCTACCACCAAGGGAAGTATCAAGACCCTTGACGAAGACGTGAGATCCACCATCTTCACGGCAGGCAAAGCCGAACTCAACCAGACCATCATGGCTCAGGCAAATGTTTCAAGCTTCTATTACGACGGCAAAGCTCTCGCGAAATTTGCCAATATTTGCTATACTCTCCACCAGCTCGTGGGAGGGAATACCACTTGGGCACTTTCTGGGCTTGTAGAATTACAGGAAGCATTCCAATACCATGTCGACGGCCGACAGCCCTTTCCCTTGGTCTACGACGACGTCTGGGGCGGCGCAGTGAGCAATGCCTCCTACCAAAACCCCTCAGACCCAGCTTCTTCCGGCCTTGATTTCGGCAACTCATACTACAACGACCACCATTTCCACTACGGCTACTTCGTCTACGCCGCAGCGGTCATCGGCTATCTTGACCCGACCTGGATCCAGAACACCTCCAACGTCGACTGGGTCAACACTCTGGTTCGAGACTACGCCAACAGCATCACCTGGGACCCTTACTACCCCTTCTCGCGCTCCTTCGACTGGTACCACGGCCACTCCTGGGCCGCCGGCCTCTTCTCCTCCGCCGACGGCAAGAACCAAGAATCCTCCTCCGAAGACACCATGGCTTCCTACGCCATCAAAATGTGGGGCCAAGTCATCGGCGACCAACCCATGATGGCACGCGGCAACCTCATGCTCGCGATCCAACGCCGCTCCCTCAACGCCTACTACCTCTACTCTTCCGACAACACCATCCTGCCCCCAAACTTCATCGGAAACAAATGCGCCGGCATCCTCTTCATGAACAAATGCGATCACACCACGTACTTCGGCGCCGAGCCGCAATTCATCCAGGGCATCCACATGATCCCCCTGATGCCCTTCTCCGCCTACATTCGCCCCGCAAGTTTCGTGCAGCAGGAATGGGACGCATACTTTGTCGACAATTACACGAATGTACGCGATGGATGGCGCGGGATTCTGCAGGCGAACAGCGCGCTGATCGACCGCGGGTATGCGAAGAAGGCTCTGAGTTTCTTCCAAGGGGCCGAGGGAGAGGATTCGAGGGGCAGTGATGGCAAGTTCAATGTTAGTCTGCTTGATGGTGGGGCGAGTCAGACTTGGTACTTGGCGTTGGCTGGGGCGCTTTCGATGTGAGAGAGAGAGAGAAAGAAAGAGAGAGAAGAAGAGGAGCGAGAGGAGAGGTAAGTATATGGGAAACTTTTTTGTGGGGGGAGGGGGAGGGGGAAAAGGGGCGAGGATACATGTATGGATTTCGAACAGCTGGGGAACTTTACCAACGACAGAATCATGAACGGCCGCGAACGGGGATTATTAGGATGGATGGAATAGACTGGACCGGCATCGGGATCAGGTTTTGGGGGCGTCTAGGTGTTTGGGAGAGGAGAAATTTCGGCTAGACTGACTACTCACGAGAGGCGCCTCTGATGAAATGAGAATGAGAATGGAATGCAATGGAACGGGAAAGGGCAGATGAAATCTTCACCCTGGGGAAGATTCCATGGACATTTATCACAGAACAACAGTAAAGGGTTTATTACAGACAGATGTACGCATTACAGCCACAAAAAAAAACCCCCCTCATCACATCCTCTTCCTCTTGGCCCGCGCTCTCCTCTGGCTCTTCATGTCCATTCAATCTAATTCCAAACCTCCGTGAATCGGCCTCTGCATCATCCATACCAGAAAGTCTTCAAACCCCAAAGTTCCCCCAGTAAAATTCCCAGATTAAGACTCGGAAATGTTGGAAAAGCCCGAAAACTACCCGCTATCCAACGACAGTATAGATTGAGAGGGTCGGAACCCACAAAGGTCGATATGTTTCGGCCCTCACGAAATATACTTTGGTCAAGGAAGGGCTGTGGCCTTTCCTACTCGGGTTCGGTGCTGGAGTCGAAGCTTCACTCGGTCTGGAATGGGCACATTCATTGCTTTTGAGTAGCTTGTGGTGCTTGCCTTTCCTTTGGGTGAATGAGCAGGCGAACCAGCAGAGCAAGCTCGCATGATCTCGCTTTCGATCGGACGTCATTCTTTGTACAGGTCCGAGAATTGGAGCGAACGAAGGCGTCAAAACGTCTGCGGTTTCCTCAAAAGCTGGAGGAAGGAAGGGGTCCCCGGGCTCGACGAGTAGCATTCTCGACGGTGATGGATGCTCCAGCAGGGACTGACGGCGTCGGAGGAGTCGGAGCAAAGGCGCGAGATGTATAGCGCCTCCAGACAGCTCCAGTCTGTCCTGTTCAGTTCGTGAGAAGTCGCTTTTCTTTACTCCGTAGGCGATGGAGTCTTCGAATCCGGGAATGTGCCTCACGTTGTTGTCCGCGACCGACCAATTCCAGACGTATACTCGCCAGTCTAGCTGTCGAAGCTGATATATCGTAGGACGTCTGCGTGTTGAGCCCTCAGATGGAAGTCTGATAGATGTTCGAAATCTGCCGTACTTAGAATGTCTGAGGTCTTTTCCCAATGTTCGTGCGGGATGGCTAGGAGCGAAAGTCTCGGCTCGGTGGTCATTGACATTGAGTGTGATGAGCGCGAGCATCGACATCGGGCAGCAATCCCAAAGTCAGATCACAGTGTAGTAGGTTCTGCGTAAGCCACGGGCGGTGCTCAGTGAGACATCCTCGGCGTTCCTTGTCGCCGGTGAAGTCGAGGATCAAGTTAGGCTCCGAAAGAGAGCGGTGTCTCTGCTCTTTTTGGATCATAAAGCCGGATCCCGTTCATCATCGCGAAGTTGATGTTGCTCACGATAATGTCCTCTCCATTCGAGTTCCTGAACATATTCCATGGGCTGCCCGTGATACTTTGGAACAATGTGGAAATCGCAAGAACTCGGATGTGGATAAACACAACGGACACGCTCCGCGAGTCGAGGCGTTGCAAGGATGGATGTCTTTTAAGAAAGGCGGTTGTGGTCCAGGCCGAGACTCCATATTTCCTCGATATACCCCTGAGGGAAGTACCTAAACGTAGCATCTGCCATTCTGGTGCATACCTGCCGCACGGTGACCAGATGATCCTGCCCGGTGTTGCTCTCGACGATCATCTGCAGCAGCTCGGTTGGAAGGCGCCAGATGGGAGGTCCATGAATGCCCGACATTTCCGTAGATCTGCTTGCAGTTGATTTGGAGATTCTCGATTGTCGTCGTTCCGCAGACTGAAGTATACTTGAGAAGTCTTCAAGGGGGGTTCACGGAACAGCTTGTATTGATCGTGCATCAAAATTATAGTGCCGTGAGAACAGTGTGAATAACGAGACTGGCGAGTCCTGGAGCCAATATCGGGAGGAGCGCGTCGACATGTGATGTTACGTCCAAGGAGACTGACCATGTGTTTATACTCCGTCGAAACGCTCTGCAACCAATCTCTTCCGTGGACTTCGTCTTTGGCCCGCCTCTTTGGTGGAACAAGCAGCAATTCTTCCGTGCAGCATCTCGACGCAGCTGATCAAGATTTCCTTAGCGGCTTCAACATTGCCAGTCGACTTGCCGTAACTGCATTGTTCACCTGTATTATCGTGGAGAAACAGCGATCCACCGACCGTGAATACTGTGCAACTTTGCCAACGGACGTCAACCCCTTCGTGATGTCTTGCGCTCCTGCGTGGGAACAGCTGGCTCTGGATGATGTGGCTCACATGCTCAGCTGTAAAGAATGCCGTTCCTGAGGTTGAGCTCCAGAAGTTCCTGTACAGCCACCTTACCATCAGCAAGCCCGACGGAAATTGCGCCCATTCCGGGACGATCATAGAAATGAGCATAGAATGGCAACTCCTCGGTCGGACCCTCCTTATGCAGAGAGTCGAACCAAAAGCCGTCCAGCTGGGGCATCGTCTTCAATTTCTTGAGTACTTCGCCCCAAGGATCACCATCGTCAAGAAGGCATATGTCATGGCTGTCAAGTCCCTCCAACGTTGTGTGCCAGCGATCTAGCATGGTCAAGAAGTCCTTGAGCCGCATTTGCATGTCGGCGAGCTGGAGATCTTTGATGTATCGACTCTTGACGGCGGACAGAATTCGTGGAGTCAAGTCGGTCAACGCATCATTGTCCCAGAGATTAACGCTCGCGTGCAGCGTAAGTACCAGGTTCTGGAGACTACGACTTGCGTCCAGTATTAACTGAACAGCTTCAAGCGCTTCTCCACTAGCGATGTCGTCGATGGTGTGCATCTTTTTGTGAAATCCAAATGTTTCCAGGTTCTTCGTGAGAAGAGACAGCTGGTTGGAAGGCATTTTAAGGTAATCGCTGAGACCGGTCAAATACCTGTCAGAGAGATACAGCTCGTCGATGCGGCATCCCATGGCTACGGCAGGCGAAATAATACTCGCTGCCAAATCGGGATGTTGGGGACTGAGCAAGTTATCGGCGGCTTCAAGGTCAGCAAGAAGCTCGAGTTGCAAGCTGCAACGTCGCAGGGCAGAGACGCGTCTGAGTAAACGCCCGAGCAACTTCCAGTCAAGGCAGCCTCCTAATGGGATGTTCTGATACTTTTCCAGCGTGTAAGCTTCGCTTGCGTCTTGGCGTGCAACCTCCAGCGGCTCGTTTTTCTTCGCGGCCAGATGAATGCAATCGCTCTCCGTTGCTTCGAAGGCTTTAAAGGTCAACAACACGCCGCTCACGCGATGGGCGAGATGTTTCGTGGATAAGATGTCGTTGACGCGCTGCAATCGAGCCGGCTCCAGTAGGAAGCAAGCGACTTGATCGAGGTACTCGCGTCCAAAGGCATCAAGAGCCGCGGCTTCGAGGTCTCTACTCGCGAGCCGGATGTTGAGTAGGTCGTGAGGCGTCGCAAACGAACATATCAACTGAAGCATCTCCACGGGCAGAGAGAGCAGGTGGGTTCCTGTTGGTGAGTCCATCTCCATCCGGGCTGGAACGTGTCCCCTCCACTGCTTGAGAAAGGCGCTGTGTTGGCTCACTGCAGTTTGTGCTACCTCGCGGCTAAGTCGAAAATGGAGAAGCAAGAGAGATCGCGAATGGGTCTGTAAGGCTTGATATAGGCGTCAATGCGTGCCTGCAGCAGTAGTCGGTGTTACTTTCCCAGAGCTGCACGTTGCCACTTCTCTCAATGCAAGATGCAAGGTGGTCTGAAACTTGCTAAGGCACTAAGCTTGTATCTAAGATGTGAAGCTATGTCCGAAACAGGAGCCTCTAGTTATCATACTTCCCCTAAGGAGTAAGTAGCTCTTAGTATCTAAGTTTACCTAAGTCGCTTTATTAAATTACTTATATTAATATACTATTATATCTTATAAGTAGTTATAGAGAGTATATAAGCTCTCTAACTACTAATACTACGAGAGCTAGACTAGTAGATAGAGATCCTCTGTAGAAAACCTTAGATAATATCTAAATCTACTATACTTACGAATAATTTTTAAAATATCTTAGACTTATAATACTATATTCTAAGATAAGATAGAGAGAATTACAATCTTTTTAGTTAATAACATAAGCGCCTGTAAGTGCGTGTAGTGAATTTTGTCTCTACCTTATATCGTTACTAGGCTACTAAGCCTATTAAGGTAGGAGGCTATTTCTAAGTAAGGAACCCCGCCTATTAGGAGGCGCGAAACCGGGAGAGGCAAGAGCCGTGTTACAAAATGTATGGAGTAACTAGCACTACCTTAGCTGTACTAGTAAGAGCGTACAGACCTACGGATTGCCCCGCCTAGTATAAGAGCTTTAACTAATAAAGAAGGTTTATAGCCCGGCTATCTATATAAGGTTTTAAGGTGTTTTTATATCCCCTCTACTTAGCTGCTAAGACTAGAGTTTTTCACACTTAGGCATAACACCACTTTAGTAAGTGTAGTGTAATTCCTTGGCATGCAGGCCAAGGATCTCACAGTGCTTGTATATGTCGATCACGTGAAGTGAGCAGTCCAATCAAGACTCTGAAGAACGCTAGAACTTGTGAGCATTCAGCACGAGCCAGTGATTTCTGCACTCGGATATCAAGTTGTAGAAAACTCGGTTTGAAGGTTCAATCCGTGGAGGATTGTGTAGTCACGTGACGCACGCGTTACACGTCTGGCGCGAACAAGCTTCGCTAGAGGCAGACTGGGACATCAAACATCATCCCGAAGACTTCTAACGCAGAGTGTTTCCTTTGATCTCAATCGGATCCACGCAGTCTCCATACTCCTCACGCGCTCTGGAAGCGGACAGATACTAGAATCAGGCAGTCTGAATCCTGCCGTTCTCGACGGGCGTTCGTCAAAATGGCGGCGGTGCGTTGGTTCGCAGCTCCGAAATGCATAGCAATGGGACTAACTAGACGTGCAGCCTATAACCACCGTCTCAGATTCGAAAGAACGACAAGGGCTCAATCTCATCGCAGCACATTCACACATCCGAGGCCTCGGCGTGACGCCAGACACCCTTACCCCAAAGCCCAGCGCCGATGGCCTTGTAGGGCAGCAGCAGGCGCGGAAAGCGGCCAGCATCATCCTCCAGATGGTCAAGGAAGGGAAAATTGCGGGAAGAGCAGTGTTGATATCTGGACCCCCGAGCACAGGAAAGACGGCTATTGCAATAGGAATGAGCAAGGGCCTGGGTGAAGATGTACCATTTACAATGCTCGCATCGTCGGAGATATTCAGTCTGGAAATGAGCAAGACAGAGGCACTGGAGCAAGCTTTCCGGAAGTCAATTGGCGTACGGATACGAGAAGAAAGCGAAGTCATCGAGGGCGAGGTAGTAGAGATACAGATCGACCGGTCGGTTACAGGGAACAACAAGAGCGGCAAGCTCACACTCAAGACGACCGACATGGAGACCCTATACGACATGGGCACGCGTATGATTGACAGCATGACGAAGGAGAAGATCATGGCAGGAGACATCATAAGCATCGACAAGGCCAGCGGCAGGATCACCAAGCTTGGGAGAAGCTACACTCGCAGCCGCGACTACGATGCGGTTGGGTCGGACGCGAAGTTCATCCAATGTCCGGACGGTGAGCTGCAAGTGCGGAGGGAGACTGTTCATACTGTCTCATTGCATGAAATCGACGTTATCAACAGCCGGACACAAGGATTCATGGCCCTCTTCTCCGGCGACACTGGCGAGATCCGATCCGAGGTGCGAGAGCAGATCAACACCAAGGTTGCGGAATGGAAAGAGGAGGGTAAAGCTGAGATTGTTCCTGGCGTCTTGTTCATCGACGAGGTCCACATGCTTGACATCGAGTGCTTCAGCTTCATCAACCGAGCTCTTGAGGACGAGTTAGCTCCGATTGTCATCATGGCTTCGAATCGTGGGTCTACGACGATTCGCGGAACCAATTATCGCAGCCCGCATGGCCTGCCGCTTGACTTCCTTGATCGTGTGGTAATCATCTCCACCCACCCTTATCAGGCAGAGGAGATTCGCGACATCTTATCGATCCGCGCGCAGGAAGAGGAGGTTGACGTGTCGCCGGATGCTCTTGCTCTCCTCACCAAGATTGGTGCGGAGACAGGTCTCCGGTATGCAAGCAACCTTATCACTACCTCACATCTCCTATCGCAGAAGAGGAAAGCGAAGGAGGTTGAGCTTGGCGACGTGCAGAGATCCTTCAAGCTCTTTTACGACCCGAATCGAAGCGTTGAATTTGTGCAAAAATTCGGGAATAGATTTATCGGAGAAGACGGCGCAGTCACTCTGGGCGCAGAGTCAAATGGCGCGAGTAACGGAGATGCTATGGAAGTATCCTAGGTGTACGCTCGTTCGCGGGCAGGTGGTCTCTAGCCAGGCGCACTGGACATGGGTAAAAGCAAGCGGGACCCGGGGAGAGCTACCGCACCTCATTGCCCCTGCTCGGCTCTCATAGCAATGTATAAATAGCAGCGACATGCGACCATTAGTGACCTTGGTTCTTTTCCGCTACTCAGCGAAACGTCATTGGTTTCCTTCATCTTCGCTTTGTGCTTCACTGGCCTGATTCATATGCACACTACTTCGAATCCGCCATCCGCAAAGAGTCCTTTGCTGTCAGGGAACCGCCTCGTTGGTGGCTCACTTGAACGATGAGCGAGAATGAGTTCATGAACGGGTCGTCTTCCCTCTCGCCATCAACCTCAGTGTCGGACCCATGGATCTCTCGCTTCGCCAGCTCCGCCTTGCAAGGTCAATCGAATGGGCCCGCCGGGAGCGACTCTATCATCACGAAGGTAGTCGAATCCTACGGGAACCCTTCCAAGCCCATATGCTTCAATATAGGCAACGGAGGGGCCGGCTACACCGGCATCCTCAAGAGCCTCACCGATGCATACATCTCCGAGCGCCAGAAAGACTTCCGCGTAGGGTGGGTACCCAATCACAGTCGACACTCCCAGATCGCGCTCCTGGCTAACGTGGTGCAACTGGCGCTGACCTACGAGCCTGAGAACGAGGACCTCGCCGTTCAAGAGGGATGGTGCTCGAAAGTCGGGCGAGTTTTCAACGACCACTTCCTGCTAGCCGGGCCCGCGGTAGATGTGGATTCACGCAGTGCTACGGCGTTGCTCCGCAGTATTGCTGAGTCGGGCAGGAAGACGGGCCCGGGCTCCCAAAGCAGAGCGTATGTTTTCCTCTCCCGAGGTAAGGGACTCCTCTCACTGTGCGAAATGAAATGAATCTCTCCCGTGCCATTTGCTAAGAAGAGATTTTCTTGCCTCGACAGGTGACGGCTCTGCCACTTTCGCCAAGGAAAACAGCCTCTTCCGCGCTGCGCAAGTCGACATGTCGGCCGTTGTCAAGACCCATCCATGCACGCCGTATGAAGCGCTCGTGCAGGCGGAGAAGGAGCAGGCTTTCCTCCTCACCGACCGTGCCACGTTCCTCACGGCCAAGCGTGACCACGCGATCCCATCGCTTCGCGTCCACGTCGAGGGAGGCGAGCAGCTCCTCAATCCATGCTCGGCCCTCGTCCGCAGTCCCACGCTTTGGAAGGACCGGCGAGGCCTGACTGCGGACGATGAGGCGCTGGCGTTCGCGCGCTGGTTGTGTGGGCCCTTGGCTCAGAGTATCGTTGCCGCCTATGGGAGCGACTGGAATCTGGGTAAGCCGCTCTTCACTGTCGCTGCGCAGGACGACTTTGTCAAGGATGACCTTTTGGCAACGTCCTGAAGACATTGCGCTCGCTGGCGAGACCCTCGCCGAGTCCATTGCAACGAGCTTGCAGCAATGAAGTTATGTAATTCATTCTGCGCAGCATCTGTCAATCAAGAAGTAAAGCGTAAACTAAGAGTCCTACTACGGAGCAGGAGGAAAGGAGAAAAGGATTTTGTCTGCGTGCAGACAGCGTGACGGGAAAACGGCGTTGTTTGAAGCCTATAGGTATATCTAGATTTTCCTAGCACCTTGGATTTTTCGGTATCCAACCCTCTTACATCCAACTCATCTTCCTCTACTGGCCGCTCAGCGACGTGAACGGACCAAACCGTCAATAAAGTTCTTCATTGTACGATCTCTAGTTATCGTAAACATGGAGTTGCTCTGAGTTTCCTTTCGACTGTGCGAAGATCAGCACGCCTCGGAGCCCGTACAGATTCTTTCCGTTTGCCTTTCATAGCTCCAACATGTTTCCGGCCCTTGGAGGCAATTGAATGTTTTGATTTGTGTGTCGAACGAGTTTTCGATCCATTTGACATCACATCCTTCTGCTCACAGTGCATGCGCAGATGAGCCTGTCTGCTGTTCATACGCTCAATTTGCAATTGAAAGGAGTTCCTTGGCGAGATGGGAATTTTGAAAACCGTCGAGGGAACGTGTGATAGAGCCGAGATGAAGCCGGTATACCGAGCGTCTGTAAGCGGGAGACGAGATACTGCGCAGCGATGGTCTGACGGCTGACAGTAAAGGGCTCGACCGGGCTGGCGGATGACCACGGATAGGGTGGCGGGGGAAACGTGGGCACGTTGCACAGCCTTGCACAAGCTGGACAACCAGAGCCATGCTCTATGTCGCGGAAGGCTGAAGCTGCGTCAGGTCATATTGGGATGTTGACGTGCGGTGTCCCGCTCTTCAGCTTTTCAGGCGGAGTGTTAGGACGAGCAGCGTAATGTAGGCAGCGGTCGAAAGGGCGGTCAGGATGACGACCACATTACCACTAGTCCTGAAGCTGTAGAGTTGTCAGCACCAAGGAGGAATGGTTTCGTGTGGACTCCATACCGTCTCCTGCTCAGCCCGTCACCGCCGATTTCACTGAAGAATTGTCTGTTGCCCTGCATGCGCCTGAAGGCACTGACTCCAAGCACGCCGGCTCCATAGATGGCGAAGAGAGCACCTTGGCGGGAAGTCAGCGTAATACAGCTGGGAAAGCTGGGCAAGGCTCTCACCGATACTATAGAATTCACTCGTGAAGATCTTCAATACGACCAAGGCAAAGCTGAACTGGCTCAGGCTGGTGCGGATGTAGGCGCCCTCGAAGGTTCTCTGGGCCGCTCGAATTTCGACCAGCTCCTGTGGTGTGAGGACGACGGAGCGAGCGCGATGGAGGCGAAGGTGGTAGCGGGATGATGCGTGGCGTGTCTGTAGAACTTCATCAGCAGGAGGATGGGTGGAAGGGCGCCTTGAAACAGCGTTGGTTGCGACCTGGAATCTTGGGGAACATGATTTGGGCGACTGCAGGCCCGGCAGGGATGGGTGCAAGGCGAGGGCGAGGTCAAGGATGGGGTGGAGATGGGAGGAGGATGTGAATTGGTGAGCATAACGCACCTCGAACATGACGGTTCGGCCTCGTGCTACATGGCCGTACGGCGGTGGTTGTTGCGATACTGGTTGACTGGTGTATGGTGCCGCGTGCGAGGTGAGGAAGACGGGGCACGACGAGGGGAGGGTGAGGGGAGAGGAAGTTGATGGTGTGGTCGGTCGGTCATGAGATATGGCCTGGTCTGGTAGTAGCTGCACACTACTACTTCACTGCGCACACCGTCACATGGAAGTTGTGGGGTAGCTGTGGTAGCTCGGGAGCTCCCCGCCAAGACTTCTGGCACCCTGCGCGGGCTACCTAGTTGCCTACCTTAGTTCTACTGTACTGGCGCTGCTTCTGCTTCTGCTTCTGCTCCCCTCCGCAACACCGTCGACCGTCCCGTGTGCAGCCAACGCCGCGGAGAACAGCGCGGTAGGGGATCTCGACATGAGAGGAGAGGAGAGGAGAGGAGAGGAGAGGAGAGGAGATGGTGTCGACCAGCAGGCATCTGATGCTATCCCTCCTCCCGCGCTGAATGTCGCCTGCCGGTAAGCTCCGCCCTCGCCCTCGCCTTCGCCCTCGCCCTCGCCCTCGCCCTCCCCACTCCCACTACCGGGCACTACTCCCTGCAGGCGGGACGCGCGACGACACGCCTTGCAAAGCTCACGCCCGCTGCCCTCTCCTCTCCTCTTCTCCCCTCCACCCACCCGCCCTCATCTACACCAAGTATTCCAAGCCTTCCCTCGAGTCACATCTCTCGCTCTCCCTCTCGCTCTCATCTCAACTCATCTCACACGCATCCATCCAACAAAGGCTCACCCAACCTGTCCGGACTTCAATTCCGCCCTTTCACCGGGCTCCGTGCAACCTTCACCTCCATTCTAGGCAGACGGAAACGGCAAGTCTTGTTTCCATGTGCTCTTAGACCGTCTTCACATCAACTGGAGCCCTACTTCTTCCTACCCAACTCCCGCCTCCCACCATCTCCATCAGCGCACGGCATGGTGCTCATGGAAGGCACCGGCGGCTTCACTGCCGTGAACCCCATGTCAATACAGACACCGACACAAACCGCAGGCGCGAAGCGGAAACGAGACACGCCCAAATTCTACGCGGTTCGAGTAGGCAAATCGCCCGGTGTCTACTACTCCTGGACAGAATGCCTGGACCAAGTCCGAGGCTTTCCGAAAGCCGTCTTCAAGTCCTTCACAACTCTGACCGAGGCGGATAACTTTGTCAAGAATGAGGGAAGCGATGGTAAGGGCGACATGAAAGTCACAAAGTGGTATGGTGTGCAGGCAGGTCGGAACCCGGGGGTCTACACAACCTGGCAGGAGGTGCTGGACCAGATCACAGGATGGAAAGGACCGAAGCATCGAGGATTTAAGACGAGGACTGAGGCGGAGCAGTACGTGGCAGAGGGCAGACATATGATAGGTGCATCGAGCGATGTTCCAATTGGCAGCATAGAGCAGGGGGAGCCAGCGCAGAAGAAGATGATGATCAAGGCCAAGCCGAAAAAGGGCGGTGTCGTTAAGAATGAGACGAGTCCCGGCCCGGCGATGGATCAGGGAGAGTACGAGCCGGGGGAGGCACCTTTGCCGGACGACGTGGAGGACGGCTTCGATACCAGCATCATTCTCGACCATACAACAAACGGTGCGCGATACAAGACACGGGAAGAACGGGAGAGGATGACCTATCAAGCTGTTCGTCCAGTGCCAAATGCACCAATACGAATATATACAGACGGAAGCTCCCTCGGGAATGGGCAAGTAGGTTCGATGGCCGGCGTGGGAGTCTACTTCGGTTCAGGCGATATGCGTAACATCAGCGAGCCGCTTCAAGGCAGCAAGCAAACGAACCAACGCGCAGAGCTCACGGCCATCATCAGAGCGCTCGAGATTTCCCCGAAGGACCGCAAGATCGTCATCGTCAGCGATAGCAAGTACTCAATCGACTGTGTCACGAACTGGTTCCATAATTGGCAGCGCAATGGCTGGGTGAACTCTTCCCGAAAGCCTGTCGAGAACAAGGACCTGATTCAGAAGATCATCGATATGCTTGAAGAGCGGTTCCAGTTGAATCAGCATCGCATGGATGAAGGCGAAAATGCACCTATCGCGGACAAGCGAGCTCATTGGGATCGCGGCCCGGGAGGGGTAAGATTCGAGTGGGTCAAGGGTCACGATAAGGACGAGGGCAACAATGCCGCTGACGACCTGGCCGTCGCGGGAGCCCGGACTGCGCAGGAATTGAGCGCAGAGATCACTTTCGACGATTGAGTCCCCGATGGACGGATTTCACGTGACGACGATTAACATTGAGAGAGCTCCGAGCTGAAAGTCTACCTAGATGATACCCGCGAAGAGCTTTTCTGTGTGCTGACAATCTTCGCCGCTCCTCGAACCCGTCGTGATTGTGAGAGGCCAGGTTTTTTTTTCGTCGTTTCCTGATGAGTGTGTGTGTGCTGAATGCCGCATGCTGAGCTTGCCTGAACCGAGTCGACACCTTTGGTTCTGAAAGCCGCAGTAACAGCATAGAGTGATGTACCGAAGGGCATGCTCTAGCATGTTTCTGGAGAAGAAACGAAAGGCTGGGGAATTGCTCCTGCCAAGTCCTGATACTTACCTTCGTTCTGTCGCTGTCGACGAGAAGACGCTCCATGTGCAGTCTTGTCTCCATGCCATGCGAACGAGGATATTTGTATACACTCCGATCTTTGCTGGAAGGGTCCAAGCAGGTGCATGTTGCGGCCACGTTGCCGTTTTGTTCCTGCTCATTGTCGCTGTCGTGGGTGTTGTGCCGAGAGCAAGTTCCTGATCCCTGCTGTTAGCTTGCCGCTGGTGGTGGAGGAGGAGGCGAGTCATGACACTCACTCAGATCAGATCAGTCCAAGACGGGCCTCCAAGGTCTTTCTCAGCTTCTGCAACCGCTCGGAGTCAGAATGGGCCGCCGACGACGACGACGAGGACGCAACAAGTCGGTCTCCGTGGCGGTCGAAATCGACAAGCGTGATCTTGGCGAAGAACGCGCGCCACGCCTCGCAAGGTCGCCGGTACCGAACGACCCGCTCGATCGCCTTGGCCAGGATCTCGTAGTATCGGTCGCTGTTCGTGATGGGGCAGCGGAGGACCATGGAGTGGATGCCGGTGCACGCACCCAGGAGTTCCAGTTCCGGCATGCCCGCCACGATCTGGCCCAGGACGACGTCGACGTTGCGGAGGAGGGGGACGTACGTCTGTGCCTGGGCGAGGAGGGGAGGGACCGCGAGGGCGTGAGGGAATTCGAAGGTGTTCTTGCTGTAGAGGATCGGCGTGGCCTCGCTGTGGATCTGTCGACTGACGCATAGGAGAGAGGCCCCGTTTGGGGCGAGAAATGGATGGCCGTGGCTTTGACCGCCCTTTTTCTCGTCGGCGGGAAGACGCGCTCTCGCGGAATCCCCGTCACGGAGGATTCGCAACGACTTTCGCAGGAAGACCTCCTCGTACACGAGCTCTCGCAGTTCTGGGGGCAGGTCCATGAAGCGGAATACCTGGGTGTGCCAGAAGGGGTTCGTCATCGGACTCTGCTTCCGCTTCCTCGTGCTTCGGGCTGTCTTCTTCGCCCCGGCGCTTGGACCGGGTCGGATTATCATTCCAGGCCAGACAGAAGAAGACATGTTGTTGTGATGGCGACTTAGCCTCGATATCTGCAGAGTTTGTCGATGTTTTGGTCATGGTCGAGTAGTAATTGGAGAGAGCGCGACAGATGAAGTTCTTACCTAGCCATCTTCTTACATGTGATATCGTGAAGCATTGCGACACATGAAGATTGCATCTGAAGCAGACCTGAGGTCTGCTCGACAATCAACGTCACTTTCGAAAGTGAAGAAGGTCGCTGTGACGGCGTTGCCACCGACGTCGCTTCAGGCGAGCCACCCTCGTTCCAGGAAGAGGCTGATCTGGTGGGAGCACACGATCTCCAAGCATCCCAGTCAGCTTGTTCGCCGAGCTCTCGTCGGTCCGACGATCGAGAGCGGTTGCGCGTGATTTGAGCGCCAGTTGCGCCGCAACACGTCGTTCTCAGTGGGATGTAGAGTTGAGTCACTCAATAGGCTTTGCGATGCGGCGGTGCACTCTCGGGCTCTTGGCACTCCTCATCGTGGATATACTGCTGGCGATGAACGCAAGTCCTACGGATCATATGGGAAGGCGTGGGATGCAACGCACAAGGAGTCAAGGACAGCGTCGTTCAAACACATGTGAAGCGAGATTATTCGTGCGATATCGAAGGCAGTTGCGGGGTTCCGCTGCCCAGGTGCACAGTGTTCCATGTCGCGCGGTTGGTCTTGGCTCCAAGAAACTAATGCCAATGTACAGCCCGACCGGACAATAATGGGTGTCACGGCTTGCGCAGGCCAAGAGCATCGAAACGCCAGATAGAGAGAGAGGTGAGGTTAACAGGGCAGGCACCCGGTAGCTGACAGCTGGAGGGAGTGGGATGTCGCGGCGTAGATGAGGCTCAAGCAGGCAATGGAAGCTCCTTGGCAGCGGCGTGCGGCAGAAGGAGGCACAGATTGGTTCCCGACTGACACGTGATGTCCATCGCCGAGTGAGCTGCTCCCTCTCACAAGACACGACAACACAAGACAAGGCAAGACAAGACAAGACAAGACAAGACAAGACAGCGCACGCGGCACGGGAGTCATGTCCTTCGCCGCGCGTTGCTGCTGCCTGGCCGTCTGTTGTATCTCCGCGTCGCTCCTTCTCATTTCATGTCCTCGTCTTGTGCGATGCTTACGGGCCGACCGTGATTATTATTAATAAGCGCAGCAGCACAATATAGACTTTCGGGACTTAGGCCCAGCACGCGGCACATCAGCAGCTCTGGGTCTTTGCCTTTGCATCGACCCATTTAATATTCTTCTTCCTGTCGCACAGGTCGCAAAGGTCGCCGAGAGACTTTGCCTTGTCCTGCGAGAAGTGGGCCCACGTCAACGGTCTGCGGACGGCCAACTCTTCAAGAAGGCTCGCCACACCCACCTCCGCTCCTGCCGCCGCGAAAGGCTTTTGCAGAGAAGGAACCTGGAAAAGAGGAGCTCGCTGATTTCATACTAACGGTACCCATCACCCCTTTCCCCAGCAGCAGTGCTACCCTACCCCATCGCGCTACCTTAGGCACAACATCCGTCTCACCCAGGCGAAGCGTGATATCATCCCGCCGACAACTTCCCTTCCACACTTCTCACGCCCGACCTCACATTTATCTTCGCCGCGTGCGATGCCGCACGCTACCGACACGTATAACACTGACTTAGCCGGCATCGACAATCTCAGTCTCAATATACATCTCGCGGGAACATGTTCCTGTCATACGGAAGATAATACGGATCTTGGTCTATTCCGTCGACGCCAGTCCGAACACTCCAGACTAGCCAGGCAGGCCATGACCACAAGTCGCGCCCAGTCTGAAGAGCGCCACCCGAGTGACGAGGTTCCGCCGAACGATGAGAGGAAAGTGGATCAGCTACGAAATCAGCTCGACCGCACCCTCAGCGGTCCGTCTGGAGGAGCTGCATCGCCGAAGAATGGCGTCCCTCCGCCGCAACACGATGGAGCCACAGACTTCAAGGCCATTCCACGCACAGCACGAGGCGGCTCTCTTGCCGCAGCTGTAAGTGGTCACTTCCGCGAGGTCAACGGCGCCACCATGGCCATGAACGACACACCCGCGACGACCGCTCCTAGCAGCCCAAGGCTGAACGGCAATACATTTGCGCCGGGCAGCGTGGGCAGCGTTGGCAGCGATGGACCTCCTCCCAAACTTCCGACGCCTGTTAGACAGAACTCGGGAACGTCGACGCCGCGCGTGCGTCCGACCACCCTCGATATCCCAGGATTGACGAAGAGCAAGGTCTCACCAGATGGTCGGATCGCATCGAGAGATGTGGGCTCGAAGCTTGTTATTGTCATGGTCGGCCTTCCAGCGCGTGGAAAGAGCTACATTACCAAGAAGCTGGCGCGATATCTCAATTGGTTACAGCATGACACGAGGATCTTCAACGTGGGTGAGCGAAGGCGTGTCGCAGCCGGCGGGCCCAACTGTCTGGAGAAGACCAAGAGCCAACAGCTCCGAGACGAACGCCACGACTCGCAGCGTCAGAGTACGGCGCCCAGCGCAACTTCTGCGCCGAAGCAGACGCTCAATGAGAGCACGAATCCGACAGACCGTCACGCTTCCGTCGCTCACATTCTACTGAACGATGACACCAAGCTCGAACCGCCAGCCACACCCCCGGCGACCGAGGAGGAACCGCAGCTCGGCCATGGTCAGCCAAATGGCCATAGGAAACAGAGCATGGCGACCATAGTCTTAGCCAAGGATGCCCCCGACGGAAAGACCCAGGAGGAGGAAGAGATGGAGCAAAATGCTGCGTTCTTCGACCCGCAGAACAAAAAAGCATCACAGATTCGTGAGCAGGTTGCTCGGGAGACGTTGGACGAGCTGCTGGACTACATACTCTATGAGAATGGTAGCGTTGGCATCCTCGATGCAACGAACAGCACTATGGAGCGACGCAAGATGGTTATGGACCGCATCCGTGAGAGAGCTGGGCCGCAGCTGAATGTACTCTTCCTGGAGTCAAGCTGTGTCGATCAGGATCTCCTCGAGGCCAATATGCGTCTGAAACTGAACGGCCCAGACTATCGGGAGATGGATCCAATCATCGCTCTCAAAGACTTCAAGAAGCGTGTGCGCGAGTACGAGAAGGCGTATGTTCCGCTTGGGGAGTATGAAGAGAAGAACAATATGCCCTACATCCAGATGGTCGATGTTGGCCGGAAGGTGATCAGCCACCAGATCAAAGGATTCCTGATGGCGCAAGCCAATTATTACCTCCTCAACTTCAACTTGGCACCGCGCCAGATCTGGATCACTAGGCATGGCCTCAGCCTGGACAATCTCTCGGGCAAGATTGGCGGTGATAGCGATCTATCTCCCGAGGGACAGCGATATGCCCGATCTCTTGCTAACTTTATGGATGCTAAGCGCAAAGAATGGGATGTCAAGCAGATCCAGGCAATGAAGAACACACACTTCCCGCCGCAGCCTGGTGACTCGACACCGCCGAATCCATTCTACAATCCTCAGTCGCCCGGATCTGATGCAGATTCGATCATATCAGATGCCACAAATGAGATGGGGTATGAACCGAAGGCGTTCTGCGTCTGGACCTCCATGCTTAAGCGCAGTATCCAGAGTGCGCAATACTTCAACGATGAAGACTACGACACCAAGCAAATGCGGATGTTGGATGAGCTGAACGCCGGTGTGATGGAAGGCTTGACTTACAATTGCATATCGTCCCAGTATCCCGATGAGTACAAGACTCGCAAGGCCGACAAGCTACACTATCGCTATCCCGGCCCTGGTGGGGAGGGGTACCTCGATGTCATCAACCGGCTTCGACCGGTGATTGTGGAGCTGGAGCGTATGACTGATCACGTCCTACTCATCGGACATCGTAGTGTGGCGCGAGTGCTCCTTGCATACTTCCGGGGTCTGAAGCGCGAAGAAGTCGCGGATCTTGACGTTCCAATTGGCCTCCTCTACTGCCTCGAGCCCAAGCCCTACGGTGTCGACTTCAAGGTCTATAAGTGGGATAAGGAGACCGAGTGGTTCTACGAGCAGCCTGACTTCCAACTCAAGCGGGCTGAAGATGACATGATTTAAGAACTGGTGGCTTACGACGTGCTTTACGAGGTGTTGGAGAGATTTATGAAAGGGCATAGCGACGGAGTCATGAAACGATCGGCCATGGGAATTATGATCGTGATACATCGTAGACCAAGAAACCCTTAGAAGACGGTTACTGTATAGATAGTGGATGTGCTTTTTAGCGAGGCGTTTTGGGAACGACAGAACCGCCGGTGATAGAGTCGCGGTGTAGCTTGGAAAGCAATGAAACACTATCTATGCTCTTGCTTGGACTTTGATCTCGCGGTTCAACTAAGAGGATGTCCTGCAATCATGGTAAAGCCCTAGGTTAAAAAGCCTGCCTGAGAATAACGATGCAGCCACCCACTAGCGACCCGCGTCCTTGACCAATCATCAGGCGCGTCGCTCCTGCCTCTCTCATTATTCCTGAGCAAGTCCGTCCTCAGTGCTCAGACGACTTGACTCTAATCGACAACCGAATATTGTCTTCGGTTCATATGAGCAACTGCTGCTGGCATCGCGCCCTACGCAAGATTTGCTGTTCAGCGTCCTGGTGAACTACACTCGAACAACCAGAATTGCCATGAACATGACGCCAAACGACCTGAGACAACATGTGCTCCTGCCTATACCGAGCTTCAAAGCCCACAAACGCCCAGAAGGCAGAGAAGACATGCTTCGGACCATCATCCAGAATATAGAAACGCAACAGCAACAAGTCCGGTACGCGAACCCAATCTATTCTTCACTTCCTTCACCTCTCGCACTGAGCTTTTATTAACCAACCGGAACAGGAACAACATCATCGCCGCAGGGGAAGCCCGCCTCAACGAACAAAAGGAACACCAGCAACGAGTCGCCGCCGCCGCCGCCGCCGTTTCTCGGCCTTCCTCGTCGGACTCTGCAGACGCAATGGACCTCGACGTCACCACAGCCCCCCTTTCGGACGGCGAAATCATCCCTGCACATCCCAATGGCCACCACCACCACCACCACCACCACAACAACCCTTCAGACCACAACGGCAAAAATTCCGGCATCAATCTCTTCCTCGCCAATCTCAGCGCCCCAGTTCCAGAAAGTGGCAGAGATCCCTGTGTTCCCGCCGACGGTTCTCTTCCACCTCCACCACCGGGGGTTCGGCAAGCTACGCCGCCGCTGGAGATACAGGTGGCGAAGGAGACGCTCGATCGGATTGCGGAGTATGAGCTGCATTCCCAGCCGGCAAAGGAGCATTACGAGAAAGCGCTGGAGCGGATGCGGCGAGGCTCGACGGGAGTTCCGCCGATCCATCATACATCGAATGCTCCTTCGTCCGGAGCGGGTCCACCGAGCGCGAGTAGCCATGGTGCTGGCGGGTCTGTCGCAAACCCGATCGACTCTGCTCGAGATCCCAGATGAAGACAGAGATGAAGGTCAAGAGGACTCGGGCGCAAGGACTGTTCATGAATGCGTGATTTGCTCTCAACGACCAATGCACAGTGCGCCTACTGACAGATTTACCACCCACCGATCAGTCGTCATCCCAGCCACCCGTCAAGCACAGCAACGCCAACGCTAAGACTGTCACAAACAAACAAGTCCATCATGCTATGCGCCATACGCCGAGGGACCAGGTCCACCTTGAGGCCCTCCTTCAGCAGCCATACTCAACCTCGCACACAAACCCAGAAACACCACCGTCTCTGTGGCGGCCAAGAAATTCAGCGCATCGAGCAGAATCTTCAGATGTCTGCTGAAGTGATCTTCATACTGCTGCAGAATCGAAGAAATCTTGTCTAGCTTCGCCGGGTCCCAAGATCCTTTTGAATTGGCTGGGTTCATGAGCTCTGAATCTGCGGAAGCTAGGTATCGGGACAAGGAGCCGGTGTAGTTTGCGAAGAGTGTACAGGTAGAGATCACCTTGGAATTGAGCTGCATTGCATGTTAGCGGAATTGTAGAGAGACTTCTCCGAAGAACGGGACTTACGCGAAGAAGTTTGGAATTCGTCAGCATGCACCCCTTCAGGCACGTCGCGAGGAAATCGACATGGTCCTGCATCAACTCATCGACGGTGCGCTTGACCTTGGGAGCGACATTGTCACCGTCACCGTCACCATCACCATCGGCCTTGTCATCCGCAGCGTTCGATAGCCTCGACATGAAGGATAGCCAATTGGGCTCGATGACCTCGCTGGTGCAAAAGTACAGCAGCGACTGTACAAAGCACAGCATTCTGCTCCGCAAGCACCAGACCCTGCGTTTCCAGTATTCAAGTTTTTTAGCGACGGCAGTGTCGCCTTTTGTCTTATGCGTCCAGGCCTTGGCCTTTGTATGCTCCGCCCACGAATCCGTAAGCAGCTTTTCCAGATGGCGCAAGCTCAGTAGGTATCGGAAAAGAAGCTGATATCGCGTGAGTGTCACTCTGCTCACTACCAGGGAGAGTGGGAATGGAACGGAATAATCGAGCGTCAAGGCCTCATACCCGGAGATGTCCTTCTCTGCTTTCTCGCTGTGCGTGCTACCGATCGCTGCAGGAGTGTAGGATGATAGTGTGGTCGCGTCGGCGTCCATGCCTTGCACATTCACGACTCTCATCAGCCAGGCCATGAGCCCAGTGTCACTCATGGTGACCTTGATGTCTTCCTTGTAGGGATCCTCTGCCGCCACGGATCCAGGCTGGCGCAGCACCATATCTAGCAAGGTCTGCAGTTTCCCACTATTGACGTTCTTGCCTGACTTCTTAAGCTCGGAATGCGTCAACTCGAGGAAGTAGGAGAAGAAGTCACTTCGATCCAGGAAGAAGTAGTGCTTTAAGCTTCGTAGTCGTGCCGGCAGTGCATGTGTCCTGATTAACAAGGACATCAGGCTCTTATTGGCGAAAGAGTATGCCCCGTTGATGTTGTCGATAAAGCGTGGGTCGTCAAATGTATGCGGGAAGTCGGTACTGGCATCCAGATCGCGGCTCACGTTCTCAATCCCTCCGCACTCTCTGACGACGTTTAGATACTTGCCCGCGAGTAGGACCTTATCCTTTAGCACATCTAACTGCGGAGGCAACACATCTTGTCGGATGGTATATCGCTTCTCCCAATACTCGTCGGTGTAGTCTTGCTCGAGCCCTTCGCGGCGAATAGACTTCTGCTCCTTGATCAAGAACTCCTGGTGTGGATCGCGTACGTTTCCGTGGTGGAGCCACTCGTTTAGCATGGCCATGTAGGGTCGGCTGGCTTCCCTTAGGAGCATGGACAGCAGTTGTCTGGCAGCTGGATCCCCGGACATTTGACACAAACGTCTGGTCAACAATCGCAAGACAGAGCCGCCTTTGCAGACCTTCTTGCCAGGCAATGCTGCGTCTTTGCCCTCCTTCAACGATTCCAGGATGTTTTCCAAATCGTCAGTCTGGTCTATATCCTCCTCATTGTCGAGCATGCTGTTCTCCTTAAGCACTTCATGTGCGACGCTGTACAGCTGCAACATCATATGCGCAGTAGCTTTAGTGTGCAAGCTCAGTTGGTGCAACGTGAAGCCGTCGTTATGAGTGAGCATCTGGTGTTCCAACTGGGCGATCAGGATCATGTAGTCCTTGAGCATCTTGCGCATAGCAGCACACAGAGCATGATTCACGGTGCCCATCTCCTCTCGACTCTGTACTTCAACAAAAGCCTCCACCGCACAATAGTGCGTCGCAGTCTTAAGCATGCTGTGCGCAAGATCCCGCAGGCTGGGGTCCAGGCCTTGCTGTATCCAGAATTGAGGCCCAGCTAACTTGCTCTTCTCATCCAGAGGGTTATAGGAGTCTGCATACTGGACATACTGACCCTCATATCCCATAAGTACAAAAAGAAGGTCTTCGATAATCGCGTGCTCTTGTTCATCCAGTGATAGAGTGCTCAGACGTGCAGGCTGTATGGATATCGGTGCCTTGGCTGCCACTGGAGGAACTGATATTCGTGAACCTAAGGGTGCCGAGGAAGGTGGTAGTAGACTTGCATGCGGAAGCCATACGGACGCTGCCTTGGATTCGTCCTGCTCCCTTCTCACCGTCGCCTTCTCTTTGGCCGGAGGTCTTTCCGTCTCCGTGCTCTTGCGGCCATTGGTTTGCTTACTTGGGCTGAGAGTCCTTCGTATTAATGTTTCTCGTGTGCTTCTCTCTCTCTTAGTGGTCTCAGTTGTCGTGGAGATCTTGCGACTATTTGTCGTCGCTCTCGAGTCCGAACGAGTCTCTTCCGTTGTGGGTGGGATCGCGGAAGTGGGGCGGTTCCTTTGTTGTCGAATCTGCGCGGATGCTCGTCGTTCAGTGATGCTGGCCGCGCGCGGCTGTTGATGTGACGCCATATCTCATCCTGCGTACTTCCATGAGTAGACGGTCGATTCAAAACTAGATGTATGGAATTCGGGGGGAGATGTGGTGCTTGCTTTGCTCAAGCGCATCGCGGGCGGGACCTTCTTGTGACGCGCCGTTGGCCAAACGCAAACACGTCGTCGGCCAAACTGCGGCAGAACCCGCGAAGCTCACCTAGGCACCTGGAGCTGGCGTAGACATCTACATGTGATCCAAGACCTACCTGCGACATCATCTGCAAACAACTCACACCCGTCTCATTCACCGACTGCAACAGCTGAAGATTCTCCTCGTCCACTACTCTCTCGGCTTGGACTTTTGAACTCGCGTCCCATTCCCTCAAACAAACCCACCAGTCACAAACATGTTCATCGCACGGTCAGAATATGGTATGCATTGGAGCTCTGGGATTTAGTGCAGAATAAGCTGCTAATGACTATCTAGATCGTGGTATCAAGTATGACATCTCCTGATGTGGACGGTTTCAACCTCCCACTGACTTTCGTTTAGCACGTTCTCGCCCGAAGGCCGTCTCTTCCAAGTCGAATACTCCCTCGAAGCCATCAAGCACGGTTCGACCGCGATCGGTATCTCCACCTCCGAAGGCGTCATTCTAGGTGTCGAGAAGCGTATCACTTCTTCCCTGCTCGAGACCAGCTCCGTCGAGAAGATCGTCGAGATTGACAGACACATCGGAACTGCCATGTCTGGCCTTCAGGCAGATGCACGGAGTATGATCGAGCACGCGCGAGTCACCAGCCAGAGCCACGAGTTCCATTACAACGAGCGATTAAGCGTGGAGAGCTGCACACAGGCTATCTGCGATTTGGCGCTGCGGTTCGGAGAGGGCGCAGAGGGAGAAGAGAGCATCATGAGCAGACCTTTTGGTGTGGCGCTGTTGATCGCCGGATACGATGAGAACGGCCCATCGCTGTGAGCACAACCCTAAAACGAGCAGGCGATGTATTGAACTAACGAAATCTAGCTACCACGCAGAACCGTCCGGCACCTTCTACCGATACGACGCAAAGGCCATCGGCTCCGGCTCCGAGGGCGCTCAAGCCGAATTGCAGAACGAGTTCCACAAGTCGCTCACACTACCCGAGGCAGAGGTGTTGGTGCTCAAGACGCTAAAGCAGGTTATGGAGGAGAAGCTAGATTCTAAGAACGTGCAGTTGGCGAGCGTCACAAAGGACAAGGGCTTCAGAATCTACACCGATGAGGAGATGGCTGGCGTTGTAGGGCGGCTGGAAGGCAACTAGCGCCCGACGCAATGAGTTGAACGAGGTTGCGGAATGTACATTACAAACGACTTACAGCACCGCGAGGGCGTTTCCGGCGTTGGCATACAGCAGTATGTATCAACAGTCCACGGTTGAAACCTTGACATGGTAATCCCGTCTATGAGTTCACCAACGGCATTCTCCATGAAGAGGCCGTATGATGATCGACGATGTCCTCGAGCTCCATTCCGCTAGCATGTGTCAAAAACCTTATCTCTTCAGTAGGGCGACAGTCGACCTCCCTCCAGAAACTAGACATTTCAGACTTTCTGTTCCTGAATCCACCAATTCACTCAACCACGCGGCGTTCAACAAACGGCACTCGTGCAGAGTGAAGTCAATTCCGCCAAGCACACGACCTGCGGTGGATGTAAACAGCAAGAGCGGGCAAAGCTTTCCGGTCTTCGAACTCCGTGTCAGCTGCATTTGAATATCGGCAGCTGTACATGTCAGACTAGCTACGCCATTCAACACATGCGTGGGGAGGGGTTATATATAGCCTGACCATTGCTGCCAAACAGTCCGTGTAATAAGCGACCACTCCCTCCCTTTGAGACAAACGACGACACTTTTACTCCCTCCCTGCACACTTGGTCTCTCTCACCATGGCCTCAGCTACCGAGATCCTCCACCGCAAACCTCAAAATATCGCCGTTTCGACCAACCCGGCTCATGAATTGAAAGTTCATGACGTGGAGATTCCTGAGCCCGGGCCGAACGATTGTCTGGTCCACGTCCGCGCGACGGGAATCTGTGGCAGTGATGTGCATTTCTGGAAAGAAGGGAAGATAGGTTCTTCGCTGATCACGGGCGATTGTGGGTTGGGACACGAAAGTGCTGGGGTGGTGATCAAGACGGGGAGGGAAGTGAAAGGACTGAGGATAGGTAATCGAAATTCCCCTCCCATTCATTTCTCATCCTTTGATTGAGTTATCCTATGCTAAGACTTTTTCCTTCGACAAGGCGACCGCGTGGCGCTCGAATGCGGGATCCCATGCAGTAAACCCACCTGCGAGCCCTGCCGGACAGGTCGTTACAATGCCTGCCCGGATATCATCTTTTATTCCTCTCCTCCGCTTGATGGGACGCTTCGTCGCTATCATGTCCACCCAGCAGCCTGGCTACATAAGCTCCCGGACTCCATGACCTATGAGGAAGGTGCTCTCCTGGAACCGCTCTCGGTCGCCTTGGCAGGCATTGAGCGCTCTGGTCTGAGGATGGGCGACCCCTTGGCCATATGCGGTGCAGGTCCTATTGGGATGGTGACTCTCTTGGCTGCTCATACCAGCGGCGCGGCGCCTATTGTCATTACTGATATCGATGAAAACCGACTTCGAATGGCCAAGGAGTTAGTGCCAAGGGTAAGAACGGTTTTGGTTCCCAAGGGAATGGAGGCGAAGAATGTTGGTGAGAAGATCAAGGAGGCGTTGCGTCAGGAGTCCAAATTGGCGATCGAATGCACCGGCGTCGAGAGCAGTATTCATTCCGCGATATACGTAAGTCGACCTCTCTTCTTCTGATGTGCATTCTGGATCTAACCTAGATTATAGGCCTCCAAGTTCGGCGGCACGGTCTTCATCATTGGAGTCGGCCGGGACTTCCAGCAAATCCCCTTCATGTATGCTTCATTTCGAGAGATCGACATCCGCTTTCAGTTCCGGTATATGGAGACTTATCCCAAGGCTATCATGCTGGTCTCTGAAGGCTTGATCGATTTGAAGCCATTGGTGACGCACCGATACAAACTCGAGCAAGCCCTTGAGGCTTTCACTACCGCATCGACACCCGAGGCAAAGGCTGTCAAGGTGCAGTTGTTGGATAGTTGACTCTGTTCCATCTGGTGTCGCGAAAACCCAGGTAGTCGGAATTAGTCTGAGGATAGATATCTGGTCGATAGTATTTGGCTTGTTTCTCCTATGTCAGCCCGCTTCTGTTTTTAGAAAAGACCCGCCTCGCGTGCGGTGCCCTTGGATACTCGCTGGGCTCACAGGCTCTTGTTCGTCCGAAGATTCGGCTTCTATCTTGCATCGTTGCAGGACGATGGTTTTCGTAAGATTACGGATGTCAACGATTTTCTGGCTAATCGTCATCATTGAGCAGATCGGAAATCTTCACCTTGCTTCGCACCTGCGGCATCGCATGAGGTGCCCACCTCTCGATGGCGTTGACAGTCTCCTTCAATGAATAGCTTCGGTCTCCTTCATCATCCAGAAGCTGCTCGGTCCCGGATCCCACGGCCATGATCCTATCCGACCATCTCATTAGTCGCTTGATGAGCTCCGGAATCTGAAGGTTCCTCATGCCACCCCGCATGTCCACCATGCGTCGCTGGGCCGGCCGGTGCACGTGTACAGACGAGTACTGATCGCCGTGCATATGCTCGTGCAGAGCAATACGTCCAATTGCCAGGATGAGAGCGTCCGAACAGCAGCGCTTCGGGTCTTTGATTGCGTCGTTGATGCTCTGAATGGCTTGGGCTCGTAGCCAGTACTGGATCTCGTTTCGAAGACCGCCTAGTTTGACCATGTCTCCCGAGCCGAAGAGAAGGCGAACGTAGAAGAGAGCCGGCTCTGCGAGAGAACACTGTGTCATGTACCATTCCCAATGTGCACCTTGTTCGTCTGTTATTCGAAGGGCGGACCAGCCGCGAGGCGCATACACCTTCATCACTGTGTGGTTGATTAGCACAGATCCACTTGGAAGCGGTACATAGATCTGTGTATAGGAAGTCATCGAGGTCGTGCCGGGCAGTTCCACAAGCCTGAGTTCGTGAAGTCGCATCTGTGTCCGAGTGAGACTTACTGTGATGAAGCACCTGGTCAAACAGTGGCTGGTAAGGCACCGGGTAGCAGTTGAATGGATCCGTTCTCCCAGCAGATACCGCCCAGTCAGGCGATGAGGGCGGAGTGATCATAGCCATATTGCCACTGAACACCATTGCCTTCTCACTTGCACCCACCCCCCGCTTCTTTCTCTCGGGAACGGCGCGATCTGCGTTCAGGTCCGACTTAAGCAGCCTGTTGGCCAGTTTGCGTTTATGACGGCATTGCGGACACGAGCACGGCGTGTCTCGATGGACAGCGTGAACCTGCTCAACCGCCTTCGCGGTCGCGGGGACTCTGGAAAGCGCATCGTGATACAAGTGATATCCATTGGACGTCGGAGCGGACCAAGACTGGTGATGGTGCGAATCCGTCACCGCCGTGACAATCTCCTCGCCAGGTCTCGGGGGTCCGGCCACTCGCTCTACAGTCGTCGTCGTCGTCGTCGTCGTCTTGGACACTTTCTTCTTCGGCTCCTCGACCAGAAACGCGCCCCGCCCTCCCGTGGACGTACTCTCCAGCTGCTCGAAGATCTTCCTCCTCCGCTCCGGCCAGGACTTCAGCGCGGCAACGCTCCTGACGCGCTTCTTGTTGGCGGCGTCGCTGGGATTGCCGGTGTTGACGATGAAGTCGATCCGTTTACCGCCTTGCTTGGAAGCGCCGCCCATGTTGGTATCAGTTGGCGGAGAGGGAGGCAGCGAGCTCGGGTCATATTCACGGTGCAGATTCCGACAGGCGCCAGGAGCAGCGTGGAAAAGAAGATGACAACCTCTCCTCTCCTCTCCTCTCCTACGAACCCCTGCCGGTGGGCGACATGGGGAGAGGTAGGGTAGTGTGGTAGGGTATCTGCCCCCGGTGCACACGCTGGCCGTGCCCGTGGAGTCTGAAGCTACGACCCACCGTTCCTCGCTTACCTTTCCCAATCAAATGCAAATCAAAGTCGCGCGAACCTTGGTCCAACTGCACCTCTTGACTCGTGGTCAGCAAGCAATATGCTGTCCGCGGACGTACGAACCGGCTTTCTTCCTCCCGCTCGTGCTACGGCGACTTCTTGCGCCTGGGGGTTGGGAGGTGGAATGTTCGATGGGGATCCCTCGCGTGTCACAGAGCCATTCATTACGCGCTCCATCAAGTGGAGCACTCTACACCGTCATTCGATCCGATTGCGTGACCAGCAGAACGCCAATGCACATACATACAGCAGACTACGGAGACACACAGCCCGTATCGGCGACCGACGAGAGACTTAGTCCGCATTGCGACACCAATATTCTGGTGGAGGAGCCGACAACTTTCAAAAGAATTCAAAAGCCTCCATCTATCGGAAAGAAATGGCGACGGGCACGTGACGGTCTGCAGGGATTGAGATAACCCAGATCATGTTGATGTCATGCGGTGGAATGCGAACAGAGAGCGAGCTTTCTCGTCGGTCATTTCGGTGGCACCGTTTCAGCATGCGGACGCTGTGGAATCTTGAGCCACCAGTCCCCCATGGCTCAAGGCAGCAACATAAGGAATCGAGCTCCATCGCTCCAACGAGTGCGCGAGCAGGCGTCCCTGTCTACCTCCCACTTGCTGCAGCCCCTGGCTTCTCCTTCTTCTTGATCTGCGGGATAGGCCACCAGTCGTGGAATCGCTGCCCTGGCGGAGATATCACCACCTCATACATCGAACGTAGGTCTGGTCGTTCCTCGGCACTGTTCAAGGGCTAGTCAGCAAGCATCTCTACTGGAATCAAAGAGCGAAAAGCGCGCACCTTAATGTCTGGATGCCATGTTCCCGACACAATTGCCCTATTCGCATCATGGCAACATTGAAACCCACACAGACCTTCTCCACTATCTCGATCTCCGCTTGCCATTGCGATTCCGTACCGAGATACTGGCAGTGGTCCGGTGGCATGCTTTTCAAAATCCCAAGGTCCTCTTTCTTGACGGCCATGATAGCTTGCGTGGTGATTTCCACGACCTTCTGGACTGGCATATCGACGTACCAGGGCTGTTCAATGGCTTTGTAGTATTCTCCGCCAGTCACGAGAATAGCCAGCTGTCCGAGTAATAGTTTCATTCGAGCTTCGTATCGGCATTGCGGGTCTTCGAACCGTCTCGGCGCGATGTCAACGAGATGCAGAAATTCAAGCACTCCGTACATTGCGCCCAGAGCTTGGCTCAATTTGACCGTGAAATTTGCCTTGAAAGGTCTATGGTCAGTAATGACTCGAGAAGCGGCAAGAGCTGCAATGCTCACGAAGGGTAGACATACCTTGTGAATAAGACTCCTGATCCAGATGGTGGACATCCTGATGTCCCCCGTGTCCGCCATACTTTGCGGACGGTCGGCTACTCGTAAGTCAGTCGTATTGTCGCAAAGGGCTGACAGTGCTGGGAGGTAGGCTCCGATCTCACATACGCAGTATCTTGTTGGCATTCGACCTGCACACGCCGCCCAAGCGCTCAGCTCGATCGTCGGCAAACCGCGCGATTGTAGCATGTATCAGCCTCATCTCCGGTGGAGAGTAAATTTCAGTCTCGAAGCCGAGTTGAAGCACCTTTTGGCACGATTAGCTCTGGTTCAGTATTTCCGCCTGTAAATGCCCGTTTCGCCGAAAAGAAGCCTACCCATTCTATGATTGTCTCCTTGTGCAGTATTGTCCACTCCGTCAAAGGCCATGTATCCATTCTTGCTACCTCGGACAAGGGGTCGGCCGCGTATGCGTTGATGTACTGGCACTCACATAGTGAGACGTCGCAGTCATTCGCCTTCGTTTCCAATTCTTGGAACAATAGAACGACCTGAACTGTAAGCACATGTCTACTTCGGAGTCGAGGCATCTAGCACTAGACGTACGTGTATCAATGATCTCCGCATGCGACATCGATTCTGGTTGAGGCTGCGGTATAGTTCTTTGTAAGCGTGCATTGCCGCATGGGCAAAATCGCTGAGCACGCGAACAGCTCTGTGTCGAGGATCCATTGGGACTTCGACAGCCTGAGCCTCCTCGCCGGTCAGTGGATCCCCTGCCTGTACATAGTCAGCGCTGATTATACAGATAAAACGTCAATTCCACACACCAATACCAACTCGAGAATGTCGCGGTAAATGAAATCGACATTGATGACACCATTAGATCCGGAGTCTGTTCCCATGAGAACGTCTTGGACCTTTGCCCGCGCGTACGTTTTTGGGAGTGGAGACCGGTATGCATAATCCCATACGGCTTGCTGAAGGGCATGCGGGCGACGTTCCTTTCTGAATCTACGGAAGTCATCGGCCGCCAAGACGTCATTGCACAATTGTGTCCATTGCCTTAAAGCCTGGTCCCAAGAGAGCTCAGGCATAGGCCTTGGCGGTGTGCTAGACGTTCATTAACTCGCGCTCCATGCCACAGGCCCAATGTGAAAGTGTTTACCTGGTGGCCAATTGCCTGGTAACCTTGCTCGAGAAAGCATCCGGGAGAGGCTTAACCAGACGGCATTCCTCTTTCATCTCCGCAACTTTGTCTCGTAGATCTTGCCACTGGTTATGCCGACCACTCATGGAGAAAAGGATATGTTCTCTCGCCACCAAGCGATGTTTGAGAGCTCGGAAGACTTGATAGTTGTCGTTAGAGCTCGCAGGCTGATAGTTATCGATGAAGTCCATAGCCTCAACCAATAATTTCCGAGCCTCCTCAACATCGAGATCAGGCAGAAGCTCTCGACCAAATTGATGCGTGACAAAATCTTCCTCTTCATAGTACGTTTGCCTTGTGATTGTGTCCAGGGCACACTCAACACACTTGACCACGGCAATGCAGTATTTGCGAAGCACGTCATGGACCATTTGCTGCCCGAAAAGCTTGTTTCGAGACGTGTCATCTGGAAGACGTAAGTAGTAGGGTCTCTTGTTGTTGGGATCAATAAGCCGGAAGATATGCAGTGAGGTGAAGATGTTCTGGGAAAGCGGGTAGCCGTCGTGAAAGCTCATTTCCAGGCGGAGAATCTCGTCCATGATCCATAGGACCTCCTCGGGCAAGAGACCTCCAGTGACATCAAAGTCTGGCTCGAATGAGTCTTCTGGGGGAACGTAGCCGCTGTCCATCTTGGGATCCATGATCTGGGGAAGCAAGGTCAGCTTCTATTCTACGTCAAGAGCTGGCGTCGAAATGAGTGCGTAAGCTAGAGTCACTGACTCTCGAGTCCTGCCGATCATCCATCCTTGAGGCCCGCAAGGTGTCAGGCTGCTGACGGCCAACGCGCTTTTCGCCCGCTCGTTTCGTCATTTTGAGGAATGATGCCAGAGAGACGAATGCTGCGGGGAGAGTGACAGCCAAATCATACCTCGAGTGCGCCAACGGCTTCAAAAAGCGTAAAATTTTCATCTTTGACAAGATCTCCCGGCGGTAGCTTCTTCGCGGCGGCGACAAAATCTGCAGTCACGTCTCGAGTGCCCCGCGTCAAGGGAGGCGCATGGGAGTTGTTCTGCTGCATTCGTGCTTCTTGCTGAAGTCGAGCTTCAGCATTTGCTTCGTTGGAGAGGTCGTGGTCGCCGCCGTCATGGTTAGGGGTGATACTTAATCGAGAGATACCTGAGTGAGTCGTAAGTGAGTTTACGTGTGTATTGCTGCAGCGACACCATGTGGAGTACCCTCAACCAGATCATCGCCTGCCATTGCGGCGCTGGCTTGTTCGTATTATGAAAGGCGTTTGCAAAGTTGTTGAGCCCATGGTGAGGAACATTTGCTGGGAAAGAGCACTTCGAGATGCGGTGCCAGCGGAGCAAGCTCGGCAAAGCTTCGCGGGCTTGTGATTGAGATTCTATGTACACATGATACAGGCAAGACAGGGACGTGATGAGGCTCAATCGATGTTGCTGCATGCTTCTTTAGCTTTCAGAAGCTCCAGTGCCGCCCCAGATTAGTTTCATTCATCCTTCCCAAACTGCTCCAGCATCTGACGAGCGCTTACTGCGCAGTTTGGCCAGCCTGCTGCTGCATAGCATGCTGGTTGGCATCCTCAACAGATTTCATCTCGCTTTGCTTGCCATTCTATTTGTTCCCACAGTCAGCACATGTCTTCCCTGGCAAATACTAAATTTGTGTCTCCCACTCGACGCCTCTTTCATAGTATGTGCTTCGTGTGTATCGGGGCGTCCTTACCTCCCACTTGGCGAATCTCAGTTCCTGCTCTCCTCTTTTCTCGGCCTGCAATCTCTTCTCCTCCTTCAGCGAGCGGCGGACGACGCGCGAGGCGACCGACAGGTAGCGGTTGTAACTGTGCGAAAGAATCTCGGGTTAGTACCCCTGCTTCGATGCCCTCCCCGGAGGCCGCGGTAGGCCACGATGTATGTTGGGACGTACGTAATGCCTGCTGCTTTCCACGCGAACGCCATTCTGACTGATTTCAATGGTGGATTGAGGTAGTTGGGTATTGATCTGACGGCTGCTTCACTGGCTGTGCAAGCCGAGCAAGCTTCGGGAATGTCGCTTGCTTTGAGCACGGACCATCTGAACATCACGTGAGAGACCTCTTCTGAACGCCGGGAAGCGAGAGCATTTGACGTTGAGCACTTTCTTTTGTATTGGTACAGCTCAATACCTCAGTATGCGCGCCTGGACACAAACGAAACTTCTATGATATTTACACCTTCAGGCCAATCTCCTCTGCGTAAGGGAGCACATACAGGTCGCCAACTGCGCTTACCGAGGCCTTGTTCTCCAACGCCTCCTTTGCGACCTGCTTCACCTTCTCAGCTGTCACGCTGTCGTAGCTCTGAGCAACCTCGTTTATCTGATATGGCTTGCTGTCGCGAACGAGACCAGCGCCAGTATACTCCATACCCGATTGAGTGAGGGATGCGAACTCCAGTTCCTTGAATTTCGCAAGAGCCTTCGCTTTGGTGAGCTGTTCCTCGGATACATTCTCTGAGACGGCCTTGAGGGTTTCAACAGCCTTTTGTGCCATCTCACGTACTTCTGAGGCGGGCCCATCGATACTGATAGCGAGAAGGCCAGCATCGGTGTAGATGTGAGACTTCGTGCTAATCTTAAGGTTGGGCGAGGTCTCTGACGCAGCGTTTGCTAGAAGAGAGAAACCAGGCGACCACTTGATGCTGGACTCGCCGCCCAGAAGAGTACCAAGGACGGCAACCTCGGGCTTGTAGAAAGAACCCGTGGGTGCGCTGGAGCCGGGGAATGCGAGAATCATAGAGTTACCAGAGGCGTGAGCGATACGCTCCTCGCCACCATAGTATTTCGATTGCTCTGTCTTGAGCTCTACTGATGGAGTCGCTGGAACCTCCTCGAAGAATTCGCCAATCCATTTGCTGAGTTCGCCGTGTTCAACGCCGTTGGCAACCAGAGCAAAGTTGGGCTTGGCGTATGCGGCTTCGGCATACGCGGCGATGCTCTCTGCGTTGACATACTTCTTGAAAGGAACGGAAGACGTCGGGTGAACTGGAGCGCCGAGGCCACGATGGAAGGCAAGGGCATGAGCACTCTCGTTCGCCAGTAGGAGGGTATTTCCTAGAATCTTCTTCTGGTTCATCTCCATGAGCGGAATAATCTCCTCGTTCACCACGTGTTCTGTGTCTTCGTTAGCAACTCTATCCCATCACCTCTTGCAGGTAGACTGACGCTGGAACTTGGTCATGGTAGCGACCTCGGCAAGCAGCTCAAGGAAATATGGGAGGTCATCGCGGAGGAACTTGGCTCCAACGACGAGGTTCTCGCGGGTGTGGTGGCGGATGAGCTCGGAGCCCAGCAGCTCTGATTCGCGTTGTATCCGCAGCGTCGATCGTCGCTCGGTTGTCTATAGCAGGCCTTCAATCAGTGTTGAAACAAGCTTTCTGTTTCCGCCATCTCTTCTTACACGGAACGCGTAGCGAACAAGGGCCTCGGCAAGGCCTGGCAGGGTCTGATACCTCGTGCCAGCCTTGGAGACCAGAGCTACAGAGGAGACGACGCCGGCATTGTCTCTGCTTGCGAACTTGATGCCATTGGAGTCGCCTTGTTGGTATTGCAGGGAGCCGGAGGTGGTTGCGGCGTATCCCCTAGTCGATTGGTTCCATGATTGACGGAGAGCCCGCTGAGTCTGCCGCTGGATGGCAGAACGCGCGATCATGGTGGTGACGGGCCCTCGCGGGTGGTGGAAGAGTGGGTGGAGGGCAATGGGTGGTCGTCGTGCTGCAGCAAGCGCAACACCGAGTTGAGGTCAAGCTCTCAGTCTTCTCTGGCCGCCAAGCCTTACCCGCAACGGTGCTGATTGGCTGCGCGGTCTACACAGTCAAACGCGATCCGTGCGCCGGGTGCTAAGTCATCATGAAGCGGGATGGACACTCATGCTTCTATCTGTCTATTGTGCTCTACTTATTGTTACAGTCAGTCATAAGTTCTGACTTCTTGACGGCTGCTTCTTCTAAAGTCGCACTCATGCGCAAACGACGACGGTAGCAACACGCCCACTGTTCGATCGTGAGAGGTTCGAACAGTTCGCATCGACATCACCCACCACTACTCCGCCATGGCTCAGGTATCTTCGCCCGCACAAATCTCGTCGCAGTAGCAAGCGCCGCACTCACCGCGGACGCCCTCGTGCGTGACTGGAATGTGCGCTCACTAATACCTTTCAGCGACTTCAAGAGCTGTGCGTTCTCTTCGTCGAGGACAACTGCGGATATCTGTGTTCCGTATGTGGAAAGAAAAATTCCGGTTTCACAGACATCCGCTAACCGCTACTCAAGCAAATCTTCAACACTCTCGCCGACAATGGCCGCCTCTCTCGCGCGCAACTCCAACTCCGCCTCCGCATACCGAGCCGAAAACTGCGCACCGCCCTCGCCGTCCTCGTGCAGCAACACCTTCTCCTTCACTACACCGTCGACGACGACACTACCTTCTACCAGGTCGATTGGCGTAACGCCTATTACTTGATTCGCTCCAATCGCATCATTACTGTCGTGCGCGAACGATATGGAGAAGGGGCAGGCAAGGTTATTGCTAATGTGCTTCAGCTCGGCCATGCCAGAGTAGGAGACTTAGCGCAAGCATTTGACCTCGAGTCCACAGCCAAACGTGACAGTGGCATTGAGACTTCGGGACAAGGCGACTGTGGAATTCAGACCGGTGGCAAGAGTATGGGGCACATTCACCAGACACACGATGGCAAGATCACGACGCTTGCACAATTCCACAAGACCCTTCGAAACCTTCTTCAGTCAGGCTTCCTGATCAAGTTCGACAAGCAATGCCACATCCCAGCTGCCGATTTGCAGGATGAGCTTGAGGAGACGGTGATCCGAGAACAATTTCCCGACAGAAAAGTCTCGGGGTCGAAAAATCAAGAACGATTCAGATCCGCGGTCAACAGGCTGAAGCGAAAGCGGCGGGACGAGAACGACTTTTCCGACCAGCGCGATTGTGAATCTATGGGCATCATTCGTCGCTCCGGAATGGACTCTGTGAAGCGTACGAAGCTCAACGGCGGTACACATGCGAATGGCGTGGTCCACGACGACAGCTCCGCGGAGGGAAATGTTCCAAAGCTTCCGGTACTGTGTGGTGCCCTTCCAACGTAGAGATCCTTTGCTGACACTACGTAGAATGACATGATCCTGACAGTGAACTACCCACAATGTACAATGGCTCTCCGAAGTCAGCGCCTCGAGCAGACGGCAGAACCCTTGCTAGGTGGTGTCACTGCTTCCGTCTACGGAGCCCTCCTTCAAGCATTAGAAGGCAAGGTGCGAGCAAGAGAATCTTACATCAAAACCGAAGAAAATGAAGATAAGGATCCCGAAAACGACCTCCCGACGGCCACCACGATGGAGGTCGCGGATATTCTTGATCCGTCGATTGACTTGACTCTTGGAATTCTATTGCCAGTGGAAGTCAAGGTCACAAATGGCGACGGCACGAAGAAGACGAAGAAGTTTGACATGGAATTCGCCGACATTGGTATCAAACAAGAGATCGAATCTGATGACGAAGACCAACCAACGCACAACGGCCACGGTCCTTACAACGACCGCAATAAGCGGCTATCGCTCATTGAAGAACACCTCAAACTACTCAACGAACATCCGAACAATTTCTGCCGAAAAGTGGGTGGCGGTGGTCGAGGTGAATGGATCGTTGATTTTCCGGAGCTCACAGATCTACTCATCCAAGCCGAGATTGATTCCACGGTCTCAGCACGTTTCGGCAGGATCCATACACGTTTAGTGCGTCTTCTCCGAGAAAGAGGACGGCTTGACGAGAAGCAAATCGCTGCTTTGGCCTTGATGCGCCTAAAAGACGTGCGCTCTCATATGACCGAACTGCAATATGCCGGATTCGTCGAAGCGCAAGAGATCCCTAAGGATAACTCTCGACAGCCGAATCGCACGATCTATCTGTGGTTCCACGACCAGACACGCGTTCAGAGTATTCTCCTTCAACACATCTATCAGGGAATGGCGCGCACTTTACAACGACACAGGACAGAACGAAGCTCCTACAAGAACCTCATTGACAAGGCAGAGATGATGGATGCGAAGCACGAGTCGCTCGCACAGAACGAGCGAGATGCGATCCAGGAATGGCGCGATATCGAAGAGAAGCTTCTAGCTTCTGTGCAGCGGATGGACGAGATGGTTGCGCTCTTACGGGATTTCTCTTGGGAGGACACGTCGTTGGTCGCATAACATTGGACTCAAGGCGCATGGAGGGGCGGATGGATGAAATCTGGTCAGGATGTTAGTGCACATCCTCTCTTGCGTTGCATTGCATGGCGACGGCGTTTCAAGAAAGCATTTAAAAGGAGTTGTGTCTTGGGACAAGGAACGGGATACGATACTATCAAGTGGGACGGCAGAATTGTTTCAAACTGAACGAACGGCGGCGGAGCATTCTCTTGTAGCTAGCTCCTTTGCTGGGCCAGCTACTTGCTTTGTGTAAATGGACTACTATACCCCAAGGCTTGTGAATACTTTGAAATCTCCTGAGTGGTTGCCTCGCCTTCTTGCGGTCTTGCTGAGTTCTTCGCTGCATATCTCTATCATACTCATGGCTCTCCCGTCCAATCTCAGACCATGTGAAGACTTTCGTGTCTTCTCACGAACAGGAGCGGTACACTGCATTGTTCCAATCTCGGATCTATCCGAGCACGTGAACGATCAGAGACATGCGGGAGGATCGGCGGGACGTTTCAAGCCCTGCTCATGCGTCCCGCTGGCACGCGCAAGCTACATGTACACTCCACTCGCAAATATTCGGTCGCCTTCTACAGTACCCTGCTTCTATACTCGCTCTGGCGTCTCAACATCGATTATGGCCGCTCCGCGGCTTCCTCATTTGTGGTCCACACTCGCGAAATCGTTCGAAGCAACAAGTCCCGCCGTTCGATCTGCCAGAGCCGCCGGGCGCATTCAAGCCTATCATGCTTCCACACCACGCCGGAGACCAGTAGCACCGCAACAGCCGCGTTATGGAACAGCAAACCAGCCTCCTCCTCACCTAGGTGGAGGCAAGGGCATGCCGCCGTCGACCAGCGCCGCAGAATCGGACCAAACGAAGGCACTTCCAAAGATCGGAGCAAAACTACAGAAAGACGGCGAAGCAGAGATCAAGGCTGTGCAGCGGGACGAGCAGGCTGAGGCTGGAGAGAAGACAGAACCGGCGACCGTTGATGGTGACATGGCTAGACGTATACAGACAGATCCTATGCTGGATGCAGAGCAAGCACGTACCACCAAAGCGCCAGGTGCACCAGACACGCCGCCAGCTCATCCCTTGGAATCCCTGTTAGACCAAGTCCCAGATCCAGCAGAGCATAATGAAGAACAGCAGGAAACCGCGAATGGTGCTCCTGAAGATCGACCTGAGATGTCCTTCGACGAACACAGTCCGTCGGTCAAGCCTCCTCACATCAGCACACCTCGCCATGTACACCACTTCGACACATACGGTCTAGTGAAGCGGCTCGTAGAAGCTGGATGGTCGGAAGAGCACGCAATTACCATCATGAAGGGCATGCGGGTCATGCTTGCAGACAGTTTGGACGTCGCACGGGAAGCGCTTGTGAGCAAGTCGCAGGTAGAGAATGAGACCTATCTGTTCCGTGCAGCATGCGCCGAGCTCAAAACAGAAGTCACCGCGCGCCGCAAGTCTGAGCAAGAGAAGATGCGTACAGAGCGGGGCCAACTTCAGCATGAAGTGGAGATTTTGAATCAGAAGCTTGGCCAAGAAAGCGCGGCCTTGAAGGACGAGCTCAAGGGCATGTTTGACGACCGCAAGATGGCCGTGCGGAATGAGCAGCGTTCTATGGAGTCCAAGATTCAGCGGCTGAACTATCAGATCACGGTCGATTTGCAGGCCGATGCCAAGTCTGAGGTCGAAGGTCTGCGATGGATCATGACCCGACGAGTCATCGTGTCACTAGGCCTAATCATAGTGATGGTTATTGGCTCTCTGAAGCTCTATAGTAACGCTGTTCATGAACAAGATCAGGATGCGAAGCGGAAGGCTAATATGAGATCAGGTGGCACGCAGACTGAGAACTCCAATAGCAACGACCGCAACAATGGGTCCAGCGACCGTCGAGATGCAAATCAGCTTGGGGGTGGAGAGATGCTTGTAAAAGATGGAGATAATCCAGCGTTTGTGAGTCTGGGATAGACCTCTATACTCGACTTAGAGAAGACTTCAAGAATGTGGATAGGAGGGACACTGCAGGATAGATGATAGATTGATACCCAGCTTCAATTCGGCAAAGCGGTTTGAATATCAACTAAGCAAGCCACCTTTTGTCTGAGCCTTTTCCAGAAGAATATGTGACAAATTAGACTGCCATGCAAGCTGGACTTGCGTCATACGAGACACTCAAGTGATGCGAGTGCTGCGGCGTTCAGCGGAAAGCCTACCAACAACAACATCCTCGACAGCAGAAGGCCACGGCAAAGACGTCAGGTAAGAGCCAGAAAGACAAACAGACACGAATACAGCGGTTGTTCCTCTGTCATCCCCTCCCGAACAAAGCTACTGAATTTATCCTCACGCTCCGCTCACGAAATCAGAAGCAGAAGATGACATCAACGAAAAGTACGCCAGTCCTCTACATCCTCGACTTCAACGTCGGCAATGAAAACGACGACGAGAAGAATCCCTTCGGCGCCGGCCGTGTGGCTGTAGGATCCGCCGCGGGTGGAACTCTCAAGACCTTGATCAACCATGAACAACAACCCGACGGGATCGACGTCCTGATGGAAGGCGAAGGCCATCTGATCTGGACGCAAATGGGCAGATTGAACGAAAACGACGGTCGTGTCCAATCTGCGCGACTCGATGGAACGGGAATCAAGGATATTTTTCAGCGGAGGAGAAGTGAGCTTTCCCCATGCTCATCTCTAGTGAACAACAACAACAGCCTTTTACTAATGAAGACGGGAAAATAGATTCATACGCCCAAGCAATGCATGATCGACACGACCAACCACAAACTCTACGTCTGCGACCGTGAGGGCATGCGGGTCCACCGCTCCAACCTCGACGGCAGCGACCAGGAAGTCCTCATCCAACGAGGCGATTTCCGCAACGCGGAGCACGCGGAGGATGAGACCCGTCACTGCGTGGGGATCTGCGTCGATGCCGTCAGGGGAAAAATTCTACTGGACGCAGAAAGGACCCAGTAAAGGCGGCAAGGGAAGGATTTTCCGGGCTGGAAGGGAAATGCCGGCCGGACAGGATGCCGCGAGTAGGCGGGATGTAGAAATGCTGTTCGACGAATTACCGGAACCGATTGATCTGGAAATCGACACGGCAACGGAGACGTCGTATTGGACTGACCGTGGGGAATTTCCTCGCGGGAATACGCTGAACAAGGCAGATGTTTCCGGGGTCTTCAAGGCCGAGGATCAGCGAGAATATACGATTCTCGGACGGCATTTGCATGAAGCCATCGGGTTGAAGATCGATGGGAGGAATCAGCAGATTTACGTTACGGATCTGGGCGGGACGGTGTATCGGTACGAGAGGGATGGGACGGGAGTGGAGAAGTTGTTCGATGGACAGGGGGAGTATACCGGTATTGCGCTCGCGCATTTGGATGCTGCGAGGGTGAGGGAGATGTATGGTATCACGATCTAAGAGGACGAATGTGGTAATTGCTTCCATCGTGGGATCGTAAGTCTTTTTTTTTTTTTTTCCTTCTTTGGGCAGGAGTCCTGCTCCTTCTATCATCTGATCTCATCCGATTTTCGTCGTCCAGATCATGTGTTTCTCATTCGTAAGTGAGTGAAAGAAAAATCCACAATCCTTCCGAATTCGTCTTTGCTGCTGCTGGAGAAGAGGGGATCGCATGCGTGATCCATATGTTCGGATACTCCTATCAATTCCGTGGGCGCCCAGGATGAGGATGTCTTTCTTAGTCTCGTGGTTGTGCCATTATTATTGTCGCTCTTGCTTCGTCCCGTCTTCGGCCGAATATACCTTCTTCCTTGCTTTCCTTTCCTCTCCTTTATTGCTCACCAAGCAAGCAATGAATGAATGCAATGCAATGCCCCCGATTTCCTTCCTTCCTTCCTTCCTTCCCGTCTGTCTATCTGCAGATAGTTTCGCCAAAAGAAAAAAAAAAACCAAAAATAGAAAGAACCAAGATGCTGCTGTTTGGTTGGAACTTCGGAACTCTATCATCCGTCATAAGCTGCCTGCCCATCCATCTAGCCATGATTCGCCGCCGCAAGTGCTTCATCAGTCATCAGTCAGCCTCAAACATCAAAGCACGCCCAACAGACCACAGAGAATGAAACAAATTCGAAGAAGTGAACAAGTCCCGGCCCTGTGGTCCTCCCGCCGTGGATGAGTTCTCACACTTGTGTGGGGAAAGAGCAAAGCGACCGACGACCATCGACTCGGGTCCCCCCCAGCACACAGGGTCATCCCGTTCCACAAGAAACAGAAAGGGTCCAACCCAACCCAAACCTCACCCCATCAATTCGTCACCTCATCATGACTAAGGTAGTCACTCACGAAGGAATCCGCGTGCCTCTCGCATAACTGTTTGTCATCTTGAGAAAAGTCTCCGCCAAGAGTGTAGTGTAGTGAGCAAAGTCCATGAAACTGTACATAATATATACAACGCTAATCGGCATCGTTCGGGGTCAAAGCGAGGAACGCAAACAAGTTGACATTTGGGGGAAAAAAAAAACAAAATGGGGGGCCGCTCCGGCCAAATCCATTCCGCCCTAGCGCGCTCTCTCTCTCTCTCTCTCTTTACTGCCTTCTACAAGTAAAGTCCGCCCTTTTTGCTTTTCATGCTTCTACTTTCTCTCTGATTACCGAAAATTGCAAGGGGGTATCTGTTCCCGGGTCTCGTCTCATGCAAAAAAAGGGTCATATCGGGCTGGAATTCCTTTGTCCGAGCATATGCAATTACAACACAGCAGCGACACCAGCAGCGACCAGGAGACCGGCCAAGCCCATCGATGACGCTTTGCTGGCCGCGCCAGTGTACGATGCTGGGACGCCGGAGGAGGAAGAGGAGGGAGTAGAGCCGTAGGCACCAGCGCTGGTGCTGGATGGTGAGTAGCCAGCTGGAGAGTTGCCTGCTGGTGCGGACGCGATCGGTGCGGTGCCGTTCACACCGCTGCCGGAGGAGCTGGGGCCGGAAGAGTAACCGCCAGGTGCGGTGCCGTTCACACCACTGCCGGAAGAGCTTGGGCCGGAGGCGTATCCGCCAGATGGAGCAATCTTTGCTCCACCAGCCTTGTTCTTGGTGACTTGGGTCTGCGCCTGGAGTGCGGACCACACCGGCAGGCTGTTCTTACCAGCGGGAGCAGAAGTACCCGAGTAGACCGAAGATTGAAAGCCGGGAACGCTGTTGGGGTGAACCTCCTGGCCAGCCCGGACAATCTTCCAGTTCAGGTTCTTGGTCAGGTATGGGACCGCATGCTTCTCGCTCATGCTGGTCAACGCACCAGACTTGCACTTCTCCTGCAAGTGGCGGGTCAACGGCACGGAACCGGAGACCTTCAGGTGTGGGCTGACCATGTCACCGCCGGCAAGAACACCAATGGCACCAATCATGTTCTTGTCGTTGATCCAGTTGTTCGAGTTGTTGTTCTTTGGTTGGCCGTCGAACACGTAGACGTAGTAGGAGCCGTTGAGCCCGTAGCGAGGAGTCTGGACGTTGCAGACGTACTGGTATTCGCTGCCGTTGGGAGCCTTGAAAGACGGGGAGACGGTGGAGTTGTTGCCGATGAAGCCCGAGCCAGAGGCAGAAGCACCAGAGGTAGGTCCAGCAGCCTTTCCGAGGCCAGTCGCAGTGCCGGTAGTCGTGGGGAAAGGTGCAGACTCGGTAGCGCTGGTAGCGTTGCTGAACGCACTAGATCCCTGGCTGACTGGAACGATGGTGCGCTTGGGGGCCACGCTCGAAGACGAAGACGAGACTGGAGCCTTGTCGTCGCCGTGCTCGACCTGCTTGGAGATGGAGCTGGCAGTCGAGTTGGCCGAGGATCCGTAGAGCTGGTTGACGAAGGCGGCGACAGACGCCTTGCTGCCATCACCCGCCAAGAACTCTGGGTAGGTGTACTTGAAGATGGTCCAGTCCTTGACGTCGTTGGTGGTCCAGAAGGTGGACGCATCCTTGCGGTACGGCTCGAGCGGCGAGTCGGCATCCTGAGTGGAGCCGCTGGCAACAGTCCAGGTGGCGTGAGGAGCAGTCTGGGAAGCACCGTAGCTGTCCGGGTGGAGAGTCTGCCAGATGGCGAAGAAGCGGTCCACGTTGGCATGGTGAAGCCAGAAGATGGGGTCAAAGGATGCGAGCGGGAGGTAGGTCATGTGGCCACCGGAGACACCGGTGCTGCCCGCACCACCGGCAGTGGTGTGGATGGTGTTGTGGATACCCTCCAAGCTGTTGGAGCAAGCGGCGTCGGAAGAGCCAGCATCATCGTTGCTGAAGTGAAGGTAGTCATCGCTGCAGATCTGGTCAGTACTCGTCGACGAGTGCGATTCGAGGTGCATCATCACTCACCAAGTGCTCAACAACTGGTAGATCTGGTCCTGCATGTTCTGGCGAATGCTGTCAAAAGCGGTTGTGCAAGTGGCATCGTCACTGGTCGCGTCGGCATCGTTACTGGTGGGGTATCGCAAGGTGTTCTGCCAGCTGGTGAATGGAGAGTAGTACATGTCATCGGTTTCTGCTCCAATATCGTATGAGTACAAGGGGTTGGCGATGGTCTGCTGGCCGTTGGGGCCATCGACGGTGACGGATGGAGAGGTAATCACGGCCGGGAGAGTCGACTGTCCCTCGTCGGGCGTGGCGGCCCAGTCCCAGTAAGGGAAACGCAGAGTAGAGCAGGCGGTGACCATCTCATCCTTCTTGGTGCCGGTGTAGGAGTTGGCGACCTCGAGCGCGACGTTGAGGAACTCCTGCTCGTAGAGGGCCATGTAGGCCCGGTGCCAGGCGGGGAAGAGGACGGAATCGTGAGTGCAGTAGCCATCGGAGCCGGCGCACTGCTCGCACTGGGTCACGCCGTCCCAGTCCTGACGCGGAACACCGTGGATGGAGGCGACGCCGAAGTAGCTGGTGGAGCTGTTCTGGCTGCCGAGCTGGAACTTTTGCATTGCCAGAATGAAGAGGGTCCATTGATCTGGGCGGTTTGCGGCGAGATCGCTGATCTCGAGACGGGCGTGGGTCTGGTCGTCGCCGAAGCCCTGGGCGCCCGAGGTGATGACTACGCCGGAGTCCTGGCGCTTGGAGTGAAGTTGCTGGGCGTGGAGGGCGTCGTGCCGCTTGTTGTTGTGGGCGTCATGGGCGACGGCGGAGGCGGCTATTAGAAGGAGAGACGAGAAGGGGGAAGAGAAATGCATAATGAGTGTCGGACACGGCGAAGGTGTCTAAAGGGAGGGAAGGATTGACGAGAACTTGCTCAAGCATGTGCAGTGCAGGGAGCTGCGCACGTTTGAGGTCAAGTAAAAGGTAGGTAGGTTGGGCAAACAAACAGAACAAGACAGGAAGCAGTGATGAAAGAAGCAAGAACAGGGAGAGGCAGCACGAGCAGCAAGAGGGAAAAGAGGGTGGGTAGTGGCATCGGTCGCGGTAGTCTAGCGACTAGTGCTGCGCTGCGCTGCGCTGCGTGGGCCTGCTGGTGTAGAACGGTGGTGACGGCCGCGCATCCTCATCTCTCCCTCCTCCGCTCCTCGCTCCCGTCCTCTTCTCAGCGACGCCTGTGCCACGCCTACTACACGCTTACGGTAGGTGCTTACCACTGCACTGCACTGCTTGCCACTCCACGGCTTGTTGGGCGAGTTGCTGCCAGCAAGCATCTTCCCGCCGGCGCCTCTGACGGCAAACCAGCGCAGCACTGTGCAGGTCACTGACGCGTAACCTGCAGTGCTGCTGCTGCTGTCGCAGACTCACACCGGCACCGGGTCCCAGCAGCGGGTACCTGCAGCTGACCCCTGGCGCTAGCCCGCTTGCGGTATGAGGCTGCCGTGGGAGCGTCGGTTTCAGCAGCGTGGCACAGGCGCCTACACACCCATCCCGCGCTGCCAACATCTCACATCGCGCACACCGACGCAGACGCGACGCGACGCGACGCCGACGGCAGCTGCAGAGCGTCACTGCAGCGTCCACAGCGTGTCCTTCCATCCTGTCGAGCTCTCGCCGCAGCTGCGCGGTGGAACGAAGCGAAGCGAGGCGACGACGACCAACCGCCAGCGAACGCCTCAGCCGATTGGCCCACGCGGCGTCCAGCTCGGGCCAAGCGGCTACTCGGCGTCACTCACACACCACACTCGCCGCCCAGAGCCACCGGATCGGATCCCAGCTACTGCTCTCCCTGATTACGACAAACCCTCCCTACCACGTCCAGCCAAACGCTCCGAGCTCGCCCACTGTACGCCGCAGGAGACATGACCCGACGCTGCCCTCTGCCACCTGCAACATCCCAACGCCACCGCGTGATGTCGATACGAGCATGGCGTGAAGGCGAAATTGACCCAACTCCCACCGTGCGACTCCTCACAAACTTCACAAACACTGTGCAAAGACACTCCGAACGCCCGTCTTCGGACCCTCTGTCTACCAACCTCAGCCAGTCCGGGTCTGACCCTACTGCACTGCAGGAACAACTGCAGTTGTACCGCAGATTCGTGACTTGTCATGCAGCCGGGTTCCACAGCTGACTTGGACTTCATCAGGGACCTCGTATGGACATTTGCTTACGAGAGAAGTCACGCTAGCATCCATCGTCGGAGACTGATTCATCCTATCGCTATCGGTGCAAGGCAGATCTACCCACATGTACCTTCCTACTTTGGCGGGCCCATCTCGTCTATACCTTCTGTGAAGGGAGTACAGGTGAGGTCGCTACTTCCCTGTTACTCATCATAGTATACTTTTGACCGGGGCGCCTTCTCGAAGTCGGGTGTTCGTATTGGGGGTAGTAGCTTCCTTTCTGTTCGCTATTTTAGTATCTTTAGCCCAGCCCATCTCGAATTGGTGCAGCTGTCCACTCACCAAGCGCTGTCTCTCCACTCTTCGATCAACACGTGATCTCGGCCCGAACATCCGACCAACCAGTCATCTCCCTGCCACCCTCCAAACAACCAACTCCCCCACCTTTCCGCTCTAATGAATATCGGAACCCTAGACATCCATCACGATGCGTCAAGAGCATGTCCCCAAGAGTGTTTGGACGTCCCTAGAACATTTCCCTCCGATGGCTTCAAGCTGCTAGACAGCCTCGAGAAGGTGGAAGAAGAAGATTGGGACTGGTACAGCGCAGAGGCTTATTATCCCGTCCGTATAGGCGATACTTTCCAGTCACGGTACCAGATTGTTGGAAAGCTGGGATATGGAGCTCATTCTACAGCATGGCTCAGTCGAGATCTTCAGTAGGTATTGTCTCGATACAGTCGCTGGACCACGCTGACCGAAAGTCACAGTGCACACCGATTCGTTGCCCTGAAGGCCTGCGAGCGAGGAAGTCCGTCTGCCGAACGTGAGCTGGCTGCGTATCAGCAGCTGGAATCTCTCACCACGGAATATCTGGGTGCATTGGTCATTCGGCAGCTGCTTGACAGCTTCACCATCAGAGCATTTGGTCATGAGTACCGATGCATGGTCCACGAGCCGCTGGGAATGAGTGTCGAGATTCTGCAGCATTTGATGCCCAATCAACAGCTGTCCGAGGATGCTCTCTCAAGTCTGTGCTCAAGTACCTTTTGCTGGCGCTGGACTGTTTGCACAGTGAAGGCAAGATGGTCCACACAGGTAACACGACTCCCCTCCACGAATTGCGATTCCTGACGCATGGCAATAGACTTACAGGCGTCGAACATTCATTTCCGTGTCGGAGACGACAGTATCTTTGATGACTTCGCAGAGGCAGAGATGGACAATCCAATCCCTCGCAAGGTCGACGGAGATCGAGTCATATACGAATCCAGAGGACTCAAGATGCCCAAAAAGACTGGCCCTCCCGTGCTTTGCGATTTCGGCGAAGCTCGCTTGGGCAGGAGCTCCTACACCGATGATATACAGCCATATGTCTATCGAGCGCCCGAGGTCATCCTCGACATACCCTGGTCGTATGAGGTCGATATCTGGAACGTAGGAGTCATGGTATGCCACGACACGTCCGTGCTATGAATCGAAAACCACTAAGACTGACACATCACAGATCTGGGACCTCTTCGAAGGCCGACATCTCTTCCGCGCTCGCGGCCCCAACGGCGCTCGATCGAGCGAGTACCACCTTGCCGAGATGGTGGCGATTCTCGGCCTGCCACCTGCAGAGTACCTGCGGCGCACCCCAACTTCACGCAAATACTTCGACGACCATGGCGCTTGGAAAGCTGCGGCTGTTGTTCCGGAAACCTCGTTGGAGACGATCGAAACGCGTTTGAGTGGCGACAACAAGGCGGCTTTCTTGGCTTTTGTGCGCAAGATGCTGCTGTGGTGTCCTGAGAGGAGATATACCGCTAGGCAGCTTCTTGATGATTCCTGGCTAAATTCGTGACTGACGAGGCTCTGCTTCGAGCAACTGACACGGTAGCATGACTGTCAGAGATGTTAGTACTCGGCGCGACGCATATTCGACGGCGGTAGTCTACGGCAGCGTGCACAAAGTGCGTGGCGCGCAAGATGAGGTCGGCAAAGAAGCAGCATGGATAGAGCAGCAGCGGCCATGCTCGTGCAGAGTCCTCGGTCCCAGACGCTATCATACCATCCTCCAGGAAGTATATGCACGGTATCGAAACCAACCTTCGAGCCGTAGCAGATCTGACAGCTATGCTATCTCCTCGAGTGGTGAGTGAACTCCTGGGAAATGTGCGCACAGGATGGGGATGGGTCGTGAATGTCATTTGTTGGAAGTGCGAGGTGCCCGATCCGATCTCCTGCGATGCCTTCCTCCGTATAGCGAAATGGCTCGCGTGTCGGCCACTGTACATGTACGCCGCAGGGGAAGACATGACCGAAAGTAGTACACGGTGCACTACTACTCCGCTGCTACTACCTGCAACATCCCAAAACGCCCTCGCACATTTGCGCCCATCATCATCTTCTTCTTCATCATCATCATCAACGACTTCCCCATTCCTTCGCGCGGAGGGCGCTGACGTGGAATACGTGGATACGAGAATTGGGGGGTGTGGTGTTGAATTGGGAAATTGGCCGCCATGTCTTTCTTGGGTTGGTGCTCCGTGTGTCTCGCGGCGTGCGGTAGTGAAGGGTACGGCAACGGTGCCATTCTAAAAATGTAGTACCCTATCTACCTCCCTGAACCTCCCTGAACCCTCACTGCACACTGCACACTGCACACGGCACACTGCTTCTTCGGCGGGATCACATCGTCTTGGTTTCTAGGGTTTCTTTCCAAAAAGTACGGTGCGGTGCGTTGGACCGGTCGGGGAACGCCGTCTCCAAGCAACCTCGTCGTCGCGTGGTCGTGTCTTGTCTCAAAAGGCAGTCCTTTCCTTTTTCCCTTAGCAACAACTACCATCTCCCATTGTTAATACCATGATCACTTATCCTCGAGAACAACAACGCGTCTGTTTCTCAATCCTGACATGACGCGGGTTTCCCCCGCCCCCCAAAAACGCCTGGGCCATCATGGGCTCGTCCACAACACACAAAAACTCAAACTCATCCAAAAGTCACAGGCAAAATGATCATCCATTCATTACCTTTGTCAAAAAAAAAAAAACCGCACCACGAGCTTCGAGGAAGATGTTGGAAAAATGCGTCTCGTGATACCACCACATTCGCATCATCTACGACTCCGAAAAGGCCCCCCCGAAAAATCTGACAGAAATACACACATATACAAAAGCACTCCCACCACAAGATCTCTCGCCCCCGAGAAAACATATGCATGCGTATGCCCCCAAAAAAAAAAACCAAAAAAAAAACCCCCCAAAGCTAAACCACCAATGCCTCGCAACTCGTTCGTGCGGTTCATCACATCCCAACGCATTATTGATGATGCCTTTTTCAAGCGCCGCCAGCCTGGCTCTGACTCCTCGTACTCGGCTCGTGACTCCCACTCAGCACATACGAGAAATTGCCCTCCCAGTCCAGCGTGTTGTCCGGATCGAAATCTTCCTCCTCCTCGCCGTCAGCCTTCTTCTCCATCACCTGCGTCTTCTCGTCGTCTTCCATCTTCATGCCCTTCCGCTCCGCCTCCTCCGCGAACCCCTCCACCGCTGCCTGCCGCGCATCGGGCACCTGGCTCGCGTCGAAGTGCCACTTCTGCACGCAGAGGATGACGTCCACCGCCAGCTGTCCGTTCTTCCGCAAAGCATTCTCCCAGTGTTGCGGCACGCCCTGGCCCAGAACCAGCATGCGCGCCACGCAGTTGACGAGTAACTGTCGCATCGGCGATTCCGCTTCCGTGTTGCTGTAGATATACTGCACCCGCCTCAGACTCGGCCAGCTGTCCGTCTCGTGATAGAAGCGTCGTACGGCATCGAGGACTTCCACAATGAGACGCCGAATCTCCCATTTCTCCGCCATGAGGTACATGTCCAGCAGAGGGGAGAGGTCTTTCTCATCCTTCGGGGGAGGGACGCGTTCGGAATAGAGCCATCCGACAAACATCTTGAAAGGCTCATCTTCCTCGTCCGGGAGTCCGTACATGTGGTTCTTCTTCTCGCCATTTTTGGAGTAGAAGACGCTGCGGAAGAATTTGGAGCGGTGGCAGAGGAGTTTCTCGTGCAGGGTCCTGTTCACGTGGGAATCGGGGCGTTAGTGCGATGGACTGCTGCAGCTTCAACGTGCACGTTTCGTGAGATGCTGGAGGACGTACCATTTTGTGTTTTGAGGTCCGACGTAGATGTCTACCAGAGAGTTGGAGAGCAGCTCATGCAGTGGACGTTCTCTTTCGGTCATGATTGCTGATGTCGGGGTGTGATGTTGCTGCCGCTATTCCAAAGCAATCTCGAAGCTCTTGAGCTTTCCAGTCGCAGACAAACGGAAGAAGAAGAAGAAGAACCCACGACGGCACGCGCCTGAGCGAGGTGCCGCAATCCTTTAATATGTGGCTGCAATGAACGGGAGGCTGGATTCCCTGTACGACTGGTCAATCTTGCTTTCGAGGCGCAGAAACGTCATGCTGCAGTCACATTTCGGCGCTAGCGCTGTGCGACGCATGCGAACACTCTCAGATTCCCTGTTACGCGACGCGCCGAGGTGGGATCGCAACCACCAGATTTGAGGACTTTCTTGCGGGTGTTCTACACCTCTAACATGTTCGAGATATCACATGGGACATTGGAGATTCTGGTGCATGGAGCCCAGAGCATGCATTGACATGCTGTTGTCAGATTCCTCGATCATTCAAGATGATGGCGCCGCGTTCCAATCGACGGGACTTGGATCCTCGACAAAAGAGAAGTCGTCGAGATTTACGGGATAATTGGGATCCATAAAGGTGCCAAATATGTCGTCCATTCCTTCAAACAGCCCGGACCAGTCTGGCGTAGGAGCATCTAGCTGGACACTCGCTCCTGCGTGATCCCCGTTGACACTGCCTTCGGCTGCCTCATCCTCCGATCCTGTGTCTATGATGGTGTGAGGCTTCGTCAAAGATGCTGTGCAGATGCCCGGACTGCTTGGGCCTCCACTGAATCTGTTGACCCGGAAGGTGGACAGGTCGGTGGCTTTGTTGAGCTCCGCCAGCACCTTTCTCGCAATAGTTGCGATGACATCTGCCGAAGACCAAGTCCGGCGCAGCTTCTGGAGCACTTCACAGCCAATGCCAAAGTCCTGCCGTGCATCTTCTTGCTGATGCATCAATCGTGCCTGTCGAAGATGCTGGTAAGAAACGGAGAGCGCCAGTGAGATGGCATAGGGCAATATCGGCAACGGGTGCAAAGACTTGAAGTTATGTGAGCTCATCAGGCGGTGAAGCTCGATTGAGGCCAGTGACTGTCGCACGTAACTTGGTGTCGCTCGAGGCATGTATTTGACACCACGAGAGCGATGCGACAAGACTGCCACGAGCAGGTAGTATAGGTGCAGCGTCATTAGCGAGCTGTGCGGCTGATCCCAGCCTTTGCCTTCGTCAACGACATCTTCGAAGCTCGGAAACTCGTGCTCCCACCCTGTCACATTGATATCTGTGCCAGGGCGATAGAACCCGATGACCTTGTTGAGTAGCCGAGAAAGAGCCAGCCAGACTTCAAACGCAGGAAAGCCACTCTCGCCAGGCTCGAATGGTTCGATTGCAACATCGATATCGCTCATCATAATGGGTCGACCATAGATACAACTGTTGAGCCTGTCTAAGCTCCAGAGGCACCAGAACAATCGCTTGGTTGTGAGATCGTCACCTGAAGCAACCCCAGATTGCTGTCCAAGATGCCATCCCAAGGTTTGGGTGTAATGCATGGCTTGCACAAGACACATAGTGGCCTCTTCAGCACCATCCTGACCTTCGACATGGAGGGAAGCAAGCGCAAGAAGTCTTACCAGCGTTATCTTCTCAAACCGGGCGGGAGTCCGTACGGCATTCATGATTGAGGCGTACAACCTACTGCAGAATTCTCGCGGTGCCAAGGGAGTCGAAGATTCGTTCAGTAGCAGATGCGGTCCTGCCTCCGGGTCTTTCGCAGCGACTACGCACACGGCGTGAAGTAGAGGTTCAGGTACGGCCCCGCGTGCATGATCCTTTCGGAATTCATCTTCATCTAGTAATGGTAGCAGAGGATGTATCTTCCGGAAAAAGATGTTGCTAAGCGGGCCGAGTACAGCAGAGTGAGGCCGTTGACTGACGATTGCAGTAGCCGTCTCTTCGCTGGCAGCATTCTTCTGACGGACCAGCGCCTCCCACTCGCGCCTTTCTATCCAGATGCCAATATCATCGTTCGGCTGCCTATTCTCTCCCTCGGGCTTTGGAGTTGAGCGCTGCAGAAATGTTGACTCTGGAACCATATCACTAATGAAGACCCTGGATCCACCGGCCTTGGATGACTTGGCGGTTCCATTGGGCTGCGCATCCTCGGTGGCACTTTGTGTTCCAGCTTTATCCTGGACTGTAGCTCCAGCGAAATGGACACATCGTTTCTGAGAATACGTAAGCCGATGAAGATTCCGAGATGGTAACTGCCGCCCACACCTTCCTGTTCCTGCACGACTCGCAAGCTTTTGCCAGTCTCCGTCGTTTCGGTGCCGTGTCATCATACTGATTGACGAAGGTCAACTCCATGGCGACACGATGCTGTAACGTCTCACATGGTGTCGGTGGAAGATTCATCAGCTGCAGAGTTGTGCTTTCCCAACTCGGCCCGCCCGGGGTGAGCGCACGTGGCTGCACGTTGCGCGTGCTTGAACTCACGGAGCACATGCGTATATATCGGTCGGATACGTATTTCAATAATTATATACGATATATAGAAATCTTAGCTACTGAATACCATATCTCTAGTAAAGCAGATAATAAAGATACCCTAATTAGTCACCCTCTCGTAATCCCTATTCCCTCCTCTTATAAGAGCTTTAACTAACAAAGAAGGTTTATAGCCGGGCTATCTAT